TTAGAGAAATAGGCGCAAGGCCTTAATAGTCCGTTATCGTCGTACTGTGATAATGTTCCCCTGTAGCCCACATTGAGGAATCTGCTTCAACAACAGTCTCCCTCTCGGGGCTAAACTGTATAAGAATCGGGGCAGTGGTAAACATTGTCTTCAGTTGCTGGAAGGCCTTCTCGCATGATTCGGTCCATTTGAACTCGTGTCCTTTCTGCGTTAACTGATTTAACGGCGCAGCGATATCCGCATAATTCCTTATAAAGCGGCGATAAAAGTTTGCGAATCCTAAAATGATCGTACACCCTTAACAGTCGTGGGGACAGCCCATTCCAGTATTGCTTTAACCTTTGCAGGGTCCATGCGTACGCCTTTACCCGCTTCAATAATAAATCCCAAATACTTGGTGCTTTTGACTTCAAACTCGCACTTGTCAATATCCAATTGTAATCCGGCCCTTTGTAGTCGTTCCAATACCTTGTTAACATGGCTTCGGTGCTCAGCAAGTGACCCTGATGAGAAAATTAATATATCGTCTAAGTATGCCGAAGCGAACTCGTCTAGAAAGTCACGCAGGATCCAATTAATATACCGCTGAAATGTGCTTGGAGCGTTCGCCAAGCCGAAAGGTGTTACTAGCCATTCGTAAAGGCCAAATCTAGTCCGGAAGGCTGTCATCCATTCGTCTCCTGGCGAGATCCGGATTTTATGAAATGCAGCAATAACATCAAGCTTGGTAAACCAGCATGCCTTCCCAATCCTTTCCAGTGTCTCATTAATTAAAGGAAGTGGATATCGGTCCTTTTTGTGATTGCATTTAAGCCTCGATAATCACAACAAAAAACGTAGTCCTCCTCCTGGTTTCTTTACTAAGAGAACCGGGGCTGCAGCGGGCGAATTGCTGACTCGTATAAACTGTTTGTCCAATAATTCTAAAAGGGTCTTCCTGAGGACTAGTAATTCATCGCGAGACATGTTGTACAGCGGTCCATGTGGGGGTTCACGAGTATTTCCGTTTTCGTCTTTTTCCAGCTCAATTTTATGGTCGACTCCAGCTCCACGGAGCGGTGGGAGTTTGTCGGCTTCTTCGCGGCTGAATACCGGGAGAAATTGGTGGTAATGAGCTGGTAGTTTGTCTTTAGGGTCCGTGTATTTCTTTACTGTAAGTGCTTTCTCAATATCTTTTAGGCTTGCGGCAAAACTCGTATCTCCTTGTTCTTTCTTCTTTTCCTAGCCCACATATTAAAGGAGTTGGCGTTAATGGGAGCAATTTTAGGGATTCCGGTCTGGTGGTATTCGCTGCTGACTTCAGTTCCAGTGTCTTGGAAGATTAACTTTAATCTATCAGTGGATATATTGGCTCTTTGAGAGATTAGCCATGGGAGTCCTAGTATAATATCGTGGCCTATATCAGTCGGGGCCACGTAGAGGAATATCCTTCGTTGGTAGTGACCTCCAATATCTAATGACATGTAGGCTACCTCGGTGACATACTCTCTAGCACCCCAATTCCTTTAATAAACCGTGGCGGGATGGTAATGCGCTGGAGACAGCTTTTTTGGGCAAACTTGGAAGAGATCATCCCATAAGGGTCACAGCCTGTATCAACTAAAGCATTTGCATTGTATTCCTTGTTAACCAGGGCTGTAATTATAAAGGGTGGACCTTCCATATTTTCCTTAAAGTTTTCCCATTCTTCTTTCGCCTCTATCCGCTCCTGTTCGCGACTTAAAACAGGAGCTACACTTTTCCCGCTTTGTCTTTGTCTTCCAGGTTGTCCTCGTCCTCCAGCACCGCACCGGTGATATTAGCGACTATGGGGATCCTAGGCGGAGGTGGTTGGGGCCTCCTGGGAGGTTGGAAGGGACAGTCTTTAACTATATGGCCTGGGGCTCCGCAACGTACGCACAGCCTTTCACTCCATCGTCGGTTAATCTCCTCCTGAGTTACCCATTTGGCACGTCGGGAGCTGGCAGTTTTCACTGCTGGTTCCCAGTCCATAGTATCACTAGAAGGGATAACAGCTTCACCGGAGTTTTTGTAATATGGTGGTGCCCATGGTCCCTTCTCTTTCCGCTTAAAATTCTCAAGGCGATGAGAGATCTCCTGCACTTGTTGGCAAAATCCATCATAAGTCTCTTTTTCCTCGATATTTATTAATCGGTTCTCAATCGTTCGGTTTAACGCGCTCTTCAAATACCCCTTTTAACTCTATCTTCCCAACCGCTGCCACCCGCTTCGAGGAGTAACCCATTGAGTTCTGCGACCAACTCTAGTACAGAGCGGTTTCCTTGGCGTAGAGTATTTAGGCGTACTAGGGCCTTCTCTTGACGGGTTGGGTCACTAAAGGCGCTTTCCAGCTGGCTGTAAAATCCTTGGAGCGTGAAGCTTGGAGAGGACTCATTGGCTGCGATCCATGCATGGATCCTTGCTGCTGCCTTGCCTCCCAGGCGGCTATAGCCGTACCATATTTGTTCCAACTCTCCTCCAAGAGAGGCCTCGTCTATCAGTAACTTCGCTTTCAGTTGGCTTAAAACTGTGGGAAAAGCGTAAGGTCTGTCCCGTCGAACCGTTCGGGGTCGGCTAGCTTCGGGCGAGGGCGCTGTTGTATAGGAGGTAGGGGGTAGGTACGGGTGCTGCGCTCGGTGTGGTGTTCGAAGTTGCCGGGGTTGGAGTCATTTGGAGTGCTGCTTGGAGCTCCGCGCGTAATGTCTGGATTTGCCCCTGGAAGTGATCCCGTTGCAGACCAAGAGCTATCTGCTGTTGTTCTATCATTTGACGAAATAGGGGTTCGGCCCATGTTGGTAGTTCTGTACTCCCACTTGGTGGGTTATATTCTCCTTCCATTCTGTTCGGTATTAGTTGTTTTCCGTTCTGTTCTATTCCATTCCGTTTCAGTATAAGATAAGTGACGAACGATTCCTAATGTCAAGGGCTGAACCCATAGAACACGACAAGATAGGTTATGTACAAGAAGGAATCGTTGAAGAAGGGAAGAAAGGAAGAAAGGAAGAAAGGAAGAGGAAACAAGCGGTAAACAAACAAGGTGGGGAGTCACGTGACATCGATCGAGGGCCAATGGGCCAAAAGGGTCAGTAGGGACAGTAGGGACAGTAGGGACAGTAGGGACAGTAGGGACAGTAGGGACAGTAGGGACAGTAGGGACAATAGGGACAATAGGGACAATAGGGACAACGGGGACAATAGGGACAATAGGGACAACGGGGACAGTAGGGACAATAGGGACAACGGGGACAGTAGGGACATTGGCCCGAGAGGTCAAACGGGCTCTAGCCCTTTACACACCAGGCCTTTTAAAACCCAAGAAGGCATGCAGATGCTAAAGGAAGAGATTAAAATCTTTAACCCAGGTCTAAAACTAATAAGACCCCTAACATGGCTGACACTAGAACATGTCCGTGAGACTAAAAATCACTTTTTAATTATAGTAATTCACCTTTAGGGGCCGCCGAAGCTGGAAACGGCGTCGCCCAACCGGGAAATGCCGCTCCTGACCGCCCGGGCCCTCGCCGCTATAAAGCCATCCCCCACCCGCCCCTGTAATGGTAACGTCTGGTTTTCTCTCAATTTTACGCCCGCCTCATTTCACCGCAGCCATTCCGCAATGTCCTCAGCCAAATGTTGGGAACAGGGTTTTTTTCGGATCGGATCACTTTCTGTGAGTTTCCCCTTGATTCGAAGGACTACGTGACTGACAGTGGCTCCTCAGTGATACCATTTTTCTTTACATTTTGCCCATCAACTTGGACTATCTTCCCGCAGCGAGCGTTCGTATGCAATGGCTATATCACTGCACCAGCACAACCCCTCCAGAGTTGATTGCGGTTCCCATATTGCCTGCTGGCTATGGTTAGCTTACGTGGCGATGATTTCGGAACACTGGCGTACCGGACCTTTGCAGGGGTACTCAACCATAGCACACCATCGTTCAGCTGGAGTGGGAAGGCCACCACCTCATCCCCCTTTCCTTGTGGAACATGGATGGATGATGCATGCGTTGCTGCCTTCGGCTCGTAGCCCCTGCAACAATGAGATGTGATTGGCTTTATTTCCGTTGGGCCCATTTTGCAAAGAGGGGATGCAGTAATGCGCAAGAGCTCGGTGTTTCGAAAACTACGAGTTGAAAGGCTGTGACTTCCGTGATGACCATTCTGGACTGCGTCGAAGTGGAACCTGCTATCCCGTGTTGATGAGTAGTATGATCATGCGGGTAGTCAACGTTTTATTCCGCCATCAAGTGTATGGTGAAGCTCGACCTCATCGCCCATTTGGGTGAATGTTTTAGCGCTCAGTGATTGGCATCCACTTATCAGCTTACTCTCAGCATTTTCCTATTTCGTGAGTCCAAGCCATCCAGACACAAGCCCAAAGCTCATCCGTCATCCTGCATCCACTATTGTTTTCGCTCCGCCTGTGACCATTCCTATCTCATCGACTCTGGAGAGCTCTCTTCAAGACACTGCCATGGTCAATGCGCAATATTTTCCATTTTCGGCGATATCAGCGAACAGGTAGCGTGGTCAACGAGGCAGTGAGCAAAATCTAGGTGTTAAGCCCTAGACAGCAACACCGCTGAGAACATGCACTTCTTCCCTGGCGGCGGCTTGCCTAGTTTGCTGTTTGGCCCCTGTTAGAATCAAGCGGTCTCGCGAGTTCCGTTCGGGAAGTTTTCTTTAAATGGCAGTGGGGCAACGGAGGCGCCGATATCAGCCCCGTTGAGTAATAGACTGGCAGCCTCGTTTTCTGTACTTTCCTACTGGATCAAATGGGTGGCGCACCTCTGAGGTGAAAAAACTGTAAGGACCATCCCTCCGCTAACAATTGTGATGGGTCCGAATAATGCGTTGATGATAAGGTTGCCTCGGCATGGTAGAAGAGACATAAATAGCCCGACCGGTGACCTTTTTATCTGCTCTTATTTCTTCTATACTGTGTGCCTTGCTGTCTTCCTGTTTACTTCGCTCATATCTGTCGATTATTTCCTCATCATGAGTGCCTTTCTTTTCTATAAGCCAAATTCACATCCAGGTCGTTACTCCAGGAGGGAGCGTTTCAGTTTGCGCCACACTGTGCTATCAGATAATGCATTGGATAATGGGTCAGATCTCTCCATGAAGAGATCAACCTTCGCCAAACCCGCGCGTTCCAGCGTTGGCAATGAGCTTGATATGAACATCCACAACTTGGGCCAGAGTATGTGTGCAGAGCTAGAAGGAGCTTAGATTTGAGACGATTTTATTAATCTTAATGATAGCCCAGTCAACGTTTGTGTGTGCGGAAACCCTGCCCCAGGGTTCGGATGAACATGATGCTTGCAGAACATCTATCAATGATGATCTGGATTCGTTGCACAGCCTGTTCTCCGAACTGGATACAGATTCGAAAAGTAATGGCAGTGTGGCAGATGAAGTACATCCTGCGGAATTAGTTTCAACCTTTTCTATTAAAGATATACCTCCTAGTGGCTCCAGTCACAGTCCAAGCAGAGGCGATACCCTCCATACAAAGGATTCCGGCCCAAATATCTCCCCCTCACCAATCCTACAGCGCATGGACACATTTTTGGACGACTCCTTTACTGAGTCATTATATCCTCTCGCACGTCATGAGCACCTAGAACGGGTAGACGATCTTGTACCGACAGGGGACGGCGATATACTGGCAGCTAAGGCCTGTAAAATTGATGAGATATCCTTAAAGACGAGTGATTCAGAAGCTCAGGATAGCCTCTACCTTTTTCATAGTAAGTCCTATAGCGACAGTTTCGTGAAGTCGCCATTACTAACTATCAGCCGACCATCCAGATGGAGAGAGAGACGTAACAAGCAGCGCCGAGCTTGTTCCAGATCCTGCCCAATATGGGATGGTTTCTCCTGCTTCCTTTTTAATGGAGCACAACCTGTCCACTGCACGATGCTCCACACCAACACCGCAGGCCAGGACCGATTTATCTAATGTGTTTCATCCTTTTCTTAATCAAGACAAGCAGCTTCATAATCGCTCTTGTCATGCAGACGTTGATTGCTCCGATGCCACAAACTGCACTTCTATTCCCGAGTTGAATGAATTATTTATCGAGAATGTAACCGGTTGTTCTGGCCTCACAACCAACCCCAGTACTGTGGCTTCATGGGGGGATATAGATGTGGAGATGCAAGACGTGCCACATAATCTGGGAGAGGCACCAAAGAGTACTGAGAGGGCGTCAAATAATACTACGTCTTCAGAAGAGCTTTGCGATTCTAGTACCCCCTTACAGCCAAGTCAACAGCGGAGTTTCACTTATGACACCAGTAGCGATATTTCCGCCCATTTCACGGAACTGCCCTTAAGCAGCGTTCAAGATCCACAGACGAAACGTGCTGAATTCTCTCATGTAGAGATCCGGGACCGCCGTCCCTTGGAGATGACCAGATCTTCTGTTGAGGCTTTAGGAAATCCTGTCTACAGTCCAATTTCGAGCTGTCACCACCCCCCAACCACCAACGGGCCATGGCATTTGAATGGAACAGTTCTTTCCATCGACCTCCGATATGCAGAAGTTCCCACCCGTTTTGGAAAATCCACTTTTCATGTGTTTGATGGCCAAGTTATTCAAATCCTTACGCTCGTCCACGGACCCATCAAAGCACCACCTCCTCAAAAGCCCATTTCTAGTGCTAAGACTAGTACAAAGAAGCGGAAACTTAACCGTCCTGCCGCGGCTGCTGGCCGTCTCTCACCCAAACAAAAGCAATGTCTTGTGCAGTTAAGGGAGGAAGGTTATACATGGAATGAGGTCACATCCCGATTTCCAGGCAGAAAGAAGGGCACACTTCAGGCAGCCTATTACACGACGCGGAAGAAGTTAAACCAGCAAGCCTCTCTACCCCGACAACATCCCAGACGGTTAGTATCAGAGCGCCAAGGCTCTGGTAGCCTGTCACATAGACAGACGGAGACTATCGGAAATTCAGAGCTAAGGCAGGGTAACAACCTAGAACATCCACGGTACAATCTGCGGTCAAGAGGAGTCCGGTAAATTAATACATAAGTACTGGCCAATAACCGATCACTCATCCTTCAAGGCGAAGCGGGTTATCTGATAATGGTGGCAGCCGTTGCAGCGTAACATAATTAATTATAATTTAAAAGCACAATCCACCATCCTCTGGATGTTTCCAAAACTATCAATTATCTTAGTTCTATCCGGCGACTCGCAGTCTGCCCTGCCGAACTTCAAGATTAGCTCGTGCTTGTAAAGGGCTGGAGCCCGTTTGACGTCTCGGGCCATTGTCCCTATTATCCCTGTTGTCCCTGTTGTCCCTATTGTCCCTACTGTCCCTTTTGGCCCTGTTGGCCCTGTTGGCCCATTTGGCCCATCGGCCCTCGATTCATGTCGCGTGACTCGTCACCTTGTTTGTTTACCGCTTATTTTCCTCTTCTTTTCTTCCTTCTTCGACGACTCCTTTTTGTACATAACCTATCCCATAGGCTCGACGGGTTCAGCCCCTGACAGTGCTGGCCGGCTACTTCCGTTTTTACTCTTATATCCTTAAAACAAATTGTAAACACATTACCAAAGACATTACCCCAATAGGATTGGCACTAGTCCATTTTAGGAATTTCGTGCTATTCCATCACCCTTACACCCCTCCAGCTCCCCCACTCTGCTGGCTGCGATCCGGGCTCCTCCACCCGGACAATATTTATGCTGGCCAATTGGGGAACTCGGCCTCCGAAACCCATCGCTCCCGGGATTGCCGCCCTTGGACGTGGAGTGCGTCGGTCGCGTCGGGCGTGAATGGCTGCGTTTGCCGGGGTCCGGAAAGGTGTCGTGGGATACAACCTGCGTCAGATCCTGCACTAATTGGACCCCATCGTCTTCGGCCACGTTGTCAAGATAAGGAGTAAATGGATTAAATTCTGTATGCGCTTGCTCAATCTACGGGTACCTCAGGTCGAAAATGGGTCTGGCGGCTCTGGCCCAATCACTATTGGAATGGGTGCCTGGAGATTCGGGGTTTTGTACTGCGGGAAAATGGCCCTACCACAAAAATTATTCCGTCAGAAACCTCAACTCTGCCAAGCTACAGTATATCATGGTGTTGCAGAATATGGTGTCCCAGGACATGGAGTATCCCGGGATAAAGTGTGTCCCAGGATAAAGTATCCCAGGATAGAGTGTGTCCCAGGATAAAGTATCCCAGGATAGAGTGTGTCCCAGGATAAAGTATCCAGGATAGAGTGTGTCCCAAGATAAGGTATCCCAGGATAAAATGTGTCCCAGGATAGAGTGTGTATTCAAGATAAATTATAAGATTGAGACGAAGTAACTTTCACACAGGGTATTCCGACAGACACTATAATTAACTATTGAGGCACCATCCATATTATCTATATCTCCTCATCGCACCACCCTCAACACAGGCTACTAAGCCCTCCACCACTTCCAGCGTCATTCTTTCTGGGTTCAGCACAGTGTCCCATGTCCCAATTGGAAGGCTATTTGACAAACGTCGAAAATTCCATACTGCCCTGATGCCACAACTCCATCCATCATTCTGCTGCGGAGTGGGCTACAATCATTAGCTTTAGGCTGGCTTCCGTAGACCTAGAGACAATACTTACGGCTTCCTGGTAGGAGAATTTCAGACCACTAAATTCCTCTTTAATTAATCGTGACATTCGCGTCTCCTTGGTGCCGTGGATGGTATCTGCCTGGGCCATCGAATCATAGTGACGTATTGCTCGTTCTCGTTCATTAATTTCGACTAAGGTAAAATGATTGTTATTATGGTTGATGGGGCAGAAATATACCAAAGGGACCACATTCCCAAACGCCTCCTTGGCCTCTCGTCGGTGCTTGGCAATCCTCATGGCCCAACCTCTCAATGGCCGCTTAATCGGTCGTATCTGATTATTACTCCCAATCTCGTCCAATGGGATACTTAGATCATGTCTGACAAACGCTGGCTTGTCAGATAGCTGCATAAGACCCATAATAGTCCACATGTCCAGCCAATGGCCCGGTCGAAGTCGCTGAAAGATCTCACAAGGTAGCTCCGCGCTCATATTAATTGCAATGGTATCATCATGTTCAAACATTGCCTTGCTTAGCACCTTTGTATTAACTCCTTCAATCAAGCAATCTATGGCTGCATCAAGTTTACCTTCAGGGAGATAGTCCTAAAGTAACTGGATTAGTCCATAGTCTAGCTATCGTAAATTAGTTACTTACCCCCTCCAAGGCACAAGCCATTTGCAACTCGCGAATCTCGCTTTCGGATATTAGCTCTGCTTCTTGTAAATCCCTATAGAACATGTGAAGGTCTGGCGATCCGTCCTTAATCAGCCGCTCTAGTTGTGAGCTTAGGATTTTTAGTAGCTTCATGTGCCTGGGATCCGCCTGGATTTCTCTGACTAGGATGTCAAGTTGTCCCATGCTCATTTTAGTATATTTCCTACTGCTTGTTAGTAGCGGAAGGAAGTTGGTGCTTTTAGCTCTTACCAAATTTGGTGATGGAACAATATCCCAAGTCCAAGTTCTTTTACAAGCTTCGTGCTTAACTTCTGGCCTCGACTAAGCTGCATACTGATATGCTTTCTCTGCAAATGTCTCTCACTCGCGGTGATACTGGCCGGGACATTTGACGGAATATTGGGCTTATCGCCTTGCAATGTTACCATACCAACTCCGCCGATCCACTTCCCACTTCCTTCAACTTGAATTGGACCTTCCTGCATCTTGTCCAACACATGAATTGCCGCTCCACGGCGCTCCACCGGCTTGTGCTTCTTTGTCAGGATAGTTGCTTGTGCAAGCCTCACCTGGTTGTCATACCATTGCCAGGCCCCCATATATTCCAGCATATTCAGGACAGTCACTTTAGTCTGTTGTGATGCACCCATTTCAAGCACCTGCATCCATATTGATCCATCAGACCATTGGTTGCCGGGTGCGGCTGCGATCGCTCCCGGATTGTCTCCTTGAAATGATTGAAGGATTCGTACGTGTACATCCCTGGGAACACCGTCCAGATGCCTGCTGAGCTGATAAATGGTGCGGGCAGCCTGGAGTGTTAAATCCGTGACAAAGTCTGTCTCCGAAAACAAAGGCCTTGGTGTGGATTGACCCGACAATTTGATACTCTCGAGTGATGCTGGTATTTTTTCTCTGCATATCTCTTCTGTCTGAAGTGAGGAAGAGTCACCATCAGCCTGTGTCTGTCTTGTTGGAGTAGCTGAAACGGACTTGGCGGACTGAGGGGCCGGAGACTCTTCCAGAGGTATTGGTCCATCCCTGACTTGGGGGGGTAATTCAGATTCACTTGGAGCTGAACTGGCATTTCGCACCTTGGAGCTAGCCATAAGGTCTCCTTTTGCTGCGATAATCGTGGTATATGCGCTAGCCATACTCTTCTCTCCTTCACCGCCACTGTTTTTCGAGGATGGAAGATGATGACCAGTACACGAAGGCAGTCCCACCGAATTCTCGCCATGGACCTTACCAGAGTGGCTGGGAGATTTATCCACGTTGAGTTCCTTTCCAAATTTGTTGGCTGTGAGGTTACCTCTCCTGCGCCTCGCAGACTTAGGTGGGCGATACGAAGGATCTTGATCTAGCTTGCGCTTGCGTCCTCCAGAATGTGTAATATTATCTCGAATCGCTCCGGCAATGGTCTGAGCGGCTTCCGGGGCATTCTCACACAGTTGATAAATAATAGTGCGGAACTAGAACCGTCAGTAATATGTATACCTTGTGTAAGGCAGTAACTTTAACATACCTCTGGTACATCTCGAAGCTCAATGGTTGCGTGGGAGGCAATCATATTGACAAATTGCCCAAGCAACATGACCAGCTCAGCCTGGATTCTTGCCGGCTGATCGTATGAGTATGAACTTTGCATGCCGGTACTGTTGGAGGCCATCATGATTATAAAGCACTTTGAGGCAACTGTCGTCGAACAGATTATGTAGGGTGAAGAAGGGTTAGGAGTCAAGAAAATGGGTGGGAGGTGGAAGACTTTTTATAGCCGGGATGACACCAGGCTTTTCAGCATCCTACGATACTGAAAAGCAGATTAGTCTAAGTCCCGGTCCATTATATCACCAGCAACGGCAAGGATCGCTCCCTTGGTTGCCGTATGCCAATGCTCGCTTATGGAAGATTGCAGGGATCTGGCTATCTTCCTGTTGAAGGACAGAATCGCTGGCTAGGGATTCCCGTCAGAGGGTGGTCAGACGTACCCAATGGCTGACTTGGCCTTACTCTCATGGCAGTAGACTAGACCCCACTGGCCGCAGTTGGCTTTCAGGCGCCTTCAGCTTCTATTCTTGGTCTTTAATAGTGCCATCTTCGTGGCTTGGAACAAGCCGTCTCTACCTATCAAATCTGGTCATATGATGCCATTCTGAGGTCCTGCCCCTGCCCCCCGCCCCCCTTGTGCCTGCTGGCACAGCCTGGGAGGCTGCCCATGAAGGCCGCTTTTCATGTCAAACAGGCCTGGATATCACTTGGACCCTCCAGCCCGACTGCCATCTGGGCATCTGGCAGCAGTCTGTTGATTTCGACACCTTGAATTGAAATCCACGGAGCACTGTTGGAAGCAATTCCGGAGAGAGTTCGTATAACTTGGAATCAGTTCTGCTCATTCCAGTAAGCCCGGTATCATAGAATCCAATCGAGTGAAGCGACTGCTTGTTGGTTTCGAGAAATCTGCGCCATGTAGTATATGGAATATATATGTATCCCAAGTCAAGTTGGGAAATATGCAATACCTTATCGGACAGTAGTTCCAAGGGCGCACTGCTTCCAGTCACTCGCAAGATTGTACTATACTTGAGTAAATCTTTTAATGAATCTGAGAGCTCAGGAAAATCCTGTCTTTCCGATGACCAACGATACGGAAGCTCCAAGGAGGACAGGCAAATAGTCCTCAAAGAAATTCCAGCCTCTCTTGCGCCATTTAATGCTTTTGTAATGGCTTGAATATGGTGTCGGTTAGACTTTTCCTTTATGGTCATACCAAGTGCTAGGTATGACTCTACCCAGTCTCTTGTATCGAGTGACTGGCAAAAATCTATCTCCAACTCGTTAAGTAGAGGTAAAGCTTTAAGGCAGGATAACAACGCATCTGCGTCTAGGTTCTCCTTGATTATTGCTTGTTGTTCTTCACAAATGCTCCGCAGGGTGTCATAAATCACCATATATGGGGGGCATTCGTCGGCCGGGTATCCATCATCGTAGAGTTCCTTTGCCTCAGTCACGTAGTTCTCAGGGGAAAGCAGCTCCGACTTAAAGCATTCAAAGTCTGGAACATCTTTGATTGGCCTTAGCCTGCATACTGTACATCCAAGTCACTCCTGGCCACTTACTGGGTTGTACCAACTCTGGGACTGTATAAGATAAAGACCTGACATGTTGACAGAGAGAGGAAGACTCCGCAAGTTGCCCAAGGCTATGAAGACTGTCCTCTGAAAAAGTGAAATGTACTTCACGAAAGATAACTGGGAGGCAGACTCCTCTCAGTCTCTTATTCACGCATGATAAATCCTTCAATTGCCAAGGCAAGAGATGTTTTAAAACTAAGTGCAGGATCTCCGTGGGAAGAAGATCGAGGCCAAATTTTTGCACTTCCATGTTAATAACAGCTAACTTTGGAGTAGTAAAAAGCACAGATATAGTCAATGATCCCTGATTTTATGGAAGATACTAGGGGAAACTAGCCCGGATATTCAATTATTTTCTCGTGCACATAACCCAAGACGCAATCGCAGGAAGACTGAATACAGGTGTCCAGGGTCAAACCCATCTCCTTTATACTCGATTCTATCCTCTGAGCCTTACCCACAGTGCATGGAGAGCCTGCACTCGCAGACGTTGCAGATGCTCAATAGGTGATGAGGGCTAAGTGCCGCAGTCGCTTCCGCCAAGCACCAAGAATAGGTTTCATTGGCCAGTTATAGCTGTCGCCTGGGGAAGTGGGGCCACCGCTGCGGTATGTGTTGCTTAAACCCATTTATGACTGCGGAAGTTCTCTGCGGCACTAAGTATCGATGCAAGAATACTATTGGGCAGACAAGGCTGCGGAGACTGAACAGAACAATAGCCTAGCACCGCAGTGACTCCCACAATCCTTTCTTTCTGCGGTTAAAAATGGGGCTTCATTGGCCCGTCACTTGCAGTGGGACTACCTCTGCGGCAGGGCAGGGATAAAATATTAGACGGAATTCTACTCTGGAGTAGACTGTATTTGGGAGGCGAAACAGTGCGCGACCCTACATGGGTTTGGTCAGCTGCGGTCATCAAGACCTTGCGGATTCTCGCAGGGGTACCTAGTATACCCATGTCTTATGATCGAATAGGGTATGAGACGGCTGTTCTAGAAGGTATACCGCTCGATGAGCAGTTTCACATGATATTTCCCCTCTCATCTGGCCTTTGCTTTCATGGGGACCCTCACGTGGCTAATTTCCTCACAAGAGGAAATTCACAAGAAGGCTTCCCTCTCAAGAGGGGCCTTCTGAGTCACGCTTTCCATGTCGGGTTACTTCATATGATAGTCTAAACATGAATGTGTTGTTATGAATGTATATATATGGCGTAACACACAAAATGGTCTACATATGTCAGTTGACAACATAAGAAACATTTCTTATGTGGTCAACTGCTCTGAGATGTTTCTCTTGGGCCGACATGGCTCATGTTTGTAAGAACCTCTTAAGTTGAACTACATATTCCTAGATTAGACCTAGAAGGGTGTTCATGTTTTCGTAGGTGACATAGAATGGTGACTTGGTAAGGGAGTTCATATTTCCTCAGATGTCTCAGAACGTACACGGTGACGCTTAGTTAGAGAACTTGGTTCAGATCCAGCCGAATCCAGAACTCGAGAGACCAACGATAGAAGTTGCTTATCCTTGGTGAGTCGCCCTTCAGCCGCGAGCCTCTGCTCTTCCTGCTCGGAGATCAAGAATACTGCATTATTGCCGTCGACAGTTGCCGCACGATAACATTGAGCCGGACTAAGGCTTTGCAGGTTCTTATCATACAGCGAGTATTTCTTCCAGGTGTACTTCCTCGCAACCCGTTCTACCAGTGATGGATCCAAAGGATCTACTTGGAGTCGGTCCGTCTGCACCCACTGTTCTTGCTGAAAAGCCCAGAAGGAGATTTCAACAATTCCTGGGGACAGCAGCGTTCCCACCGTGTGCTTAGGCACAGCGTCCTCCTTTGGAGGACTGTGACTACGGAGGTTGTTGGCATCATCTCGGGTAGTGGATGCTATAAGTTCGGGATTCTCCACGTGGGATTGAGACACTGGCTGTCCACCGTGAGAGACTGGAGATGGGTCTTGAGTAGGCTCTGGATTAACGACCTGTATGAGATTTGGATCCGAGCTGTGCATTGCCTCCACTAGATGGTTATTAGGGGACCTTGGTGGTGAATTCTCCCCTTCATGAGGTCTAGGTGGCAGTTCCAGGACGGGTTGCTCCTGGTTAAAAAGACCAAGCTCTTCCTCGAGTCGCTCGTGTTCTAACTCCTCCTCCAACTTTTCCTGCTCTTCCTGAGCCCTCATCAGGTGGTCAATGTATGCATCTAGACCCTGCTGTTGCCTACCAGGACTAATGACGGAAGGAATGCCGGAAGAAATGCCCTCAGGGTCCGCGGACTGTGGCTGCGATGGATAATCGATCCGCGCCTGGTCTTGAGGACCACCGTCTCGATGTGGGCCCTCTATCGTTGGTCTGTCGTCTAAGTTCTGCTCGAGAGGAGCTGCTTCAAGGGAAATCCTTGTACAGTGGCTATTGGTATCTCCCTCTTCCGGGTCGAGCGGGCCATAGTGGCGCAGCATGCTTGAGGCCTGCCGCTCGGGCTGCAGAGTTGCATGTACTTCCTGTTCAGAGGCTGGATTAGGAGTGTTGCGCTCCAACAATCCTGCATGGGGTATTATTGCAAGGCCTACATCGGGAAGTGCTGGGGACGAATGGCTTTGGTCTGACATATCCTGATCCGAGCGCTCCGTGTTCAGCCATTCTATCTGCATGGGCTCTTGGTCCCCCTTCCCTGTTGAGTGCAACAAACGTCTGCGTGTCTGAACCTTCCGCATTCGTTGTCGTTGCAAAACACCTCGTCCGGCTTGGCCCCTCGGTGCCTGCCTGCTGCGCAATATTTGTCGTTCCCCATCCTGTCGGACCCTCAGCTCTTCTGGCTGTCCTTGTTCTTGTTGAGGCAGCTCCCTTGATAGGGCCGACTGCAGAGTTAATCCGGGATCCGCAGATGGCCCATCTTCCCCGACGAACAACGGTGACCAAGGAGGAATATCCCCCGGGGTCTCTCCGGTGTGATCGCCGCCACTGGGTCCAGGTCGCGTAGGTTTTCCAAAGAAGGCGAAATAGACACAACGCCGGACAAAAAGGGTAGTGATCGTGTCAGCAACCCCGACATCGTCGGCGTGCAAAAGATCCAGGAAGAGAAAAGGGCTATCTTGCTTATGGGTTCGCATTCGTGGCATACCGCAACGAGCCCGAGGTCTCACGGTGCTGTCCGCGAGAAGATCAGGGACTATTTCTGGCTGAACAGGAACTGCAGTTGCGAAACAATCAACAATTTGACTAACTAGTGTATCAAACTGCTCAGCGTCATACTGGAAACAATTAGGTTTCCTGGCCTGCAACAGAGCCGCCCGTGCGATCTGGTGGTCAGGGGAACCATCAATTAATGTTTTAATTTCCGGGGAATCGAACCCGAGCCGGCGGGCGAGTTCGGCCATCTCGTAAATCGCTCTCTCGTCCGCTCTGGCACGAGCTGGCTTTGCCAACAGGTCATCATCATTCTTCGGGGCCGGCGGCATTAAAGGATAGTGTCGCATTGCATACAGCCACACCTGTAAGTATCCCTTATCAAGACGCTCTGCATCGGTCGCACGCTCATGCCGGAAAGTGGACTCGGAGACCTGGATAACGATCTCTTCCGCCTCTGAATCCAAGGATGGAATAAACATCGAGCTCATGGTGTTCCACACAGACTCTGTTGACGCGCCAAAGAGTCGCTTCACGCAATGGGCGCAGCTTTCCAGATACTTGAAGTCTTCAAAAAATGTATACAAAGACGGAACCAGCCCGTTAAATGTCTTCATTCGATTCCATATAATCCTTCGTTCTTCTTCGCTGAATTCTGCGAATGCCTGGCCACCCAGGATCAATCCACCGGCCTTTTTGGCGTCAGTTCGGGATTTGCCTGGTGCCATTAACTGCAGGGCGTTAACGGTATCAGAATCAATTTTCTTCATCGCACAATAATCCGAGGCAACTAAGGAGGACCAGAAGTCTCCTATGTGGTCGAGATAAGTCAGGATCTCCTACAGAGTTGTGAGAAATGTGTTTATCCAAGAGGCACAGTCTTATATTCCACAACTTACTTCGACACAACCGGTGGCGATTAACCGGTGAAGCATACTAATTCTCATCCCATGTGCCCAAAGCCCAGTTATCGGCAGTAATCGGTCAAAGGCTCGTCGGAGACGGCGATTTCTTTTATTGTCGAGCTGATCTAGGCGGTCCTGGTTGCTGGGGGACAATCGGACAAACCACCGCTGCCGAAAAGCTTCATTGTCCTCGCCTTCATACTGTCGGATCTTGCGATAAATTTCTCCATCGGTCGGCTTCTTCTGGTTGGCATATTCTTCTACCAGGGACGTCCTTAGTTCTTCACCAATATCTACATCGATGGTTCAGCCCCACAGGTACAAGAGAGATGAATCCTAGAAGGCATACCGTCTAAGTAGAGGTCTACCATCCACCACCGGTCAGCAGGAGGAAGCACCTCGGTTCCCGCCTGCACACGATGACGTCCGTGGAGGGCTCGCAGCTGCCCTGCTGCAAACCTCAGCTGCGGACATTGGTGGGGATCATTTGTCAGCAGTAACTGCTGCGGAACATTCGCTTTCCGCAGCGCCGCAGCGAGATCTTGGCAGGACACAATCGCGGGGACATGATTGTCGACGTCCAGGCGACGACAACGGTTTTTACGGAAGATTTCACGAAGCCGACCCAGGTTTTTGGGGTCCAGGTCTCGTGGTAATGGGGGATCGAACTCAATCTGGTTGATACTAACCTTCGCCGTTCCTAGGTATTTCAGTCGCCGCTCCGTTGCCAGCCGGACTTCTTCCTCGGTGAATAAAGCCCGTCGCATTGCAGGCATAGAGTTAAAGCAAATTCCTATAGTGGCAAGAGTAAATTTGGCGCCCTGGCAGCCTATTTATATATTGAATGCGCCCTCCGTTGCGGTAGCATTGCGTAGCTTTCCTCTCCTGCACGCAGGCTCGCCGCAGCCACTCTAATCCAAGTAACCTAAAAACTGTCCCCCTCTGTTGCTCACATGGACTGCATTCCATTGTTTTATTTATCAATCCGGACTTGATATCGATTAATCCCAGCATGCGGACCGGGAATAACAGGCCGGTCACCCAAATCCTAGTGGATGATGTTCCTTTTCCCAACCACCCTCCTAATGATACTCAAGACGCCGTGCCATTACCACCTGCGCTCAAACCCAAGAGCAAGGGGACCCCACCGTCCAGCGCGCGCCTGGCCAAAAGGCCCGCAGCTCCCTCTCCCGCAGAGCCCAGTCGTAAGATCATCCGTGGCCAACCACGAGCCTTGGCTCTGCCAGAGATCAGTGAGTCGGGAAACAGTGTCGCTTCAGACCTAGTTATACGAGACGAGCCTCCTTGGGATACTTTTGACAAATCCTACGACTGCGATTTGGCCGGCAATGTTGCTGTCTGCGTCCGGCGCTCCGGTCGCCGTACTGCCTGTGCGATTCGCCAGTATCCCAGGGAGGATGCGGATAGAATTCTGGGAATTCTCCGTTCCATCCGCCATAATAATATAGTCTCAGTTTGGCAGTGTTTCCGCACCGCTGATGCGCTGTATACGCTCGGCAAGTTCCATCCGCTTACTCTAGGCCATATCGTCGCATGCAAAGCCTTTCCAAACCTGCGTCAGCTGGCTGCCATTATGTCCCAGGTCTTTCCCCCTGCTCCCCACGGATATACCGGTTCACTAAACATTCCTAGTTTCTTGATGGATTATCATATCTCACCACCCAAAATCTCCATCACACCTCCCTGGATTGCTCCAGCGTCCTAATGAGTCTTGACGGGGAGGTCCAAATCGGTAACTCCAATGCTTAAATCCAGATCAGAAAGGTTTTTAACTAACACTCCTAGCACGGATTGATCGCTGTACCGTCCGGCCGCAGGGTAGGATTCAACCGAGCGACTTGGCTCCCGTTGGGCGGGTGATGATGGAACTGATGCAAAAATACGTTAAGGACGATGGGGCGATCGGGCTTGACAATCTTGATCGCTGGCGGACCCGCCCAGCTGCTATTGAATTTCTCTCCGCGACAACGTCGGCCAGTTCTTTTGAGGAATTAAAAAGAGTTTGTGGTCCCCCTCTCTGATTTTGAAAGCTGCTCATTTGTCCCCAGCAGCATCTCCTGACAGATATCCGTTGGTCTACTGGTGATCTGATTGGTCTTGCGTGGCTTTCCTTGATTTCCGCACGCACCTTCTACTCATACACACCCCCGTCTACAGAAGAAAAATAGGCCATAGATGTTACTATGATTTTTAAATAGACTATTAGAAAACCAACGAATTGAAAATCAATAATATTCAAACCATGATTTAAAATGCTACACAAAGAAATGGGAAAAGAAAACAGAAAACCGCCGCGCTAAGAAATGTAGATAAAAGCACTGGAGCATAAATCAAAAGTCTCCAGTCCTAACTGTCACGGCCTGCCTGATCGGGAACATTCGATCGAGAAAACCGCTGCGCCAGGAGTAAAAAACTAGGATTCAAGGACAGCGTCCTTGAACTGTTCTCGCTTTATATAGTCAGGTTAAGCATTATATATGGCAAGAAAGGCGGTCAATTCCTCATTAGCAGGGATTGTGGTATCCTCCAGCACCAGAGGATTTGTAAGCGGCCTGTTCTGAAAAGCCCTCTGATCCTCATCAGCGGCAGTGGTCAATGCGGCCTGTCTCAGCAGGCCAGTATTATTATCCAAAATAATATGGCGGATACGAGAATCAATCACTCCATTTAGAATGGATATTGCCACAGCCCCCAATGAGTGTAAGAGGCGAACAGTGCCTGGGCGAGTGTGTAAGATAAAGGTAATCAAAGCATTAATTTGATCATTGCTAAATCTGTCATCATGTCTATGCGCTTGAGTCAGTTAGCTCACGGTAAGGGGTTTGGGAAACATACATGCTATCCACCAACTTTTCGTCAGCGACCAACAAGATACCAAATCCCAAGGACGCTGCAAATCTCCACCACCATCTCCCTCGCCGTATATAATAGGTGCTAAATCTATTATTGTTACATTTGCTCGACTTCGATTTACTCGGATCATTGTTGTAGGCGGTAAGGATGCTGGTAACCACCCCGGTCTCTCCCTGCTGCATACACAGACTCTTATAGCTAACAAAGAGCAATATTTGAGCGACACGCCTCGCAAGGGGACAAGAAAATGGTTTTTTCTTGCTCTTATCTTCCTCAAGCACTTTGAGGTAATTCACTGCTCCATCTTTACCTTCCCAACTTTCTGGAAGCCCAAGCTTGCTTAGACTGGAAGGTATAGTACCCTCGGCGTCGAAGATAGGCTGTAGGATTCCTAATGGATCCCGGGGGAGGATGCGAGCTTCTGCTTTACAGATATGCCCAATCTGAATATCAGTAAATAACACATTCTTGTCACCAAATTTACACGACTGTAACAATCTGGAGATTATCTGTTGTTGCTGTGAGCCACGGGCTGACCCCCGGGGAGAGTTAGCAGAATAAGAGGTTGGATAAGGTGAAGCATCTGCACCAGGTGATGGTACAGATACGGGTGTCGCTACAAGGTCTGGGGGTGTACCAATCGACTGCAGTGTATTGGCAGAACAGGAAGGTGATAGACAGCTGCCAGAAACCGGAAGCGTGAGTGGTCGACCCGCTGGGGGAGAGTTGAATTGAGAAGAGGGTGTTGGATAAGATAAGGCGCCTGTATCGGGCCCAGGGGTTAAACCAGAAGGGGTAAATAGCTCCTCCGCTGGGGTGCTAACAACATCGCCATTTACAAAGGTTGTAGGTGTGGCGGGGTTGGCGTGGAACTTAGTATTCGGCACCGGATCAGAAGGCATCCATGGTTCCATGCTTAACTCTATGCCAGCATTATTATCTATAAATTGATCAAAGATGGCACCCGTTCCGGTGGGGTAATTCTCGGGACTGGATGGCGTGGGATCTGTCATCGGCGGGCATGATGGGAAAGGTGAAGGTTGCGTGGGGTCTGTATTAAACTCTCCTATGGTAAAATACAGTGTTAGTTAGACCGAAAATAAAAGGTGGGATATGCAGGGAAGGAACAGCTGTTACCCGAAGAGTTATTCTTGGTGATTCTAAGGTTAAAACTTTCTATGTAGCCGACTTCTACAAGCCTTTCGAATATGTCGACTATGTCGGACAACCGCAGCTTCCATAAAACCTTCAAATCAGTCCCGAAACCTAGAACAAGCTATACTGCGTCAGTCTTAGACGAGGGATCCTCAAATTAGACCGACTGACCTTGAAAAGTTCCTCTTTTTCCAAAATATCTGGGATTACTCCGCGGTCGGGTCCCTGTGACATACAGCGTGAGCTAGTGTGAATGCCTGAGAAAATAGAACGCACCACTAAGTGGATATAGATCCAATCTGAGTTATCATGACCATACGGAGTTGGTATAAGATCTGAGTTGGTGATCATCCCTACAGTGAACCATTGTATATACCATCCAGCTGTAACTCGCTTCAGGAAGTCATCCTGTTGAGAAACATCCCATGATCCTATCAACCGCAATATATAGCCAATCCGATGGAACAACTAGATTAGAGTGAGTATTAGCCGTAAATTAAGTTAAATAGAATATTCTCACCTCAACGTATTTAGACGTATCCAAAACTAGCAGGGGTTTCTGATGGATCTCCTTCAAGATGAAGGATGAGCAGATGGTAATAGTGGGGATGAGCGATACTTACTGGGATGCCGACCGTAAGAAAAGACATTTTTGTGGGACCAGCCCGTAGGATTAACCAAAACTAGTAAAGGAGAGAATAAGAGTTGGTGAGAGACAGTGATGGAGGTTGTTGGTGGAAAAGAGGTGGCTCGGTCGGCGACCGGGGGAGAAACGACAGTGTGGGTTAGGAAGAAGCATTATGAAAAATTAAGGGGGAAAGGTGTCGCTTTTATAGGAGGGAGCCGAAAACAGCCCTCAGAAAAATGAGGTCCTCAGAAAAATGAGGTCCTAGGAGCAGAATAGATAGGTTCCTAGGAGCAGAATCGATGGCCACGGTTGTCGAGACAGTTCGTGGCCCTGACCAGAATTAAAAGCCCCACCTTAAGCGCGACCATCATGAGTGCCTGCAGATCTACGAACGTGGGCAAAAATACCAGCAAAAAATAATTCCCGGCTATCTTTCCGACCCAAGCCATTCTCTCACCCAAGCCATTCTCTCTCCCTGTATTTCATTCGACTAGATTAACGCACGATCGTTATGACACAACAGTTGTCGATCCCTGTCAACTATCTACAGGCGGTGGGGGGTGGCAGAACTCTAATCGATCCAATCTCAGTTCAGCATTTTCTCCGACAATATTTCAATCAGCACTGCCGTCAGGGCGTAGGCCAACCCTGCCTGAGGCACCAAGACTGCTTTATTCCCACAATTCCTGTACGATAGAATTCTTCCTTCCTTCCTTCCCTCCTTCCTTCTCTACGTCTGATGTTTCGTTAGGTGTACAGGGTCATTGCAACTGGGTTGATACTCCAGTTCTGAGAGATTTACGCCCTGATGAAGGTGTCCTCGTACTATCTCCTGTATATGGTCCCGTAGTTCATCCATGGCGGAAACTAGCAAAAGATCAGCACGTGCCCTCCGAGTAATATTAGTGGTCCTTACCCATCACCAGCGTCCGACCTTGCTCGTCCCGGATATTGGGCAGCCTTTCAATCTGGTCGCCGGATGCCTCGAGAGATATAATGTTTTGATAATCTGGCACACCCTGGTAGAGGCAGGCTCGTTTATGCTGGCCGAAGGGTAATTTAGTTTGCCCGAGACCCTTCCCCACATAAATAGACATATTAAGAATCTAGAACCATGGTATTGTCAGGGTCAGGTGGGGCCTCCCGTCATAAAGATTTAATACGTACATATCCTTCATCCATGATATCATCTTTCAGGAGGTTATTTAGCAGGCCCTGGGCCGCGACGATCTCGCCCATCGATTCCACCTGCCAAACCAAATGTAACCGGCGAACCTGTGAGGTGCAGGTGTTATAGCCGTAGATCATTTTCTTCAAGTATGGAATTGCGGCTGCGATCCCAAATCCACTAGCGACCACCAAGATACTTTCATAGTGGCCGACATCCTCACTTGTTCCATGTGGTCCTGTGAACAAGGCCAAGAAAGAAACTGAGCTCTCTACAACCGCAGGGGAGTGGCGAATAAGATCTGCAGATAAACCACGGCGTGGTTGCACGAGAAGTTCCATGGCCTCCTGTCTACCTCTGGACCACGATGTAACTGTGAAAGGATGTGTCTGAGTCCAAGCCCATAGACTGACTGATGGCATCCAGAGGTTAATATACTGTCCGGCCTCCAATTTCACAGGTCGAGGTAAGATAACACGGACATGGGCGGCGGTCACCACAGTGCCTTTCTCATTAGATTGTTTCGTGCTAAATGAGACGACAGCCCTGGGAGAACCGCGGCCGGCGAACAGCCCGTTTCGATAGAGAAAGGTCATTAGCTGTAAGAATAAAGTCAGCCCAAATATCCCCAATGCAACCAAGAGATAAACTTTTGAGGAACGGTTCCGGGATGAAAGATGCTGCCAGGTGCCGTAAACAAAGAGCCCCGTTAGAATTTGATGTCCTCGGAGAAAGACCTCATAGGACCATCGACGAAACCATGAAATTGAAATAAGAGCAAGGACACCCAGTGAGATCGTAGCCTAGCAAATGTTAGGTAAAGCAGAATAGGTCCAAGGATATGTAACGCGTACAATCATAGTAAAGAGGTTTTGCATTTCACGGAGCGGAAAGCTAAATTCCTGGGCCTGGACCACCACAACGACGTGGAATAACAGCAGAGCAACGGCCATCCAGCCAGTAGCACGGTGGATTTTGCAACAAGTGCGCCACGTGATGCCTAGAAGGTCTGCTAGATAGCTGAGGTGGATGGCCGATAAAGGGAAGACCAAGTTAACTAAGGCGAGTTCTCCCGCCCGGCGGCCAGCGCCAGTCCAGGATTGCATCCTAAATAAGACGAGAAAAACATTAATTCCAGCATATAATACATGAAGGAAAACACTAGCTCGGGTCCAAGGGCCCAAGAGGTGATGCCTATGGACAATAAAAGGGAGGGTAAGATGTCGAGAAAGTAAAACAGAAAAAAAGTTCGACCAGTTAGCGAGGATAGAGAGAGTTCGGGTCAGGAGGAGAATAGCAAAAATGCCGCCAGCGGCAATGGCATAAATGACTATGGAATCCATGCTCAGTTCGAAATGAGAAAAACGTAACAGACAAAGCAAGAAGAATACATGAGGAAGGGCAGCATGAAAAGCAGGGACCTTTTATAGTATAGGTAGCCGCAAATAATAATCTCGTTGCGGTACAGTAGAGCTAGCTCGCTGCGGTAGAGCCGACCGCAATAGAGCGTATACTACAGTCAAAAATCCCATACAGCTCAGCACTTCCGCAGCGATCCCCATGGCCCAAAATAGAAGATATTTAATAGACCTCAACGTCTCGAAGATTAAGATCTCTAAATAATCCATCTTGCTAAGAAACCAAGCGATGCCTCAGAAATCTTCTTGGTTAAAGAAGCGTCGCTCAGAGAGTGCACGAGCAAAAACACAACAGCGGCACAGACGTAAGAGAGGGCTATTCAAGAAAGCAGCAGAGTTCAGCCTTGAATGCGAATCCGACGTAGTTGTGGCTGTTCGGATTCAGAAAACTGGGCAGATATATATTTTTGATTCAGCCTCAAAGAAGAAATGGCTAAATACGCTGTCCGACTTGGTATGTTCCATCAGAGCATTTAAGACCTCTAGACTTACATTATTAGGCGACGTATTATCCCCCTCCAATCCAGGAGACACTGGAAGATGTCATCCCCCAACTTGAGTGTTCGTCATGGAATCTGGGAGGTGGGTCAGCATCTACGAGCGATGACAAGGCATGACATAATCTTAGACAATTAGTTGCTTTCACTTTTCTTTTCTTTCCTTTTAATTACTTAGACATTGGTACATACTGAAATAGCCCAATTTACAGTACTATCTTCCTCCCTGCGGAGATAGCTGGCTTTTTCCCTTTCTACCAAGCCCGTTGAGGTTTAGAAGAGCAAGACGCTAAGCTATATTTGTAAAGCAGTCCAGTATTCACAGTAGACTAAAGTGTGGGGAACTTCCTTAGAGCTGTTTTCGCCTGTCCGTTTTGTAAAGGGCTGGAGCCAGTTTAACCTCTCGGGCCAATGTCAATATTATCCCTGATGTCCCTATTGTCCCTACTGTCCCTACTGTCCCTATTGTCCCTACTGTCCCTACTGTCCCTCCTGTCCCTACTGTCCCAATTGTCCCTACTGTCCCTATTGTCCCTACTGGCCCTTTTGGCCCTGTTGGCCCCCTTTGCCCATCGCCCCTCGATGTTAGGAACCTACCATATTCGGTATGGTCACGTGGCCTCACTTAGTCACCCATCTAGATAACTAGTCAGCTCGCCTGAGCCCCTTGAATTCAAGAGAATTGTGCCTCGCGAACACTCGACCCATGTCACATGACTCCTCACCTTGTTTGTTTACCGCTCATTTTCCTCTTCTTTTCTTCCTTCTTCAACGATTCCTTTTTGTACATATGTAACCTATCCCATAGGTTCTACGGGTTCTGCCCCTGACACGTTAGTTGCCTCAGGTTCCTTGACTGTAAGAAATATTTCCTACAGTATGTTCAGAAATTTTGCCAACGGAAAAATTACGCTATCGCGTTTATGGCCAGCCGCCAAGCCGGCCGTATGCCTAAAGATGATTCTTCAACAGGCCACTAATTCGAATACGTGGCCTATTCGGTCATATAAATAGAGCTTTTTGATCAGCTTAATTAGGAAATCAGACCTTTATTATTTTGATTCGATATACGTTGTATTTTAGCGCTCCACCGATCAAATTATTGTGATGGAAAATACGTGTACCGCCAAGCGGATGCTTCTTGGCAGCAGATCATCAACGCAGGGAAGTAGCTTTCCTCATTTTCTCGTCGTGAATAAGTAGCCTTATAGTCTAATGCTCTGAAGGCTTTTCTTGCTCTCTTAATGGGAGAAGGGTTGGACAAATCTTCTTATGGATTCGGGGTCCGTGATTGGAGATGAGGGCGGTTTGACATATGAGTTATACTATTTGATATAAAACATAAAACACGCAAATTTACCTACTAATCCCGACAAATTAAACCCTAGTCCTATGAATTTTTATTCTATTTCTGGTTTGTACGAAAGATTCAGCACCTTTCTAGTTGTTTCTCTCTTAGTCTGCGGTGCCCCACACTCCGCAGTGGTTATCCACTTCCAAGGTGAGATCTTCGAGCCCACAAAACCCCCAATTTTGACTGCGGATCTGCGGATCTGCGGCGCTAAGCTATCATCTTGGGGCACCGCAACCAAGGAGAATCTTTATAGATTCAACTACACCTCCCGGTTTTTCTACGGCCCTCTCATGGCTGCCGCCCTCATGAAAGGTTGTATTCTCTGGGACATTATGTGATTGGAGCGTTGAATGTATACATTACAATGCTCGGAGTGATGCGCTCAGTCAACATTATTTAATATTGATAGCTATTCGACTAGAATACTAAACATGAGGAAATAAGGGAAGAGGGTTCTGGAACGTGGTGGTGGTCGACGTGGTTGACCGCTAGCAAGGCACACTTGACTAGGATGAACCACAGGGGCCAGGTGAGCAATCGTCTCACAGGAACAGAAAAAACAAAGAAACACGCACACAGACAAGCACCAAGAATCGGGAGTGAACATCACACCCTTTACACTACCCAATAATCCACATTTTATGGAGTACTTGATAAGGAGTCAAACGCAGATAGTATCATTCCCCTTTGGTTTGGGAAAAAGGTGGCCTCACTCATATCCACTACTTCGTTTCGTGTTGCCCAGCGGAAGGCTTGGTGCTCAGCCGGATTAAGTACCACCTTGTCCAACAGTTGCTGGGGCTCTTCACTCTCATGGACATCCACTATGAATATAAACTTGTGAACAGTTCTGCCCCTCTTGAGCCATCGGTCCTGAATAAGGCCCATAAAGGCAGAGATGTGGAGCTGGGTCTCTTCACGGCACTCACGCACAGCAGCATGTATAATTGACATGTCAGCCTCAGTGTGTTCAGTGCCAATCTGCTCGACCCCCCCGCCTGGGCATTCCCAGATGTTTGCATGGCTGTCTGACTTGGCCCGTTGGACAAGGAGTACATCTTTTTTCGAAGGCGTGAAAATAAGAACGCCGACTTTTAAGTCAACTTCTGTTTTTGGAAGAGGTGCTTGGTACTCAGAGAGGTGGGAGGCGACACGAAAGTCCGACAGTTTATCCTTAATCGCCATCATTTGATTTAAAAGATCACTCATTTGATTATATGAGGTTTCGATGTATCCTTGCTGGAAAAAGTCCCAGATGAGGAACGATCTATGGGCTGTTAGATCTGGTATCGGATCTGCCAATTTTTACTCACACGAACTGAGTACATGTGTACTGAGTCTGCTCACACACTGAGTATATTCGAGAGGCGATGCTTCTTAGGTCTGGCCACTCAAAAGTAACAGGAAAAGTGATAATAGCAATAGCTTTTTTGCGGGGTATATCAGAGATCCACCTCACATCTGACTCCCGGCTTGCACTTGTGTGGTGTTTATCAGGATGGATGAAAGTGATAAGCCAGTGATAATCACAATCCAGGTATCCGTGTGTACACCAAAGCTCAATGCGTTTGACAGGAATGTCATCGCAATGGGCTGCAAGTTCCAGTGTGTTCATTTTGGAAATGGAGATGAAGAGTAGATGGTAAGGGAACGCAGGCTAGACAGGAAGAAGATGAGAAGCAGAGGAAGGGCGAAAAGGCAAAAACAGCGAGACCCTTTGGGCCCTTTAAATGTGAGCAGCCTCCTCGCATGAGTGTTTGGTGGCTTGGCTGTATCCAACAGACCTTCCATGACTTGACTGATACACCAAGGTGGACCCAACATGCGCCGGTTCTCTTAAAAAAAACCAATCCCTGCCTAGCGCCATGGTTATACCGGAATGGCCATGGAAGTCTCTTATTAACCACTGCTACCGAAGGAGAGCACCTAAGACAACATTAAGGGACTAGATCTTTCCTATGCAGATAGTTGCATCATATTGGCCAACGCTACATTTTATGGTGGTATGTCTTAGCCAATATAAATCTCGTATTTTCATAGCTAAACAGTAAATGCCTAAGGAATAAGTAGGATACAGGCCTTTCCCCTTCACACAGAGACGAGCAGACCATCACTAGAGCCGATTTGGAGGAGAGGCTAGTGTGATATTAGTACCCAGTGTCGAGCAGCGTCAAGTTTGAGCTGAAGTAAATGCCGATCAACTAGGCTAAGGAGGGGAGCGTATCGGTACCGGCAGGAAACGAGATGGACTTCTTGGGGCTTTTTGCTGAAAACGAGCTGAAAACAAAAGATATGGCTTTTGATCCCGAAAAAGGATGCCGCAGTAGTTCCTCAAACATAAGCCATGCATTCTACTAAAATCTTAATTGGCATATGCCTCGTTATTCTAGGTCGCTGTTTGCAACTATATTATTTCTATGCTGCTTTAATGGTGCGGATTGAATTTTGTTTGGTCACTCTAGGATCCTAGTAAAAGGGCCATTTCCACTGTGTATAGTTAGGCCTCAAGCATAGAACCAACTCGGACTAGAATCTTCAAACCCTGTCAGGATAGACAAAGGCCAGCCTAGCTTCCGAAGGGATTCCATCGGCTGTGCTGAATCAAGTGATTCCTTACAATTAATGTTTTCGGTTAGACGCAGTTCTTAACTATATGGGTACGTATAGGTACATATATTCCAAGGGAAAAAAAAAAAGAAAGAAAGAAAGAAAGAAAGAACGAAAGAAAAAAAAAAGAAAAAGAAAAAAGAAAAAGAAAAAGAAAAAGAAAAAGAAAAGAAAAGAAACGAAAAGAAAAGAAAACTAAATCTAATATTCTTCCTGCTCGTCTGAAATAATAAGCCACTGATGTTTTAAAATGCCATAACGTTTCTTAAGTTTTGCCCATTCCAACGGTGATATAAGGTTTTTCGCAGAATTAAGTTTGATTTGAAGTTCGTCCCGTTTATCTGGCTCAAAATAAGGGGCGTGAATTACTTTTGGGCAGGATATAAGACAATTCTTTTGAGGAGCATTCTGGAGCCGAGCCAAAAACACTATATAAAGCTGGCAGTTCAGAATACTAATGCCGAGGTATTCACTGAAGGAAGATATTCCAAACTCTGTCTCGGCTTTGATAATGTCTGGTATTGGCCGGTGTAGCTGAGACATCGGTAGAGTATTCCTGTCTGGCGCTGACCGCTTTGAGGGCCGGTTCAATTGAGGCATCGGTGAGATAACCCTGTCTGGTACTGGCTGCTTTAATGGCCGGTTCAACTGGGGCATTGATGGAATATTCTCATAGTTTAAAATGATTTCATTGGTAGCCTCTAGAGATGTCGGCTGTTCGCTGCCTGAAGTGGAAAAGCAGGCTCCCCAGGATTTGAGAATGCTTGTGATTCGGAGCATGTTGGCCTGGGCGAGAGTTAACCGGAAAAGAGTATACTGAAAAAATGGATTGTCCTGTGCCAAATTGCGGTGAGCACTCGAGACAAGGCTGACATCCTACAATATATAGACCAAGTCGCGCTTTGTGATGTCTTGATCTTAAGTTTCGAATTACCGAGTTTGGTAGTAGAAGTGAAGCACGGAGCAGGGGTAGAACTAAACGAGCCATGCTCAACTTATTTTTACTTGTATGGAAAATGCCAATTATAGACTCCAAAACAGCAGATCTCATGTGGATTAACTCTACAGTGGGTGCCACGCTGTCATTTGATTGGCATTTTGTCATGCGCAGCTTTAATTCCTTCTTTGATCTATTATTTGGAGCTGGACGCAACCCGAAATGATTTAGATGCTTATGGTCAGGTCTGCGACAAGAACATCACTGTAAGAAACACTAAGAGGGATAAATATGCAACTAGTGCTTCTCTGACATACACGGCCTAGAATATCTACCTTGATCGTCTCTGTGTGGGCATAATAGTCCAATCTGATTCGAGATCCTAAGAAAGTGCTGCATCAATAAGCACGAAAGAACGCTTTGGTCGCACCAGTGACATTAATTATAGTTCTGCCTATCATTTTACTTATAAGTGTGGAACAATCAGTAGATCCGACCGCCATGACAGTAATCTTTTTGGTAACGGAGGCCAGACTTTTTTTGACAGGAGAAAATCACTCCACAACAGCGAAACGATCTGACAGGAAGTAATCTTCGATGGAAAATTGGGCACGATGCTGAAGACCCGGGAAAGGCCCAAGTAGACATGCATTGATAAACTAGAATACAACTAAGATCATCATGAGTCGCCATTATTCACTTCATAGAAGGATCCGAAATTGGACCTAAACCTTCCAACTCCCTCTCATCGTTCCTCATGCTGGACGGCGTGAAAAATAAACAGGCCCTTTGATATGGTCCTCAAGAAAAGGAAGTGGGTTTTGATCATTGCACGAATGTAAATCAGCAATCCTCCGAGCAATCCGCCTGTCATCAACCGCACGCCTGAAGAACTTCCATTTGTTGCCGCCATTGGATAAACGAAGGATATAAACGGGAACCAAGAGAAGTTCCTTGTGCGCGGTGTCATAGTCATATTTCCAATTATTGATGTCAAGAACAAAGAAAGTATACTCTTGGTAAACATCAATGGCAATGAGCTGTATCTTTTGGCTCTTTCCCCATTCAGTGGTAAACGGTTCGATGAGGCTGGACACGGAGGCACGATAATCTTCGGATCTCAAAAAACGTGTGGGCAGAACACCAACAACGCGAATGGTATGCTGTTCATTGAGTGTTGCAAAGACATGGTCATTAACTTCATCCATGATAAAGGTCGATAAGTAGAGTACATGATCTGCATGAGCAGGTGTTTTGAGAAGAACGGTGTCTTTGATTGTGGAAGAGCACTTGGAAGTGGTTTTAAGCAACACAGATGTTCGCGAAGTTGATTGCCTGGCTTGAGTCACGTGTTGCCCCTTGCCTATCCGTAGCAGAGAGGCGGTGTACGTCATCGCTATGTACCGTCGTCTCTGTTACGGATAGACATAAACTTTGTGTACACCCCGACTACAACTACTTGATCTACAATAGGCCGTAACATTAAAGCTGGAGGACCGTTACATAAGAATTTATCTTAAGTTATCTGACCAATACGGTTGTATTCAAAACGGTATAAATCCTGACCCTATTGCCCCATAACCTTACTAGATCGAGTGGGGAAGCCGAAGTAGCTGAACAACCTCCTACGGCCAATTAATGGAGTGTTCTTCTTCCTCTTCTTTTTTTTTTTTTAAAAAAAAAAGCGAAAGGGGAGAAAGTACAGACCTTAGTTAACTGCTAGGAGGCGTAGGAAATGAACAAGGACCGCAAATTTGTTCTTGGTCGATTCTAGTCTCGACAATGTTCTGTTGGGGATTCTGCGTGTTTGGTTGGCATGTTGCGTTCGGTGCGTGGGGCCGAACACGCTCAAATCGAAGAAGATGGCCACAGGCATATAGCATCTCAACCCAGTCGCACATCTATTGATGTTACTTAGCTAACTCCCAGAATTCGAACCAAAATTTAAGCTAACCTTGAATATGAATGGAACGGTCAAGTCTTGTGTAAGAATGCTTTTCAATCAGAGAGGAGAAAGGGTTTGAGATGGACATTATTATATCCTTTAGATGGGCTATTGCTTAACAGGGCATGCGGAGGGGATGAAAATATCACAATCAAAATACAACCACTACAGACCCAAAATAGGCAACTCAATCTTGTACACCCCTTCTTTCGTTTTGAGATAGGTACGTAGTTATGTTTCACCAATCAGGTGTATAGAGGACACATCTCAAAGGCCCCGCTGAATTATTCTTTAGAATGATTCAATGGGTCCGAACGTCCGAGCTATCCAATTACGTACCAGAATCATTCAAGTTGGCTGAAAATGCACCATTTTTTACACTAGTGTACGGAATAATGGGGTGATTGTTTATCGTTACGAGAAAAGTCAAAGCATTAACCAATAAAAACAAAATACAAAGGTACCATAACTCCACAACATTGTCTTTCTCCCTTTTTAGAAACATTAACTACACCATATTTAGTTAGATAAGAATTATACAAATGGAAAGGTACGGATGCATCCCTTCATCATGAACAGATAAGAGGTTATATTTGTACGGTACCCCTCATGCTTACACGCTTATTTAACCTTTGATGTTATTGTCATGTATTGTCATATTCTCAACCCTTAGTCGTCTGATTCGCTTCAACAGCAGATCTTTTGGGTTATCACATATAGTGTATTTACGGGGTCATCAAATTTGATTGATTGGCTGGTAAGACCAGACAGGCGCAGCCCCTTTGCGCTCTTGTAGTTTTTCTAGCGACTTATGGATCAGGCTCCTATCCTTCGTGTACTAAGGTGAAGGCTTTGCAACATTTTGCTTTCCTTCTCAAATTACTGGTATCTCTGTTCAAACATCATGAACTTTGTATCTGCTTTGGAGATTCTTCGTGTTGCCAGTGCTGAAGAACTTCAATGTCACTTCGCCCAGACTATCCTTACACTACGGGAAGTGGGTCAACGTTTGCAAGTGCGTATTCTGCCTACGGTTGCTAGCAGGCAAAGCGACATTGAGGGTGGTGATCCCAATCCCGCGAGCTGCACCACGAAGCAGACAAGGGCAAAGACGATACCATTGTCGGCGGAGGAAAAATTACTGCGATCCCTTTCTACTGCGGTTTTTCGTCTCTGGACGATACGAAATGAGAATATATCAGATATTATTGGGCGCAAGCGGCTCCTTGCGCGAGACCGACGGATTGACGACATCACACGAGTGGAAGGAGATCCCAGTGCGCCCACCGGGGATACGTTACTTCGGACCTGCGCTTGGATATCGTATGCTTCAGAGTTTACGAAGCATCAAGAATGCAATGGCGATCGTGTCCGGGTAGATCACCTCGTTCGGCTTCTTCTAGGGAACCAAGTAGATTCACGATCTTTCCGCGAAGGACAGGGAGGAACGATTTCCAAATACGTACGGGGGAGCGATCAATTCATTGGGCGAGAACAGTTTTTCAGTCTGGCGATAGGGAATGGGATCAAACTCTTTACAGTCAAGAAATTACTCGAAGAGAAGCTCCAACATCGAGAGCTTGAAGTGAACTGCCATGCAATTCTTTTGGCTCTAGGGCTAGTGTACTCTCAAGTCAAATCGACAACATACAAAAATCTTGGACAGTTTGTGGATCTTCTACTCTCGGAGGAAGCGCTTGTGTCACTTCCAGGGGAGGAATCATGTGCAAGATCTTGCGCAGATTTGGATGAGGAGTCCGATATCAGTCATTCAAGGAAACGGCATATTCTTGACATATTACGAGAGTTATCCACATGGTCCAAGGCATTCCAGACCCAATATGATAGTAGGTCAGGTTCTTTTGTTACCGAAGTTCCGCTAATTATATTAGATACTGTCTCTATAAGTGCGACATCAGACTACCAGCCTGCCGCTAAAAGAGCATGCCAGAACTCCCAGCTTCCAGAATGTTTCCCTAGCTCTCCTGGACATCAATCCCGTCTCGGGACTTCTTCACCAGGCATATCGGAGTTAGATGCTACTACAATAGCTTCAGATTGCACTTGTTCGTCTATGGGTATGGAAGCCTCTTCGAGCCTTCCACATGTAACGCAACAGTGTCAGTCGACCAGTTCCCAAAATAATCGATATGCTACAGGATTATGCGTCTATGATTCTCAATCTCAGAGTGAGACGCAAGAAATATCAATAAATACACCTATGGATATAATGCAGCAACAACTCAACCCGTTGGATGTAATGGAAATGCCTGCCGCGTTGACGCCCGCTAACTATCCTCAAATATTCACATTGCCTTCAGTCATGATACCTGCTGATCACCCTCAGCAATACCTATATCAAACTCCGGCTATACTTACACCGGCAGAATACCCACAGATGCTTCCTTTCGATACAGAGCACGGCACCGAACAGTCCAATTCACAGCCAGTGATATCTGTACAACTGCCGTACTCCGACCCACTTTCAGGGGCGCAGCAGTATGTACTGCCCCCAGGAGTTCCAGTAGCATAATGAGTTGGTTATTTAGAGGATGGAGGAAGCGCCAAGACGAGGTATAGTGCGGGTGTGATGCGAGGTTCTCGATTAAAGGCAATAGGGACGCCGGGAAGAAGTACGGGTCGGTCTGGCTCTGACAAAAGGCGAGGCTGACCAGAAATAACTGCAATAGGGATGATATATCCTTGTTTCCCAATTCCGTTCTTTTCTAGAATTTCTGTGTCTTCAAGAACTTTCCATGCTTGGAACCCATACCCGTGGAGATAACTGGGAAGTTCACTTGTAGCCTGTACCAGCACAGACTTCAAGCCGGGATCGTCACAAAAATATAATTCCCGATTATCTTTCTTCCAGCTTGCAGTTTTAAGGAAAGAGGCGAGGTTATCCATGGATTTATGAACTATCTGCTCCTTGGAGCGCTTGTTGGCGAATTGATCTAGCGTGCGACGATGTAATTTGCGATCTGCTGTACAGGAGGAACTAATAGCTATCTACCCAAGGTACATCCAGCAGGTTAGTACTATAAGGAAAAAGAATTCATCTCGAACCTACTTAACGAGTCATTCCATTCATACAGTTTTCGGCAAAAAGAGAAAAGTCTGTATAAAGCAGGAGGAGCAGAAGTCGTAGACGTCAAATTTTAAAAGGTGTGGTGTCCAGGGTGGGATGATGCCCGACAATCCGCCAAAGCGGGCTGTCCCTGTCCCACTAGTCTTCGTCCCAACCACACCGCAAATGACCTGAATCCCAGGAAATTAGTGGTTTTCTGTTATATTTTCCTGCAGCTTCGACTAACTGAAAAAAAAAAAAAAAAATCGTGGGCTCGAAAGGAAAAAACAACTTTATTACCATCGAACATTTTAGAATTTCATGGAACTTTTGGTGGGGTAGAAGCGGGGTCAAATGTGGCGGTACAAATTCTTCACTACGTCACATTCAATAATAAACACTGTTGTTACTATTCCCCATAAATCAAGAGGTGTAAGATCAGCAGTTACAGCGGCCAGGAAGATAAGGTATAATAGGATGGTCAGTGCTTAGCCAATAGAATCTATTTGCATGTGGTCCATCGAGAAGAAGGCGAATAACATTTGCACTCTTTCCGCAAAGCTATTTCGCAACTTTTTCAAAGATGACATACGCCACCAGCCCGCCCCACAAACCGCTCTAGTACCACATTTTGTTCTCCCTTAAATGGTGTGCCAGAGTCGATGCGCCTTCTTACAACCTATTAGAGAAAATTCAGGGGTCTACGTATTCAAGGGAATTCGAAACTTAAGTGAACAGCGGATCAGCTACAAATTGTTTCTACGATGTTTGGTGAAGACAAAGCTTCTTGGATATGCCTCTGTTTTAGCCTGTAACCTATACAATGCCATTCTGCGCCCCAATTTTAAGGGTCGTAGTCCGAAATATTTCTAGCCATGATATAGAAGTTCCGACATGTTCTTACCAGCTACTTTTCCCCTGGCACATACAGCATCGGCTCACTGGTACAGATAACGAAATTTACTAAGCCGCCGGCCATGTGCGGACAGGGAGGAAGGACGCTGAGAAGTGGAGGCATCGAGGGCGCAGCCGCAATTACCGACAGGGGGAAAAGAAAAATGGGGGAGAAGTAATATGGACGTGTGAAACGACGGGCGTGACTGAATGAGTGCAGAATATGGAAGGGGGGATTGAGAAAAAAGAAGTTTGGAGGGAGGAAGTTAAGAGAGCGAGGGTGGTTCAATTATATACTTGGGAGGTGGAGGCAGGCGGTGATTACAGGACGACGTATCGGGAAGCCATACCGCAAGCGGCAAAACTAACCAGAAGAGGGAATTCACAGGTCCTCGCTTTACAGCATCTACAACTTTCCCTGGAGGCGAAAGAGGTATATCGAATGGACAATTTGTAAGGCAAGGCAATGACGCTGGGGTAAAGTAAAAGGAAAACGTATCTCACGTTCGAAGGCGGATTCCGTGAACTGTCTGGGTGTGGTTCTTGAAATTCGGTACACTGCAAGGGACGAAATCGACGTTCCTCAGGCCACATAATCCACAGCGTCGAGTCCCAGTCACGAACGCTGCGAGCTCTGCCCTATGTAGATTCTCCACATGATCCCAGAGTTTATTGATTTTGCTTTTCTTCTTTTCACGATGGGCAGGAGGAAGACTTTGGTCTGCCAGGCAAAACGGACATTGTAACGGGTCATATTTCTCTGGAACCGTGTTTTCCGGGGATGCCCGGGATGGGTGGGGTTGGGGCACAGCTGCCACAGCCGCTTGCCGTCCCCTACGAGGAGCTTCTTTCCGACCCTGCCACCGGACCATGAGGCGAATGTACCTTAATCGACGAAAAAAAGCCTCTTCCTCTGTCTTCGCAGGTGGGGTGTAGAAAAGTAAATCCACCAGCTCTGCGCGTTCTGGGATCTCGTAGCAGTGGAGAGAGCGGTGCTGGGCCTCGCTTTCCTTGGACTGAGCGCCATTCGCATATCGCTGGTTGAAAAGAGTCGTGTCTGTATTTCGAAAATGCCGTCGGCGGTTATTTTCCTTTGCCTTTTGTCGAAGTTCGGTAAGTTTGCTATGAAGTTCTGCATCTGCTTGCCGCTTTTCCTCACCGATTTTGGTCCCCTTAGCTCCCTTGACGGTTCGGTACTTGCTTTGACGGATTGCCTGGGTTAGGCCCCGGCATACTTTCCGCAGTCGCCGGACTTGGGGGTCTCTGGCAATTCGGCGCTTCTGCTGGTCTGTCAGACTCAGGGGAGCAGTGTTGTCTGCGAGGAGGGTCGCTGATCGGAATTCCCTCTGTACCGCTTCATTTGATGGCCGTTGATGGAATGCAGCGGCGGTGTCGAAATTCACCACTTCGTTCAGGTAATATTTAACGGCGTTGGACTCATGGTCAGCAACCTGGTCCCGAACCGACGCCGGCGCCTTGTCTGTTCCAATAAGTTGGTTAACTAACGCTCCTGATGTAACGACAGAAAGGATCATACCGTTAATGGCATTGATGCCGCCACGTCGGAGAACTTTCTGGGTCAGGTTCTGTTCTTCACCAGACTTCTCTCCGGTCCGTTTAAGATTGCGGCTCCAAGTTTGGGATTTGAGAGGTTGGCTGTCTGATGTTCGGTAACCATTTAAAGTGTGCTCTGGCTCACGAAAGACTGGCCTATCTAACCATTCACTTTTGATCTTCAATTTCATGCCCCTTCGATGTGAAGGGATGGGGAAGGTGTATATGTCCTCCACATCTCTATGGTCGGCGGCAAAAATGCAGTCGTGCCAAGCCATGGCCAGGAGCTGTGACAGTAAGTCAAAGATCAAATTATCTTCATGCTCAATCACAAATCTCTTCTATATTCACGTAAGTAACATAATGACTAATAGTATTAAGAACCGTGGCTTACATCCGAGGCTTGCGGTCCTCTCCCTTTGTATGGAGTAGAGTCACAATGGCGGCGAGGATGTTTGGGCGTCCGGGCACAGGGTTTCTCACTATACAGAAATCGATATGTCTCCAGAGAATAGTGCCGGTATTATCATCACCGGCAAGATATCCATCGTCGGTCACACTGGAACAGTCTGACATGCAATCAATGTCACTCTCCAAGTCAGAACTGTCAGAAGACATCTCATCGGATGTATCTTTATCTCGCTCGCAGGAATCATTACTCTGGTTTGATTCATAGCCAGAATCAATGAGAGGTCCCTGGTCCTGACTGCTAGACGGAAGCAGCAAAGATTCGTCGTCAGCCGGATTACCTTCGGTGGAAAGAACTGGATTGCCGTCTGGTTGAATATTAACGGGACATCTTGTATCAAATAGTGAAACTGATCGACAGGCAGTAACGCTGGATAAATTAAGGCCGGCCATATGATAGAGCCGTTGTTTCTCATCCGCGAATACTGCATTACAGTGAACAAGATGTGTGGTTTGAAAATGGAGAAGGTCAACGGATTGCTCTGTCGGCTTAGGAAGTGGGAGTTTGCGTAGGCCCATCTCTTTACTAACAATATTCATATACTATCGGTGGGTTGGAAAGTTTGTTTCACGCTTTAGGGAGAAGAGCCGCTTACATTAATGCAGTCTTTTTCCATCAATTCGCCCATTGTTTTCGAATTTTTCATAAAGTAAAGCCTCTTGAGCATCCTCCAATAGGTTGAGAGCGCACCATGGGCTTTGATTGAACCCTGGAAAGTTTCCTTGATCCAATCGAACCAAGCCTTGACATCGGCTGAAGTTAGGTTTTGAAGCAGGGCATCCGGATCGAGGTGGGCCTCTGAGCAGAACCTGGAGATGATGAGCTCAGCGACCTATAATTGCCGGATCAAGTTGGCAACCCTTACCGATTCCATTTCCCTCGTACAGAAGCAGCCAATACATTAGTTCTGGGGGCATATTGAGGGAGTGTTAATCCATTGGCAAGATGTTTCTTCCGGCGCTCAGCATAGTAGGCGTAGGATTTGCGACCCTGATTCTTTTCCTGTCGCTTGGTTTTACTCCGGGGAAGGCCTGAGAATGCCATCGTGTAGGATGCAAGTATATATATATATATATATGTTAGGTGAGAGAGATTGGAGAGCCTGGGGAGTACATTGGGGACTGTTTATATACTGTGATGGCGAGATATTTATGATCGCTTTGGCCTATGTCTCGGACGGATGCTATCTACTATCTAGTACTATGTGGGTAAATACTGCGGCACCAAGGCCGCAACGAAGTGGGTCCGGCTGCGGTCGTAATACCGTTACAGAACAAATGGTGTTTTTGGTGTTTTTTTGGCCGTCCAAAGCGGTGTAAAAAGATGTAAAGCGGCGTCCATGGATTACCGTTCTGCGTATGGCTCCCGGGGCCAAAGCCGCCCAAATCGGCCGCAAAGGTGGCCGAATATGGCGACTCCGGCACCCAAAGGTAGATTCTCTATGTTAATATACAGAATAAAGCCATGGCATCCAAGGTAATTAAAAATCAACTCTGTGTTGCAGGAGCTCTATGTAGAGCTACTAAATATATAGAGAAAACTACCTAATATTAAAAATGCCAAGGATACAAGCATATTGCTAAATACTGCAAGAATAGCCCCAAATGTGCTATCTGCGCAGAATTATATAAAACCCAGCGCCATGAATATTTTACATGCAAAGTAAAAGGTTAAGAATATCCCCACACGCAGGTTAAATACTCTAACTGTGCTCAAGCCCACAGAGCAGACAATAAAAACTGCAAAGAATAGGAAAAAGTAAAGCCAAAACCAAGGCTTAGACCTAGGCCTACAGAGACCAATCCCTAAACATGGAATTAGATTACTAATAAATCAGAAAAACCTGATTTAGGAATCTGTTCCTGCAAAATAATACTGGACGCAATCAAATGCCATGTTATCTTGCCTAGAAATAGGCTGGAGCTTATATCGACTTTATTATTCTCCAGGAACCATGGATATCCTATAATAGCTTTACTATATCCCACCCAGCATATACCTATCCTTCCTGAAAACAAGGTTAGACCTAGAGTAGCAATCTAATAGAAAGTATCTAGGTTTAATTACTGCCAAAGAAACGATATTAGCACGATAGTATTTGCTGGTAATAGATATCTTAGGTGCAGAAATTCAAGATCTGCAGCTAATAAATATATATAACGAGCAATCACTAGAGGAAGGTGCCGAGTGGATAATAGAAAAAGCCCTAGCTAGGATTACCCCCTCCGCATATATAGTAATAGGGGGACTTTAATACACACTATAGCTAGTGGAATTCAAAGATGTTATCACCTACCAGGGCTGATACTTTAATTAAATGGCTTGAAGAACATCAATGTGAACTGCTAAATAAGCCTAACCTGCAAACATGCCATAGAAAAGGAATAAAGAATATCTCTGTTATTAACTTAACCTTTATTACCAAAGGTCTAAATCGGTATAGAGTTAATTGGGAGATTAACCAAGAGCTTGCTTCAGGATCGGACCATAAAATCCTGCTTTATTCTGTTGAAGTAAAAAACGCAAGAAATTGCAAACCCCTGGCTAGTTTACCATATAACCTAAGAAAGGCGAATTGGGCGCTATTTAGCGAAAAACTCCTCAAGCTAGACCAAGAATTTGGACAGGGAAGCTTAAATAGTGACATAGAGCTAGAAACTGCAGCTCTGAATCTCCAACAAATAATACAGATAGCTGCAGATATAAGTATTCCAAGAAGAAAACTATTTGCCTAGTCAAAAGCATGGTGGTCAGAGGAACTCAAAAACTGAGAAAACAGCTTGGAAAAGCTAGAAAGCTTTGGAAAAATAACCCTTGTACAGAGCTCTACGAGAATCTTTTTAGAGATTAAAAATTAATATTTCTAGGAGATTAAGCAAGCTAAATCAGCATGCTAGAATAAATTTCTGGAAGAAGCTTGGAATAAGGAGATTTTTAAAGTTTTTAGCTATACTAAAAAAAAAAGATCTATCCAAAACTGCCCATCTTGACCTATTCTGTGGGAAATTAAGAAAAGCAAGTAATCTTTTTTTTAAAATAAATATTATATATTCCTCTCTACCCTGTTTTAAAACCCCCGGAAGCCGACCCTATTAAGTAGCCAACCAACCAGGCAGATTTAACTAACTAGCTAGAAACCAGCAAAAACGAAGTATACACTACTATCTTTAGTAGTTCTACTAAAAAGGCCCCAGGGCCTGATAACATTTTATTTTTAATTATTTAAAAGGCTTACCAAAATATTACTCCAAGGTTCCATGAGCTTTATAAAGCCCTAATTAAAAATAGTTATTATCCCAGATGTTGGAAAACTACTAAAGGGGTTATTCTTAAAAATTAGTGTTTGCTAAAAGGGACTACTCCAAGCCTAAGGCCTACAAAGTTATTTCCCTGCTTAACTGCCTAGGCAAAGTGGTAGAAAAGATTATTATAACTAGATTATTTTATCTAGCCGAACTCCCGCAATCAATTCTTTATTATAACCAAATGGGGAAAAAAAAAAATATCTGCAATTAATACAGCGCTATCCCTGGTTTATAATATAAAGCTAGTAAAACATAACAAAAGGTTACCACAGCCCTTTTTATTAATATAAAAGGGGTGTTTAACCATGTCTTGCTTAATTAGCTACTTTGTGTTTGCCTTAAACTAGGCCTTCCACACAGCCTGATTAGGTGGATTAAGTTATTTATATTAGATAGGAGAGTATTCCTTGTTTTAAAGGGAAACCAGCAAGGAGACACTAGTCTAGTAGGGATCCCCAAGGATTTTATATTACCTATTCTGTTCCTTATATATATTAAAGAGCTTTTCCAGCTTAAAATATATAAGGAACTAGGGGTATAAAGGAAAGTATTTAAAAATATTTAAAAGCCTAGCTATATAAATAATATATGCCTAACTATTAGCTTTAAAAGCCTAGAAAATAACTACAGGCAAATTAAGCTGGTAGCCAATATAATATTTTAAAAAAAAGCCAAAGACCATATCTAATTTAACCAGGACAAAATAGAGCTTATTTATTTTAGCTCTAAACAACCTGATCAAGAAAACAAGGATACCCAGGTGAGACTAGATAATAATATAATAATCAAACCAAGCCTAATAGTAAAATAGCTAGGAATTTACTTAGATTTTAAACTCCTTTTTAAAAAATATATCTAATTTAGAGTTGCATCTACAACCCAAATATTTTACCAAATAGCAAGGCTTTTAAATATAGAAAGGGGGCTAAGTTTTTAAGCTATAAGATAACTTTATATTGCTTGTATTTCCTTTATTATAGATTATAGAGTCCCTTTATAGTGGAAAGGCTAATAGTATTTAGTAGACTACTACCAAAAACTACAAAACACAGCTTTAAAAAAGATTTTAGGGACTTTTAAAATATTACCTATACAGGCCATGGAAATAGAAGCATCCCTACCCCCTTTATTAGTTAGATTTAATAAAATCTGCAGAAACTATGTACTTAGAACTGCTTATTTTATAAAATCCTATATAATTTAAAACAGACTCCCTACTATATTTATACTAAACCCGGGGGAATTCTCCATTAACTAATCAAGGTTTTTGGATTAGAACAAGAAACCTAGATTACTAGATACAGAAGACCCTAAATACCACCCTAAAAAGAGAAAAAAAAAATACCCTAGCTAGTTAATCCAACTACTAGCACTATTCTCCTTTAAAACATGGAAAGGCACCTTTCAGACGCTAGATTAAACCCTACCACCCTGGTCCTAATTATTAAACTAAATAATAGATATATTTATATCTAGCAAACCAAAGGAGCAAGCAGCCCAGGAACACAAGATACTAATATCTTAATAGCTTGCTAATAAAAATAACCACAAAATTATCTTCTATTTAGATAGATCCCAGCTGCAGAGTGGTTAAAACAGAGCAGGAATCTTTCTCCTAGAGAATAATCCTCAAAATCAAAAGGCTTGGGCATGGAATCTAGGTTATGAATATAAGGTCTATAATATAAAGTTATTTGCTATTTAAAAAGCACTAAAACAAGTATTTAAGACTATTTAAATTCCAACTTTAGATATTTACATCTTTTTGGACAGCCAAGCAGCCCTAAAAAGGCTTTAATTAGTAGACACCAGCTACAAATAATACTAAAGAATCTTTAAATAGGCAACTAGAACCAGGGATAAGAATATTAATATTTATATCCAATAGGTTCCAGGCCATTAGGGAATTTTTAGTAACGCCAAAGCTAACGAAGCAGTGAAATATAGCGCAGAATAGACAAGTAAATATTATAAATATCTAATTTTAATTAGCCATCTCAAACAAGAGCTCAAAGCGAAATGCCTTGAGGATTGGGATAAAGTATAGGAAAATACTAAAAAAAATAATTAATACAGGGGCTTTAATTTTATAGCTTTATAAAAACCAAGCCCGCTAAAGCTTCCCAAGCAGACCTGGTTAACTATTATCTAGCTAAAACTAGGGCATGGCTACTTTAGATCCTATCTAGTTTAAATACCTAACTATAATAGTAATATATATACATTGTGCTATAGTAACAAGCACCAAACTCCGCACCACCTACTTTTCCAGTGCCAGGCATTTAGAGATATTAAAAAAGGGTCTATAAAGACCCTAGACAAAAAAAACTGAAATCTGCCCTATCTGTTTACAAAGAAAGCAGGGTAAAAACAACTAGTTAAATTCCTAAAGGAAACCAGGATTACCACTAGAAAGTGGCTCCTGGACCTAAAAAAAAATATCAAAAACAATAGAAAAAAGGAAAACAGAGCAAAAACAGTTAAAAGAGTTAGAATTTCACATGGTTTAACCCCTTTTATAAGGTCCCCCCCACTCCTAGAATGTTATACTGCTTATTCATATTTGATTTTACCCACTATGTACGTATCTGTTTGTTAGTTCAAATCCTACCACCCAGGGGTGGTAGGTAGAGCATGCATAGTCTCTGACTGAAAAATGCTCTATAATATGGAAGAATAATAATAATAATAATAAAAATAAATAAATAAGCCTTGGTTGTTGAGGTATCCTGGCTTAAAAAAAGTGCCTTTTTGTATGGGAATTTGTGTCAAGGGCTAAACCCAATGTATTGCTCAGACATGGCTTTCGCTCCTATTATCTATATAGGGCGCTAGATGCGACTGATGGAAGATCAGTCGTCTTTTACCTTTATATGGTCAAGTGGTTTTATCTCTACTAGCGCAGAGACAACCAAACCATCACAATTTGAACTGCTAACTTGGTGACTTTGCGATTTCGGTGTCTGATTACGTTAATCTCTCCTTCTGGCGTGTTTTGGGGTATTTTGAATTGATGATAAAGAATATGCAAGTTACACAGAGTGCTAAGACAGTTGCAGACCGGAACCTGGCAGAGGGGTAACCCGATGTTCCAACACACCCCAGGAACAGCACGGGCGCAAGGAAGCATGTGGAGAGGAACTAAATACATGTCCCCCGTTGTTGTATAGCCCATACAAATTAATATCCTTTATCCGACGCCATAATATATATCCATAAAGTCCTTCGCGTTAGAGTCTTGTGGTCGAAAACGCATAGGGTTCTTTCCAAACGCTGGCTCGTTGGTTATAACTCGCTCGGTCAAAACTGGCCCTATTCACTTGGTCGATACTGGCTCGGGCTCGTACAATTGGTTGATAAAGAAGACCAGTTAAATATCATACTATACTCCCCCCCCGGATGGCAGGGGTAGAAATGAAAAGGAACTCTCCGAGGTCTTGGAAGTAACTCTGGATAGTAATAATAGCAAAACAAGAGTGTCGTGGAGGGTCTCAGTAAGGGCTGACAGAGCCGTCATGCCATTCCAAGAGATCTTCCGAACAGCTCCTCAAAAGGAGCAGTATCTTCTGCATCGGTCACCTGTCAATGCTAGAGGAGGCTTTTTGAAGAATTGCAGGCCGCAGGGAATATGACCTCCATGCTACCAGTTTGTCTCTTTTTCCATAGTCTTGTGCGTACGATTTTCCTCATTCCAAATAACAGAAATTATAGAAGGATTTTGGAGGCTTCGCTGGAACTACTTTCCCTTCAAAATACTAGTGCCCAAACCACTGAAAATAGCTCCCAACACACCATTTATGGAACACCTGACATAGACTCTCAAAGCTCTGAAAGCAACACTGAAGATTTGGACTGCCGCAGAAACTTTATTGAAAATTTTTTTTACTTGGTCTGTAACGAAGACCAAGCAATTGTAGCTCAGAATAATATCTACGATACGTTCTGCTGCCTCTCACCATGTTATGGTGAATTACCATATATTGACCTCAACGTTCTCGTTACCGAATGCTAATGGCCTAATCGTAGAGCCCAGAACAGTATTATGTATAGGGTTGAATGGTACAAAGAGTATAAGGGTATCGCCTAGTCTCTACCGTGTTGTCCTTCCATATTATATCAATTGCGGATAAATGATCCACGATAACTGGCCGCTCAACAGTTTCATTTATGCCTATAGTGGCAAAGACCTTCACTCGTTAAGCAAGATCCTTAATATGGAAAGAAAAGAGATCTGGAAATTACCTACAAATTTACCATATACTGCCATTATAATACCCTCAAGTTAATAAATAACATCACAATTTTCCTATAATACCACCAACAGGATGAAAGTATACTGTCAAATATACTCCGGCGGGTTCGGTATAAGATAGAGTTACCCAGCGCTGGGCCGTTACTGTCTGTTTTATATCTCGACAGGGACTAGTCGTATGGTTAGTTGGTTTGTTTTTATTGCAAGGATTTGCATGCTGGTGTGGCTGAAGAAATAACGGGAAGATGAAAGGTGAAGTGGCGGGGATTGTTTACAAATTTGAGATCAAATCCGGCTTATAGCGACATGCGTACCCCTCCCATTCCAAGTATCTGAAAAACTCAGTCAAGGCATCAGCGATCACCTCGTCATTCCTGCCATGTAATGGCAGGTATAACTGTGGTTTTGGAGTCGACTTTCCAGGTTTCATTTCGTAGTAAGCTGCCATTGGCAATCGGTCTACATCCGTAGTGGGGCACTCCATATCGTGAAACCCAAAGATGTTCCACAGTTTCTCTGCAATTCCGAGGCCTTTTAGCGTAACAGGATCCCTTTGCTGCCCTCCAAGCGTCCACAAAGCACGGATGTCTTCAAGGCGTACGTGTGGATCTATAATGTATAGCTTGAGTCGAGATTTACTAGGAGCCACGCAGTCAAAACGAATGAGGAATACTTCTGAGTTATTATCAGAAAGCCATGGTAGCAAAAAACTGCTTGAGGTTAGGCAAACTGGTACCAAATTCCGCATCCAGCGACTCCATTGCACGAAAGGCTAGGTCCCCGGTAGAATGCCCTGTCACGATAGATTTAGGCTTGAGAAGGAAGTATCCCTTGGCGACAATCTCTTTGGTTCTCAGGTCAAACGTGACCTCGTTTGTTTGCCGTTGATGGGGTATAAGCTACTTTGCAGCTATATTAGCCTCTTCTGGTGTAAGTCTAAGCTGAGTGTCGAAGTGATTGAACCACTGCAGGTTAATATTGGAGTTAAGACAGGCCAGATTCTCAAGGAGTTCTCGTGCTCCGAACTGATTTAAGGGATCATGCTCTGTGCCAGCAAATTTACCTACTGGCCCACACCCTAGCCGAACAAGAGAACTGGTTTGCTGAAAGTTTATGCTTAGTTCCATAGGGTACCCTTCGGGGGTGAACGAGCCTAAACTATCAGGGCGTATTCCCCGGGGCGTATAAACGCCCTAGAACCGGAAGGATGTGTTGATGGTAGAAGCCGAGGAAATGATATTGTGAGTGGGTTTGATAGTCACATTGTATCAGTAGGTTGTTGAAAAATGGCGCCGTATGCAGCCACTAGAGCTCCTGCTCATGGTTTGGGAACCCAAGTGCCTTCCCGAGCACTCGCCAGGGCATATCCGGTGTGGAATCTGACATCACCCTTGATTTTTCCATAGTGACTTGGGTTTCACATCCAATGGCAGTTACGGCCAAGCAGTTTATATAGTATGTTAGCAGGATGATAGAAATCCTGTAGATAAAGGGACTGAGGTAGGGAGCTGGGTTAGGGTGGAGTATCTTGAGCCTGGCTCAAGGGTCGTAAAAGGCGCCCACTGGCTGGGACCAAAAAAGTTGTAGGGTATTTATAACTACTTATCCATACCATTTAAACGATATCCTTAGAATTGAAGTCACAATAGGTCAACGGTCTTATGACTCTTTCATTTCGTTTGTTTTCCGTTTTTGCCATAGCTCTGATTCATGATGTCGTCACATGGCTATAGAAATAGTTCCAGGAAAGCATAAACTCAAATTTTGCAGTAACTAAGCGTAATTCTGCATTAACTGAGGTATTCGTGGGTGATCCAAATAAGTGCTTACGATACAGAGTGGAAACATCTCAGTGCCCATGTACTGTCTTCATGGGAGTTAGGAGTAGTAAGGTTGTGGCACACCTTGGGTGTAGCCGTAGTGATGACGATCATCTTTTAAAGCTCCTAAACCGAGAGGAGAAGCATTTTAGAGTATTATCTAATACCTGTTTTTTTTGGGTCCGTACGAGATGAAGTAGTAAGCGGTGACACGGAAGACTAGGTACAATCATAATACTATTGAGGTATATAAATTAATTCCGCAATCTCGGTCAACGACGCGAACTGACAGTAAATCTAAGATCAGAAATATCAAAAATACCAGTTCGCGCAAATGAGAAGGGGGTTGACAGTGAGACAAGTAAGTACAGGCAACGATACCCATTCTTAATATCATCATTAAACGTTCTACCAGATGCATTTCAACCAGATGCAGTTCATCTCCTGATTATATTTATTTCCTTGGATCTCTTCATGCAGCAGGACGATAATTGAGAATACTGAATGTAAATTTCTACAGGACCATTTTACTCCCATACTATTTAGAATCTTCATAATACTTGGATACCGGGGGGGGGGGGGAGGGGAATTAATTGCCCAGATAAGCGACACGCAGAGCGGCATGTCAAAGTCCGTCCTTTTTTAAATCACCAGCATCCTCAAGAGCGGATACTTGTCATAAACAGCATCCGCACCTCCTTGTGACTTCATGTATTGCCCACCATATGTGTCGGGTTGTCCCTTGTGTACGTACGTCACCCGAGGGCACGAATACATCTTTTGGCTTTCCATTTGGCCAGCCAGAGATTGTCCCGTAAGTGTACCCAATGATATCCATTCTTAGTATCATTAGTAAACGTTCAGTCAGATACAGTTCACCTGTCAAGGGCTGAACTTCTATCGACCTAATAACTAGGGTAGATACAAAAGCAATTGTTGAGGAGGAAAAGAGACGAGAAGAGAAAATAACGATGAGATGATTGCGAAACAGAAAGGGGAAGAAGTCACATAATAGAGCGTACTAATCAATGTACTAATCATGTGACAGGTGAAGAGAGAAGAAACACAAGGGCCGAGAGGCTCGAGTAGATCTCAGGGCTCTAGCTCCTTACAGAGCACCTGGTTAATGCTTTAAAAGGTTCAAGAATTTGGGGTCTAACAACAGTGAAATATAATAACTGTGGAACATCAAGCAAATTAGAAAAAAGAATCTCAGAAAAAGGAGGAAAACTGCAGAGATTCAAGCCAAAAACATGGTTAGGATATCTAGTAGGATATGACTCCACTATTATATACCAGCTCTGGCTGCCTCGGTCATTCAGACAAGAGATATAATATTCAATAAAGAGGAGCAATTTTCTGGAGACATGGCAGCAAAGCTCTCAGTTATGTAGAATAAATTCCAATAGGTTTTATTAGAGGAATTCAATCAGATAATAAAAAATATAGAAATTCCGAACCTGCATCAACCCGGGACAAATATTTAAAATAGCCCTACAGAGCACGCAGATCATATTCTCTATATTAAACAATTCGATTCACTTGATTATCTTGTAGATATTGCAGAGTCAGCATTGGATCTGTCAGATTAATAACAAAAGGAGCAAGATACTCATCCAACACCTCCCGAAACTCCAGAAGCATCCTTCAATCCAGCTTCGTTATTTGCGTTAGCAATAGGCGAAGAGTCTAGCAATTAAGCTATATCAAAGCATGTACGGCCATGGAAGCGATATTAATAATGACTATGATCAAGCCCAATTACAGCGCCCTTTTTGTCCCTACCGAGGGAGGTTCTAAGACATTGTGGGTCTGGGGCCCCAAAAAGCTTGTACCATTGTGAACCGGCGTCTCCACTGTCGACTAGATCTTGTAAGGAAGGTCATTAAGAGTGGCCAAGCCTATGGGATGCCACGTATTTCGGAGAAAAGTCACAATTGTTATGTTGATGATTGGCGTCTTACAATTCAGATGAGCTTGCTGAGGGACACTTGAAGTTATCTTAATCACAATATATTCTTCCGCCATTTACAGAAACCCTCATTTTCTCTAAACAGGTCACATGCCCGTGAGACTGCTGGACATCAGTTAAATTTTTGTCTTTATCTAGATAACCTCCCCCCCAAAAGTGCACAGTGCATATAGCAAGCATTACCGTTCATAACCGGTTTGCCCATTGGGGACTTAGTGCAATAATCCGATCAATCCATAATTAAAATTAGTGTGGATTCGTAAGCACTAGTTTGATTAAGTACGCAATACAGACGACTAATAACCAGTTATAAGCTTTTCCTCCTACTACTGAAATGCTGGGGCTTGAATCTGAACTTGGTTGGCCAAACGTGTCCACTAATTAGGTCGAGACAAGACGCATCCTAGCGTCCTGCTTAAGACGGAAATGCCCGGTGGAGAGCAAATCTCCAATGGTACTCTAAAAACCTTCCTTCCACTGAAAACCACTTTCTCTAGTTAATCTTCGTTCAACTCCATTTTCTGTCTTCCGGAGGCTTTGGTGACATTTACAACTGTCATTATAGGTCGTAATGGAGATGCAAGAAGTGAAACCGCACGGTCTCGATGGTATACCCAACACATCAGTGGCCGCGGCGGAAGGACAAAGCAGCTCTGTGACAGGCGATAGCATGAACACCACCGATGGATCGAACGGAGATAACCAGGTCGTAGAGTTATCAAATTGGAAGTTCTTCACAGTTCTTGTTTCCGTGTGCGCGGCCAGCTTCCTCGCAGGTTATGTGAGTATGGTTTGCAGGCCGCGTCTCGGCAGCTGCCTACTGACAAGGACAGGATGGAACGTGTGTTGGCACTTTGGGGCCAATTATCAGTGATGAATTCAACTCACTTAACGACGTGAGCTGGTATGGAATTGCATAGTACGTCAACCTTAACCGCATCCGGCCTCGCAGCCTGTGTCTAAAGCTACGAAAATCAACCAGCTCTCTCGCATCGTCTGCCACAGTCCTCAGCTACGGCAAACTGTATCTGTTTTATCCGGCCGGTACAGTTTTTGCTCTGTCACTGGGTACATTCGTCGTTGGATCTATACTCTGTGCGGCTGCGCCCTCGTCGATAGCTTTTATTATTGGCCGCGCGATCGCCGGCCTGGGAAATGCAGGCATACTTTCTGGCTGCAATATGTATGCTTTATCTGGGCTTGTTCCTGGGAATATGCCTCCGATCAAGGTATCTTATCGCTAACATTTCTTCAAGAATATTTGTTCGCATAACTCCTCTTCATCGGCGCCCATTCTACCAAGCCTTGACAGGAGGAGTTGAGTGCATCGCACTGGCTACGGCTCCTCTGATCGCCGGAGCTATTACAGCATATACATCCTGGCGAATTTGTTTCTACATTAGTATTCCACTGGGTGTGATTCCGATCATGACCGTCCTCACGTTTCTGCAGTTGCCGAAGACAGCAGAACAATCCGCGACAACCTCGACCCTGGCTCGGCTGCACCAACTAGATCTCCTAGGCATGGCGCTATTCTTGCCATTAGTTATTTGCCTCGTGCTTGCGCTTCAATGGGGTGGCAGTGAATACGCATGGAATAGTAGACATGTAGTTCCTCTGCTCGTGGTGGCTGGAGTCCTTGCAGTCGTTTTTGTGGTCCAACAATACTACATGGGCGACCAGGGCACAATCCCTCACCGACTACTCCGCTCTCGGGTGTTGGACTTCAGCATCGTAGTGATTTTCGCCACAGCTGGTGCCCTTTATGTTTTTACTTACTACGTAAGTCACATTTTCCCCTGTTGTGAGGAGTGGTTATTAATCGCTCTCAGCTGCCACTCTACTACCAGGCTGTTCGCGAGGTGAGCACGATGCAGTCTGGTCTCCGCGACCTGTCCCGCATCCTAGGCCTAGTTGTTGCTATTATTTTTGGCGGCATTTTAGTCACCAGAATTGGCTACTACATGCCATTTATGGTTGCCGGGGGCACACTCATGTCCATCGGGGCCGGCCTCACCACCACCTTTGACCAGACCACCTCCCTCGGGTACATCATCGGTTACCAGGCTATTTTCGGACTCGGGTGTGGTTTAACATTCCAGCAGCCCTACACCGCTGTCCAAGCAGCGGTCGCAGGACCAGACGTCACCTCCGCAATTGTGATCATTACGTTTGCGCAATTCCTGGGCTCTGTCGTGATGCTCTCTATCTCTCAGAATATCTTCTTGAATCACCTAGCTTCGGGCTTGGCAGCGGTGGTTCCAGGGCTAGACCCTACCCAGCTGCTTGAGTCTGGAGCCATGAATTTGAAGAACCTGGTTCCTGCAGACCAGCTTCCGAGGGCTTTGGGGGCTTACAACGATGCCTTGGTGCAGGTATTCTATGCGGGTCTGGGAACCGCCTGCGCGACGGTCGTCGCGGCTCTGGGCTCGGGCTGGAAAACAGTCAGGCATACCTCACCGCAAGACAAGCAAAAATAAAGATTATTATAGGATTCAAGATGTTTCGGCTAATTTTCGGGCTTTTACATGTATTTCCGCACACTGACCCTTATCACTTTGCGCTCGAAATGTGAATTCTCGACCATCTGTTAAAACACCTGGTTGAAGAAGTCCGTCTACGAACACATACATCATTTACCGTATGAATTGTGAGTGCTTCGATTCTGTACTTCATCGCTGTCGTTGTACCTAGACCTAGTATGTTTTGTGTATTCATTGCTTAAGCCACTTTCCCGACAGTTGCCCGATATGGTATTTCTTATCACGATGATAACGTACTGGCATTTAGACCAACGCTGCTTTCAACGATGGTCGTTAAGTTGAGAACTGATCCAACCCCAGATATTGTGACTATAAATCAAAGCAAGGAAGGGCCCAAATTTCAAGTATACGGTCGAATATAGAAACTGAAAATTATCAACCAATAATAAAACGCCTACTTCACCTGCCGTACCGAGATGGTATCGTCTGGCTGCTGTCGTGGTTTTGATATAAAAACCAGTAGGGAGGGCTCAGGGCTAATGTGGGTGCGTAGGTGTATGTTCCGGAGGAGAGGTTAATATTTAATCTCGTCGCGAGTCCCTGGACAATCAAATATTTCTCTTGCCCATGGACAAAGTCAAAGCTGTTGCTCTCACACTGAAGCTGACACATGCGCTCTGTGGGGCGGTCATCCATTCCCAGCTCTTTCACTAGCAACAAACTGTTGATGTAGGTTTCATTAATCCGGGGTCGAGCTCCTTCGGAAGTTGCCATTCACATCTCTGAAATAATCAGCAGAAGGTCAGTTCCGAGCTTGTCGTCGATAGCAAGAGCATCGGCCAACGTAGCGTGAAGTCATATATCAAGTTATATGACACATTATACTCGTAAGAATATGTCAGTAATATAACAGTAACATGAAAATAATATAAATTAAAAAAAAGTATTACCCATCATAGTATAATTTGCGAAATCCCACGCCGGGTCCAGGTCTCCCCCCCTGCATACAAGCGGAACCTTTGTATCTGATCTATTCGTCCGCTTCATTGGCCTGCCACATCTTCGTAAAACTGTGGTTATAGGCGCTGATATACGGAGTGCCATTTTTGTAAGAAAAGGACAGCCATGAGCAGATGTGTGCCACGCCAGTAAGGTCCGTTTCCCCACTGGAAGTTATTAGTGTTAGACAGACACAGTTTCCATGCAATCGGAGATGGACCTACTAATAGGAGAGGAAATTGGACTTATAGTGTTCTGCCATAGACTCCCATCCAACGTGCCGAAAGAAAGTTGTTAAGCCATCAACAATGGCTAAATCATCCTCACCAAAGAGAGGTATGTACACCTGGGGCTCTGGGAATTCGTGGGCCTCGACCATGTCGAAGTGGAACATCAGGGGAATCCGGGTTTCTTTTGCGGGCTTTCCTATCTCTGAAAACCCCTCTGGCGGAGGACGGAACCCTTCGCGGATTGGGAGCAGCCGCCAAAGCAGCTTCAAGAGCTCCAGTCCAGCGAGCGTCTGGGGATCTGTTCGCCTTCCACCGAATGTCCAGACGTCTGCGACTGTGTCCAAATCAACCTGCAGCTCAGCGGTGTAGAACTTTATCCGCGACTTGCTTGGCTCAACCAAGTCGCAGGCAAGAAGGTAGGCAAAGAACGACGTGGTCTGATCCTTATTGTGGCCATGACCATCCAACTTCGAACAGGAATGCGTGCTATTACTGTTTCTTATGGCCAAGTACCCTTTCATATTGGAGAATTGGTTGCTCAGCCTGCCCTCTGGATCCGCCTTGTACATGGCATCAAAGAGCAGCTTTTCCTCGGCAATCCCAGTGGCCCTTGACTTGACTTGAGGGTAGAAGTATACCTTCATTAGGACTTCTCCGGATTTCTGTAGATCCATGGCTGTGATTGTCTGCGTTTTCCAGGGACCAATGGCGCTGAGCATTTTAGGGCTGCCCAGGATGGTTCTCACTTCCTCCTCAGTAGCCAGGAGATCCTCGGCGAGATGAAAAAATCTGCGAAGGTCTAATCCTGGCAGCGCTCGATTTAGGTTGTGCAAGTAGTCATGTATGGCAGAGGCATTGAAACTGTTTTGGTCTGTCCCAGCGAAAGGGCCGACTGGCTCGACCCCGACCCTGACCACGGCTTGGGAAAAGTTGTAATTGAATTCAACCGGAAGGCCAGCACGGTTCATCCCGCTCTTCCACTTGGTAGCGGTGATACCGCATTCCGATTGCTCTGGGTAGGGGCCAAGGGCCGGAATGACGTGTTCTCGATAGAGAGTCAAGTATTTGTATTGCAAATGGACATCGTAATTGGAGTTGATCAGCAACTTGCAAAGCAAAGGTGCGGTGCTGTGCCACCATTTAGCTTGGTCGGAACCTGCAAAGTTACAGACCTGGCTGAGAAGAGCATACGGCGTTATATCGTGGGTTGGTGGGTTTTGTTCCGGGGAGACTGGCATTTGGGTTTTACATCCAGTAGCAGCCGTGGGCATGATGGGATGGCTAAGCACTTTGGATGATATACTAGCACGATGACAAAAATTCTCCCAGGTAAAGCAATTCAGGTAAAGAACTTAGAATAGGGTTGAAGTAGCATGAACCTAGCTGACGATTCGTCAAATGGGACTGTTGGCTGGAACAAGAACAAATTAAGGGTATTTATCTCTAGCTATCCGTAGTATTTTACTAAAATATCCATAAAACCGCTAAGCCATGACCAGACAATATTATTTTCTTCTGTTTCTTTTTATCCCAACCATAGCTGCCCAGAGCAGTCCCATCTCTAATCTATGATGTCATGATGTCATCATATAGCTATAAAAATATCTTAGGAATCTACCAAGCATAAGTTAAGGAAAAAATATGTGTAGTGACTTCACAGTGCGTGGTGCCGATGTAAAACCGTCAATAGAGCGTAATTAGGTGTAGTAAAGTTCTGGCGCGCCTTGGATGTAATCGCAGTGATGACGATCTCTTCTATTGGAAATATTTAACGGGAAGGGAATCTTAGGTAATTTCTAGGTACTTATTTTTCCACCATATTTGGCGATAAGTAATATGGGGATAGAGTTCGAATTGCAGAAGGCCTGTTTGCCAGGATACGGAAGAAAGACCAAACTCGTGGAATAGCAGTGACGTATGCCAACTTTAAATTCTGCAAACTCGTTCAAACTTCACTTCTACCGACTCATGGGAACATCTAGGTTCAGAAATATCCGAATTGCAAGTTCGCCCGGCTGTGATTCCCTCCCGAAGACATAATTCTGGAGCTGACATTACGTCACTCTGCCCTTCTGAACTCCTGAGCAGTAGTGCAAATTTTCTGCAAATCCACTGGAACTATTACGAGGGTCTAATGTGGATGCTATCAAAGCGTCATTTCTTTCTTTTTTTCTATTCTTTCTTTCGGTTTTAGGTACATTAATCAAAGCTGTTTGTCTGTGGGATATCAATACCAGACATATCCTGATGCTAGTAATCGCGTCAAGTTTTATACAGTGAACCAATTTCATCTAGGCTAGAAGCATATTGAAAGAGGCCTTCACACCCCAGCCGGTAAGTGTCGACCATATTATCTAGCACTGTTATTGCTAACCAAGGGCCACGAAAAGAACTGCAGCAATGGAAACCTTGGCGCTGAGTACAACCATCTGCAACCTTGGCGCTGAATACAATCTTAACCCAGAGGGGATTTTCTAGATACTGGGGTGTGGAATAGGGGGGCCCCTTTGCGAAATTTCTCGACTTGGTGATGTGAGCGTCTAGGGCATAAATATCAGTCCATCCTAGATATGTAGAGCGAATGAGCTCGCCGAGTGTGCAAACTTATCTTATCAACTTCGATTTATCGAAGGCGAATTTGTTCATATGATATTTCGGATGCCTCTTTCGACCGCGCATATTCGATTGAAGTCACTTGCTATGCACCTAACCCTTGGGATGTCTACGCAGAAATGTCTACGCAGAAGCATTTAGGGTGTTGAATCCCGGGGGCATCTTTGCAGTTTATGAAGTTGCCACGATAGCGAACTACGATCTCAATAATCCAGAACACCGGGAGTGCCATGAAAGTATGCAGCGAGCGCAGGAAATCCGCACTTAACGACCGCTGCGATGGCCACAGCAGCTATGCGAGGAGTTGGATTCGAACTCCAAGCTGCTGAGGATCTGGCGGATTGTCGAGACACCGTATCTTGGTATCAGCTAATTGATGGTTCTTTTAAGTGGATAGGCACAGTTGCAGATACCCATATCTAATTTTTGCCTTACGGGTTTTCTGCGTTCCTGCTCGTCGCGTGGGATTTTATACCACCTTCTAGGGCATGGAGAAAACTGGCCATCTTGCCCCCGGGTATCCAAGGCCAAGGGAACGAGATGGTAAAGGTAATGGTACGTATTGTGCAGCAGGAGAGAAGAGGTTGGCGACACCGATGTTCCTAATCGTGGGAAAGAAACCTAGAGCTTAGGCTTTAAATGCGCTGCATCCGCATTATATAAGACAGATGTAATAGTTAATTACTGTAAAAGGCCCATACTTTACGTGGCATAACGTTCACCGTAAGATGCTATGTATTGCATAGCAAGAACTTTCTAGAATATTTAACCACAACTTAGTTTCCTGTATATGGGCTGTGCTTAAGCAGTATTTAATGGTCAAAGTTTGCATTACCGATGGCTAGAGCCAAAAATGTGTGCGACTTTTCAGAGTTTATCAGTATTCTTACTTCGGCGGCATGGTAAACACCTGACACATTAAATGAAAAAAAAGGCTGGAATAATATATAAGGTGCTTGGCATCGCTTTTCCTCCCAAGTCGTACGGTTAATCAATAGCTACAGTTACTCTCAAGGGTCGAATCCACAGGAACCTGCCTTAGTGGTGGACCTTTGTTGTAGGGGTGATCATATGTTTACAGGTTCTTATTTTCTGGGTGGTGGAAGAGCTCTGTAGAGAGAATAACTATCACTCAGTGCATACAGATTCCATCACCATGTTCGTGATTCAGACAATATACAGAAAATCACTTAATAATATTTTACACTATCTCTGTGGCTGTGATAATCATCTGTACAAGAGATAATTTCCCTGCTCTTTAGGCTCAGAGCCACAGTGGAACATTCTAGCTAGTGGTAGTACATCGTCAAGTAGGGTCCTGTTTTCTCCAAGTAGGACAAAGACAACCAAGCTTGGATATCTGCGCTCCTGTTGAGGTCTATTTCGGGCCTACAGGTCACGTCGGTATGTTGCATATGGAAAAGGCGAAACTAGACAAACTACTTACTAGTATGAGGCTAAATTGTCTGTATAGGAATTCGCAATCTCTGGCCAACCCCACCTCTCAAAGAAACAGGTCAAAGTGCTTGCAATGGGCACGTCATTAATACCCGTGAGAGGGGAGTATATTTTGAGTTGGGGCAACGGTTTGAGGGGCTCGATTTCTACAATGAACAGGGGCATGGGTAGGTTCGGTGGATCTCCCGGCTTTGTTGGCCGTTCCACTGTTCGACGTGTCCCTTCGGGGAATACCAAGCGATTCCCACAGCTCTCGTACCATTTCTAAACCTTTCAATGTCTCATTGTCTTTAAGCCTCCCACCAAGTGTCCAAATATCGGATATACGGCCAAAGTCGACCTGGAACTCCCAATATAAATTTTGAACCGAGTTTGGCTAGGTGTAACTAGGTCGATTGAAAGGAAGCATATTGAAGTACTTGGAGGTGCCGTATGCAGGTAGCTCTCAGTCGTCGCCGAGGCATCCCTGAAGATGCCATTGTTTCCTCTCCGGAGTGCATTTAAGACTAGTTGCGAGATGGGTGTTTGGGCTGTAGCTGATTTGAGCATAGGGTACAGATATAACTTGACCACAATATCGCCACTTTTGAGGTCTAGGGCCAGGATAGCTTGCATCTTGGAAGGTTGTGATTCCAATTCATTGCGGTCGGAAAGATATGTTTGCTCCTCATCAGTCAAGGTGAGTTCAGTCAGCAGTTGATGGTAGAGCTGCAGATCCAACGGTGGACTTAAAGCCCTTTAGCCGATTCAAGGCTTCATTAATCATGCGTCGGCTGCATGGATCATTACAGGCACTGGCGGCGCCACTGGTGGGTTCGAAGGCGATTCGAACCGTGGCTTGTGATCCAGTAAAATTCTGGCTAAATAATTCAAGAGATCCCGTTCCACCAAGGATGGATTGATAGAGTCCGGACCTGGCGGAGGAAAGGATTAGAGCATAGGTATAATATGTGTGATAAATAGGTATAGGTAATGAAACTGCTGACATAGATCGTATTTAGCATCGTAAAGCATCTTTCCTAGCATTGGTGTTGCCGCTCGTGCCCACCATTCGTACTGGTCGAGCCTACGACAAGAAATATACTTGGTAAGGGCATGGCAAGCATGTGAGGTGTGCGAGGATGGTTTCTGGGGATCTATGGCCAATAGGCTAGGACGGGGTTATCGAGGTACTTCCAAAAATCTTCGTATCTTTGCTGAGCAATAATATTATTCAAATCGCATTGCTAGCGGAAGGCTGGGATTACGGAATGAGAAAGGATAGGCAAGCATATACCGTATGTCCATTCTCATACGGAAAAAATATCCAGTTTCTCAATAAAAGTCTACTTTGTTGACCGCAGTAACTTCCCTAGTTTGTTCCACTATAAGGACTAAATATTCTGCCACTTCTTAGCTTAGATAATTAATTTGGCTATTATTATATTCCTTAAATAGAAAGCGGTAGACTGATCCTCGCTCGCTACTTCAAAGAGGTTTAGTATCTATAGTGGAACTAACTACTGTAGGGAAATTACTGTAGTCAGCCGGAGTATGTGGACATATTTTCATAGAAAAGTCTAGATTCAATCTGACATCACCATCCGGTTGGTCGAGGCTCAAACCGCCAACCTTAATTTAACTAGCCGGAACGGGGTGGAGATATACTCCGGAGTACACTCTTAGATTCCGCTATTGGACAAAATCTATAAACTGTAATGCCCATGCTCATGTGGGCGACAATAACTTTATCAGTTATCTGCACCCAAATGATACTTTACGGCAGGCTCGGAACGTTTGAGGATTGCCTCGCAGTCAATTTCAATGTTAAGCGTCTGGGACAAGTAATGCCGGCAAAATGACAATTGACAATAGGTCATACAAGGCAACTTAAACTCTAATTCATGCGTAAAGATCGGACCTCTAGCTCCGAGACACCCACTCTGAGACACTGTCCGCACGCTTTAAATTTAACACTTTGACTATTTTTTAATTATCGTCACCCGCACGGACCCAAAATGGCTCCCGACGAAAATAACGTAGCACTTGCTATTAGGGATTATGAAAATGGAGTTTTTTCTTCAATTCGGCAAGCAGCTAAAGGTTACAACATTCCTCCAGCGACCCTCCACCGAAGGCTCTCTGGTCATCAAAACCAACATAAAAGTCACATCCACCAACAAAGACTAAGTCCTTTACAAGAGGAATTTCTTGTAAATTGGATAATTGAGCAAGATCAACAAGGATTTCCTCCCACCTTTACCCGAGTTCGAGAAATGGCCCACCGAATTTTGCACATGCTTGGAGATAGTACCCCTCTTGGAAAGGACTGGGTGTTAAAATTTAAAAAAAGAAATCCACAAGTTGCCTCCCTGGTTGGAAGAAGAATATATGCTTCCCGAATTAAGGATAGGCAGCCAGAACAGATCCAGGCCTTCTATAATCTTTTTTCTGCAATCCAAACCAAATACAACATCCAACCAGAGAATATATGGAATATGGACGAGCATGGTATTGCCTTAGGGGTGTGTACAAACTCCCAGGTTCTTGGAAAGGCAGGAAAAAATTATACTTATATTTAATCTCCAGAAACTAGGGAATTGGTAATAATAATTAAGACTATATCTACCACTGGATTCAAGATCCGCCCTTTAGTAAGTTTTAAAGAAAAGACTCCAAAACATCATGGTTTCAGCAGATAATATACTAGACTAGCTTATTACAACTTCAAAAAATGGATGGACTTTAAAAGATATTGCTTTGGAATGGTTACATGCCTCATTTTTGCCCGAAACTAAGCCGGAAGCTGGCGTGTGGCGTTTATTGCTTCTAAATAGCCATAGAAGTTATGAAAATGTGGATTTCTTTAAGAATTGCTATTAACACAATATTTGTGTTATTTTTTTACCTCCTTATTCTTCTCATCTTTTTCAACCTTTGGATTTGGGGACTTTATGCTCAAGAAGCGCTCATTATCGGAAGGAGATTGAAAATCTATTGTGTTTGGATAATGAGCTCCTAATCAAGAAGCAAAGATTTATGTAATGCTACAAAAAGGCCTGAATAGTACAACGACTTTATTAAAAAGTAGCTGGAAAGCCACTGGTCCACGCCCTGGAATCTTTTTTAAACGCTTGCAATCCTCCCAGCTCCGGATACAACAACAAGATCAACCAAATCTTAAAAGACTAAGTACCAAGCAACCTAAAATTTATTCAGATTATCTCTATAGAACACCCTGGAGCCACCAGCATGTGTATATAAATATCGAACTTCTTAGGCAAAAGCAAGAGCTGATAAAACTCTCCGACTAGTTCTTTATAAAATTGGCAAGGCAATTAAATTAATCAACTGCAGACAGAGAAAGCACATCAAGATGCTACTATTTACAAGCAGAAAGCAACAATTGACGATTATCTAGCCATAGAATTAGAAAAAGGTTATCTAAAGATCCAAATACAAGTTTTCTGATAGAGAGAACAATCGGAAGGCGTTAGTGGAGGCGAAGGAGATGAGACAGAGATATCAAGACAAGAATGGGGAAATTGAACTGAAAAAACATCAGATGTAATGTTAAAACAGCCCCTAGAGGACCACCTAGTTGAATTCCAGTTAGATGTAATATCATTGGTGAGATATGGCTTGAAATGTTGAATTTGGAGTGCGGACTTGGTGTCTCAAAGCCGGGGGTGTCTCGGAGCTAGGAGTCCGATCTTACGTTCCTGCAACCTATATGTTGCGAGAAGCCTAGACCCAGTAGACCCAGTAGACCCAGTAGCCCCAGTAGCCCCAGTAGCCCCAGTAAGTATCCTTGGCTCACACGCTTCCGTTGAGTACGCTGTCACTCATCTCTGGAGATTTGACCGGAAAAAGATATCCGCTAAGAGTGTATACGACAGGGTCAACTGATCTGTTCCCTTTTAGCCAAGTCATTTCTGCCATGTCATGCGATCATCACTTGGCCAGAAGCCTCCCTCCGTTGTTTTCATACTAGAGCGACAGAGCTTATCATTGGCACATACCTTTCGCACACTGTATAATACCTGTGGCAAATTGATGACTGAGTATTACCACTTGACCCTGTTCATGGTGCAGCTGCATAGCGTAAAATAGTGGGCTTTTTACCCTTTACCACACGAATGGGTCATGTACTATCCAGGCTCATGGCGAGCTTGCTGGCCCATATAAAGCCTCTCATATTACAAAATACATCATCAGTCTCATTTATGGAAACTGACCTTTCTTTTTCATATATTTAATTTGGCATAGAACTGCTAGTGACATGTCGATCGTTCCGAACCCGGAGGATTTGGGGTGTCACGATTGCCCTGGCAGATTTCCTAAACTGAATTCCGGGAGCAACGATAACAGAAAAACAGCCTTTGTTACCCTGAAGAAACATCATAGCAGGGCCTTGGTGCAAGCTGGCGGAGAATGCACAGTTCCGCTTTCTCGGCTTCTGAAGTTAGCATGGCCAATTCTTTTGGCCAAGTATATTGATTCTAAGTCGGTTACCTTCGGCATCATCTCAAATATGTCTGAGGGTATTACAATTGAGAGATGGTCAGCAGTCATAGACCCAAATATGCCAGTCTCTAGAGCAGTCAGCTTGAACAAGTGTCATGAATCCCCTGTAACAGAAATTGGGTCAGATGGCCAGTTCAACACATACCTTTCTCAAGAAGGGCCTCCTGTTTCCGAAAAATATGATACTCGTACGGACACACATGCTCCTATGGTAAGTAATATAGCCGTCATAGATATGTTTTATTGACTAGACTGGGTGCTCATCCGCCTCTTCATGCAAATAGATTGGTGATATCATGATAAGTGTTGACAACACCACCACGCCACAAGTATACTTTCACTACGTTGTCTCTATACTTGATAGGAGGCATGCTCAGAACGTGGCAACAGTTCTAGGCGCAGTCATTGACTATTTGGTGTTTAGCCCTCTGCAGCCTCTGGCAGGGTTAAACCTGCTCAAGGATTACCATCATAACCTAATATCACGCTGGAACAGTCATGCAGCAGAGAGATCGGCTGATCGCTGTATTCATACTCTTTTCCAGTTAAAATGCTTGGAGACGCCTGGGTCGCTTGCAGTGCGGGCCTGGGATGGGTGTTTCACGTACGCTGAGGTGGATGTATTGTCTACGAAGGTGGCCGCGCGACTAATGGAGTACGGCATTGGCCAAGAATGCATTGTGCCCCTTCTTATGGAGAAGTCAAAGTGGGTGGTTGTGGCAATTTTGGGGGTCCTTAAGGCCGGCGCAGCATTTGTTCTCCTGGATATTTCATATCCCGTTGGTCGCCTTCGGGATATCTGCCAGGATACTGAATCGAAAGTTTTAGTCCGGTCTATTAACGCACCCACTGTTAATCTGTCAAAGAACGTGATTGTGACAGATGATCATATTTTCGACTGGTTCTACCAGCCGCGAAGAGTATTGGTCACTCCTCAGAACGCAGCCTACGTTTCATACACATCTGGTTCAACAGGAAGACCAAAGGGCGTTATCATTGAGCATGATTCATTTTGCACGAATGTGATTGCTACCAGCAGAGCACAGAACCTGTCCAGTTCCTCTCGAGTTTTGCAGTATGCGTCCTTTGCATTTGATGTCAGCATCCAGGAGTGCTTAGCGCCCTTAATCCTTGGAGGCTGCGTCTGTATACCGTCTGAATCACAGCGGATCAATAAGCTGGCCGAAGCCTGTAATGAGCTTGACGTCAATTGGGCTGAGCTTACACCTTCTGTTGCCAGGCTGCTACAGCCAGAAGATATTCCATCGGTTACGACCCTTGTCTTAGGCGGGGAGCCAATCTCACCAATTGATATCACTAGATGGCGACATGTCCAGTTGAAGGCTGCCTACGGCCCAGCAGAATGTACTATCGTATCAACAGTGCAACCACTTTTGAAAGATCCGAGCAATATTGGTTATGCTTTTGTCGGTACGTCCTGGATTGTGGACAAGGATAATGAACTACTTCTACTACCTATTGGCGCGGTTGGGGAGTTAATCATTGGAGGACCGATTGTTGGGCGCGGCTATCTAAACCGGCCTGCCCAAACCAAGGCCGCGTTCATCCAGAACCCTGACTGGGCGTCATCCTTCGGCCTTGACAGGAATTATAGATTTTACAAAACGGGTGATTTGGTCCGGTACAATGTTGATGGGAGTATCGTATATGTTGGGAGGAAGGACAGACAAGTTAAACTACATGGACAAAGGATTGAACTGGGGGAAATTGAATACCATGCGCAGAGTTGCTTGGAAGACTATCATATCACGGTTGATCTCGCCGCATCTAATAATCAGAGGCCGTTCTTGGTACTTTTTGCGGACACGGGAAAGCAGACTGCTGCAGACGCCTCTGCTGGGACCCTGTTCTGCGAGCCAAGCCACAGATTTTGGCAGAGAATGCAACATGTAAAGGCTCGACTACTAGACACGCTCCCGAATTACATGGTACCGGCACTATATATTCCTGTGAGGGAGATTCCCCTCTCGCGAACTGGCAAAGTGGACAGAAGGATGCTACAAAGCGCCGTTGGCCAGTTAACAGAAACCGAGCTTCGAAAATACCGCCCTTCAGATCCACATCATGCCACCAATTCACCAACACCCGCCGAGGAATCATTCCGACAGATTTTTGCAACCGTACTTGGGTTGCCCACCGTTGATATAGGGGTGGATGGCAGCTTCTTCCAGTTTGGAGGAGACTCCATCAGTGCCATATCCGTGGTGGCGGAGGCCAGGAAAAAGGGACTAGAGATCACAGTGGCATCTGTTTTCAAGTATCAGTGCATCCGGAGCTTGGTGGCAAACCTCGAAAATATACAAGCCTATAGCAATAGCGTAGTGCAGCCATTCTCGCTATTGGACATGGACAAGAAATTTCTCTCTAAGCGTGCTGCGGAACAATGCAACATTTTTCCTGGTCAGATCGAAGATATCTACCTATGCACGCCCTTGCAGGAAGCCATGATCTGTCAAACAGTGAGTGACCCGGGCTCTTTCCAAGCGAGGTTTCGCTTCCGTCTTCCTTCCACGATAGATGTGGCTCGCTTCAAGGATGCCTGGAGGAAGGTGATTGCTGCACATCCAATTCTGCGTACCAGGATCGTCCAGCTTGATGCACCTCGAGCACTTCAAGTTGTTGTAAGTGGCGAAGAGAGGGTACACTGGCATTCTCTCGAAAATGTACATGGGAGTATGCAACCTTGCATGTCGCTGGGTACTCCCTTAATCCAGCTTGGTCTGACTACAAAGGCAAGAAGAGAGCCACTGTCATTCCTGCTCAAAATGCACCACGCTATATTCGATGCATATTCGCATAAGATTATCCTTGATGACGTGCAAGCTGCGTATAGGGGCCTGAGTGTCACCCAGCAGTCGTTTCTACCTTTTATACAATATATATCGACTCTAGATATGGACGATGTGAGAGAGTTTTGGAAGCGTGAATTCCAAGGCGTACATGCGCCCGACTTTCCTGCTTTAACTCCAGCTCCCAAGTTCGGTCACAACACCGGTTCTGTGACAAGGATACACCATAGAATTCCAATGCCAAATTGGCCCCGCGGAAGGTATACTCCATCAACAGTGCTACGGCTGGCCTATACACTGCTTATTGCCTGGGCTACCCGTTGTAATGACATTGTCTTTGGCGTCACCATTAATGGCCGCAGTGCGCCTATACCTGGAATTCACAGATTTGCCACCCCGACAATCGCTACTGTACCGCTTCGTACCGTGCTTCAGCCTGATGATAGTGCGGAGGAAACCATGATAAGGATGCAGGAGCATGCTACACGGCTGATCCCATTCGAGCAGACCGGACTGCGATGGATCAAGAATTGCAGTGCTGAAGCAGCATCCGCATGTAAATTCCAGAGTTTACTAGTTATCCACTCATCGCTCTCGAGTGAAGGGCCGCCGGAGATTTTTGGTAAAGCCTTGGACAGCAGTGCCGAACAGTTAAACTTCAACATGCATCCCTTGACTCTCATTTGCGAGCTCGATGAGAATCAATGGATAAAAGTTACAGCCGTGATTGACTCGGCAGTGATTTCTCAGGAGGAGGCAAAAGCGATGCTGCAGAGATTTGAATATTTACTGCACCTTGTGAGGGAGAACCAAGGACTGCCAATCTGTAGGATCATTCCTAATGAGCCTATTGCCGCTTTCCCGAAGTTCGAGCTTAATAGACCTCACTATTTACAAGAAATAGAGAGGAGGGCGCAGCTCTATTTAGGAAATCTGTCCGGGGTAGCAGCTGAAATGGTCCTATTCAAAGGATTAACCTCCAAAACTCTCACTGTCTTCGTCTGTGATAGCGGAACAGGTCTTGACGGGTTGGAGGAGTCCGAGCTGCAGAAGATACCCAGCGAAAGTATTACACAAATGGTATCCAGGCTAGGGGAGTACTTACGACAATTTGTCCCAAAATTCTTGTTGCCTTTTCTATGCCTGCCAACCAAATATATGCCTAAGGTTTCCGCAGGTCAACCAGACAGAGAAATGCTGTGCTTGGCTGCATCCAGACTGTGCAGAACCTCTCTCCAGCACTTTATGTATCCCGTTGCAAGTGAATCCTCGCTGCCTGCGCCATTTCAAGTAGAGAAGGCCCGGAACGTCGTTGCCTGTGCCCTTGGATTGAAGAAGGATAGTATAGGATGCGACGATGATTTCTTTAGCCTCGGTGGCGATTCTATCTCCGCGATGCAGATTGTTGTGTGGTGCAAACAAGATGGATTCGCTTTAACAGTTCCAGATATCTTTCGAGAAAGGAAAGTCGGTCTTATTGCACGCAAATTGACGCCTCATACTACGGTTGTGCCTCCACAAAAGCCTGCTACGGATCCGAATACGAGTGGTCGGTTTCGTTTACTGCGGTTCAGCTCGTATGACGAGATAGCAAGATTCGAAAGCGAAATTAAGGCGAAACTGGGTATATCGAGCATGGACACTGTTGAGGACGCGTACCCTTGCACTAGTATCCATGAAGGGCTGCTGGAGACACAATCCAAGGGTACTATCATATATAGATCCCATACTATCTGGGAAGTAAACACAAACGGTCCCGATAGATATGTTTGCCCTTTTCGCTTACGCAATGCCTGGTTGGCCCTTGCTCGTCGTCACCCTGCACTTCGAACAGTATTAATTAACAATCCTCTTCCTGGGCGGACATGGCAAATGATCCACGTGGTGCTAGATGCTCCACCGGCAGAGGTCCCAGTACTCACAGTCGCAAGTGAAAATCTGATTCATGAGCCCAATTTGCAGGCTGGAGGGGCTGGATCTCCACCGCACCTCTTTACGGTTTACCAAACTCAGACAGATCGCGTCTTTTGTAAGCTTGAAGGCACTCAGGCCTTTCTTGATGCAACGTCTATATCCATTCTTTTGCAAGAGCTTGCACAGGCATATAAAGGAACCTTAGCTTCCGCACCAGGCCCACCCTACAGGTCTGCAGTTGAGTATCTCTATCACGTAAATGACGTCGGCAGCCAAAAACGCTACTGGAAGAAACGACTGGCAACAGCAAAGCCATGTATTTTTCCGCGGCTCAACAGCGAACGGTCGTCCCGAGAGACGCTTCGTGTCACTAGCACCCGGATTCAGGATGCTGCCGCTTTTCGTCACTACTGTGCTGCGAGTGGGTTTACTTTGAGTAATATCTTCCAGGTGGCTTGGGGCCTTACACTCAGATACTATACAGGCCAGGATAGTGTCTGTTTTGGGACGCTTTTCGCCGGGAGAGATATGCCCCTACGAGAGGCGAATAAGACGGTCGGCCCCTTTTTCAATGTCCTACCTTGTCAGCTGGAACTGAGCAGGACGGAATGTTCACTTGACCATCTTAAAAGGAATCAAATTGACATTGCAGACCGACTGTCGAATCAATATCTCTCCCTAACTGATATTCTGAGCTTTTCAAGACCTTGTGGCCGGATGTTGTACAACACTTGTCTATCTCTCGAGCAGCCACTATCGAGCTTAGTAGATAAGGACGGTATTTGTTTTAATGAAGTAGACACGGTTGAGGAAACAGAGGTAGGAATCCAGTACCTCTATCGAAAGACTTGGTGCTAATTGAAAACGTAGTATGGCCTCATTCTTACTATTTTGACTAGAGAATCAATATTTGAAGCAAGGCTGAACTATTGGTCCTCTTTTATGACCGAAGATCAAGCTGCTGAAGTCGGACACAGATTCAGCACATATATTTCAGAAATTTTGGCAGTAATCAGGGAAGGTTGATTTAAGCCTGTGAGATACCAGATGGCAAAGGTAATTAATTGGATGTCACATATCAGTGCACGAATGTTGAAGGGGTTCTAAGTAAGGGTAATAACAGATGAAGCTAGGATATATTTATAGTTAATTGTAATTTTAATTCCTATACTGAAATCCGAAAAGCCAGTTAGTAAATCTAATCTAATAATTTAATAATGGGCTATAACAAGTAAGAAAGCACAGGAGTCTCTTACACAGGCCGTTCGACTATAAAAAAGGCCTCTATGCCTCCTGAGCGCGATAAAAATTCGCAGATAGCCTACCCGGGAACAAGTTAAGTCGCACACGAGCAAGCCAGGAAGCAGAGCCAGGCCAAAATTTCGTCCTTAAGAATATTCCGTGCGATAAAAGGCCACGACTGTGATTTAGCTGCTCTGGAGTGCTCCAGGAGCCATCAGTGCATATTTGGCGCGAGTCCTGGAGCGTAAGTTGATGTGCTCGGATCTCTTCAGAAGCGCTTCCTGAGCGCTTATGTGAGGCCCTCATAAAAGCGGCAGGACTTGTAATAGCTTATACGACACGAGCAGGGCACTCACAGCGAACTCGGAAGGATGGTCAGTTAATAGAATGTCTGTGATTATTTCTATTTAATACAACTGTCCATTTGAGCTGGAGTACTTTCGAACCTACTGTTTCCAATATTAAGTTTGCAACTAATATATGAATATAAGAATATAATTGGCTAATGCTGTTGACTCCTATGGAAGGACACCAGGGTATCTATGGGGTGGGATGTGGTCGTTCCCAGTCAAATTTCCTAACTTACCTCTTTTATTCCTGATATGTCGTCTCGTGTGCGTTAGAACCATCCAGTGGCTTACTATATACAACTGCTAGTTATTCCATCGTTTAGATACTCTCAAGCTGTTCAAATGCTGTACATGGAGACCTTTTCCTCTTTACCCATGTGGATACCGTAATCAGCCTTTCCCATACTGCTCTGCCCTCTCGATTCAATGCTATCCGCGAGATTCACCTAGAGTATTCTCTCCTACAGGGCTTATGCTACGAACGTTCTACAAGCGTTAGCTTACCACCGCCTTATGATGAAACCACATGGGAACGGAGCTATGCCGGCTGCTAGTCAGCATAAAGTATCTTCAAGTCCTTACTTACATTTGAGCGGATCCATTTACTCCCTTGGAAAACTATTAAAGTATGGAACAGACCCAACAAGCAAGGCTGGTTGAGTTACTGGTTTCCTTCCTAATGAATGTTCCTGATCAGCTAGATCAGGGAAAACCGTATAAATTTGTTCGCTCAGTCTATTGTGGTTAAACAAGTTTACTTTACAAGATTGGGAAGATTTTCCTTTGCTATTAGAATCTAATGGGATTTCTAGAATATAACATAATAAATTACAGCAAGATATTATTGCATCACAACGCTGGTTGACAGTAAATCGGCGGCCAAAAACGGCAGCCTGTCGAATGTCAGTTTCCTTTTCAACCAATAGAATCCCGCTCTAATTTTAGTCAGCCACTCTCACGTGGCTTTGTTTACCCTACATTACTGAGCGCTCTACCCCCTACTCACACGTAGTCAGTCCAGGCTGTCTCAGCACTCACAGATCAACTCGCACTCTGCTTAGTTTCCTCAGGTCTCATTGAAATTGCAATATGAGCACTTCCATCGCTTTCGCCACCCAGTAACCCCTATATTGTAATCCAGACAACTTAATTATGTGGGTAAAGTACCTACCATTTCCCTTAAAGACAGCCCGGGACACTTGAACTTTTTCTCCCCTTTCTCTTCTCTTAGCTATTTCCCCGTGACTTGTTTTCTTAATGGTTTTCTGCTATTCTCTTTGTCTTTTATTGTGCTTGTCCATATTACTTGACATTCATTCCAGCTAGGCTGAACGTCGGGAAGAGATTTCCCCATGACTGTTACCAGACTCTGTTACTTATTATATGCCTAATTCTAACTAACCAATCTTTGGCTTAAATTGCGTAAGGAACTATAACGCAAGGATTAAGCTGGTATCTAGATGTAAGGCTATAAAGTAGTGGTGGTAGAGACACGAGCAAGCATAGCAGTAATAGAAATTATAAAACAAGCTTGCTTGGGCAGTTTTAAGCAGTAAATTATACTAGTAAATAGCAGCCCTGGTCACCTATAGCCACTAAGTAGATAAATTAACAGTACAGAAATGCGTAGCCTGGCGTATAGGAGTAGGATCCTGTGTAAAACGCTGGAGCCCGTTTAACCTCTCGGGCCAATTACCCCGTTGTCCTGTTGTCCCTGTGGTCCCTGTTGTCCCTATTACCCCTACGGACCCTACAGGCGCTTTTAGCCCTATTGGCCCTCAACCCATATTACGTAACTTTTCACTTTATCTGTTTACGCTTATTTTCCTCTTCCTTTCTTCCCTTCTTCAACAATTCCTTTTGTTCGTAGCCTATCTTATAGGTTCTAGGGGTTCAGCCCCTAGGAGCGCAGGAGGTATCCAGGGAAGTAGTATAGAGGGAGAACTGCAAACAGTAAGGAGGATACACTGTAGACACTGTGGTTATAAAATTAGCTTGTTATACTGTTTATTTGTAATATTCCTTTTTAGGCCACCGTAGTAGCTAGATACTAGATATAGTATTCCTCTGCTTAAGCAGCGCCTGGGCAACCTTGTATAGTAATATATAATAATATATACTTAAAATAGTTATTGTTCTGTGTGGGTCGATAACGAACTGAATAGTACGCTATGGTGCCAAAGGGGGTACGTATATGGGAGGGAAGATAGGACCACCAGAACTAATCGCTGGTCTTCAAGAGTTCAGGCCCAAGGGTGCGAATATATAAACACTTCGTACCTGACTAAGCATCGTAGCTAAGGATCTGGCTATCACGCTTCTGAGCGCTCCTGTTATAGCCAAGCTCAGGATCTTAACTATTCCACTGGACCAAAAGACCACTATATCTATATCTGATCCCAATGGGGATCAGATATTCCTGAGCGCCTTATAGAGTAGCTCACTGTAATGTCAGGTGACGCACCCACACCTAACAGCTCCTAAAAATATCACACATATAATAACTTAGGTTTTTATATAACTAAAATAAGAAAATCTTCGAAAAGACATACAATTTAGCGATATTCGGGAAACTCCCATTTCCTAATGGGAATATCCCGATTTCAGTAGCGGGAAGGGAATTTCCTTTTTTCATTTACCTTCGGGGTGGGATTTTCCTTTTTTAATTTGCTTCCGGGAAGGGAATTTCCCTTTCTAATCTTAATTCCCAAGGGAAATTCCCGTACGGGAAATGGGACGGAAACGGGAACTGATGCTAAAGGTAAGTGGGAATGGGAATCTCCCGTCCCGAATCCATTCTAATGGGAATCACTTCCCATCAGACTTGGCACGGTGTGGGAATCAAAATGCAATTCCCATGGGACTATGGGATGGGACTGAAGCTCGTCCGTGATCCCGAATCCCGTCCCGACGGTCAGCCTAAATTTCCAGCTTGAAGAGCTAGTCTTTTCTTCCGCTCCTTTAAGTGAACTAAAATCATACTTTTGTAATAGATCACCGCGATGGGTAATTCAGTCCTTTGACTCCAAAAAAAAAAAAGCCCTCGTAGGGTTATGGTCACCTTCAATGCTTACAAACAAGGGGGACGGAGGATAGACGGGATTTGCGAGCTCTGACAATCCTGTTGAAGCACATGGCATTGCCGAACAGTATGCGTATTTCTATGGTCGTGCATTATGGAAAGGTAAAGTCAATTACAATACTGTTCCTTGCGCAGAGGGCCTAACCAAGTATTAATATCCGAAGCTATGTAGATAGTCAGGCGGGTAGTCGGGCCAATTTAATTTGTCTAGACTAATCTGGAGTAAGAAATTGATATTAGTCAATCGCTATATGGGGAGGTGGGAAGTGTGTTGTTGGGTATAGCGCTGACTCTAGGTCGGGCAAAAGTACTTGCTAATGCCCATGGACTTATTCCTTTTTCTTTCTCTTTGTATAATTACTAGCTGACGCCCTGAAATGTCACTGATTGTGTTAGGTGTGGCGCGTCACCTAACATTACAGTGCAGTAAGCAATATATAAGGTGCTCAGGAATGGATCAGATATAGCGGTCATTTAGCCCAGTGGAATTGTTAAGATCCTGAGCTTGGCTATAACATACTGGTCTTTCGGGTATTCTACATAGAAGATTCCATCATTTCAAGACTAAATAGCCTTATAGTCAAGGCCCTGGCTGAGTAAATCAAATACAATTCTCTCCTAATTAGGAGGTACACACTCAACCAGCCCTGGATACGGCGAAAGATCCAGTGCACTGTCTACCTGTCCCAAACTCTCCACCGCTTCACCGAATTTCTTCAACAACCAGTCAGAGCGCCTGTGAGACATGATATGGCTCGAGGACGCCAACAGAACGTTAACCGAGGAGGAATACGGATACACCATAAGCATGACCGGCCATTCCATCGTCTGATAAATCTCCTCCCGCATCGGGATAAACCGAATATCCACTGTCCGGGGCTGTCCATCCAGCGAAATCTGAAACGGCTCCGGGATTTCAAGAGTCACCGTGGTTCCGTAACCGGTGCCCTTAGGCCAGGCAGTGCAGTGAGAGACGATATGCCTAGGCTCCAGCATCTCATAGTCGATCGTGCCCGCGTATTGGTCGTGTACGTGCTGTAGCAGATCCAGCACTGTCCACGATGACGACGAGGTCGGGAACCGGACACGAATAGGAATGGTATTCATGCATGGGCCCATGACACTATCCAGGCCTCCCGGGACCGACACAGAACGCCCGTTGACATGGTGTCCGAAGACGACGTCGGACTGCTGCGTCAGACGCATCAGGACCAGTGCCCATGCGGCTTTGATGACGGTGGCCGTGGTGATTCCCGGCGGCGGAGCCTTGAAGGGAAAGTCTCCAGAGGACATGATCATCGACCGGGAGGAGTTCTTGTTCTGGGCCATGGCTGGGTTATCGGCTCCCAGACGCTCGGATGGAATCATGCAGCTTCCCTGGAGATAGTTTCTCCAGAAATCCTCAGCTGCAGGCGTGGTCTGCGCCCAACGGTACTGTAAGTAGCGAGGATAGTCCACGGCGGGTGGGGCCGTTGCTTGCTCTCCCCGGTACAAGACGCCGAGTTCCTCCAGGAGGGGATCTAGCATGAGACGGTCAAACTGGGCGTGGTTGAGTCGGATGATAAAGAGGTGCTGATTCTGGGCTGGGCTGGCAGACGACGCCAGGGAAACTTGGAAATAGGGTTCCTCCGAGGGCAGAGGCGTCACCACATCGCGTTGGCAGAAATCCTGCAGGAAGTCCTCTAGAGACTGGCCCTGGACGCGATACTGTCGTAGGGGAATCTCTAGCTGCGACAGAATCACCTGGATCATCTCCCCGCGGTGGGGGAAGAAGAGTGTGCGGAGGATCGCATGGCGATTGACGAGGGCCTGACAAGCATGCTGTAGACGATCGGCATCCACCGGCTCTGGGAACCAGCAGGAGAAATGCGTCTTGTGCTCTGCCATGAGCCAGTCCCGCTGGAAGTCCGTCGTGGGAAGAATTCTCTCCACGTTGTCGCAAACCAGGGACTCGGCCTGGCCGAGCTGCAGGTCGTCCAGCGCGCAGGGGCTGGCCAAGTTTGGTGGTTCTGATTGTTGTTGACCAGGACGGTGGTCATTCTGTCCCTGTGCTAACTCCGCCAGAGTGGCTCCCGAAAACGAACGAGATGCCGAGAGAAAGGGCAGTCCCTGCGCATGGGCTTGCTGGACCATCTTCATGGCGGTCAGGGAGTCGCCCCCGATGGCAAAGAATGGATCGTCGATGCCGACTCTGTCCCTCGGCAGGCGTAGAATCTCGGCCCAAATGCGCTGAAGGGTCTTCTCCGTCTCGGTGACGGGTGCCCGTTTGGAGGATCGACTGTGCAAGAAGGAACAGAAGCTATATTCCTCTAGCGAGACGGAGGAGAGAAGCTCGCACTGCCGGCGCAGCTCCGCACGGTCTGCTTTGCTATTAGAATTGAGAGGAACTCGACGCAGGGGAAAGAAGGCCGTGGGGACCATATATGTGGGCAATTGACTGCGCATCCCCATCACTGCCCGTTGGACTTGCTTGCCGAATTGCTCAGTCGGGGGAGCCAGAATGCTGCTGCTGCTGCTGCTGCTGCCGGTGGAATCCGGTTCAGGGACATGGACGAAGAGCCCTAGAAACGGCGCCCCGTTGGAAGGCGTCATCACCTCAGCCCAAACCTGACGGGTATGAGGAAGCTGAGATCGAGCATGGGTTTCGACCTCGCCCAGTTCGAGTCGCTGACCTCGCAGCTTGGCCTGCAAGTCCCGGCGGCGCACGTAGCGGAGGCCACCGTCTACGCCGTACTGGACAAGGTCGCCGGTGCGATACATCCGGGGCGACGCCAGGGACATGGGGAACTGGCGTCTCCAGGACGGACTGGGGATGAATTTCTCCGTCGTGAGGGCCTGCTGGCCGAAATATCCCCGGGATACAATGGGGCCTTCGATCAGAAGCTCGCCCACGGCTCCCACGGGCAGCAGGGTTTGGCAGTTGCTGGGGTCGACCACCCATGCGCGACTTCCCAGGGGACACCCCATATTCCGAGCGTCGTCATCGTCGTCAGGGTCGACGCGATGCGCGGCGGAATAGACCGTGGTCTCCGCGGGACCATATCCGTTGAAGAGCTGGACGTGGCCGCGCCAGACACGGAGATCTTCCGGGGCCACTGGCTCGCCTCCCAGAACCATCGTGGTTCCACGGGGCAGATCCGAAGGGGAGAGGAGCCGAGCCACCGACGGGGTCAACAGGAGGCAATTGACCTGCAGGTCCTGAATGACTCCCGCCAATCGGGCCATGCGGTCTGCCTCGGACGGGATGCACACGCATCCGCCGGCCACCAGGGTGGATAGGATCTCGGCGATGCAGGTATCAAAGGCATGGGACGAGGATTGGAGGACGCGAGACTGCCAGGTCAACGAGAATCGCTCCACCTGCGCTGTGGCCCCGGAGCTCATCGACCGATGTTCCACCACGGCACCTTTAGGACGGCCGGTCGAACCGGACGTGAACACGGCGTAGAGAGGCTGGTCGAAGGCGATCTGCGTTGGGAGTGTGCCCACAACTTCACTCCCAGGGAGGGACGCCAGGAAGGGGCCATCCACGGTAACCACGGAGTCTCCTAGTTGCGATGCCCGAGGGGCGTGTGTCGGCGAGGCGAGGATCAGACTGGCATGAATCTGACGGCATATGTCCTGGATGCGTCGGAGGGGGTGAGACGGATCGAGGAGCAGAAAGGCTCCGCCGGCCTTGGAGACAGCTAGTAAGGCCACGACTGCCCACAGCGACTTTTCGAAGCAGACGGGCACAAATTGCTCCTGGACGACACCGATGCGGACCAGGTGTGCGGCCAATGTTGTAGACAGGTGGTCGAGTTTCCGGTAGGAGAGATCACCGTCCCATGCGTGGATGGCGGGAGCGTCCGGGTGTGTCTTGCAATGTTGCGAGATGAGGTCATGGATGCAGCAGTCCACCGCAGGGGGTGTATGGCGGTTCCATTCGAACAACAGAGCCTGAGACTGGGGGTCCAGTCCGTGGACAGTGTAGTCTTGGTCCATTTGTGTTATCTCAACTGCGAATGACGGGAATAGCGTCAGGATTAAGGAGCATGTCCTTCTCAGCCAGCTCAGTATGACTCCAGTCAGGTAAGACAAGTTCAACTAGCAGACTTGGCTGCAGGGCATCCCATTACGCAACGGATATCACGATACTTCCTGGCGCCTAGATATGTATTACATCGGAATTACGCACATCCACCGATAATCATGATATGATGCAAGCCAAGGATGCAGCCGAGTACGCTGCAGCAGGCTAGTCTGTAGATCAATATATAACAAACTAACTAGGTAATGAGCATGACCATCCCCCGCCCTAGCTACGACCGCTTTTGACACCGTGTATCTGGCGATGCATCCACTAATGCGCGTGTTAGCTCACCCCAGGACCAGGAGGATCGAAAATATTCCTACCTCGCCAAAGACAAACGGTTCGGTTATGGCCGGCCGGTCGTCGGAGACGCAGTCACGCAGGCAAGAAATCGTGGCATTGTAATCTGCATTGAAGAAGAACGGAACGGAGTAGCGTTCTTCTCCAGTCAGATTGATCCCCCGGTGGGGAGTGGACTGGAAGATGCCATTAGAACTGTAGTGGAGGATATCCCCGATATTAACCACCAGCGTGCCCGGGATCGAGGGAGCCGCAATCCACTCCTGCCGGGCGTTCTTCACCTGCAACCCGGAAACGCCGCCTTGATGCAGGATGGTGAACAGGCAGATATCCTACACCCTGTCAGTCTAGATCCTTCCTAGGAGTATGGATTGTACGCACTGTATGGGCCCCTGTAGCCGCAGGTTCGGTCTCAGGATTACAGGCATAGTAGTGCATGAGGCGACAGATGGACGGGGAGTGCGGCCGCACTAGGGAATCAAACGAGTCCTCGGGCACGTCCAGCGCGAGGGCAAATATCTGCAGTAGTCGACGGCTGAACTGCAGCAGGCAGCGATAATAACGCAGCTGAGCCGGGTAAAAATCCGGTAGGATGGCATCGTCCGGCCATTCATTCGGCCCATACAGGCCACAGGGATCGGTGGGCATCTGGTCGTCCTCGGCCTTGTCTGGATCGCCCGCGAGCTCGTATCCAAAGGCCAATGACTCGAAGCCAGAGCCTCCCGAAACACGCATGTGCTCCTGCGCATCGTGAGGCAATGCATCGGAGGTGGGGTGGTAGCCAATAAACTCCTATCCCGATGAGCTCATGAAAAGAGGCAGTGAAGTAGATCTTACATTCCCGCGAGTGCCAGCGTACTGCCGCATCTTGGTCTCCAGGGGAAGTGCAAAGTACTGGCGTGCTGTGTCTTGCATGTCGTCGAGAAACTCGTCTGGAATGCCGTGGTTCTAACATGGTCAGCACCGAGAGGGTCAGCTTGCCGTCGTCGAGTCTGACCTTGATATAGAAGAATCCCACGGTCGTGGCCACCGCATAAATGTCGGCTGCCAGGCTCTTCTGGTCCTCGACGCTGGAACTGGACAGTCGGGACAGGTCTACGATGGGAATCTGCGTGAACTCTCGCTGGACGTGCTCTGGAGCACCGATCGTGCCAAAGCGCGCTTCGAGGGGTTTTTTCTTGAAGACAGACATTGTTGATCACTTGGAGACTCTGCTTTTCTCTCTCTGTCTCTCTTCCTCTGTCTCCCCCTCTCTCTTTCTATATATACACCTTGCCTAGGCGCGGATTGTAAATACGAACTATGATGCAATGTACAAATGTCGCAGGATTGAATTACGTAGGAGATTCTTCATCCTGGTTAGAACTGACATACTAGTGGGAACGGAATGTCCGATATGTAGCCCGGCAGAGCTCTTACCCTATAGATATTTAACTTGGCCTCGTCTAGATGGAGTGACGGTTATCTCGAGATTCATTCTACCTGTACCATGGGTTTATCCTCTTTCGATATGCCGAGCAACTCCCTGGGTTCAGCAACCGGGGCTCCATCCGGGCTGTTCCCCGTTATAAACGACGGCATTATACAGCCTGAGTCGGCTGAAGACGCAGTCACTATAGACCCAGTCGTGCTGGAGGAGATGCTGCTATTCTGTCGGCGTGCCAAAGTCCCGGTTTCCCACTTTCTCGCAACCATATGGGCAGTTATCCTGCGCCAGTACACCGTCCAGGATCAAATCCAGATGCAGCTGAAGACAGGCAAGGATATGAGAGAGCAGGGCACCATCCTGTCCACCAGCGTGGAGCCACGGCAGGGGATCAGCGACTTCTTTTGGCGAGAGGCATGGCACATTGCACAGGGCGGATCCACCACCTCTCCTCCTCCGAATACGATGATTGTTTTCCCTGAACAAGGGCTCTCTGGAGTGGACCCGGTGGGTAGCACCTCCATGCCTCCTGTCATGTTCTGTCTAACTGAGCCTGTAGCATTGCGATATCATGCTGGCTTTCAGCACCGACGAGGAGCCTACCTTAACCGTGCAATTCAAGCTGGCGACACTGTCGGCCGGCCATGCACGACTCCTCGGTGATCTCCTGGCTCATTATATCCGCAGCGCAGTCTACCAACCCGAGCAATCAGTACGAGACATCTCTCGGGTTGATCTTTCCCCGCATGGAGACGTCATCCGACAGTGGAACACGCGTCCAGGCCCCCGAAGCCCGGGCATCGCAATCCACAGTCTGATCCGCCTGCAGGCACTGCGGAACGGTCACCGGCCGGCAATCCACGCCTGGGATAAAGCGTTGTCCTATTGGGAGCTGGATTGTCTGTCGACTCGGCTCGCCATACGGCTTCACGCCCTAGACATTGGCCCTAGATGTCTGGTCGCCGTCTGCTTTGAGAAGTCCGCATGGGCGATCGTCAGCATGCTCGCGATCAACAAGACCGGCGCGGCGTTCGTCCCTTTGGATCCCTCCCAACCACGCCAACGACTGGAGACCATCCTGCAGCAGGTGCCCGTCGCTGCCCTGGTGACTTCGGCGCAGCACGCCGATATCGTTCCCGGGAGCCCCCTGGTCCGCATGGTCATCCCGGGGGAAATGATGGAGAGCTTGCCGGTGGATGAGAGGAATACCATTCTTCCTCGTCCCACGGCCGACGACCCAGCATACTGCCTGTTTACATCCGGGAGCACGGGAACGCCACGCGGATGCCTGGTACAGCATGCCGCTTTATCCAGCGTGGCCAACCACAGCCAGGCCCTGCGGATCGATGCCGGCAGTCGCGTGCTGCAGTTCGCCTCATTCGCATTCGGCATCTCCCTCATCGAGATCTGGTGCACCCTGACCGCGGGAGGCGTGGTCTGCATGCCGTCGGGGGCGGATCGTAACGATCACCTGGTGGACGTGATCAACGAGATGAAGATCGACTGGGCATTGATGACGCCCACCACGATCCAGCTCCTGCGACCCGAGCAAGTCCCGGGTCTGCGCATCGTCGGCGTGGCCGGGGAGCCACTGCGACGGGCGCAGATCCAGCTCTGGGCCGACGCCGTGCATCTGTTCCAGGCCTTTGGCTTGACTGAATGGGCCGGCATCTGCGCGGTCTCCCGCCAGGTGGGCACGAGCACGTCCAGCGCCGTCATCGGAGCCAGTGCTGGGGGCCGGTTCTGGCTGGTTGACCCGGACGATCATCACCAGCTAGCCCCTATCGGAGCAGAAGCAGAGCTCGTCATTGAAGGGCCGAGTCTGGCGCAGGAATACATGAACCACCCCGAGCAGACGGCGGCTAAATTCATCGCTCCGCCGACGTGGTGGATGGGTTCAAATCCTGCGGCCTCGACCCGGCTGTACAAAACAGGAGATCTCGTCCGATACAACACCGACGGCAGTCTATGCTATGTCTCCCGCAAAGGATTGCAGACGAAAGTGCGAGGCCAACGCGTCGAGCTCGGCGAGGTCGAGTATCACCTGAAGCAGGCGGCCGCCGAGGAGATCAAAACCGTGGTAGACATCGTCCAACTGTCGGGCGAGGAAGATGCCACCCTGGCAGCGTTTCTTCTGGCAGAACGACCGCCGGGAGAACGGCCTCAAGGCCATCTAGAGGGAGCCCAGAACTGCTTCGTGGCCGCCACGGCCGATCTGCGAACGGCCATCCTCCAGGCCCGGGCGACACTCCAGGACACGGTCCCGTCTTATATGGTGCCGGGGCTGTTCATCCCCATCTCGTATCTCCCGGTGACCGTGTCGGGCAAGACAGATCGACGGCGACTGCGGGAGATGGCGCAGCAGTGTTCACGGGGCAAGCTCACGGCGCTGACCAGGGACGACGAGCCCATCCAAGAGCCACAGACCGAGACCGAGCGCCTGCTACAGGAATGGACGGCGGAGGTTCTCAATCTGCCGTCGCCGGAGGTCGGCATGAACCAGCATTTCTTGGAAATGGGCGGCGATTCTGTGAGCGCGATGAAGCTGGTTGGACTGGCTCGTCAACGGGGCGTCGCGCTGACAGTTGCGGATGTCTTCCAACATCCTTCTCTTGGGGCTCTGGCGCAGAGATTGACATCTTCCGAGACACCCCAGGCGGGTCCGAAAGAATTTGAACTCCTACCAGAGAGTAGCAAACGAGAGTCGCTACTCACAGAGATCGCCGCGCTCTGCTCCGTCACAACGGACGAGATCGACGATGTCTATCCTTGCACAGCCATGCAACAGGGCCTGATGGCACTCTCGGCCAATCAAGCTGGCGCCTGTCTCGCTCGCTTCCAGTATGCCATCCAGCCGGGGGTGGACGTAGCCCGTCTGCAAGCAGCCTGGATGCAGGTGGTCGAAGCCAACGCCATCTTCCGCACGAGAATCGTCCAGACCGGCGCTCACGGAATGCTCCAGGTAGTCCTGCGTCCGCATACTTTCCGGTGGGACGAGGCAGGACCCAGCCTATCGAAATATCTCAAGAAGGTGGACGAGAGACGCATGCATCTGGCAGATGCACTGATAGCGGCAGCCGTCATCGACTCCATGTTTGTCCTCACCGTCCACCATGCTCTCTGTGATCGATGGTCCATGCAGACAGCGATGCGCCAGCTGGAGCATTGCTACACGCATGGATCCTCCCCGGCCCTGCCTGCATTTGCATGTTTCGTCTCGCATGTGCATCAGCAACATCTGCGCCAACACCAGCATCAAGAGTACTGGCGAGACTATTTCCGGGATCTCGACGTCGAGATATTCCCTGCTATCCCAGCCACACACACTCCAGTGGCAGACAGCAAGATTGAGGCCCTCGTCCGTCTGCCCACGGGTGTCCTCCCTCGCTGGACCATGGCGACTCTGCTGCAAGCCGCATGGGCAATCGTCGTGGCGCATCACACCTCCTCCGCGGACGTCGTCTTCGGCGCCACGGTCAGTGGACGAGGGGCTGCTCTGCCCGATGTCGACCGAATCTGCGGTCCGACCATTGCGAACGTGCCGGTGCGAATCGGTCTGGACCGGGAGGAACCGCTGGCCCGACTGCTCGACCGGGTCCAGCAGCAGATGGTGGCGATGATCCCGTTTGAGCAGGACGGGGTGCAAAACATCCGCGGCTACAGCGACGAAGCGGCCATTGCCTGTCGATATCAAAGCCTGCTGGTCGTGCAGCCTCGCTGGGAGACGCCGGCGCCGCATCTCTGGTCCGACAGCCATCAGGATGCCACCGCCGTCGGGGCGTTCGCCGCGACGGCATTGTCTCTAGTGTGCAGTCTGACGGATTGTCCTCGCGAAATCCGCATCGAGGCCATCTTCGATGCTCATGTCCTCCCACCGACTCGGGTCCAGCGTCTGCTGCACCATTACGAGTCGATCCTCCACACCGCCGTGCAGGATCTTTCGCAGACGATGGGGACGTTGGCTTCCATCACGCCCGAGGAGCTGGGCGAGATTCAGGATTGGCATCGTCGATTGCCTCCCCCGACGACGACGACGGCCTGCGCGCATCAGCTCATCGATCAGCAGGTTCGCCAGCGCCCTGAGGCCCCGGCAGTCAGCTCCTGGGACGGCGACCTGACTTATGCGGAGCTGGACCGGCTCTCCACCACGCTGGCCCGTCGACTCGCCCTGTGGGGAGTGGCGTCGGAGCAATTCATCCCCGTCTGTCTGGAGAAGGGCAAATGGTCCGCCGTCGCCGTGCTGGCGGTGATCAAGACGGGCGCGGCCTTCACGCTGCTGGATCCATCCCATCCGGTGGACCGGCTCCGGACGATTTGCCATACCCTCGGGGCTTCCGTGGTGATCTCGTCCGGGACGCAGTGGGCGGGAACCCTAGAAACCGAAGTTGAGCTCGTCGACCCGGAAGAGGTGGAGGGAGCAGAACGATCCGAATTATTCGAACTACCAGAATCGCACCCGGATCAAGCCCTCTACGCCGTCTTCACCTCCGGATCGACAACCGGCCAACCGAAGGGTGTAGTTATCGAGCACCGAGCCTTCTGCAGCAGCGCGCTGGCGCACAATCCGCTGCACGGCGTCGGGCCGACCTCGCGAGTGCTGCAATTCGCCTCATACGCATTTGATATCAGCATCCTGGAGATCCTGAGCACCCTCATTGCCGGCGGTTGTGTCTGCGTGCCGTCCGAGGAGCAACGTCGGGACGCCGTGGTCGAAACGGCCAACCGTCTGCGCGTCACCCATGCGTTCCTGACGCCTTCTATCCTGCGCGGTCTGGATCCCATGCAGCTCGAATATCTTGAGACCCTCATCCTGGGTGGCGAGGCGTTGCTCCCGTCTGACCTGTCGCGGCTGATGGGCCAGCGATTCCGCGTCCTGAATGAGTATGGGCCGGCGGAGTGCGCCGTCACGGCCACCGTGACGCAGGCCCTGCAGGAAGGGGACGATCCGAGGAATATCGGCTTCCCGGTCGGGTCCCGGTGTTGGATCGTCGATCGACGCGACCATCATCGACTGGTGCCCATCAGCGCCGTGGGAGAACTGGTCATTGAAGGTCCCACGGTGGGCCGAGGATATCTCGCCGATGCAAATGCGGACCAGACGTCGTATGTCGAGCCACCCGCGTGGCTGCAGCAGCAGGTGCTGCCCGGTAAACGCGTCTACAAGACCGGCGATCTGGTGCAGTATCATCTCGACGGCTCCCTCCAGTTCGTCGGCCGAAAAGATCGCCAGATCAAAATCCGCGGGCAACGCATCGAACCCGAGGAGGTCGAGACTCAATTGCGACGCTGCTTCCCCGGCCTGCATGATGGTGTCGTTGAAATGGCCATATTCGGAGAGGCTCAGACGGCAGCTCTGGTGGCATTTGTCCAGCAGGAGCATTTCCGCGCCAGAGAAGGCGCCAACTTGTTCGTGCCCCCCTCGGAGGAGTTCCAACGCGATATCGGCATTGCGGAAGGCCTCCTGCGACAGCGGCTGCCGGGGTTTATGGTGCCGGCGGTCTTTCTCCCTGTATCCTCCATCCCCCAGACCGGGACCGGCAAGGTCGATCGACGACGACTACGTGCCGCGGTAGAGCGGCTGACGGACGCAGAACTGCAGGCGTATCGCGTGCCAGGCTGCGATATAAAACGGGCCCCGGAGAGCGAGCAGCAGCGAGTGCTGCAGGCGATATGGGCGATGGTGCTCCACCGCGAGACGGACTCCATCGGCCTGGATGACCATTTTTTCTATCTGGGGGGACATTCTATCCACGCTATGGAGGTCTCCAGCCAAGCTCGCGCGATGCACTGGGACCTGACCGTGTCGGAGATCTTCGCCCATCCGGTCCTGGAGCACCAGGCCTGTCTTCTTCGACCGTCAGCCGGGGCTGATGATTCCGTGCCCGTCCCCTTCTCCCTGATCGGGGAGGATATGGTTCGCGAAGACCTGGTGCAGACGGCCGCTGAGCAGTGCCGGATTCATCCCGACGAGGTCCAAGACATGTATCCGTGCAGTCCGTTCCAGGAAGGACTGCTGGCTCTCAGTGCGCGACACTCGGCCTCGTCCTGCGTGGGACAATGGGTCTACCGGCTGCCCTTGGAGGTGGATATCGAGCGTCTGCGCGAGGCCTGGGAATGCGTTGCCCAGAGACATGCCATTCTGCGCACTCGCATGGTCCAAGGCCCGGACCGTCGCTTGTATCAAGCCGTGGTTGGTTCTGTCTCCCTCTGGTGGCAGGTATGCCCTCGTCTGTCGGCCACCAGCATGGAGGAGATCCGAAGAGAGATGATGATGGGCTTGGGACGGCCGCTGGTGCATCTACTCTTGCATGAGCAAACCGCTCCTCGTCTCCTGCTGACGATGCACCACGCCAGCTACGACGAGGTTTCCATGCGTCACATCCTGCACGACGTTGAGGCGGCCTATCGCGGATTCCACGGTTTGGTGACCCGTCCATTCGCCCCTTTCATCCAGTTCTACCTGCAGAGAGCAGCGGACCCCGCCGACGAACAGTATTGGAGACAAGCCCTAACGGATCTCGCGGCGACGCCGTTTCCTGACCTCCCAACCGCCTCCTACCAGCCATCTTCGTCCAAGGTGCTGGAGCACCGAATGAGTCTGAGAGCCCATCATGAGTATCATCGTGCCGGCGTCACACGCGCGTCCCAGATCCATCTGGCCTGGGCCATTGTGCAGTCTCGCTACCAGCGGAATCCCGACGTCGTCTTCGGAGTGACTGTATCCGGTCGATCCGCTCCAGTGCCTGGCATGGAGCGTATTTCTGGGCCCACGATTGCCACCGTCCCTCTCCGCCTGGTGCTGGATCCGCAGCAGCCGCTGGGGGCGTTGGCGCACCGCGTGCAGGACATCCGATCGGCGACCATCGCGCACGAACACGCTGGGTTGCAATCCATTCGCCAGTGGGGATCGGATGCGGCACAGGCCTGTTCCTTTCAGACGTTGCTGATCGTGCAGCCCGGGAGACAGTATGACCCCCACGGCTCTGAAGGCCTGCTACAGCTCGTCGACTCGGTGACCGACTGGACTGCATTCAGCAGCTACGCGCTATTGCTCGCATTTGAGCTGCACGAGGGAGAGGGAGAAGACGAAGAGCGGGTGGTCCTACAGGTCTGCTTTGATCCGGCCGTCATCCCAGAGCCACAGGTGCATCGGGTGGTGGCCACGTTTACAGAGGTGTTGCAGCATTTGATCCTCCATCCCGAAACGCGTTTGCAGGATCTCTCATCGATCAGCCACCGCGACTATCAGGAGATCGTGGCATGGAACAGTCGTCAAGAGTCCATCGCCACCAGCTATCACTCGGTCCATCAGCGGATCCACGAACAATGTCTCCGACATCCGGACTTCCCGGCCGTCTGCGCGTGGGATGGAGATTTCTCCTCCCAAGAACTGAATGTACTATCCACCCGTCTGGCCGAACACCTCAGCCAGCAGGGCGTGCGTCCGGAAGAGGTGGTTCCCCTCTATTTTGAAAAGTCGCGATGGACGACTGTGGCCATCCTGGCCGTGCTCAAGGCCGGCGCGGTCTTTGTTCTGCTGGACCCGTCGCATCCCCTGGAGCGTCTCCGCGACATGTGTGAGCAGGTCCATGGCCGGGTCCTACTCGTCTCGGAGCGCTGCATCGACATGCCTACCTCCCTCTGCGCCGTTCAGATCCCCGTGGGGGACCACTATCGCGACAGCTGGCCCTGCGTGCCGCAGGGTTGGACCGGCCCCCCCACCAGCCCCAACCAGGCCTTGTATATTGTCTTCACGTCCGGATCCACGGGGAGACCCAAAGGCGTGGTGATCGAACATGGCGGCTTCTGCTGTGCGGCGCAGGCGCACGCTCAAGCCCTGGGACTGGACCAGACGTCGCGGATGCTCCAGTTCTCGGCGTACGCGTTCGATATGAGCGCGATGGAGACGCTGACGACCCTGCTGATGGGAGGCTGTCTCTGTGTGCTCTCTGAGATGCAGCGTCGCGAGAGTGATCGCTTCGTGGAGGCGGTCCAGTCTCTGCGTGCCTCCCATGCCATTCTAACCCCGTCCTTTGCGCGCTCCATCCCGGTCGACCGCTCCCTCGGCTCGCTGAAGGTATTGGGTCTGGTCGGAGAGAAAGTCAAGCAAGGGGATGTCGACAAATGGGCCTCCACGCTGCACCTGGCGAATACCTACGGACCGGCCGAGTGCTCTGCTCTGTCGGTCATCCAGCCGCAGCTGGGCCATCAGCACCCGAGTACGATCGGTTTTGGCACGGGATGCACCACCTGGGTGGTCGATCCCGATGATTATCATCGTCTGGTGCCCATCGGGGCCACGGGTGAGCTCTTGATTGAAGGTCCCATCGTCGGCCGTGGGTATATCAACCAGCCCGAGAAGACGGCCGAGGTGTTCATCGGTCCCCCTGCATGGCGTCGTGAACTACCCTTACCGTGGGGCCGTCTCTACCGGACGGGGGATCTGGTCCGCTACGATGCATCTGGGGCCCTGGTCTTCCAGGGACGCAATGACACCCAGGTCAAGGTCCGCGGCCAGCGACTGGAGCTGGGCGAGGTGGAATCTCGCGTTCAGTCCTACTTCCCGGGTGCATCAGACGCAGTGGCTGAGTTGGTCGATCTGCACGGCGGAGACCTTTTGGTCGTATTTGTTCTCCCAGAGAAAAAGACGGCGTCAGCCCCAGATCCAGCATCATCGTCGCCCTTGGCCCCCTATAGCGCGGAGTTCCGGGCGGACGCCATCCAGGCCGAATGTCTGCTCCGAGAAGTCCTTCCTGATTACATGGTGCCGGCCCTATTCCTCCCCTTATGGCGCATGCCGCACACAGCCAGTGGAAAAGCCGATCGAAGATGTCTTCGAAAGGCAACCGCGGACCTGTCTCCGGAGGAGGTCCAGCTCTATCGCGAAGAGCCTGCTCAGCAGCAGCAGGGGGAAGAAGAGCAGCAAATGTTGAGCGAGGAAGAGAGGAGCATGCGCGAGGTATGGGCAGCGGTACTTCGCCTGCCTCAGTCGAGAATCCGCGCGGATAGCCACTTCTTCCGGCTTGGGGGCGACTCCATCGTGGCCATGAAGGTGGCCCCCATGGCTCGAGAGCGTGGACTGGGCATCACCGTGGCAGACGTCTTCGAGACTCCCCGACTGCGAGAGCTGACCATGGTGGGGATGCAGAATGCGCCCTGGCAAAAGGGTGGCCAGAAACCCGTCCCCCTGGCGTTGTCGCCGCTGGAGGATCCTTTCGAGTATTTCCAGTGTCTCCAGGCCCTGGGGTTAGTCCCGGCGCAGTCGGAGCTGGAGGACCTGTTTGCGGCCGCAGACGTGCAGTCATTTTTTCTGAAACGTCGCACGACGCACCATTATACCTTTACACTGACCGGAAGAGTCGACGTGGACCGTCTGCAGCAGGCTTGCCAATGGGCCTTGGAAAGCTTCAGCGTCCTCCGCACGTTCTTTGCCCGGCATGGAGACCAGCATCTCCAAGTGGTTCTGCGCCAACTCGAGCTTCCTTTCCATCATATCACCGGCCTCGCGGATCTGCCCGCTTTCCAGAAGTCCTTATGGGATGCCGATCGACTGAATGAGGTCCTTCCGGCCTTACCGGCTCGGTTCATGCTGCTGTCGAGCCGCGATGCCCAGGAACATGTCTTCATCGTGCGCTTACTGCACGCCCAGTGGGATGCTATCTCCATCCCGGTGCTGTTCAATGCCATCGCCACCAACTACAATGTGACTGCGCCACCGTCGCCCCCCTCGACGGACTTCTCTGACTTCCTCCATTGCCGTTCGCAGCAGCCGAAGAGTCCAGCCTTGGAATTCTGGCGTAGCCTGCTCGAAGGGTCCCGTATGACTTCACTTCCCACGGGAGTTGACAGATCATCCGACTTGCCTACCACCACGCTGTGGGAAAACCAAGAAATCCAGACACCGCACCAACCACCCACAGGGATCACCATGGCGACGCTAGTCAAGACAGCGTGGGCGTACGTTCTGTGGACCACGACCGGCGAGCGGGACCTCACCTTCGGCCAGACGGTCAACGGCCGCAGCCTGCCTCTGCCCGGCGCCGACTCGATCCTGGGACCTTGTATTAGTATCATCCCCGTGCGCATCCGACTCGATCCAGCCAGCTGGAGTGTACAGGATCTCCTACAGATGGTCCAGGACCAACATACCCAGAGCCTTCGGCATGACTTTGTGGATCTCTCTGATATCGTCGACCATAGTACCGCGTGGCCTAAAGGCACTGAGTTCGCATCGATTGTGCAGCATCAGAACTTTGATTTCGACTACAGACTTCCTCTCCAGGGTCTACAGTCGAGATTTTCCCTCCAGCATAATTTCTCCCCAAGATCGGAGCTGTTCATCTTTACGTATCCGCTGCCGGACCGGCTTCTAGTACAGGTGTGCGTGTCGACAGCCGTGATGGAAAGGTCGAGGGCTGTAGAGTTGTTGAATCAGTTGTGCGGGACAATCAAGGCTTTTGCTCATAGTCCTGAGAAACGCCTGTGTGATATTGGTGAGGTGTCTGTCTAGGAATCTCATCTCATCTTATTATAAAAGTTTAACTCTGAAGAATCGAACACAATTCAAACAATCCCTGCAGGAAATATCTGCGAGCGCCTGCTTTGCGCAAGGAATGTAGATATTTCTCAGAATATCTGGATAGCTACGAATTACTGGCGTTAACCGAATAGATGAATTAATGGATGGACGGCGGATATGGCAACATCAATGATCCACCTGCTTGGTAAAGGATAGGAAGCGTGAGAGACCATACTCTTGGTAGTCTATTCTACAGATTAGAGGACCATTAGGGCTTTCTTTTTCTTGCACCTATCATCTTCGCCATATTGATCTGGGATTATCTCAATGAAATGTGATTAACTCCAAGCGTATGACTATTATATTTCCCTCTCATGCAACCAATTAATAGCATAGAACTATGAATCCGTCTCAGGTCAATCTTTTCTGTCTTCACTTCTACTATCGTATATCATTTCTTTCTAGTAAGACCTCCAGCAGATCCGACTGCTAGATGCCAGGATGCGCGGAAGGATGGGAGAATACACCAACAGTAGGGCATCCTGAGTTCTTTCTATGGGAGTTTAAGAAATAAGCTATCCGTCAGTCCTGATGGTAACATCTATTGGACATGGCTCAGTATAGTTGTATTTCGAGTGAAGATGTCTGTTAGGGATATAACCTATTTCTGGCGCTACAAGGACATACTCTGTACGCTATTATGTTGAAAGGCCAATCTATGTTCCATAGTATCTATGAGGATACAAGGCTATATTTCTTAGTCAATACCAGTATTTAAAGACTTATATGCCAAGTACTATCGCGGCATTCTTTCTTTCTCAGTCGAAGACGCCAAGCAAGCAGCAGCCCTCAATCTGTAGAGACGCTCGACTCCTAAAGCTTCCGACGGTCCATTCTGCCTATACTCCGTGTTCTGTGGGGACAAATTAATAATGGATATGATACAAGGTCATATGAATGATAGAACTTCACTGGAACACAATATCGACAAAATCCCCCGCCTGTTGATAATTTCTCGGATACTAGAGAAGCTTAGGACTGAGCTGTTTTCAGGAAGGTATTCCATGCCTCCGAATCGATGTCCAACCGTCAAATCCCAAGTCAGCTAGTAACCTCATAACTGTTGATACAAATCTTTTTTGTCCAGCATCGTGCATGGGTGCTGCAAAATTGGTTGAATAAGTCCAGCCCCCGATGGAAACAAGTACTTTAAGGTTACGATTCTTTTCAACAAATTGCTGCTTCATGCATCCATAAACATTCTTTCCGCGTTCGAGCCATGAGTAGCCCCGATAATGCTTCAGATCCGCATAGGTGTCCGAAAGATATACCTCCCCTGTCTCACCGTGAATTTTGGCAAAGGCATACAGAACATGTGAGCCAGTGAACAGGAAGATCCTTGGGGTTGTGATTGCGCCCATAAATTGCCTGACTAGTAGTTGGTCAAAATATCAGCGAGGCCATGCCATATACAAACGATGCGCTGACCCAGTTCTCAAAGTAAGCAACAGATCAAAGCCAAGGTTCTCCTAGTCTTAATGGCGCTACTATGCCCGCACGTCGTACTTACGGCTACGTTTGCATAACAGGAGTCGCTAGTTGGGAGGATAATGATAGTGAAGACTAACCCTTTTAAAACAGATTGCGTGGAGCGCGAACATAGTGGATCAAGATTGGACTTCTGTATGTATTTAACGTGGCTTAATTTTGTTTCAGCGGAAAAGGCATTTATTCTGCTATTCTCTTCACTCTAGAAGCTAGCAGTCTGTCCTTAGAATCATATCTCGCAGCCAAATTTTCAACCCCCGGTGGCCATCCGTTAGTATACATTTGTAAATAGAATGCCTGTTAATTATGCATCTAGGTTCACTGTGAGACAGAAGCGCATGATATTTAGGGGTTGATACATCACAAATTGTCAGCAATATGTCCTAATTTAAACCTTCGAGTGACTACCGCATTTAAATAACTACTTCCGGCTAAATTACTAATAGGGGATCTTCATGCACGTATAGCTTAGCAGAAGTCCCGTCTCCAGTATACAGACGATGTGAGAAATGCCCAATCCAGGCTACATATGCCTATTAAGTCAAGAAAAGATTCCACGATATGTACAAAGTGGGCTAAATGATGCCGTCCGTATAAGAACCCTGAGGTAATTTCTGAGCATCATACTCCAGGCTGTTCATTATATACCTAATCTTTAGGGAACTGAACCTCAAAGCCCATTATCACATTATCGACTCAGCACATAGGTCAATGGAGTGTCAGTGTGGCATAGTAGGTACTTCGTCTGAAATCATCTCATGGAATAGTATTCCGAGGCTAAGAGAACAATGTGAAATGCTGCTACAGAGTTGCCTTTTTTTGGGGCCGATTACTTGTACGTAGGGATGTAATATTGTTGACGGTAACACGCCCCGATCCGGTCAGGCCTGTTCACTGAAGATTTGACCCCGACCAGAATGAGAAGGGTAAATGCCAGCAGTTCTATGCTGTGAACAGTAAATCGGCATCACACTTTCACCAAGGCAATTCCACTTTGAAGATAGCGAGCTATGGCAAAAGACAAGAACCCTCCAAATTCCATAACCCCACTGAAGACAATCATGCCCGTATAACTCCCTCCCCAGCTCTTGATCAATGCGCCGCCAATAGGGCTGCCAAAGAGCGCGCCCAGGCTCGCCATTCCATACATTGTGCCAATCCGCTGACCGACCTTGCCCAGCGGTGAGATCTGTGCCATAATAGTTGGAGCTAACGACACGAATGCACCCGAGGCAAAGCCAAAAACTGACGCAAACACAATGATGCCAGTATTCGACGTTACCGGGATGTAGATTGCCAGTATACATATAGATGCAATACAGCTCATGATTAACATGATATTAAATCGGCCGAACCGGTCAGCAAGATAATTGGGTATCGTTCGGCCGAAGAGACTGCAATGGGCCAGAGTGGTTAGCCATATCCTGCGAGAGTAGTCTTTCAAGTACTCAATCGAGCCAGAGCAGACTGATTGCTCCGGCCTGGGTTGTTGCCCGAAGCTCAGAAGTCTCATGGACACAGGTCACATCGATCCCAGGGGTTAATTCATACCTGGCTCCATTGAAGATGGCTACCGTATAGACAGCCATGTCCTGGCTCATACCTAGGTGTTCTGCCTCCGCGACCAAGTAGTTGACCGGAGTAAATAGACCAAATGAGAATAATAAGGTCCCGATACTCACGATAATGAACTTCAAGTCTTGGAATGGTTCAAGATAGTCCTGGATTCCACCCACGTTCCTTGGTGGTGGGAGGCGTGTCCTAATTACTAGATTTGCGACCACTAATAATCCCAGAATAAGAAATGCAGATATCCGCATACTCCAGGGGAAATCCACTTGTGGAAGCAATTTATTAATCATGATAGGGAATATTACCCCTCCTAAACTGGAGCCAGACGTGACAATTCCAGTTGCTAATGCCTGGTGTTTGGTAAACCAACCCGGTGTAGCACCTAATGCTACATAAAAGCACATACTGGCACCAATACTGCTGCAAATCCCTTGAGAAAGCAGGAACTGGTAATACTTTGTGGACAATGATGCCATCATAAGACCGAAGACGTGCAGAAAAGTCCCAACCAATAAAAGCCATGGCGGACCGTAACTGTCGAGGACTTTGCCAATAAAAGGACCTCCCAAGAACATAAAGAATACCTCAAGTGATGTAATCCAGGAGACAGTGCTAGAGTTATAGGTTTTCAACTGATGTGTTTCGTAATAACCCTGAAATATGCCAATGCCTGGGAGCAGTGGTCAACTCAGCTCAATGGAATGCAGAAACGAGCGAGAACAGGACTTGTCAAGAGCCGGATGATCGTACATACAATTTACCCATCCAAAGCTCACGAAGAGACAGCAGAAACCACCCAGGACAACTAACCAGGCTCGAACTCCATTCTGCGGCGGGATACCAGTGTCGGAAGGCTCAGATTTGGCTGGATCGCTCTGATAGTTCACAGAGGGACGTGGTGGAGGCTCCGAACGGTCGAGCTGCGCGGTGGTAGCAGTGGACATTGTCATACATGTAGGCTTCCTTCAAGGAGAATCTTCAATGACTGAGAAGGCTGGGAAAAAAAGATGTCGCGAAATCTTCTTCTTTCTCGTGACAAAGTCCGGCCTGTGCACAAGATGACTAGTCCGATATAGGCAAGTAGGGAAAGCTGTGTGATTGACCACTCACATTGGGAGGGACGGCGCCAATGTGCAGCGAGATCTTGAGTGATTAAGAACTGATGTGGAAGCTCCAAGACAGGGGCAATGTAAGGCGAGCTAGCGTGATTCGCCTGTGAAATTATTCAGACATAATAAAATGCTCAAAACGCCTGATATCAGTGTGCGGAATGTGGATGGACAGAAGGCCCTGCTAAAATCTGACGTTGCCTAATAGCCATGCCGTACGCCATTGCTGTCTTACCTATTTTTACGCTACAGACAGTGAAGACATAACTCCCAGGTGCCCGGCGGGAAGTACCGCCCAGCCCTGCTAAGTCTCGATGGGAGCCGGAAGATTAGCGTTGATCAATCGCTTGTCGCCGGCTGTGGCGTCATCTGAGGTGACAAGCCATGTAACATCAGTGGCTACCTCTTCGTATTCATGCAGATCGCAAAAATGTCGTGACAAACCATGTAACATAAGTGGTTACCTCGGTTCGTATTAATGCAAATCGCGAAAATGTCGTGACAAGCCAAGAGAGCGCACAACAGCCCAGTTCTCGGCTCAGGGGCAAATCGAATGTTCCGAACATTCTTGATCATCGGCTGGCTTGCACGTCACGGCATGACATCCTTGTGCATGGTCTGGTATTGCTCAATAAGACCGCCCGGAAGCATGTACCCCTTTTGCAGGTACTCATACTTCGAATCCCCTCGCGCCCCGAACCCACCTGTATCAACTGCGGAGGGCGGGCTGGTGAGGCCGGCCGTGCAATCCCTCACGGTCGGTGGTGCATCAGTGCCAAGGGGTTTCGGACGGGCATCCCGCGCAGGATCGTTGTAGGGCGCCGGCTCTTCATTATCCGGCAGTTCCCGCGCCTGATGTGGCTCGAACAGCCTGTAGCTCTCCACGGGTAATCCGGAAGGAACAAGGCGTGTGGTTATTCAGCAGCGCAATGCTTAGTGTGCCTTTTGATCCACTCGGCTGGCGATCACCCAATCCTCCAAGACTCCGTAACCGATTTAGCTTCGGAAGTTTAAGAGACATGCCGCAGCCGAGTTATAACGATATTGTATTGTTGATAGTTGCAGAACGTAAGATCGAAGAACTGCGACGAGGTTATCTAGATCTGTGACGATGTCACCCACGTGTCGACGAGGTATTTGTGGTATCATGTAACTGCAGCAATATATTATTGGAGACATGCAGGGGTGCTGATCCTATTATGCAACGCCTTCTATTCTTGATATAGATATGGATCGTCTTCGGAGATGACCAGGGGATCCACGATCCACTATGAAATACGAGGGCATTATGCAACGAGGTCTTCGAACATTAGCGCTTAATACAGCAAACGGAGCCGAATTCTGCACAGACCGGGAATGCTGCATTGCCGGTAGAGGGCAAATAGATTCATTCGCGTTAGCCAATGATATTTCCAGACATTAAGCATGTGGAATATTGTGTAAGACAAGTAGTTTCTACAGAATTGGAGATAGCAAGGTACTTAGTCCAGTGCCTTCCGGATTCTCGGGCTTCCTGCGCCACTACCACCTACCCGGCGTGGATAGAGACGGTCAATGCACTTAGCACTCTTCCTATGGCGCGAGTTACTGAAGTCTAAGCGTAGTAAGGATGATAGCAAAGTCGTGCACGGGCGGTATACAATACGTACTTGTTCGGGAATAATTGACGTATACCATCAGAACCCACATTCAGAATGGAGCAATAATGAAGTAGGATTCTTGTTTCTTTGCTGATCGAAGATTCAATGGACACTTGAAAATTGATCTTGGCGCTGGAATTGACGAAGCCCGATGGATCGCCATCTGAGTTAATGGCTCGATACGCTCTCTCGATGATGGCGTGACAGAGATTTCCTACATTCTCGTGTCGAGGGTGTCATGAGTGGAATACCGGATGCTATCCAGACCAATACCTGTTTGGATATGGGTAGTAAAAGGAATCGTTAGTGCTGACATGACCGGCAATGACGTTGTCGCAATATCAGTTCTCGTGTATACGAAGTCTTAGGTCCTCGAGAGTGAACTGAGGGGCGGGCATCAAGAGACTTTCACGCGGTTACCTATGAAATATAAGATGGTAACCAAGCAGCGTAGCTCTTCGTTCAGATATGCAACAAGAACTTGCCCTGAACTTCTATTGAGATCAATCATAATATACATCAAGTTAGTCACTCAACATGCCGGCTCCTGCTATCCATCAACAGCCCCAGGAAGAGCTAAACGGCATAGTTGGCTATGCCTGCCGCGTTCCTGGTGCGTCGAGACCGGAGGAGTTATGGAAGCTCATCGTAGAACAGCGGGATGTCCGGAGGAAGATGCCAAAAGATCGATTCAATGTGGATGGCTGGTTCCATCCACACGGCCCTAACAAGGGGACTGTGAGTTTGATGCCTCCCGCATAGTTTGAATGTTACCTACTAAGTATGCCCTTAGACGAATGCGCCATATGGATACTTCCTCGACCAAGACTTGGGTCTTTTCGACGCTGGCTTCTTCCGGATTTCCGGTAAGGAAGCCGAGGCAATGGACCCTCAACAACGGATTCTTCTCGAGGTGGTGTATGAAGCACTGGAAGACGCTGGTATTCGGATACAAGACATAGCTGGGTCGAACACCTCTGTATACTGCGGCTCCTTCACCAATGACTACTTGAAAATAACCGATCATGACCTCGCCTCCTATCCTAAATATGCTGTGACTGGTAAGTCTTACTCGGCAGGAAGAACCACTCAGCTAACCGACTGGCAGGCACGGGACAGAGCATCCTGGCCAACCGAATCTCGTACTTCTTCGATCTCCATGGCGAAAGCATGACCCTAGATACTGCTTGTTCATCTTCATTAATTGCCTTGCACCTTGCCAATCAGTCTGTGACGACTGGACAGTCAGACATGGTCAGTAACAATTTAGCCTAGCCATGGGCAGTAATGAACTTACTATTAGCCCAGAAATAGAAGCTAACGGTCTGAAGGCAATTGTGGTGGGGTCAGCCTTACATTACCACCCGGGAATGTTTGTCACCATGCAAGACTTTGGCATGCTCTCTCCCGAGGGTCGGTCCCGTTCTTATGATGCTGGGGGCAAAGGCTACGCTCGAGGGGAGGGTGTGTGTGCGGTAATCTTGAAGCGAGTCGCCAGGGCCGAGCACGATGGTGACCGTGTCCGAGCAGTGATTCGAGGGACTGCCTCAAACCATGATGGTACCAAGAGCGGCATTACACTTCCTCGCTCGGAGGCACAAGAAGAACTAATTCGCCGAACATATCGGCAGGCTGGTATCAATACGCGAGATACGCGGTATTTTGAAGGGCATGGAACCGGTAGGTAAACTCCTTATTTTCGGATTGATATGAGTCGATATCTCGACTGACCCGGAGCGCACCACAGGCACAGCGGCAGGAGACCCTCGGGAGGCAAGGGCTATTGGATCTGTGTTTGGATTTGATGATAGGACTGAACCATTATTTCTGGGCTCCGTTAAAAGTAACATCGGCCATCTTGAGGGAGCAGCGGGCCTGGCTTCAGTAATCAAAACAACACTGGCAATCGAGAAAAAGCAAATACCTCCCAACCGGCATTTCGAGTGTCCCAATGACAAGATCGATTTCGGCGGTTGGAAGCTAACTGTTCCCACCGAGTGCTACCCATGGCCAGAAAACGACAGCTGGCGCCGCGCGAGCATCAATTCATTCGGGTATGGCGGGGCTAACGCACATGTCATAGTGGAAGCTTATCAGCGGCATTCTAATACCATCAACGGAATTAATGGTGTGCACACCAACGGCATTCCCAAGCCACCGCCGCTCTTCGTCGTGCCCTTTAGTTCCCATTCGGAAACAGCAGGTCGCAAAATGTTTCAGCGATTCGCCGAATATCTACGCCAAAATCCCGACTGTAACCTTGGCCATCTAGCACACACATTGAGCACCCGCCGGTCTTTACATGAATTGAGAACGTTTCTTATCGCGGATAGCCCTGCATCCTTAGCGGTACAGCTAGGCGAGCCCAGTGGCGAGAGCGTAGGTCCATCTTGGGTTCGGGAGAGGCCCTCCAGCCAGCGAATTGGGTTTGTCTTCACTGGACAAGGGGCACAGTGGGCATCCATGGGCCGAAGCCTGATTCAGCTCTGCCCCCAATTTGTCGGCTCCCTGCAAAGATGTGATGATATCCTACAGCAGCTTCCTGATAGGCCGGAATGGTCAGTGGTTGCCGAGCTAACCAAACCAAACGAGTCGTCCCGTTTGAATCAAGCGGAATACTCACAGCCTCTCTGCACTGCAGTACAGCTTGCGCTGGTTGATCTACTCCATGACTGGGGGATCACACCGGCCGCATGCTGTGGACATTCGAGCGGCGAAATGGCCGCTGCCTATGCAGCAGGCATCCTCCGCTTCGAGACGGCACTCATATACGCCTATTATCGGGGCAGATACACATCCAAATCTCGCCCCGAGGCGTATCCCGTGCCGGGGTCAATGATGGCGGTTGGCATGTCCGAGGCAGAGGCCACGAGCACTGTTGAAAGATATTCGGGCCGTCTGAGAGTAGCTGCGATCAATAGTCCCACGAGCTGTACCATCTCGGGAGATGAGGATGCAATTCTAGAACTCAAGGCCCACCTCGAACAGCGCAAAATCTTTGCGAGACAGCTGGTTGTATCACAAGCGTATCACTCCCACCACATGGAGCCGTTCTCCCACGTATATCAAGAAGCGATGGAGGATTGTCCCCTCACCTCCCCTGCCTCGACTCCAAAAGCCGAGATGTTTTCCAGTGTGACCGCTCGGACCGCTCGATATAAGGAAATGGGTCCTTCTTATTGGGTCAAGAATCTCGTGTCGCCAGTGAGATTCTCCGATGCAGTAACCGGGATCCTGCTCGATGAATTGGATCGGCCAAATGTCGATATCCTCCTCGAGATCGGACCTCATCCAGCCTTGCAGGGACCGACTCGCCAGACCATGTCCGCCCTGCAGAGGGACGTGCCCTATGTGGGCACTCTGAAACGTGGCCAGGATGATGTGGAGGCGATGCTGACGACCATGGGTCGCCTCTTTACCCTCGGGGTTAATATTGACTTCGACCGCGTGAACAATAATATCCATCCCAAACGACTCGAGGAACTGCCCAGCTATGCATGGGATCATTCTAAGTATTGGGCTGCGACTCGGCTGACAAAGGAGGTCATGCAGCGACCACACCGACATCCTCTCCTAGGGTTTCCGTTGCCCGGATGGACGGGGTCCAGTCAACGCTGGCGTGCCATTCTCCGAACTAGTGAGCTGCCATGGCTCACTGACCACAAGATCCAAGGAGCCCCCATTTTTCCCGCTGCTGGGTATATCAGCATGGTATTTGATGCGAGTCTGATCGCATGCGAGGGGCTTGAATGGAGCCAGATCTGTCTTCGAGAGGTCAAGATCATCTCTGCTCTTGCCATCACAGACAGCGACACCGGGAGGGAGGTGATCTTGGAACTCGTGAGGGCGGCCACTAATAATCCAAGGGATCCCTGTTTCACATTTTCGATCGGGTCATTTAATGATGACTCCACCTGGGTGGAAAATTGCCGTGGCTCGGTCCAGGTGGTCGCGGGGAAGGCTGCTACCCCGATGCGGCAACCTTCGTCTGAGCCGCTATTCGATCGGATCATTCCTCGTGAACGGTTTTATCGAGGGCTTCACCGAGCTGGACTACAGTACGGCGATCAGTTCCAACTCGTCGACAGCGATGTGGAATCTCAGCCTGGGCATGCGATGGCGCGACTTCGCTTCGAGGATACCTCGCTGGACCCCCGGAAGTGTACACTGCATCCGAGTTGGCTGGATGCTTCGCTTCATCCATTGTTTGCTGCGATTGAGGCTCAGACGGACGAGCCTCTGGAATCTGCCTTCGTCCCGACGTCTATCGAGACAATTCGCGTCTCGAAAGCATGCATGGAACACATCACCACCGGCAATACGATTAAATCGATGAAGACATACGCGTCGGTTTCCCAGCTGCAATCGAAGTTCGTTGTGGGGGATATTCGCGTGCAGTCTCTAGACGATGATGTGTGTGTGGAGATGTGCGGCTTGACATGCACCGCGTTGGGCGGCGTAGCACATGACGTTGGCCGGTCGCTCTTCAGCCGCACGCGATGGCTTCCCGCTTTTAGCACTCTGGGAACACATACGAAACTCTCGTCTCCTGAATTCCCCGAATACCTCGACTTGCACACCCTATTGCAGTGGTATGTTCATGAGTTTCCGACCTCGGTCATTTCATATGTCTTCGGGGGCGCTAGTCCGTCGCCCGCCGTTCTGCGGGTCCTAGGGGCCGAAGAGGGTTACAGGAGACGACATTCAAAGTTGGATGTACTGTCTGTAGCTGAGGCCGAAACGAATCTTTCTCAGACCAACTGCGACCTCTGTGTCCTCGAGGGAAGCCTAACTTCAAACTTTACGAATGCCGTGGCTCCGGGTGGCTATTTGATTAGTCCACACTCAACCTCTGACCAGTGGCAGTCCGAGCTCGTCTTGCGGCTTCAGAGCCCCAAATGGGATATCTGGAGGAAGCAGGAATCCACGACACCCAACGGTAGAGTAGCTGATACACCACTGGCCATAATAACTGATTCATCACCATCGCTTCGAACGAAGACCTGCATCGATATTCTCAGGCAGAGGAGGCGGGCAGTAGACATTTATGAAATCTCGGACTGCAAACTGCAGGACGTTGAATCGCTCCCGAAGGAGATCATTGTCTTGGCTTCTCTGGACACACCACTTCTGGTCCCGGGATCTATCGGAGAGGACGATCAATTTGAGAACTGCCAGAAACTGCTTTGCAGCCCCAGTCGATCTGTGATCTGGTGCTTGAAGGTTGGGCGGTTCACACATCGTGAAGGATAAGGCTAACAACTATTCCCAGGGTGCAACTTCGGTCTTCTCGGAAACGGAGCCTGATCAGGGCATCTTGTTCGGCCTCCTCCGCACTGCGCGGAGTGAGAATGAACTCAACAGGGTGGTGACACTTGACGTGGCATCGTCAACTACGGCTCAGACGCTTTCAGATACTGCTATGTATCTTCTCTCAGATTTGACCGGTGAAGATGAAGTCGCCCGTGACAATGAGGCCCTGTATATCTCAAGGATAGAGATGGATGATACACTCAATTCCAAACTTGCGAATGGTTATGGGCGATTGCCGCATCCCGAACCATTCCATCAAGACGAGCGTCTGTCCTTGAAACTACAGGACTGGGATTACCACAGCTTGCCAATCTGTGAGAAATTCCCTGGAGAGGAACTGGGTGAAAACGAAGTTGAACTGCGGGCCACCACGGTCGGCATTTCACTTCCAGGTTCTACCGGTATGCCGGGCCTGCTTAATGAATCAGCTTTCATCCTTTGCTAATTGATATAATTTCTAGGCGTTGACGTAGCGGGTGACGTGATCAAGAAGGGTAGACTGGTGACTGAATCGGCTTTCAGGGTTTCTGACCGTGTCCTGGCATTGGATGTTTCAACCGGTTCTCTGGGTAACACAATCCGCATTGATCAAAACCGATGTGTTCGCCTGACAGGGCTCGAGGACTCTGCACTGATGGGCGGCTCGGATCTCTGCCTGGCAATTTATGCTGTCCAATACCAGGCACAAATACAGCGGAATGATGGGGTTCTAATTGTGGGTATGGAACGGAATGTGTCACTGATGATTGTTCGGCTCTGCCAGGTGAGTCGCGGCTTTGATTTCAAGGTTCCTATCCACTTAAGCTAATTCACTGAACCGCAGAGACTTGGTGCACGGGTCACCGTTTTGGCTTCCTCTTCGAATGATGAGAAGAGGGTGAAGCATCACCTGCAAGCAGAGGACCGCTTCCTTGTTATCAATGATCTTGCTGCATTGGATCAACTTCACAGAGATGGTGTGAGGTACAATGCCATAATCCAAACGTATTCATCGGCGGCGCTTAACGTACCCGACGATTTAATCCTTCCAGGATCCCGCTCCGTAAGTATCGACCCGTTGGCCTCGCTTACCCCAGCAAAACATATCAGGGCATGCTTTATCGCCGATCTTGCAGACATTTGGCGACAAGATAATTCCTTCCGTACTTCGATCCTTGAGACCACGATGGCTATTGCCGAGGACGGTTTCCTGTCCGTAGACGGTTTCGATTTTACTTTTGCGCAGATTGGTTCCACGATGGAGATTAATGCAAAGGAAAACACACGCTTAATTCTCAGGGTACCTTTGGAATTGCAAGTACCGGTGTTACCTTCCCGGAACTCACCACAAGAAAGGCTATTCAAGCCAGACAGAACGTACCTACTTGCGGGAGGGTTCAGTGGCCTTGGAGTGGAGATCGTGCAATGGATGGTGCGGAAGGGCGCGCGGAATTTGGTCATTCTGAGTCGCAGTGGAGCGACCAGTGAGGCAGCACAGAAATGTCTTAACTGGCTCCAACAGCATGGGGTCAAAGCAACTGTGTTCTCTGGCGGCGTGTGCGACCCTAACATCGTCCGAAACTGTGTTAAATCGGCGAACCCAGCCCTGGCAGGTGTCTTCCAGATGGCAGGGGTCTATCGAGATGCCAGTTTACAGGAGATGACCGTTGGACAATGGAAGGAACCACTTCAGCCAAAGGTGGTAGGGACCAGGAACCTCTCCATAGCGACAGAAGGCATGGATCTTGATTTCTTTATCTGTTTCTCGTCAATCTCTGCAATTAGTGGAGCTCGCGGGCAGGCAAACTACAATGCTGCCAACACTTATATGGATTTCCTGATGAGGTGGCGCCGTGAGCGAGGCCTTCCGGGTGTAACATTGAACATCGGAATGGTTCTTGGGGCGGGTCTGCTGGCTAAGAATAGTGCCATCCAGGAGATTATGGAGCGGACAGGGTCTGACGGCCTCTCCGAAGTTGAACTTCTTCGGCATGTTGAAGAAGGCGTCCGTGCCGGCTCGTCAGCGACGATTCGAGATGCATCAGGGATTGACTTGTATCAAATTATCAGCGGCGCTCGGGTGACAGACAAGGACACCTTTCGATCTCGCAAGCCTCTTTACAAGAGCCTAATTGCCGACAGGGATTCAGAATCTGGAAGTGCCACCAATGCGGAGCAGGGGAAGACGGATATCAAAGTCCTCCTGCGCAGCGCCTCCGATGAAGCTAGGAATGAAATTGTCCTGGACGCGTTTCTAACAAAGCTTTCAACAATATCAGGGGTCCCTCGAGAAACGATTAATCCAGCCAGTTCTCTTGCAGGTTACGGCCTTGACTCCCTCGTCGCAGTTGAAATCCGAAACTGGTTCCTCAGGTCTGTAGGGGTGGACATTGCGCTTTTTGTTATTCTAGGAGCGAAGAGTATCCGCAGCCTCATATCTGAAGCGGTCAAAGGGATCCAAGATGAGGAAGAGCGCGCCACAGACGAACCCACAGACTCTACAGTCGCCGCAGATGCCGCTCTATCGCCTATTCCCGTCGGGAACCGCCCGGATCACATTCCTCTATCCACTTACCAGGGGCGGTTCTGGTTTATGCATAATGTGATGGAAGATAGAACTCACTTTAACCTTCGCGTAATTCTGCATCTTCAAGGCATACCGGATGTGAAAATTTTACAGGCAGCTCTTGAGGAGCTCAAGCGACATAATGAAATCTTGCGCACGGCCTTTATCGATGGCGACGAGTTTACCGAGCAGCGTGTTCTAAGCGATTGTCGTGTCCACCTTCCGTACCACGATCTCTCATCACGCAATGATCCATCACAAGAGCTTGACAACCTCACCCGTGAGTTACAGCGATTAGAACTTGATTTAAGCCATGGCGAATCTCTCAGATTCTCTTTGGCGAAGGTCAACGAGAGGAACTTCGCGCTTGTCCTCATCATCCATCATATTGTGATCGACAGAGGTAGTTCCGAGGAACTCTTGAATCAAATTTCCACATTCTATGATGATATTGCTCTTGATCGATTGTCTTCACGCCCTCGTGATCATGTGCAATATGCAGATTTTACCCTCTACCACAATGACAAGCTTCAGTCGGCCTCTGTACGGGCCAATATGGAATTTTGGAAGAAGGAGCTAGACAGCTTACCTGATCCGGGCCCGCTTTTGCCTTTTGCCAAGTCAAATAGAGGTGAGCTGTTAAATTGGTTCTTTGCTTAACTCTTCCCAAAAGCTAACCTATAAAATGCAGATGACGTAATCGAGATTCAAACGTTTACACATCATGCGACACTGGAAAAGGAATATTTGAACCGCATGAAACGCATCGGAGCTTCACTGAATGTCACTCCTTTCCAATTTGTCATGGCAGCATTTAGATCCTTCTTTTACAGGTTTACAGATGCCACTGATGTAGCCATCAATATCGTGGATGGGGGCCGTCCTCATCCGGATGTTGAAAAGGAGATCGGGGCTTTCATCAACTTGGTTCCAGTGCGCATCAAGCATACATTTGATGGCAGTTTTGAAGAAGTTTTGAAAGTCGTGAGAGATAAGATGCTGGAAGTCAGCGAGTATCCGGTCCCATTTGACTCATTAGTTCGCGAGGCATCGTCCCGAACTAACGTCGGCACTTTCCCACTCAGTCAACTGGTCATCAACTATCAAATCCATGGCAAGATGGCAAAGTACCCCACCCGTGACTTTGTTATTGATGACTACTTTACGGAGGACGTACCGACCGCCTCTGAGATCAATCTAGAGGCCATTGAAGATCAGGAAAATGGACTGAGAATCCGGTTCGAACACACAACGAAACTTTACGATATTCCTTGCATGCAGCGATTCCTTGAAGGATTCGTAGCATTTATGAGAAGTGTCATCAAGGACCACCGTCAACCCATTCGGGAGGTCCCCATTATTGGCCAATCTGAGCTTGACTCTCTGCGTGAGCAACACTGGACTATTTCACAGACCCCTATTTCAACGAAGCACTACTCGTTGATCGAACAGATTTTAAACATAGCCAAACGTCAGCCCACAGAATCAGCTCTAATCACATCTGATGGCGACACAATGACATATGGTGAACTAATAGATGCGTCAATGTCCGTCTCTGCGAGACTTATTGCCGCAGGAGCGACACCCAAGTCACATATATCTCTTCTTACTTGGCCAGGAATACAGGAAATTGTTGCAATTCTGGGTATCATCATGTGTAGATGTGCTTATGTTCCTCTCGACCCGGACTTCGCACCGGACAGGATATCCTTCATTGCTGAGGACTCGGGTTCAAAAATTGTCATGGTCGGGGATGGTCTTTCCAACCTGGTGAATCACTCTGGAGAACAATTATTTCCAAATAAACAGATTATCTCCATTGCAGAAGCAATTACATATCAGAAAAAGAAGGTTCTTCACCCTACCAGTCTGGACGATCCTCTTTATGTGACCTACACATCGGTAAGTCTTTCCGGCCTTCTGTTAAGAAAGTTACCAGATGACTGACGCAGCATTACAGGGAAGCACTGGAAAACCCAAAGGAGTTGTAATGCGTCACTACAATGCTTACCCCATGTTCACTGTAATTGAGAACGACTATAAATTCAATTCTGCAGACCGATTTCTCCACCAAATATCGATGTCATGGGATCTCTCGGCGGTACAAATATTCTCTCCGCTTCTAGCCGGAGCTACAATGTGCATTGCCTCCGCAGAAGCTCGCAAAGACCCGTTGCTTTTGGCGAGCTTTATGAAGCAGGCTGAGGTCACGTTCACATACTTCACGCCGACTCAGTTTGCCGTGCTTCTGGAGGCTGATGTCGAAACCCTTAGAACCTGTAAGCAATGGCGTTTGGCTTGGTTCTGCGGGGAAGCATTCCCTGTTAGACTTGCGCAAGCCTTCTACGACCTGAAGGTACCTGCTCGCCTGTTCAACACATACGGTCCATGCGAGGCTATGGTCCAAGTTACAATGTATGAGGTCTCTCTGCCTCCGAACACGGCAACTTCGGTGCCAATTGGCCGCTGCCTGCCTACATGCCAAGTCTATATACTTGACGAGGGGCAGAACCCGCTTCCGCTAGGATTGCAGGGAGAAATATATATTGGGGGACCGCAAGTCGGTACAGGCTACTTAAATCGGCAAGAGGCGTCCGCCAAAGGGTTCCCCGACGACCCATTCGCAGTGCAGCTAGTCGAAGACAAGGCGTACCTTGGTGGTAAAATGTTCAGAACAGGCGACCTTGGTCGTCTCGACCAAGATGGTATACTGCACTTCGTTGGCAGAGTTGCCGGCGACAAGATGGTCAAACTTCGTGGACTTCGAATCGATCTTGGCGAAATTGAGCACAATATCTTTCAATTTTCCCGCAATGAATACAACGGTTTCCTTACTGATGTCTGCGTCGTCGCACGCCATATCAAAGATGAAGTACGAGGCACTGCAAGTGTAGCCGATGATCGCCAATTAATCGCTTTCCTGGTCTCTCGGAGGCATGATAGTGCCTCTAGACTTCGGTTTGTGCAAGAGCTCTCGCAGAGCCTCACCCGAACTCTTAATCAGTACATGATACCCACTGGTTTCTACTTTCTGGAAGCTCTGCCAACAAGCATCGGCGGGAAGACAAACCGGCAAGCTTTGTTAGGGCAGAACCTGGACGGATTGCTCCATTCTGGCCAGTCGCTCCCTGTTGACGAAGATTCTAAACACGAGCAAGATAGAGATCTAGGTACGAATTTCATTGAGAAGGTCACGGATTATTTCCGTGAATTACTCCAGGTACCAGATACCACAGAGTTGGGTCTAGATAGCAACTTCCTTGAGCTAGGTGGCAGCAGCATCCTACTCATGCGCTTGCAAAAGAAGTTACTCAAAGAGCTGAATGTGAAGGTTGCGCTCGGAAAGTTGTTCTCAAACCCTACTCCAGCCGCTATTGCGTCCCTTCTAGGTGATGTCACTGTCAAGCCTATATCTATTCAGCCTACTGCACAAGAACATGCAAAAAGCTCAAAGGTGAACAAGCCGAATGACCAACACGTGAATGACAATGCCCGTCCAATTAATTGGCACGAAGAAGCTCAGCTACCTAACGATAGCCGATTCCACATTCCTGCTCCAGATAGTGACGACCTATTTGATGCTCCCGATCCAACAGATATATTCATGACAGGTGCAGACAGCTTTATGGGCATTCATTTCCTGGCGGAACTTCTTTCACGCAGCCAAAACATGATTTATCTCGTCGGTACAGAGAAGCGATTGACAAAAGATCATCTCTTGTCTGAGTTCCGCCACTTCAACCTTTTAACAGGCAGCGTCAATGAGCGAGTTCTCACTTCTCGCCTTAATGTTCTCGGAGGAACCATGACACAGCCTCACTTTGGGCTAAGCAGCAGCAAGTTTGCCCTTCTTGGGTCGCGTGTACATACTATATTCAGCCTGGGCGTTTCTGTTTCGCTTCTGAAGTCATATCATGACCTTCATAATGTGGACATTCGGCCTGTTCGCGATTTAATCGAGCTTGCCGCGTGCGGAGACCGGGTTAGCAATATCGTTCATCTTAGCACCTGGAGTGTACCCCAGTTACAATCTTGGTCTGGGACGACGCGTACCCCACGGATCATTAGATCCGAAGAAAGTGCTGAGACATATGCACCACCTGCAAGCGGTGAACAAGGCTATATCAAAGCGCGCTGGGTGGCGGAGATGTTATTCCACAATGCCGCCAAGCGAGGATTCCCGGTTAAGATTTTCCGAGGAAGTGCCATGACCGGTTCGACCAAGTCCGGGGTACCTGAATATCGGGATGGTATCATCCAGCAGACTATCATGGGCATGATACTCACAGGAACTGTGCCTGAACTTGATGGGTTTGTAGCCGATTTTGTGCCTGTTGACCATTTGGCATCCTGGCTTTACTCGCTATCATTCAATGACCTTGAGCAGGAACACAATGATAGTGACCTTCCTCCAGCCGTCAAGAGTCCAGGTGCTACATATTACCATGTGACGAATCCATCACCGCTGCCTCTAAGCCGCCTTGTGGAGCTGATTCCACAGCTTCGCCCAACACTGGTTGCTGCAGGGGCAAGGTCGTTGCCGCTAGATCGATGGCTGGAAAAGGTGGAAAGCGAAGCTTCTACTGGTGCTGGAGACGATTTGCGATGGGCTGCTATGAGAGACCTCTTTCAATCCGGCCACAACATGTGGGCTTTAGATACCGCAGCTACTCAGAGCGCGTTGCGTCGGGCGGGAGAACGTCCTGAGGCTTGCCCTCCCGTCGATGCCAAATACTTGAAGCGACTTCTGGAAAACTGGACGGCTGCAGTGAACAACTAATCAGTATACAATATGTATAGAAGAGGAAAGGCCGCTTTGCTGCTACGATTTTTCTGTTTTGGTGATTCATCTTGTGCATGTTCTTAAACACAACCGTCTTTGATAACAGAGATAGATAGCTTAGACATCTAAGACTAGATAATCCTAGCACAAATGAATCAACTGCTAAGTAAGCTGGCATGAGTTAATAGACCTCTGTCCAATTAGTCCACTGTACTCACTAGAAATGTCCGCGACATAAAAACAGGAACATCCCGGACGAAACGGACAGGGACAGCTAGTTGCTTACGATTTGCCGCAGGCTTTACCGGAATCCAGGCCACTCGCTAGCATGAGACCATAATGTGACTATACCATTGGAGGCCTATTTCCCTCTCTGCCCTACCTAGCACTATCGGATCCTGTCTGCATTCCAACCCAGGAGTGCGAATTCCTACTCTGCGCAGACCCCCGATGGCCGCATTCCCATACACAATCTAAACGTTCTCCTGAGAACCACCATTGCTGTGACAGCAGAGTTGATCCCAAACAACAGGGGCCTGGCTCCTGGGAGACTTGTGGGATGACCGGAACTGCTGATGATGCTAAATAGAGTGCGTCGTCCGACGTGATTATCCACGTACCTCGGCACCTAAACCACCACCTCCTCCGTATTTGAATCAGGGGTCTGACGCCGGGTATATAACTGGCTTCGTCCAGAGTTCAATCCTCCAAGCCCAATCCTTTTGTTGTCCCCAATCAGACGGATAGCCATGAAACTCACTCTACCATTCCTTGGGGGGCTTTGATTGCCCTTGTAATCTTATATATATATATACACAGATACAGATCCACCAATGCCCTAGTTGCTGTTGACACCGATGTACATGTTCTCGATCCTCGATGATGCCTTTCGCACCAGCACAGTAGACGACATCAAGACCACGATGAACACCTGGGTCTGGGCCGCGAACAACGCATTCAAGACGCCTTTCTAAGCTCGTCATTGGGCCTGGCTGATACCTTCGCCCTCGCGGCTCCGTTCCAGCCACTCGTCCAGCGTACCCGCATCATGGTCGACGATATTATAGCGAAGAAAACTCTCATTCGGGAAGGGCTGACCAGCAGTCCCCTGGCGCATTTCGAGTCGTATATCGGCGGCTTGATCAGCGCAATGCCGGGGAAGTTCCTGTGGTCAAGGATTCTCTCCTCTGCTGGCTCTTCTCCGTGAAGTGGTATCGCTGGTGGTGATCAGCCGCAATGTCCTGGCATCATTGCCGATGCAGCCTTCGCCAGCACAGGTGTTCGCCGACCTCCATAGTAGTGTCACTCAAATCGATGCGTTGGTCCGTAAATTCAGCTAGACTGACCCCAACCCCTCTTATGAGATATCGTGGGCTTGGAACGACGTCGAGCGACGCCGGTTGAGTAATCTTGGTCAAGGACTTGAGCGAACAGGACCTGCTGCCACTGGCCCCGATCATTAACACCCTGTCCAGCGATATGCAGAGCCTGATCAATGGGCACACCCTCCGGTAGGACGCATTAGGGCAGATCCATCTCTCCCCGCCCATGTCGATGTGGAATTTGAAGTCGACTTCAATACACATGTCCGGCTCGTTCACCGATTACGTTATTCTATTGGTTAAAAAGGGGCTTAAAACGGCGTCGACGGGCTGCCATTTTTGGTCGCTGATTTACCATCATCCAGCGTTGGGATGCAATACAGAGGTGGCCGACTCACTTCCGTGGTCGACTCGCTTACCAGTTACGTTATTGAGGAACTATGCATGATCTGTAAGCACCGTTCAGGTATCCGGCATTGTAGAGTTGGGCCCTTCCTCACTCATGGTTCAACACCCATTAGGTTTTCATCATATTTGATGGGAAACACAACGTCATAAATACCTCCTTGGTCATCATCTTAGTTGCATAAACATTGCCATCGAGCCAGTACCGTTTCCCCACCCCCCTATTTTGCAACTCGAGAGGCTCCAGTGAAGCTATTGAAATGAACAGATCTAAAATCTTCTGTCAGCCGGTGGTTTCGTTCAATAAACCGCAACAGAGCCCGAGCTGTTTCAGTCGCGGATCCTCGGCCTTGGTGGTGGCATTAGAGAAATAAATAAGTCCGTGCAGTTAATAAGAGTACCATCATTCCATGTAGTCAAGCGGATGAAGCCATCACCAGATCCTGTTGCCCTACACGTTCCTGGGCATTGCAACCTGAGTTGTCCTTGCCTGCAGAAGCCCGTAGTTTGTTTGATGTGTTCTTCAGAGAGATGAGGTACATTCCGTAGCCATATCGGCTAGTGTGATACTGATAGTCGTGGTAGAGTTTTCTCTGCGTCTTCTGCGGTGCTGATGGCTCTCTTTTCAGGACGGCCATTTGGTACATTCAAAGTTCTTTCCAGCTTGGCAAGGAGTTCGCAATGGTCCGAATTGTTCCACAAGAAGTGCGAGAAGCATAGGTGATCCGTCTTCATGTTGAATGCAGGATCACATCGGTCCGATGGAATAGCCCTGAAACACTATTCTCGAAATTTGAAGAGATCCGTGGTGATTCAAGTCTTGCACCTTCAGACTTTTCAAATTGGCCAATAGTATGAATCTCCCCTGGCGATGGCTTTTAGGTAGTGCTAAGTCATCTTCTGAGATGGTGTAAAGAGTTTCTTAGAGACCTACCGTATTCGGTATGGTCACGTGGTCTCTCTTAGCCATCTAGATAGACAGCTCACCGAGCCCCTTGAATTGAAGAGAATCGTGCCTCGCGAACAGAGTTCACAGGTCAGCTGGACCACGCTACAATGACCGGTGCAGACATTGCAAACAAGGTTACGCGAACTTTAGCTTGGTCGAGGTGAGCTGTATCCCGAGGGGCGAAGGAATGTGCCGTGTTAACCTGACCGCTAATCTATATTTGGCTATCTAGAATGCACTAGAATGCAAATTTGCATTCTAGATGGGCTGCAAATTACCAGCGCTAGTAGTCACGCTAATGCTTCGGTTATGTCGCGAGATAATTTGACTTGTCTCCAAGCCGTTTATGAACTAGGATCCGGTCACCTTTATTTCTTTGTTTTGAACGGGCAAGAACGTGATCCAAGACAATAAATTATAAATCTCCTCGCAGACGCGAGAAATTGTACGCTCAAGCACGTTGCAGATGTTGTACGACCCTACTGAGTGGTTAGTTGCTGGGCATTGGGGTTGACAAATCGGCTGCCGGGCAATCGAGTCCATCGTCAATGGTGGACTTCCAACTTGGCTAGGTAGGTAACTGAGAGCAAGTATATCGCTCCAGTGTGACGCACCGGAACCAAAAGCACTCAGCATGAGCTGGACTGACACTTGGTTACCCACTCAGGAAACTACAATGACGACGGCGTAGAGACTTACCACATCTTGTTTGAATTCTAGAGTCACACAAACGCAGTGATCCAGCTGCATCGGCGGCTGAAATCCCGGCTCTGTTTGTTAGCTCTACATGAGGACATTTTGCTTCTCATTGTGCCATTCAGTCCGAGAATAGGAAAGCGCCAAGACCGAAAAAGGGGCGAGGGTAAAATGTTCTGACTATTGTTCACTAAGTTTCTTCCTTGTAGTACTGGACGCTGAGAAACTAGGTAGATGGATTCGTTACTATCTCTGCCGCAACTGTTGTATGTATACCGGGAATGCATCCCATCACAATAGGTTGTCGACAGATTTCCAAATCGAGAGCTGTCCCAATTTGGTACCACGTCACTCGCAAGATTAGGGAAGGGTAAGGAAGGGGAGTCAGGATAAATTCCAGGCTAGAGTTTTGTCAAAGCGCCGATGACTAGATCTGTACGTTGGATCTCGGGACGTACGGAGAAGACTTATTACCTGGTAGCGAAACGCCGCATCTCCTGACCGCCAATAAGAGCATAATGGCATGCCGAAGAGGGATCGGGCAGTGCTATCATCTTAATTGGGTGAGATGGTGCAGACCGGTATCAAGTAGGCAGCCTCCCTCCGTAGGGGAGAGTAACTTACGCGGGAGGATACATCGGGATAAATTAACTAAACTGATCGAATTAGCGACAAGCGGTGAATATGGGGCTCATTGCACTTCGTTGCTTCTTCTAATTTAAGTTGTAGGCCAGTGCCAACAGGGTTGTTCCGACCTCGGATAGTGAAGAAATGGGAGTTAACCACCTATTAACTAGTACCTAGATTAGTAGATTATTCATTGTCTTCTCCGTAGATGCGCAGTAGTCGAAATTTCCCCTTCTGCCCCACTGGAATGACAACACTTGTTTGGGTGATGAGGACATCCGAGTACCCATCTATGTTAATGTAGACCCTGAAGTTATTAGCAGTCATCACAGTAGGGCCCTGGCCAGTCGAACCTTACTTTTGTTTACCTACTGTGTATGTATGTACTCCGAGGTACGCACTTAGTGGTACCTTGGACAGCTCAGTAAGAAACCACTGGTGATATGCATCATATGGAGCAAACATCACTCGGTGTCCATGCTCTATGTACAACATCACAGATACAATGTTTCCTACTCCGTAGAATTGGACTCATCCTTCGCGTAGGCATGTTGCTATGTGAAGTACTGACTACCGAGTACCTGGTGGGAGGAAAAAAAAGAAATAGATTATGCTGAATATCACACCTTAGGAGGATGCTTAAAAATCTTCTAACACTCTATGCCAATATCTCCAAAGGATTTATGTGCAGGGATTGTATGTATCTCTGAGGTGTATTCCTCAGGCTACCACATAGCCGGTTCCTCGAAGTAATTCCCCATCCGAACTCAAAAACACCTACTCCGTAAAATAGGGGACATTGCCACCTGCCTAAGCAGTTCCAGTCTCCTCCTAATACAGGTAGTATACCTACAACCCACCTGCCGTGTCTTGTAGGTGGAGGGTACTTGCCTATACACTGTATCCCGTAGTTAAGTAGGTATCCATGCTCTGCAGTCAAATAACTGTTATGGGATCCGTGGTATTTTTTTTTTTTTTTTTTTTTTTTTTTCATACTTGCTTGTTCTTTAGGCGTACCCCATTTTGTACGGTAGACAGGCAGGTAGATGCTCTTAGGTCGTCACTGCGTTAATCACGCGAAGATTAAGATACCTGACTGCAGTGTTCCCCATGATCTCGAGTTTGTTCAGGGAAATACCCAATCATGTAGCAGCTAAATCCTTCTCTCCTCAACCATCCCTAGGATGATGGAGTATAACCTCCGAATGAACAGTGCCACCTTCTCCTGATCGGTTTGATCGATTTTGCGACTCATCACTTCGTCAAATTTCCCGACGCACCCAAACGAGATGATTTCGTTGGTCAGCGGTTTGCAAGGCTTCTATCAGCAGCATGCCCAAGACGGGAGGATTATTGGAGCGACTGAGCCATCTTGACAGTAATCATTAGCTATGAGCAAGTTAGACTCGTGGCCCAGCTCGTACATCAATGTTCGTATACAGCCAGATGTATACTGGGTCGCCCACAGTGGGTTTGACTTCCTCACCGTCTGGCTGCCTGCTTTTTGATTAATTGGGCAACTCCCAGAGACATAGTCCACTTCACACGTTAGCACAATGAACCCGATAGGCTTAAATCATATCTGAGCGCCATAAGAGAGCATGTACGCCATTGGGTCCACATAGGTTGCTTTCTTCTTGGACTTGCCCCATAGACAATACATTCCCTGTGATGTCCTGTGGCGGCCAATTTTCTGGCCTTTCCACATTTTCTAAACTCTAAGACGCATTATTGGCCCTTGACCATGTTGGTATAAGACATACTGGGATGATGATATTGTTTGTGAGCAACTAGGACCCCAATGGGGTTATTTAGTTGGCTCGATTAATCTATTTTTGTCTGGAATACATTTATATTTTTTAAATTTTTTTTTTTTTTCTTTGGTAGACCCCTTGACGAGATGCCCTCGATTCCTTATTTCTACCTTAAAAGCTATGAGCAGGTACTCCGTACTCCGTACAAGTCGAGTATCCTCCGATGTGCCTGCTGTTTGTCTCATATTGCTGGACCACTGAATCCTATCGGAGCAGCATCCCCAAGAAACTATGGCTCACCCTCCCTCATGCTGTCTGCCAAAATTTAGCCCTTCGTCGTCTGGTCCAAAACGACCTGTATCGATGAAAATTAAGACGACTCATTCTCAAAAGCTTCAACTGCTGTCTGCTTGGCGCCACGAAAACATCCACTCGTTATTGCAAACGGCGTGGGCCTTACTCCTACACTGCTATACCGGCTCTAATGATGTATGCTTCGGCTACCAGTATTTTGATTCCTCAGACACTGGAGACTTGTCGACAGTCAGTCTTACCATTAATGAGGATGATTCTGTCCTAGCAATCCTGCAAAATGTTACAGGAAAATATCATCTTATTCAAGACCCTGGCATGCGTACAGTGCCGAATGTTGTGCATGACAGCTACATGCTATATAACACCACTCTAATGATACGCGTTTGTGATTCCACACAAAACTCCACAAGTGCTCAGGCGCAGTCGGTTCTAGCCATTGCACTACCAGATAAAGTATGTTATTAGTCAGATATTTAAAACAGTCTATCTAACCTGCAAACAGTCCCGTGTTAGACTCCATGTGAAACTGCTGGAGAAAGATATCAGCATGTTCTTAGAATGGTGGAGTGATGAGATATCTACAGAGCAGATCAAAAGCGTAGCCAAGTACTTCGAGAAAGCGTTGGCACAAATTATTTCTGAAGACGATGTTGCAGTGAAGGAGCTGGATGGGATCTCGGAAAGTGACTGGTCTCGCGTCTGCAAGTTCAATTCAGTCATCCCGGAGAGTCTTGACCGTTGTATCCACGAAGTCATTCGGGAGCAGGCGCTTCTTCATCCAGAGAACGAGGCAGTATGCGCCTGGGATGGAAGCTTGACTTATAAGGAGCTGGATATTTTGGCTTCTCGGGTAGCATACTGCCTTCAAGAGCAGGGAGTTGGGCCCGAGATTCGCGTCGCTCTCTGCTTTGATAAGTCTGTAAGTGTTCCTGTCTTTATAAGTCTTTTCCTACAGTCCACTATATTCCCTCCAGTTCTATTAGGCACCGCTAATGGTTCCAGAAATGGAACATCGTCGCAATGCTCGGCGTTCTGAAAGCTGGGGGTGCTTTTGTGCCTCTTGATCCGGCATATCCAACATATCGTGTACAATATTTGATGCGACTAGTAAAAGCTAGTATCTTAATGTGCTCCAGGAAACATGAAGAAAATTTGAAATATCTTACACAAACGTTGATACCGTTGGATGGGGAAACCTTGGAACGGGTTCCAGCTTCGCCAGAGAAGGCAAACCCACAAGCCGAAGTTAAAAGCCACAATGCAGCCTATGTGATATTTACTTCCGGGTCAACGGGGGAGCCGAAGGTGTGTTATATATGGTCTTACATTTATTATTTACCACTAAGTTTTACAGGGCACTCTGGTAGAACATAGAGCATACGTATCTGGGGCTGTGGCTCATGCTCCCCAGCTTCATATCAACGCTGACTCACGAGTACTACAATTCGCAGCGCATACATTTGATGCAAGTCTTATCGATATCCTGACCACTTTGATGCACGGTGCTTGCATCTGCGTGCCGAGTGAGGAGCAAAGACTGAATGAAGTTGTCAACGTGATCAGAGATATGGAAGTAAATCGTGCTTCACTGACACCATCTTTCGTTGATTTTATCGATATTTCGAAAATTCCAGGACTGAAGACACTCGTTCTAGCCGGAGAGGTAATGTCTCAGTCGCATTTGGACACCTGGTCAAGAATTAAGCTTATCAATGCATACGGACCTACCGAATGCTCTGTTCATGCAACAGCTAGCAATAAAATTACGCCAACTTCTGACTGTAGGGATATTGGGCTCCCTGCTGGGGTCCGTTGTTGGATAGTGAACCCACAATGCCATGACCAGCTTGTTCCTGTCGGCTGTGTGGGTGAATTGCTGCTAGAAGGACCAACACTTGCTCGATGTTACATAAACAGCACAGGAAAAACCGCTGAAGCCTTCATTTACAATCCAAGTTGGGCCAAGGCTGAGAATGGAAGCCACTCAGACCGGAGATTTTACAAAACTGGGGACCTGGTAAGATATAACTCTGACGCTGGCTCGCTAACCTACATAGGAAGAAAAGACACGCAGGTCAAGCTCCATGGACAAAGAATTGAGCTAGGAGAGATTGAAGACAACCTAAATGCGGACCCAACAGTTAAACATTGTCTAGTTTCCCTTCCAAAATCTGGGTTCTATGAGAGCAAACTAGTAGCGGTCATATCACTGTCTGAACAGTCAAATGCTTCATCGGAGTCAGATGCAGTACCTTTGAGATTGCGTCAGCATTTAAATAAGGCCGCGGTTGTTGCAGAAATCCGCCATCGACTATCCTCACGACTGCCGACGTATATGATTCCCAGTTCATGGTTATGTGTTGAAGCCCTGCCTCAGCTTGCATCCCGCAAACTTGACCGAAAAGCAACCGCGACTTGGGTTGCAAAAATGGAGAACGACCCGGAAATTGGGGTGGCCAAGCTCAGCATTGACTCTAACGAGGGGATTATTCGCTCTGAAAATTTAGCAGAGGATCGACTAGCTTCGATCTGGTCTCGCGTGCTCAACATTCCTAAGAGTCATATTAGTCTCGACGAAAGCTTTCTTAGTTTAGGCGGAGATTCGATTGCTGCGATTACCTGCATGGGATTTTGCAAAAAACAAGGCATTGGCATTACCGTGCAAGAGGTGCTTCAAAGCAAATCCATCAAAAACTTGGCAACGCAGGTGACGGAGATCAATCATGTCACAGTCTACGAAGAAACTGTTGAGCAAACATTTGACCTTTCGCCAATACAGAAACTCCATTTTATGATGAGAAAGGAACGTCAAGGTTACTTCAACCAGGGCGTTTCTACTCGCTTGAATCAGCCCATTGGCGAGCGTGACCTCCGCAATGCTATCGAGGCTCTTGTTAAACGTCACTCAATGCTTCGGGCTCGATATACGAGTACTGGAACAAGAATTAAGCAGCGTATTACTGAAGAAGTCGCTGGTTCCTACTGCTTACGCACACACAACGTTGGCTGGCAGGACGACATTGAACAGGCCATTGCAGACAGTCAGCTATGCATTAATGCATTTGTGGGCCCAACGATGACAGTGGATCTCTTTCATGTCGATGGCGGGGAGACTATTCTGTCGATGATTGCGCATCATTTGGTGGTTGACATTGTTTCGTGGAGGATCATCCTGGAAGACTTGGAGGATTTCTTGTTAAATCCACAACAAGATACGCCTGGAAATGGCTCTCTTCCATTTCAGACATGGTGCAGGCTGCAGGAAGCTCAATATCACGAGGCAGAGACAACAAAAAGCGTGGACCCGGGAAGTGTTCCACCTCCAGAATTTGCGTACTGGGGAATGGAGAGCCATCATACTACGTACGGAGACGTGGATTGTGAAACCTTTGAAATCAGCCCTGAAGAAAGTGCTTCGCTCCTGATGGAATGCCACCAAAGCCTCCAGACGGAGCCAATTGATCTATTCCTCGCTTCCCTTCTACATGGATTTCGACAAACATTCACTGATCGACCCTTGCCTGTGATCTATAACGAAGGTCACGGGAGGGAAGTCTGGGACCCTGCAATAGATATTTCGCGCACAGTAGGATGGTTTACTATCTTGCAGCCTATCTTCTTGTCACATATTGCCATGGATGACCCTGTCGACGCGGTTATACAGGTAAAAGATCTTCGTCGCCGTGTTTCAGATAATGGACGACAAGCTTTCACACGCCGTGCTATCCAAAACAACCACCATTGCCCAATGGAAATCACATTTAATTACGTCGGTCAACATAGGGATCTCCAGAGAAAAGATGGACTATTTCAGCTTATAAATCAGATGGCTGGAGAGACTGGTCGAGGCGGAGGAGCTGCAGACTTTGGAGAAGAAACTCCTCGATTTGCGCTGTTCGAAATATCGGCAGTGGCGTTGCTGGGAAGTCTGCGCTTCACCTTCACTTTCAACAGATACATAGAGCACCAAACATCAATCCGAACCTGGATATCAACCTGCCAGAGCACGCTGAAATACCTAGGGGCGAAGTTGCGATCTCTTAAGCCAAGACCTACTTTGAGCAGCTTCCCAATGCTTCCGCTCACCTACAGGGAGCTTGAGACAATCTTATCGAATAAACTACCAAGCATTGGAATCCACTCGTCAGATTTGGTGGAAGATATTTACCCTTGCTCACGTATGCAAGAGGGTATCTTGCTTAGTCGTTCTCGTGATGAAGGCCTCTATGCCGTACATGATACATTGGAAGTAAAGGGCCTAGGATGCACGCCCGATGCTAATCACCTCGCTCTTGCGTGGCAAAAGGTCGTTTCACGACACCCAATGCTACGAACCATCTTCGTGGAAAATTTCACTAGCCAGAACTTGTTCTGCCAAGTTGTTCTGAAGAATTTTGATTCGCGTCCTAATTTTGTGAGGTGCCTGAAGGACCATGAAGTACTGGCCACCTTGGATGAGCAACAGCCGATGGCTTACCACAAACACCAGCCGCCTCATCGACTAACAATCTGTGAAACTGAGACAGGAAGGCTATTTTGTAGGATTGAGATAAGCCATATATCCATGGATGGCTCGTCGATTTCTATCATCCTTCGAGATTTGCAGTTGGCGTATGGTGGAAAGCTTGATGATCGCAGACCAATGTTTAAGAATTTCATAAGCTACTTGCAGAACGTTCCACAGCAAAACACGCTTGAATACTGGTGTTCATACTTGTCAAATTTCAAACCATGTCATTTACCTCTGTTGAATGACGGCATGTCCACCTCAAAGCAGCTGCGAACTATGCGGCTGAACCTAGGCTTCTCTGAGGAACTCCAGAAAGTTTGTGAACAAGATAGATTGACTTTATCAACTGCGTTTAGTACTGCGTGGGGGCTTACTCTTCGCTCTTTCTGTGGCACCGATGATGTCTGCTTTAGCTACATAACATCTCTAAGAGACGTTCCTGTCGAAGACATAGAGCTAGTTGTTGGACCGGTCATCAGTCTGTTACCATGTCGAATGAACGCTTCGGGGAACCTCCTTCTTAGTGATATCCTACATCAAGTCCAGAAAGACTACATGGAACAAGTGCCCCATAAACATGCATCGCTAATTGACATTCAACATTCCCTGAAGCTCTCGGATACAACGTTGTTCAATACAGGTATATCCTTCAGGCAGCTGCCACGGTTCAGTGACACCAAAGAATGGATAGAATTTCTCGAAGTCGGAGCAATTTATGATCCTGCAGAGTTTCCTGTTTTTATTAACATTGAAGTTTCAGACGATGAAATACGCATTGATCTGAACCACTGGACAACTGCTTTGTCAGATGGACAAGCAAAGAGTGTCGCCTCTACTTTCATCAAATCATTGGAGAATATCATTCACCACAAGAGCAAAAACATTGGATTAATAGACGGAATGAATGATTGGACTCAACAGCAAATTGCAACGTGGAACAGCAAAATCCCACAGAAAGTTGATGGGTGCATCCATGAGGTTCTTGAAGATAAGGCTAGTTTGCAGCCAGACTCCATGGCAGTCGCGAGTTGGGATGGAAATCTTACTTACTCCAAGCTCAATGAACTGTCCTCGGTCCTTGCTACCTACCTGACAGGGCTTGGTGTTAGCCCAGGAGCTTTGGTTCCGCTTTATTTAGGCAAATCAACATGGCACATTGCCTCTATACTGGCAGTGATCAAGGCTGGTGGTACCTGTATCCCAATGGACGAGTATTGCATACAGGGCAGTTTTGATCAATGGTTTATTGACAGTCGAGTACAAGTCGCCCTTACAAGTCCAACCACAACACATATGCTCGAGGGCACAATACCCTATGTTATCCCCGTGGGTAAATCTCTCTTTGAATACCTCCCAAAATCTACTGCAGAGAACAGCTTCCCTGTTCAGCCATCGGATGATGCCTATGTGATATTTACTGCACAGAAGACTCGGCCTGTTGTTCTCAACCACACTGTGATACTTTCCAGAGCAAAAGCATTCGCCGAAGCTCTTGACATGGACCAGAAGACAAGAATGTTCCAATTCTCTTCACCTACTTCTGATATGTTTGTCCAGGAGCTTTTTGGAACACTTCTGCACGGTGGATGTCTTTGCATCCCATCTGACAGCGATGTTGGGAATCTTTCGGCGTCAATAAATGCATCCCAAGCAAATTGCATCAGTATCACGCCATCAATTGCTTCTTCCTTGTTACCCTCCAGTATTCCTGAAGTCCAGGTCCTTGCCTTGTACGGGGAAGGTGCAATAAAGAGGCTCACTGAAACGTGGTCGCCAAAGGTTCGACTACATACTTTCTACGGTAGCGCTGAATGCTCCTCAATTTGTGTTCATAATTCAGCTTGCGACGTATCTTCCGAAGTGCCCCATGTTGGATCAAGTCTGGGTTGCATCTCCTGGCTTGTTGACCCTCACGATCATGATATACTGCTTCCTATAGGATGCGCTGGCGAATTAGTGGTAGAAGGGCCAATTGTCTCTCATGGATACCTTGATAAGGAGCAGCAACCACTTAAAAACTTCTTTGAGAATCCTAAATGGATTTCTAATTTTAAGAACACGCCAGTAAATAGAGAGGAGACTATTCACCAGGTGAACTCTCCTCGACGGATGTTCAAAACCGGTGACTTGGCTCGCTATAATTCAGATGGCACACTGGTGTATCTAGGAAGAAAAGACAAAGAAACCTCTTCTCAGTCTGAGATAAGCAAGTGGAAATTAGAGCAGCACATAAGCGCGCTGCTCCCAGCTCAATATCATTGTGCCGTGGAGACGATAAATTATCCTAACAAGCAGGCAATTGCCGACAATCACTCTGTTTTCATATTTTTTGAGAACACCAATTCGAAAGCCAGCAAAGATAATTACAGGTTAATTTCTCAAACGTCACCTCAGTTCTACGATGTTATCGCTACGCTTCACACCAAGCTATCGCGTTCTTTGCCGTTGAACCAAGTTCCGAGTTTGTATTTTCCAGTGGCTGAAATGCCACTCACGTCATTCGGCAAATTGAACCGTTTGGCATTGAGAAACTGTGCCCTGGAACTTCCTGATGATGTCCGACTTGGGTTTCATGTCAACAAATTCAATGAGTTTTGGCGACTTGCGTTGGCTGGTTCTGCGCCAAATCAATTTCCTCCGGTCTCTATCAAGCAGGGACATAAGACGAACACATCATGGTCCAGGCCAATAAAATTACGTCCCGCCGGAAAGACTGCAGTTTTAGCTGCGTGGGCGTTGGCTTTATATGGCTACACAGCATCTAGAGATGTATGCTTCGGACAGTTGCTGCTGGAGCCTGAGATAAGCAACACAGTAGTACCGCGGAGGTTCCATATTGACGAAGCAACTCCGATAAATGAATTCCTTGGTAATATCAACCAAGCCTTAGCAGTTTCCCAACCTTTCCAAAAAGGTGGGCTCCAACGAATTCGGAATCTCAGTGCAGACAGCACACGTGCATGCAATTTCACCAACCTGCTTTGGATATCAGATGCAAGTAAAGAAAGGCAAAGGACATGTCAGGACATATTTGACGCTAATGCCAAAATCCAAGATGAGTCTCTGGCTTACCCGTTAATACTGTGCATCAATTCAGGTGAAGACATGGAAGTCAGTGCTCGGTACGACCGAGGAGCACTATCTGCCTCCCACATTGAGCGAATTATATCCCGGTTCATGGACTATCTCGACTTTTTGAACTCAGCATCCAAGACACAAGACACAATAAGCTGTATGGCAATTTTCGAAGGCCAAAACATATACACCATTAGCACTGATATGGATTACTGGAAGAAGTCTCTGGCTGATGTTGAGCCGTGTCTTTTCCCCTCCTTGTGTTCGGAGACGCCTCAAGGAAGCTTTGGCTTCACTGAACTGGAACTCAAATCCGTCCCAGATATACACAAATTGAGCCAAAGTGTCGGGTCCAGCACCAAGTGTCTCCTTCAAGTTATTTGGGGCTTGGTTCTGAGGTGTTACACAGGCATGGAAGATGTGTGTTTTGGATATTGCCCTTCAATTACCGATAAGTTTTCAAATGGCCAAGATTGCACCAAAGAACCTTCATTTGAAGACGCCCTTGTCTGCAGATTATGTCTAAATGACGATATTAAAATTGCGGAGGCTGTTCAAACGAGGAAACAGGAATTTGAAACAATGTTGCTCCATCCTATTTTTCTTGCTCAGATCCAGAAAGAGCTTGGGTTTCACGAAACCACTTTCTTCAATACAATCTTCAAATTCGAGGAAGTCTCGAGTGTCTCTGACCGGCTGTATAGCTCATTTCCTTGGCCAAACACAGTTGACCCCTGTAGGTATATGGTTGCTGTCGACGCAATGATCTCACACTCAGCCGGGAGAGTCTTCTTTACCTACCAGAAAGGGTGCTTGTCAATTGACAGCATTGCGAATGTTATCGATAGCTTTGACCATATCCTTCGTTCTGTACTCAATCTTACCCAGAACAGCACAATTGCCGGTATTGAATTCTTCAATCACTATTCCTGCCAAAAACTTCGCCAATGGAATGCGACATTGTCCGAAAGACCTGACAAATGTGCACATGAATTATTCGAACAGCAGGTATTGAAGCGACCACAGGCACCTGCTATATGCTCTTGGGATGGCAGTTTTACGTACTCAGAGCTCGATCTGTTGTCAAATCGCCTTGGGCGACGCTTGAAGGGCCTAGGCGTCAGGCCTGACACTTTTGTAGCACTATGTTTTGAGAAGTCTGCTTGGGCTATCATAGCGCAAATAGCTGTTCTGAAAGCCGGAGGAGCATTTGCTTCTTTGGATCCTACGCATCCGGAGAGTCGGCTGAAGGACATGGTTGACGACATTGGTGCTCAGATCATCTTGTGCTCTACAAAGCACTACGGTAAATCTTCCAGAATCTGCAATACGTCACTTGCTGTTTGCGAAGGCATGATCAGCGGGCTTTTGGAATCGGGTCCTCCTGAGCCAGTTTCAACAGTCGAGAACGCAGCATACGTTATATTTACTTCAGGAACAACCGGGAAGCCGAAGGTGACAGTGGTTGAGCATGCTGGGCTTGCATTAGGTGCCAGCGCGTTTGCTAAACCTTTAAATATAACCCCAGACACACGAATGTTACAATTTTCGAGCTTCACTTTTGACGTTAGCGTTTTGGAGACAATTGTTGTTCTGATGATAGGTGGCTGTATTTGCATGCCCTCCGACACAGAGAGATTGAATGACTTGCCTGGAGCGGTTCGCAGGATGGGAGCTACTAACACATGCTGCACTCCATCTATAATAAACTCTCTTGACCCTAAGAGTGTCCCTACTTTGAAGATTCTATCTTGCGCGGGAGATAAAATGATGGATAGTCATATCGACCGCTGGCTGGACAGAATTGTCATTAATGCGTATGGGCCTTCCGAAGCGACTATAGTTGTCACTGCAAGCAAGAAGACCGATGGAGAGGGAAGACGCATCGAAAAAGATAGCAGCTCCATTGGTACTGCCATAGCTGGCAGAACATGGATTGTAGACCCTCAAAACCATCATCGGCTTCTTCCTGTCGGCGCAGTGGGTGAGTTGGTATTGGAAGGCTGCAATGTGGCTCGTGGTTACCTCAACAATGAACAAAAAACCAAAGAGGTTTTCATTCGTGACCCTCAGTGGATCCAACTTGACGGTCTTAAGGATTTGTTCAAGTGCAGAGAGCGCATGTATCTGACTGGAGACCTAGTTCGATACAGCCGCAACGGGACCATTCAGTTTATCTCCCGCAAGGACACACAAGTCAAGCTTAATGGCCAGCGCATTGAAGTGGAAGAAATTGAGCAACAATGCATTTCTCACTTGCCAAGAGACACTCAAGTAGTCGTTGAAGTTGTCACCCCGAAGGAGAAGACCGTGGCTAGGTGTTTGGTAGCCTTTATCACTGTGGATGAGAATGATGAGAATGATATCACGCATAGAGAGAGCCCGACTTCAGAACTACTTCCAATGACTGAGCTTCGTACGCAAATGATAAAAAGGCTTCATGCGTGTCTAACTGATTCGCTACCATTAACCATGGTGCCGAAGCTCTTTTTCCCGGTACGACGGCTACCTGTCTCGTCCAGCGGCAAACTCGACCGCAGTGCACTTCGAACTATGATCGAGTCGTTATCAAAGGAGCAGTTCAAGACTTTTTTTATATCCCGTGGCGGCGGTAAGCGGATCTCTGAGAGTGGAAATATAGGGGAACTTCAGAATTTGTGGGAAGAAGCCCTTGGCCTCGCACCAGGCTCTGTTGGCACTGAAGACAGCTTCTTCGGGCTCGGAGGCGACTCTTTCTCAGCTATGAAACTCGTCGGTGCTGCGCATTCTCATGGAATCTCGCTGACAGTTGCCAATATTTATGCTAACCCGTTCTTGATGGACATGGCAAAATGTTGTGGACACGCAACGACGATCACTGAGTCGACGGTACAGCCCTTCAGTATGTTGCCTAAACCGGGTAGACTTGAAGAGATAATGGCAGAGGTCTGTGATCAATGTTGTGTATCGAAGGACATGATATCCGACGTCTACCCTTGTAGCCCTGTGCAAGAGGGGGTTGTTACACTGTCCATCAAGCAGAAGGGGGCCTATATTGCTCAACCAGTGTTTCAGCTTGCGGCAAATCTGGACATCGAGAGATTCAAGGCTTCCTGGCAGCAGGTTGTGGGTGAATTGGATATCCTGAGAACACGTATCGTGTACACCGACTCTATGGGATTTCTCCAAGCAGTTCTCGATAAAGACCCAATAACCTGGACCATTACAACCACAGTCGATGAAGCGATGGATGGTTTCTGTGGCTTATCAACCTACAATGGACAGCAACTGGCAAAATATGCTATTGTCCAATCTGAGACAAACTCTGTGCCTTATTTTGTCTGGACGATACACCATGCACTGTACGATGGATGGAGTATATCTCTGATCCTCCGCAGGGTAGAGGAGATCTACTCGAAATCCTCTCCACAAAAACCAACACTTCCTTACAAGAATTTCGTAAGTTACCTCCAGGAGAGGGACATGTCCAACTCGGATGATTTTTGGAAACATCAACTTTCAAATATCTCTTGTTCCCCGTTCCCCCAAAAGAAGTCAACCTCTCCAGATTCTGTGCGGGTAGGAAATCGACACCACAGTGACATCAGCATCCCTCGAATTCAAAATAATTTGGGGTTAACTTTGCCCGAACTCCTCCGTGCTGCGTGGGCTATCGTGGTGTCTGCACATACAAGTTCCAGCGATGTCTGTTTCGGCGAGACACTGATGGGAAGAAATATCAGCCTTCCTGGGGTTACATATATTGCAGGACCGGCCCTTACAACAGTCCCTACACGCATACAGGTTGAGAATGATATGTCGGTTGTTCAGTATCTGCAAAATGTAAGGGAGTTGACCACAACGACCATTACACATCAGCATGCCGGATTGCAACATATTCAAAAGCTCAGTAGCGATGCATCTGTTGCCTGTGATTTCCAAAACCTACTGGTGATACAGATAGACGAAGGGGCCCTTGATAGGGGTATATGGACTCCCAGAGATAGTGAAACCAGCGGGGATTTCTTCACCCACCCACTCACTGTCGAATGTAAAACCAGAGGCCTAACTCTGGGAATAACTCTACATCACGATGAAGTTGTTTTGGACAGTTGGCTGGCTGAAAGACTAATCCATCAGTTTGGTGTTGTTCTCGGACAGTTGCTTGCAATTTCCAATGATGACCTACGTAAAATAGGCGATCTAGATTTAATCAGTGATTTCGACAGAAAAGAAATCTCACTGTGGAATCATGAGAATCCAACCCATGTTGAGAGATGCGTCCACGATATCATTCAGGAAAAGTGTTTGCTTCAGCCCAAGGCCTCGGCTGTTTATTCCTGGGATGGTGAGCTCTCATACAAAGAGCTGAATAAACTTGCCTCATCTTTTGCTGCATATCTACATTCTCATAAAGTTGGCCCTGAAACACTCGTACCTATTTGCATGGACAGGTCTCTTTGGGTGGTAGTCTCTATACTTGGTGTTCTCATCGCTGGCGGAGCATATCTTCCACTGGATCCTTCCCATCCAGTATCCAGACACAGTGAGATCATTACAGAAGTTGGCGCTCGGGTCATTCTTTGCTCACCCCAGTATCGTAATCGATATTCTGGGTCCGTCAATACAGTCATTCCTGTCAGCAAGGAAACCATAAGAGCGTACGGTTCTATGAGCGAAAGGCCCAAACATCGTCAGGCTGCGACTCCCTCCAATATGGCGGTTTCAATTTTCACTTCGGGCAGCACAGGACGTCCCAAGGGCATTATCCTAGACCACCAGGCGCTTGCAAGTAGCGGGATGGCTTTTGGTTCTATGGTATATCTAAATCAAAATACTCGGGCGTTCCAGTTTGCATCTCTTGCATTTGATGCGGCGATCATGGAAATACTTGTCACGCTGATGCATGGAGGGTGTGTATGCATTCCCAGTGAGGACGAGCGTTTGAATGATGTCGTCGGTGCAATTCAACGAATGAGTGTCTCATGGACTTTCTTGACACCCTCTATAGCAAGCATCATTGAGCCTTCGGCAGTTCCATCCCTAGAGGTTCTTGTCTGCGGTGGAGAAAAGCTGTCACGAGAGGTGATAAGTAAATGGGCCAACCGGGTGAAGTTAATGAATGGATACGGCCCAACAGAGACAACCATCTTCGCGGTGGTGAACAGGGAGGTTTACCCGAATTCTGATCCTTCTTGCATTGGGCACGGAATACCTTGCACGTTGACATGGGTCGTCGACTCTGAAAACCATGATCGACTCTCTCCACTAGGGGCAGTTGGAGAGTTGGTTTTAGAGGGCCCCGCTCTTGCAAGAGAGTATCTCAAGAACCCTCAGCGAACAGCTGAGGCTTTCGTAGAAGAGCCGGCTTGGATAAAGAGTTTCGACCATCCCCTACCTTCCCCAAGGAGGATATTTAAAACAGGGGATCTTGTCAAATACAACCCCGACGGATCTATCGTGTGTATTGGTCGCAAGGATCATCAAGTTAAACTTCATGGCCAGCGCATGGAGCTTGGAGAAATAGAGCATCGGCTGCACGAGGACCCTCAAGTGCGTCACGCCGTGGTGGTAATGCCAAAAACCGGTCTCCTTAGGAACCGACTAGTCACAATCTTATCTCTAGAGTTGCTGAATGGTGATAAGAGAATCATGTCATGTGAAACTTGCGAGCTTGTTGACCAGGACGCCATGGAATGTGTGTTGCCGAACCTGGTTGAGATCCAAAAAAATCTCAAGACGCATCTACCCATATACATGGTACCTCAGACATGGGCTGTATTAGAGAAACTCCCCATGCTTGTCTCCGGAAAACTGGACAGAAAAAAGATCTCAAATTGGGTTGAGAAGGTCGACGAACCCACCTACGCTCGGATAATGCAAGATTTTGACGGCATAAAGAGAGGAGACATTGAGCACAAAGACGACAGCCAGGGGACCGTTATAAATGTTCTCTGCGAGATTCTTACTCAGGTGCTTAACATTCCATCTCGCAAGATAAGCCTAGAGAGGTCGTTTGTAAGCCTAGGTGAGAGAAGTCATTACTCAGACGGCCAACAAGAGGGCATAAGAAACTAACAAAGTACTGCAGGAGGTGACAGTATCACTGGAATGGCCGTTATTTCCAAGGCCCGTAAGAATGGTATTCAGTTATCCTTACACAATGTGTTGCAGAGCAAGTCTATAGCCGAGCTCGCTGTACTGTCTGGAACAGATAGCAAAACCATCCTACATGAAGAAAAGTCCGGCGAGTCATTTAGCCTGTCACCCATCCAAAAACTATACTTCGAGCCTGCGAATATGTTCCATGGTAATGCACACTTCAATCAGAGTGTCACAGTTCGCATTACTCGAAGAATACGTCCTGAAATTTTGGGACGAGCTGTTAGGGCTATTATTGATCGGCATTCGATGTTCAGGACACTATTCACTGGGACACAAGATGGGGGTTGGCGGCAAAAAACCAAGGATGTATGTTAAATCTCCTTTCATTAAGGAATTCCAGGCTGACTTAATCACTTTCATAGGATGTCCATTCCTCTTATCGGTTTCACGTCCATGTGGTGGACAGCCTAATTGCGGTGTACCCCAAAATGGCAGAAAGTCAACAGAGTCTAAATATCTGGGACGGTCCAATCTTTGCTGCTGATTTATTTGAGGTCCATGATAGTCAGCAAATACTGTTCCTCGTTGCCAGCCACCTCTGTGTGGATATGGTGTCATGGCGTATCGTCTTGCAGGACATGGAAGAGTTTATCGAAACCGGACTCCTTTCATCCGAGAAACCATTGTCATTCCAGAGTTGGTGTGAGATCCAGACGAAGAGTAGCACGACTGAAGACACCAGTATCCATCTGCCTTTCTCTATCGGGCTGCCAGACCTAGCCTACTGGGGGATGGAGAATACACCAAACGTTTACGGCGACGTCAAGATGGAAACATTTACGCTAGGCGAGGATACCACTGCTTTTGTTCTTGGACATTGCCATCACGTCCTTCGGGCTGAGGCCGTAGATGTTGTGCTTTCGACAGTCATCCATTCCTTCCGCCAAGTTTTCACTGGCCGAGAGACCCCGACAATATACAACGAAGGACATGGCCGTGACTCTGGGGATCCCAATATCGATCTTTCAAGAACGGTCGGCTGGTTCACTACAATATGCCCATTGCGTGTCAGTAAAGGTTCAGGTAAACTTCCCTCCATATCCCCTTCATCCAGACTTCTTTCTGACTTGCATGGTAGACATAATGGAGACTCTAAAATATGTTAAGGACACAAGACGCCAAATGAACGATTATGGACAGGCTTATTTCACCCAGAGTGTGCTTCATCAAGGAGAAAATAAACGGTCCAAGGACTTCCAGGTACCATTCGAAATTATTTTCAACTATCTCGGGCAACTTCAGCAACTTGAACGAGACGACGCCTTATTCCAGCACTTTGGAAACGTTTTCAACTGCGAGAAGATGGAATTGGCTGGGGACATGGGGCCACAGACACCTCGATTTGCCCTCTTGGAGGTGTCAGCAATCGTTGTCAAGGGAAAGATTCATGTTTCATTCACGTACAATCAGCAGATGAAACACAAGGCTGAGATTATAGACTGGGCTTCAGAGTGCAAGCGAATACTGGAGGAAGATTTCCTTTATTTCAAAGACTACGTGCCCGAGCCTACTCTCAGCGATTATCCTTTGCTCCCTACCACATACGATGGGCTGCGCAGCTTTGTCAAAGACACACTTCCCGGCGCGGGAGTCAAAGATTGGGACTCCGTTGAAGATGTCTATCCCTGCTCTCCTATCCAGGAGGGTATTCTTTTGAGTCAACTTCGTGATCCGAACCGGTATATGTTTTACGCAATCTTTGAGGTGCAACATTATAATGAAGGTAGCATGATAGATCCAACAAGGCTCCGAAAGGCATGGTCAATGGTTGTCAGTCGTCACCCGGTTCTGAGAACACTGTTCATTGACAGCAATCATAAGGGAGGAGCTTTCGATCAAGTGGTCGTAAAAACACCGAACGCTAAGGTTATTGAGGTCCGGTGTGACAATGCCCTCGCATTCGAGAGACTTGAAAACATCAAACTCCAGGATATCAACGCCAATAGACCCTCAAAGTTCCCCCAACAGCTGACTATTTGTCAAACGTCTTCTGGCCGGATCCTGGTTAAGATTGAGATTAATCATGCTATCATTGACGGTAGATCGATCGACATTCTCTTAAAAGATGTAGCACTAGCGTACGACAGCCGACTCGTTTCAGGACCAGGGCCTCGCTTCAGCGAATATATCAAATATGTTCAGACGCAAGATCAAAACACAGCCTTGGCGTACTGGATAAATTATCTATCCGGGGTACATCCATGCCACCTATCATTCTCTTCTGTAGCAGGTGATCGCCAGCTGGGTTCCCTCATGATGAATTTCGACCGCTTCCTCGAATTACAGCAGTTCTGCGAAAAGAACTCGGTCACCCTTGCGACTCTAACACTCTCTGCCTGGGCAATTGTCCTTCGGAGATTCACGGGATCCGATGATGTTTGTTTCGGTTATCCGTCTGCTGGCCGTGATTCACCGGTCCCTGGAATTCAGGAGGCGGTTGGAATTTTCATCAACATGTTGTGCTGCCGAGTCAAGTTTGCTGCCAACCATACTCTGTTCGATGTTTCTAAGATGGTCCAGGACAATCACATCAAAAGTATTCCACATCAGAGCTGTTCCCTTGCGAAGATTCAACATGAGATTGGTCGTCAAGGACAGATGCTTTTCAACACCACTATCTCAATACAGAACCGCTCGCTGTCAAAACACACCAGTAATGATCTGATCTCACTGCTCCCCCAAAGAGTCCATGATCCAACCGAGGTAATTTACCGCAATATCGGTATATGAATCCAGAATGTTGTGCTAATTGGCGATATTAGTATCCTGTGACACTAAATGTTGAGACCGCTAGGGGCCAAGAAGGGATCTTACTGAGATTCTGGACCGACACCGTATCCGAGAGTCAAGCAAAGGACTTGGCCGACTCGATAGCTCAGGTGTTTGCATGCTTTGTCGAAGGACCGTCTACATTAGTTTCCGATTTGCCTCTTTGCCAGCTACCAAAGGACTCCCCTCCCACAGGGGTACAAATGCCTGACCACGACCATTTGCAAAGCCTGATCGATAGGCGTGTCGATGAAGTCATCAACCAAATGATGAATGAACGGAAACTAATACTCATCAAAGCCCATGACCAAGATAAAACCCAGTTAAACGAACATCAGATTAAATTACCTGACACCGCATACCAAGCAGCAGAAACACGCAAAATGGCACTTTCAGACTCGTTACCAACCCTAACCGGCGAAAAAGAGCCCACGGACCTTGAGGATCAACTTTACAGACTCTGGAACACAGCCCTGAGTCTGCCAGAGAGCACGGTCCGACACCAAGATAGCTTTTTCAAGTTGGGTGGCGACAGCATAACGGCCATGAAGATGGTTGGTGCTGCCCGAGAGGAGGGATTGAAATTGACTGTAGCGGATGTTTTCAACAGTCCCATATTCGAAGACATGCTGGCTATCCTCAGTGCCAAAAGCAGTCCTTCATCGCATAGCGCTGGCACACCACCCATGACGCCAGAGAATGAGAAAGAGACCGAGACTCCTGTGGTTCTTTCCAGGCCAGTTTCACCCGAGGTAACTGTCCTGAGGCCGACGGAGCTCGATAACACTTCTCTGCAAGCCAGAATATTCCCGAAGATCGGTGTATTCAGAGGCGGAATCGCCGACGTTCTTCCAGTGACCAACTTCCAAGCCCTATCTCTTACCGCAAGTCTTTTCAAATCAAGGTGGATGCTGAACTACTTCTTCCTTGATGGCAACGGGCCATTAGACATCCGACGAATCCGAGAAAGCTTTTTGAGGGTCGTCGATGTGTTTGATATCCTGCGTACCGTATTCGTGTGCTTCCATGGTCAATTTTTCCAGGTAGTGTTGAGGAAGATACGTCCGGAGATCTTTGTCTGTGAAACAGAGGAGAGTTTGGATGCGTATACTGGATCCCTGCAGCAACAAGATCGGGCCCAAGTCCCACGGCAAGGTGAACAGTATGTGCAGTTCTATATTGTGAAGAAGAAGACGAGCGATCAGCACCGTATCCTGATAAGAATGTCCCATGCCCAGTTCGATGGTGTATGCCTTCCACGGATCATGTCCGCCATCAAGATGGGGTATGAAGGGAGCCCAATTCCCCCCAATGCGTCGTCCTTCTCAAACTACATGAGGATGCTCCCTGCCTCGATCACGCCTGAGCACTATCGGCATTGGAAGAAGTTGCTCAAGGGATCCCAAATGACGCAGGTTATTCGGCGGGAAGGCCCGAACACTTTCCAGTACATCGGTGCCTTCACTGAGCAGAAAAGAACCGTCAGTTTTCCCCCAACTGTCCTTGAGAACGTAACAATTGCAACTGTCATGCAATCTGCATGGGCTTTGACATTGGCGAAGCTTTGCGCCCATGAAGATATTGTCTTCGGCCTCACTATCAGCGGTAGAAATGCCACCATCCCCGGCATCGAAGCCACCGTTGGGCCATGTCTCAATATAATTCCTGTCCGCGTGAAATTCGGAGAGCACTGGACTGGGCTGGATCTCTTCCGTTACCTCCAGGATCAGCAGGTCGCCAACATGCCTTTTGAGTCTCTGGGCTTCAGGGACATCATTCGACACTGTACGGATTGGCCCAGCTCCGTATACTTCACGACTTCAGTCTTCCATCAGAACGTCGAATACGAGGGTCAGATGCAGCTGGATGGTAACACTTACAGAATGGGAGGTGTCGGCGCCATCGACAATTTCACCGACCTTACCCTGTTCTCCAAAGCGTTCCCTAACCAGCAGAAACTTGAAATCTCACTTGGGTACTCCCAGAAAGGGCCTATCGGTCCGGCACTTGCCGCCCAGGTCCTCGAAATGGTCTGCGAGACCGTAAAAAGTCTCATTGCCAATCCCAGCATCCCTCTGCCATCGCCCTTGACTCTCTGCTCTCTTCCCTGCCAGGTCGTCAGGGACCTGCCCCGATCCTCCGACGAGGTATTCCTCTCCTCGCACCTCAACAGCCGAAGCATATCAGATATTCTGGTCCACTCGGACATTCTCAGCCAGATCTGGCGACAGGTGCTTTCCAAAAATCGCACCAGAGGCGAATCCGACAGCTCTCCGTGTCCTTACCAACTGAATTCCTCCTTCTTTGACCTGGGAGGCGATATCCTCGGCATGGCGCAAGTTGTCTGGCTACTGGAGCAGGAGAGTCTACAAGTGCGATTGGAGGATCTTCTCGAACATCCCACTTTCTTGGGCCAGCTGGCCGTCCTGGCTCTTCACAATGCCAGCCCTGATACTAGAGTCCACACTCCGGCGGAAGCGGAAGTCGACGAGGTACCGACTACACTGACATCGTCCAAGGCACTCTCAAAGAAGTCGAGTTGGAGTCCATTACGCAAGGCCGTTACTTTGGCCAGACGGTTCACGAAATGGGGCTCAGTCTAAGACTTAATCGGCCTCGCTGGTCCATGAAATTATATGCCTGTTGTATTATTCTACATCATTGCACGTGTACAACGGTTTCTCTTGAACTAATAATATTCATCAGTCTATTTTTCTTTTCAATTTCCAATTTCCTATTGTCTTTTAACTTTCTGATATAGTCTTTCATTCATGTCTATTTAATTCCTACCAGACCGATTCTTTTGTTATGATACAATCATTTCTCATTAGACTATCCCATTATGTTTCAAATATCAAATAATAGCCACTTTTTGCAATATGCAACCAAGAGCAAGTCTATCAACTCATCGCGTAGTGGTATCTCAATCACTACTCTTCATGGGTATTATTATGCCTTTTCACCCTCTATTTTTGCTTCTTCTTTTTTTTTTTTTTTTTTTTTTTTGCGCGTTCTCATGAATGGAATTAGTAACCGTAAACCGAAGCCCTGGACCACTTCCCCCTAGCTCGGATACGTTTCCCAAAGATATAAAACAGATACGGGATGGGAATCAAAACAATCCCCACGAAGCCCAGAACACTGGAAGCCCAATCGACACCCAGTTTCCGAAACATTATATGCGCAAAGAGCGGGAAACAACCCGCGAAAAGACTGCGAAGGAACGTATTTGCAGCGACAGCACTGGCGGCAACTTTTTGAAAGGTATCAATGAGATAGTTCAAAGCGGCCTGGAAAATCGTAAAGAACCCAAACCCCATCATAACAGCACCGATGATAGGTCCGATCCAGTGGACATCAGGATCACTAGTCCAACCAAAGACGAACAACCCCGCTGCGAAAACAACCGACCCAACCATCATAGGCGGAAGCCGTGCCTCGGGGACAGGGAAGTCATTGTTGGCTTTTAATCGCTTGATGTAGAATTTCTGATTGAAAAGGTTCACGCATGCACCGAAGAGAATCCCAACAAAGTAAGCGAGGAATGGCAGAGCACCAACGACTTGATTCCATCCTCGGACTTCTTGGAATTCGATCGGGAATGCCCCAAGGCTGAGATAGAGAATGCCGTAAACGAAGGAGGCGTAGAGAGCGACGAGGAAGCAGATGGGAGTGGATAGGAGGGCGAACGGACGAATGAGATATTTGTTTCCGAGCTCTTTGAACGTCACGTCCCATTCTTCGTGGCGCGCGTGAAGTGCCCAATTTCCGCTGTCGAAGCGGAGTCGACGCGCTTTGTAAACTAGAAGAACAGGGGGGTAGCTTTCGTCGAGGAAGAGGATGTCCATGGTAAGAAAGAACATCATCATGATTCCGGTTAGCTAGACATATTAATATTCTTGCCAACAATGTCTAGGGATAGAATACGAACATATTCAGTCCATCTCCATCCTAGATAACTCTGACAAATGGCACCGCCAACAATGGGCCCCAGAACCGGTCCTCCCACCACAGCCAGGGCGTATCCTACAATGGCTGCGCCTCTATCCTCCGCTGTCCAGATATCACTTAACACGCCGCCGGTGTTAGTAATAGGCGCGGAGCCAAAGAATCCAGTAAAAAATCTTGTGATCATCACGGTTTGCACGTCTTTCGCCGTGGCCGTGGCGAATGAGAAAATCGCCGCTATGAAATAGGGCGCCAGGACGGCGGGTTTTCGTCCGTAAACTTCAGACAGAGGAGCCCATACAAGAGGGCCCAGTCCTGTTACCGTCAATATAAATCTAGATAAGTGAAGTATACGGAGAACTACCGAAACCAAATAGTAGAAGGGAGGTACCGAGCGTACCGACCTCTTCGCCTACTCTAAACTCGGAATCAACCTGCCTTATACCGGTTGAGTAACTACTATTGTCAGTTATACATCAGATAATATGAATGGAGATTAGTACATGGAACTTGACCAAGTGGCGCCTATTTCAAATCAGCACCCACCAGATACCGATAAGATATTAAAAAGGTATACATACCCATAGTTGTCAATCCGTAGAGCAAAGTAGTGATACACTTCTTCCCAAACCCCCAATTCAGCGGCTTGTAAGGATCATCCGGACCGTCAAACTCAACGATCACGTCGTCGACTGTCTTGATATGGGAGAGCGGATGCGTGAAAAGCGCATTCTGACCTGGTTCTCGGCTCCGAATCCTAGAGATGACGGACTGCGCGCGCTGTTCAAAAACGGATAACCCCGACGCCACTGTCGTCTGCTTCTGCAGTGTTCCATTTCGGTCGTCGGCGGGAGTCTGTTCCGAGGACCCCTGGTTGGAAGATCCATCCTTTGCCATGACATATATCTACGGAGTAAGAAGTCGGCAGCAACCAACGATGAGTACTACTTCGTAGTAATGACCGAAAGTAAGGAGGAGACCAATTGTTCGACGTCACTGACAAACAGTCAAATCTGGTTCATCGTGACAGGAGCCGCTGCTTTTAAGGGAAATTGCCGACTTAGCCGGACAATTTCCGACCATCGGATGTCCGATATTACTCAGCCAAGTTATGTGGGGACGCCAGTGTTAGCTGCTACGGCGACGGATGTCCGACAGCTTTAACTGATTCTACATTCTATTATGAATCCTGAGAATGTTTCTGTGAAATCTGTCGGAATTTATCCGTGTGGCGAGTGACACTGCACGCTATGTCGGACATATAGTGGACCCTGTCGGTGGGCCTGGATGGGATTGGCGCTAATTCTCTGGCAAGCTTTTTGGCTGACTTAAAGGGGATAATCAGTTTTATGTTGGAGCATACCGCCACATATACGCACGCGCCTGCTGCCGGTTCCATCACCGAGCTGGGATCACCGAGCTGCACGCCTCTGTATTGCATATAAAATAGCACTTTTTATAAGCCTAATATCTTAACAACATGTCAAGAGAGCCTAGAATCAATAATACATAATAATAACAATGGCATACATATAGATACTAGGCCTAGATCCTTTTAGGATTTCTAGTTTATTATATTTCAAAAAAATACATTTAAATACAGCGGTATTTAAAATAATCTTGTATTATGAGTCAGCAAAAATCTTTATAACTATGAGCATTCTGAAGTATATTATAACTCTATGTTATTGTTAAAATATTAAGGTCATAAAAAGTGTTATAGCCAAGCTCAGGATCTTAACTATTCCACTGGAGCAAAAGACCACTATATCTGATCCCAATTCCTGAGCACCTTATATAGTAGCGCACTGTAATGTTAGGTGACGCACCCACACCTAACCGGAAAACCGAGTTTTGACAGCGTGAGAGATGACGAGTTTACTTGTAGAACTCCCGTAGACAGTTGCAAGAGGGAAGAACCCTCCCAGACCCGGAACTATTCCGCAGGGTTGTCGTCACGTGAAGCAACCCAAATAAAATGTTGGAAGCGATTGCTTATATATTGAATGGCTGGGTGGCCGCTAATAAGTATTCGATCACCGAGCTGCGCGCCTCTGTATTGCAGATAAAATAGCACTTTTTGTTAGGCGTGGGTGCGTCACCTAACATTACAGTGCGCTACTATATAAGATGCTCAATGGGGATCAGATATAGTGGTCTTTTGCTCCAGTGGAATAGTTAAGATCCTGAGCTTGGCTGTAACATTTCCCTCCCACCTTCCCAGCTTTTCGGTCATTATACAGTACAATATTATGTTACACGCAGCAATACCTGAACCTCACGCCTAGTTGTACGAGCCATGTGTATAACACCTAACCGTGACTTGCACCTCTACGCAGTTAGTACTAGTAGCCATTTACATGGTGAAACTAAGCAAGTCACGGGATAATGTTCTGTCGGCAGAGAATGAGGGATTATTTTTGCGGAGTGGCATCAATAGTCGTCCGTATGTAGTGTTTCTGTGGCACATGCTATATATGCCTACTGTGGATAACGTGATACAAGGAGCCATAGGCTCAGTACTTTGCTACAAAACTGCCTTAGCCTTATGGGTGGTCAGAGAAGATATTACTGTAAAAAGAATCATAGCTGGGTTCCCTCTGAGAGGGGAAATGCCCCTGGGTTTCATTAGCCCTAGAATAGGAGCTGTAACAGGGGAAACATAATTAAAGAAAATAATTACTAATTCTCTTCGGATTCTTGGACGATAGTTCGTGTTGTAACCAATTAAAGAAACAAAATGCAAGTACAATAATTCTGGCTTCGACTGTATTATGGGCCATCAATATTGAATTCTCATCCTGCGGGATTCTTCATCTCACTATTCTCAATGGCTGCATTTCTGTTCCCAGAAATAGACTCTTGCAGATGGGACAATCCATGCATCCTGCGAAATCAAATGCATCCAGCCAGGCGGGTTCTCTTTGAGGTTTTTCTCATTGAAAAGCGCAGCGTAGCAGTCTATGACGCCTATTATGTCTCTGAAGGTCCAAATCTTAAATATAACAAAACATCCAGATTGATCCTGTTTCCTATTCTAAATTGATCTATCCAAATTAGATTGTCCACCTCCTCCACGTCAACAGCAGAGGTCTAGAGCAACCCGCCTCTTCTGATAAAGTAAAGATACATCCCGTCCAACTGTCGCAGTCAGCCTTACTATTCTATCTAGTATTCCTCTGCTTGGAAGAACCGTCCAAGATGCCACTGGTATTTACCCTTATGTCTGAGATTCAGGCTCGGGTTGACGGACACAATGTATCTTTTCTCTTGAGCTTCTTCCTTCTGGGTCTGATATATTATTTCTTCTGGCCAGTTCAAACCTCCAGTTCCCATTCTCCCAGGCTGGCCGTGGGAAACTGTTTCTCGTGCATCAGCAACACTGAGCCGCAGTATTTAGAATGGGCAACTCAATAGGGGCATATTTCAGATCCACCTGGGGTATACTCTAGTCCTGATGGTGATCAATTCAGAAGCAGCTGCAAAGGAGATATTAGGATGTCACTCGCATACTGTGCCGTCGCGACCTACATTTTATATCTTCAACACCGTGTCTCTTACTCTATAAGTTAAATAAATGTCATTGACTTCTTTTATAAATAATAATAGTAATAATAGTAATAAATACCCTCTCCCGTAATCTAGGTACCACTGTCGGAAGCCCCAAATTAAACAATAGTCTGAAACACACCCGTAAAAAATCACCTCCTAAGCAAGCAAACCGGCCGTCAACTTGCATCTGGGAAATATCGACCAAGATACTTGTGTTCTAACCCAAGATCTGACGATCCCCTGTCATGCTGTCAAACCCCAGGTTGACCCGCACATGTTGTCGCCAGGGGTGGGTTCAGTCTCATAATGACAATGTGATGTGGTCGACAGATGTCCCTTGATTATCCGCTCACAGAGAATATCAACATGGAAGATCAGCTTCTGGCTCTGAGAAGTCCGGAGTTGAATTATCTGGATTATCTTGCTTTTCTTGGTCCGTTCATATTTATGGGTCTTGCGCCGAAGGCGGCGCGCTTGAGGGACAGACGAGATGCGTACGTTCTGAGATTGAAGAAGGATATGGATGAGAAGATTCAGTCCGGCACTTATCGCCCTTGTCTATATTCCAAAACTATTTCAGCTCCCATCCGCTCAGTTCCAGTAAACTGTCCGTGATTCTGGCCAACCTTGTTGTCTGCGGGTCTGGCCACAAATGCCCTGCACCGGGGGACCTGAATGGCCTTAATATCTTATATGCATTGGACCACGCTTCGAAATGCGTAAGAGACTCGACAGAAAGGGAATAATGTCAGAGTCAATTGAGTTTCCCTTCTTTGAATTCAGTCCAGGTACCGAGATAAGAAAGGACAGCCTTGCTGATGGAGCAATGTCAAGACAGACAGCCAAGGAAACAAGGAAAGATACACCAGGACCGAAGATCATGGGGCGATAGGTATGCAAGAGGCTTCGAAAGGTCGAATGGTCGTATGGTCGTCAAAAATAAGGCAGTGGATCTACTCCGTGCAAAATTGTGAAATTCTACAATGCTCTGAGCCACGGATTGATCATCAGACTGACGTCTGTAAATTCTCGGCTTTCTGCATAGCCGATTATTCAAATTGGTAGAATTGGCGTCGAAGGATTTATGCCCTTTCAGAAGACTTGCTATAGCCCCTTAGACTTGCTCCATGATTAGAGGATGATCCTCCATCCTCGAAATCACAATCGTTTTAGTACTGATACGAGCTGACAAAGAGTGATGAGAAGAGGCTAATAAGGAGAGGTGCCAAGATTATAATATTGTGAGATATAAATCAGTGAGGAAGTGCTCCTGAAAAATTTAGGTGGAATTCAGCCTGACCCGTACTGTAATGATTTATAGGGCTGCACGGTGAGCAAAAAGCAGCGCCACTTCGGACCGAATCCGGAAATGGAAGGTCGCTATGTAGAAATGCTATTCGGTAGGTAGATTCTGCAGAGGGAAACTTTCATAATTAATACCCATCTCTATTCTGCATCAAGGGAATATAATCTACACTATAATCATCACATCACATCACATCAATTAGAACTGGCGGTATGCGTACTCTCCCACTTATGTACCGCTTCCATAGCAGCCGTCACTTTCAGTCCAATACGGGCATCCAGTTCGTAGCTTTCCCATCGAGACGCTTTATCTAGATACTCCTTGCATTCGCGCACCTTTTTTCGTTCCACCGAGGCAGAAGATTCATCCCTTGCCGTCTCCACAAACTCTCTCGATTCCTTCCCGTGGACGATATACCCTGGACGTTCCATCCATAGATTCGCGGCCATTTCGAAAAGCGCCGCCGGAAGCACCCAGTTATCTTTCAGATGACCGGTGAACACGGACTTTTCCTGGCTCAGCACCGACGTTTGGATCAGCTCCTTGGCTTCGTTGTGTTTACGCATCGAGCGCCAGACGGCGGCACGCAGGAGTTGCAGAAGCGCTTTCTCTTCGGCACCCTCGCGGGTCCAGTTCTTATTCGCGTCGCTCTCCGACCACGCCAGTTTCCGCAGGGATTCCTCGAGATGATCGGTCGTCATTCGACTATGACCGTTCCAGAAGAAGATCATCTCCTCGATGGGATCGACACCCACGGCGTCCACCAATGGAACCTTCCACTCCTTGGCGCGCTCCTCCCATTTGGCGATCTTTCGTGCAACAAACACGTCAAAAGGCAATTGTCGCGCCATGAACCGCTTTTTCCCTGCCAGAGGAGGGGCTGTTCGGAAATACTCCATCGCCTTCTCGGCATGTTTGGCTGCGAGGTCAGCGTCCGTTTCAGCAGCGCTGCGATATAATGAGAGATGAGAGGACCCCGCAATGTAATAGTACAACGAGCGAGACCAAGAATTCAAATCCACGCACTGCTATCAGTCAGCCCTGCCTCTTTGGTAATTTCCAGCAAAGATGACCTACCTCGAGGAATGAATCCGCACACAGTTCATACCGGTGAAGGTACATCGCATTCAAGCTCCGTTCAAATACTCGCAGCGCTTCGACTTGCTGGAGTGGACTTTTTTCCTCACCACAAAGAAGCTCCAACGCCACCTCCAAGTTTCTATTCGCCCCTTCCATCCTGGATTCTTCAAGGAGCCAGAGTTGACTTTTGGGAAACCGTTGCCTCATCTTGGCCAGGAGTGACTCGAGCCTCTCTTGCGGATATCCCTGCACGTCTCCATCTTCCCCAGGAAGGGGATCGGGCATGATGTCGCAATATCGCACGAAACCATTGTAGTAGCCGAGAAGGGCAAATGCGGCAATGGCACCGATCAAGTTGTGGAACTTGCTTGCCTGCCATAACATCCTCAACCCTCGTTCCTTGTCCCCGTGGAATCCAATGATACCAAGCAGCTTACTAAAGGCGGGAGGCACCATGGAAATCAGCAAAAGGAGGATCCCGAAACAAAAGTTTGAGCCCGAATGCACAAAGACATCAATCTGGTTTTTGAAGATGTCTGATTCAGGGTCGTGGCTCAGCATATCTGCAGGACTGTCCGTCGAGGACACGTCTGTAGACTCCTCAGAGCCATTTGGTTCATCCGAGACGTTAATATCGGACAGTTTTTGCGATAGCCTGGAGGCTTCGACGGAGTCTGTTTCGGTTGATTTTGACGTTGACTCCTGCCCTGAGAGCTGACTCGAGGACTTTGCGAATTCTGCAGGAGTCACGTCGCCAGAACGGCTCATCTGGGTAAATTTCTGTTCCATTTTCAGAATCCCATCCAAGGCTATATAAGCTTTTCTTAGTTTATAAAATCCTTTGATACTCTCGGTGAGACTCTCGTTGAGCACTCCGACCACGGCACTCATGAGCTGCGCCATGGCCTGACAGAGTGCGAACTCGGTCCCGGGCGCATAGATCTGTGAATGGTAAGAATTCGGCGCATGCGCACTGTGTTGTGCCTTGTGCTGATCGTTGTAGGCACTGTTCTCGGCTGCATTGAGTCGTTCTGACGCTGCAAACGATCAGTACTGACCCACCTGAGAGTTCGCCAGACCAGCGTACCTTGACGCATCACCTCCAATTCGAAACCTAACGTTGCCCGGATAAAGGCGACCACTCCTCTTCCTAGCTGGATGCGCCAAATCATCAGTCCAAAGCAAACTATCCGAAATGTGGCCATTTGCCAGCACAGGTCATACACACATTATGAAAAGACGAGGTTCCTTCCGAGAGTCCATCTTCGGCCCCATCCACGTCGTCGTTGAGAATCAGCGTTGCGGCTGTGTTCCGGAGCGATTAGAATTGTGATGTTTTATCCATAAGAGGGAAGAGGCAACGTGATCATACCCTTCATCGCATCCTCCACTTCAATTCGGCGGCACCAGTTAGCAGAAGCTTGACAGGACAGTCCACCTGACGGGGAAATGCTCACGATCTCGCAATTCAGTCAACGAGTCTAGAGACTGGGTAGAGGCATTGGCACCGGACTTTTTGCCATAGAGCCATGACCCTACTCGAAGCATCTTGCCTCCGATTCAACGGCGTAGCAATCTAGGGGGGAAGAAAAGGCAGAAAGAAAAGAAAAACGGAAGATAAAAAAGGAGGGACAAACAGCCGAGCAGCACTGTATATAGAATGAATCGAATGGGATTTCCTTGTCATGAGCCGCGGGGTCCGAACCCCCAAAAGAAATCGGAATAGAGAAGAATGCAGCCTGTCGTCACCGAGAACGTGGAGACCTTCCGTGGGGCATCACCTCGCGGATGGCAACGAGGAAGGGAAGATAAGAGGAAGCAAAGAATCGGGAAAGGAAGAGGGAATGGGATGAATGAATATCTAGTACGACGGAGTTAAAAGGATCCAGAGTACGGAGTACCGTGATCCACTAGGCGGAGCATCACTGGAGTAAGATGAAGACAAGGCAGAGAGAGAAGAACTACATCATACTTCGATATACAGAATGTTACGAGACGGCCAAACCAAACCACCACTCATTCGATACCCAGAGGCATTACCCGTGGTCAATGTGGAGATTCTACCTGTGATACCTACGGAGTATGCAACCGATCTATTTTTCGTTCTTTCTTTCACTTGAATCCGGGAATCCCGCTGTGTGGTGAGCCTCAGGCTGCAGCCCCTGCGTTAGTACCGGCGGGCGGTGAAAGAACACACGGACAACCTCGCCCAGTCTCTCGCTCATAACCCGCTCTCATCGCCAATCGCCCAGGTTACCATCAATCCGATCCTCCACCTTGTATTTGTCTTCTGCATCCGACTCTTCTTCCTCACCCACGGTCGCCGACCACAGTCATCCACAATGTCGAACTCAACACAGACCCAGGAGAAGACGGAACCGTCCCAGCAACCACCGCAGCAGAAGCCCCCCGTGCTCGAAGAAGATGATGAGTTCGAGGATTTCCCCGTTGAAGGTTAGATGGATACGGATAGATCTCAGACCTGGAGATTGGGACGATTTGGTTGGACATAAGGAGACATGCTGACGGATGACTCTGCAGACTGGCCACAAGAAGAGACCGAACAGGCGTCGACCAACGGCGCCAATTCCCATTTATGGGAGGAGAGTTGGGACGATGACGATGCGGCCGAGGACTTCTCGAAGCAGCTGAGGTGTGTGGGTTTTATTTCTTTGCGATCGGCCTGCCTTTCTTCTATCGGCCAGCTCAGTATTAGCGTATCCATCTGGAATCTACTGGGGCCATCGCCTGATACATGATTTCCTTTATTATCGCGTTCTCTTTCACTCCTTCTCTTTAATACCAAGACTAACTATCTATATCTATATTCAGAGAGGAACTGAAAAAAGTCGAAGCATCTCGTTAAGATACCCCATTGACGTGAGACCGATTCGCAAGAGAAATACACCCCGCTCGATGATAAATAATTGGTTATGTTATGAAAACCAATAATATCAAGCAACTGGATACACTGTCCGAGCGAGGTTTTGTGGAAGAATGAGCCTTGGTTTGTCCGAGTCAATCTAAATTGAAGTGCTGTTGTGAAAACAAAGAATGAGGGGGAAACAGAAGAAACAAGCAGCTGCTGGAACAATTTGATGGGATCCTAGGTAATAGACAAACCCTGCGTATGGTTTGGTTAGGTTTGGTATGGAGACAATGTGGCTTGAGGATTATTTCCCCCCTACCGGTTCTATATTCTACGAGGATCTACCGTTGTCAAAGGAATAAACCCCATCTTTCGACTCGGCAAGGGTCAAGGCTTACGTACGATGCTTTTTTCTGGTCCCTACGAGTAGTACTCCGTAGATACTCCGTACTAGTCACGTATTCTGAAATTGGAAATTGAGATCACAGTTTAGGGCGCGTAGCTATATTTTGCATCAGAACCGGTCTCGAATAGAAACAAAATGCCTTTCAACTTAATTAACTTTAAACGTCTTGTACATTACATTCGTCGAGGATAACAGACAAAGCATCCCTCTCTTCAATAGAAATGCTGAAGCGGGTCCTATGGGGTTGCCAGTAGCCGGCTGTGCAAAGCCGTGGGCTCAGCCACCGTTTGTACATTTTGTTCCGCAATTTGCCCTTTCCAATGCATTGCTGGTGATATTGATTATGCGTACTTTTACTTACTTGACAGGGCAGCGACGCCGGGCAGCTCCTTGCCCTCCAGAAGTTCCAATGAGGCACCACCACCGGTAGAGACATGGCTGAGCTTCTCCTCAGCCCCGAACTTGGCAGCAACGGTGGCAGTGTCACCACCACCGATAATGACAATGCTGCCGGACTGGGCAGCCGCGACGGCAGCGTCGAGAGTCTCCTTAGTAGCTTTGGCGAAGGGCTCCAACTCGAAGACACCGGGGGGTCCATTCCACAAGATGGTCTTAGCTTCGGCGATAGTCTTCTTGTACAGTTCGACACTCTTCTCACCAACGTCCAGGCCCATGTAGCCGTCGGGGATGCCCTCAGCATCGGTGGCATAGCCAGTCTTTGCGTCCGCAGCGAACTTGTCGGCCGTCACATAGTCAACGGGCAGAACAATCTGGACGTTGTTCTTCTTGGCCTTCTCAACAATGTCGCCGACGATCTTGCTGCCAGCTTCATCGAACAGGCTGTTGCCGATCTTGACGTTCTCCAGGGTCTTCTTGAAGGTGAAGGCCATGGCACCGGTGATGATGAGGCTGTTGACCTTGGGGAGCAGGTTGTCGATCAGCTGGATCTTATCAGAGACCTTGGCGCCTCCGAGAATGGCCAGGAATGGGCGCTGGGGGTTCTCCAGAGCCTTGGCAAAGTACTCAAGCTCCTTCTTCACCAGGAAACCGGAAGCCTTCTGGGGCAGATCCACACCAACCATAGAGCTATGGGCACGGTGGGCGGTTCCAAAAGCATCGTCTATACGACGGATCGTTAACAAAATGATCTTACGGGCCTTGATCTATTAGATTTGGGGCTAATGGTGTAACTTACTGATGTAGATATCACCCAAGGCAGTCAATCCCTTACGGAATTCGGCGACCTTCTCCTTATCGGCCTTGACCTTCTTGCCCTCTTCATCCTTGTAGCTACCTTCCTCCTCCGCATGGAAACGCAGGTTCTCAAGGAGTATTACCTGGCCACCGGAAGCGTTGTTGACGGTGTCCTCAGCAGCCTTGCCAACACAGTCTTCCGTGAAGATGACGCTCCTGCCGAGCAGCTTCTCCAGCTCGGGAACCACGGGTTTCAGACTGTATTTGGGGTTTTTCTTGCCATCGGGGCGGCCGAGGTGGGACATGAGGACAACCGCCTTAGCACCGTTGTCGACAGCATACTTGATTGTGGGCAAAGCACCGGCGATACGCTGGGTGTTAGTCACCTTCTTGTTCTCATCGAGAGGGACGTTGAAGTCGACCTGCCAGTCCAGAAGCGTTAGCCATGATGCCCAATTTGGGGGAGCCCCAACCCACCACCGGGGAAAGGAGGGGCAGTCTCCATGGGAAATCGGCCAGGTTGCACGTACCCGGATCAGGACACGCTTGTCTTTAAGATCGACGTCAGTAATAGCGAGCTTGTTGGAAAGAGACATTGTGAGAGAAGGGTAGTCAGGTCAATCTGTCTGAAGTCAGGTTAGCGAAAAGAAAGAGACAGAGAAAAGCGGTACAGCTACTAATTAACTAACTCTTATTCCGTCCACGGTGAGTCTGCTCCGGTCGGCTCAGCGGCGGGGTAGGAGACTAGGAGCATTTGTTGTGTTGCGCCAGTGGGGCTTCGGTGAGAGATTTGCTGACGCATCGGGCTGATGCGGGACTTGATGTCAGTCACTGTGATCGATGACGGAAGCACCCGGGGCAGAGAAAGCTCTTGGGGGGTGTCAGTTCTCGATAGCCTCGGATCTCGCAGGCCACTTCCGCGACTGTGGCAGGCAATTCAAGTTCATGGATTTATAAACTACCGCTCCGGATTCTGTGTGGGTTGCGCTTGGCTTGTCTGATGCCTACGGGGTTGGTGGAGGACTTCCGGATATTCTATCGTATGGTACACTCATGTAATGATACTCTTTTTTTTGTTTGCTTTTTTGGTTCCTTCCTTAAAGTGACAAACTGCAGTGAACGCCTGTTGAAACACATCGCCGGCAAAGAAGACCTGTACACCATCCATTAGATTTCGAAGCGAATTCCCCAATGCTCTTTTCCAATGCCACGTAAGAATGAAATCACGCAAGTAACGAACAAAAAAGGGGAATAATAGATACCAAAGAGAAGAATCAAGAACAGAGGACATTCGTTTGTCTTGAATTACTCCTCCTCGGAAGAGTTGGTCAAGGACAAGTAAGCGGTCCAGGCGATGCCAACAGTGGACACAACGGGCTACAGTAAATACCGAATAGGAAAAACCATTAGCCCTTGGTCTAAAAATGTTTGCTAAAACCAACAGAGTGGAACTCACAATCTGGAACTGCATTGGGACAATACGGAAGTTCAGGATCTGCACTGCAGGCCACAGGACGAAGTTGGCTTTCAAGGTCGGCAAGTAGACGTCTTGGAATTTGCGCGTCAAGGCTCTTTTTCCACCACCCTCGGCGATCGTCATGAATGTAAAAAAGCACACCAGACCTAGATGCAGGTTGTCAATCACTAAACTCAGTCCACCGCAGGTGGGATCCGTACCAAAAGGAGCGAAGATGAATTGGTCGAAAGCAACCCGCTTCAAAGCCGGAATGGTCGGATTTTTCTTGGTAAGTGGGAAGGCTCTGGACAAGAAACCGAACCATTTGAACTGAATGGGCGCCATAAAAAAGCCGTACGACATGAAGCGAGTTAAGCGCTCAAAATCAAAGGGCGGCGGCAAATGCCTCGCGTGACCCAACTCCCCAAGAGCAGGTGGTTTTTCCTTGTCAAGATCATGTATCTCAATGGAAATTAAATCACCACCATCGGTCCGCGCGCGTGTAGGTCGGGACTTGAAGGCCGTAATGAGCTGTGCAACGGTGTCCGCGATTCCGCCAAGAATCTATAGAATACATCCACCGTCAATTGATCCTTCATTTTCAAAGCTGCAACATTGTAGAATTAGTGGGTTTACCGCATTGGTGACCATAGTAGTCAGTACTAATTATGTTAGTGGTCGTTCAGAGCACTTGGGGGCGAACACAGACTTACCCGGCTTTTCCGCATAGTAGGAGTTGAATTTCGCAGCCAGCCGCAGAACCGCCGCCATTTCAATGAGAAAGACTATTGTATGAAGGAGAGGCTACACAAGAGAGTATTCCCATAGGACATAATATCAGTAAAAGCATCCCATTTGAATATAGGAATAGGGGCGTAGCCCATATCTTTAAAATAGGAGAAACAGAAATGAACTCAAGGCAGAAATCAGCGCACCAAGATTCGACCACATACCAAGCGACCGTAGATGTACCTCCTGTTGAGTCCATCCAGGATTCTTCGACGTGTCGCGGAGAGCATAGTGTAGTCGATTTGGATCAAACCACTGGTAGATATATTAAAGGTAAAAGGATCGAGGGTGAAAGTTCCCGCCCGGCGGTGTCGAACAAAGTATGACGCAAAAGAGAGTACAAAAAGGAGACCAAGATACCACAGCAAACCCCTGACGCTGGACCCGTAAGAATAATAAGGGGAATAAAGGGACTAAAAACAAGGAAGTCAATTGGTAAATCCTCTTTGCAGAAACAAGCAGAGAACAAACCAGACTACCTTGTCCTGGACAGTTTGCGGGGAAGGGCGTTTCGGATGGAGAATCTCTAGGATGTTCAGACGGGGAAGACTTGGGAATTAATGATCGCCAAACTACGCACGATCAGCTGCCCGCTTAGTCCACCCGCCGCCTGGAGCGGACCCTGTTGCCGCTTTAAGCAGTCCACATCGTTCCAAATTAATGTAGGGTCCATTTGATACTAATAATATTGATATTGATATATATCGGTCCTGCATATGCTCCCTGGATATAGATTGCCGGTAGCACAACATTCATTTCATGCGATTCCATCCATCATTTCTTGATTTAAAATTCCTATCGTGTGTCTCATCGTTCGTCTCAAGTAACGACCATAGCTCAGAGGTCTATGTATAAGGAAAATTACACCAGTTATTCCACACCATTACAAGATGTGTCTCTTCTATCGAATGCAAGGATATCGGGCAGGTCCCTGATGTCTGTCGTTTCATTCGTATTCAGGTCCACAAGACGCACGGCCTCCATATGAAGAGAGCCAACCGCCAAGGGGAGTAGTTTCAATTCTGTCGCGAAACATGTTCCGGGGAGAAGCGGACTAGAGATTCGCAATTTAGAAAAGAACAGGACTGGTGAGGGGCTGAAAGCAACTTACCCAACCCGAACATCTGTGCTTAAGCTAACTAGTTCGACTTCTTGCCCTGCTACACTTTTCTGCATTGCATGGACAATATTGTCATCGATCACTGCTTCCGCCACTTTGTCCTCCTTGCGGTGGGAAATTGACGAAGAGGAGGACCGAGCTACATGTCCCCTTGAATCGGCCCGCTTCCTCCGTGGAATGGCAACCATAGCGAACTTCCGAGGAATTGTCGAACGGTTCACAATGAAAATATCCCATGAAAAAGGTTTACCAACTTCCACGCTGGGAGGGCCGGAAAACGAAATCATCACTCCTAGACCCGAGGCTGAATATGCTTTCTCCCTAAGAGAATTTCTACTGGGAGGAGGTGCCCCAGCTGTTGTTTTGGTTTGGTTTGGTGTCATAGAAAGGAGACTTGCAGGACGGTTGTTTCGTTGTAAAGCTTGGCTCGGGCCTCCAAAGGTCGGATTAAGAGCCGTAGAAAAATCAACATTCGTCCGCCATCGCATCAGTATCCGCGGGTTACAATCTTCAGACAACTTAACCGTTGCCTCTAAGGATATGTCCAAAAAACTCATTATTGCGGTTGTTAAAGGATTATGATCCGATCCATATTGTGGTGTCAATTTGTATATCAAAGTGATATCATCCCGTGGGCGACACCTCACGGGCGGAAGGAGCTCTTCCATATCTGAGAGTTTTTCTATTGTTCCATCTGATATTTGAAGATCTGCCTTGTCCAACACAACATCACAACTTAGGAACGGGGTCACCTCGAAATCGAGGCTCGCAATGGTCGTCGGCCATCCAGAATATGAGTTTAATCGAGAGCATCGTATCCGTGCGCTAGCCGCAGGAACGACTCGAATAGGATGACCTGATTCCTGTTCAACATTGTATATAGGATCTTCGCTGTATTTCGCGGGTACGACACGCAAGAGCCTTGAGGCGGGAAGGAAAGGATCTCTTTGGGGGAACGCTTTATCAGTCGACAAAGGCTGTAGAATATTGGTTGACGCCGGGACGAGGGATGGGAGGTAATCATCTTCACGAGATTCTCCCTGTCGGGCCTCTGATGGGTTAAGGGTGGCCGATGCAATAAAGAGAAACGACGGGTGCTGAATACGTATGCGAGGACGCTCTGAAAAAGATCAGTAAGGTGCCACGGTAAGGTGCCACGGTAAACCTAGGGGCAAGTCATCGTACTGAGAAACGTTTCGACGCTCCAAATCACGTATACATGATTACCAGAGCCCGTATCCCCCTCGAATTCATTCACCACGACCAGCGGTTCCTCTTCCGAATTGACAACCCCTGAAAAGACTAGATCTCTAGTGGGTGTTGGGTTCTCGGCGACAGTCTCCGCAGGATCAATAGCAAAGGCATCAAGTCTAACTTCGAGGTTTTGGAGATGGTGTTTCAAGCTGGACTGAGAGCAATTGGAGAGTCGTAGGACCACGCGAACGGTGCAGAACTCATCTATAACACTCTATATATGAGTAAGAGACAAAGGTCAATTCGGGCATGAAGTTTACACCTACCAAAGAATAGAAGAGAACGTTGTGGGATCAAGGACAGAACAGAAGATAGATCCTCAGCTCCTCCTTCCAAGGCGGAGGTCAGCCCCGCCTCCAAATCTGTACCTGGAGCATGCGGGACGAATGTATCTAAAACGGCATGTCGTAAGAACTCCCCCGGTACATCGAAACTTGGCATCATGGGGATAATAACCGCATGCTTCTCTGCCACGGACTGGCAGGAAGGTAGCACACAACAAGCCAACGAAAATATCAGAACAAATGCAGTACTTATAGTACGTGTCCCCGGGAGAGTGAGGCTAGTGGAGATGGTGCATGGTGTTTGACATTTGGGGCACATGCAAACATGACAAACATGTTAGTGCATCTAAAAGCTTCCTTTGGCCGCTACATTTTCGACTGGACTCGTGCCATCGGAGAAGCAGCAGTATTTCTCCCCTACACCCCCAGCATGAATCCGATGAATGGTCCTGCGGCAGTGCCTTCTATCTGGCAGGAGGCTCGCAATGCCGATGGAAGGCCATACTACTACAATGTCCAGACTAAGGCCACGCAATGGGCTAAGCCTCTCGAGCTGATGACACCCGTGGAGGTTGGTACCGTCCCACCTGTTTCTTGCCTAGCTATGCTAATCTCTTCTCTTTGATGTCTAGCGAGCTCTGTCGAATCAACCATGGAAGGAATATACGACAGAAAGCGGACGGAAATATTGGTACCACACAGAGTCCAAGCAAAGCACTTGGGAGATGCCAGATGTTTACAAAGATGCTTTGGGACAGGCCCAAACATCCCAGCCTCCCCCAGCAGCGTATGTCTACCATCCCTATCATTATAGGAAGTTTCTTTCGTTCTATTATTAACTCACACATATAGGGCCCCAACATTCGTTGCGGGAGGCGTGAGCTCAATGACGTCGTATACACCGCAGCGTGAGCGCGATGACTACGACCGGGGATACGGTGACCGACGTGGTGGCTATGGCTCAACTGATACAAACGGATTTATTGCTACTTCATTACCTGGCGCCGCCCAAGCGGAGCCCGAGTATGGCTCGTTTGAAGAGGCGGAGGGTGCGTTCATGAAAATGCTTAAACGCCACAGCGTGCAACCCGACTGGTCCTGGGAGCAGACTATGCGTACGGTCATCAAGGATCCTCAGTATAGGGCTCTGAAGGATCCCAGAGACCGCAAAGCAGCCTTTGAGAAATATGCGATCGAGGTTCGCATGCAGGAAAAGGACCGAGCGAAAGAAAGATTCGCTAAGCTCAGAGCAGATTTCAACACAATGCTGAAACGTCATCCTGAAATCAAACACTACAGTCGCTGGAAGACTATCAGGCCAATCATTGAGGGGGAGACCATCTTCCGGTCTACAAACGATGAAAACGAGAGACGCCAGCTTTTCGAGGAGTACATCCTGGAGCTCAAGAAAGAGCACGTTGAACAGGAAGCTGCCAGGCGCAAAGCCGCAATGGATGAACTGGTGACCATTTTGAACTCGTTGGATCTGGAGCCATATACGCGCTGGTCTGAGGCACAGGCCATTATTCAGTCAAACGATAAGGTCCAAAACGATGATAAGTTCAAGACCTTGAGCAAGTCCGATATCCTGACTGCATTCGAGAACCATATCAAATCGCTTGAGCGAGAATTCAATGATGCGCGTCAGCAGCAAAAAGCGGCCAAGGCAAGAAAGGAACGCCATGCTCGTGAGCAATTTCTTGAATTGTTGAAAGAGCTACGAACACAGGGCAAAATCAAGGCCGGCAGCAAATGGAATAGCATCTATCCAATAATTCATGAGGATCCCCGTTACCAAGGGATTCTTGGGAACTCTGGATCGTCTCCCTTGGACCTCTTCTGGGACATGGTCGAGGAAGAGGAAAGAACCCTTCGAGGACCACGAAATGATGTTTTGGACGTTCTTGATGTAAGTGATATCCGGTAGTATCCTCTCCCGCTCTCTCTAATATCATTGTTCTAGGACAAACGCTACGAAGTGACGCCCAAGACTACTTTTGAGGAGTTCAACGCCGCTGTACTTGGCGATCGCCGAACTGCCAACCTGGACCCCGAGATTCTCCAACTGCTATTCAAGCGCATTCAGGACAAAGCTATTCGTAGAAACGAGGAAGAGAAGCATGCGGCGGATCGCCATCAGCGGCGCGCTATTGATGCTTTGCGCTCCCGGATCAAGCGTCTGGATCCTCCTGTGCGGACTGCTGATACCTGGGATCAAGTGCGGCCCAGGCTGGAGAAGTTTGAGGAGTACAAAGCTATCGAATCTGATGAAATTCGTCAGGCGGCCTTCGACAAGTTTGTACGCCGTCTGAAAGAGAAAGAAGAGGATATTGAGCGAGACCGCGACTCGCGTGACAAGGATCGTGGAAGCCGTCGAGACCACGATCGCAGCGACCGTGATTACCGTAGCGGAGTATCCTACAGAGGCGAAAGAAGAGGGGCTTCCAGTCGGCATAGCCGCACCCCCGAACCCGACGCCTACGAAGCGGATCGCCGCAAAGCCCAGGCAGACCGAGAGCGATCCTACCGCAAAGCCAGCGGGCTTTCGCCCGTTCGAGAAAGGCGGGAGGAGCGTGATAGGGAGAGAGACCGTGATAGGGATCGTTACCATGAACGCGACCGCGAGTGGGATCGGGAACGGGAACGGGAACGAAGCTCCCGCTCCCTCAGCCATTATGGCCGTGACCGCCGTGAGCGGGAAGATGAACGCGAGAGACTCTATCGCGCCCGTGGAGATCCACGTGGCAGTCGAGATGAACTTGATTACGGTGCCGACACACGAAGCACAATCAGCAACGATCGCCGGCGTAGACGGGATAGCGATGCAGAAAGTGTCACTAGTCGTTCTACTAAGCGACATCGACGCGACAGTCGTGAGCGAGAGCGCAGCCACGGAGCAAGACGAGAGAGGGACCGCCACGAGCGTACTCCGGCCGTAGATGAAACGAAGAAAGAAGAGAAGGCTGTACATTCTGGTAGCGAAGAAGGAGAGATTGAAGAGGACTAAGCGTATAGATTGATGGAGGGATGAAGCTATCTACGAGTTAATTTGAATTGTAAGCAGTGGGAAGAGATTAAAAAATAAAATAAAAATGCTAGGTCACTTTCCAAATGAGTTCGTTGTTTCTCTTCCTTTTATTTTTATGCCCACAAATTCATATCGTCCTACACTACTATTGCCATCGTCCCATCCAGATAAGTTGTTGATAGTACCCCTATGTACACGAAAGGGTATCTTTCTCTGTTTCACCATACTCTCAAGCATGTATGATCTCTTCCATATTTGATGCACTTGAATTATCATACTGAGAATAGAATCCAAAGTCTAGTGATTGAGTCGATTGTCAATGGTTGATTCCATCTCATGGATATATATGTCGGCTGCATGCCAAACCTTAGGTAGTCTACTTTGAAGTTTTTCTACATTAAAATTGACCGGTAAGAGGGATGACAGATTTAAACAGTTTCCTCCTTTCTCTTGTTTATCGTTATATTCATGAAGAACTGAGTTCGATTTGCATGAATTCTTTCCCAATGGGGCAGTATTGCGGCTGGCTAATATTCGACTAAATATAAAAATGTCTTGTACGAGAAAAGAACGGCATTGAAATAAAGCGGGTAGGGGACTAGGGGAAGCATTCGATAGTAGAATAAGACAAACTCATGTTCAATCGACTAGCACATACCGCGCACATAGGTGTTTATACACAGTGGACATCTAGCTAACCCAATTTCAGTATCTTGACTAATCCCTTAACACGCTGGTCGATGCGACCATTTATATCATAACATCTTTGAAACTTTTGACAGACACAACTCCAGCTTGATCGCGCCAACCAGGAACCATAACCCAAGCAAAAACCCTTACGGATCAGGGTCTTCTACCCCCCATTATGGAGACAACTAACAAAGCTGTAGGCACGGGCGCAAGAGGAGGTGATATGATGTGACAACATCTGCATGTAAATCGTGGACTGGAATGCAGGTTAGACCACTGCCTCTAGTCAGAAGAGTCGTCCTCGTCATCTTCCTCGTCCTCTGACGCACCGTCCATATCACCAGTGAGGCACACACCTCGGCGACGTGGTCGCCCATGTTGAGCCGAAGCCTTGGTAACGCCGAAAAACGCCCCTAATCGAAGGTATCTCCACTCCCCGCGACGTCTGTTTTGTCGGCGGTCAGAGTCGCGATCATCGCGCCTGTGATGATCGCGGTTATGCTTTCTAGGGACAGCTTTCTCAACTCTCGTCCTCCAAGAAGAACTAGTGAGTGCAAACGTTAGCATGGTCAGCCATCGCATATTGGATATGGGGAGGGTCGTGCTGATCAGGGTGTGAACTTACATAATTGCCACTCAATTTCTGTTCCTGGTCCATCTGACTGTCGTACTTGTTGATACGAGGACGGTAGCTGTTGGGATCCCGACGGAAGGTAACATCCAAGTTCCTCAAGAAAGTGTTGCAGCCTGTGACCAAGGATTCGGGGGTGTTGGCGTGGGCATCAACAGATGGCTTGCCATCAAAAACAATAACTCGGTCGGCCAGATAGGTGGACATGATAAAATCGTGCTCCACAATAAAAGCAGTCTTCTTGGTGTGCATAATGAAACGCTTGATGACCCTCGCAGCAATAATACGTTGCTCGGAGTCAAGATACGCGCTAGGTTCGTCAATCAAGTAGATATCGGCAGGGATACCCAGGGCCAAGACAATTGCAACACGCTGCAATTCACCACCAGACAGGTTCTGAACCTCCTGGTCAATGAAATCGTCAATCCGAAGCGGCTTGTAGACATCAGTCTGGAATTGAGGAGACAGGAAAGCAGCCTTGATACGCTTGAAGAACAACTGGCGAACAGTACCCTGGAACTTAGGAGTGATCTTCTGAGGCTTCATGCTGATGTTCATGCGAGGGATCGAGACGTTGTTGTCGGGTTTCTCAGCACCAGCAAGCATTTTACAGAAAGTGGTCTTGCCAGTTCCGTTTTCTCCCATCATGACGACGATTTCGGAATCAGTAAATCTGCCGGCATCGATTTTCAAGTGGAAATTTCCCAGGGTCTTCTCCATGCTGGGGTAGCTGAAAGCACGGCCCTTATCGGCAATGAAATCATCGCCAGCCTCGGAAAGACGGAAAGTGAGAGACTCATCTCTGAATCGAAGGTTCTCGGTCGGAATGTGGCCATCCAAAAAGATATTGATACCTTCGCGAACAGAGGAAGGCAGAGTAACCACACCATAGACTGCGGGTTTTCCATAAAGCACGCAGACAAAATCAGAAAGATAGTCAAGCACAGCCAAGTCGTGCTCAACAACAATGACGTAGTCGTCGGCTCGCAGAAGCTCTCGAATGGTGCGGGCGGCGGCTAAACGCTGCTTGACATCAAGATAGGAAGACGGCTCATCAAACATGTAGCTGTATCTTCGTTAGCCTCTGCACGGGAAACCAATGGTCGAGCTCTCCTTACACATCAGCCTTTTGGACACAGACCAAACCGATAGCGAATCGCTGAAGCTCTCCTCCGGAGAGATGATCAATGTCACGATTGCGAACCTGCTTGAGTTCTGAAAGAAATTACTAAATGAAATCGAGAAAGTGCCAAGAGTATCACGTACCAAGAGTTTCCAGGATGTGCTCCATATTGTCCAACTGAGCACGAGCTTTGATCAACTCGTGAACGTTCTTAACCGGGCCTTTCACGGCCCTCGGAATCTGATCGACATACTGAGGCTTCACAACAGCCTTCAGATTGTCTTCCAAAATCTTGGTGAAGTAGTCTACATGCGTTAGCACCCGCTGCCTTGGAAGTAACGCCGGATACAAACATACTCTGCAATTCCGAACCACGGAAGTACTTCAGGATTTCCTCCCAGTCTGGGGGGTTATCATAGCGTCCAAGATTGGGTTTCAGCTTGCCGCTGAGAATCTTCAAAGCGGTACTTTTGCCGATACCGTTGGTTCCAACAAGACCGAGGACCTGTCCGGGACGGGGCATAGGAAGACGGTGGAGTTTGAAGCTATTGGCGGAATAACGGTGGGTGACCTGAGTTTCCAGGTTGGTCGGCAAGTTGATGATATTGATCGCACCGAACGGGCATTTTTTTGGACAGATACCACAACCGATACAAAGGCGCTCGGAAATGAAGGCGATCTTGGATTCCGGGGTGACTTCGATACAGAGCTTACCCGTACGCACAACGGGGCAAGACTTCTTACATTCTTGGCGACATTTCTGGAGGAGGTGAGTACTTATGTGGGACAGAGTATAAAGGTAATCTAGGGAGAAAATTTCTTACCTTGGGCTTGCACTATTATGGAAAAATAGGAGATGTGTGAGCAAATAGGAAGGGTGCCTTCTTTGTTGCGGGGTATTGTGAACTCACTTTGTCGCTATTGACAATGGCAATACTAGAGAAGAAAAAAGAATCAGGTTAGTATCTATAATTATTGCCACATAGACTTCACAGACTGGGAATCTGAATCCTACCGTGTAAGCTTGTCAGACATGATGTCTGTTCAACCTGAATCGACCCGCAGAGGGAACGAGAAAACAATGTCTATGTCAAAGTGAATGAGCTAAAATGCCAGAATAAGTGTTAGTACAAGAACTTTACCGGACACAGAAGATGGTATTGCAATCGTAGGACAAGCCAAAAGTAGGAGACGTCTGAGAACCGCGTAAACAGGGTGCCACCAGACCGCGAACAAGAGAAACGATGCGTAGAAGAGGGGTTCCAGAGTGATGGAAAACTATGTCGCCGCATTGTGGGTAGTGCCTCAGGCACCACACCACCGTTCATTATTTCTCTGCGCGCTGATTGGCCTGCTAGAATCTGACCGGAACAATGATTCTGCAGGCCCGACGGCCACGTGAGGGGGCGAGGTGTTGAGCCTATGGGAGCCTCCCTTGTTGGGGCGCTAAACCATATATAGCATAGTGCCCTGTAGCCGCCTGAAGGCTCAGGCCGCAAAGGCATGCATGGCCGGCGACTCGCTCACCTCCAGCCGACGTACAACTCTCTTCCTACTCTCCCATCATATTCCTTCCATCGTTTCTCTATTCCTCTCCACCCTCATCGTGCCCCTCCCCCCGCCTTTTCCTTTGTCGTGTCCACCATTAATTTCCTCATATTTCCCTCTCTCGGGGTCACCAAGCTATGGATTGTAAGTTTTTTTTCCTGCTTTCTTAGTCTTCTCAGACGTGTCGTAGCCCTGTCGTCTGGGGTGCTATTCCAACGGTCTCGACCCACCGAAGAACACAAGGATTCCTCTACAGAGACCGTATGGAGGCTTTTTTGCATACATTTTGGTCAAAGTCAGGACGTATCTCCTTTCTAGACTCGGATTTTGTGTATAATGTTCTCTTATGTTCTGTCATTCTCCCGCTGAACGTCTTAGTCGCGTTTCATCAAATCTTCCATCTACACCATCCTTATCCATCATACCCCATCTCCTACCCTCTTTCCCTGATGGTCAAGCTTCTATTGACCGGGGTCTTGGTCGCATACAGTCGATCTAGCCTCTAATGCATCTTCCATCCGCCCCCGACCTTGTCCTGAGCTTCAATGCTGATATCTATCCCCATCAATAGCTGCTGGCATGGTGATCCCATCTACCGAACCTTCGATGGCGACAATGGCCTTCACCAATGGGGTTTCGGCTTCTCCTATCTCCAATGCCGTGAGTATCAGGGATGAGCTTGCAGCTAGTGACGATGAGAGCCAGTCCCCCGATCCGTCGATGAACCACGTTGCTCCCGATTCCTCCCCCGACGGAGATGCCGCGGACGAGTCATACGATGCTGGTTTTCTAGATGCTGAGGCCGACAGGGATAATGTTCCAGTGGAGAACAGCGACAAAGATAGCAACCCCTCCAGCGGTGAAAATTCTTCATCGCCTGGAATGAATCGAGGCACGAAACGGAAGTCACCGTCAGTCAATGAATCGGACTACATCAGGCAGAATCCCGATTTATACGGGCTAAGACGAAGCGGTCGGGCTCGCACGACGCGACAGGTTGCCCAATCCGTTTCCGACTCTGATTCTGACGCCGTGGCTCCCCGTGCTAGGCGTCGGCGCCCTGTGGCCCCGCAACACTCTTCCAAGCGTCCCTCACGTTCCGCAACACGTTCGTCATTCTCTGAAGAGTCAGATAGCGATGAATATGGCGGTAGTCGCGCACGCGCGAGTAAAGCGAAGCGCCGGCGACTACTGCAGATAGCATCAAATGAACCTTCCCACGCCGAAATTCGCTTCTCCACTAGAAACGCCTCCAGGGTCTCGAACTATAACGAGGACGATGATGACTCTATGTTTGAGGATGATCCCGATGACCTAGAACAGAGCTACTGGGTTAACACTGTGGAGGATGACCGCCCGGCCGTTGATATCGTGCTCAACCATCGCCTTACAGATGGTGCAAACTTGACAAACCCCAATATCGGTCGTCATGACTTCGAATATTATATTAAATGGCAAGGCAAGTCGCACTATCATGCGACATGGGAAACCACTGAATCTCTCGCCAATTGTCGCAGTATTCGTCGCCTTGACAACTACATTCGAAGGGCCGTGTACGAAGACATTCGTTTGAAGCAGGATGAAGATGTTGCCCCAGAGGACAGAGAGAAATGGAATCTTGACCGCGAGAGAGATGTAGATGCCATTGAAGATTATAAAAAAGTCGAACGAGTGATCGGTATGCGAGATGGTGAAGAGGAGACTGAATACTATGTGAAATGGAAGCGCCTCTTGTACGACTCTTGCACATGGGAGAGCGAAGAGCTCGTTAGTAGGATTGCTCAGCACGAGATAGACCGGTTTCTAGATCGTTCCTCCCGGCCACCTTTTTCGGACAAGACCGAATCAAACCCTGCCACGCGAAAACCTTTTGAGACCGTCAAAGGCACGCCAAGCTTCTTAGAAAATGGGGAGTTGAAGGAGTTTCAGGTGAAGGGTGTCAACTTTATGGCTTTCAATTGGGTGAAAAATCGCAATGTCGTCCTTGCCGACGAGATGGGTCTGGGTAAAACTGTACAGACCGTTGCCTTCATCAATTGGCTACGCCACGTTCGGCGTCAGCAAGGGCCCTTTGTTGTTGTTGTTCCCCTGTCGACCATGCCTTCATGGGCCGAGACGTTTGACTATTGGACTCCTGACTTAAATTATATTGTGTACAACGGCAATGAAGCTGCTCGCACTGTCCTGCGAGAGCATGAACTTATGATGGATGGCAACCCGAAGCGGCCCAAATTCAATGTTCTTCTGACAACTTACGAGTATGTATTGCAGGATTCGACTTTCCTGAGTCAATTTAAATGGCAGTTCATGGCTATCGACGAGGCGCATCGCCTGAAGAACCGTGAATCGCAACTATACCAGAAGTTGCTAGAGTTCAGGGCGCCCGCTCGCCTTCTCATAACTGGAACCCCGATTCAAAACAACCTTGCTGAGCTGTCCGCTTTGCTAGATTTCCTGAATCCTGGTCTTGTGGACATCGATGCCGATATGGATCTGAACTCAGAAGTCGCTTCTCAAAAACTCGCGGAGCTGACGAAAGCAATCCAGCCTTTCATGTTACGTCGAACTAAATCAAAGGTGGAATCGGATCTGCCACCCAAGACTGAAAAGATCATTCGAGTGGAGCTTTCTGACATCCAGCTGGAATATTATAAGAACATTCTGACTAAAAACTACGCTGCCCTGAATGAAGGTGCTAAAGGCCACAAACAATCGCTCTTGAACATCATGATGGAATTGAAAAAAGCAAGTAATCATCCTTTCATGTTTCCCAACGCCGAGGCAAGGATCTTGGAAGGCAGCACCCGGCGGGAAGACCTATTGAGGGCCATGATTACTAGCAGCGGTAAAATGATGCTTCTGGACCAGCTTCTGGCGAAGTTAAAACGGGATGGCCACCGTGTTCTGATTTTCAGCCAAATGGTCAAAATGCTTGACTTGCTTGGTGAATACATGGAATACCGCGGCTATACGTACCAACGTCTTGATGGAACTATCCCTGCTGCTGCTCGTCGCCTTGCCATTGAACACTACAATGCTCCCGGGAGTAGCGATTTTGCTTTCATCCTCTCAACCAGAGCCGGTGGTCTTGGAATTAACCTCATGACTGCCGACACTGTTGTTCTGTTCGACTCGGACTGGAACCCTCAAGCTGATCTTCAAGCTATGGCCAGAGCCCACCGTATTGGACAGACAAAGCCTGTCAGTGTGTATCGTCTTGTGTCTAAAGATACAGTGGAGGAAGAAGTTATCGAGCGAGCTCGGAATAAGCTGCTTCTTGAATTCATTACTATTCAACGGGGCGTCACGGACAAAGAAGCGTCTGAAATGCAGAACAAGATGGCTCGGTCAGTTGGGGAGCCGAATTCGACGGATGATATTTCCCGCATTCTCAAGCGCCGCGGTCAAAGGATGTTTGAGCAGACAGGCAACCAAGAGAAGTTGGAGCAGCTTGACATCGACTCAGTTCTTGCAAATGCTGAACTTCATCAGACTGAACAAGCAGAAGAGATCCAAGCCGATGGTGGTGAGGAATTCCTCAAAGCATTTGATTACGTTGACATCAAGGTCGATGATCTTACGTGGGACGATATTATCCCCAAGGATCAGCTGGAGGAGATTAAGGCTGAGGAGAAAAAGAAAGCGGACGAGCGCTACCTTGCTGAAGTTATCGAGCAAAACCGGCCCCGCAAACGCAATGCCCCTGGGGATGAACAGGACTCGAGAGAAGAGCGAAAAGCTAAGAGACGAGCAAGGGCCCAAGTCAGCATGGAGGGCGGCGATGAATCCGATTCGAATGCTCAGTCTGATCCGAAACGACCACTGGTGGAGAAAGAGTACCGCCACCTTCTTCGAGCTTTCTTACGCTATGGTGACATCCACAATCGCGAAGAAGATATCATCCGGGAGGCACGTCTCCTAGACCGTGATAAGGAGACTGTCTTGTCCGCTCTACGTGAAATCACCGAAAGAGCCGCTGCTCTTGTTCGAGAGGACACCGAGAGGATGGAAGCTCTTGAGAACGCGGGTAAGATGCCGACGAAAAAAGAAAAGAAGGCAGTTTTGTTCGATCTTCATGGAGTTAAGCGTCTAAACGCTTATACTATCGTCGAACGCCCAACTGAGATGCGTATACTGAAGGAAGCTGTCTCATCAGCGCCTGATCCCAAGAGCTTTCGCATCCCCGAAGCTACCAAGGCGGCAGATTATACCTGCTCGTGGGGAGCACGCGAAGACGGTATGCTTTGTATAGGTATTTCACGCCACGGCTATGGCGCTTGGGTTCAAATCAGAGATGACCCAGATCTTGGACTTGGCGATAAATTTTTCCTTGAAGAGCATCGTGTGGAGCGGAAGAATGAACGGATGAACGCCGAAGACAAGTCGACTAAATCCCCTGGAGCTGTACACCTTGTCCGCCGCGCGGACTATTTGCTATCTGTTCTAAGGGACAAGGTCACGAATGGCGCGAGCGTCAACGCAAAAAGGGCCGTCGAAAACCATCATCGTAATAACAGAAAGGGCCGTCACAATACAAGCGCTAGCGTGTCAGCCTCACCAGCGCCCTCCATCTCTCGTAAAGGGCATCGTGAATTCGACCGGTCCAGACATCGTTCTAATACCCGCGGTATTCGCGACAGTGTCGAGCGGCATCATACGCCGAGTCACGACTCACGACCTAGGTCTGTACATGACGGCGAACGCAGTCGCCACAGGAACTCAGATGCGTCCAGTGAAGATGTTCGTCGCCGCAAAAACAGTGAGAATGGATACTCTGCTGGGAAAGAGGACATTTCTCGTTTGTTCTTCAAGCCAATTCGTGATGACCTGAAACGCGTTTCGGCAGTCACCAAGGAGAATTTCGCCAATAAAATTGAGCGTGCCTCGGAGTTGCGGAATCTACTTCATAAAATTGGCGATTTTATCGATCGTACATTGCGGGGAGAGAACTCTATCCCGTCCCTCGATACTCGTTTATGGCATGTTTTTTTTCCTGACAACAATCGTGGATATCACTTAGTGTAGTTGCTAACTTGAGCAACAGGCATTATGTTGCGGTTAATCATTGGCCGAATAAAGATGCAGGAGGAACCAAACTCCAAGAAATGTATCGAAAACTGAAGGCTGCTAACAAGGATGCGACTGCAGCCAAGCCCCCATCTACTGGCAACTAGACTAGGACATGTCTTGTGTGCAGCAAAAGCTATTATATTACTTCCACGGAGTCTTGCTTTATTTTCGAGGTAAATATGCATCATCATTAGGAAGCATGGCGACGGCGTCTGGTATGATCTACGAAGGAGTGCTGAGCATGAGTGGATTTGTTATGAATGTTTGCATGACACACTTTGGTCCTTTCTTCCTTCCTCTTTTAACATTTAGCTCTCTGTTCCCCCCATTTTGGAGCGAGGGGCATTGCACCATGTTTTTTACACATTTACTTTACTGTTATTCGGCGGCTTGGCCCCCTCCCTATGTTGGTGCGACGGGCCATTGCTATTTGCTATTTGGTCTTTCTGTTTTGTTTTCTCTTCCATGGGATCCCCTTTACTGATGTTGGGCCCTGTGGGGTACATTGTGTTCATTTATATTTCCTGTATCTTACTGGAAGGTCTTCCTGGAGTTTGCTTTCTGTTTGGGATCAGGCAGTTGTCCTGGGTCCCTTCAGCAAATGGTCTTTAGACTGCTTTTCGATTCTTTTGAAATATTTTTACCAATGGAAGGACGGAAAGTCCATGTGAATTATCTTTTTTTGTTTTTTGCTTAATAATCTGGCCACTAGTGTTTGCGTAAGACGAAATTCCTATCAACCCAAGCCGAATAGCTTCATGTGCTGAAAGGGGGCTGTAGGAATTTCTTGTCGCAACCTTATCGATATATCCACTTTAAGCTCGCATGAAAGTATAGTTAAAAACTTTTATGAATTTCATTTCCAAAAGAAAATAAGTAGTAGTAGAGTCGAATCTCATTCGAAAATACACATCAACAGACTCAGTATTCGTGAGACTGAATGAGGAACCCAAACCGTGACTGAAAGAACCGCATGCTCCCAGGAAAATGAAAGTAACACTCGATTAGATAGATATCTTGGTCCGTAGAGTAGAAGTATGGGTATACTTGGTCTTTGCCTTGATTTACACCCGCAATGAATATGAGTTGGAGAGAGAAGAGGGAAAAAAAAAAAAAAAAAAAAAAAAAAAAAAAAAAAAAAAAAAAAAGAGTACAAAGAATTGGTTGAAGAGGTGTCGAAAAGCGTTAGCGATGGAGGAAGAAACAAGAGAGAAAGAGGTTGAAAATGATCGAGAGATTCTAAGATAGGAAAGAAGATATATAGATGGCTTCGCTTCATAGCGAAACGGATCCCGCATCCGAGGTAGGCTTTGCTTGCTTTTCGGCAGTGTCGGAGGGCTTTTGGGATATCTCTGGAGCGTTGGAGGTTGCGGCGGGTACGCTGTCGCTGCCCATCAGGACGCTAAAGAGACGGAGCTGGGCGTCAATCACATCATCGAAGATGGCCTCCTTCTCCAACCAGGACTGTTTCCGCTTTGGTTTAATCTTTTCCCACTCGCGTCGTAGACCTAAACCCTCCTTCTCTGCCCAATGGATCTGTCGACGAAGGAGCCGGTACAGTTGTATAGGCGGAAGCCCCAACTCGTGGTCATCGAATCCAAGATCGTGGCTAAATTCGGGAATTTCGAATTCGTCGAGGTCCTCCGTACCAGCTACCTCATCGTTGATACTTTCACTATACCGATCTGTCTCATCCTTGGGTGGATGCGACAGCTTCAATTTGATACGCTGGACCTTGCTGGCGGGAGTCGCGGAAGGGGTGCCTGCCGCGGAGAAGGGGGGATTGTGATGCTTTGGGACAGGATCAGACGGGCGGAGCGCTTCGGTCTCGTGAACGGTTCTCATATGTTTTGCAAGAGCATCTGATCGAGTGAAACTTCGGTCGCATTCTGTGACGAGATTCGGACAAGTTAGTTGTGCCACCGCTGAAAGGTAAATGGGCCGTTCTCGTATGAGAGGTGACATTCCGAGAAAAAGACCAGAGGCCAAAACTCACCCGGTAGCGCACAGTAGAAAGGCTTTTCTCTGGTGTGACTCCTCATGTGGGCGCGCAGTGCGTAGCCGCTGGCATGCGTTTGTCCCTTTCGACTGCAATCGGACCACTCGCAGGAGTACTTCTTCTGTCGGCTGCCGATATGATCATTATGAATATGCTGGACCAGATCATCCATGTTTCCCAGATCCCCGGCATCGCATCCTTCCCATCGACATACGGTCACCTGGTCATTACCTTGGCCGCTGTAGTCGTCGTCCTGACTGCCGCCGATGAGGGCCCAGGTTGTGGGAGAGTTGGGGATGTCGCCAGATGTGTCAGAAGATATTGAGGACGAAGGGGAGGCCGGGGGTATCTCATCCTGAAACGATGTCGAAACCGGAGTATTGCGATCCCAGGATGCGATGCCTGTCCGGCGACGTTTAGAAGGAGGCATGTTCGACACTGGGGGCGATAAGCCCTGCTTTCCATCCTCGCGATCCGACATTTCGTCAGAGGCAATGGAGGAGAGGGGAGAGCCGGGGGATTCAGCCATTGGAGAAAGGGAGAAGGGGAAGGAGTCGACGAAAGTCCACAGAGACAGTGAATATCCAAGGCGGCGGGCAGCGGGCAGGACAGTGATGCGGTAGGGGCATCCAGATGGAGATGAGATGAGGCTGGGCGCAGCTCGAGTATATGGGCGGCACGTGATGGGGCTGTTGCGGCCGGAAAAAAGCGCACAAAATCCAAATTGATTCTTTCCTCCTCCTTTTCCCCGGCCCTCAGCGGTTACACGCACATATCGTCGCTCTATGATTCCTTCTAGATGGCGTTTAACTGCCAAAATTGTCGCGTCTGATAGTGTACTAACGATGCTTACATTCTTTGTCCAATTCGGGACACTCTCAGCTCTATATACATGGTAAATAGCCCCCCTATTTCCCACCCTTCTCTTCTTCTACCTTGTTCGAATATCCAATGATGAATGAATCAAGAATTCTGCAATCCTGACAGTCTCCTTCATTCTGTGAGATTGCATGTTGACCCTTCTACACTTGATCTGATCGATTTAATTTTCACTTCTGTTCCACAGCCTATTGTCGAAAGTGAACAACACGCTGACAGCAACAGTATCTACGGATATTAGATGAAGATTAAACAATGAAATTACGTCAATTGGAATCAACAGCACTCTTTGCCTGTATCCTACATACTACACGTAATATGTTCAGTACCGATTCCCAACAACTTCGTGTTGTTTCAGGATGGCATCGATCTCAGCCAACTCTGCGTCGGAGAGGCGAGGAACTCCTTGCATGTTCTGTGTAACCTTGTCAACTGTCGTGCCGCCGGGAATCGGGATAAAGGTGGGCATTCCCGGTCGGCCACTCAAACTGAGAACCCAAGCCAATGCGATCTGGGCTGGGGCGACTCCTTTCCGAGTGGCCAGCTTGTTCACTTCATTGACGAGTTTAATGTTCTGCTGCATTGCCGCGTCCTGAAACTTAGGCAAATGCCTCCGCAAATCGCCCTCGGGGATCTCGGATACCTTGGTGAAGGCACCCACCAGCACGCCTCGACCCAGAGGCGAATACCCCACGACGGGGATATTAAGCTCCGCACATACTTTGGCAACGTCGTTCTGGAGAATAGAAATATCCCATAGAGACAGCTCGACCTCGACAGCGGCGATCGGATGGACCTTGTGACTACAAACTTCGTATCAGCCAGCCACGCTAGTGCCAAAAATCCCGGTAGGACCAGTATATAATCCTCCAGAAGACATGAACTGTAGAACTTACGCCCGTCGAATTGTCTCCGCGTCAACCTCGCTCAGTCCAATCCCCCCAATTTTACCCTCCTTCACCAGCTTCGCCAACACCGTCACCGTGTGTTCCACAGTGGTGTTGGGATCCTGTCGCGCGCATTCAAAGATATCAATCGTCTTCTTCCCATCCAACACCCGCAGACACTCATCCACGCTGCGACGGATATTTGCCTCCGAGCCATCCGCATCAAGCAGACCGGGCCTCAACCCGCCCTTAATACTGAGGACGACTTGGCTTGCTTTTTCCGGGTACAAGGTGAAGTACTTATTGAGAATATGCAGGGAATTGTATTGTGGAGTGCCGTAGAGTTCGCCTCCGTTCCAGAAATTTGCGCCTAGCTCGAGGGCTTTGTTCAAGGTTTTGAAACACTCCTCTTTTGGGGGAGGTTGAGGGACCCAGGTCATTCCTAAATATGGTTAATATCTCAACATGAGTCCACCATTCCTAATCATAGACGTGAATTCAGGAAAGGGAGAGAAAGAAAGACGAACTCATCATCCCATAGCCTGTATGGCCCACTCTTCGTCCTACAAGAGAAACCATCGTGCTCTCAAGGTACCCACGTAGGATATTTTTTCAAACGGCTGTCCTGGATATTAATTTGCACAGCACAACAATAATCGAAAACTACTAGCCACTTATAACGGGAAAAAGACTATGTAGATGTATGACTGGATGTTCGGATTTATTCTTCGTCTTCCGTTCCTCTATACTTTGCCACCCACACTTTCGCCTTATCTGACGGAGATAGCATGGACTACATACTATTCGCTCTCTTGCCAATATTTCTCGGATTTACGATAGAAATACGGGATACTTTGCGCTCCGGTGGGATCATGAATGACTATTGAATTGTTACTAACTGGTATTTGAGTTTAACGATCGCTACTATTTTGTCATAGTCATTCATGAACACCACTGATTGGTGCTTTTAAGGATATCAAAGCCGAAAGGCCATAACCGGCTCGAGCAAGTAAAGGGCACAAGACAAAAACCATCAATCATTCCCCTCAAACAGCGAAGTAGCTCCACTTAAGTCAGAGTATGTTCATCACTGCTATCGCTCGCTTCTCGGAACCGATCCGACAGAACCCGGAACACCAAGCTCATGAAGTCTAACGGGTCTTTAGGACGTTCAGAATCTTCAGTGCGTTCTTCCTTGGTGACATCGGTGGAGAACCCGGATGACATGTTGCCATGTGCGGTCTTGGTGGGCGTTGAGCTGTGACTGTCGTCGATGGAATCTGGATCCGTCCAGGTCTTCCAGTGGTTGAGCTTCGCCAGGTTTCCAAGGCCGAATGCCGACAGGGCGTCGAAGAATATATCGCTACTACCAGGGATTTGTCCCTATTGAATATCCGGTAGTTAGTTCGTGGATTGTTTGCTGATTCTATGAAGGGGGGTGCATACCGGAGTTGGAGATCGCGGAGGCCGCGACTGCGGAGTGGAAGGGATGGGCTGCGAGGAGCAGATAGAGGACAAGGCCAGACAGGTAAATATCACGAAGCTAACGAATGATGACAGTTTGGCGAAGATTGTCATGGTAATAAAATGGAGTTGGTCCAGTGGGATCTAAATCAACTGTTGGCGTACTAACGAGGTCCTCGAGAACTGGAAAATAGCTCCCAAGACTAGGGTCGAGGCTGTCAAACTGACTATACCAACGAAGTGGCGGTCGATCAGATGGAGAACGTTGACTCCTAATATACCCTTGGGATATCTCCTTGTCTCCTTGTGCGGTTGTTCCGCCGCAGTATGGAATGGAGAGGGCTGGACTACTAGGTACCTCTCATCTCGAAGTGACTTGAATGACATTGTCGGTACGGAGTCTAGTTTCCATACCTAGAACAATAATGTGGCTCGGGAATAGCATAACGGGGCGCGTAGTCTGTCCAAACACTATCCCAACCATAAATATGTCGAAGAGCGGAATGGCTCTATTCTAAGCTCTAGGTCCGCTTGATGGGGAAATACTGGCAACTGCAGCCAAGCGATCCCTAATGGGCACTTGTTCTATCCAGGGCCTCATTGTGAGACCACATGTCTCAGTGGATCATGCAGGGAAGGTCGATTGACGAGAGGGAAAAGCCCATCCCTGGAAAGGAATGTCGCCACAGCATTCCAGAGATGCCAAGATATGAAGCGCGCCAGTGTCGCGCAGTATTCTTGCCACCATTCAGCATGAAGTTATTTCCAGCATAGAGCAACCCATTCTCCTGGAAACCTTCGACTAGACGTGCTATGCATCAGGAACCGATGTGGCAACGCGCCATACTGGAATGGAAGTAGGCGGTCGGCTGGTAGTCGGTCGCGACCATGGACTTGATCTGCCCCTTGTGTACTATTGTCCTTGGCAATGGGAAGATGAACATTAGCGGAGGATCGACAGCCAAAGAGGTTATCACTGTGGGTAAGTTGAGTTTATTTCTCTTACAAGAATATTAATGATGGTAAAGTACGCAGTCAAAGCAGAGACAACAAGCTAACTACTTCAGGTAAGGGACCGGCTGTTTTGCATCAACGGGCGTTCCAAGTCATGGAGATTGTTTCTTCATGGGGAAGTGGTGGTGTAGATAAAGAAATGTGGGTTAAAAAATAATAATAATCAATATTACTATTATTATTCTTATTATTCGGCGGTCGGTGGCGTTAATATTTTACCGAGATAGTACCTTAGAATCAACATTCACAATAATGCATTTGTAATCTGGGACTGAAAAATACCCTCTAAATTGCCTGTAATTTAGCTGTGGAAAGGACATAACTAAACAGAGGTGCGGAGTTATTATGAAAGGAATAAACAGTTAGTCAACCAAATTCAATTCATTCATAAGTTTGATCTGCTTGAACGAACGCTGTGGAAGATAGGGAATAGGGCCAATCAGGCTGGGCTGCTCGGGAGGCGCAATCCGGCCGGAATCTTAATGGGGAACTTGAACCCGAATCTGGAGCCATCTCAAGCCATGGACAGTCAGTCGCCTTTGACCCATCTCCTCTTTTCTTGATACCCAATCCGTCCAATCTCCATCAGAATGGCTAGCCCTGCGGATGACTAGCAGGTTGGGATGCAATTCGACTCCATGAAAGATGACCGCGATGCCCTCGTTCGCCATGCCCTCAAACTTCGCACCTCGTTTCGGGTGGAGAAGGCCAATTCCGAGAAGTACTTCACAGTTTGTCACAGTGGGACCGACTGCCCCTACAGAGTACGCATGTATACAAGCCGGAAAACAGGCCTGGTGCGAATTCAGACGTACGAACCCCTGCATACCCGCAGTCCCGATACCCACGACAATTGGAGACCTTCGTTGCCCGTAGGTTCGGAAGTGGAAGTGTCATCGCCATCGCAACCTAGAAATCCAGAGCGAGTCATCAATGGTAGTACAGAGACGTTCCTTTAACCCCCCCCTTTTTTTTGCACACAAGCACAAAAAAATAAAAGAGGAAAGAAAAAAGACATATCAATGCCTTTGTAATGTCAAGACTGGTATTACCGCCGTATGCCACAGCGGGACGCCAAGGCGCAATAATTCGGCCATTCAAGAATGTCCTGTCCAATATTCTTGGGCTTTCTTATGAATCGGATGGGGTCGGAACTCCATGCACCTAGTTTCCATATCTATCGCTGATAATCCAACACAGTCTAGAACTAAACCATGTACGGGAGACTGGCGTACCACGCAAACCAGGCCGGTCTGCTAAATCTCAAAACTCTATCTATCAAAAGGGTCTTCGCACCCGCAGGGCGGTTCTCGGTGATGAACATGTTGATCGTACCTTAGCCAATAGCTCGAGTGCCTTCTCCAGTCCAATGCAAGAGATGGTGACTGAGTGGGCCTGGGGAAATCTCTGTAACCGACCAGGACTAACCCGTAAGGAGAGCACCCTATTAGATATAGGGCTATTAATGGCACTGAACCGCACACCGGAGCTAGCGGTACATATCAGAGGGGCCATGAACAATGGACTAAGTGAATTGGAGATTAGAGAGGCTACCTTGCATTCAACGATCTTCTGCGGTGCGCCGGCGGGTATCGAGGCAACCAGGGCGGCAGAAACGGTGTTGCAGGAGATGGCAGAGAAGGGATAACATGAGCGGGTATTGATCTGATCTCATCATTGGGTTCCAAATCAAGATCACAGGTCACAGCCCCTTACGAGTTGAGCTCGTGGCCCGAGACGGTGTTGCAGACGACCGCATGGAGCTGAATCGGAGTATCTATACGAAGCTAATCTCAGTTGTATCTTCCTATACGAAGTTTGAGAGTAGATCTTAGGGCCTGGACTTTTTGATTAGTGAGTACCACAATGTCCAGCTCTCAGACTGGTCGACTGGTGTTAAAAAAGAACATGTAGGAAATTAGCTAATATCGCAGCCCAGTAGGTACCCATCCCCACTGCATTGCCACACATTAAAAAGAAGATTCAACGACGGGTCCTGCATTGATTGCAGTCCCTACACGTCCATTCATTTACGGCACAACTCTTGCAGGGTTCTATAATAGACATGTTATAGCACACTTGCAGATAGTAGAATGAAACAGATATAAAGGGCTACGGACCTATTCTAGAACCTATACAACTCTTAAAGGATAAGATTCGATACCGGTCTTATTATAATTTATGGGCAGGTACTGCCTATTTCATTCTCCATATCTCCCTGGTTGAAGTTCTAAGACGCCCACTCGACCAGCCTACTACTACCTTGGAATAACGCTAGAACGGAGTCCTAAAGTGCCTATTCTATACACTCTAATACAGTTTTTCTCTGCTCAGTGTTAAATCTCAACAGAAAACTCAGGAAAGTATGCTCAGCCAAGCATGAAAAGACAATTGATAATCCAGCAACATGCCATATCGTTTAGAAAGTCCTATACAGGATTAGGGCTCCGTAATCGGCGCGGGAATGCCGTAGATCAGCCAATTAACGGCCAACTCCACCGAAAACCCACGAGCTAATTAATTGGATCATGGTGCCATGCCAAGCCCTCGAGGACATCCCAAACCCCGGGCACTCGCACGACCATGAGTTTAAAGTCCTTCTCACTAACTAAGGACCAGATAGGAAATCTCAGACTCCGATTCGGTCGGCCGATACCTCAGCCCTAGATGAATCTAGTTCGCCGGCCCCACCCCGACCGCCGAGCATTCGTATGCATCTACGTAAGTTGAGATGAAGACAATAAAGTTGTCAGTTTAATAACGTGGCAGACTATGGAGAATGAAGACTCTAGGAAATGCTTCTGCCTTGCGCATGCTCTACTAGCTAAATGTATCCCCGCTGTCCCACTATATTACGTACTGTCAAACGAACCACCACGGCGTAAAAATGCTTAGCTCGAGCTAGAAAGGTAGTATCTACTAGATAATGTACTCCATAGAAACCCCGAGGGCGTAACGAGCTCGCTGCTGCCCCAGTCGGCTTCTACTTCCCTTCTAGTCCTGGATACTCTGTATATATTCATCCGGCCAAGTCCTTCTGCACCTGTAGGGTTTGATGCTCGCATCCTGTATGGTATATCCCCAAGCTTGAACCCCACCGAGTGACGTCTCTGCTGACGTATTTTAGCGTTGCTGTACTACTACGTAGTGCATGACGTCTTAGTTTCGGTTGTTATCTGATCGCGGGATGCTAGTAGCAGCCCCCTTTTTTTTTTTTTCCCTCTTTCTCTAAGCATTTTGCCGACGTACGCTTGTTCAAAGAATTAATGTTCGGCCGCTGTATATCGGAGCCGAGCATCCATGATGACCGAATTCGGGTACAAGATTGCACTAGAGTTGGTGTAATATCCTCGGCATCGATCCACATTCTGCACTTTATCAAACCGCCGCGTAGGCCAAGATAAGCAAAATAAAAGGTGGAGTCGATAGACGAAATCCACCTACAAAGTCTGTTCGCTAATCGACACTGCAATCCAATCTAACCCAATCTATAGTATTGAGGCGCAGCTCGGAAGCTCCGTTCCGCCACAATACGATGTAGTACAATACGTGGTACGCTAAAATAAGCTCACTTTTCATGTCCCGTACGTAGTCCGTGACGGACCCAAAAACTGTCTCAGCTCGGGCTTGTCCAGACCAGGCCCATTTTGTTGGGTAAAAAGAAGTATACAAGGTTTCCCGTTCCAAACCTTCTTTCAGACCCTGAAGATCTCGATAGAAAGATTAAATCAGCTGAGAAACAAGTACCTACTAGTACTCTACAGAGTTTCCCAACAACCAAAACCAACATGCCCGTCAACCCGACCAGGAAATTAAAATAACTTTGCATCAATCAAAATACCCTGACATCCTCCGCAGAAGACGACAAGCCTCTGCCATATTCTGTCCATTCGAAGGTCTAATTCTTCAGGTCTGGGTCTCCTCACCCAATGTGGCTGTTTCAGGTGCCTCTTAAAGTTTACCTACGGAACATTTCCGCTGACTTGGTTTGTACTGGATCATGGTATTTTACTTGGCCTCTTGCTTTCTCCCAGCAACATTCTGAATCCAAATAAAAGCAAAAAAGGGACTGGTGTAGATGAAACAAAAAGGTCAATAGGTACACAGTAGAAAAAAATGTTGAAAAAGAAAAGATAAGAAAATGACTTAAAATCCAGTTTGCCTTCTGTTTCAGTCTGTGCATCCGCCCCATGCTGCGCTTGGAGCCTGAAAGTGAGCCTGAAACTTTATCATGATGCCAAGACTGGCGTCATCCTACTACATCTTATCTGAGTATCCTGGTTATAGATAGCAATATGAATATGCACAATATAAGGCCGGCATGGTGGCATATTTTACAGGGTAATTTAGAAGAGTCAGAATAAACAGGAAGAGACAAAACTGATAGGGCTCCGGAGAAAAACCAGGAACACGATATACATACAGTATTGAAAAGGAGATTAGCTATGCAGACTCCAATCCTAGATTGATGATCAGAATAGCATGGTTTAATCTGCAGGATTCTTAGGGATCCTTAGCAGGATTGGGTCGCATGTACGGAGTACGGAGTACGGAGTATGGGCCTTTTCTTGTTCCTTGCCAGGGTTCTAGCTGCGATCCCCGACAGCAGTGAGCACATCCTGCGACTGGAGAAACCTATCCCGAACAGACCAATTGTTGGACTCGCTATCTTCCAGTATTTCTTGCCAAGTCCACCAAACCTTTATCACCGTGTTCAACGTTGCCCAGAGTTCCAGGAGGAGCTGAACCAAACTTGAGCAACGCATGGTTCGCTGCGTGGAGGAAGGGAAGGGACAACGGCAGACCCCTCATTTTCCGCTTTCTAAATTTCAGGCAGTTTAAGTGGTGCGTGGCTGACGATGAGATAATCCATGGTCTCCATGTCCAACCATGCAAGTGGGGGGGATCTAGGCGCTCTATATGCTCATCTAGATGATCTACGACCAGCTGTTGACCAGTAATCATATCCTGGAGCGTTGCGGGTCTCCACCTCTGGTAAATGAGGTTCAGGATCCCAGCTAAATGGCGAAATGGAAAAGTACATATTATTATAGTGCGGTACATGCTAGGCGTTGGGGCACATACCTAACCCTTATAGTAGCATGTATTTCAATACAAGCCATCCTCACGCCCGCCAGAAAGGTACCTTACTCAACATGAAAAATACCGTTCAGCCACAAAAGCACAAGGGCATCTGTATCTAACTTGGTATTATAATGTATGTATTTATATCGACACTAGGTACCTATGTTAGGGCCTAAGGCAAGGAACGACAAGTATTGCGGCAGCTATGATAGTTAGATAGGTAAATATAGCCGCGTTCCTGAAGGATCCAGCTACTGTAGGGACCTCGATAGCTTGCCTTAGTGTTGCAATTCATCTGTCTCCAAGAAATGAGGCGTCATTAAATGCTTGCTAGATACGGCATGATACCTCGGGTAGCTCGGCAACGGTCGGTCATTGGTACCACCCGGCAAACTGACATGTACAGCACCGTACGGAGTAGATGTAAGTACTCCAGATGATGAGATCGATCAGAAATCGGCCGACCTAAACTGTTCCTGACGAGGCGTAAGTCTGAAATCTCCGTCAGGTCCTCGGAGAGTTTTCTGGTCTATCAGTCACCGCCCGTAGATACACACATAATATGCACCTTATATACGATTGGTAAAAGCTGCCAGTCCTGGTATGCATTACTTCCACACTATATGGCGATTACCCCAAGTCCTAAACACTAGGCATACATATTTTATGCAAACCTGCAGCGGAAGCTCAGATATGCACTCGCCTTGCACTTATGCAGAACTACCTCCTCAGTGGCCCACCTATCAAGACGCTTCAAATCTGAGCCGTCGTGATTCCATCAGCCACGCATCCATCGGGAACGATTGTCCATAGAAACAAGCCTGGCCGTAGAACTCCCCAGCTGTATACGTCAGGGTCTCCAAACAATCCCAGCACCTAATCGCTAGATCTGGATAGCTCATATTGTCTGGCCGGCCCTGACGCGTATGATGAATCTAGTCGTACCCGCTAAACATTTAGCCAGAAAACAGGACAAGAGAGCCACCACCGCTGAACCATCCAGCGAGGGATGCGGGAGGATATCTGCGCATACAATCACTCACGGCGCTAAGTATTTTGTGACGAAGACGGCGTCTATCTCCTGGACTGCAGTCGTGCGCCCTCCCTCAGGCGATCGAAGCGTTGGCAGCTTATGCTCCCGTACTGGACTAACCCCGCAGCGCCACCGCTGGTGTGGGTGGATACAGAGTCAAAAGGGTGGGGATGAGGGGAAGGGCGACGTCGACAACACGTATGCATGGAAACAGATGGTTAATGAGAGGAGGGCTACAGACCAGACTTTGATATATTGCTAGGGATGTCTTAGTGTATTGTATAGGTTCTATCCAGGAGAGGGGTCCAGAGGGATTGGAACTAAACACACTATTAATTAGTATTAGCGATGTCTGACTGTAACCATGAAGTATCCCATTGGTACATATTTCTCCCGGTTGAGGAGAAGCAATTTAGTGTCGACGCTTTGTAGGAGGTTAACTTTGGGCTTCAGAGGTTTTTTTTTTTTAAAAAAAAAAAAAAAAAAAAGGAAGAGAACAGGGTTGGTTATCTGCAAGGGATTGAATCCACGTTGTTGAGAGGTACATTGGGCTGATCCAACGTCCCGTACTTTCAAAAGCCGGGAACAATAACTTCATACATACGTATGCAGTCTGCTATTTCTAGTAGCTAACTAGTTCTTTACTATTAACTCTTAATTTTACACTAGGTACTATTATTTTTAGTCCTGACGGTGTCAGTGTTATGCTGTTATTGGATCCAAGGGACATAATGGAATGAAACCATTTATTTCTGGCACAGGTGGAACGTCTGAATTTCCAGGATATTTCAATTTAATCCTTTTTACATCAGTTAGCAGCAAACAAGAAAACTGCTAATAGTAATCATATTTCCCGAATAGAATGCATCCAGTAAATGATGGTTACACAGTATAGTTACTCTGTACTCTGTACAGACAGCCCCAGTCCCGTTTCTGCCCCCACACTGAAACCCTCCAGCCACAGTACTGACTCGTACGAATACGAAAACGAAATTTTCCGAATCGCGATCAGCAAAATCCGAGATTGTGGACGAGGATACCAAAACAGGGCATTGAAGTATTCCATGAACCTGAAGTTTACTTATTCACAGAGTTAATCTTGGCACGGAGTAGGAGGAAGTCGAACCAAGACACTGTTCAACGTTGGGCTAATTATAATTAATACAGGGTGTAGAACCCAGGTCGGACACGGACAAGAGCAAATTTCATGGAATAGGAAACATCAACGACCTGCGCACACCAACCAACCTAAACCAGATTACTAGGGACCAGAGTTAATGCAGGATATAGAACCACGGTTTCCATCACACTATGGCTAAAAGCTTGTCCATAAGGCTTCTGGGGATGTGGTCAGGGGCCACTTTACCCGGTCTGGTATCGATGAGCGTGGTCGTCCATGATGGAATGGAAAGATTGGGATATAGTATTCCAGATGTTGGATCTGTGCGAACGATATAATAATGGAACAATATTATGTGCGTATGCATCGAGTAGACTGATTCTCCTGAAGATAATCGCTGTCTTTGGACTATTTCCTGGAATTATGGCTGAATTACTACATATGATTTTGGTGATACTGGGATACCGGAATTTCAATACCAAGTAAAGTTTACACCGGTGCAGGTACTAAAAGTTAACGAGATAGAACATTGCTTTTGCCCCCAGGAACCCTGGAACATGTGGCTGGTTTTTATTTTATTTTACTTATTTCACCATGGAGAGTAGAATGGGAAGGGAGGACAGCAATTTGAATTTACCCAATGTTAGGTACTTATAAATAAATAAATATTAGCTTTGAAAATACTCTCATTGGCACAGTATGTTAGATTGAGCCCACGGACATTGGGCTTGAGACAAGCAGTTTTAGTGGCACTCAACAGAATACAATACCTACTACCACAGACTAGCTTCCGGCAACCCCCATCATTTAATTATCTCGTACTCTGCGTATTACTCTGTATTCTTTCTATTTCGGTAAATCTCGTCACCAGCTACCTATGTACCTTTTCGGCTGACAGCAAGGAATTACCTAGGTACGCACTGGTCAGGGATCCAATTAGGTAGTTAGGACTATTCTTTGCGAAGAATGGATATAAAGGTGATGATGTCGTTGGTCTATACGGAGGATGGATAATGATGACGATGATGACACTTAGGTAATAAATAATAAAAATCTACCTTGGAAATAATTCCGTATTATGGAGGGGATGAGGGGGTTGACAGGGCAAAGCCACTTTGGATGGATCCAGCGGCTGTTCGCCGATGGGCGGCCGGGTACTCCGTACTAACCTGTAAGAGTGTAAGGAGTGCCCTACCAATTAGAACTGGGTCCATAATGAGCCACTAGCTGTGATGTACTTCGGGTATACTTCCACATGTTATTAGAGTTGCCATCAAAGCCAATCAGAATAGAAGTCTTTTTTTCTTTTTTACAGGTTGACAAATATGGGAGCCGTCGGCAACGCACAAGGCCCTGTATTTTTTGATACCAGATGTTTATATACGTCTTTTTGTGCTGCATAAGACTGAGAAGCAACCACCAAACAATTACCCAGTATTTTATTATTCTGACGATGATTATTTCCAGGATGGAAGACCTCCGACGATGTAGGGCCAGGAAATTAAATTACCTCGACTCAGCGAATTATTTCCGTCCTTGACCTCTGGGCAGACCCTTGGCCATCAGGACCAACGACTACCAAGGATTCTGCCCATGGATGGATCATGTTTCTTCTTCTTCAAATGAAGATGCCTACGGTGGCTCCACTCGTGGGCGAACTAACTGTTTTCTCATGGCGTCGTGGAGACCACCTTGAACTAACTCTGCCGCTAGTCAGCTCCCTTACCCACCGCAGTGTACTAGACTTAAACGGACCAGACTGACTGACGGACTGACTTACTGTGACTGATGGAAGACGGGTTCTCGTTCTAGATGACCAGAGCTTCTGGAGAGAGAGAGAGACAGACACAGACACAGACACAGAGACCCTGGAGCAGTTTCATGATGCTTCGTCTGGTTCTTCGGTCTGTTCTTCTACTTTCTCCTCCTGTTTTACGTTCCTCTTTTATTACCCCCTTCTCGTCCTCTATCCCCGTTGTCTTCCCTCTTTTCCTTCAATTCCTTCCTTTTCGCGCTTTCGTCTTTCCCAACACTGGTTCCACCTTCCCCGGCTTGACCTACTTTACCTCAACATCTCCTCACTCTCTATTACTTATCCCCGTACATCTATCTCCTTGATCAACACTGTCCATTGCCGCGTGGAGGGTTTGTTCTGATATTACTACCTTTGAACCGGCTGTTCCACGTTGTAGCTTTTTATCCTTATTCTTATCATCATCATCACTACTATTGTCCATTACTGTTCTTGTCTCGGATCTTGCTATATTTTTTGGCTTTGCACTTTTCTGGAATACTGTTGCTTCAGTCCTTTCTTACCAGGGTTATTATTTTTGCTTTTTTTTTCTATTTTTGTATCCTGCTTTCCCCATATTCCTTTTTCTTCTCTTTTTCCTGAACAGTCGTATTTCATCTAAACCCTGCACCTTCGCCGGGCCGGTTTACAACCATCGTTAAGGATCACTCTTATCCGCTTGCCCGCAGCAACTAGTGGCGCCAAAGAAAAGAAACTTTTTTCTTGCGACATCATTGTCTCACTAGGTGATTGGCTTTGGGTCGTCTTGGGGATCGGTTTGACCCAGAACGTGGGAGATCTTGCCGGAAGTCCTCCCGGTTTGACCTCAACAAGTTACTTGGGCAAGGACACCTCGAGTCATACGTCGGGTTGCTGTCAGATCTGTGCCTAGGTGCCTGTCAACAGATCGAGGGCGCGTTACACGAAGCAAAGGACAAACATCCTCGACGACAGCTGGTGCGTACTTCTACTTCCTGTTTTTATCTTGTTTTTTTTAAAAGAATAGAAAAAGAAAGATATTTTGTCTCTTCTCTGTTCCCGCCCGCCTGTCAATGTTTCTCCCTGCTATTTTTTTTCTTTTTTGTTTATCTAAGCATCGCATTTACAATCCCTCTCTTTCTTTCTTTTCTTGTCGAAGTGTCATCCTGCCAGAGGAGAAGTGCAGAAGAAACAAGGCGACACGCAATTGACAGGGGAAGAGGGAAAGGGTGACAAAGAGAAATAAGCAAGCTGATAGCTAATTGCCCATTAGTTTGTATCTTCATGAGCAAAGATCAGTGGTGCAACACAATGGCCAGCTGCAAGGGGAGCTTTGTGTCGATTTTGAACAACGATGATAATCCATCATTCGCTGTTCGATCGGCTCCGAGCGTATCTAGACATCACCTGTCTTCTCCAATATATCCATATCAGTGTGAGCTGCCGAATCGCTCTCCAGACCTTGAACCGCGTTATGGGAATGCCTATACCGAGTCAATCGCAGTGTCCCCCAGGGTAACGAAGCCACCGTTCAACCCTGTGTCAGATACATCACAGTCCACTTCGCCTGGGTCGTCCGATTGCTCATATGACTATATGACCAACCCTAGTGCTGAGCCATATTATCATCATGGCCGTCAAGAATTCTCCAGTTATCCTCAAGCAGCCATGGGTGCCCCGGAGAAGCGGCTCAGCGGCAACGCAATGGTTGATCCCCCGTCCCCGCCAACGTCCATCGGATCCAAAGACACAACTGCCCCCCGAGGATCCCGGAAGAATAAGTACCCTTGCCCGTTTGCTGCTAGCCACGGCTGTTCAGCTACATTTACGACCTCGGGCCATGCTGCACGCCATGGCAAGAAACACACGGGAGAGAAAAGTGTCCATTGTCCGATTTGCAATAAAGCATTTACTCGGAAGGATAATATGAAGCAGCACATTCGGACGCACCGGACACATTCAGAGGATATGCCAACGGGGACAATGGAGCGGGACAGCGACGGGAATAGCGGATGGAGCAGTAGGAAAGCCAGCCCTACCCAACCACCAGCAATCCGTGAACCAGTCTCAGGTATATGGGAACGCTTATGAGAGCATGTTAGCCATGAATTCGAGGAATTAAAATGGCAGTCACCATTGAAAGCCTTATGGGACGATGTTGTCACGAATTTATTGAAGACCGATGTGAGGTGAACTGTGCAACAGAGACACTGGACCCTCTAAAAGAGATAGCCATGCGGAGTCCATGTTAGATGGTCTCTGCAATTCTTTTCTTTTTCTCTCCTTCTGTCCCCCCCTTTGTCCCCGTCTCCCATTTTCCCTCCCTCGCCTTCTCCCTCTCTCTTTTACTTTCGACTTTCTTCTTCGTCCTTTTTTGGTTTAAGATGACTTCTGGCGTTCCGACAGAATAGCGTCCTGGGGGTTAAGAGAGTGACCGCGGTGCGGCACTCGGACCTCCTTTATTCGTCGATGGCCTTTATCTCTGCCGTCTGAGAATGACGGTTAGAATCAGGAATCATGATAGAACAGGGCAACCGGGATTCCCTAGTGACAGACTGGACTGCAGGATTTGGGCTTCTTCATCCATGTACACCTAGTCAATGGGAGAGGAATGACTATATATGTTTTTTTTTTTTTTTTTGCTATTTTAATTTGGATACCTTTGAGGGCTTTTCTGAAAGATTTCTCCGATACCGCTTGATTGTGTGCGTGTGTCTGTTTGTTTTTTTACTTTCGTTCTTGCCAGCGTGTTTTTCACGAGATTTCTGTGCCATGAGCTACGGATTTGGACTTCCAGAGTGCGGGTCTAAGTTCGCGATGTACAGTAAGTAAAGTACTTAGGTATGACTGGAGGTGGTCGATTTCAGGAGGCCGCATATGGAACATTAATGAAATGTGATATACCAGGATAAAAGAAAGTGGGCAAATCTATTGGCGTCGGTCGTTCTGTAGCCGCCCTGCCAAGGGCGTTTGGTGTTTGGGCTGGGAGGATGTTGTCGATAGAAATGGAACCATGGAACGATGCTATCCAATCCATGGTAGCCACACCAATTCGATGGACCACCAGGGCTGGATCAGGAACGCAACGGGTCCGTGGTTGCGCTTGATTTGATATATTGAAGTCTAGATAGCCTCGATGAGGCGTGGTCGATCAGTGACAACAGCGATAGTCACCAGTTCCTTTCTGCGACATGATGTCAATGGCGTTGGTCACCATTTCCTCGAGTACTTGGACAGAGAGGGAGACATGAGGAGCTTTCAGTACGAGTATGGCGGTCTGGAATGATCAACCTCATCGCGATGACTTGGCTGGGTGAACCACAGCCCACAATATCCTCGTTAACGGCAATCCAAACCATTCTGATGATGCTCTCGACGGATGGAAATTACCTAGAATACGGTGGTACTGGCCATACCATACATACGTCACTCACACTGACAGCCCCGCCTCTTGCCACATCCCGTGCCTTGTGACTTGCTTCCTCTTCTTTTTCATTCTTCTTCGTGTCTCTCTTTCATCTCATTTAATCCCTTTCCGCCGCTGTTCCATCTTCTATCTTCTCAATACGAACGAGCCGCGCCTCGCAATGACATACTACGGCGGTCGCCATCACTACCGCCAATCTCGACACAACTACCCACAGTCCAGCTATTCCAAAGAATACGATGGTCCCCACGATGATCGAACTCCCCAGTTGGGTGTTGTTCGTCGTCGTAATGGAAGCGATGACTCCATCGAGGGAGCCTACGGCGACTACCCCCTAGGGGGCTATGGCTACGAGTATGGCTACGGGCATCCGCATCCTCGCCTGTCTCGAGTAGCCAGCGTCCGAGATAGTGTACGCCGATCTCATTCTATGGGAGACCGCGATCCCTATTATAGTGACTTGGACTACTCTCGTTCACGCCGTAGTCGGCGATCCAGGCACAATGATGATCGACGTATGTTGCTCTACTTCTCCAGTCCGCTATCTCTTAAGCTACATACGGAAGCAGTACTGGGTGAAGAAAATCCAAGTATTTCGTCGCATAGGCTGACTCTAGACGACAGGCCACCTTCATAGACACCCCGCGCGCTCACCCTCTATCAGCCACTCCTCACCCCCTCGTCGCCGCAAGTCCCTCTCCGATCAGGCTCTGGGTGTTCTAGGTCTTGACACCGCTGCTTCGTCGGCGTCGAAGCACCGCGACCGCAGCCGTGGCCGTTCTCGTCGCCATAGGTCTGACTCCTACTCGCCATCTCCCACTCGGAGCCGAAATCGTCGCCACGGAGACAAGGGCGATCAGCGAATCGCTCAGGCTGTCAAGGCAGCTCTAACTGCAGGCGCAGTAGAAGCTTTCCGATCGCGTAAAGAGCCGGGCGATTGGACTGGTGCAAAAGGGAAACGGGTCCTGACCGCTGCGATTACCGCCGGAGGGGCTGATGGATTGGTGGACCGTGATGCTAAAAAGCACGCGAAGCGGCATGTTGTTGAATCCACCTTGGCGGGGCTTGCTATGAACCATCTCATGAACGGATCGAGCTCCCGATCCCGGTCAAAGCACCGTGGACGCTCCAAAGGCCGAGGAAGCGGCCTTGGAGACCTTGCCGCCTCGGGGGCCTTGGCTGCAGCAGGAAAGGAAGCGTACAGTCGATTCCGGTCCAAGTCTCGTCATCGGGGCCGTTCTGTGTCGCAGGATAGCTATGAGGACCAGCCACAACGGTCAAAAAAGCGCAGTAAGAGTGTGTCCGACTATATCAACCGCGGTATGGAAGCCCTAGGCCTTGAGGACAAGAATAAGGATGATCGGAGAGACCGCCGCCGTGACCGGCAACACCATGAGGACTATTCGGACGATGACTATGACAGTGGCAACAGGTCTAGACGATATGGGAGCCCTAGGAGCTCTAGGCACACTAGAGATGTAGGTCGACCCTCCTACCCCAGTGACGCTCGCAGAGAACCCCTTCCACTGTGGTCATCACACTATCCGGACCCAGCGGAGAAGGTGGCCATAACCAATCCCAAGATCGTCACTACAGTGTTTTGTGCCACAACAAATCTGTATAGAGTTATTCTGACCTTGGCAATAGTACCGATGAGGAGAAAACGAACGCTCCCGCGAAACCCTACTAGTCACGCTAACTCCTAGCTCTTGTCTCCATACATGCAGCGCGCTCATTTAGTGCAAAGACATCGCAAAATGGTAAAATTGTCAAGGAAGATGGCTCGACGACTGAGATGGCAAGAAAATAACGAATCAAAGACAACGTCATTAACTCCGCCAGCAAAGGTCTTACAACTGGGAATTAGTGCAGTTTATAAATGGAAAAATGCCAATGGAAACAAAAAGTGAACCCATTTACGAAAACTTGTCAGGAGTAGCAGGACCAGCGACATCATCAAGTTCAAAGTCGTCGATTTCTCTTATGGGAGCTATTCACCTAACGAAATTGAAAGAGTTCCCATCCGAACCAGCTCGGCCGAGGTCGATGGTTCACGAATCAGACTGTACTTGAAATGCATTCATTTGAGTTGGATTTGAAGCATTCTGGTCTTTTAAAGAAATATTTGGGTTGATCTTACGATTTTATCTGATACTATGGTAACGAAGAGCATGTTTATGTTATGATAACCATGATAATGTGTGATTATTCCTTCCAGTTAACTAGTGTTCTCTCTCAAGCACACTATTTTTGTTGCCCCGTTTCTACTAGCATCTTCGATTATCCAGTTGGTAGCCAAGAATTATAACCAAGTTAATTTGTGATCTGGACTTATCCAGTTTGTATGTACTTCAGGGATATTACATTTACGATTAGTTCACTCGAACAAGATACTTCGTTTTTCATTACTTGTACATCTTTACAGAATATACTAGGATAAGGACCAGGAAGACAAAAAATTCCGTCAATCCCATTCAAATACACGCAAACATGCAACAGCATGCAGGGAATATCTGTGGCTTTAAATCACCACTATTCAGCAAGAAGATCTATGTACAATGCATACAGTAGAGCACAGCCAAGGCAAAATAGAGAGGTAGAGTAAGAGAAAGAGAGGTATGGAAGGGGGAAGAGAGTGGGATGCAAAAGAAAACACCTAGCCTGAGAGCCGCCCCAATAAATACAGCAAAATCACAAACAACAAAAGTTGATCCGATTCATCGACTAGGGGAGGTATAGCAATGGTGAAATGCAACAAAAACATAATAAAGAATAAACTAGACGGAATGGAACGCTTCAACGCTCGACTCTAGCCAGTGGAGAGAGGGTATGTAGTAACTGTCAGTGTATGTGTAATATAGGTGGTGATAGGTGAAGGAAAGAAAAGTGGCTAACTGTACTTTAATCCATCCAGATGTGGAAGTGGATAAGATATAGGGAAGACAAAACATTATTTCTCCTTTTTTTTAAGGCAGCCTTTGGGTTTACTTTTCTCTTTCGCAACATCTGACGGAACGCGAGGTTGTAAAGAGTGAATTATTTTAGTCTTTGCGGGATATTAAAAGAGAGACAGCAGGCAGCAGTAGGTGGTTGTTTTCAATACAAGTGAATGTTGCCATGAACTTGGGTCCAGTCTGCCCTTAGCGTTCAGCGTGTAAGTTGAGCCAACTCATGTCGGAGTTGATGTTGTCGCGGGATGGTGGCATATGTTCATAGTTGTCAGGGATGAGCACACTCGATCCGCGCGTGTTGGTACTGGCAGTTGTATCCCGAGCTCCTGGTTCGTGGGCGGACTGTGGTGGCATCGAAGGCATGTCGCGCGGGCTTGGATTGTACATGCTTGGGTTATACATGCTTCTGCTGTACGTGCTGCTGGGTGGTCGCCCCATCCAGCTGTGTTGATAGTGTCCGTTTGGATCCTGTATACCGTTCGACAGCCCATCACGGCGTTCATAATCATCATCCGATGTAGCGCTGATGGAGCTGGCACTGGAAATGCGAGCGGACTGGCTCTCGGGAATGTTGATGTAGCGTCCATCCTTGGGAGATGACGCGTGCTCGGTGGTAGGGCTGCCTGTAACCACTCGTCCCAAGGGCTTGGGCTCGTCCAAAAGACCCATGTTCAGAGGCGTAAGATGGGGCACCGGCCATTGGCTCACCTGACTCGCTCGGTCATCTGATCTGGCAAATGGCGCTTGTGGTGTTTGATCGGACGCCAGGTTTACAGCACTGTTGTCCTGGAAGTACCGACCCCATCCTTCATCGGTCCTCCGATCGCCAGGACTTTGCGCTTCGATGGCCTTGTCCATCGAACGGGGCGAGGCAACCGCTGTAAGCTCTCCATCTGAGTGGATCGACAAGGGGCTTGGTTTCATCAAGGGCGGCTTCGTAGCAGGCGGGGGGCGAACGCCAGTGGATCGAGACTTTTCATCGCCCACATTACCTGCAAAAATGGCCAGGGAGTCCATCGACGTGGCGGCCAGCGGTGCTGGACCCTTCGCCATAGGGTATGCAGACTGGGTTAGGGGCTCTACACCCTGATCCTGGAAGCTTAGACGGTCCTTGTCGCCGCCGTTTTGGGCCTGTGCCGCCCGTTTCATGGCATTCTTCTTGCGCTTAAGGAGGAGAATAATCACGATCAAAAGCGCCGCAACGCCTAAGATACTTCCCAGAGTCGCCCCCAGGACGGTGCCCACGTTGGAGTTGTCCGTCTTGGAGCCAGCTGCAGGGCTCGTAGTCGCGCCCGATTCAGTAGCGGTGGCGGAAGGACCGGACGAAGTTGTCGTGGTTGGGAGAATCTGCTGCCGAGGTTTGTCGCCATAGAACAGCTTGGTCGCATTCACCCAGCTGTTAGATGTCTGGTTAAAGATAGCCAAAGTGTCGGTACCGCTTCCACTGGAGATAACGACCTGATTGCCGCCCTGTGCCAACGAATAATCTTGCCTCTTTGTCGAAGAGGCCAGGGAATCGTCGTACTTGGGATAGTCATCGATGGTGATTCTCTTCGTTCTCGATTTCGACTTCGAGAGTGCGGGCTTCCCAGCGGACATCAGTAGCGTTTCGCTGGTGACGGTGTTCGGCGAGGTGCTCATGTCAAAGGCTTCCAGGATCTTGCTTTCATCCGATCCACTCACAATGGCACATCTCACCTGATCGGGTAGCTCCTTGGATATCCGTACATGGGAGCTGCGCCATCCTTGGACGGGGTCGAACAAATACACCTGTTTCTTGTCGGTTATACCGCCCACCAATGCCGCCTCCTTGTCGCTCCACGGCAGCAAGATCGGATGGTAAACGGGTGATGCCTTGGACGCCTCGAAGGACGAAATGTTGTAGGGGTCGGCTGTATTGATAACGAAGGTGGCGGACGATGCATCGGTTTGGTGAGTCTGGTGGCCGCCATAGACTAGAATGGAGGAAGAAGATTCGAGGTAAACGGCACTGTGAGAGGTGCGATTGGCCATGTCGCCGCGAGAGGGCTCAAAGGACTTCCACTTCTTATCCTTAAATGAATAGCGTTGCACACCGGGGCCATTTCCTTGGGACTTAGACGGGATTCCCCCGACGACGTAAAACGCTTGTTGGTCTCCTTTACCGTCGACTCCACCCGTGACGCAGGCCGCATTAGAGACTGGCTCTCCCATGGTGAGTTCCGTCCACGTTCCATTCCTCTCGAGGGGGATCGAAGCAAATCCATTAGCGGAGTAGGTGTACAGGGTGTTGTCATGAATGACCGAGCAGTGGCCCTCTAATTTCACTGGCGGCTTGGGAACAATCATATCGAATGATGAGCCAAAGGAGGGGTTCTTCGAGAATACCAGCCGAAGACGAGCAGTAGTAAACCAGCCGCCTGAGGTTAAAATACGGGCGGAAGGACGGGTAAACGAATGGAAGGTAAACTGCCAGAGTACTATCTCATGATCGAGGGACAATGAATCGTAGGTGGCGCAGGGCCGTGCAGAGAGTTCGAGGAGGGGGTGAGTTGGATGAAGCTAGCAGATCCTTTCTTCGATTAATCCTGACTAGTAAACTTTTTTCTCCCTTTCTGGAATTCTTGCGATAGTCTCTAGAAACGAGTTTGGCGAAACCGAGGGTGCTGTCCGATGAGATTGTGTGGTGTTGTACGAATTGATGCACGCCGAATGAGTCGAAAAAAACGAGCAATGGCGACCTGACAGGACGGTGTCAACGAAGGACGGAGGGTAGCAGAGAAAACGGTCGAATAGAGAAAAAAAAAAAAAAAATACTAATAATAATAATTGCTCGATGTCAAACCGGCAGTCAAGGAGAGAGAAAGAGAACAACACGTCCCAGAAGAGACGGTACTGAGCGGAAGAGGAAATTGAAGGGGAAAGCCAGAAGGGGAATTCGCGAAAAGAGGGCGAGAGGGAGAGGAAGAGAGGAAAGAGGGAGGAAAAGGGAGATGAGGGTCAGGCCTGGTCAGGAGAGAAAGATAGTATGGGAGGATGAAACGACGGAGGGCAGTTTAGGCCAATACTAGGCCACTCACCTGGTATTTTTTTTTTGAATTTCTTGATTTACTGGGTTTTAATATGATTTAATTTCGAGATTGCATACTTTGGCCAACGAAGACTCGCGACAGAAAGAATTATCCGAAACCCCACACGAGTGCACAGCACGTTCAGAGATGCGGAAAGGCAACGAGAGGAAAAAAGAGAAGGAGGAGGCAAAAAGTAAGAAGGGAGAGAGAGAAAGTACGGAGCAAGTGATGGGATGATGGTGTCTTTGGTGGTGCCCCAGTAAGTTTAGTGGGTGGGCTGGTTTCTCAGAACCCAGCACGATCTGACTGTACAGGATTAGTTAGTAGAGAGAATAACTAGGAAGACGACGATGGCACAACAATGGGGCTTCGGAAGATAACGAGAGTGATTTGTTTTGGATCTGAACCTTACCTCCATCCCACGCAAGGCATGAAAAAGTGGATGGACTCAGGGGAATTCCCGTGCGACCTTTCCACGGCTCCAACCCACTGCCTACCGTGGTTCGTTTTGTCCCGAATTGGGTTGGATGCCCTCTTCAACCCCCAATTCGGGATTTTGGCCCCCCATTGGCAATGCTACACGAGAGACTTCTCGTCGATACTACCTACGACTTTCTACTATGTACGGTTGTTGACTCTCTGACTTGAATTCCAACCAGTGTCATTCGATGAGTAAGATTGGAAATCCCCCTGTTAAGCGTTGCAGCAACATAAAATGGAAAGCATCCACCAACATTACAGATAGAAGAAGGACAGGGGCAGAAATCTCCTCCATGCAGCAGCTATGACGGGGTGGCGGCAGTGTGATGGACACGCTGATTGGTTCTGTCGCCAGGGACCAGGGCTGCAGTGCATTGCCTTAGGAGGTAGGTACCTACAGGGATGCAGGTACACACATAGTACCTTCATAGGTAATATTAAGAGATATCAGAGCACTCCTAAATCGTTTTGTAGAAATCTCCACGTACAAATATACGGAGGAAATGCCTATTTATTTGATTCCCTAGCACCAGATAGACTGATAGAGCGATCCACTACCGAGATGAAACTCGTCCTGATATAAATAGGTTAGAACCGTAGCAGAGCCATAAATCAATCAAGTTAAATCTCCTAGTGGAGTATCTTGTTATCAATTACTCCCTCTTTCAGTACCGTACCAACTGGTCCCATCAAACCATCACATCCGTTCTTTCCGCCCCATGATTGGTCTACACCCTGGAACATTGGCCCCGTGCATACTCGACTAGCTGTATTTTACCGCAACGTACCTCGACACTGCCCCACCGCCCGGTGGAGCTTTGGTCGACACCTTCCTCCCTTTTATCACACTTCAATCTATCTTGCTAAATAGGGATTGATATTAATCAACTGGGCTGTCGCTCACGCTCGTCGGTTTGTGATTCGGACTGCGAATGATGCATTATTCTCCGATCCATGATTGCGAACTGTTTGCCGTAGCGTCCGTATTGAAGCTGTGGGTATCGTGCCGTACAATGGTGAAACCACAAGAACCCGCCTGAGATTAAGCAGCTTCTACTCCGTTCTACCTAGTACCTACGCAGTTATGTACTACGGATAGGTGCTATCTCTACCGGGCGATTTTGAATCTGACGGCCTGCTTGGTTTGGTCTTGCTGACCCTGTATCTAGCCCTTTTAAGTCAGTACGATGAAATCTGTGCGACATCCTCCCGTTGGGGCTGTATCCGTAATTTTGACGAATGATGCTCTATATATCCGGGAGATTTGTTGGTCACGGATCTCCCAGGTGTTTCGGGATAGACTCACTTTCGTAGGTTGATCCCTACAGTCGACAGTTGATCATCATTCTACGGTACGATGCCCATATCCAGACCTACTACTACTCTACCGAGTACCTTATACTATCAAGGGTGGCTGGGAAGTTTCTGGAATCCGAGACATGGGTATGGGTCAGTGATCGATTTAGAAGCAGACTATTCCGTTTAACGTGGAGTTCTGGCCCCCAACTCATCTCATCTGGGCCGCTCTCTTTCGATCGTTCTATTTTTATGATGAACGATTCAGGAGTCTTTTGAGGGCTCGACTTTATTGTCTATATACAATGAGACATATTCCAAAGATGCTCTGCAGGTGATGAATCAAGTATAGTCTATGCGCAAGTCAATTGTTGACTCTAATCTCACGGTCTTACTTCCCCGCCGAGCCCTCAGGCCCCAAGCTCTGAGTTCTGGGTACATCTCTAGTATTGAGACATGATTATTTATTGGCAAGCATCCGGCCTGTTGAACCAAATCTGATGCCAGAGGGTGACAGTGAAATGTACGAGAGTGAACTCATGTATACGTAGTATATATCTGAGTTACATGTATATGTTATAATCCATGAACTAGCTCACAATATATGTATAGATAAGTAACCAATATTTTATCACTTGGATATTATCCGTACTACAATCTGGCACGATGCACTGTATATTGTTACCTCGGAGTATAGTTCTGTAGGACTCGCACTTTGGTATATCTCATGTATAAGGGATTCCATATACGAAAAGGAGCCCCAGCTCCGATGCAACAACATCCTCCGTAATCTTGGTCCTATAGGTTACAGTCTACAAGGATGTTGCCCATCGCACCTGGTTTTGGACGCGCGGCTGTATCAAGTCAGAGGGGTCTCCTGAACAGTTAAGTAACTTCACCAAGCTAAGCTGCTTTCACGGGATGCTTTACTGCTTGTGGCATTGTAGGAGGTGAATATTAGGCCTTTAAAAAAGTGAAGAATCAATTGTCACGTGGGACTGCGTTCTGTGGCCAATTCTCTGCTACTTAAATCCACAATCGCAAGACCTGTCTTAATATAACAATTTGTGAAATATTTAATACCTTCGTTGTACTCTTGCACTGCTATGACAAGTTCTCTGCATTGCGTCATAACTGGATGACCGAGGTTTGAATTTCGGGGATTGATACGGATGCCTCAGGCAATGTCCGTATATAGACAGTTACCTGGCTTATTAGTGACCTTAGTCTATCCTACGCAATAGGACCATTAAATTTATGGTGATACGATCGGACCTGGATCATGCTCTGCAGTTACGCTGGTAGAGTATTCAGACACAGATTTCCTTTTCTGGGCAAGTACGCACTTTCCATGTGTCAATTGGGCCTAATAATAAATACTATCAAGTGATTTCACCCCATGCCTACACAGTACAACCAATCTGTCCTTTAATAATGGATCTATTCGCCTGATCTTCCCAGCAAGCGTGGCGGAACGCACGCTGCACAAATTATACAGTCGCGACGCTAGGAAAATAAATCTACCAATTACAAACACTGGTTCTAGGACTAGGGCCCTGTGTCAACATCAGAAGAAAAGTCTAGAAGATATGTGCCCATGCTGATAGTCCAGGGCACTATCACCCAGCATAAACGATAATGCCATATAGTTGCGGAAGAGGCCGCTGCTCCCAGGCTGTACTGACTGAAAGAGGATCTATTCTTATTAATTGCCACTCTTTTAAGAGAGGAGCACTGTTCATTAGATATGGTTGTTAAATCATCTATATAAAATAAAGAATAGATATATAGCTAATGCAGCTCTGCCTTGTTCTTTGAAAATTCAAATTCCAGAACATCAATCATAATTTAGACTGAAAATCACAGCGGATATAGTCTCTAGCTATTTAATTAATATTGTTTTACTGACTTCACGTTACTGAAGCAGATTCGATGGATCAATGCGAATGAGTTGCTTGGTTATTGCATGTTGGTGGATGTATATATCGACACTAGTAGATATCGGCTACCCTCATACAATCCATCCACCACAAGATATACGGGGTAAGTTCACCCCCAAGGTGATTGATAGTGTCCGACTTTCTAACGCAAATTATCGCTTCCAGTGCTATGAAAGATCTCGGAGCTGCTATTACCAGCCCAGTCGGCGAGGTGACTCCCGCCGAAGAACAAAAATCGACTCCGCAACTCAACCAACGCCTGTCGCTCCTGATTAGCCGGTTGATGATGGTCTCCAGAACATCTTTGGCCTACTGTCTCCATTTAGTGGGATGCAAAGTGCAGATGTGGACCCTAATTTTCTTTGGCATTCTCTGGACACGAGGGATTCCGGCGAAATAGATTCACCCGTCTAAAGAGTCTACAATACTGATGAAGAAGATATGTGAGTTGCTGTGTTGGGCTCATTGATCAATTGGCTGGACAACATTTGTCATAGCTAACAAAAAATGAGACAGAGCCAGTGCCTACTATATCTATATCCATCCATTTCTTTCGCTATTACCTCCTCCTGCAGCACTGCAGTATGATGGCCGGCCAGATGTATTCCGACCTCCTCCAGGAGAGGTTTGTACGATCCTCTTTGCCTTACTGACCCACATCGTCATTGGGCCTTGCGCTGTCCTCTATATTGGCATTGATACCACTTGCACAAGACCCAGCTCCCTTGAGTGAATGCAGTGTCTGGATGAGACGCGAGTATGCGCACCTCTACTCGCAAGCTGCCCTCGGCACTGCAGAGAAGGAGATCGATAACCTAACACCCCCTAGCTGTTCAGACCTTCCCTCGGAGCAAAGCGACACAACTTTAATGTACCGCCACGTTTGTATCCCATCCTGGCCCTTGTGATTCTGAGCGTATACGAGTATTACCAGCGTAGCAACATATCCACGATGCGCAGTCGTACTTATCAGTCCATCACAACGGCCATGGATTTCTGTCTTCACAATCTGGGCTCGAGTGCATCCGAGGGGCAGTGGCGTGCATGGTGGACCTCAGTTAGTTCTTCTCGGCTGACGACTTTAAGATGCTCGTAGTACTTAATTCGTCGATCTTGCAAGAGACAGTAGGCTTGGACGTCCTAACAGTCTAGGATTTTCTAACAAATGGCAGTCCCCCATTATATATGCGTCGGATCCAAGGATAACAACGCCGTACCCTGTTTTTGATGCGTGGTCGGGTAACGCAGAAGTATGAACAAGCTGGCTTTGACTGGTCCTCCTTGACTAATGGCATGACACTCATAGCAGTAACACCTGTACAGCCATGGCCGTTACTCATACAGGCTGAAGATGCTCTTTTATCCGTCTCCCACACCTTGGCATATGCTGGCATAGGTAGCAAAACGCCTATTAGGCATCCGAATCTACGCGACCAGATTCTACAGCTGGATTCCCACGTACTGTCGCTGGCAGCTGAATGCGACGTCTACGCTGGCACAATATGCAAGGAGAACATTGAATCAGTTGCAGCCCATCGTATTAGAATGATTGCACGCCTCCAGATTCACTCGTAAGCACCAGTCACTCCGACTTTGTGTGTTTCAGGACATGGGCTGATATATCGAAATCCAGTGCTCGGATAAAGTTACACAGTTTCAGTGTCCGACCGCCTCTCGATCTGCTATCCCCTTTTAACGTGCCTCGAGCCGGCAACGGAAACCCAGGATGCGGACCGCCTGCTGGAAGAACTCCGGCACGGGCTCTCGTCGGTGAACGAGTCAATGTAGAAAACCGTGACATTTGAAGGGATCCGACACATGGCGCGTAAATTGGATGCTGCGTATACTTCTACCTTTGATTCATGACCATACCTGTCCATAGTACGGTGCGGTATTTTCTAGGAAGCGGATCCTGTGCGAGGATGAGTAGCATCTCTTTCTAACTTAGGGATTCGGTCATAGAGCCGGATTCCTGGCAAATATAAGAGATGGATTGATGGATAGAGAGGGGTGAACAGAGTATTTAACCTCCACTCTGTCCCTGACCTGGTCTTTGAAGATCTTGGCTGCCAGCCACCGGGCCCCGTCGTTATTCGTCGAGATTATGCATGAGTCCCGCCGTGGCGTCGATAAGCTTAATTGTGTGGCATTCATTCAATCACCGAATACGGATACGTATATATCTTAGGGTTAAAATGCACAGGCCATCAACTACGGCTGAAATTCAGTTGACTTGTCATTTTTTTAATTATCTATCTTGGAGAGATGGTCAAGTTTGTCATAGTAGTATAGCGGCTACAATTCAGAAAAATATACTTTATTTAGATAAGATATATTGCTCCAGTCAGGGTAAACCATCCGATTCAAGAACCTGATCCAATGAGAACGCCCGCGCACACGGGACTAGGCCAGGGGGTGTTCGGCGCTGAGGTCCATGCGTTCCAGAGTATACCGAGGGGGATGAGGAGGGAGCCGATGATCATAGGTGGGAGACGGATCTCCGGGACGTAGGTTTCATTTTGATTTTTATTGTGGTTCTGGGTGTTGATCTTGTGGGTGTGGTAATATAGTCGGAAGTAGAAAATCTCGTAGAGGAGGATCGCGAGGGTACCGAGGAAGACGCCAGTGATGATGCCTACAAGGAGAACGGTGCTCAGACCCGTGGACCAGCCGTGGAGGTCGCCGTAGTCAATCAGGTAGGCGGAGTAGAAGAGGAAAAGTATCCCGTAATGGAAGGATTGGTAGAGGGTGAGGAGGGTGAGGATCGGTTGCAGTTTAGTACTATTCTTGCTTTTCTTACTATCGAAAGGATATAGAGATAGAAGACGCACGGAAAGGACGAGCGAGATACTGTCGTGCAATGTCTTCGAAGTTTAGAGGTCGCATCTGGATGCTGGCCTTGATCTGCGCATGTGCGGATTGTCGGTGCAGGACCTGTGCCCACTTCTGCAGGATGATCGGTGCATACGTCTCGGGGAATGTAACCGCGGATAGGAGACTGAGGACGAGTCCGGATATAATAACCAACCCCATGGTCCATCCCCAGCCGAGAGAAGACCCAGTTACAAAGCCTCCAACTACCCGGCCAAAGGAAGGTCCGGAGAACATCAGAGCCACCGCACAGGCCAGAGTAATCCCTCGATGCTCCAGTGTGAAGCAGTCGCTGACGACGCCTCCAAGGACTGCTGCAGGGGACACGCCGAAAAAGCCAGCGAAGAAAAGACCTAGAAGAAATGATTGCTATGTTGCTGCCCAGCGCGGGCATTAGATCGAAGACCGACGAGCCGACGATCAAGGGATACTTGCGTCCGAACTTCTCGGAAAGAGGTCCAAAAGTCAGGAATCCGAAGATGTAGCCCTAAATTGGGATGAGTCCAGATCAAAGTATACACGATCCTTGACATACGAAGAGGAACAGGGAGGTCCCCAGAACAGCCACCTCGGCCCTGGCGTGGAATTCCAGCATGATCGCCCTCTGACCTTTCCGACGATGCTGCTAGAGACGGTGCTGATAAAATTGAACATGCCTAGCACCCAGATCTGGCGCTGCAGCGTCCAGTTCTGTGGATGCTCTGGATTGTCGGGGCCATTGAACTCAACGAGCAGGACGTTGTCGCACCCTAAACTCGGTCCCATGATCGGCTTACCGTATCTGTGGTATTAGGAGGCATTGTTTAACATATACGTCTGATATATACCTGAAGGTAGTGCAGAGATTTCTCTTCGTCCCCAGATCCCGAGTTAGGGTTTTCTCCAGCCTCTGTTTCCGGTCTTTGCATTTTGTCCCAATCCCGAGAACAGTGCCGTTTGCTTGATGTAATTGCTAATTGTGTAGGTTATCTTGGTCTACAGTGGTAGTATGGGAACTGAAATGCTGTGTGATATTGACAATATGGAGCTGTTCATCGTACTACATGGTAATTGATCCGGTTCAATCCATCCATTATGCCTGGCCCTGTTCTTGCTTCCACTGGTGCGCTCTCTGCAACAGACGCGAGAGGTTCGCCGACGACTGGTCGTCCGCTGGGAATACGTAGTCCATGTATTCCTCGTAGCGGTCGTCGTCCATCTTGCGGCGCTTCTTGGCTCGCCGTGGCATCTGCTTCTCGATCTTTTCGATATCCTCGGGCGATCCATGCGTGTGCTCGAACGATCGCCAGGCGTTGAGGAGTTCCACACGCTGTTGCCATATTAGCTTCTTGCCCAACCAAAAATTTCAACGGCAATCGCTTACCTCTTCCTTGAGCTCCTTGTCCTTGAACACCTTGTGCGCTCGTTCGAAGATCCCCCGAGCACGTCGCTTGGCCTCGTCGCTGATGGGTCGCTCCTCCGCTTCTTCCTCCTCTTCCTCGTCCTCGTCCTCCGGCACGTTGATCTCAAACCGCGCATAGTTGATCCACACTTTGACGTGGTCGGTCTTCTCCAGGAGTCGTTCGTAAAGCTCCCGCACCCGGTCATATTCGCCTTCGTACTCTTCAAAGTCAATATAGGACTTCCACACCAACTCGGGCATATCCAGAGTTGGCTGTGCAATGCCCAACTCGTAGATGCCTCGCGCACGCTCGGAGTCATCCAAACCGCGCTCGAGTTCTGCGTACTGTATCCACGACTGGCTGTTGGACGCGTTCCACTCGATCTGCTTCTCAAACAGCGTCCGACATCGCACAAACTCAAACAGCTGGCGTTCCAGGTCGATGTAACCCCGGAACAGCTTGTCCTTGGGGCACATGCCTATCGCCTGGCCCAGAGTCTTGCGGGCAGCCGGAAGTTCCATCTGGCGGACCTCAAATTGCGCCTTCATGAGCCATAACTTGGCAAATGTGAACTTCTTGTGCGGAACCAGCTTCAGGCACTCGTTGTAGACCTGACGGGCCCGCTCGATATCCTTCGCTTCCATTTCCTCCCAGATCGCGTAGAAAATCCAGAGGTAGATATACCGCCGCCAGTGTCGCTTCTCCTGCGACGGCGGGATCTGGGCAATGGCCCGCTCGTAAATGTCGCGGACCCGCTCGGGGTCCCCCGAGGTCTCCTCCAAACGAGCGAAGTCGAACCAAATGTCGTAGTTCCGCGGGTTCTCCTTAAGCTGCTCCTCGTATTGAACCCGGCGTTTGGAAATGATCACATCCTCAACACCTTCCCGATCACCGAACTGCTTCTCAAAGGTCGTGTACGCCTTGTGTAATGTCATGGACTTGGACCGCGGTAATCGATCGAGCGCATACTTGTAGATGGCTCGCGCGCGTTCGTACTCCTTCAGCTTCGCCTCGAACTTTGCATACGAGATGAACAGCTTTTCATCCATGAAATCCTCTCCTAGCGTTTCAACCGCCGCTCCGTATACCTCTCGCACCAGATCACTGGTCCCATATTCCTCCTCGAACCGAGCCCATTTGATCCAGTTCCTCGGTTCGGGGTGTACAATGGTGAACCGTTGGAAGATCCCGCGCGCTCGTTCAAACTCATTATATCTCTTCTCAAGCTTGATATACGCGCTCCAGGCGCCCTCATCCGGTTCCCACGACATCCACCGCTCAAAGACCTGGCGGGTGCCGGGGATATTCCCCAGGGTCTCCTCCATGTAGACATACTTGTACCACAGCTTATCCACACGGGGCAGAATGGTCACGGCACGATCGAGCAAGTTCCGCGCATGGTTAATATTCCGGTTCCGCATCTCTGACTCGATATATCGAATCCACAACACCACGGAGGTCGGGTTCACGTCCAGCGCACGCTCAAAGATCGACCGTGCTCGTCGAAATTCTTTCTGCTCAAGTTCCCAGGCGGCATATCGCGTCCAGTTGTTCATGTTAATCCGGTTTCGGCGCACATAGTCTTCGAATTCTTTTCTCTTGCGACCTTGATACTCATGTAGTTCTTCGAGGTCCGCAAACCGCTGCGTCGGCGCCTGCAGCGAAGGCTCCTGTCGGTCGACCGCCTCGCGAAGCAGCTGCTCCGCTGAGATCTGGATCGGCGCAGCAGCCTTATTCTTGACCCTGGGCGGGCCGCGAGATGACTCCATGCTGGTGGGGGGTCACTCCTCGCTGTGAAGGGAAAGGGTAGGCTTCGAGAATCGAATGGTCCGGCGTCTGAATACCACTGTTGATGGAAACTGTACAGACCCAGTATCCTTTCGATGAAATCACCGCAGGGGAAGTTGTTTGGATCGTGTCGGCGGACAAAAGTCAGGCCGCTGCGGAAGTGGTCTGCATTGCCACCCGTTCATCATGACTAAGCCACTACAGGCAAATTGATACCTGGACCAAAGCTCAGTTTGACATCCCGTTTGCGCTCGATCACGACCCCCAAACAGTTGCCCATCATGTCTACCGCCGAAGAGCTCTTGCGGGACTTTGAGGAGGATGACGAGAATTTCCAGGATATCCAAGATGATCAGGAGGATGAACGGATGGAGGAGGACGTCGATGAGGAGCAGCAGCCAAAAACCGGTCCTGAAGCCACCAACGAATTCGAAGTTGCCATCTCAACCGGTGACGAACTGACACGTCTACACAAAGTTTTGCGTGATCATTATTCGATTCGGTTTCCGGAACTAGAGACTCTCGTTACAAATCCTATTGACTATGCTAAGACTGTTGCTATCTTGAAAAATGGCCCCCTCAACGATATCAAAGCCCTCTCAACGTCGGCCGACAACATGGTCGGCACTCCGCTGAAGTCGATCCTGGACGGCCCGTCTCTGATGGTTGTTGCTGTGGAGGGCACTACCACTCGTGGGCGTGAAATGACGCCGGTGGAACTGAAGACCGTCCTGGACACATGCGAGAAGATTCTGAAGCTGGACCGAGAGCGGACCGCGCTCACGGAGAGCATCCAGTCTCGCATGAGCCAGATTGCCCCGAACCTGGCTGCTCTCATCGGTCCGGAAACGGCCGCTCAATTCTTAAATCAGACTGGAGGACTACGCGAACTTGCCAAGATCCCCGCGTGCAACCTGGGTGCTCAGGGAAACAAGAGAAAGGAAGGGCTTGGCTTTGCTACGAACATTGGCATCCGGTCACAAGGATTTCTCTACAACTCGCCCCTTATACAAGGCATTCCCAACGACTTGAAGCGACAAGCAATCCGGATTGTCTCCGCCAAGATGGTCCTTGCTACGCGCGCAGACGTTTCTAATTATAGCCCCGATGGGTCACTGGGCGAGGATTTAAAACAGCAGTGCTTCCAGCGACTGGAGAAATTGACGGAACCCGCGCCAAACTCTGGAGGCAAGGCGCTCCCAGCACCGGATGATAAGCCATCCCGCAAGAGAGGTGGACGAAGGGCTAGAAAGGCCAAGGAAGCCATTGCCATGACGGAGATTCGCAAGGCCCAGAATCGCGTTGCATTCGGCAAGGAAGAAGCGGAGGTCGGATATGGTACGGGCGAAGGCACAGTTGGGTTGGGTATGCTCGGTCAACAGAATGACGGACGCATTCGTGCTACTCAGATCGACCAGCGGACGCGAGCAAAACTCAGCAAATCCAACAAGGGATGGGGTACTGCAACGCCCGCCAGCGGCACGGCTTCGTCTTTACGTGGGTTTGGCCAAGGAGGTATGGGAGGGACGGCGAGCGTTCTTCAAGCGAAGGGTCTCCGAGCTTCAGGCATTGGTACTTCGTTGGGCGCAGGCTCTGCCGGTACCGCGAGTACCATTGCTTTCACTCCCGTGCAAGGGCTTGAGCTAGTTGACCCCAAGGTACAGGCGGAATTGAGCCGGAAACGCAAGGCAGAGGAAGACCGGTGGTTCAAGTCGGGTACATTTACGCAGGTCGGAAATAGCCAGAGCAATAACAATTCCACTCAGGTAGACAGCGGAGGATTCAAGGTCCCGGCATTGCCTGCCAAAAAAAAGACCGACACGGGTGAAAGCAAAATGGCACCGCCACCACCGCCGCAGAAGGGATAACTGGATAACTGGGGGATAAGTTTTCTGATGTGATTGATGAGCATTCTACAAGGCGTTTGGAGACACAAGTCGGAATTCGCATGATACCACAAACCAATGTATTATATAGGCCTCGAGTGGTTTATAGTGTCAATCCAGAAGTTTAGCTTCTTCACTGCGGTCTTTCATCCGGGCGATCGGAAGGGGGTACCATGGTTCCAACCCTCTCCCGAGAATCCAAAATACGCCGCAAGGACAACGGATTGCGTGAGATCCGAAGATCCTGTCGCCATTGGCTCAGCAAGGGAAATGCTAATGTAAGCCGCCGTTGTGCCCCTGATCTATTTATTTTTGGGGGGAGCAGCAATACCGCCACTTTAGTCTACGTGGAATCGGACACGCGAGACTTAGGTGCAACAAGCATAAATTTGGTTACAATGATCCAATAAAGGATTGGTTCTCTGCTGGTGGTTCAATGGATTGCGGAACAGGTCTGGTCTCCTTTAGGAGACCGAGGCCGTCAGCGTATTGCGTGCTTTTCAGAAATCTTTCTTCATACCGCACCCAGGGCACTTTTTGTACCAAATTATAGCATTTCCCTCTCCTAATATCCTTCTCCCTCATCTCCCCATATTTACCATAGACATATCTTCTCTCTTCTAAAACCTTGTACGAAATTCTGGCAAGAATTGGTGTTTCTGTGATTCGTGACTCAGTGTCGACTTGAGCTATAGAATGGCACCCGAAATAGGCAAACCAGTGTTCCCAACAGAGGACACAGAAGGGTCTTCTTCATCGCCTTCTCCGACACAGAGCCCCTCGCTTTTCCATCATAGCCTCATAACGTCCGATCCGGATGAACTTAAATTCCACGCGGCCGCATCATTGCAATTGCAGCCCAGTCATGACCACATCGCCGCACCGTCGAGTGACCACCTCATCGCCTCTCCATATAACGATCCACTCCACCTTTTAGACCTGAAGACGCTGGAACAACCGAGCCAGTTATTTGCCAAGGCTCTTACCATCCTCAAACCGGTGCGCGACGACTATGCAACGGCTCCCTACACAGAATCGCTCAATTGGCAAGATGTCTTTGACTTCCTGCGAGATCTATCCCATGCCGAAGGGTACCAGTGGACGGCGCAGCATTTCTATGTGGTTGTGTTTCGGTCCCGTCTACGGGAGGATGTCGATATGAGTCGTTTGCACGACTTGGATGCCTTCTCGCATCAAGAAGCGACGGCTAGCGGAGGGCTGTTGAAGTATTGGTTTGGAACGAAGAATGCAAATCGAGAGAACCTGGCGACCTGTGAGTTTGTCCTTCCCTTTCTTCTGAACTAAGAACGTATGGAGATGAGATGAGACGGACTCGGCTGATGTTGGATGGACAGGTCTATGGCGCAGCCGGGGAGATGCCCGACTTGGAGGCACGGGACCGTGGCATAAACGAGCACGTGGAGCTGCACGCGATCTGTACGAGCAAATCAGCTTCACCACGTTGAAATTGGTGGTCGGAGATGGGGTGGAGACGTGGGGGATTGATCAGTGGAGGGAGGAGGATGAATGAGGATGTAGTCGAGTTTCACATAGAATTTGTTCGATATCAAATCATATAGCGGTTAATCATATTAGATGCATGAGTATTTACTCCGCAGTAGTACGGAGGTTGCTATACCGAGCCTAATCAGATCCACATCTTCGAAGTCAAGAATAGAACCCACCAAACAACTTACTTTTCCCGCTACCTGACCCCATCTGATTGGACTCCCCCACCTTTTGCCTCTACCACCATCCAAACGAGTATTTTTCCCCGCATGTGGACAGCGCGAAATATTGCCTGCTTCGGTTGATATCATTAATGCCTCATGAATATGTCTCCGCGGGGCTCATGGAGATCTGAAATATTTAAGCGGAGACTCGTTCAAAGCGATCCTCTCACTATCTACTATTCATACATTCAACTTTGACATTACCACCATGGTTGGCGTGCTGACTGATACCACCCTCTCCGTTAACGACGGACCTTTGACCTCTGAGAACGCGGGTCTCCTACGTCCTTCGGATCCCAATCTCCCCATCCAGGAGCTTCGCAGACGATACGACGAGGACGGGTATGTATTCCTGAAACAGGTTCTCCCGCGCGAAGATGTACTGGAGGCCCGACGACGGTATTTCGAGTACTTGGCTCCCACGGGGGTGTTGAAAGAAGGTACCGATCCGGTGGAGGGGATCTTCAATCCCACTAAGTCTATCGACGAATACCCTGGCATTGGCGCTGGGAATGAAGGCGCCAACGGTCGTCCGGGAGGGGAGAAAGCCGAGCACTTCGTGAACCGGGCCATCGAGGCCCATTACATGGACTGGTACACGGAGAAGCTGTGCAACCATCCCGTCCTGTACGATTATGTGGCTAAATTTACCGGATGGGGCCAGGACACCTTGGCGTTTCGTCGGACCCTGCTGCGGAATAATATCCCCAAGAGCAAGCCGATCGGCGTGCACTATGATCAGATCTTCCTGAGACATGGCGAGCCGACCAGTGTCACGGCGTGGGTTCCCATGGGGGATATCAAGATAAATGGAGGAGGGTTGATTTATCTGGAGAATGGTATGTTATGTTGCCTTCCATTCATCTAACATCCGTGGCATGAGGTTACATTAGAGCTTGCAGTACTGAGGGACGACTTGTTGTAGGGGACTCGGTGGGCCAGGAGATCGAATTGCAATTCACCAATAAGGCCAAACAAGCGGGCCTGTCCGAGGAAGAGGCCCGATCAGCCTTCAATTCCAACATGATGGCGACAGGACTGCTCTCGGAGCATCCCGCTCAGTTTGCTAAAGACAACAACCGACGGTGGCTTGTCTCTGCGTATGAGGCAGGTGACGTTGTCTTGCATAAACCTCACATTGTAAGGCTCCGATTTGTGCTTGCTTTCTGGACTCGACTAACCAGGGATTTAGATCCATGCGTCGACTATCAATAACGACGAGGATAATGTCATCCGACTGGCAACGGATCTGCGGTTCTGCGACTCGTCCAAGCCGTATGATAAGGTGGGTTAATTCTTGCAGGGTATATTGCTTTAGCATTCATGCTGATCGAATTCAGAGGTGGATGAACCATTTCCGGTTTAACGATGGCGTTTAGGATATTCCTATATTATTCCTAGTATCGTATGCGATCCATGCACAAAGTTTGATTAGGTAGTTGGCACTACTACGTACTCAGCACCACAAGGATAATCTACTCCTTATTCTGCCATAGTAATAAACAGAAAATATGTACAAATGCACATAATACTGAATTAGGGGCGTTGCAGCTCGGAAAAACCATCTAGTCCATCAGGAATCCTCGACACATCATTCCTTGCGTTCCCAAGGGATGAAGATTGGGACTGTATAATAAACTGAACATAGACTGATGGCATAGCCATAATATCTATACCTTCTTTCATTCGGATATTCATTCAAAAATAGATACATGGTTGATTTGATTCTGCCGGAGTTATCATGACTTCGTGGTTATTCACTCAATTACCGCAGCCGCTGCAAGATGTTCTACAACTGCAATCGGTCCAGCATGGGGTTATTGCGCTGCTCGTGGTCCTGCTAGCCAAAGTAATCAATTCCCGTCTCAACCAATTGAAGCAAAACAACAGGCTGCCGTCTCGTCCTTGGGATTCCCACAAAGAATTGGTGCTCTTGACCGGTGGATGCAGTGGGATTGGGAAGCAGATGATGCAGGACCTGGCACGGTTGAACGTCAAGACGATTATTCTAGATATCAAGGAACCAAGTTTTCAATTGCGTAGGTTATCTCTCCGTCTGAGAATTCTTTGATCACTTCAGACTGAGAAAAAAGCCGCCGGAGTCTTCTTTTACAAGACCGACATCACAGACCGGACATTGGTGAAAGAAATTGCATCTCGGATCAGAAACGATCAAGGCCATCCCACGATCCTGATCAATAATGCGGGTGTCGCATTCGATGAGACGATTCTGGATAAACCCGAGGAACAAATTCGTCTCACAATGGAGGTCAATATCTTGTCCCATTTCTGGACGGTGAAGGAATTTCTCCCAGATATGATCAAGAAGGACCATGGGCACGTTATTACTGTCTCTAGTATGGCCAGCTTTGTGGGCTTGGCCGAACTAGCCGACTATAGCTGCTCGAAGTCCGCGGCTCTCGCATTTCATGAAGCTCTGACTCAGGAAATACGACACTGCTATGGATCCAGAAGGATCCAAACGAGGTTATTTGCATCCTGGAATCCATGCAATATTATATTGATACTAGGTATATGGCTAACTTTGGACCAGCGTAGTCCATCCCTTCTGGGTGCGGACGCCCATGACTGACGATATCGACGAAACTGGGAAACATTTTGGCCTATCAGTCCTACGCCCGGAGGATGTGTCGGGCGCTGTGATCAAGCAGATCGTGTCTCAGAACAGCGGTCAGATTGTCCTTCCCAGGATCATGAGGATAGCATCTATGGTACGTGGACTACCGAGCTGGTTACAGGAGCGGATTGGGGATGAGGCATCCCTCGGGGCTTTAAAGCTTCGTCAGTTAAAAAAACCTCAAACAATCAAAGAGAAATGAGCCGGAGGGCAAGTATTGTCTTCCAGAGAACTCTCATTGTATATCCATAGTGAATGTTCCATAAGAGTATATCTAAAAGGACAGTATTTTGTTTTTGTTTAATATGATATTAGAGGTATAAATTTATAGCGTTATCGGGCCTCATGCAATAAGAAACATTATTTTTTCGATAATGATATTTCTCGGTCTAGTACTAGGTTGAGTGAATGTGAACAGAGCCTGATTAAAAAATCATACTGATGTGCCCGGACTACAAGTGCCCAGAGAGATTCTTATTCGGAAGCCCATTGCAATTCACATCAAGAGTAGAAAGATACAATCTGGCTGACATTTCTATATTATACTGAATGTTGAAGTCACTAGGGAACTAGGGGAAGAAGGTATGTTGTGAGGTGCTATGATAGCGGTAACTACATAGTATATTGAAACTATCGTGCGATCTAGTATCGTATGGTGAGTATCTTATTCTATCTTCGAGAGTGAGCGTAGACAAACGCTTTATTATGGCTACGTGTTCCTTAGCCCCGGAATGTGATATATCAGATCGCTGCGGGACTAGGATATCCGAAGGTGCCTTTGGCATCCTGATTTCCAACACTGAATAAGTTCAAAATATTCTCTGTTATTCAATGACAAAATATCCATGATCCTCTATATCCATGTGTTACGTTTCCCTACCATCTTCTTTGTACAGCTAAAAGCTAGGAGGGCTAGAAGAGTTTGACAAGAAGGAATTAAATCGGCCAAATTAGGATGAAGATATAACCAAAACTTCTCCTTTTCACATGTGTGCTTGGTAGAGATTGGGGTAGGGAGTATATGGACCAGCATCTTGCTTGAAGAATTTCTCTTGTCTTCGCCGGATCGGTGGATAGAACCGCAGTGGCCCGGCTTTCAGCGAGACTTGATAGCATATTCTCTGTCCAAGACTCAAGACTGGGCATATCCATACCTTGTCTAATCACCCTTTGATAAAGCATTGTAGTGGTTGATTTGGATTGTTTGGTCCATGATATCAAGATGGCAGCTGAGCTGAGAGAGATCCATTTCGTCATATCACTAGTTGTGGATCGTATCCACCCTGTATTACGTTCTCTTGACCGGTGGGAGGAACCAAGGGGGTTAAAGACGGTCATTATTCGGTAGCAGACTGGATGGCTAGTAGGATATTTTGTTTGCATTGTACTCTCTTGTGCTCTGGCAGATCGTCACCTTATCCTTTTTTGACGCCAGATGAAGGGTCTTGCTAATGCAGTGATTGGTTTGACTGGTATCATATAATAACATTCCATGAGACAGATAAACTCCTCTTTATATGAGATCGACGGATCCCATATTCCACCATACGATCCCAGTATACTAACTAATCCTCCGGTCAAAACGTACAGTGGCAGATCCTAGTAGCACCGTCAGCGACCAAGATCCAGATCCAGATCCAAGATATCCATCCTCTCCGCAATCGAGTCACATACTGCTGGAGATCACAATACCCTGCTTTCCAACCCTGGCCTTGTTCCACACACTACAGAGTCTGATATCAATTCACGGGTCGGAGTCCAAGAGGGGGATATCTACCGTGTTGTTGCAAATGAGGTTGCCCAGTTCTCCTCCCCCATCGGTCTCACATGATGAGTCGTTCTCTAAGACAATCTCCTGCAGAGGGAGACCTTTTGCGAGGGGAACGATGAAGCAGGTGCTGAGAAGCGCGAAGAGATTCATACTGTGGATGAATTGCATTCAGTTGATGGTGATTTTGATGCTTAATGCCTGTAAGAGGTAGAAAGTGGTTCGAACTCCCGATGACGAGGATCGCGGTATTTGTACCCAGCATTCCAAACTCCATAGGTACTGTTAAGGATCGACAGGTGGTGTCATCCAGTTGGTTGACTGCATTCATTCATGGTTCTCTGGACTTGTCTGTTGGATACAGTCTTGGATTGGCTCAGTGGTGGATTGAGTCCTACCATACACCTTGAATTAGCCTATTGATCGAATTAATTCCATCGGTTGAACCCAGTGTATCGATAGAAGAAGACAAAATCTCCAAGAGTCACACTGTTATTGTCGGCCCTTGCATGGATTTCCCGATTGGGATGTTGTCCGGCGCGGCGGCACAGAAAATCCGAGCCCCGCCTTCCCCCCTCTTTCTCACTTTCTCACTTTCTCACTCTCGCTTTTCCTCTAATTCTTCTCTTCCCTTCTTCCTCACTCATCCCCTTCTCTTCGTCCACGTCAGTACGTACTTCAATCACACCCCATTATATCCATTTCTTCCCTTCATCAAGCTATTCATTGCTAATGTCCTCCAGTCCACTCTACATTCCATCGTACCCATCACTATGGCTGCCCCCGCTCAGAAGTTCAAGGTTGCCGACATTGTACGTGGCTCTCTAGACCCCCTCCAAATCATCCTATCGTCATCCCATTGCTAACCATCTCAGTCGTTGGCTGCCTTCGGTCGCCGTGAGATCGAGCTGGCCGAGATTGAGATGCCCGGTTTGATGGCCATTCGTCGTCGTTATGGCGCAGATCAGCCCTTGAAGGGTGCTCGTATTGCCGGTTGTCTTCACATGAGTATGTTTTCCCGTTTCGATACGGAATTAATCCATCTAACCCAGGCCTCTAGCCATCCAGACCGCCGTCCTCATTGAGACCCTCACTGCTCTCGGTGCCGAGGTCACCTGGACCAGCTGTAACATCTTCTCCACCCAGGACCACGCCGCCGCCGCCATTGCAGCTGCTGGTGTCCCTGTGTAAGTTTTGTGCCGTTCCGTTCTGTCAATGGCCACTCTAACGTGCTCTAGCTTCGCCTGGAAGGGTGAGACCGAGGAGGAGTACAACTGGTGCTTGGAGCAGCAGCTCCAGGCCTTCAAGGATGGCAAGAAGCTCAACCTCATCCTCGACGACGGTGGAGACCTGACCTCCCTTGTTCACAACAAGTACCCCGAGCAGCTCAAGGACTGTTACGGTGTGTCTGAGGAGACCACTACCGGTGTCCACCACCTTTACCGCATGCTCAAGGACGGCAAGCTGCTCGTCCCCGCCATCAACGTCAACGACTCCGTCACCAAGTCCAAGTTCGACAACCTGTACGGCTGCCGTGAGTCGCTTATCGACGGTATTAAGCGTGCTACCGACGTCATGATCGCCGGTAAGGTCGCCGTCGTCGCCGGTTTCGGTGATGTCGGCAAGGGCTGTGCCTCGGCCCTGCACAGCATGGGTGCCCGCGTCCTGGTCACTGAAATTGACCCCATCAACGCCCTCCAGGCTGCCGTCCAGGGCTACGAGGTCACCACCATGGAGGAGGCCGCTCCCCTGGGTCAGATCTTCGTCACCACCACTGGATGCCGTGACATCCTCGTCGGCAAGCACTTCGAGGTCATGCGCAACGATGCCATCGTCTGCAGTAAGTATCCGACATTGCACACTGACAATATTTTTGAAATTTGCTCATGAAGACTAGACATTGGTCACTTCGACATCGAGATTGACGTGGCCTGGCTCAAGGCTAACGCCAAGTCGGTGCAGAACATCAAGCCCCAGGTCGACCGCTACCTGATGCCCAGCGGCCGCCACATCATCCTGCTGGCTGAGGGTCGTCTGGTCAACCTGGGCTGTGCCACCGGTCACTCTTCCTTCGTCATGTCCTGCTCTTTCTCCAACCAGGTCCTGGCTCAGATCGCTCTGTTCACGGCTGAGGACGCCTCTTTCGGCCAGAAGTACGTCGAGTTCGGCTCGACCGGCAAGAAGCCCATTGGTGTCTACGTGCTGCCCAAGGTCCTGGACGAGCAGGTTGCTCTGCTGCACCTGGAGCACGTCAATGCCAAGCTGTCCAAGCTCACCTCCGTGCAGGCCGAGTACCTGGGTCTGGACGCCAACGGACCTTTTAAGGCGGAGCACTACCGCTACTAGATGCATATTCCCTTCTTCCTTTTCCTTTTTATTATTGAATGTTCGGTATACCATGATACCTAGACTTGTTTTCTTCAACATGTGACGATGTTACGATGAACATAAAGGGCTCTGTTTCAACTTGGGAGCTCAAAAGTATTTGTCCTTCAACGGCAATCGCAAAAGTGTGGCATATATGAGGTTTCAGTTTATAATGGCTAGTATTTCTCAAACGGGCGGGCCTGGCTGGAGTATTTTGCATTCAACAGTGCGTGCCGTGGGAAGATGTTTCATAATATTAACGATAATGGATTAGACCGGTCGTGTACCGGAAGTCCGCATGGATTGACTGTCATACAACAGTGCATTGATCGATTGCCTGTAGATATAGTACTCTGTAGACTCAGTCCATTGCAATGAGGCGGACCAGCTCCTGCGCTGCAGCCACAGCAAAGTCCTCATTGATGCTGCTCGGATGGCGAGCGACAGCGATGCCCGTGCCGTGCAGCTCGGCCTCGAGCGTTGTGAACAGAGCCTCGTCCGCCTCGGGATCATGAAAGGGTTGACCCGGGGTATCCAGCAGACTGACACCGCCGACAGGCAAGAGCAGGCGCACGCGATCCGGCCGCACCGCACTGCGCAACTTACCAGCCATCCAGCGCGCCACACGACGGGACTCCTCCGCCGTGGTGCGCACCAGCGTGACCGTGGGATTATGCTCGTAGATGCATCGACGGGCCAACTCTGAGGGTAGTTCGTCCCGAGGTCCGAAATTAATCATGTCGCAGGCTCCCACGCTCACCAGCTGCGGGATCCCCGTCTGCGCCGCGGCATCCAGTCGACATGTCCCAGCACTGAGCACCCCTCCTAGTAGTTCATCCACCACCTCTGTGGTGGTTAGATCTAGCACTGCGTCCAGCTGTCTCTCCCGGATGAGTCGTTCCATCGCTTTCCCCCCTGCGCCTGTGGCGTGGAATACGTAGACTTCGTAGTTAACGTGGTGCGTTTCGAAGTACTCTCGTATACGATCCACCGCGGGGGTGGTCACTCCGAACATGGTGATGCCGATGCGGATGCGCTTCAGGTTGGGACCTGTGAGTGTGGATTTCTCCTTTTGTGTCTGTGTGGAGGAGTAGAACGACACCGTCATCCCGTTAATCGCAGCCGCCGCGTTGCTCAGGATCCGGTTGAGAATGGAGTTCGTGCCGGCGATGTCGACCACGGTGTACATCATTGTAATATCTGTCTCCTCGATATACGCTCGTACATTACCACTGGCCATGGTCGAGACCATCAGTTTGGGGAATCCCACCGGTAGGGCCCGTCGCATCACCGTCGTGGCGATGTTCGTGCCGCACGATCCGCCGATGCCTACGATGCCGTGGATGCGGTGCGCGTGGTAGAGTTCGGTGACTTGTACGGTGGCATATTCAGATACGGCGCCGATGTAGTCGGCCCGTGATAGGCGGGAGAGGGGGGGGTGGTAGAGAGGAGGCTGGATGGTGATGATGTTGGTGTTATTATTGCTCTCGTCATCGGTATTGCTAGTGGGTGTTGTGTTGGCACCCCGACCGACGTCGAGCAGAAGCACGGAGCAGACACCGAGTTGTTGAATCTGGCGCTGGATGAAGCACAGTTCGGACCCTTTGGAGTCGAGAGTACCGACAAGGAGGATGGTGGGCATTATAAATCTGTCTGGAGATTGTATGAGTATGGTAGGGACTATGCGTATAGATTATGGGAGAGAGTGGACGGGTGATTACGTTGAGCGGGGCTTTCGGTTGCTCGTGAACTTCAATCTTCTTTTCCTCAACTCCCCGGAATGCCTCGTCCAACCACTCGTCAGGAAGTCCTCGATCGCCTGCGCGAAACCATTGCGGATGGCTCCATCGTCGTGGGAGCTGGCGCGGGTATTTCTCTGCCCTCCGACCGACACGTAAATCTACTGGATACTGACATCTAACTAGGGATTGGCCTCTCAGCCAAGTTCATCGAAAAAGGCGGCGCCGATCTCATCCTCCTCTACAACTCAGGTCGATTCCGTATGGCTGGGCGAGGATCGCTGGCCGGTATGATGCCGTACTCGGACGCCAATCAGGTGGTGGTGGAAATGGTATATTGAACTTTCCCTTCCATCAAACAGATCCTCTCTAAGCATCCGATCAGGCCAACGAAGTCCTACCTATCGTCGAAAACACCCCCGTGCTGGCCGGCGTGTGCGGTACCGACCCTTTCCGTAGCATGCCCGAATTTTTACGAGAACTGCGTCGCATCGGGTTCGTGGGCGTGCAGAATTTCCCCACCGTCGGACTCATCGACGGCAAGTTCCGCCAAAACCTCGAAGAGACGGGCATGGGCTACGATCGCGAGGTCGAGATGATCCGTCTGGCCCATGAAATGGACCTGGTCACCACACCATACGTGTTCACCGTCGACGAAGGACAGCGTATGGCTCGCGCTGGCGCCGACGTCATTGTCGTGCATGTGGGACTGACCACGTCAGGCACGATCGGTGCCCAAACCGCCATGTCGCTGGATGACTGCGTGTCTGTCATCCAGGAGATTCGTGACGCCGTGGTGCAGATCCGACCGGAGGTGATCGTGCTCTGCCACGGCGGTCCGCTGGCGGGACCCGAGGATGCGGAATACGTGCTGAAGAGGACCAAGGGGGTACATGGGTTCTTCGGAGCGAGCAGCATGGAACGATTGCCGGTGGAGATGGCTCTGCAGGAGAATGCGAGACGATTCAAGCAGATCCAGATTGACGGTCTGTAAAGTAAAATTCCTAGGGCTAGGTCTGTCCCAATTGGGCAATTATCCGGCGGGGTGATCTATAAAACGTCAACAATTCAAATCTAGTTGTTGTCTTCTCTCTTTCCAGTACTCCGTATCGTAGACAGATCCGATCGCATCATGTCGCGTCCCCTCGAAGGCAAATTCGGCATCATCACCGGTGGTTCTCGCGGTAAAGCTCACTCCTTGTCAATTCTCCCCCGTTCCCCTAGTCCCCCAAGCTCATTCCCATCCCAGGCATTGGTGAAGCCATCGCACGCAATCTGGCCGAAAAAGGCTGTTCTCTACTGTTGAACTTTACTTCGGAATCGTCGCGCGCCCGCACCGAAGAACTCTGCATCGCCCTGGCGAGCGCACACTCAATCCGGTGCGAGAGCGTGCAAGCAAACCTGAACCACCCCGAAAGCGCCACGACCACCATCCTCTTAGCAGCCAAAGAGCATTTCACCAGCGCGACGGGCGCCTTCCAGATCGACATCCTGATCAACAACGCAGGGGTCTCGCAGGATCGACTTCTCAACGACCCAGTATCAGGACCCATCGACCCAGCCACCTTCACCTGGCACTACAATATCAATGTGCTTGCTCCTCTACTCCTCACCCAAGCCTGCGCGCCCTTCCTCCCCTCCAATCCGACCCGGTCTGGACGCATCGTTAACATCTCCAGCGTCAGCTCCAGCATGGGCTTCGAAGGCCAGACCGTCTATGGCGGTACCAAGGCCGCTCTCGAGGCCATGACTCGTACCTGGGCCCGTGAACTCGCCTCCCGGGCGACCGTTAACGCAATCAATCCCGGCCCCGTCATCGGTGACATGTACTTCCAGACCGGTGAGGGGTTCTGGAACCAGATCCAGGGGTTCCAGGATAATACGCCCCTGAGTCAATTGATAGATGATGATCCCCAGCTCCAGGCTCTCTCGCCGGAGCAGATCCGCTTGTTTAAGGACAAAATGGGCGGCCGGAGACCCGCCTTCACGGCGGAGATCGCTGGTGTCGTCGGAATGTTGTGTACAGCGGATGGGGGTTGGTGTACGGGTAGTGTGGTTTGTGCGAATGGAGGGATGAGAATGGGATGTTAATCATAGATATGATAATTATGATGATGATTGATTTGATCATTTGTCTGTAGATGGGTTTTTTGTTTGGTATCTTTTTTCATGATGGGACCACGTGAGAATACGTCATCGTCTCTCCTCTTCCTCTTCCTCTTCCATTCCTCCACGATTCTCCAATTATCTATCTATCATATCACTTTAGTAATTATTAACTGCTTTATCGGACAAATATAAAACGAGTAAAATAGAAATGACCCGTTTCCTCCCTCGTCTCCTCCGTCTTCGTCTTCGCGCCCCCATCCGATTCCCCCATCATCTCTTACTCTCCCGAACCCTATCATCATTCCGGCCACTTCCAGTTGCACGCGTCCCCTTACAGTGTCATTTCCGTGTCAACCGGCCGTCTTACTCAACAAACACCTTTGGAAAAAGTGAAAGTGATCTCATCGTGGATGAACTTGAGGAATTGTTTGTTCTCCTTGTTCCCAATTCCTTATCGAATCACTAGCCTGCCCTACCGGGGAAAAAAAAAACAAAGAGAAAGAGAGAGAACTAAAAGAAGTAGATACGAAACCGCCAAAGACGAATTTGAAATCGCAACGGAGAGCACAGATAGCGCAACGATCTACGCGGCATCAGACCGGGAAAGTGCGCGCGAAGCCCTGAATCAACTCTTGATTGTTTTTCAACTCTACACACAGGACCCGGCCGAGACGCTAGAACAGAGTCAGAAACAGGAGGATGAGATCCGGGAGGACATCGGCAACGATAACACCGAAATGCACGAAGAAAGTCGCCTCGTCGAGACGAGTTTCGACCCGTGGACGGTGCGTCCCGAGGTCAGGGTAGAGGTGAGAAGGAGAGTGGCGCAGCGGGTGAGGGAGTTGAAGAATGCGGTTGAATTGTTAGAGGAAAGGGCGTCAGCAGATTGATTATATTATAGGGCGTTATTCTTCTATAGGAGTTTTTTTTCCATAGGTTCTATTTACTATACGTCGATTTTGAACTCAAAGACTGTGGTTCTGTCCTGTATCGTATTATCATAGGTATCAATCCCGTTACTAATTACTATGTACTATGTATTATACATACAATAACTGTCGTCAAAATCATGATTCATATCCAACCGCTCATCAACAAGGTATAATATTCTCCCGTCTACGCCACCCTGCCGAATGAGAGCTCAAAGTTCTCCGTCATCGGCGACATGGTCGATCGGTCGTCCTTATGGGTCGACTTCATGTGCCGTTTCAATTGGTCTGCACCACGTCAGTATGTACCTCAAATCATCCAGTGGGGACGGGCTGACCAGGTCGGGTAAAGCTCTTGTTGCACCCCGGATATAGACACTTGTGTCGCCGCACCCCATGTGCTATCAGCCGTTAGTATCAGATCACCCACACAAAGAACATCGGCCTACTTAATCGGTGACTGGACATGTTCGATGACTGCGACGGTTAGTATCTTTTCTTCTAATAACCGGATACAGAACTTACATCGCCGGTCTGGAAGTTACATCCAGGGTAAGTGCACTTGAACGGCTTCTCGCCGGTGTGCGTCCGCGAATGAGTTTCTGCTCCTGTCAGCACGGGTTCTACAACACAGATTCCAGTACACCTACTTAGTTCGCTGCTGTCCGTAAAGGATTTCCCACACTCTGAACACCTGTACGGCTTTTCGCCGCGATGGGACCGCTCATGTCGTTCCAGCGTGGCTTGTCGTGCAAAAAACTTGCCGCACACCGAGCACTTGAAGCTTTTGTCTGTTCAGGTCAGCTATATCCCCTGCCGCAAAGTCTGGAATCCCTACAGTTGCTGTGTGTCAGAAAATGGCCCTGGAGTTTCGACTTCTGCGAAAACGGTTCATCGGGCCGGTGGCACCCCTGCCAGCAGCAGTAGTACCCTGTCCCCTTGGCTCCGTCGACCGTAGCCATGTGTCGAGAGACGAGGTGCTCTTGCAGGGTGCGCGGATCCGGGAATGTTGCCCCGCAGGTGGTACTGATACCATTTAGTGTTGTCGCCCACCTGCAGATGTGCAATTCACGATCTATCGGGCTGTACTCCGGGCTGGTCAGCACGGACGAGGCCCCACCGTCCAGTGGAGGTGGTGTCTCGCCCGGACTCGACAGCAATTGCGAGCCGGCGCTGGACCGTGAATGACGCGAGTATGGATAGAAATGAGAGTAGGGGTGGGCGTGCGCATGCCCATGCGTACGGCATCGGTGATGTGACCGACAAGGCCCCCTTGAGGTGCTGCCATTCAGATGGGCCGGGCTCTTCATGAGGTCATTTGTGTTGAAATGGGGGATATGGAAACAGGCGAGCGAATCGGAAGCAGCGTTTTCGTTAAGCTTGTCTGAATGACTTGGACAACCCTGATCTTCGTGCACATGGAAATTTTGGCAGGCCAGCAGATCAGGACACATCCCCAGCATGTGGAAGACCTCTGCTGGATTCACCTCGTTCGGTAAAGGATAGGTTGGGTTGATTAGGTTGTCGTGAGTTTCCTTGGGGAAGTCATGGCAATGAAAATGAGGGGTATTTTGAGGATGATAATGGGGCATTGCAGCAGCATAGGGCTGAATAAAGTGTTCGGCGGAGGGCTGTGAAACCACTATTCCCGACGCAGGGTTCCCAGGTGCTTTGGGTAGCTCGTCCTCCTGCGTGGATTGCATAGCAGTTGAGGAGATCAAGTCATGGGATTCCAAGTTGAGAGGGCCTCCCAAGCCTAGTAATGACTCGAGACTGTGCTCTGTGCCAGGGGCTTCCTTGGTGAAGTCGCGAGAGCCAAAACACTGGTCATCAAAGCAGGCCGGGTCGGGGTCCTCACAATTCTTGTGATCGCAGGCATCATCGCAGTGCGCCGCAGAGCATGCGGTGGACTCATCACAGTCCACGAAGCCATCGCAGACTGACTGGCAATTCACGGAGCAGGTGTCGACTTCACAACAAGTTTCATCAACATGGCAGTGGTCGAGTGAGGCATGGTGTTCCTCGCCTGCGCAATTCCACTGTGATGATGGATTCGTCCCCTGCAGGTCTTCCGAGTTTTTCCCGTCCAGATGGAAAGCTTCCCAGTGGCACTCGAGGCAGAAATCGTCCTTTCTCGTGTGAGAAGCCATCGTTGGTCTGAAATATCCAGCCTACCAATGGTGTTGGACGTAGGGAAGGAAAGATCCCCTGATAACGGAGGAGAGTGGTAAGGCTCGTCAAAACAAAGCAATGAAGAGATTGCAGCGTGGTGGAGGCAACGAAAAAGCAAGAATAGGCGGGGTGCTACGGAGTCGCAGTTGCAGCAATCTGAAACCAGGCTCCGTCCTATCACCACAGAATGGTGTTAGTGCGAATCTTTGCCACGAGAGTTTGACTGACAGGAACAAAAAATACCACTAAGCGCAGCGAGATGCACAAAGAAGACTATCAATCAGGGCCAACGGACAGGACAAGGTGTGGAAAGATCGCCTGGAAGAGAAAAAGACCGGCGGTTTGGGGCATGAGGAATAGGCGATAAGGACCTTGGGAGCATAAGGCCAGTCCGTATAATATAAGTAAATAAGGCCGGGGATTAGTAACGAAGAGCCTTGCGCGAAGAGCTGGGCGTGTAAGTTCTCGAATGCGTCAATTTCTCCCAAACTTTTTGGTTGACGATCCAACCCTCGAGGACCTTGCGGGCAAGGGAAGGACCTTGCGGGTTAGCGCTCAGTGGGTTCCGCCAATGACGATGCCTAGACTGTCAACGGGAGGAGTCCCGCTCCACGTGATTCTGCCTGCATAATCAGGCCCCGCGGTGGGGTAGCTGAGTCATCACTCATTTCCATTCTAGTAAAAAAAGTTAACTACTTACTGATTAGTTAACAGCTGCACGTATAGAATTGCATGAATATACAATATATGTCAATGTGACAGTCCAGCACAATATAGTCCAATGTCCAAAAGTAGATCGCACTAAGTTATATATAGTATAGTCCCTCGATGCATTTCAATAGCGTACCTGGTTACTCCATGCTCTGTAACCCAACATTGGAATGTGGGAGACCACGTGCTCCTCCACCGCCCTTTCTCCAGATCGTCATCCAGCTATCGTACCTATCGTCCGATCTCAACAATATCAATCGAATTATCCTATCTAAGTCTAACTTGCAAGGATAAAGTGTCTGCTTCTCCACGTATCAAACTCAAAATCCCCCTTACCTCCAGTCTGACCTTTATGGAAGATCTTTGACGATTTACTCATCAGTCTAATCCCCTTGAGCCTCTCTTCCGGCCAACCGCGCATAGACTCACCCCTTCCCCAGCATGGGAAACATCTGTTCTCGATCTAAAAACGAACCGGAACCTTTCTCACGTCCCGGTCGTCCTCTCGGCTCCAATCCTCCTCAATCAACTGGTGGTAACTCCTCCGGGCTGCGCGCCCCGCTCCCCTCGAAATCCAACTTCGGTACGCCGGGGAGGACCCTAGGGGATAGTTCCGAATCAGGTGGTAGGAATTTCGATGCACGCGCTAATGCTGCAATAGCAGCGCAGGTAAGCTGCTCACTCTCTAGAGATATTTAAACTTAAAATAAATAGACTCGGGGCATCCCGTTGACCAAGCTGACACTGGCTCAAATCTAGAAACGCGCCGAGTCCGCAACGACGGGGAAAGGGAAATTGGGCTCAAAATTGGCGGCGCAGAAGGCGCAAACCCAGGCTCAGACATTGAACGATGCTAGTCTCTCCGAGAGAGCTGCGAGGGACGCAGATAACGCAGCCGCCACTCGGAGGTGGGATTGATGTGCAGGGACGGATATCGATACCAAGCTTACTATTAGATGCCATTAGCCGGTAGTACATGCCTCTTTTTTCATTTTTCATTTTCTTTTCTTTCTTTCTTTCTTTCTTTCTTTCTTTCCTTTTTTTTTTTTTTTTTGATTCACTTGGGAGTTGAGGTTTATCGGGAAGTCTACAGATTCATTCTAGCGTTTTGTACCTCCTTTTATCATGGTTGGCCATAACTTGGCCGGTGTCCCATACTCAGCAGGCGGCGACGTCATAGGCATCAAGGTAATATTGTCATTCCGTCCTTGTATCTCTATCTAACCCACCTAATCGGTATTGAAGAATCTGGTATATTTTGGATTATGGTACAGATATATTTAGCTCCAGGTATGCCTTACACCACGTTATACCGTCCTCCCACGGGTGCCCGCGCGTCACTATCCACGGCAGCGATGGTTCCCTCTTTCAGCAAGCGCATGAGTTCACGCATGGCATTTGTAACCGACAGCTCCGTCTCGCCTTCAACAAGAATATACAGCTTGGGATTCTCGCCAGGACCTGGCTCCTTGCCAGTCGCATAGAAACTTCCCTTGGTCGTAATCGACGTGCCAGTAGCCTCGAGAATCTTGGCCACGTTGGTACGGTTGGTAACAGCCCACCGAGCCTTCTCTGTTTGATAATATCATTAATATATGCTGGGTCATGATAAACAAAACATAGTTGCAGGAGAGCAGAAAACAGAAAGGACAGCAAATAACTTACGAGGAAAGTCGTTAATCTCAAGCGTCGCATGGAAAGCTCCTGCATCAGGGCCGCGGTTGTCGATAGGCACTCCAGATCTCATCACACCAGCCCGGCTAAGGCGTGCATGAATGTCGGCAACTGCCGAGCCCACCTTGTCCAGTGGGTTCTTAGTTGTACCAGCAGGTTCCCTCTCAGTCTTATGCACAGTGATCTTACCATCGAGATCAATACCCTTAGGAACACCAGGGGTCGGGGTAGCAGAGGCGAACTGAGTCCCAGATAGCACCTTGTTGAATTGCTCTTCGGCCTGCTCATTCTTTTTCTCATCCTTCTCTTCTTCCTCCTCTCCCTCTTCGCCAGTCTTGTAAGTACGACGTTCCCGCATCCGGGCGGCGTCTCGTTCCTGATCCAACCGTTCCAGACCTTTTCCACCAAATCCAGAAGCACCAGCCTTCTCCTTTCCTGCACGCACCTTCTCCAAGAATGAGTCAACCAGCTTCTGCACGGGTTCCGGCACTTGCTGTCCACTTTGTTTAAGTGCTTTGGCAATATCAACCGAGTACCGCTCTTGGTCTTCCGTTAAGAAGGTTACTGCTGTTCCGGTATTTCCAGCCCGCCCAGTTCGGCCTGCACGATGGACATAATCTTCAAGGTGGTTAGGTGCGTCAAAATTCACAACAAGCTTTAGTTGCTTCACATCCAAACCACGCGCTGCAACTGAGGTGGCAATGAGGACGGGAAAGATGCCCGCCTTGAAATCCTCGATCGTAGAATCGCGGTCAATTTGATCTTTGCCCCCATGAATTGACATGCAAGGATAGCCTTTGCGCATCAGCTCGCGAAGAAGGGTGTCTGCGGCCTCTTGACGATCAACGAAGATCAATGCACGGGCATCTTCATTCTCTTCACTGGAGTACAGGTTACCCAGCAGCTCGAGGAGCCGCACAAACTTTTTGTCGTCATTTCGGACCTCCACAATCTGCGTGATTTCCGGCGCGACGACACTCTTGCCACCAACGACGATCTCGACGGGTTTGGATAATGTTTTGCGAGCAAGAGCTTCCATGTTTCGGGGGAAAGTGGCAGAAAAGAGCACAGTCTGGCGATCAGGTCGCACATTGGCCATGATCTTCATGACTTGGGGTTCAAACCCCATGTCAAACATGCGGTCAGCTTCATCCAGGACGACATATGTGACTCTACGTAGGTTTGTTACTCGGCCCGCATTGGCTGCAAGTAGGTCAATCATTCGCCCAGGAGTACAAACGATTATCTCAGCACCGCGCTTGAGTTCCGCGATTTGATCCTTAATAGGCGCTCCTCCATAGGCGCAAACGGCTCGGAGGTTCAAGGCTTTCAGAAACGGCTTGCAATCCTTGTGGATCTGAGTAGCCAGTTCACGGGTTGGCGTCATGATCAGCCCAACAGGCCCTTCCATATTTTCTAGCGGTCTTTGATCTTTGATGTGCCGGAACATAGGAATCAAGAAAGCAACTGTTTTACCGGACCCTGTCTTAGCCACACCGATCACATCACGACCAGACATGATCGCCGGTATAGCCTGTCCTTGGATTGAAGTAGGACTTTCATACCCTAGCCTATCAATCACATCCAAGGTCTGCACTCCCAAGCCACATTGGGACCACTTCTGCACCGGTTTCGGAACTTCCACTCCCCGGACCTTGATCCCATCAAACTCTAGTCGCAAATTGGCAACCTCTTCCTCGGACATTTGCGCCAAATCACTGGGTTCGGTGTAAAATTCCTTTCGGAATGGTTCATACTCGGCCTTCGCGTGGTCGACGGCAGGGATATCCTTCTTCTTTTTTGCCTTATTGGCTATGGCAAGAAAGTCGTCTGCATCGCCATCCCCGACGGCAGTCATGTCTACCTCATGCTCATCACCAAAGATAGCTTCGGGCTGCTGTTCCTTTGTTTTAGAGAATTTGGCACCCGCCATCTTCTTTGGAGGAGCAGTTTCGGCCAGCTCCGACATGAAAGCATCCAGAGGGTCAATCTCCTCTTCCTCCTGTACGTCAACCTCCATCTCGACGGAATCAGGCTGCTTTGGTAACCCATCATTAGGTTGGGTGTCGCCATTTGCCTGTTGCTCGTCATTCGTTTTCGTTTCAGTCATACGAGCTTCGTTTTGCAAACGCTCCTCTCGTCTTTCTGCCGCTGCCCGTGCCGCAGCAGCGTTTTCCTCCTCGGTCCCACCGTCTTGCATGTCGACATCATCGTCATCTTCTGCAGCCAATTCGGCCGGTCTATTAGCTTCTTTGGCATCATCCAATGGAGGGGTCGGCAATCTCTCCAATTTTCTCCTAGTCGACTCCTCTTCGCCAAACCCCAGAGTCTTGGTAGCGGAAGATTTTTCATTATCCGTGGCTTGCTTGCTACCCAAACCAAATCCACCTACATTGCCCTTCGTTTTCAAGGTTGCTGTGAATATATAGTTAGCCCCAGTCTTGGAATGAAATGGATGAGGGGTGATAATCATACATGAAGATGCACTTGTAGTAGCAGCAGGCTTGTTAGCTTGCACCTTAGTAGTGGTAGAAGTGGATGTCTTAGCCGGTAACGGAACAGGAACATCATTCCCCAATACAGATGGTGAAGTTTGAGATGGAGCTGCGCTCTTTGCGATGGCCTTCGGGTCAAACTTGCCGCCATAGGTAGCTGGAGCTGTATCTGCACCTGGAGTGGCAGGAGATTGAGGAGAACTGATAGCCGGCGATAAACCCGACTTTCTATCAATTTCTTCCAGGATGCTCCTTGCCCCACCGGCGGCAGCGGCTTCTCTCTGTTTTCGCTCTTTTTCTGCTGCCTGTTTTTGTTTCCACGCTTCCAGCTTCGCCAGCCTTTCAGCCCGCTTTTCGTCGTCGGTGGGGCCAGCGGGGGTCGTGGGTGTTGACAGTTTTGACGTCTGAAATTTCAGTTAGCGACGTCAGCAAAAAGATTTTTTTAAAATTAGCATTATGTAAAACTAAGCGGGAAGCGTACCTCTCTAGACCGCTGGAGCAAGTCCTTCCCCAGGTCCCGGCTATCATCCCGTCTAGACTTGTGCTTCAAGTCAGCAGAATCGTCTAACCGTCTCCGAGCCCGTTCGCGGGAGTCCTCTCGCCTGCTTCGGTAATCCCTCTCGCGGCTTCTACGACGATAGTCCCTATCATCATCTCTGTCTCTCGATCGACGACGGTCACGAGAACGATCCCTACGGCTGGGCCGGTAATTGTCTTCGTCACGATAATCATCGCGTCTATCTACCGAGCGGTCACGTCTCCGATATGAATCACGGTCGCGTTCGCGTTCACGTTCACGATATCGTCTCTGAATAGCAATAGATTGTTAGCTTTGGAAATACCGAATATTGGGCCACCCTGTCAGCAAACACGTACCTCAGGACTACGAGATCTTCGGTAACTCCTAGCGTCATCTCGCCTGCTCCTCTCATGGCGATCATCTTTGCGGCTTCGTCTGGATGAAGAATATGTGCTGCCTACAGGTGATGGTGAGCGAGTATCCCCGTGGCGAGCCATTGTTGCAGGCCAGCGATGAGTGAGTATTACTGAAAACTCAAAAGCACTCGATAAAGTGGAAAGGATAATAATGCGAAATGTTACCCTTCCATTGGACGCACAACTCCGTTGACTTGCAGAGAGTCAGTGTCGACTTCGTGGCCTGGGTAGCAGGGTGGAGTCCTCCAAGGTCAAGTCAAGGCCTTCGCTTTTGAGGCCCCGGACCTAATATCTCAGAGCCAAGTCTTGGGCCGCCTATCAGTCACGTGGTACTGACGCTAATAGCAACGCCTCTATATGTATGTATCACGTGGTAGCTTCTTCCCCTTTCGGGATATTCCAAATGATATGCCGTGACGCGACCCCAGCCTCCCGGATTCGTGTAAGCTCCTGCGGCCAAGCCCCTGCGAGACACCCAACAGCTGTAGTCCTTCTTTGCCTTGGTTGGCTGTGACTGATTCTAGTCCTTTGAGTACCTAGTTTGCATATCTTTGTATCCCATTCTTTATACCACCATGCCTTTTAATGTAGCTCCGGGCAGGGCTGTTCTTCGGAACCTTCGTCTCAATGCTTTCTCTCGTCCCATGCATGCGCCTTTGGCCCATTCTCAGGTCAGGCGCGTGTGTCTTGCGACGCATCGTGGCACTTTGAAACCCTTTTCTACGACTGTCCTTTCTTCCAGTCCCCTATTCCGACAACAAGTCAATGCCTATAGCACTGCCAGTGACAGCAGCAAGAAGAAGACAGCATCGAAGGCGGGGAAGGCTTCCAAGAAGACCACAGGCAAAAAGAAGGCCACGAAGCCAAAGGAGTTGTCAGAGAAGCAAAAGCTGACCCAGGAGAGACGAGAATTCAAGAAAACAATTGAAGCACTCAAAATAACTGCGTTAGAACCGCCGAAGAGACTCGTGGAAAATCTCTGGAACTTGGCTGTTCAAACTAAACTCAGTGAAACTAAAGGGGAATATAAGTCCGGAAAAGAAATATTCAAAGCAGCTACGGACCTTGCTAAGAATATAAGCCAAGAAGAGAAAGAGGTCTGTGCATCTCCTTTCAGGTCCAGCTCCGGAGAGATCTGACTATTACTCATTTTCCATAGAGTTTTGCAGCCACAGTGAAATCCAACAAAGAGGCCAACGAGGTTGCTTACAAGGAATGGATTAAATCACATCCAGCTGTCCAGGTTAGGGACGCCAACATTGCCAGGCGACGACTCGCCAGACTTACTGGTCGGATTTTCCCCCCTCTCCGAGATGATCGTTTGGTGAAGCGGCCTAGAAACGCCTTCTCGTTTTACATGAAGGAGAGATATGGAGGGGGCGATTTCAAACACATGACTGCCCCTGAAATGATTTCCCAGGCGAGACAAGAATGGCAAGGCATGACTAATATCGAAAAAGAGGTATGTCTATAGTTCTGATAATTATCGCGACCTCAACTCCATACCAGTGCAATACTGACTTATTTGCAATCAGAAATACGAGGAGCTTAAACGCAGTGATAAGGATCGCTATATCCGGGAATATCAGGAAGCCTACGGCGAGGAGCCCAAATTGGTCAAGAGGGAGCGAGAAAGCGCATAAAGGAGATCACATATTCATGGTTCCTTGTTTATGGCAATAGGAAGAGTGATGATGTTTCGTGCTCGTCATTTTGAATGAAGTTAAGGAAGGGCGTGTTGTCTTGCGAGTACCCGTATCGTTCTGTCATTTGTGCATTCTATTGCTTCTATTCTAGCACTGTTTTATTCTATGGCTATACTGTGCTGTTTATTTCGTTTCCGGTTGACAATAACCCAAGTATTGCAATCATCTGGCCCTTCTTGATGCTAATGTCATAAACCCTATGTTGGCAACGTGCCTAAAGTACAACCAATGTAATACACCCTATCAGTGCAGATTCCCGTTCTTCTCGTCCATTAGTTTAAGAGAAGGCTCAGTCCATAGACACATCCAGCTTGGTCAATATAACTAGCTAAAACCATGGAGAAGAAACGACGCTACTTGTATATTGGCTCATCAACAGAATATTTCCGATAAAGTCGAGTCAGGATAAACCTCGAGTGGATTTAATCGACAGTGCAATACTTAGTAGTACTGCCAATACTTTGACCTACGTCATATATGATGGGTGTTTACTGATATGCCTCATGCTAAAAGCAATATAGTCCCTCAAAGCGTATTGTCAATGAAGATCCCATCATACCTGCTTAAGAAGCTACTGAATCCAATCCAGATGGCGGGAAATGTCTGGCGGCTCGGCTGCATTGACCTTCCAAATGCAGGGGCATCACTTTTTGTAGTGCATGAAGAACTACACAGTACATACACTAGCTGTGATTATATTCAATATTCCAGGCCTTGCAGCAAGTCCAGGACCCATGAGTCATTCAGAGATCAACGGGGATGGAACTCGATTGCTGCTTTGTTGTTAATCTTCCACCGCCCCAGTCTGATCCAGAACTTCTGGGTCAGGTATTTTCGACATGAAACATGCTGTATAGCTTCCTCAGCGACTTGTACTCTGAAAATTTCTGCTCAGATCCCTACTCCGTAGAGCGGATGGCAATTCCGCCTGCATGTGCTCCGCAGCGGGGGACTGTGGTACAACCAAGTGAGCATCGGAAAATTCAGCCAGATGACCTGCTGTCAACAGGGCCAAAACAAAACAAAACAAAAATAGTAAAAAAAAATAATTAAACGGAATCGGACGATTCTCAGTGAGTAAGACGAAAATGGAGACTGGCCAGTGATGTAGTTATTGGGTCTAGAGTGAAAACACCCACTCTCATAGGCTCATGGGAAGTCCGCCTTCGATGCGGTGAAGAAGGACAGCGATCGAAGCACGCTCATTTATTACTGTTAGGAAGAATTAGTACATTTTGAATTTCCTATACCCGAGGTTCTCGCTGAATTTAGAAAAAAGAACAAGAATTGGCTGCCCGATGACAACCGTGGTCAGTGTTTCCGACTTTCGAGTCGAGTGACTGGAAAGAAGAAATAGCGGTCTTGCCTGCCTTGTGGCCTGAGTCACGATAGAATCCACTCGCTCACTCACACTCACCACCTTACGGAGTTACTAGTAGAGTAGGTAGTTCTTGCATTTTCTTTAATTCAAGACTTGTTTCCGCGTCGATTGTTTTAGTCCTCGATATCCTTTCTCTCGCCTGTTGACCCAAGGAACCAGGCTTTTTTTAGCTTCTTCTGACCAAGTATTTCCCTCTAGACCCCACTTAGATGGGACAACAAACACTGCACGTTTCTACTTCGATGACTACATCTGCTCACTCGTGAAAGGAACTGGAGTCTATCTATAAAATAATTATAGTACCTGGATTACATCAGGGTACAATTACAACTCCTTCCACCGTTTTGCCTTGCGTTCGCATCCATTCCAGTGAGAAGGAGGGGACGATCTTTATTGATAGGATTGACAATTCCTTCCCAACCAGTCGTTGTGCGCAATCTAGCCGTGTGAGTGGTTTGTGCCTGCGTGACTGCCATCGCTCATTGCTCTCTCTTGGCCTCCTCAATTGTTATCGGTCTTGCGCCAATCCCACTTTAGATCTGTGGTGTTTTCTTCCCAGTCCACTAGGCTTCGTTGGTTCCCCAGCCACCGTTTTACTTGTGCTTCTCGGGGAATCAATCATATCATCCTCCCGAAGATTCCTTCGTGCTACCCCAATCAAAGGCACTGTGCTCGTTCTTTTTCAAGGTAGGTCCGGGAAAAAAAAAAAAAAAAAAAAAAAAAAAAAAAAAAAAAAAAAAAAAAAAAAAAAAAAAAAAAAAAAAAAAATTGTTCATCCAAACTCTCCTGTCTTGACTTTTTGCGCAACTGCTGACCTTTCCCATGTACGCGCCAGCCTAGTTCGCATTCCGAACTGTGTGCGTCGCATACCTCACTGTCCAATCCCATCCCCTCTCAGAACGATCCTCAGTAGCAGTATTACTCTCCTTTCGCAAATCTCTCCCACCGCCTCGTGGTCATGAACTCCATGACCCTTCTCTATACCCCTGTGGTTTCCTGTTGAAAATTTCCATCCATTCTTCCCCGGGAAACTTATGCTTTCAACTTTGCATCAAAAACACCGAGTGCCTCTTTCGTACTTCTTCCTCAGCTTCTCTCTCCGGTTTTGAACCTTTGCTTCCCGTGTCGCAAAGTTGAGTTCGTCGTGGTTTGAACGGCCTTCCGTCTTACTCCCTGTGATATTCTTTGACTTCAGTTGCTCTAGGGGAGGCTTTATTATTATTATTATTCTTCTTCTTATTATTATTCCTCTGTAAAGTGTTTTTTGACACCGATCCTCTGCCCACTTCTTTATAGTTGGCTATTGACCAACTACTTGAATCGACCACAGCATTTTCGCAGGTAGATAGTTGCTTGAATTGCGGCCGATGCACCCTCAGTGCCTATGCGCCTGACGTGGTCGTCTCGCTGACCTCCAGCCAACTGCCTACCCTGTTTTCAACTATGGCGTCTGTGTGCATGGCTCGCTACGATGAATTTACCCTCTCTTTCGAGGCCTCAAAGACGGGAAATGCCATGGTGAACCACAGATGGAATGTACGATACACTACAAAAAGCTGCTTTGCTGGGGGAAGCATATATAAAATGGGTCCCAATACCTATTCATACATGCTTGAGGTCTCTCCTAAGCAGAGAGTGGCAGATAAGGTATACACTTTAACAAAAAATGAAGAACTCGTATTGATGCTGATCAGATTCAATCCGGGCAGCAGATAAGCAACCAGTTAGGCCACCTGTACAAGGCGGCCCTATTTTCAGAAATAAATGTTGAAGGACTGGAGCCACAAAACTATGATGACCTACCTTCGTACGACGATGCCACTAGAGATCTACCTCCGGAATATTCTATTCTTTCGCCCTTGGCTCGGAGCAAGGTCTTGTTCAACGTTTCAGCGCCACGCGCAAGCAGCGGCTATTCAAAACCCAGGTCACCGTCCCATATCGTTGATATTGACAGTCCGTTTGGGATTCGAGAACATAAAGGTGGAAAGAAAAAGAAGAAGCCTGCACCACAACGGTCACCGACGCCACCGCCGAACAATGATGGCGATAAAAAGGACGACGGTGCAGAAGATGGCCAAAACGGCGGAGATGCTGGAAATGACGGGGCTGGGACTGGAGGCGAAGGAGGAGGCGATGGCGGTGATGGTGGCGATGATGGCGATGGTGGAGATGACGACTGGGGCGTATGGAATACAACTGGCAATAAAAAAAAGAGCAAAAAGAAGAAGGAGGAAGAGGAGGAACAAAAGCGGAAAGAAGAGGAGGAGCGTAAAGCTACTGAAGAGGAGGAGCAAAAAGCTGCCGAGGCCGCTGCTGCGGAGGGCAATAACAATCTTAGCTGGGCAGACGATATTGATGGAAACGGCGATGATTCGTGGGCCGGATTTGAAGTTGCCGGAAAGAAAAAGAAGAAGGGCAAGGTAACGTGTTCTGGACAGCGTCCGTATAGTTTGTTTCCTCACGTACTAACTATGCTATAGGGCGTCGAATTGGTAGAGACTGACCCTCCTTCAAATTCATTCCAAGATATCAGTTTGAATGATGGAGCACCACGAATAGATCTAAATCTTGGTCCTCCAGGAGGGAAGTCTGGGAGGACCGATCTCAGTTTTGGTTCATGGGGCAAAGGCTGGTCCACTGGAAATAAATGGGGGTTGGATTCTCTTGACAAAGGGAAGGTAGACAACAATCCTTGGTCACTAGGTAAACAGGACCCATCAAAAGCATCAGTTGGATTCGATTTTGGAAACTTCGGGGACTCTACTGGTGGCGAGGTGGCCACAGAAGAGCCAAAAGCCGAAGAGGAGGATTGGGGATTCACCGTCACTAGCAAGAAGGACAAGAAGAAGAAGAAGGAAGAAGAACCCCCAAAGGAGCCTGAACCAGCCCCAGCAGTAGACAACGCTTGGGGAGCGAGTCTTTCGAAGAAAGAGAAACGAAAAGCAAAGAAGGGAGTCGGTAAAACTGCAGAGGAACCGCCAGCGGCAGAGCCAGTCACAGAAGAACCAAAAAATAATAATGTTTGGGCAGCGGTCAATGATAAAAAGGAACCGGAGCCAGCCCCAGAGGCGGCCGACGATAATGATTGGGGCTTCACCACATTGGCGAAAAAGAAAGACAAGAAGAAGAATCTCCTAGTCGAGGACTCCGTTCCTGAACACCCTCCCGCGCCTGACCCGCCTGCCCCAGCTGAGGACGACTGGATGAGCGGTTGGACTTCCGGTAACAAAAAAAAGGACAAGAAGAGCAAGAAGAATGCAGTCATCGAAGATCCTGCACCCGTTGTTGAGGAACTCCCACCAGCCCCAGATCCACCAGTAGCAGAGCCTACTGCGGAGGAAAAGAAGGATGATGACGGGTGGGCAGGCTGGAATGTACCTACCAAGAAAGAAAAGAAGAAGAAAGGCAAGGTTGCCGAGCCTGAGCCTGAGCCTGAGCCTGAGCCTGAGCCTGAACCTGAACCTGAGCCCATCGCGGAACTAGAACCGGAACCTGAACCTGAACCGACACCGCCTACACTCCCAGATGACCCTCTTTATAACAACTGGGCAACTCTGAGCGGGAAAGACCGTAAGAAGAGGGAAAAGTCGCTAAGAAAGAAAGGTCTACCTGTTCCCGGCCAGGACTTCGAATGGCCACCCCCGCCGCCCCCAGAGCCCGTGGAGCCTGTCAAGGAACCTGTGCAGGAGCCGGAGCCCGAGATACTTCCAGAAGTGGTCCCGGAAGAGCCAGTGGAACCAGAACAATCTGTTGAAGATGATGGTTGGGGCATCTTGGCCACTTCGAAGGACAAGAAAAAGTCAAAGAAAAGCAAAATTCCGGAGGCACCCCCGCCACCTGCGCCTACTCCTCCCTCGCTGGCATTGACTCCCGAGCCGGAGGGAACATTCGCAATCGACGATATACTGGAGGAGCCGATGTTAGATGAGACACCTAAACCGTCTAAAAAGAAAGTGGAGGAAACTCCACCGAAAACAGTCAAGGGGGGATTCTGGTCGACCTTGGGGGCGGCTGCGATGGGAAAACCTAAAATGACTACAAAAAAGAAATCCGAGGAGAAGCCCAAACCCGTTGAAGAGCTGGACCCTACTCCAGCTGAGCCTGATTTGCTCATTGACATTGGTGATGAGCCTAAGGAAGCCGAAGCGCCTGTTGCGTCAGCTGAGCCTATTGTAGAAGAGCCATCCCCGCCAGCCGCGCTGCCAACTAAGACACCTGATGTCAGCACCAAGACCAAGTCATCAGGCAAACTGTCGGTAGCAGAGCGCATCAAGGCCCTGGAGCAGGCCAAGAAAGATAGACTGAATGAAAAGCCCGTCCGAAAATCTAAGACGAAAGAAGCTGCCGAGCCTCCTCCACAGGAGCTCGAGCCTGAGCCTGAGCCTGAGGTACTTGAAGAACAGAAATTTACACGAGACTCAGTGCCAGGAAGTTTCCCTGACGCATTTAACGACGATTTTGAAGAACCACTACCTGCTCCGGAGCCTGAGCCCGAACCTAAATTTGAGCTACCGCCGGAGCCTGAACCACCAACCTTGTCAAAGAAAGCCAAGAAGAAGGAAAAGAAAAAGGGGAAGACAGTTGAGCCGGAACCTAAGCCTGTTCCTGAACCTGCTCCCGAGCTGCCTAAGGAGCCTAAACCCGAAGTCGAGCCTGCCAAGTCAGATCCCCAGCCTGAGCCTGAGCCGGCGCCACTGTCCAAGACTGAGAAAAAGAAGAAAAAGGGCAAGATAGTTGAACCAGCGCCAGAACCAGAGCCGGAGCCAGAGCCGGAGCCAGAGCCAGCCCCTGTGGGTGTGCCTCAACCGGAGCCGGAAAAGTCTAAGAAGAAGAGCAAGAAAAGCGCACCCTCGAAAGGAGCTATGGCTTACATGGATGAGTCACCGGCGGATGCCCCCATTGCTGATCCTCTGGACGCAGATGCTGGCGGCCCCCCGACGCCACCACCTGAGCCGGCTGCGCCTGAAAAATCGGCCAGGAAGGAGCGTGCTCGTGTCGAGCGGACAGCAGGTGCTGCTTCCTGGGCTTTCTGGGGAGCTACAGCCCCGCCAAGGAAGTCTGGCCACAGGGAGTCTGGCCACAAGGAGTCCAGGCATAAGGGGGAACAATCTCCAGAGATTGCCAGGTCAAAATCGACGAAACACTCGAGACCCCGAGATCCTGAGAACGATATGGAGAAATCGTCTGCATCTGAAAAGGACCGACGCAGAGAGGTAAAACACAGCCGAGGCATGGCCTTTTCCAATTTCATTCTTGGGGCGGCGGCTCCTCCACCTTCACGGACAAAATCTGGTCGACGGAATGGTCCGTCTGCGTCCAGGCCTACCTCCAGACGCCCGTCGATGGATATGAATGATGGTGGCTTCCCTTCGCCGCCGCTACAAGATCGACATGATTTGCCTGATAAGGCAGCAAGAATGATGGGAGTGTCAGGAATAAAGAGGGAAAGGTCGCGTGGGATACGGACCAAATCTGGTAAGGGTGGCAACGTACTGCATATTGTTGAGACATTACTGATTGAAAACGCCTAGGTAATCGTGATCCCTATGCCCTTGAAGATGAGGATATGGTTATGGTGGACCGGGACGATACTGAGGCCCATTCACCGAAAACACGCTCCAGAGGATCAAGGCATTCCGGGAAGAGGTCCAGGCGACAGGTAAGAGAGAATCCAAAATCGGATTGAGTTTGGAGAACGAGTGCATAAGGCTGATCTTGAATATCTCCAGTCGAGATCGAGACCAGAAGAGCTCCAGGAAGATGCGGTCATGGTTGATGCCGACCAAGTCCAACAAGGACCCGATGTCTTTTCCGGGCCTGATGATATTGCGTTTGTTGGAACTCCACCAAAGGAACAGCGCCTCAAACGATCGAGTACTGTTACAAAGAAATCTGAAACGGGTGGCTTCATGGGGTTGATCGGCTCGTTGCGAAGAAATACTCGCCCAGAGCCTCCCGAACGCCGAAAGTCCCGATCACGTCGTGATGAGGATGCAAAGTGCATGACGGAACCAGAACGAGACGAGGCTCGACGTCTGCGACGCGAGGAACGAAAGAAACGCTCCGGCCGACTGGATTATGAGGCCGAAGGCTTCGTCACCGATGCTGGCCCGGCAGAAGGAATACCCAAGATGGAAGCGGAGGCTGCGGAGGCCAGGAGAGCGGAGCGCAGAGCACGACGTGCTTCGAGACAGGTTGATTCGGAGAAAATTCAGGAAGGTGAACTTCGGGAGGCGGAAGAGCGACGCGCTAAGCGAAAAGAGAAGCAAATGGCTCGCGAGCGGGAGATGCAGGAAAGGCAGGTTCGCGAAGAAGAAGGACGAGAGCAAAGACGCCAAGAAGAGAAGATGGCACGTAGGGCTGCCCGCGAAGAGCGTCGTGCTCGTGAAGAGCAGGAGGCCAGGGAGGCACAAGCCCGCGCCGAAGCCAAATCTGCAGAGCGACGTGAGCGAAGAAGGCAGAGAGAAGCAGAAATGCATGAAAATACCAAATCCAGGCGATACTCGTACGTGGATGAACGCACTGCTCGGGATTTTTACGTCGAAGACCCTTACGCAGACCAGGGGCGTGGCGCTAATCGAGCTGGAGATGACGGAGAGAGGTCCCGACGTCGAAGATCCAGGGCCCCCGACATGGCCAGAGACCCGCCAATGATGATGATGTCTGGGGGCCGAAAGGATAAGATCTCATCTTGGGTAGATTCACAAACAGCAGAACCGCCAGAACCGCCGCCGCTGGTGCCAACCGTGCTGGACGAGCCACCAGGTCCTGGAGAGCCGATCAACGCACACTCCGTGTCATCGGATGAGGAGGCTCGTCGGGACCTTCGTCGTCGAGCTCGACGACGAGCACGGTACCCGGGACTGAACGACGAGGAAATCAACGACCTAAGAGACAGGAAAAGGGAGGCGCGCCGGGCTGAACGGGATGGACTTAAAAGTAGCTCTGGCAGTGGAGACTACGAGCGCGATCGTGGCATGAAATACGACCGATACGCTGCGCCACCCAGTTCTGGCGCAAAGATACCCAACTGGTTCAAGAAATTGACCAGTTTGTAACGCAGGGTATTATATACCTATATATGATTTGGAATTGCCTGATGATTGAAATGATGAAATGACAGCGTCAATGTCTTTTTGGATTATGAAAAGATTATGTTTGTTTATTTGTTTGGATGGACTGACGATTCAGCCCGATTTGGGCCAATTGGGAATACAGAAACCATATATGTACGACTAGCACCGACAGCTGTGTTACTCTCTGCTCAATAATATGGCAGTTCAATTGATGACCGTGATTTCACATATCTATACCTATCTACGATAATGCAAATCCGTGACGACGAGAGGGTAGAATACAGAGTATATATGCCGTTGCCTATTAGACATACGAACCAGATGTCAGAGAGTTAGTATCGTAACAGGACCGACGTAGATTCCAAACAATGCATTGGATGAATCTAAGATAAAACACAAGATGACAGCCCCGCAAAAGCAGACGGACAATTCGAGGGCTTGTGAAGCTACAACAGACTTCATAGTTAACTAGTTAGTTATCATGATATCTTATCTAATCGGCTATCGATAGTTTGTACACCATCACGTGCGACAGGTGCCCTAATGCCCCCATTAGGGCACAGCCAAGGATATAGAATAGAGCTGACGGGAGGGAAAGGAAAGGAAAAACTCAAGGAACAAAATACACAGGTCAAGTTCAGAGCATACGGAGGTTCAAGTAAAGCCAGATCAAGAAAGACTCAAGTCATATCCCGCAACTCTCTAGTTGTCACTGGAATGAGACGGACATATTAACAGTCAGATACAAAATTTTCCCTCCCTACGCCGTTTAAGGTTCATGCATGCAATTCCCAGAATCCCCAAGTTTCGGATAAAATATCATCAGTCGCCCGGTGTCGTCGCCATTCCTCCTCTATTTGGCGGTTTCACCCGGCATCAGGTTGCCCTTGACGGCAAACATCTTCCCAGTTGTGGCGGAGACGAAGCTATCGACTTGGCGCGCGTACTGCTCCACCTGTCGGCTGTTTAGCATGGTCTCCAGACGACTGGGCTCCTGAGGCAGCTTGAACAGTCGCTGCCATTCGTCCTCGGGGAGAAGAGGCTGTTTGAGGGCCGCGCGGCTGGCGTTCTCCGACTTGCGCTTGTTCTGCCAATTCGTGATCTTGCTCTGCTCGCGAGCAAGCGACCGCTGGTAGTACTGGTAGTTGTTGGTCTCGGTGTGGTGGACCTCAATGCTGTCCAGAAGAAGGTCGCAGTTCTTCTCGAGGAACGGGTCGATGCTGAGGGACAGGTTATCGTAGTTGGGCGCCAAGAGGTTGTCCTTGACGAAGGGTCCAGATTCCAGGGCGGCAAGAGACGGGGGAAGATCCGTGGGAGCCGACTGGCTGGGGCACTGGAGCTGATGGATGAAAGACGTGATCAGGTGAGAGTTGTGGATTTGTACCGGGAGTTCAACGAAGATGTCCTGGAATCTCAAGTTGGACTTTTGCAGCCTGTATAACATTAGCATGCGGGCCCGAATCTCAACAACTGGCAGAGACAAAAGAACGTAAAATTCCCAAATAGTACGGGTGAAAGCACATGGGCAAGAACATACTCATCAGAGGTAAACTTGTTCTCCTTGAAGGCAGCCATGAACTTGGGGGACAAGCGGAATGCCCTCAGGCTTAGGCTTCCCTGGGCACTGCGGCTGACGTCGTGCACAAGGGCAACTGTCCGCTCGTTCATCTCTTTCTGATAAAAGAACTGGTTTTCGATCACGTTCATGTTGACAAAGTTGCCCATGTTGGCACTGGTGTACCAACCGACGTTGTTGGCATCAACGTTGACCTCCCGAAGCATGCGAATCATTTCGGCCTGGTAGACAGTGTTGGCCTTTGCGCGAGGGGCGGCGGCAGCCGGATTGGCCGCAGCGTTTTCAAAGTGCGACTCCGGGGGAACTTCAATGACGGGGAAAGGGAAGCAATTTGTGATCTCGAGGACACCGTCCGAGTCCATACCAACGATCGAACCGGTCGCAGTCGTCGGGAAAGTCTGAGAGCAGTGCTTGATGATTTTCATCACCACCTACACGCGAAATTATATCAGTCTTACTATGGCTCGCAAAAATGGCGGGGGGGGTGACGAGGTTTTTATGGGCCAGAAAGAACATACCAAGGCCTCGACCTTGACGGCCGTAAGGGGAACTTCTTTCCTGTTGACTGAATTAGTGACAAAAACCATTGGAATAATCTCCAGATAGCAGTAAGGGCACTTACTCCGCCATGTTGAGTGCAGCAGCGCCAGGGATGCGTTTGACGGCGACGATGGATTGGCACTTGGGAGGTTTGTGTGGATGGATTTGATCAATTTCCCACCGCCTAATTCCCTATCGGGTTAGTCTGCCAAGCCCTTCGAGTTGACAATCACGTTTTTCCTCTTTCGGCCTCCCCCGAATCTCCAGCAATTCTATTCCTCGAGCTGGAATCAAACGGGCCTTTTCCTTCATTACGTGCCTATCTCCGGATGTGCCTGGGTAGTATCCGGTTCTGGTGGCAGGCTGTGATTGTGTTGGTTGTGCAGACCCATACATTTCTACCTGAAGAATCTGGATATCTAAACTCCATCTTAATGGCGACTAGTCCGGAACCCCTCCGGTCCCATGTATAACTAGTACACATGACACTCTCTTGTCCTCGCGCTCCTGTCCAGACCTCCAGTCTATTTCCACAACCATCCATGTCAGACTTTGTGAACAATGCTCACTGAAACGCTTCACTATGGCCAGGACCATGTCCTTCAGAGCGTCACCATCACCACCCTACCCCAGACCAGGGACACAGGCTATTGGGTGATGTATGTACTTCTCCTCAACCCCGCGGTTGTCACCCGTCCGGTCCTTCTGCTAATATAACATACATTCAGCCTCATACACGGTGGCGCCTGGAGAGATCCCAACCAAACCGCGACCAGATACCTCAGCGGTGCCGCATCCATCCTCACCACCTCACCCATCTACACCTCCACCACTCTGCCTCGCATTGCTGCCTTCGCATCAATCGACTACCGCCTCAGTCCTCATCCCAACCACCCACAGGACCGATCCACCACCAATCCTAGGGAATTTCGCGAAGCCAAACACCCCGACCACATCCACGATGTGCAACGCGCCCTCGCCTTCTTGCAGCAGAAGTATGGGTTCGGAGAGAGATATATCCTCGTCGGACACAGTTGCGGTGCGACGTTGGCGTTCCAGTCGGTCATGGGGTTGTTTCGGAGCACCGACAGTGGAGGTTTAAGTTCTCCATCTCCGACGGCTATCCTGGGTATGGCGGGAATCTATGATATCAGACTCCTCAGGGATACTTACCAGGGTATATCTATTTATCAGCAGTTCCTCGAGGAAGCTTTTGGCTCGGATGAGTCTGTCTGGGATGCCGTGTCTCCCGCTCTGGTAGAGGGGCCGAGCGGGGTCGAGGGCGGATGGAATGCGGGAAGACTGGCCGTTCTGGCTCACTCATCCGAGGATAGACTTGTCGATTTGAAGCAGAGAGATGTCATGAGACAAGCTCTTGCTTCATGGGAGAAGGGGCACCCCCGGAAGGACAGTACGAGAGTTGAAATACTCTCGATCAAGGGTGATCATAATGATTCCTGGGAGAAAGGGGATGAACTGGCGAGAGCGATCGCTTTTACGCTTGGAAAGCTAGATGATGAATGAGCGACGTTGCGAAGACTGCTACATTGGTTTAGACCCGTTATCACCTAGCCGTTCTAGCTATGCCTAATGTAAATAACTGCAATGCAAATGAGACGATTCCATGAGTACCACAAGAAGAGACTGAAACAATTTACCTATGTTAGATTTGGGCCCTGACTTCAATCTGAAAAAGACAAGAGCAGGGAATATATAACTAGTTCACATCAGAAGAACAGAAAAAACAGACCCGCCATTTCACAACTTCCAACGCCCACCAGTGCTCGTGATCTGAAATACACAGTATGTGAAATTGAAGCATGAGGATCCGTCATACGCCGGGTATTGCGGAAAACCGTGAGCCAGAAAAAGAAAAGGAGACAGATCGTAACTAAAGGAAAAGAGAATGTAGAATCATAGTCCACTTCAGCGCCGCCCACTACAGAGTAGCACGTGAGAAGAAGCCTATACAATTTATGCAAGGTAAAATGCGAGGATAGATCGGGCTATTGTGCAAAATGGGGTGGGTATTGCAAAATTAGAGGAAGACACCAGAGGAAAAAGATGTGTTTCTCAGTTACCCAGGTCCATACGGCCAGAGGCGGCATCACCAAGAGACTTCTCTTCCTTAGCCTCAACAGCCTGTTCTTCGTCCTCGTCATCATCCTCCAGCTCCTCCTCCTCCTCCGTGTCTTCGGCGTACTTAATTTCTATGCCAGCTTCACGAAGACAAGCCTTTTTCTCCTCGCGATATTGATCTTGCCAGCGCGCAAGTGCGGCGGTAGCATGGACTCTGAACCCATAAATACGAGGCTCATAACGGCGGACACTCTTCTCTGGAATCAGAGCGGGATATACCTGGAAGAGCATGCTGTGAAAAGAAGTACCAAAATAGGCACCGTCGATAGCAGCATGACGAGACGATTTAGGATTGTAGATATCCTCGCACTTGGCGCAGTAAAGACGGACAGTGCTCATATTAGGAATGTCGTGCTGGCCCATCGGAAGCAGGGGGTGTCCTTCGCACACGACGCGGGGGCATTTTCCAAAGTCGCCCCTCTTGTACTTGTCGACCTAGCTATGAGTCAGTAGACGTGGCCCACGGCGTTTCGCTTCGCTACACACCATTTTAGAAAGGCCACGAGTGGTGATGATATATCTTGCATGTACCAGTCCGTAGAGATGACGTGCCGATTTTTCGATTTGCTCGCGCAGGTCGTCGTCCGCATCCAGGTCGAACACATCGGTCACCAGATCCAAAGCATACTGATAATATGGAACCTCGGTATTCAATCCAGTAAGATTGAAGCGATCGGTTAAGTATTCTTCATCGATCTCGCAGAAATACTCGTTCCCACGGGAAGAAATGAACTGTTTGCGCCAATTAGGGATTTGCATCAGTCTCGGAAGTATCACTTCAAATGGGAATCTATAAGTAGGATTGGGAGGGGAAGGAACGCGTGAAAAGCAAGGATCGGAAGTGGTTTCGGTCCCATCGGTTGAATGTGCAGCATCCACCGATAATTCGGGCACAGCAGGGGGAGGCCTGAGGCGCCGAATAGCACATGCAACAGTGGATGGAGTAATAGGACGCGGGGAGTGATCCATCTTGAATCCAAACAGTGGTCGAGGCGACGGCCGCGAGCGGCTCAAGGGAGGAAATGAGTGTGAAGAAGAAAGGGAGATAAGTCCAAGTCCCAGAGATTCTTTGTTTTGAGCCTCGTTTCCTTTTCACCCAGCCGCAATCGCATCGTCAAGTGCAACCCACGCTCCTTCCCCCAGTTTTTACTCACGACGCAGGCGCGGCAGGATCGATGGATGAAAAATGAAAAGTGAACTTACCCAATCCTTCCAGTAACTGGTGTAGTCACTGTCAGTCTCACTATTAAAATCCTCCATCATGATCTCAGGTATATCCAAGACAAGAGAGAAGAAGTGTCTGGAGGTAAGATTATTTCTTTGCTTTGCCTGTAGCAGTTGCTAAGCGAAAATGGGGTCAGACCATCCCAGAGCAGGAGAGTCCCCGGAACTGCACAGCTGGAATAATCTCCCTCAGAGCATTCAACAGCCACGAGTCACGGAAAATAGGAAAGTGTGCTCGGTTTCACAGACGATGAGGATGCCCAAGTGATTGAAGTGTGTGTTTCTTCTCCAGTCCATCCGCCTGTTATCAGTGGACCTCCCTGTTGCAGTTTAGCGCGGGGTTGGCGGTGACTTTGGGTCGTGCATTTCTCACCGCCTTGTTTGATGGCTCTTTGTTATTTTGGCACTTGCAGTGGTTTAGAGCTATAAAGAATTCTGTCTCCAGAGCTGGTCTGCATCCTTAGGAGTTATACTAAGTATATACCATGGCTTACTCACATATGATCGAATAATCTTGTCAAGTTCCTTAACAGCCTACGTTATCCACGGCTCTACCATACGTCTGTCTGGCTACTATGTAAATATTTCGTTCACCTCACGAATCCAACTAAGTCGAAACAATAGCTTAGATTCTCTACTGGATATCGTCTTACAGAGGTGGGTTAGCACTATCCACCTGCTGCTCAAGGTAGGACTGCAAATCCAATATTAGCAATACAGGATCCCATCGTTCGTTAGACAGTCAATGGCAACTTACCTGGAGCCAGATACCAGCCTCTGGAGCAGGCTGCAGGGTAGAACCCAGACCACAGTGGGCATCGTATCGTTTTGCAGAAGTGTCAGATGTACCGTCACTCTCCTCACTCGACTTGACCCGGACGAATGCATCTACCAATTCATCTCCTGTGTCTGTTGTTGGGCGGGCTCCGAACCCTGTTCCTTTGACATTACACCAGTCACCCCATTCATTTTGACCTGTGGGTTGCTTTCCATTCCGTCCTGAAGATGCAGGTTAGATGAGTTATCACAGAAAATGGCAACCATGGAATATGTGTTCCAGTGTCAACAATGAACTGAGCATCGAATCCGACGCTTGTTCACTGTGAAGCCAACTTGTTGATATAACTCTTTTCGTCACAAACATCATTCCCCGAGGTGTAAGACGGGCAAGACTCAATATATCGGGCATTGTAGTTGGCCACATTAGTTGTCAGACCGCGAATAGTGGCAGGTGAAGCTGCGTTCTTGTAAACAGGGACGTATAGCTAGTTGCTGGGTCGATGTTCGCAGGCCATCCCTGCCATTCGGCGTGGCCTGGTGTTAAAGTTAGCTATAATATTAAGTACACCGGGGAAGTTTAAAATGATGTTTCCGTACCAGCTTCAAGATACATTGCGACATTGGGTAGGTTCAATTGCGCCAGCGCGTAATTAGTTCATCCTAGGTACGCCCCCTTGGGATTAGCACATTTAGGTATAGATCCATGCAACTCAGGGATTTGGGGTATGCACCTGGTATCTGAAATAATCACTATCATGACAATCGTCCCCTTTTGAACTTTTCGGTTACGGAGAGTTCGTCTTGACTCGTTGGCTATCTTCAGCACAAACAAATACAACTTCCTTATTTGGACGGGAATCGGAGCACTGCATCTGTTCTGAATTCCAGCTTTAGTCCATGCATGATACCTCGTTTAGACGAATCTCACCATGCGTCTCCTTTTTTCTTCTGGCAATCGGGACGTAGTTTACAAAGGGTGGAAGATGAAGAAACTGGTATAATTGGATGCAGCTGTCGTTGAAGTCCTCAAATATAGACTGTGACAGCTAGGCATCTCTTAAAGATATGTCCACTAGGGGATAATACAACTGTCAGACAGGTTTCATCTATTCGTTATGCATATTGTGTCGACATGTGGGCTTCGGGGGCTCTTCTACCGGTCATTTCCTCTACCGTGGCCTTTCTGCTGCGAGTACAATTGTTTCTCCATCTGTTCCTCGGACGAGCTCACTTTAGCCTGCTGGAACCCCAGGAGGCAATCCCTTCGCTGGTTATAAGCAATCTGTGAGCCCTTACTACAAGTCTGAAGTTGAAAGTCTAGCAATTCCATCCATGACTGCCGACTGCCCCACGGGCTGAGCAGGCAAGGGCTACAGCTGATCTCCATCTTTCCATTGGCTGTACGTGCTGCATAGCTACCGTAGTATGTGCACGGTTTAACTCGGCTGATAATTACATTGGTGAGTCCCCTTGAGTATGGGAATAATCCTGGATGTGTTCTCTAACGTCTCGTAGAACCTGACAGTCTGGCCAATACTAACATGAATGTTTGTTCTTTTCTGGGCATTTTTATTGAGCCGAGTAGGCAATTGCCGTGGATAATATCCCGGAGTTGCAGGAAGACAGTCAAGAATACTAAGGGTCCATAGGAATACCAAGAACCGAAATGGAGCTACGATACACCCGCTAAAGGCCGACGCATTGACAGACTGATAGACCCATGACCATAGCGACAGTTTATTAAAGGATTGTGAAGATACAAGGTCGGATATACTACTGGGGAAAGAAATACCTCGCATCCAAACCAACTTCGTTTCATCTATAGGGCTGAATTGCTCAAGTTGTCGCGGAGTTTCTCCCTTACAGGCTCCTCCAAGCTAATGATTGTCCTTTGGATCGCACCCTAACCTGGGCTCAAGTTATTTTTGTAATGATAACTATTGGAGTTTCATGGAAGCTCTACGCTGAAGACATCGAATGACGATGTCTTCAGTAGGCTATGGTTTAATAGCCCTGGTTTGATTCAATATGGTGCAATAATTCCATTGTTCAACGCTAACAAAGAAATTTTTTTTTTTTTTTTCCTCTCCTTTTCTTGATAAGTTCCGTGTGGTATCAACGGAGTCCTATTTCATCTTACATGTATGGATGATGCATGTAGATAATACAAAAGAAAAAAAAAAAAAATGAATGGAGATGACTGAGGAAGTCCCTGTAAACAACTCCAGTCAGGCTAATGGTGTAGAACTGCAAGGTCACACTCCGCCAAAAATCGTTGAATTCCTTCTACTCCATCGTATTCGGAGGAGCTCTCCGGAAAACCGGCGCTTGAGATTTCAGGGAAGAGTGCACGATCACCAAGTTCACTGATGTTGATGCTAGAATACCCAGATGAAGATGATATCCATGGGTTCTCTGCAAAAAGCGTGACATCCTCAAAACTTATTTGATTTCCCGATTTCCCAAGGCACCTAGATCCTGGTGATGTTGCAGGTTTGTTTTCCGGGGACATCATAGCTTGCCAGTCAACTTCCTCCGGCATCTCTCGCCCTGAAAGTTCCTTCCGGTAGAAATATTCCTCCATTTCGGGAGATGGAGGAACACTGGGTGCAAAAGGGTAAAGTAGAGCAATATCGGCACCTACACGGATGTCGAAATCTTCATCTTGAACAATCTTACCCCTCTGAACCCCGACTTCATCACACAACCGCTCTACAGTACCTGCATCGCATCCAGGGAACCGCACACGGATAGTCGACCTATCGTAAAGCAAAATGGGCAAATCACCAAGAGTTGCTAGTCGTTTAAGGTCATTCAACACAGCGGCTAGATCCTTGAGCGCACGGGCGAAGTCGGCAGAGAGAAGATCCAGAAGACCATCCGAGTTCAACGACTCGGACTGGAAAGCACCAGTTGGATCAAACTTCTGCAAACCGAAGGCTGTGATGGTAGGAGAGAGTTGAAAATCAATGTAGGAGCCAGGAGCTGTGCGGGGGATTGCCGTCATCTTCCGTTCAGCCTGGTCCTGGAGCATAGTCACAGCCTTGTATGTCTTGTTTCCAGTGATGGGATCGACGCCATCAAAACGAGCCTTTTGGCCAGAAAGAAAAAAGGCTCGCATTCCCACAGATACATTGTTGATGACCTGGGCGGGTGCAGCTGGGCCATGTGAGAAGTATCGTGCTCCCCCAATGCGACCTGCACCAATAGTATAACCACCCGCGGTGCGACCCAGAGTACCACCAGTTAGATTTGGACGGAGAGCCGACGCAAATGGGGCCCGACTGGTGAGACGGCCGATATTGGATGCAATACGAGACGCCTGAGAAGCAGCATTGCTGGGTTGAATGTTAGACCGGATATAAGAGACAAAGGAACCTGTTGCCCGCGTAGAGAAATGGCGGCTACGGGCTTGTCGGATTGCAGCAATTCGGTTGATGGGCTGTCGATTGATGCGAGCATGTGCTGGTTGGAGCCTAAGGGATCCTGGTTGCACATGTTCTGGAAATTTGGCTTTAATGGCTTTGCAAGCCTTCTCGTAGGCAAACCTGCAAAATGTCAGGACAATGGAACGGAGTAAAAAGCATACCGAGGACAAGAAAACTCACCTAGCTGCCCTCCAGAACTTGGGGAGCAACAGGTGCCCGCTAGAAGGCGGCATCCTGGCGATGATAAAATAAGTCTAAAAGAGATAAAAAGATGGAAAGCCCATCCCTGTGATGAATTGTAGATGGAGAGAATGAGGAGGATGACTGGGTGCCTGATGATGACGGCATTGTGGCGGTGCAGCACCTGACCACCAAGCGCTGGCTTTTGTCACATGATATTTTGTACGTACAAAGTCCTTAGAACTTCGTCGGAGTTTCTCTCTAAAAAAAAAACCACGGCATGTATAACTTGGCATATCTCTTTTGATGGTAGGGCCTTAGACGGGCAGACTTCTGCCACCAATCTTGATAAAATATTCATGCTGATAGTTGCCCGGAGAGTTTCTTCTATTTGCATGCAGCAAAAAAGTGTTGAAAAAGAAGTGGAACAAATTTTTTTGTTTTCTGGCAGATTTGAGAGTTTTAAGGGGAGCCCAGACCAGATCCTATTCTATTATAATTTAGATTAAAGGAAACTGTCAAGATTCTGCATCAGACGCATATGTGATTATATATAATTTTCAGAGAGAGAAAAGAAAGAAAAAAAGCAGCCTACACAAGTAGGACATCAAAATATGGGGAAATTTACTCATCATCGCCGAAGAAAACCTTGACAGGAAGCCAGCCGTCACCACAGACTTTAAAGCGGTCCTTCAGGTTGTCAAGCTGGTTGATCTCGTCGGGAGCTAACTCCCAGCCGTCAAGCTCGAAGTTTGCATCAATGCGAGACTTGCTGACAGACTTGGGGATGACACTCCATCCTTTCTGTAGACCCCACAAAAGCAGAACTTGCTGGGGAGTCTTGCCCTTCTTCTCCGCCAGCTGCAAGAGGGTGGGGTCTTTATACAACGGAGAGTTGGTGGAACCCAAGCAGGAGTACCCGGTGGAGTGGATACCTTTCGAGGTGTTGTAAGCAACCAGCTTGGGGGAAGGGTTGTTGGGGTGCAACTCGATCTGGTTGACAGCGGGAACGATCTTGCAGCTTGGGTCGTTGAGAAGTTTCTCAAGGTTCTTGATTCCAAAATTGGAGACACCAATATTCCTGACCTTGCCGGTGGCAGGCAGCTTCTGCATTTCTTGCCTGGATAGCCGTTAACGGAATTGTTCCTGCAAGGTCGGTTCTATAAGGTGAGTAGGCGTTCAGACCAGGTCTTGATAAAATCCCAGTAGGGAAGATGCTTCGACTTGTCATTGGGGTCAGTCGAGCTGGGCCAGTGTACAAGATAAAGATCAACGTAGTCTACACTAAGGTCTCTGAGAGACGAGTCAATGCCCTCGGGAACGCGGTGGTGCCAGGTGTTGTCTAGTTTCGTGGTGATCCAGATTTCGCTACGAGGGACGCCTGAGTCCCTGATTCCAGCACCAACCTCGGCTTCGTTACCATAAGCAAGGGCTCTAGGATGAACTTGTCAGTATATGCTCTAGAATGGAAGCAAGACATGAGCTGTGACGTACGTGTCGATGTGGCGATAACCCTTCAGCAAAGCATTCTTAACGGCCTCCCGGACCTCATTTGGCTTGGACTGCCAGGTACCAAGGCCAACGGCAGGAATCTGGTCCCCGGTGTTGAGGGTATAGACCTTCCTAGAATCAGGAACATATTAGCCTCGCGCTTTATTTCATTTTCTTGTTCATCACCCTCATCTCCTTTTCCTAGGACTGAATGCTACAAGGGGATACAAGTGGGGCAATACTTACTTAGTATGCTCGAGATTAGACATAGTGTATGATTGAAATATTAATTGGTGGTAGTGCGTGGCAGCCAAGTAAAAAAACACAAGGTCGAACAAAAAGCGCTGGAAGAAGAACGACTTTATTGCTTGGGGTTGAAGCTTGGAAAGCCATACTTATGATAAGGCAGGTCCATCCAGGACACCAAACGCGGGATGATGTCGATGGAGGGGCATTTCACGCCTTAACGCTGCTCCGAGCATATGTGGGGAGCCATCTCTATGGCCAGAAATTACCCGAGTTCTGGTACAATTTACATACAGAGAAACAAGGGAGAATGAATAATGACTGAAGCTTGATCCAGGAGAAGACGGGAAAAGTGGCTCAGGATGATGGGAGCAGCCAATCCATTCACCCAGTAATCATAGTACCTACGTACTAGTTTGCATGCCCGGAAAAAGAGTGAGTGAGGACTCCGTGTCACTGAGTACTTACAGTTACGCACTGCGACATGCGGCGCCTTACAGTGGAGCACGTATTCTCACCGCCTTTTACTGTCAGCCGTCCAGCCCGCTAATGTCTCCGAGGAACTCTCTAACAAAAACCATCAAGGTTGGATGAGGTGACATAGTCTTACTGAATTGCTCTTTAATTTCCCAAGCTCGTCTTCACTGATTCCAATTCTTTGGATAGATACTCCGTTGAAACGCGATAGTTCGGGTTACTAGCTCTTCCCCCTACATTGGTGTTTCCCCTTGCCTCTCTGTACGATAGATCACTAAATTCCTGTCGTTTCCCTCAGAACGCTATGTCTTCTGGGTTCGTATCTGCAGGGACAGACAAAGAGCCAATAGAACGTGACGATGAGTGGCATCGAGTACAGCGGGAACTTGAAGAAGAACGCAGGCGCAAGGCGGAACTCGGCAGACAGGATGGTGGGAAAAGTTTGTACGAGGTTCTCCAGCAGAACAAAAGTGAGTTAGAACATCTACGGCGTCGCTTATCCGATACACCGTTGTCCAGACCCATTGGATTGACATATTAGGGTGATCTTTCCTACAACACCCAGTGGCCAAGCAGGAAGCTTTCGAGGAGAAAATTAAGTTGAAGAATCAATTCCGTTCCCTAGATGAGGACGAAATTGAGTTCTTAGATTCGATCATGGAGTCGACACGGGCCCAGGAAGCTGCAGTTAAGAAGGAGACATCGGAGCAGCTCGAACTATTCCGCCGGCAGCGAGAAGAGGCAGAGAAAGCCATGTTAGAAGACACGTCTGTGGATGTCGCGCCGGCAGCTGAAGGAGAGGACTGGAAAATACCTGCTCGCAAGAGACGACGAGAGAGAAATAAGGATCTTCTATTCCCGGGTAAGAAACGCAAGTCCACGGCTGAAGTTACTGGTGAGGCCTCTCCATGCGAGTCGAAGGCGGATAAGAGCACGGTGAAACCTAGCGAAAAGCCTGATTCGGCTCAATTCAAAAATACTGCATCTGAAAGGAAATCGGAATCTCCTGTGGAATCAACTAGTCCCAATACAATGGATGCCAAGGATGCAGGTCAAGGACAGCAGGAAGCGAAACCAGTAGCAAACCTGTCATCATTGACTCTTGGCCTTGCGGGCTATAGTTCAGATTCAGAATAAACTTACTTCTCCATGTCGCCGTTCCATGATCCCGTTCCATGATATCACTTTTTTTGGTTCATTTTCACCGGGTTTCTGGATTGATGAGCATGACTACTTCACCCGATCCGCGTCCAGAAGCTCGTCCACAGAGTATCTAGAAATAGCTTTCTGGCAATGGATGGAGTGCACTGTTGGAACAATGTAGTATCCACCAAACCAAAAGACACCTGATCTAATGTCGGTTTTCTAAGGTAATGTAGCAACAGTACATTATTCGAACCTACAGCTCCCTTTCTCCCACGGGACTTTATTCATCTATCGTGATTAACCAGGAGCACTTCAGACACTAGTTTCCCCTGGTAGAATTGGATGGTCTACTGTGCAATATGTTAAGTGACTTATTTTAATGCTAAATTGTTTTGGACATATCCCCCGCTGTTAATAATGTCGTCTTGCGTCTTTAAGCTGAAATTTGGAGTGGACAATTCTAAGTTTAATTTGTGTTTGGTTTCGAAGATTCCCTCTAGCGTTTGGTCTCCTTTCGAACTGGCATTACGCCGGCCACACACCACGCCTCTTCTCTTTCCACCTTCTCCATACTTTCTCTTATCTCACTATTCCGCATTCCTTGTAAGTTGCAAAGGCCTTTTATTTTCTTCCTGTTCTACAACTCTTCGTTCCAGATCATGGGGAAGGTAGTCCTCTTTCTCGGTTCTTACTATGATCCATGGAGCATTGGTGAACAGATAGTTCATCTCCTCCAGAGGCAATTTCTTGGTTTCTGGAAGCAACAGCCAGAAGGAAACAGTGTTAGTGAAGTTGCAGATAATGAAAAGGAAGTAGCATCGATAACGATTGCTGTCCATAACAATTGGCGTCTCTTGGCCCATCTGTTGAACGCGTATGAGGTCACTGTGGCAAGAGAAACGCCCTTTGCTCGAGTGCGAGTATCGAACATCTCGGCATGAATAATCCATGCTAAGGGTCCGCAGGTACGTGAGAACGAGAAGTTGTACAACCAGGTCATAATAATGAAGTCCAGTGAGCTCCCGTGTTGTTAACTTCCGGAGCAAACTGACCAAGCAGAATGCAAGTGACGATAAAGCTGACAACATTTCCCACGTTCCTGAAAACTAGGGTCCAGCGACGACCAAGACGGTCAATAAACACCATGCACAAGAACTGAGCCACCAAAGCAATAATGGAATTGACTGCCTGGTACCGCAGGGTTCCATCGCCTCTGATCCCAACCTGCCCATAGATCTGTACCGAGTAGTATCTGCGGCGTGGAAGTTGTTAGTTCTGCGCACACTTAATTTTTAAGGAAAGTGGTTGGACTAGATATCAGGTATTTACTGAATCGCTGACAGGCCTGTCATTTGTACAGAAGCTTGCAATGCGCAACAGAGAAACAGACGGCGAAATGACGGCCGTGAAATGAACAGCTCTGTGTAAGACTCTGCTGCATGCTTGTGTTCAATACAATACCCTCTTGGATCTGGTTGTATTCTGCACGGACCGAAGGGTCGTTTTCATCTCCATACCCATGGAGCTTTGCGAGTGTCTTCAGGTCATTTTCATGATGACTATGGTCAATGAACCAACGAGGCGACTACTCCACTTTCGTCAGTGCGACTAGGAGAAAGAGGGTTGTATGCGTACCTCGGGGAAGAACGTGATTAAAAGCCCAAGAAAGACGGCCCGGATAATTTGCAGACCAAGCGGGACTTGCCACTGAGCGTTGTTGGTCGGAGCTAAACCGATATAGGTGCCATACGAAATCCAAGCAGCACATAGTGAACCGACACCAATCATGGATTGTTGCAAAGCAGTAACTCGGCCTCGAATGTCCGGGTGACAAATTTCAGTCTGGTACAGTGGGATGATTATGGTGAGAAACCGGACCCTATACAACAGATATCGTCTTACTTCTTCCAGTCTTCTGGGAGGCTTACCCTAGCCCAGCCAGAAATCGTCCTCTGTACAGATAATCCACTGTTTGCGCTCCTGTCTGAAGACCTCCACCAAGACAAAAGATAACGTATCTGAGACTGATAGTCCGACGTCGACCCAGGGTGCGAACCTGGACCCGAAGTATTTGCTGGCAATTACCTCCGCAATTACACCTAGATCATCTTCAGAAATCATTGTCAGCATCTAACAGCGGGTGGCATAGGGTCAATACTTACATCCACAGAGGAAAGACCCAAGAGAGGCAAAAATGCCTACCAGAAACTTCAATGTCTGTCAGGATTCGCGTGAACTATATCTTGTTCATTCTATAATTTGCTTGGTACCACGCTGGGGGTAGATGCATGGTGAGCTCAATGTGGGGCTCACTCTGGGCCTAATAGCATTTATTACTCCGAATTTCAGACAAATAAATGAAATAAAACGTGGGGTTTGGGCTTGGTATCTCCAACTTTTTAAGAATATCCGTGGATCGAGTAGCACGCAATCTACATTTATAACGGAGATTTCTATGTGTCCATTATCCATTTCCGTTGGATTTATTAGCCATTACTTATAGCCGCTAGTACAAAACATGACATTATCCTCGGAGAATCAACCAAAGTGTGACTTCCGACAGTATCTCCAAGGAGACGATCCCGGGGTTCAAGTCTAAAAGAGCTTCCCCGGTAACATGCCACAACCTATCGGAATATATTCACGAATCAACATGTAAATTTATCCTATGCTACACTAGATAACGTTTAACCTCTGCGGGGTGTATTTAAGCCATGCCAGCCGGGGGAAGGAAAGAAGCGCACCAAAATAAGGGCTCTGATTGACGGAAGTTCCCATCGCGCTTCCTCGGCTCCAGTACACCTTACACCACCAGCTTATGATCCAGTATATCGCATCATTTCCCTGGAACAGCCCCGCAGGGGATTTTACCAATTTATCGGCATGGCTACGCTGAAACTAGAAGATATCAACATTAGCTCTTATGTCACTTCCGCCACGACAGTTTGGCCTTTTATATGGTCGCCAAACTGATCCATATTGCCTTATCGTTCAATTCTCTACCAAGCAACTGATCTTAGGACCATTGCTATTCATGCTTAACTCTACTGCTGCATCAACAATGACCAGCTTCACAAAGTTCAGTGACCACGATGTGCTTAGTCTTGCCATCTCCAACCCCGCGCATCTCCCGGATCAACCCCAATATCTATGCCGGATTTACAGAGTAGGACCAGCATATCCTTCTGTTTTCTTCTATGTAAATGGGAAATGTATCTAATGCATGGTTGCAGGCACATGGATAGATGCATATATGGCGGCATGGGAGCCCTCTGTCCGATGAGAATGGGTTCCGCAAGGACGTGCTTGAAGCCCTGAAAGAACCCAACATCCCTGTTGTCCGCTATACTGTGGTAACTTTATGGCAACATATCATTGGATTGATGGGGTTATCCCTAAGGAGCAGAGACCTTCAAGGTATGTCTTAGACTGTTTAACAGCCTATCGCTGTTGTTCATGAGCAAATCAAGCCACTCCCCACTTCGCTAGTTATTTCCTGTCTAATGAGACCTGATTTAATGGAAATAAAAAGCCTGAAATTGTTTGGCTAGGAACGGAGACAAACCAGTTTGGAACTGACGAGTTCTTGAAGTGGTGTTAAGTTCTTGGGGCAGAACCTTTCTTTTGTCCGAACTTTGGGACAGGTAGAATACTCAAGCATGCATCTTCAGGACCTTGCGCGCTGAATATTACCTCATAGGAACCCTTGATGAAGGTCAACTTTTGACTTTTGAATCCACCCTAGGAGCCTTACCCTAATGCACTCTAGCACTGGCCTGGGTGGAGTGCTGCAATGGCACAGAAACACCTGCTATGCCAACCTTCGCAGGAAGAATGGCCAAGAGGAGCCGTATAATGTACGGCATCCTCTCCTCTTATCGTCCCAACAACACTAATGCATTATTTGGCAGATTAATTACTAACCTCTTGGAAATGAGACCTGGGGTCCTTGGCAAGATGAGCAGATGACCAAAGAAGAATACGCTCACAAGGCATACCATTGGCGAAAGGTATGTTAGTTAGTCCTTGAATATTAAATGACAAACGGCTAATATGATACTAAAGCCCTGAAACTACTGGATCCATCCTCAGTTCTTGTCCTGTGCGGACAAGATGGCACCGCTTCTTGGGATTACTATACCCTCAAGCAGTGTCTACTCCCTGCCCATTTGCACCTATCCACCAGTGCCGTTCCACTTATCGACATGCACAGTATCCACTTATATACATCCTCCTCCTCTCAACTTCCCAATGCCACCTCCCCCCTGGCAGCAGAATGCGCTGTTGAAATTACATCCTCCCTCATCGACCTCGCAAGAATCGAAAACGGGGTTCCTCCAGATCAGCTCCGTCCCACCATCTGTTTCGACGAGTGGAATTTATGGGATCTTATCTGCGCAGAAGGCAGCAGAAGCGCTGACTCGCTGAGGGATCCTACACACTATCAGATGCACTAGCCGTAGCAGAGTCTACCTTACCGTCTTTGTCCGCAAGAGCAAAGACGTCGGGATGGCTTGCATCGCTCAAAACGTCAACGTGATCTCACCTCTCATGACCACGAAAGACGGCATCACAAAGCAGGCCACCTGGTGTCCTCTGTACCTGTTCTCTCGGTATATGCGGGGTTGGACCATCAGTGTGCATATCTCCTGGTGTATATCTCCTATGGTGTCTATGAAGGGGATACTTTTCCGAAATGGATTCGTGGTGTCAAGGATACCCCGTGGCTAGATGTTAGTGCCACACTGGTTGATGATGGGGACGTGAACGTGGCTGTTGTTAATATCCACGAGAAGAAGGGGATGGAAACCAAGGTTGACGGGCCCTCGGGAGAAGTTTCCGTATTCACCGTCACTGGTGACAGTGTCACAAGCAAGCAATATGAACTGGAGGCAAGAAGTTGGTGTTACGGAGAGTACTTGGGTTGGAAATGGTTCATTCATGTTCACTAAGCATTCGCTTACTCTTCTAAGATGGAAAGCATAGGATTTCAACAGACTTTAAGTTTATTCCTTTATTTAGATATACAGAAGTAGAAAGAAAAAAAAGCATAGATAACAACAGTCACATGGACAATCTTCCTAACCAGCCAATCCTATTCAAATATCTTATTTATCCAAAATTAACGTCATGAACGATCTCATTATCATCCAAATAAATATTTAATCTTTAAACCCATCAGTGCATTCATCCCTATCTTTATTTTATCCCTTACATCTTGAAGACGGAGCGAGCAACAAAAACAACAAAAACTTACCGATCAGGTCTATAATCCATCGTCACCGCATCACCGGGCTTGATAATCCGATGAAACTCCGGAAGGTCCTTTCTACGAAACGTCTATATATCCAGAAATAAATCATACTTAGCTACCCAACCTATGGAGAGAATAGATGTACTGGGAAGAAGGGAGGAAGGGAGAGAAGATGGAAACAAACATTCACATCACTTGTACAGTCACTGATTTTCTTTCCTGCTAGTTTACTGAGCCATTCGGTTCTGTTGTCCTTGTCCTCTGCAGTGGCGTTGTACACCCCGGGGATGACGAGAGGCATGGCGGTGTGGAATGGTCGTCGGGGATAGAATAGTGGTTGGCTTTGGGGGTTGGTTGGTGGTGCAAAGGGGTATCGAGAATGGAATTTCCTCATGTAATGGAGTCAGTTAGAGGATATGGATGGAAGGACTACATAAATAGTCAGCTCGAAGTATTCAGAGTAGGGATGATGACGTCGTTTGGTCGATTGCTATTTTTGGATTAGTGCATGATCTGCCGGGACCTGAGTCATGTGCCGTACAATACTGTACTGTCAATACCAGATTACTTATGGGCTATTTTTATTTTTATGGACATTAAAATTCTAAATAGCACATATGGCATCCACAGAACAAATACATCGCTGGAGATAACAGAATGAACCCAATACAGACTCGAACACTTAACTATCTCCACCTCCACCATTCTTGAAACAAGTAACAAATCAATACAGAATCAGTTCGTTTATATCCACATTTCATGATTGATATGCATCGGGAAAGTATTTCCTATGCAACGTCAGTCAAGTCGGTCTTCAAGATGGGAGACCAGAGTGGATATGGACTTACGGAATTGCTCGCTGGTATATCTCCATGGCTTGCTCCGAGAAATTGCAAATGATGACTCTGGTAAGGGTCTCTCTGGGTCGATCACCCTCCAGGTAGTCGCGGATTGCCTCTAGAGCGACCTTAGCTGCTTCCTCAATAGGATACCCGTGTATACCAGTACTGATCGCCGGGAAGGAGATGCTGTACATTTCGTTCCTATCGGCGAGTTCTAGGGACTGCTGGTAGGCACTACGGAGGTGTCCCGCTGCCTGTTCTGCATCGTCAACGGAGTAGATAGGCCCTACAGTATGGATCACCCTCTCGCAGGGGAGATCATACGCCTTCGTTATTTTTGCATCTCCAACGGCGCAGTTTCCGAGCTGGCTACATTCGTCGTGAAGCTTTGGCCCAGCTGCGGCATGGATAGCCTCGTCGACTCCACTGCCCCCTTGGAGACTCAACTTGGCGGCATTGATCATGCAGTCAGTTTGCACTTTGGTGATGTCGTACTACAGAAGTGAGACCATCTGGTTGAGGGTTGGACATGGTTGGTACCCTGGGTTTGGCTCCAGTGTAAGTATCCATCCCTATAGAGCTGAGCCACCGTGGGTATCCGCATCGTGGGTAGAACCTCAGGACCACCCATGCGGTACCCGCGGCATTTCCCTGTCCTTGGACTTCCCCGGACAGTTCCTATGTCGGTGCCGGGGGACTCCTGCTAGATGCCGTCCGATGTTTCAGACTCCAAATCTATTATGGCCTCCGCCGCTCTCTCTTCGCTGGAATTGGATTCACGCTTAACTGGGGGGTTTTCAACAACGACACACCTTTCTGGAGTAGCGGGAGTTTTGGTAGTAGCATCCGCGTTGTTGGAGGTTTCGGGTATTTCTGCATGGCAAAGCATGAGCTAGTGTCCACTTGTTTTCTGCCTATATGACACATTCTGTCCTACTTACCTTCGGTATCCCCCTAGATATATCAGTATCTTCAGGTGGGACAAACTTGCCTCGATTGCGAACCACCAACCGTCGAAAGAGAGCCACTGTTTCTTCTGGCCTTTGCTGCAGTAGGCCTTGGAACTCACTATAACGTAGCCTAACCTGATTCCTGATGATAGTGTGGACCTGTTTCTGCGTCGCCTTGTATCGAAGATCTTTATGAAGAAAATTCTGATAATACAGTTCCAGTATTATGTTATTGGTGATCTCATTTCTGCGCTCCTCGGTGACCAACACGCCTAGTTGTGTCCAGATATCTGGAGAAGCCCTTCTCCGGCTGGCGCAGTACGCAGCCCTCTTTCTCCTGCGACGAGAAGCCATGTTCTTGATTCTCGAAGGTATGCAGCGAATTTATGCTTGTAGTTGAAACAGGTATTCCAACAAGAAAAGTTTTATCTCTGCAGGGGTAGAATATAGGGGGGTTTCCCGCCGTCGGGATAAAAAAGCTGGGAAAGTGTCGAATATGAACACAAAAATGACAATTCTTATAGACATTTGGGCAGAACTGTCACAGGTATTTAGATCTGGTACCATGGACAAAGAATAAGAAGATGAAACGGGATATTCTTGGCCTTTTGTGTCGTCAATCAATGGATTGATGCAATGGAGCTCTACTACAGGATGAATTTATAAATAGATCGGCCATGATGGGTTTCTGTTTTGTGTTATTCATGGCCACAACGCTTTGTTCAGGAATCTAGTTAGGCCTTTGGATGACCAGAGAAGAGTCTAACGCAACTGCAGTTCAACAAGACAATGGCAGTGACGATGATAATGCCAGCGCTATTTCCAGGCTGTTTAGGACGACACGACAATGGCCTGGTTCGGACTAACCAACCATATTGGTCCGATCTAGTTCAATTGCCTTGATGGAGCTCCCAGTAGAATTCAAAATGAGCGTCCATAATTCCAGGAAGCTGCGATGGAACGAAGTCGCTGGGGGCGCCTGCTTCGATTCCGACGACAACCTGGTGTCTGTGACCCTGGGGACATACACTCCAATTATTCGCTGCTCCATCACATTACCGTCTTTCATTAAACAATAATTAATCATACTCAATACGATATATCGCTTGTATTGCTACTGGAGTTATACCTTCCGCTATCCATCGTCGTTGGACAGCATACATTAACTGCATTCTCTTGTTTACTTTTCTACCTTGTCCGCAGCCCCTTTGCAGCACGAGATACTCTTCCTACAATGTTGACTATGTGGCAAACGTCCAGAGCATCCCGCCTACGGTGGACGGACAAATGGGATCTCATTGAACCTGGCATGCAGGAGAGTCCAATAAATCAAGACGTGGGCAGTGAATACAGTCGTCCTCTGAAACTGGTCATTCGAGCTCCACAAGCGACAAATATGACCGGCAATGTGAACACCACCATCACAGGGAATACAGCCTCGACGTCACCAGTAGCTCATAAGTCATTGGTTCCTCACTGGAGCTACGAAAAAAACTCAATCGCTGTAGCCATTGCCATTTCCGTGGTTGCGGTCCTAGGTCTTATAACCCTGGTAACTCTCTTTGTCCAGAAGGTCCGTCGAAGCTGGGGTCGGCGTCAAGAGGAGAAGATAGACTACGCGGATCCAAGATTTCGTGCTTTCCATGCGAGTGGTGATGCCGAAAATGGAATGTGTGAACGCAAACTGAGTCGCGAATCAGTGATGTTTAGCAAGGGCAATTCTGCTCCTAAGGAATATGTTGTCGAGCAGCAGGGCGACAGAATCACTCGAGTGGTTTGTGCAGGAAAGAAGGATGCACCCAAGGCGTTGGATTCAGTTGACAAGCCTTCGCAACAGCAAGAGTCCTCAGTCGAACCACCATCTTCGGAGTTACCTGTGAAGAATGACCATGACGACTCTACTTCCCAGCCGAATGTCGTAGTGCCTCCTCCGCTGAAGCATGCGTCGTCGTTGAAAGCCACTCCGACCACCCAACAATGGGACTCGAACCCAGAAAAGCCTTCCGCGTCCCGTAGACCTGCAGGTGAGGCCCGAAGGAGCATCATCAAGCTCGCATCTGCACCTGGCTCGTTGTTTCGACTGCCTTCGATTAAGAGGACCACGTCTCCCATTTTCAATTCCTAATGCCTGATGTCCCTATTATGATAGATATTCGGGTATATATATAGGAGCGTAGTCCTGAGAGTACTCCCCTGGCATGAGTACTAATGATCCAACGATGCTATTCCCGATGAGGATGGAAGAAAGAACAATGAGAAAGTTAAAGAGTTGAATGATGTGGTGGGCTGGGAGTCATGTTTTGACCTGTTTGCTTTAGTCTTTCTATCGGCTTCGGCTTTGTTTTTCTTTTTCATTATGTTTGAGACTGGCTTCTGCTTTCTGTACTTGCTGGCCATGGATGCTAGTCTGGTTTGTCGATCGTTCTTTGTATGCTAAGAAAAACTAATATTAGGCGTTTGCTTCTGAAACCACCGTAGCCTTGACATAATGAACCTTACTAGATGTCTGCGATGTACTGAGAGTGCAACGCATCCTCCGAATAATTCTATAAATTCTGCAGCAGCATTTACCATCAAATAGATGCTGCATAAGGCAAGAAGAGTAAATCCTCATCATCGGTGTTTTATTTCGATCTCATAACTTCATCATTATAATAAAACATCAAACAGTACAACAGCACAAGTAGATGAGGGTTTAAAAAAAGAAGGTAAATAAGATAACCACAAACATAGAGAGAGGTGGGAAGAGAAAGATAAAGGTACATCTACAGGAAAGAAGAAATCTATCTATAATACTGCATTGGAAGAAGACTCTCGCACGTTCCTCAAGCATCGTTCTAGCCGTTTCCCACGCTCTTTCTCTCGGACGAGAGTGGCCTTGACAAAGGCGCGGATAGCGTCGCGACCGACTTTCTCGCGCCAGGAGGTCCAGCCCGCTAGCTCGCCGACAACGACATCCTTGTTCCAGGTGATTTCCCGGGAGAGACGCGCGATCTGGGATTCGGATTCCTGGACCTTGGTCTCGAGGTCGCGGACGGATTTCTGACGCGATTCTTCCAGACCGGGGAAGTTGAGGTTGAATTTGCGCGGGAGCGAGGACGAGACGAGGGAGGATTGGGAGCGCGACAGTGAGCGATTGGCGGATGACAGGGTAGACATGAGCGAGAGTGGGCGTGCGAGAGAGTGCAGAATGGCGGTGGTGGTGTTGTCGATGGAGGTGAGGGCAGTCAGGAGTTGCAGGAGGGGAGAGGAGTCGGAAGACGAGGTCGAGAGATACGAAGCATAGCGGAAAAAGGCGTCCACGTGGGATTGGGGGAGTGCGTTGGTGGGCTCCTTGAGGGTTGAGACCGTAGCAGAGCATAAGGACACAGCGTCGGCCACGTCCGCGGCCGCGTTCTGCAACGCATATCCGCAGCGGATGAGGCTGCGAGTGTTGGCGTGCACCGAACGGACCATTTCCTGGGCGTGTGAGACGAACTGTTCCATCTCCCGCAGGCCGTCCGGCGTAATAGGTTCGTACTCGTCCGTGATGGTTTCGGAGAGAACCTGCGCCTTGCGACGGGACCGGTCCGCCATCATCTCCGGATGCAATTCCGGCACGAGAAAGAATTCCCAGAGCATCTCATGGGTTGCAAATGTGGGGTGGGAGAGCAATATTTTGAGAAATCGGTCGAGCTTCTCTTGCAGATTGTGAAGCACCGCGCGAGACGGCTTGGAATGGATTTGGAAGGGGCTGCGGAAGTCCGAGAGTGATGGCATGTAGGAAGCTGGATGTTCAATCGAGAGCCACTTGGCGAGATTCTCGAAATCCGAGAAAGTCCGTCGGCAGGTGGTAACGGTGTACATCGTGGATCCAGGTCTGGAATCGGCCAATTTGGTAGGGGGATTGGGGGCGCCGGATTTGAGAACGAAGCGTACCGTTGCATCCTCGACGAAGAATGAACGGACGACAGTGGTAACGCGCCCGGACGGATCGACCGTCCCCGATGGAGAGCTGGATATAAGGATGAGATCGTCGATCCGGTTCCGGACTTCATCATCCTTGGCCAGTTCGACGGCCGTCAGCCCGCGTGCCTCTTTGAGATGAACATCCACTCGCGGGTCTAGAAAGAGTATTCGCACTTGGTCGATCCGTCCATACTTGCTGGCCATCATGAGGGGTGTAAACTTCTTATCGTTGGTCGCATTCGGATCACAATCACTCTCCTGGAGGATTCGAATGGTGATATCCGGGTCGCTGACGATGTGCAGTAGCGTATTGCCCCTGGAGTCCACATGGCAGTCGAGGTGCAAAGGCTTGCCATCTCCCTGAGATTTCTGAGCCGATGTCAATGCCTGATGAACCATCGATTTGTAGTCCGGGTGATCGTAAGACCGACAGAGCGCGAAAAGTGGCGTTTGTCCATGCTTATCTCGTTGACGCCAGGGCAGCAATCCCTCAAGACGATGCATGACGGAAGGCGTACTGAATAGATAGTGAGCCACCGTGCGCCCATGGATGTCGGACTTTTGTAGGTAGGAGACAATCGTATCCTTTTCCGCTGCGCGGAAGAGGAAATCAAGCAAGACGTCTACAATCTCGGCGTGGGCCAGTTGAACAGCGGCATTGAGCAGTGTCGTTCCATCCATGTTCGTATCCTCAAGGATGTCTTCCAGAGGATAATATTCGTCCAGACTGAGCAGGTATCTCAGAGCCTCAGCTTGACGGCATTCCACCGCCATCATAGGAATGGAATGACCTGCGGGGTCCTGCGTCTTTGTCAATGTCTCGATGGAGCTGTCACCTTCGATCGCGCTTGTGATGGACCCCATCGTGGTTGTACGGGAAGCGAACGAGACAGCGGACGATTCAGATAGACTGCGAACATCCATAGAAACTCTCTTCACCGGACGATTTGCCTCCTTCGGAGGGGAAGCATTTTCCCATGTCTTAAACGGAAAGACGTGTGCGAGTGGTGGTACGTCAGGCGTATCGTCCCGGCGCACCGATTCACCGTTGATTTTAAGGTGCCCGTTGGGGATAGATAAGGAGTCTCGAGAGCGGCATAGGTCTTCTTCACCTTCAGTATTAAAAAGAACAGTTTTGCTCTCGGGCTCGTATGGGATATCGTCCATGGATTCGTGGTCGCCATCCGGCTCCAGAATGGCCTTCATATCAGATATCCGTCCGCCTTTGGTGGCATTCCATAGGCGCTTGTTCCGGACGCTGGCTCTTCGGAGACCGGCCGAATCAGTTACTAGATAAGTGAGGACTGCTTCAAGGGTACTCAAGGCGTAGCCCATCTCGCCGCTGTCCACATCATCGACATAGATGAAATGCTGCATATACAGGAGCCGTGCTTGCAAATGCTTCACCTGGGATCGGATCACCACGATCAGCAATAACGACACCAAGATATCGGCATTCACGGTTATTGGGGGTCGATCCTTCTCGGTCGTTTGTGGATGGCCTTTATCATATTTGCCGGGATAAGAGAGGATTTTGATCGTCTCCAGCAGGAGATTCAGCATATCGTGAGGACATTTTGCATCCAGCATTTTGCGGAATTCTTCCACGGCTCTACCAAGACGTTGCAGCAACTCCCGCTTGCCCTCATGGCCCCCTTCGACGACAATGCCGACCTGGGAAACATCGATGTTATCCATTTGACGAATCCGCGCATCCAACTCCACATCCTCCGATTCTCGAAAGCCGCACAGCCGAGGGAAGAGAAGGGTTTCGTGTACCTGCTCGGCGACATAACGCTCGATCAATCGCTCCACCAGAGGCCCCGTAAGGTCTGTCGTGGCGCCGAGGAAAGAAAGTTGCTGTTTGTCCACCAGCCGAAACAAGTCGATGGCGGCGGTAACAGCCGTCTCTAGACTTCGACGCATTAGATCCTCATCGTCCTCGAAATACTCCTCGGAATTGAACGGTAGTCCCTCCCTGAAACGCGACGACGAGTTTCTGATTGAAGCCACCTCGTCGGTCGGGGGGTTATCACGATCCTCTTTCCCATCAATTTCGTCGGGTATCGAAGGTGAGCGGGATGGTGGCGGAGGTAACGGCTTCCCGAGTTCCTTCCCAAATTCGCGGAATAGTCTCTCTAGTCCTGGCTGCATCTGCCTGGCAATCATCGGGAAATGCGCGAGTAGTTCGGCAAAGGTCCTGATCTCCTTCTTTGGTAGCGAGGAAACGGGCTCCCCGGGCTTGGGTTCCGTAGGGGTGGTGCTCTTGATCGGCAACGTTCCGGGGACCACGGCCGAAATGATCTTTCCGGGGTCGAACGAGCCGATCAAGGGCCGAGAGATGTAGTAAATAAGCCATGGCTGAGAATCATTGCTCGGAGTATAATAGAGGGCATCGGATAGTAGCTGGGCTTGGGTCAGAGACTTGAAGCCTAGATAGGTGGTTTAGCACATGTATGATCCGGTGAGCAAAACAGAAGATCATTCCCCACCCTTATTGCTGTAAACTGAATTCTCTTTTATAATCACCGTGCGCCCATTGGCCGTGGCTACCTGCTTTGCTTTCCCCCTACTATCGCGGACGTTCAAATCATCTTTGGGTCTGGCGCTTCCGTTGGCAACGGGAATGCGCAAGGTATGACTTCCCAGGAACTCTTCGGAGACCACGAGGTCAGAATAGAGGAGAGTTGATTCCCGATCACGGGAACCGACCAGCGATTCGGTCACCGGAACAAGAAGGATCTAGATAGTGCAGGAAGCGTGAGCATGTAACTGGAGTGAATAACAGCATTGTGGGATGGCAGAAAGGATTACATGATTCTCTATCGGAACGCACTGGCCCGGAACCGTGCTTCGGAAGAAGGCACGCAAGAAAGGGTTTAAAGGGTGCATCCAAACGGTCTTGGACGACGGCCCAACGAAGAAGCTCTGGTACTCATCAAGCCGCCTCTCTGAATCGCAACCACGACTTAACGGCTACTCGACCGTCACAGGAGGGGAGTAGTTTCGGCGCATGCGCTTGCGGGCAACAAAACGCAAGGAACGCGAGGAGAGGGCCACAACAGGCTTATGGATCAATTACTGATAGAGTTGCAGTCCCATCTGGGGTTGTAAGAGAGAAAGATGAGGATTCCCGTGAAAGTGAAGGAGAGGCGGCGATGCAACGCTCCAGCCAGCTGGAGGGCAAGCTACTGGCGCTATACCATATTTGGAATGTCTGATTCAAGAGAGAGTAAAAGCAGGAGAAAGAATGAAAAGAGCACCACAATAAGAGATCAAATACATTGGCTAGTGTACAAACATGTTACAGAACAAATCTTCTCAACTATTCCCCCCTAAGAAGCCAAATTCCCCAATTGTCCCCGTATCGAAAGGGTATCAGAAATAGCATGTCCTTCCTCTCACAAGCGCTCTATCAACAACATTCATACCGTCCATGCAGGCAACGCAGAAAAATCCCCCAGCTACATCCTGCTTAACCCAGTCGGCGGACCTTCCGGCTCCGAGTACCACCAAACTTGATCCGAGTCGAGTCGGTTACTCGACTGACCAATCCTCGAACATTTCTTCCTTCATTTCCGAGCAAAACCTTGGTGAACGCTTCGCGACCGGCACCGAACCCACGCAATACCACTTCTAACCGCTTGATCTCTGGGAGATAGCCTCGCTCCTGCATCTGGCCAAACACATGGGCGGTTAATTGATATGCTGGATCATACCCTCCACGGCCGGCTTTGCGGAACCCAAGATGACCGCAGCCCATGGACAACATTGGGTTGCCATTCGGACGGGTCAGGGTCAGTAGAGTGTTGTGCTTATGGGAGAAGACGTGGAGGTGATGCGGCGGAGACCGGTCGGAGTAGGGCTGTCTGATCATCTCGGCCTCCAAGCTCGCGGCCATCCGGGAGTAATCACGACTTACGCCCTGGTTTGTGCGAGACTTCTCTTGGCCCATCATTCGAGTGATTGCAGAAAGAGGGGAGTTGTCATTTGCTGGCTGCTCCGGTTGCGTATTCAGGATCTGTCTCTCAATTTCGCGGGTCTTGTCTTTGGCATCCGAAAGGCCCCTCCGAGTGGTCGAGAATGGTCTCGTAGAACGAAGAAGAGAACCTCGAAGTTGGCATTGTCGGCCAATGGATGGCAAGGCTCTCGTCAAAGCGTTTACGAACGGCGAGTTCATCTTGGTGTCGTGGAGAGAGATGGCGATAGATGAATTCCTAGGAATCGGGGAGTGCCGTGGACGACCCAACCGACCGACCAGCACAATTCGAAGAGAAGTAGAGGCGCAACCGTAGGCAGAACGACAAAACGATAAACAGATAGATGGTAGGAGTGAATAGGACTGGGAAGAAACGGCAAAAGGCGGCGGAAAAGGGCCGAATTTTCGGGTCTTGGCGCATCTCGACTTTTTTCCCTCTTCATCATCTCCAGCGGCCGAAATCGCCTCTTTTTCTTCTTTCTTTTTTCTTCCCCACGCTCCATACCCACAACTGTCCCTTGACTCCGGGGCAGTTTCTTTTGGATTTGATTTGTCTTCCATCTCGTCCTGAGAAGACTGCCTATCATCTCCCCTTCCCCTTTGTTTGGATTCTTTTTGCTATTCCTCTCCAGAGCATGATCTCGGCTACGAGAATGTCGGCTACCGCGCGGGCGGCGACCCTGCGATCCCAAGTGCTGAATCTGAAAACATATGGTAGCACGGTCGCTCTTCAGCAGTCGCTGATCCGTTCGACCTCTCATACGACGTTGCTAGCCGCGAGGTCTTCCCTTCTCGTCAAACACGAATGTCCTGTATCCTCAATCTTCTCCCCGTACGCTGCTCTTCCACTCACTAGATCGTTCCACGCCGGCACTGCTCGCTGGCAGCAGCAGCAACAACAACAACAGCAACAAAAAGAAACCAAGCCCAACGACGCAAACAAGGACAAGGACAAGAAAGAAGAATCGAAAGGTGAGGAGAAGGAAGAGAAGGAGGGAGATAAAGAGGAAGCCCCACAACCACCTCATGGAGATAAGACGCCTTGGCAGGTGTTCCGCGACACTCTCCAGTCGGAGTTCAAAGCCTCCAAGGAATGGAACGAATCGACAAAGGCTCTTGCCTCCTCAGCACACCAGTTCACCGAGAACGAGAATATCAAACGTGCTCGCGCCGCTTACGAGGCTGCCTCAGGAGCTGCCTCTAGCCACACCTCATCCGCATTCAAGACTACAGGTCAGGCCATTGGTAAGAGTGCTGCGTGGACATGGAACACGCCTGTTGTGAAAGGCATTCGAAAGGGCGTGAATGCAACTGGTTCGGGAATAGAGAAGGCGACACGGCCTGTGCGGGAGACCGAGGCTTACAAGAGCGTGAAGGATGCCATAGACGATGGCAGTAGCTCTCGCTATGGCGGCTGGATCGAAAAGGAGGAGCGTCGCAAGCAGCGGAAATTGCGTGAGGAGATGGAAGCTAAGACCGGCCGCAAAACTGAGCCAATGGTGGAGGATCCGAAGTAGGTGCTTGATCCAGTTAGGCCGTGTATCCAATTCTAATGTTCTCTTCTCCCTCAGCGCGGGTACCAACGTCACCCTTCACAAGGACTCGGCTTGGAAAGAGTCGTGGCGCGATTTCAAGGATTCGAACCCTATGATGCAGAAGCTTTTCACGTTAAAGGAAACCTATAACGAATCCGAGAATCCTCTTATTAGTACCGCGCGCAGCATTTCGGACCGTGTGGCAGGATTCTTTGCCGAGAATGAGACCGCCCAGGTGATCAAGAAATTCCGGGAGATGGATCCGAACTTCCAGATGGAAGCTTTCCTGCGTGAGATGCGCGAGTACATCCTCCCAGAAGTGCTCGATGCCTACGTCAAGGGGGATGCCGAAACTCTTAAGCTTTGGCTTTCCGACGCACAGTACCATGTCTATGCTGCTCTTGCACAACAGTACACCACTGCCGGACTCAAATCGGATGGTCGCATCCTGGACATTCGCGGTGTTGACGTCTCCCACGCTCGCATGCTGGACCCTGGCGAGATCCCTGTATTTGTAGTCACTTGCCGCACCCAGGAGGTCCATGTCTACCGGAACACGAAGACGGGCGAGCTTGCGGCCGGCATGGAAGATAAGGTCCAGCTAGTGACATACGCCATCGGTCTGACTAGGATCCCCGATGATGTCAACAATCCGGAAACCCGAGGATGGAGATTGATCGAGCTGCAGAAGGCTGCTCGTGACTACATCTAAACTTACTTCCCTTCGGCATGTTTCCTGCTCGCTTTCGACGATTATACTTCAAACATTTGTCTTGATTATCGGCGATTATTTATGAATTTCCTCCCTTTTCTCCCACCTATTCTTTTATTTGTACTTTTCATCTCTCTTCTCGAATGCCTTGATATCATCTGACTGTACAATACCGACTATTAAATAGAGACCAGGTGGAACGGGTGCTTTATATTCTGCCTGTGAAGTAACCTTGACCTAATCTTCGTTGGATATTCTTCTGCCTTTTTTTTTTTTTTTTTTTTTGGTGCCTGGGGCGTTTGGGGTTCCAGGATTACAACATTTACGCTCCACTCATCATGAAGCTTTGCATCAAGTTGATCCATGTCTAGCCGTTTACTCCTGTTGGTCCTATTCTATCTTGGGGACTTTTGAGCTATCTTGAAATGTAGAACATCTCACAGCGTAAAAATTGACTGTGCATTTATATTGAGGACGTATTGTTTACATGCATAACTCAGGAGGTCTGGTACAAAAGATGAGGATGATTGGTGTCTAAATCAGGGGACCCCGTCGTTATGTGAATAAATAAAATATCCTGGAATTGAAAAAGGGAGAACAAGTAAAGGGGAATTCAAATACTAGCAAGTGGTTCTTCGTTTATTGACCGTTGCCGCGGCCAGCATCACCACCACCACCACCACCCATGAAATTCCGAGCCCTTAAAAAACAGATCTCTAGGTTAGCTTCAAGTAACCAAAGGATGATTACACCGAGGAGACTTACATATCGGCAATATTAGGGTCATTCATCAGACTCGACATGTCGGGCATTCCACCGCCTTGGCCAAAGTTTTCGGCCATCTGTCTCAACTGAGGGTTGTTCATGAGGTTGTTGAGCATATCGGGGTTGCTCATCAGATTTTGAGCCATGCTGGAGAACATAGGATTGTTCATCAGAGAACCAAGATCGGGCATACCGCCACCTCCTGGTCCAGCACCACCACCAAGCATGCTAGCCAGCGAGGAAAAGTCGGGCATACCACCCGCACCGCGAGATGCTCCAGCGGCGTCATCAACGGCATCCGCAGGGGGCTCAGCACCACGGCTAGCCTCTTCAATCTTCTTCTTGGTGGTCTCGAGGCCTCTCTTCATGGCATCGCTACCACCGTTTCCTTCCGCCTCGATCCCCCTCTCGTAGGCTTCCTTAGCGGCCTTGTAATCGGCCATGTCATATCGGGCAAGACCCAAGCGGCTCCAAGCCTTGGAATACTTGGGGTCCACGGCCGTAGCGAGCTCGGCGTCCTCGGCAGCCTTCTCATGCTGTCCAGAAGCAGAGTAGGCGGCAGCTCGGTTGGAGAGGTAGATAGGGTTCGAGGGAGCAATTGTCAAAGCTTTGGTATACGAATCGATGGCGGAGTTGTAATCCTTGCGTGCCATGGCCGCATTTCCCTCCGACTTCAACTTGTCCGATTCGGGCGTGGGAGCGCCAGCCTGGGGCTTCTGGCTCCCGCCTTCCTTAGCCTGGGACGCCGAGCCAGCAGAGTCACCTGAGGGCTTCTTGCGCAACTTCTCATACACACTATAGATGCTGGCCAACGACTGACCACCCAAGGCATCCTTCACAGCGGCCTGATCGGAGGGATCAACCTTGAAGGTATCAGCAATACACGATTGGGCGATTTCAATAGATTCGGCATCATCAGCAGTCAGTGTACCATCCTTCAAGCTAGAGCTCAGGAAGTCGATGATCGCAAGCGCAAGGCGCTTCTTGGACTCGGTGGGAGCCTAGATACCACATCAATCAGAATTCGACTCACACAATCACATGAGATGATGGGCAAAGGCATAACCTACCATTTTTATGAGCGGGGAGACAATAAGAGATGGGGGTGGGGGAGCTACAAAGAAGAGGCTACAGAAACTAGAAGAAGACCTGTTTGCCAAGTTTGCCTGCCGCACGTGATGCCGCCGGTCCCCCGAGGCTCTTGCAGCTTGCCATGACGCTCCCCATTAGCACCCACAATACTACCTCCCCATTTTCGAAACAAGGCATTGATTGGATATGGTCAACACATCTGGGATTGAATCTGTCCCGCTCGCGACGGAATAATCCCCACGCATCCCACGAAGATGACTCGGTGTGAGCTCGTTTCCCTCCGTGACTACTGCACCTATATCAAGCGATGTACTGGCCCCACGGAGTTCCGCGGGTCTATGCGATCAATGGCCCTGAAATCCCGTTCACTGCTTTAGAAGATGAGGAATCTATAGGACTGGAAGACTCTGTGGAGCAGAGACTATCCTTGAATGATAATGACCCTAACGAACCCTCTGTGACGGAGTCGGCATGGGCGAGTGAAGCCATCGGCGGTCTTTGCGTCTCTCGCACGGGTCATATGTTTGCGACAATGACCCACACGTCAATCGCCTTATGGCAAACAAGAGTATGTCTCGGTTTGATATGCACACTTTATGGTCGATGCATGTATTGACTAATCGTTAGCCTACCGCTGTTGTTGCTGCAGTTGCCCGGTCCGCTTCGTCACTCAGCACCTATGGCCCCAACATAACGCTTCTGATGCACCCCGATTCGACCATCATTGTCGTACAAACACTCAACGGATATCTGTTGACCTATACAGTCGCTACGGACCCCCACAATCGAGTGTACCAACAGCATTTCGATCACTCTACTCAGAGACAGCTTGCGCGATTGTCCGCCGAGGAGGATGCCAACGGGATCCGAGATGTCAACATTCGCTTCCGAATGGCCATCAAGATCGAATCTGGAATTGTAAGAGCTCTTGCTTTGGATAACGAGCTTGTCGTGGCAACGGTGAAACCACCGGCTATTCAGTGCATTCGATGGAGCCCGGACGCCAACGGTGCCCAGACCACCTCGGAACTGTTGAGCCGTATCCTGGGTGTGTCTAAGCGGACATCAATAACAGACATGGTCTACGATCGCGCCATCAATCTCCTAGTCTGGGTCACCAATGATGGTCAAGCCTATGCGGTCCAACGCGTATCGGAGAAAGCCCAGGAACCAGGGGCGCCAAAGAAACTCTTCCATGGCCATTGCTTTCACAGCCCTAGGGTTGACGGAGAAAAGGCGATCAAAGTGGCTGTGAACGCACGTTTTTCGCTTCTGACGGTGAACTGTGCCAACGGTAACATTCTGGTGTATACAGCCAAAGACTACCTAGGCAACGTTCCTCTATCCCACAGTCTTCAACTACCAGCCTCACCGGCCACGACAGGGAAACTGAACTTTATGTGCTACTCGCCAGATGGATACTGTCTTTTCGCCGGTTATGATCGTGGGTGGACTACGTGGAGTGTATTTGGCAAGCCTGGAGGGAATAGTTTCACGGCCGACCGGTCACTAGCGGAAAGCAATGCCGAGGACTGGTTGAACGGGGTTTCACATGGGTGCTGGATCGCCGGAGGCTCGGATATCATATTATCAGGACTGAGTGATCGGCGCCTGTGGGTTTTGGAGACGGCTCGCAGCGCCTTGACGGGCTGCTTCTCGCCGGCGAATTTAGCGAGAGGACTGCTGCAGACAGGAACGGAAGTCATTCTTTATCGAGGACATGACTTACCCGACCTCATGACTATATCAGGGAAGGATTCTCTGTGGCATCACGCGCAGTACCCTCCAAGCTATCTTCAGTCACAGTGGCCAATTCGATCCAGCGTCATCTCTCAGGATGGGCGCTATGTAGCCATAGCTGGTCGCCGAGGGATCGCACACTACAGCGTGAACAGCGGGCGTTGGAAAGTATTTGCGGATGCCAGTGTGGAGAATTCCTTCGCAGTCCGAGGCGGCATGTGCTGGTATGGTCACATTTTGATCGCCGCCATCGAAAGTGATGGCTCCTACGAGGTTGGTAGTGGGTCGCAGGACCAATATACAGGATCTGGCTAACAGCACTTCAGCTGCGACTATATTCACGGGAGCAACCGTTGAATAATCAATCAATTTTGCATATCGAATACCTCCCCTCTCCGGTGGTCTTTATTGGGCCATCGGGTGAGGATTCTATCCTTGTTTATACATACGAAAACATCCTATATCATTACATCATCTCCTCCGTGCACTCTCGAATTACACTGGTCCCGGTTGGTCAGATTGCCTTTAACGGAATCGTGCGAGCCCCAACTCGAGTACGGGCAATCAGCTGGGTGTTGCCAGAGGATCAATTGCGTAAGTGCGCAGATGGCATTTGAGATGGATAGCAAGTTCTGACTGCAGCAGGGAATGGTGACCCGTCCCAGGATGTAAAGCAAGCGTCCGTGCTTCTTTTAGTGGATGGCAACCTAGTATTGCTGCAGCCGTCGACGTCGGATACGGGTGAGTTGAAATACGACATGAGAGTGATATCCCACGACGTTGAGTATTACATCTTGATGCGGGATCAATTTTCATTCAATTTTGCCGCATCCATGGACGAATCACTTCCATCTAGTCCGGCGGCCGAAGTAGTATTGAACATGTACCACAACAGCCTGTCGTTACGGGACTCTCTCTGGACGTTCTGCGGAAAAGACCTGCTGGCCTGGGCCGATGTGCAGGATGTTCTACAGCGAGACGAAGTTCCAAAAGCCATCCAGATACCGCTAGACTTTTATCCGCTATCGGTTCTGTTAAACAAGGGCATTGTACTAGGCGTGGAATCAGAGATGACTCAGCGTCGCGATGTCACCTTTGCCGTGCTCAAGTTTGCCATACGGGTAAGTTGGGGCCACTGTATCGGAGGCAGGTGAACAAGCACTGACGATTACAGAGCCATCTATTCCTTCCATATTTCTTACAGCATTGTTTGACACACGGCGACATGTCAGCAGCGCTGTCGCTATGCCAACACTTTTCCCACCTATCATACTTTCCGCATGCTCTTGAGATCTTGCTGCATCACGTCCTGGATGAGGAGGTCGACAATGAAAGCAGAAACAACAAAGTCGAGGACCCGTCCCAGAAACACGACCCCCTCCTTCCCTCCGTCATCTCGTTTCTCCAGGCATCCTTGCCCGCCCGAGTATATCTGGACATTGTCGTGCAATGCACACGAAAGACCGAACTTCGGTCGTGGCGCACGCTATTCACCTACCTCCCTCCTCCTAAGGATCTGTTCGAACAGGCACTCCGACTCAACTGCCTCAAGACGGCCGTGGGGTACCTCTTGGTGCTGCAGGCATTTGAAGATGAAGAGGGTCACGAAGCGCCGATTGAGGACTACGTGGTGCGACTTATTGGGCTGGCATCGCAGAAAGGCGAATGGGAGCTATGCGCCGAACTGGCGCGGTTCCTGATCGCCTTGGACCGGTCTGGCGATATGCTTCGACGGGCTGTGTCGCGCGCGGGACTCCGGAACGGCGGTTATGGACTCGGACTGGCGATCAGTCCGTCATGGTCATCGTCACCAGCGTCGTCGATTTCACCACGACGAGGTTCTCGAGAGGAGCAATAGGGGGTTCTATCTGTACATATGCTAGATATCATTGGCTTGAATTTAGTTCAGATCCATTACGTTGATTACCTACATACGTATAATTCATGCAAAACATAAATCTATCTCATCACTCATTTCATTGCCCTGGATCAATAAAATAAACGAACCAAAACGGGAATCGAAACAAAATCGTCCATAAAAGAAAACCAAAGAATGAAATAGAGTCAAATCTAGTCCAAATTCATCCTCCACAACCCATCCCCCAAATAATGTCCATCATCAATGACAATTCCCTTCTTCTTTTCCTTAATCTCCTCCGTCCCCGCCTTCAACACCCCAACCAAACACGCCAATTCCTTCCCCTCTGCCAACACCGCGACCACGTCTCCCTTTTCGAGTTTCTGGTCCGCGTCGGGGAGTCGGCCGCCCGCACTGGTTAAGCCGGGGGCCATGAGAGCCGCGCCGGAGAGGACGAAGCGGATGGCGCCACGGTCGATCTGGACCGTTGGGAGGGCGGAGGGGAAGGAATGGACTAGTTTTAGGTGCGGAATCGGTGGTCCGTCAAGTGGTTGGTAGAATAGAGGTGTGCTGTCGATTGTGTAGAGGGTGCACTTATCAGGTCTTTTATCATTCATTCATTTATTAGCTTTTTTTTTTTTTTTTTTTTTTGGAGTTGAGTGGCGGTGGATATGGGTCTGGATATGTGCAGATATGTAGAAATAAGGAAAAGAAAGAAAGAAATACAATTTCACCGCATCCAGTTGAGCCTTCTTCGGAAGAATCTCTTCAATATATGGTTCAAATCCTGGATACGTTTCTAGGAATCGTTGGCGCAGACCGCGCTGCACCGAGGATTTCACTTTCGATCGACTGCTAGGAGGGATTCTGTATCTGTTAGTCTCCCTCTGTGGGTTGTAACTCAATCACGACGGGGCAAACGAATTCTCACTCTTTCTTGAACATTTTGCTGGTGAGGTGGGTTGTGTCGTAGCTCTGCTCTCGATCGTGGCGGTTTGCAGTCGACGCGGGGAAGGGTTGCTGTCATCACGTGCAAAAGTCCTTTGCATATTGACGTCTATTCTATTCTGTATGTACTCACTACAGATACTCCGGTATACTCCATACTTCATACACAACATAGGTAACGTCATTTATTCATACTAACTATTTAACCACGGGCCGCTCCCGCCTTGATCAGAAGGATGTCTCCATCCTCCACTACATAGTCCTTACCCTTGGTCATTACCTTACCGGCGGCCTTCACAGCCCCTTCGTCACCGTATTCTCTCAGGGTATCGTAGTTATACACAATAGCCTGGATAAATGTTTTCTCGAAATCTAAATCCCGTCAGATGCAGTCACCCACACAGGAAAAATCCATACTTACCAGAGTGAATAACACCTGCAGCACCAGGTCCTTTAACACCCTTGCGAATAGTCCACTGGCGCACTTCATCGGCACCGGTGGTGAAGAAGCTGGCCAAGTTCAGCACCTGACGCATAGTGGTGATCACCTTAGGCAGGTTGGACTTGGTGCTCAGCTTCTTGCACTCCTCCTCGGCCTCCGCGTCAGTCTCGAAACGCGTGAGACGCTCCTCGAACGAGACGGAAATGGGGATCAGAGGATCGCCGGGGGAGTTGGTCTTGATCCACTCAAAGACTTTGGGAAGATACTTGTTCTTCTGGCGGATGTAATCCTTCTCACTGAGGTTGACCAGGTAGACAACCGGCTTGGCGGTCAGAAGCATGAGAGGGTTGATCACCTCGACCTGAATGAGTTTCCAAATTAGCGACTGATACTGAACCATTACGGCAAGAAAGACGACGAAAACACATCATATCAGACAGGACTTTATCTCAATATGACCTCTACGTGAATTAAAAATGAGGTCATTCGACGAGCTGGGTTAATTTCGAGCAAAGCTCTTATTCATCATAAAAACAGGCTAGGGCAGGAAAAGCCAAAACAAAGCGGGGGAAAAAAAAAAGCACATACCTCCTTAGGACTCCATTCGCCCTTTCGGACATCATTACCCTCCTTCAAATACTCCAGCACCTTGGTGACGGTAGCCTCTTCCTCACGGAGTTTCTTCATCTCCAGAGTCTGACCGCCACGTCGCGTCTGCTTGCTCAAGGCCTCCTGAGCCTTCTCGACGAATTCGATATCCTTGATACGCAATTCCTCGCTGATGATGTTCAGATCCCGGATGGGGTCGACGTCACCCTCGACGTGGATGATCTCGGCATCGTCGAAGCACCGGACGACCTGGAAGATGGCGTCGACGGCACGGATATGCGATAAGAAGGCATTGCCCAGACCAGCACCTGTGGAAGCACCCCGGGTCAGACCGGCGATATCATAGACGGTCAAGTTGGCAGGAACCTGCGACTTGGGCTTGTAGTGTTCACACAGCCAATCGAAACGCTGATCGGGGACGATGACACGCGCCTCTTCCGGATCAATGGTGGCATAGGGGAAGTTGGCTGGATTACCCAGCGACGACTTGGTGATAGCTTGGAACAATGTCGATTTACCAACATTGGCCAGACCAACCTAGAGATCGTTAACCCAAGGGGAGACCCATTATGTGTGCATGGTGATAGGAGAATATGAGAGTGAGAAAAATAAAACCAAGAAGAGAATTATTTTGAGGGGAGGGAATGAGATTAAATAGGGGAAGGAAAAAAAGGAAGGAAAAAAAATAAAATCGTGGCTGGGAAATTTAAGGGCAGAAAAAAAAAAAAAATTGTTGGTGGGGTCAATGCTCACATACGATACCACTTTTCAGATTGTTTCCTGGACGGCCCAGGAGTACCTTCTCTTGGACAACAGCCTTCTTGGGAGGCATCTTGGATTTGCTCTTCTTTTTACTGGCGTAGGAACGGACAGAGACGAAGAGGGGAGAAGAAGAGGAGGGGCAGAGGACGCGGGGACCGAAGGAACGGAAGCGCAACCAAGAAGCAGGACCAGCTGCAGCAGAGGAAGAAGAATGGAGGGGAAGAAGAGAAAGGAAAAGAACGGAGGAGGGGCGGGTGAGTGACGTGGTGGCGGCAGGCCCAATGACGTGGGCGACTACAGTAACTATTTGGATAGAGTTACTCAAGAGTACTTTGCATGGTTGACAAGTACGGTGTATATACTTGGTATAAGTACAGAGTAAAAGCCTGTGATGAAAGTCGATCTCGCCTAATCGGTGTGCGTATCACTCACCGCCCACATGACCGCAGAGCCCTGACGTCACCTGATCCGGTACCGGTACTCATGTGGTACGGTATGGTAAGATTGGTATCCATTGGTATAGTATGTATTGTACAGCGCAACAGAGCTCGTTCGACTGGACAATAACCACCCCCTCGCCCCCGGAAACAAACTCCTTGGAACACCAGACTCCAAGTAAATATAACCCTCAGGCCAGACTCATGTCTCCATGGCATCCCCGGCCTCCGAATCATTATTATCCACTACTCCCAGGAGCTTCGCATAAGGAACCGTCACCCTCTGAAGGTCCCGATGCTTACCTAGCACGCACACACCCTTCGTCAGCAGTTCTCTTGCCTCAACGTTGTAGGACTCCACTTACCCAATGCCAGGATCACCTCCTTCAGGAGGACCTCTCGTGGCCAGCCACAGAGGGTCTCCGAGTTCTCTCGCCAATTGCGGTCTTCCTGTTCGTTCCCCTGCAGCCGTTCTCCGGTCGCCGTCTCCTCTTCAAACAGTCCCCCAATCAGCCCCTTGAGTAGCTCTTCCACCTTTATCTTGAGCCCTTCGGCCCCAATGCGCTTGGCATACATGGACAGATACAGGCGGAACTCTTCCTTTGCGCCCAGGGACAGGGCCGCGGCCAGTCGGTTCTCCAGATGCGCAATGGACATGCTCGACTCGAAGCTCTCGTAGCCCTCCCGCGACAGAAGAACCTTGATCAGCCGTTGAAGGAAGTATGCTCGTCCACGTAACAGCGTCTCGTTGGTCGTGTTCCGCTCCAGAAACGGGATGATGCCCGCCGACACCATTGCCTTGGCTTCCTTGTCCTGCTTGGAATCTGTGGGTTGGAGGTTGCCCACCGGCGCATCCGTCGTATTCCAGTACTGGCTGCCTACCGCCCACCAGGCCTCGGAGATGCGCTGCCACGTATACATGGCGGGCGAGTATGCGTATCCCTCCCCGTTGGACAGAGCCACCACCACGCGGCCTTCGGAATTGATCCGCGCATTCGTCACCGCCGGTGCCGCCGTGGGATGCGCTCCCAGCGTGTGAACTGCCGCATCCAGCACCGGCTGCAGGGAGATAGGCGGGTGAGGCGACGACAGGTGCTGTACATTCCAGACATAACACATCCCCACCGCGGAGATGCAAAGAATCCATGGCCCATTGCATTCCAGTATCACCGGCTGCGCCTCCAGGACAAGAGCACTAACGAGACGACGGCCGGCGGGGGTCCAGATGTATACCGATCCATCCTCGCAAGCCGCAGCCCACATGTTCTGGTTGCCCGTCACAAGAAGGACGGCCCGCGGAAGGAAATCCTGCCACAGAGGCTGTTCCCCCCGATAGAGTGTGAGCCGGACTGGCTCCCGATCGACAGCGCGACCCGTCAAGCTCGCGGGAGATGGGTTCCGGGCTTCGAAAACCACATCTACCCGAGATTTACTCGACTCTCCCGCAGTGCTAGGGGGTTCGGTGGGCTTCCCTGCCTCGTCGATGGCACGCAGAATCTGGCTGCGGACCTTCGGCACCGCCAGTCGCAGTTGACTGATAGCCATGGATGGGTTTGTTACGGCGGGTCGAATAAATTCAGGTGTCGGTTGCTGCCCCTCGGACGGGGGTTGTGGTTGTGCAGGGAGGAGACCGTCGGGCGTGTTTGCAAGAATGGGAGTAGCGCCATTCGCACTTGCCAGCGCCACTCGTTTTTCAACGTGACCATCATCATCACCCTCCAGCTGCGCCAGTTTCCGTTTATTCCCAAACAGCAGCGCGGCCAGACCCCCTTTTGGCAGGCCGTCAAAGGGCTTGGAGAGATCCACGATGGACTGGGGTGTATCGGCTTTCACTTGGCTGCTCACCGAAGCCATAAGCCGTGCCTGTGGCAGAGAAGATTCGGCCGCCCCTGCGCCGGAGACCAGAAGAGGTGCGATACGCTTTCTGCCATCTTTCGTGTACGTAGGACGTTGCTTTAGTCTCTCCAACTTTGCCTGGTAAGGGTCTGGCTTCTCCACCTCCGGAGCGGCTGGTGTCGTCGTGGTTCCGTCCGGCTGTGCCTTTTGCGCATCGGAGGCAGGAGACGCGACTCGAGCTGGTGTTACACCATTTGACGGTAATGGGGTTGATTTGCCGTTAACCATGCTGTCGGCGGCCGCATGGTTATCGCCCATCAAAGCTCCCATTCTTCCTTCAACGTCCTTGATCTCGCCAGCCTTGCTCTTCTCCTCTAGTAGAAGACCGTCCGTAGTCTCCGTAATGCCGGCACCCCTTCTATTAGTACCGAACTTGGTGAGTGATTTCTCGTTCTCCTCCATTTCCATCGCAAAGCCAAGGTCTCCGTCCTCAAATCGAACCGCCAATATCGTACCATCCAGAGCAGTTGCATACAGACACTTCCCGTCAGGACTCCACGCGAGGTCGGATATGGATTTTGCCGCCAGCTCCTGAGCCACCACGATAGGCCGGGGGTTGCTTGTAATCCAGATACTCAGTGACTTATCGCCTCCCGCACAGGCAATGACCGTGACGGAGCTCGGTGCATGGCCTTGACTATCCACCCCCGGTTTGTTGGCCGGCTGGCTAGAATACAGACGCGGGGAGAAAGCACAGACTTCAACGGGAGCCTCATGTCCAATGAGGTTGATATCTCCGTCCCATGACCCACGATTAATGATTGCGACGGAGCTAACAGGTCCGTTAACGGCGTTTGCTGCCGCAATGTGCATCCCATCCGGAGACCAGGAGCAGCGACGGAAATAGGCTGTAAGTGGGGAATTATGGAAGGGCGCAGAGATGGTGTGTTCAAGGACGAAATTATTCATCTGATCGTGAGCGGTCGAGTTGGGGGCTGGAGAGGTAAAGCGGAAAATGCGAACGGTGCGGTCATCGCTCGCCGTCGCAAAGTATTTATTTGCGGGATCAAATGTAATCCCCTTGACATGGCTCTGGTGAACAGACAAGGTTTTGAGCTTCTCAAATGTGTGGCCCGACCACACCACCACCTTAGAGTCCAGGCCGACGGAAACCAAAATAGAAGAATCATAGGACCATCCCAAATCCTGCACATCATTATCATGGCCTATCAGTCTGCGAATTGTGCGCCAGTTCTCTACTGGTGGCGCCTCGTTTGATCCTAAATTGACAGCCCCCATCATCAGCCTCCATAGTTCTCCAAAGCCATTCGCATCCTCAGCACTTACCAAATGTCGAAGCGTGAGACGGGGGATTGGCATCCAGGGAGTAGATGCAAACAATTTTATCGTCTGCTCCCGATGCCAAGTACTTCCCATTAGGTGAGAATCGGACGGTATGTATTGTTCCGGAGTGGTTGCTCATAGAGGCCAGCTGTTTTGGCTTACTCGCAACCTCTGGGTCATCAGTGTTGCAAATAGCCTCCGTAGACCATATACGAACATATCCATCTGTAATCCAACAAAAAGTACAACGTCAGCTCCTATTCTCCTCGGCACGTTCTCACGACTGTAGGGACGCTATTGGGCATGGCACGAAAAACTAACCTCCAGCGGCTGTAACAAGTCGGCTTCCATCGGGCGAAACATCGCAACTGTAGACTTCAAAATCCTTCCTCTCACCTGCGATACAAGAAAAGAACACGTTAGCAGGTACAAATCACTTTTCACGCCGACCCGGTCCATCTCCGCAGAGCTCAATGGAGCAGTGAGAAAGATTGCCAAAAACAATAAGAAAATAAAATATTACCTCCATGCGTTAGCCAAACTGGCTTGATGATATGCATTTCCAAAACTTCGTAGCTATGAGCTTCACTTGTTTCTGTTGCACTCAATCACTGGTAAGTTGACGTGGATGGAGAGCTTCCTGGGAGCATCGCAATGCAACTGCGTCCACCAGTCATCGAACCACGGGATTATTTCTCAATCCAACGGGACGTCCAAGATTGGAGTAAAGACTTGTCTCGTCCTCGGAAATTCCGGGGTTGCTGGAAACCGGTAGGGAGAGTCAAGGAACAGACAACGCGAGAACCAAGAAAGGGCCGATAAAAGTCGCGCCCGAAGTCCATCTCGTCGCGATTTATCTCCTGCGTTGGTCCGAGCTTCTGCCGTTCTCCGCCTGCTTGGCAGATCCAATCTTTATTTGAAGGAATCAGCAACATTACAAGCCTCAGTTATCTACCTATCCTACTGTACATACATCCGGTTCAATTACATGACCTGGTGATGGGTAATGTCCTCGCTCCAAGATCCCAAGCTGCAATACAAGCACTCCCACCCTCAGCAAACCCTTTGTTTCTTTCTTTTGTACCATTCCTGGCCTCCGATTCCATGGACTCCAAAAGCCGCGCTAACAAAGTTATGGGTTGGGGGAAAGAGAAGAGAAACAATAGCGCGGGTAGAATACACGGAGAGGAGGATAGTATAATACTCAATCGTAAGTTAAGATTAAAAGGAAGAACAGTCCACAAGAGAAAATAAGGAGGGAGTTAAAATAGATAGCAACAAAAGAAAACACTGCGGATTGTCACTCAAGAGGTCCGATTCACCGGCTCTGCTTACTGGCCTGGTCGAAGCTCTCCAGCACATTCTCTGTGACGCCGTCTTTTCCAGTCGCTCCCTCCTGGGACTCTGCAACGGGTTCCCAGTCCTTGGTAGGTGTTGTCGGCTCATGGATTTCGTGAGAAGTTGCGCTCTGTGATGGCTCCGGCACTCCGAGAGCCTTCGCCGCGATGCTTTTCGCCTGGCCCTCTGTAACTTTGCCGTAGACAGCCATGGCATTTGCAATCATTCCACCCAAATCGCCAACGTTTCCAGGAACCACCACTGCAGTGCCTTCCTTCGCAAGCTTCGAGAACGCGTCGACGTATTTCTCAGCCACGCTGAGGCTGACGGCGCCGTGGGCATTCTCCTGACCAGCCTCAATAGCCTTGGCCACGGCTTCGATTCCGCGGGAAGTAGCCCGAGCCTTCAACAGGATCGCCTCGGCCTCACCAGCAGCGCGGTTTATCTTTTCCGCCTGGATGGCCTCCGAGGCTAGAATGACGGACTGTTTGCGGCCTTCCGCGATGTTAATCGCACTCTGTCGCTGGCCCTCGGACTCCAGGATCTCCGCCCGCTTCGACCGCTCGGCCGTCACCTGCCGATGCATAGCAGCAACCACTCCATCCGGAGCATGGATATCCCGGATCTCGTACCGCAGACAGACGACACCCCAGACCTGTGCCGCCTCGTTGATGGCCTTTGTGATGTTGGTATTCAAGGTTGCACGCTCCTTCAACACATGGTCCAGCGTAAGCTGACCGATTTCCGAACGCATTGTTGTCTGCGCAAGTTGAGAGACTGCATATTCGGGATCCTCGACGCCGTAACTATAGCCAAGAAAGAAAACCCCCGCAAACATTAGCCTCGTTCCAAAACCTCCGGTCCGCAGGGGCCCGGAAACAGTTGCGAACACTCACCTTGCCTTGTAGGCATCGAAAACCCTCGTGTATAGAACACCGTCAAGCTCCAATGTGACATTGTCGGCTGTAATGGCATTTTGACTAGGTATCTCAATAGCGGACTCCTTCAAGCTCTTGACGTAGGCGATGCGGTCGAGAAACGGGATCAGAATTGCCAGGCCAGGATCAAGAATTCGATGGAACCTCCCCATGCGCTCGACAATCCACGCGGTCTGCTGGGGGACGAACCGGATGATGGTGTTCATGGGAAGTGTCGAGCGATTCGCGAAGTATGTGGCAGGCACGCCGCCGCCCGGCGAGGAGCCAGGCCCGAAGTGCAGGAGTGATGAGTCGGGCGCAAGCCTTTGAGGCGAGGTAGATACATTTCTTCGTCGAACACGATTCAGGGTGTTTGTGGCTATGAGACTAGAGTGAAGACGAGAATTCTTGAGAAACTGGTAGGAACTGTTAGGGTGACACCGGAATAGCCTCGACGTATTTCTGGAGGCCACTTCCATTATGAAAACTTGAATGCTGCAGGACTAATTTCTATAACACAGTTTAATAGGAGGGGAGGTCGGGTTGAGCCAGAAAGAGCTATCTGCCGAGTGAAGATCTCCAAGACGCTGGCTTGTTCGTCACTTCAGCTACAGCTTGTGGCCTGAGGCAGACTATGATGAGTCATCAGTTCCACCCCCCAACCAATTACCTACGCAGCATTTCAGGTTACAATGTAGAATGTAGGCACTATAGTAAAGAAACAATGTAAATGGGGCTTACAGAAAGCAAGTAGGGGTTAATAATTGCCCCTAATGTGCCTAGCAAATTACCTTCACATAAAAAGGGGGAATGAAGTGGAAAGCAAGTCAACCAACCCGTATTAGTTATGCAAAATACAATGACACAAACACCATCCATCCCAACCAGCTGAACAAATAGATAGCAATATTTTAGTGAACAAAGCCCACTAGCCATTTGAGTGAAAAGAGTTCTGCCATACCATGCCTATAAAAAGAAGCCGACTTCAATTTTGTCTTTATGACCTCAAATGCGCCTTGTAGAAGAAAAGAATTTTTTTCTCTTTTTTTGGGGGGAGTTCTCTGGTTTTGATATTCGTACTAGAAATTGAGAGCAAGAGTGGAAACATTACCGCAATATTAGAGGCAAAAAGAAAAAGAGGATAAAAAAAGCCGATGAACATTCTATGGTCGTGGGAATAACTTCAACCCGGCACACCACAGAAGCAAACATCAAATGCAGACGATACTGCCCAGGAAAACATGCCCGGACTCCAGAAAATTTTGAAACCTCCCATGACTGAAACAAAATACGATGAAATTGGGGGGGAAGAAAAGACACAAGCTGAGACATTGAATGTGAATATATCAATCCACCCAGCCGAAGGTTGGCCATCGGCAACTGAAAGCAAAATATGAAAGATATAAATGTAGAAGCTGACAAATAATAATGCAAGTCATGATGGATAAGGCCACGGAAAAAAAAAAAAAAAAAAAAAAAAAGAGATAAATGGTCGGTGAAAGAAAGAGGGAAAACAAAAATCACTTTTCCAGCTCAGCTCGCCCAGAATACAGTTAACCATTATTTTGCGATGTTTGGAATCGAATTCACCGCGACAAACTGAAGGTTTGTAAAACCCGGACACTCCGACTCATTCAAGGGAGTTCAGTCGCAGTAAAACCGACAAGATCAAAGGAACCTCGCCGATGAAGACTTTTGCCTGTCCAACAAAAAAACAAAAAAAATGAAACCGTAAAGGTGAACAATTCGGGAAAGCCTTGGCTGACGTTTCGTGTAAGATCATCAAACGCTAGACTCTTAAATTCATTGTACATTTGTGCATTGAAATTTTGGACCAAGAAGTGCGACCAGAATTGGTACAGGACATCCATATCACGGTCACCATCTCGGGTTGCCGTATAAAGTTCGTTCGTCAAGAACACGTTTCGGAAAGCACTGCGGAGTTTCGTAAAAATAAAAACAATCGGAAAGGCAAAAACCATGACCGGAAGAGCCTTCTCTTTCGCGCCAGATGTCGATAGATTGATTCCAGGGGATTGGTGGAGTGCTCAGCCCACGACCTTAAAGTGATAAGGCCTATGTCTTGACTGGGGTTGAATTAGTAGAGACCGGGGACTCAAGGCGGATGAAAGCATACCAACAGGCCAGCATCCCGGGAAGAGAGGGAGGAGTTCTGTCCAAGGAGACCTAGTCTACCCGCTGCTTTAGGTCAGCACATTTGCCAAATCACCGGACTAAGAAGCCCATGTTTTGAACTGTGAACATGGAGAGAGGACACTTACGTATTCAGCTGGAGCATCAGTTGCCTTCGCAGGAGAGAATTCTGGCGCATCAGAAGACAATGATGTCTTGGGAATACCATTTGATAAGGACTGATGGGAAGTAGACCCATTTGTCGCCCCATCCACATGGCTCTGCGGTGTTGAGCCCTCGTCGGCCTTGCTCTGCTTTGCCGGGGAAGTGCCACTATTCTGAGCAGAGGGATCGCGCTGGTTCAAAGGTAGAACCCATTGCTCCCACTCCCGCGCTCGCAGACGGTCAACACCATCTTCTCCAGCAACATGTTCAACGTTTCTCAATTGACGGGCCGCAAGGCGGAGGAACTCAAAGTCTTCGGTCAATGTCTTGATTCGCTTGAAAGTGGCGATGAATGCCAAATCCACAAATCCCTGTGAGTCCATGTGCTTACGGAGGAACAAATCTTTGCACAGGTTATCAACAGAGAAATAATATTCAAGCTGGAACGAAACCATGCTCATCAGGGAGTAGGGTTCCATATATTGCGGATATGGGGCTGCCGTCATAGGACCAGCGTGCATTGGCTGATAGCCATACATGGTGTTGATATCCGCAGGGAAGGGATAGACACCATACATGGACGCAGAGTTAGGTAGCGAAGGTGACCTCAAGGACATCCTGTGACCCTGAGAACCATTGGCAAGCCCATGCTGTGGCCGTTGCCGGTCGCTAAAGCCGTACGATTTCTGGTGCATGAACGAACTATGCGACATGTGGTTGTTGGGGAAGTTGGAATTCTGAGAGCCGCCAAAGCCTCCCCGGCCACGGTGCGAGCCTCTGCCTCGTTCGGCACGTGACTCACGAGAGAACTCCTTGTCCTTACGGTCACCATAAAATCCAGCGAAATCCGCTGACCTGGGACCATTTTCAAATCGACGGTCATGTGAAGAACCATTGCGAGGACCAGCTTGTGCATCCACAGACAGATTCGGGTTTTTGGAACCATGATCTCCTTTGTGGCCCGATTCATGATTCTTGAATGCCTTAGCATCACGATGATTCCGGGGGAACGTATCGCCATGTCTACCAGCAGGGGCGGCATTGGCACTATCCGCTCCCTTAGGCGCACGGCTGCGGTCTGCTGCCTGAGATTTACGTGGGTCTGCCGAGCCAGCGTCGGTGCTGTTGGATCGCCTTGATGTTGCAGGAAGCGAGTTTGCGCGAGCAGAGTTTGGCTCATTCCTTCCCCGGTCGGTGGTTGTGGCCTTGCCAGAGCCCTGAGCTACCTGACCAGAGGCAGCTTTATCAACGGTAGAAGCTCCGGCACCGTGGGCTCCATTCCGAGCGCCATCCCGTCCTCCACGGGCAGCTCTTCCACCTCTGCGAGCAGCGGAGGGGAGAGGGGTGTTGAAAACGGCAGTAGGAACATATGGGACGGGCATCCATTTCTCCTTTCCGTGAGGTCGGATCACAGGGCTCTTCTCAGACTTCTCGGTCTTGTCGCCCTTTTCTTGTGCTTTCCGCTTCTCTTCGCCTTGAGCGACCTGAGGCGTCGGCCACGAGGCTGCATCTTCAACTGGTGGGACAGTTACGGATTCATCACGTACTGCCCTCTTCCTATCTTTGCCCTCGGTATCCCCTCCCTTCTTCCTAGTCGCTGCTTTTGGCTGATCTTGCTGGTTGTTCCCTGATATCGAAGAAGCTGTGGATCCAGTCTTAACACTTCCACTCTCAGAGTTGGCTGGCTTCAGTGACGCCACTGCTTTGGCCTTGGCTTCCTGTGCCTCTTTTCTCTGTTGCCACACATTTACCGACGGAAGTGGAGCAGCCTTCAGCTCCTTAGGAGGTTCGTTCTTTTCTTTCTCTCCCGTAAGCTTGTCCTTTGGGGTTTCATCCCCATTGCGCGGCTTATCGGTTCCCGAATCCTGGGATTGCTTGTCCCAGGTAGATTCCGAGGTGCCATTAGGAGTGCTTAAATCCTCATCCTTCGCTATTGTAGAAGTCGACGACGAGTTACCAACACTGGGGGATGATGTTCCTGAAGCGTTCGCCTTAGAGTTGATGGGAGCTGCAGTCTCTGAATCCTTGCCTGCGATGGCAGTTACATTCTCCGCTTCCTGAGATGCTTCGGCCTTCGAGCTCACGGAATTTTCAACTTGCACACCCGAATTTGGCCCATCTGGCTTGGTAGCGTTATTCGACTCTGCTGTTATCATTGTTGGGGCTGTTGAAGCAATGCCCTTAGCTGCTTGGGCGTAGGAAAAGGTAGTCGCCATATTCTTTGCGGTAAAGAAAAAGAGAAGTCTAATATATCCGCTCTAGAAAAGTGAAGAAAACCGATGTTCTGCCAGAGAACAGGTGCCTCCGTTGGTAACTCCAATCAAAGAAACCTGCGTGCGCCAACTGATGGCGAAACAGCTCCAACGTTGACGGCTATCAGAAGAACCAACTTCCGTCCTCTTTCGAACCCACCAAGCTGCAACTTCCCGTCACTGGAGATAAATCCTTCTCCGGTGCAGGTTGTGGAGGTAGATGTCCGTTTGATCGGTTAACAGAAGGCACGAAAATTTCGTTCGCTGCCGAAAAGTGGCAAAAACAAGTATTTTATCAGCGTATCCTCAATTATAGAATACTACCACACAAAACACATCGGTGTTGCTCTTGCTGATAGGAAAAAAAATATTTTTTCTTTGGGTCGGTTCGATGGGGGTGGGAACGATAATATTGGCGTGCGCAAGTTCGGAAAAAGGCGATCGAATCTTGAGAAGCTGGAGAGTTAAAACATGAAATCCAAATGAGAAACAATTCAAGAGCTTCAGTATTGAACGCAAAGTGTTGTGTAAAACCACCACAGAACTCACCCAGTTTGTATCGTTCGATGTTCGGTCCGCCGGAATATTTGCGAAGGCTACCCGAGATGCCACTTGAGCAGTTGAACAAAGTGACAGTGAATACACGCTAGATGTCTTGAAGAGGGCCTCGTTGGGTTGCCCCTTGTGAAGCGTAGGCGAGGCGCGACTTGCACGTGGCGACGACTGCTGCAGGATAATAATGAGACGGACTTCGAGAATTTCCCTGCGAAGGAACGGTCCAGGGGGGGAATAGAGATAAAAAAAGTAGTCAAGAGTAGCGACGGTAGTCGAAGCTATTCTCCTGCGGAGAAAATACAAAAAAAAAAAAAAAAGAAAGAAAATAAATTCCAAGGGGATCAACCGATCAGTATACCCTTGCCAGTAAAAATTCCCGCGAAATACAGGATGTGGGAAGGAGAAGATCGGAGAGCGGAAGATGTGCACTGAAGAATGAGCACAACCTCACTGCGGCAACACGGACGCCAGCAACGGAACCACGAACGTTGGCGAGGATGAAGAGAAGTAATGGGAAGAGAACTTCCAGGAACGTTGAGGGGAGAGAGGGGGAGAAGGAGGGGGGTAAGAAACAGAGGGAGAAGGAAGAAAGAGAAGTGAGGGAAAAAGAGACGAGCGTAGTGCAGTGTGTGAGAGAGACAGAAAAATAATTGGGGAAAAAAAAAAAAAAGACAGAATAATAATAAAAACAGTAATAAATTTGGAGGGACGTGGAGGGAAAGCCGAAGGAAGCAAATGAGAACAGTAATAATTGTGGACTGACAGAAAAAAAAAATTAAAAAAATGAAATCAATTAAAAATAAGTTACTGTCCGTTTTCTGCCTGTAAACTGCGCTCCATTTGATTCTCTGTACCTAAGCAGAAATGTAAAAAAAAGTAAGATTGTGTACTGTCGTTTCCCTCCCGTACGCGGAGCAAAGGTAAGTAATTATTACTTTCCCATTACTTTTGGTCTGCTTCTGGCGGTCCGCAGTGCTGGTTTAGTGGACTTCAGGGCTTCTGTGGGTATGAACCACTCTTTTCCTTCCTGGCTAGGACTAGATACTTCTCTTACTTCCGATCGTGGTTCTGATTCAGCACTCGAATTGCGCTAATCTGTTTCTAATCTACGAATATCCATATATACCAAAATATACGAATTATATTCGATACTCAATCCATCGATGCTGACTACCTCTTGGAGGGCGGTACAAAATGCCTAACAACATCAATATCTCAGAAAGATGTATTATTGTTTACCTGCCCGTCTGTCGGTCCAGGCTACATCTGACAACCTATAACCCCTCTTCTACATAGCTGTTCAACCACTATTCTGTAAAGGATGTCCTGGGATTGATTAAGAATAATACGAGCACTACACTGCCATTTATAGTAGCCGACTTCCGCGGCAGTATTCAGTACAAGGAAACAATTATCCGTCTGCATGTCCCACAGTGCCTGTGCAAGGTTAACTATGACATGTTTTATTGATCATGAAGGTGGTTCGAACACAGCTTCTATGCAATCAATATGATTGAAGCCACCGCAGCGAGCGGCGCAACACAGTAGAGGGGTGTGGAGGGGTCTCTTGGCCAACCCCTCCAAATGTAACTATACAAATTCGGCATAATTAATCTATCTACGGGAGAACAGTAGCTTGGTCCTCCGTATGTCTCTCCCAGGGGATGACATTGCAACCCCAAACTTCCAATGGTGTTTGACATGCCTAGGGGAATTATTGAAGAAGCTTAGCTCTCCCCTTGAATTTCTTCTTCGACATCATTCGAGAACCCAGAATAAACGTCAATCAAGACACTGCCCCGTTTTGTGAAGATTACTCCCAGACCATTGCAATCTCCTCTAATATGAATGGTGGGACCCTCATATCGGAGACACCTGCTCTTCCAGGGAGTACCTTGGGGTACCTACATAGGCACATACATACAAGCTTCCTCCGTGGGTGCTCCGGTCTCCAGAACCCAACGAAAGCATCAGAGGCATAGAAATCGAGTCTCAACCAACCAGAATCCAAGCAGGGGATTTAAAATCCCTGAGTAGGTACCAGTCTGCCTGTCTGGACCGCCGGAATTTCCTGCAAGTTAAAGTATTCCTTCTTCCTCCGCTTTCCCTACTAGGATTCTATTCCCTTCGTCCCGTTTTATCCTTTCCCCTTTCTTGTGCCCCCTGACTAGCCATGTGTCTTGAATGTTCCTTTCAAAATGCTAAATTCTTGGAATAAACCGAAGTATATAAACTATGTACTAACTATACCGTATCGACCTTCGGTACTAGATACCTACCGTACCTAACCTAGGTGTTGAATTCACGTGGCCCCTCCCTGTTTCAGCGGACTAGGGACCTGGTAGGAGCCCGTAGGTTAGTACCCCGTAGGTTAGTACACCGTAGGTAGAACCTGGTAGGTAAGGGCTCGGGTAATTGCAATACAGGCCCCTCTTAAACGTGGTTTCAAACATAATAATTAAATTTCTTCATAATTAGTGCTGCTTCTACTAGGTAGAACTTTCTTATTTTTATTTTTTATTTCCCATCTGTAGGTTCCAATCCTATACTCATCAAGTGATTGGAATCTCAATCTAGATATAGGTTATTTAACATTGATAGCAACACGTATTTGATCTGTAAAATCTATACAGGAATTACACGTGACACCTTGGATCTTTTCCGGCGTGTGCCGTGATGCCCCCTAGACAGGCGACGTAGCTATTCTCATGTCATAATTGTTGATCGCTAGCCAATGGCAATGCCCAGACTGCATGCCGAGGCGGACCTACACAGGCCACATATGGGGCAAGGGAAGAAACAATATTCATCGCTTAACAGCCCGCGTGAAGACCATTAGGGCTGAGGCTTCAAAGGGTCGCGCTCGGAATTCTTCGGAGGTTGACATCCGGCCGAGCGGTTGGGCATGTGTCACGTGAATGTTGTTTAGGCCATCCTTGTGTTAATATGTATTCTCCAATTTCTCCAGACCGAACTCCGTAGTATGGAGTGACAGTATGGAGTACCCCGTGCTAAGTATGTGCTACTGTTTTAGGGGATTCATGAATTAAATATTATAATAGAATGCATGCTCTATACAGGATGTCCTAGATGGTATCTGGTATATGCCATCAAAATACAAGGAATCAATCCTATGGAGCTAGCGTGCCTGTTACCAATGTCGTACGCTGACCAAGACCTGTTCAGCCGGATCCAATTCAATGGATGGCTGAGAACTTGTCACTAATCCCAGACGCGTAAGGACCTGCCAGACCAGTTTGCGCTTGAGATTCTCTCGCACGGGAATCTTTTCGAGCGCGTCATACCCGTTAAAGTATTTGATATAAATCGGCCAGTACTCCTTTAGTGAGTTTCGAAGTCCCGCATATTCCGGGTCACCCTCTGCAATATCACCGCTGGGTCTGCCTCCCCAGCCACGGCCCGAGACCCGAGAGTGTTGGGGGAATCTTGCCACAATCTCATCCAGCCATCGAGATTCTAGCGGCGAGGCACGATGAGGAAACAGAATCAGTGACGACGTTTTCAATGACGTGTTTCGGTCTAACAGTGAATGGGACATACGCAGGTCAGTGTCAGCTGTGTTCCGGCCTGGTATTGGAGTTTCTTCACCGCTGCCTTGGCTTGCAAGCGAGGATGACGAGGATGAACTAGTATCATCAAAATCGTCATGCTGTTGAGCTGTATCGGAAGAAATAGTGGTGGTCTCCCGCTTGCTCAGGTACTTGTCAATCTCCTCCCGTCGGAGAGCCGTCTCAACGGCCATTTTGATTTCCGGGGTGACTTTAACTCTTGCGAACGAGCGAAGTTGAGTAACCCACCCTCCACGTAGTAGCCATGCCAATATGGCGAAATACGTTTCTTTGTGATCTTTACTGGGGATAAAGCTCCCATACGGTCTGGGGGTCCCACTCATGGCCGACAACATCTTTGGGAGACTTGGAAGCGTGGGAAATGCTGCCTGGTAAGCGGCTGTAGCCACCTCGAGTTTGCTGAGATCACAGTTCGGGGACACAATGAAAGTGTCCCGTTGGTGGATTGGCGGTATAGCCCGTGCCCGTCTCCAGTACACGAGATGGCTCGCCAACATTTGGATCATTGAGAGAGGAATCCCGGACGATGCAGATATTTGGGCAAATGACTTCGTCGGCTTTGTACACCGAATATAATGAGCAAGAGCGGGGGCCAAGGCACCCCCAGATGACTCAACGTCTTTGAGGATGGTGGCCTCGTTGTCAAGTAAAAGCAGCGCAAAATGTTTGGCGGGCACCTGATGGGGTGCGGCATTCTCGTCGGCAGCTGGGTCATCCGCTGGAGTAACGCTGTCGGCTGTGGTGAGCCAGAGACCAGGAAAAGCCTTATCGGTTGGACCAGGAAGATAGGGTGTCGAGGTCAGAGGAGGAATCTGGAGGGAGATGGACACGTCCGGGCTCAACGAGACAGAAGCAATCTTAGATGCCGAGATACTAGAATACACCGTGTATATCGCTCTGGCCAGCGACGACTGGCTAATGAGCTCCGAGTAGAGGGTATTCATAGATGTTCCTGTAAATCAGGTCAACAAAGCCATTCCTGTTTGATTCCAGAAAACCCATTACATACTTTTCTCCTTTGCCTTCTCTTTGAGATGAGAGATGTTCTGGGCCTCCCGCCAGACATAGTCTGTCCGAGCCTGTTCCCATTTCAAAGCTTTGGCGAATTTCTTGATGATATTGTCATATACTTCGCGGATGCGCATGGAGTATTCCAGTAAGGGCGGATCCAGCACAAAAACCACATTAAACATCGTCATCGAATCCTTATCCTCGACATCCAGCGACTCACCTGCTGTCCATCCGGTCCTACTATTGGCTATTGACGCTCGCTGGGATTCAGCGGCCGTCAATAAGCTCGGACTCAAAGTCTCCGATGACGCTGCCATCACATCTCCGCCATCGTCCTGCGTATCCTCGACATTCTCATTGTGTCCAAGTTCACCTCCTTCCCACTCCGCCCGCGGTTTCTTCTGCTTTCGCCGCCGCTTCCTCCATGTTCCCTCTTCACGAACAAAGACGGGCCACCCCACGAAAGCCAGATCGTTGATCCCGACCTCAAAGCGCCGCTTATGCCACGATCGTGATGGACTCAGTAGCTTCTCCCACACATCTGCAGGGAGACCAAGCATTGACTCCCACGGCGGACGGAAAGGTCCCCCGCCTCCTCCTCCTCCTGCTCCTCCTCCTGCTCCTCCTCCCGGGCCATCCTCCGGTCTATCCGACGCAGCTCCGGGGTCGTCCTCCACGTCGGAAGCGCCCCCGCGCTTTCTCAATAACTTGCGGTTCGAACTGACGGATCCGGCCCGCTGGGAGTCACCACCCGGTGAAACCGACATAGATCCATGGTTGTCCAGGCCGAAGTTACTCGACCGCCGACCGGTGGTCGCCGAAACGGCGCTACCGGCCAGGTGAGTTACGCTGGGATTTTGGCTGTGTGTATGATGTTCCTCCTCGTCCTCATCGGATGTCGATCGACTATCTTCACTGGAAATTGAATCATTGCTCTTTGAACCTTGTCTGCTCCTGGTTCGCGAGGCCCGGCGCGCTTTGGCGGCGGCGGATCGTAGTCCATTCTCGCTGAGCGGATTGGGAGGGTAATGGAACACGAAGCGAGGACCGGCTCGCGACCGGACAATCAAGACAATTGCCACTAGGCAGGGATCTGGGGGACGTGCAATTGAGGACATTGGAAGTCAGTCACAGACGAGAACATGCTGAAAAGTGAGTTGGGATTGAAGCGTGGTCGAGAAGGCTGAGGTTGATGGAGTGGATCAGGTTGGGATTCCAGAAGGCGGGATAGCTTCCCCGCATGGACCACCGGTTGACATCCAGGCATATTCCAGTCTCTTTACACCCTTCATGTAGAAATAGCATATTCTCGCAGATGATTTTACATTCCTATGATACATCCATGAAATGATTACCAGGGTTATCGATCCAACGTACAGAAAGTAGATGCTAACTAGTATACACCAAACACAAAAGATGTATATAATACATGGCAATCCAGTCAACGCCTGAAAATGGAGATTCGGACGTCCAACAGGAACAATCCGGACGATCGTCTCGTCATACGGTATCATACAAATTGATATCTAAGAACTGACCATCAAGCTTCATGACTTTGTCTCTGCCGCTTCACTCGCTGCGTCTTTCGCACCCTCGTGTTTCTCAAAGATAAGACCTAGATTTTTGAAATCATCTGGTGCCATCAAATTCCTAGAATTAATTCCGAATACTAATTAGCTCATGATGATCCTCCGGACACGACCATGGCAATGTAGGAATGCAACCCGCGGGTGCGCTCCCAAACCCCAAAATCCACTTCGGGGAAGAACGTCCAGCAGGATTGGACAGACATACTTATCCATCCGACAAGACAAATATTCCTTTGCCAATTTCCGACATTCGTCATCATTGGTTCCTTGTCTTGATTTCAGACACTTCAGATAACTGGAGATCAGATGCTTGCATTCGCCTGTCGAGGAGAACAACAGGTGTCAATCAACAATTCCGAAGCATTGAAGAAGGGCCGTGGAAGAAAGGAAGATACCTTCATGGTCGAGAGGGAAACTACCACGCTCCGGACTATGGTCGGATTAGTCCAGGTTCAAGTGACAATTTGGAATGGCATGCATATATCCAAGCCAGCAAGCAAGAAAAGACAAGGCAGACTCACGGCGTAGGCTTGTAATTGGTGGCACCACCACCGGGGCTTCCGAACCCCATTGGATGCTATATCTTAAGAAAATGAATGTAAGAGGAATGATAATTGGAGTGAGAATGCAACCAATGGAGAGAATTGATCTCATCAACGGCCTGGAAGAGAACGGATCGGCTACCAGGGAGGATGGGATAGACAAACAAGACAAACACGACAAACCGCTATGCTACCAGTAAAACTGCTGAAGGAGCACGACGCATATTGGATGGCACAGTAGGGATCAGGGTAACGAATGACGTAAAATGAACATATGCAGCCATGTGAAGTCGACAGCCCCTCTTTGTTCGCCTACAAGTCCAGGGAGGGGTCTACAATCTACTATATAAGCTAAAGTCTCGGACTACCTGATGTATGGATGACATCGTTCTTTCTCATACTTCTCTATATCACCGATATACCTAGTTAATAATCCAACACGTACTATAACTACCTCCAAAATGCCGATGTAAGTCGTAAACAGCGCTCCACCCAAACCACCTGACTTAGACTCTAGGCATCTCGAAGGCAGCTGCCAATGCGGCGGAGTCGAGTTCTCTCTCGACTCAAGCACACCGGTTCCTTACCAGCTATGTGCATGCAGTATCTGCCGCAAGGTAGGAGGCTACAACGGCAGCGTCAATCTGGGGGGCATAGCAGACAGCCTCAAAATCAAGAAAGGGAAGAATGTGATCAAGTAGGTTCTAGTACTCTCTTGACCCAAAGATACCGGATATCTTGTTTGTCAACGACAGATATAGATAGGAACTGAATAAACGGAATATGGTTAAGGAAATATTCAGCCATTATGAATCGTGGCACTGCCGATGAGAAGGTCAGTTCGAGTGAGCGGAATTTCTGCTCGAATTGCGGCACAATGCTCTGGCTGTGGGATCGTCACTGGCCCGAGCTGATCCATCCCTTCGCCTCGGCAATCGATTCGGATTTGCCGATTCCTGATGAGATGGTTTGTATCATGGAGGGATCGAAGCCTTCCTGGGTGCGATGGCCCGAGGGGGAAAAGCAGGTGTACAAGGAGTACCCAACAGATAGTTTGGAGGAATGGCACAAGAAACACAAAGTCTTCATGGACTAGAAACTACAGCCCTTCTAGGTGATGTGACTACGTGGGTGATGGCTACGGAATAACGGGTGATGGAAATCAAGATGAGCTGAAAAAAATGAACATTAATATTGTCACTATTTTCTATATTCATAGCTGCAGGTTCATGTCCTATGTTTAACTGTCAGCTGGTGCGACGCTGAGTTGTGTAAACAACATCTTTGACAACAGAATCATCAGTTCTCCAAGGTGAAATTTGTTTTTTCTTCAATATGTATTCAGTAAGAACACAGCGATTGAAGTAATCATCATGGAATAGTATATAAAAAGAATTGAAGTAATACTCACATTTCAAGGTCGAAACCACACTACGAGAAGGATCCCTATTAATGAAATTGACAAGTTAGCACTCATTCGCAAAACGAGACTGAGTGATTCATTTTAAATTGTGTCAACTGAAATCAGGCTTTAAGACTCGTTAGCATGCATTGCTTCTAGAACAGGAACTTCTAAGTCAAGCTTACCTCATTAAATCAGATTTTTGTGTAAATGTTCATTTCCGCCCGCAGAGCGTGCAGATCAAACAGTGTGAATAAACACATTCATCATTTAATGTTGACATGTATGGTATTGGGGAATTATACGCAGAGAGTAACAATTGGCAGGTACCTAAGTCATTCCGTTAGCACGGAGAATGCCATAGAAATGAAAACTATGGGATGGTGGAGCTAAAGCTCAGGTGACGAAATCTCAACAATCAATACACCGTCCAAACAGCCGCAAAGTTTGTACGCTTTGCTTGTAATGGATGCAGGAAGATGCACAATTCTGTCCGCCCGTTCGTTCAAAGTATCCTCATCGAGAGATGGGTTAAGGAAAGGGTATGCAGCAGAAATATTTACCTATTCAACTAACTGTTAGCACATGTCCAAAGTAGAGACAGGTTTGTTAAACAGTGAATAGGATTCAAAGAGGTCAGACAAGGCTGAAACTTGAGTAAAAACACAGATTCCACATAGAAAATTAAGTTTGAGGAATGCCTTAAGCGTGTCATAGGGTCATCATAAGAAGTGTAGAGAAGGAAAAAACACAGAAAGAAAAAGAGAAAATACCGCATACCTTTTTGCAGTGTACATCTGAGTGATTGAAGGCAGGAGTTGGCCATTTGCTCCTATGTCTTAGTGGGCATGTTGGTTGACTTCAAGTGCAAGCTGATGCAAGTTGAAAAAAAAAATATTGTGGGCTGCGGCAGACTTTTATAGCAGGCAACTAGACCACGGCAGGCGGAAACCGCCAGATGCGCTGTTTGACGGAAAGGCAAACACAGCTATCTCCACGATAAACGCTCTGGTACTGCTTCAAATTTAAGATGTGACCAGAGAGATATCCGAGTTTGTATATAGATACACATTGCAAGCTCATTATTACCCTCCTTTTTCTAGAGTGTAGAGCTCATGGTAGCTATTGGGTGATTCCCTGGGAGGAAGGTTTGTGGGCGTATGACCTCAGACAAAGACTGGAAGCAAATCTCCAATTATTGGTTCAATTACAGAATAGCGATTCCCACGTGGCGACCCATCGATTGAGCCTAGAAGGATGGTTGTTGTTGTGGTGAAATTGGCTCACCTAGACGTCATAGCCGCAATAGATGGCAAGAAACGGGGCAAGCAATCAATGCGTCAACCTGACGTCGATTTGCAGATACATTCATAAATAATGAATAGACGGTGGCCGTAGTACAGTGCACAAAAGCCAGTTTTACAAGAGCAATCAATTCTTCGAGGAATCAAACCATAAAATCTACCACAATGGCGACCACCTTCAAACTCAACACGGGAACAAAAATCCCTGCAGTTGGATTTGGAACCTGGCAGGACGTAGGACAACAAGAGCAGGCCGTAGCTGAAGCGATTAAACAGGGATACCGCCACATCGACACGGCTCGCGTGTGAGTTTCAGCCTATCATTACTCTTGCGGTGGGAAGACATGCAAATGCTGATTGCGTACTAGATACGAAACAGAGAAGGCAGTGGGAGCGGCCATTAGAAAGAGCGGAGTGCCTCGCGAGCAGCTTTTTATCACAACTAAGCTCTGGAACAACAAACATCACCCAGATGACGTCGCTCAGGCTCTCCAGGATTCGCTCGACGATCTGCAATTGGATTATGTAGACCTTTTCCTAATGCATTGGCCAGTGGCTTGGAGACGAGGTTCCGAGCTTTTCCCCAAGGAGAATGGGAAGATTGCAGTGGTGGACATTGACTATGTCGATGTAAGTATTTCTGTGCTACTGTTTGGTCATTGTGGGCAGAAACACTGATTTCCCATCGCAGACATACAAAGCCATGGAGAAATTGTTATCCACCGGCAAAGTCAGAGCTATTGGTGTTTCGAACTTCTCGAAGGGCGAGATGGAACGCTTGCTGCAGAATTCCTCCGTCGTCCCTGCAGTGCATCAGCTAGAAGGCCACCCATGGTTGCAACAGCGTGCATTTGCCGACTGGCACAAATTGAAAGACATCCATGTGACCCATTATTCGCCCTTCGGAAACCAGAATGAGTTCTATACGGACGGTGGTACTATTGGCAAACTCATCGATGACCCTGTGCTGGTAGAGATTGGAGAGAAGTACAACAAAAGTTCTGCGCAAGTTGCTCTGGGTAAGGTCTGACCCTGTAGGCATTGACAGAACCCGAAGACTAACACCAGACCTTGCTTAACCCCTGCACAGCATGGGGAATTACACGGGGACATTCGGTGCTCCCTAAATCAAAGACACCCTCGAGGATCAAAGCAAACCTTGAAGGTGACTTCCAGCTGAATACAGACGATGTGCAAAAGATCCAGGAGATTGACAAAAAGCTTCGATTCAACGACAGCAGTGTGGACTTTGGCCGTGAATTCTTCTCCGATTTAGATGGCAAAAAATAAAATCTGATGTAGTTTATATAACATGTGCTGGAGAGGATGGACATAAAGGTATTCTAGGAATATTAGTTTTTCATGACTGACACATACATGATTCTTTTATCAAGACTCCGGGTATGAGGACCTTTGTCGTGGCGCAGTTCAATCATGAGGAAACCTGTCAGCCTAGCCAAGATGATCGGCGGAACCTGTACGTCACCGTGGATGGTCATCATGATGTCGGCAGTAGCATCCTACCCTTGACAGTGACTAACGAACTAATCTGCGCCAGAATACCATATTTTTTTATTTAGTATTTATTTATCAATTTTGGATATACTGTGTAGACGAGTTACAGTTTCAACATGGGCTCGCTCGCGGCGGTAAGTGCTCATCTGAGCATCTCCAAACGCGTGGTTCTTTCGTATATCCTGGATTGGATCTGGATCATGTGCGTACAGCCTGGTTGCTTGTATCTGCTACTGATGGAAAGTTTTTCCAATATTAAAACAATCTCTGTAGTGGCATTGCGCTCATTGGCTTTGGATTTTCCCGAGTCACACCGAATCAACGTCCATTCAGCTTGACTGACCCGAGCATCTCGTTTCCCTACACGGAGCATGAGACAGTGTCAAACAGTGTCCTGGTGGTGGTCTCGCTGATTGCTCCTGCTGTCCTCATTGTGCTAGTAGTATTGTTCTTTGTTCCCGCCTCTACGGCACGGGAGTCAGGCTCTCGATCCCTGCTGTGGAAGTCCAAAGTATGGGAATGGAACGCGGGATGGTTGGGACTGGGCCTATCTGCTGCGGGGGTCTTTATGGCTACTCAGGGACTGAAGGGTCTGTACGGCAGGCCTCGTCCAGATACGCTTGCGCGCTGCAATCCAGACCTCTCAGATATCGCCGCGTACGCCGTCAGCGGTCTAGGGCAGGAGCTTACCGAAGCGCCTACCATGGTGACTTGGGAGATATGTCGGAATACTTCCGATGATCTGAAAGTGGATGGATTTTCTAGCTTTCCCAGTGGTCACTCGTCCTGTAAGTAGTTCTCTCTGATTCAAGAAGTACATGGGCCTAACATTTATTGACATCTATCCAGTTGCCTTTGCGGGTCTAACATATTTCAGTCTTTGGCTATGCTCTAAGTTCTCCATTGGCTTCCCATATCTCGCCCATTCGCCTCTGAGCCAGGATCTGCGTGCGCAGAACCGCGAGTCCATCCGGACTCAGGGAGCGGCGCCTCCGGTATATATGGTTATCATTGCCTTCGTGCCATTTGCAGTCGCCTTCTTCATAGCGGCTTCGCGCTGGTTTAACTACCGACACCATGCGTTTGATATCATATTCGGTGCTCTCATGGGGGTTGCTTTCGCCTGGGTTGGATTCCGGATGTACCATCTTCCGATCATGCGAGGTGCAGGTTGGTCATGGGGAGCAAGGAGTCCACGACATGCATTCTATAAGGGAATTGGGCTTTCCAGCCATGTTGGCGCCGACAATTGGTCCAATACCGGGGATGTGACTATGACAGCAGAGAGAGAGGGACAGGATATTGACCTCGAAAGTGGACGGCGTAATCTGGCAGAATGAGGATTGGAGATCCATGATGAACATGGCAGCGAGGACACAACTCGCGGCGTTCAGTTAACCCCTCTTCCCCGAGCACCACATAATATAACAGTCCCTGTAGTATGAGATTTATGGAGACATAATCTGGTTTGGATTCAGTTAGCAAATAGTTTAGTCATTCAGAGACTGCGCAACGTACCCTCCCACAATCACCTCCATCCACCCACTCTCCCCTCGTCCCACCTTGCCTTAGCTTCCCTTCTTGCTGCCAATTTGGCGCCCTCAGCCCTTACCCGTCTGATCCAATCGGCGACTTCTTTCTCAGTGGCTCGTCCATGATGCTCCTCCTCGAGAAAGCTCTCTTCTACGGCTTGACACACAGCCTCCTGTTCCGCAATTGACGCCGCCATCCGTTGATATAAAGCCTTAGGTGACCATGGAGCTAGGGCGACGTCCATCTCCGACTGCTTTTTCCGCCAGGAGACCTCGAGAGATTGATGCTTGAGAAGGAGCGCTTCCGTCGAGCCACGCAGCTCTGTCAGATGAGACTGGATCTCCAGAAGACTGTTCGCCAAATCTTGGTTGTATTTGAGCTGCGACCGAAGATTCTCCTGATGGGCTGAGTATGATGGATGATGGCTGGCAAAGGCGGAGAGGAGGTTAGGGTTTCTAAGGATGGCTTGCAAGTCCACAGTCCTGCCAAAAAAAGAACGTTGGTTAGATCTTCGATTCTGTCCTTGTCAATGCGGAGAAATGCTCGTACGATTTGTCTTTGACACTGTCAGGCAGCCATCCCTCTTCGGCCGTTGGCGCTTTCGGAAGAACATTTAGCGAGTAGGTGTGGGCCATGCCAGGGGAGGCGATTCTATTCATCGTCTGCGTATTCATCCCGTTCTGTCCATCATGGGCGTCATGGAACTGTCGTGGTGTACCCGGTAACGATGGGTTCAATTGCGGTGTTCCCCTCCGACTAGCTTCGTGGCTGCTCGGTTTCGGGGGGGGAGGTGGAGGCGTGTCGGAGTTGAGCGCTGGGTTCATGACTGGGAACAGACCAGCTTTCTCTGTCAGACAGTCAGGGGGTAGAGACGAGGATTGTCTAAGGGATCAAATGAGAGCCAATGGAGATGCCCATGATCGAGGTTGGCAGTGCGGGGAAAGGCGCCTGTCACGTGGCGTATCGCCTGCTGCGTCAAGATTTCCGAACTAGGCAAATGGTCTATTCTATTGCTTGTTTGGTGGTCTACTGGTCTCTCATTGCTTCTGAATGGCATATTGGTCCTGGTTTTCTTTGTATCTAGCCGTCGTCGAGGAGATTGGCTCATGCACACCCAATATCTATGAGAGCCGTAGCTATTTCACGAATGGGGGGAATCGAGGGACATGCATTCCCTTGACCGTGCATCTAGAGGTTCAAGGGCTCGTGAGATACATATCTCAGAATTCAGAGCTCGAAGATACTCTGGTTCAAGCCCAGTGGAGACATCGACAGACCACAACAGTCGGATCACTGGAAGAGGTGGCACGGTCTACAATGAAGCCCATCATTTTAATTATGTACCTGATCGATACCAAAGAGCCCCATTTAATCCACTCTGCGCCGTACCTCCCGATCCTGCGTATCAATGTTCGACCCCCTGATGGCATCCATGACCAATTCGCGCAGTTGATTCTGCGTCGCTTCGCTGTGGAAATCTTCCCGGGCAGCCAGCTCATCAATCCTGCGCTTGAATTCCGGATCCACCTGATCGATCCCAGCGCTAGCTTCCTGCTCCGATACTGTCCCCAGGTTCACTTGGATATTCGGGGGTAATGGCGGAGCTGGATTTAAAGCATGCGCCGGTTGGTCTGCAGTCGTCAACGCTGGGAACCCCATCACCTGTCGAAGATATGCGGTGACTTCCGGAAATAAGCCTTCGGTCTCAATGTTGTCCAGCGCCGTGCACCCTTCATCATTCTTGCGATTGTAGTCCACGCCCAACTCTTCGACGAGACATTTGGCGATATCGACCGTCTCCGTCACGAACAGGCAAGTCTCACCGTCCTCGTCAAGTAGGTTTACATCCACTTGGAACTCCTTCACCAACGCACGTAGCAAATCAATATGTCCGTATGATGCGGCTGCGTGGAGTAGCGAATATCCATGCTCGTCTTGGTTGGATGCGATGGAGGGATTAGACCGTAGCAGCGCCAGAACAGCGGAAGGGTTATCGGCGGCCAGGATGTAAGGGTTCGGTTGACTCATAGCGGGCTAGACGTTGATAGAACCAGGCGATGAGTCAAACACAGTCTATGATCAGTGTCACCGCAATTTACGGCTGAGGAGGCAGAGGAGGCTGAGGAGGCAGAGAAGGTGGAAGTTTGCTGGAGAGAGCGAGAGGATTTTATCGGTGGCGCAGGCGGAAGAAACTAGAGACAAAAAAATGCATAGATTAATTGATTGCCACGTCTTTCTGCCCCGCAAACAACCAACATTGATGGGATTGAGTCACACGAGGCTCTTACTGGAGACCTAACCATTCGTTTTTTCCCTCCTATCGAGACAAAGCACTTGTACTCTTTAATGTGATCGTCATTTCCGAGCAACTTCCTCAACATTCTGGCTCCTAGAGTACCTACCTTCCTTCGGCACTTTCTGCCGGCTCCCTTGGCAAGCCCGTTTCGACCCTCGATCATTCCGATTTCCCTGGTCTATCGTGAAGGGACTAAGGCAACGTTCCGAACGAATTGCAGAATGGTTCAACAGGATATCGGAGAGGTGACCCGCCTCGTTGATAGCTTGGAGGCCGCCAGCAAAAAGACCAAGCGCGAGGGGAAGAAAGCGCTCTCGTGCAAGAAAACCTCCTTTCCGGTCGCAGGCTCGGATAATATCACGGTCGACTCATGGAAGTTTATGGACTGGGACTACAAACGGGACGGTCTACCAACTTATGCTCGTGGATTGTTCACCACCAAGCGCAAGGATGGGTCCCCTGAGATTGCGGTTCGCGGCTACGACAAGTTCTTCAACGTTGACGAAGTCAACTCGACGAAGTGGAGAAACATTGAGAACAATACTCGTGGCCCTTACGAGCTCAGCGTGAAGGAAAATGGGTGCATTATCTTCATATCTGGCCTGGAGGATGGAACCTTGTTGGTTTGCAGCAAACACTCGACCGGAGAACGACCTGACGCCGACGTGAGCCATGCGCAGGCTGGCGAACATTGGGTCGAGAAGCACGTCGCTTCGGTAGGCAAGACGTCCAAGGAGCTGGCCCAGGAGTTGCGCCGTATGAATATCACTGCTGTAGGGGAGCTGTGCGATGATAGCTTCGAGGAGCACGTTCTGGCCTACGATCAGATTGCGTCGGGCATTTACCTTCACGGCCTCAACTACAATATCCCGCAGTTTGCAACGTGTTCGAGCACCGAAGTCCATGAATTCGCCGACCAATGGGGGTTCAAGAAGGCCAAGTTCCTGGTCTATGACGATATCGGGACGGTAAAGAATTTCCTGGACTGTTGCGCAGAGACGGGGACCTGGGATGGCCGCGAGACTGAAGGGTTTGTAATCCGATGCCAGATGCATGAAACAAGCACTGCGCCTCTTCGGGACTGGTTCTTCAAGTACAAGTTTGAGGAGCCGTACCTGATGTATCGTCAGTGGCGTGAATGTACCAAAGCCGTCATAGCGGGCAAAGTGCCCAACATCAAGAAGCACAAAAAGATCACGGAAGAATATCTGCAATATGCTCGTCGACAGCTCGTCAAAGATCCCAAGCTAGCCAGGCTCTACCAGCAGAACCACGGGATCATCGCTATGCGAGATGGCTTCCTTCGAGAGCGTGGACTTACAGGCTCCGCTATCGTCGCTATGGAAGAAGGGGCCCAAGAGGAGGTGACAAACAATGTGATCCTGGCCCCCATAGCTTCTCTCGGCTGTGGAAAGACAACGGTGGCTCTCGCTTTGACCAATTTCTTTGGCTGGGGCCATGTGCAGAATGATAATATCGCCAAACAGAAGAACAAACCTAAGAAGTTCGCCTTAGACATCACCAACCTGCTGTCTGAACACCCGGTGGTGATTGCAGACCGCAACAACCACATGCGACGGGAACGACAGCAGCTCATGGACGATGTACGTCTGGTGGTCCCGAACGCCCGCTTCGTCGCGCTCCACTACGTCCACGAGCCCAAAGGCCAGCTGCTTCCTGGGATCCGCGAGGTGACGCGGAAGCGCGTTCTCGACCGTGGGGACAACCACCAGACCATCCGGGCTGGTAGTAAGACTTCTGAGGAGATCATCGGGATCATGGAGGGATTCCTGACTCGATTCGAGGGCATCGATACTGATCGCGAACCTGACAGAAGCTTCGACCAAATCATCGACCTCGACGTTGGGGCCTCTTCGCGGGAGAATCTCGAGACGGTGATCACCTCGTTGCAGACATCATACCCACATCTCATCAAGCAGGTTCCCACCGCGCAGGAACTGGACGACGCCATCCACCGGGCCATGAGCGAATACCAAGTCCAGCTCGATCTGAGCCACCAGTATGGATCGTCCGGGAAGCAGGGCCAAAAACGCGAGAAAAACAACAGGAGCCCCAGTGGTCCTTCCACCACGCCCACTCCCCATGCCGAAACCATCGCAAAAAACATTGAATACTTCTGCATCTCCCTCCCCACCGCAGACATCAGCGCCGTCCTCAAGTCTCTCTTCCCCCCATCCACACCTCCCGATAAGGCGCGCATCTACCACCAACTCCTGAACTCGCGCCGCATTCAACCCACCTTCCACGTCACTTTGATCCACCGCGCCCTGAAGAAAGATCGTGCCGAAGTCTGGGATTCCTACATCCGTCGATACCTCGACAAGATGGCCCAGAAGCCCGAGTCCGATCCCACCGTGACGCCGGTGCTCGCGCCAGCCCGTGTGCGTCTGGAACGTTTGATCTGGGATAACCGGCTCATGGCCTTCGTTGCACGCATCATGCCGCCTGATAGCCCGGAGCAGCACGATTGGGTATGCGTGAACTCCATACCGCACGTCACCGTCGGCACCGTGTCATCCAATATTAAGCCCAAGGAGAGCAACGACCTATTGCAGCGGTGGCTGGACGTCGGGTCTGGCGGGGATACTGGGATCTGGGAGGCCGAGATCCCTGGTGTGATGGTTGTTTCGGGGACGGTGGGAGAGGTGATGAGCAGGAGATAGGTTATATCCGTCCATTGATTTTAGGTTGAGGATAATACGTGGGATGTAGAATTACTGCTACTGTGTTAATGATGTATAATATAACGAACAGGACATACGTAAAAATAGCTGGATCAAAAATACAATATCCCATTCACTTGTTTAATACTCCACGTACTTACGTACCATGACGCCAGTTTTGGACGGTATAGTAGATAGTATACTGTATAGGTATAGTACATATTCTTATTGCAATAATCCCAGCTCAAGTTGGAAATAAATCCCCTTCGTGAAAACACACAGTATATTCAGTATAACGCTATACGCGCAAAGGATCTATCTACCAGACTTTAGGATAGTATCGCAGTATTACACCAATATCAGTATCAAGGCCCAGATCCGGATCAATATCGGATCAATATCATATCAAAACACGGCATAAATATACCTTAAAGAAAGCAGAATAATCTACCACGAAACGATGCATGCAATCTATCATCAGCGGAAAAAACAAACAAAACAAAGCAAAACAAAACATAACAAAACATAACCACCATCGAGTCAACTTTAATCGAACAATCTTAGTTATTTATCCAAGACGTGACGCGCTGTGCACCGAACCGACCCATGAACTGTAACCCCGTGCTACCCATGGGGAAATAGCTGACGAGATACCAGAGTAGGGCAGCCAGCTGGAGGATGGACGAGATGAGCGTGAGGAAGGTAGAATGGAGCTGGGAAAGACAAAAGACAAAGTAAGAACTTGGGTTAGTCTGGATCCTTCTATTCGGTTTGAGAGGGGGGTAGAGGGAAAGGGTATCAGATGGGAGTTAGAGAAAGGTAGGCAGATAGGTAGTTTGCCCTGCTGAGCACCGTTGCGGGATGTTTTCGTCTCCACTCGATAGAGAGAGAGTCTGGCATGTGCATGAATGATGTCATGGCAGTTGGGATGGATTTCGTGCATATGCAAGATCTCGTTGCGATTTCAACACCACCACACGAGTCAGCAACGCGGAAGGCGGCAGATGCGCCATCGCAAGGCTCGGATAGCGTGCAGAACAAGGGGGAGGGGGGAGATGATCTATTGGTATCCACAAAACTAAAGTAGTAGGGCACTTACTCCGATGGCAAAATACAGGGTCATGGCAATCGAGCCAAAATAGGCGGCTGTAAAAGGTAGCCGTGGTCCCGAGACCAGGTGCTTAGCGTAGACCAGGGGTCCCATGAGGACTGCCCATGATAGGAGAAAGAGGAGAGAACCGACGGACCATCTAGTTCAAAGCCAAAACAAAAAGAGAAACAAGTTCGTCAGCTCCGCAACGCATATAGAGTTCTTGGAAGCAAGCAGCATGGATGTTTTCTGCGGGCAAAGATCGGCCGGCGTGATACAGCCACACCACGACAAGCCCTACACCGCCTCGTGCCAGGAGCCTTGAAGAATGTAATGGGGTAGGAGAGGAATGTATAGAATTCCCGACGAATACACTTACAAGATGGCAAATTTGCGGGGTTTGAGTGAAAGCACTGGAAAGAGGAAAAAGCAAATAAAGAAACAAACCGCCGCCCCAAGGTTGCATGCAATGAAGACGAGCATGCGATCCCACCGACTCACTAAGGAATCATATGGTTAGCCATATAAATGTTAGGGGAACGATTGGGGCAAAAAAAATATTTGAAAAAAAAAAAAAAAAATTAAATAAATAAAAACGGAGAAGAATCAAGGCACAGTCCATGACGCAAAAAAGAGTCGTTCCTCTTCCGTGAAACCCATCCGGACGCAGGAACTGAACCGTCGTCACCTGGACTGAGCAATGCATCAAATCAGGGATAGGTGAGGTCTTCGGAAAGGAATCAGTCATGAGCTCGGAGATCTTACATGCGAAGAATCCTTCCTCCTCTTCCCGTCGATTAGCAGCCGGTAGGGGAGCTCCTGGAGCTTCATGAGTGGGCAGTTGCACGTAGCCCTCCCCTCCGAAAGGATTCCATGACTGTAACCTGGATAGGAAAGGAGTTGTTGACGACGAGTTGTTGGTCCGTACCGGTAGATCCGGGTCCCGTCGAGACCAGCCTAATGAGTTAACGGAGTCGCGGAACGAATTAGAGGTCATGATTCTGATTCGTGCGCCCCCCCTGTACAGTCTGGTTGCGTCCCGGATGAAAGGAGTGGAGGGGAGAGGAAAAGCAAAGCAGAGGGAGGGAGAGAGGCTCCGGCTGCAAAGGCAAGGCTACTACTGCGCTAGTGTTAACGGCGGGTAGGCCAGTGAAAAAGCAACACTAGAATGTCAAGCTGAGGAACTCTCTGCAGGGACTATGCACGACGGAAACCAATATGTACGTGCAGATGATCTGCAGATATCGACGAAGTGTGGGTGAGAGGGTGTAGAGCACAGCCGCCGGTGATAGGACCGACACACTGCCGGCCAGATGACTTGCGCAACAGGACGACTAGACACCCGCGGAGCTTGGGCACGGGGCAATCTAGAGTCCGCTAACGAGTCGTAGTTTCTTGGACGGTCGTCGCTCTGATAAGCTTGTGATCGCCCTCCTTCCAGACGCCGCGCTGATTTGCTATAAGATATTCACCCACAGCCCGATTTTCTGGGAAGAATCGGAAAGGTGGTTGGCCGGGATAGGTATAGTGATCGATCAGTCCGCCGGAGGAATGACGGTATATCTCCAACCCAGCACAGGGAATGTAAGCCAGCTATGGGAAGCGCAGTCGATAGATAGCTAGGTAAGGTACTACCAGGTGGGGAAAGGCTTGCGGAGAATGGGAAGGGGAGGGGGGATACTGCTGCAAGATGATGCGAGAGTCAAATCAAACGGCGTAATGCTTTTAGGGGCACGGGATTTATTATTTCGGCGACAGAGATCGCTTCTACCTGGTAGACAGGCTGCCATATCAGCCATCATCATCTGACCTTCGAAAGGAGGAGTACTAAAGTAAACAAGGAGGGGGAGGAGGGGGAATAAGGGTGTAGTGGAGGGTTGAGCAGACAGTTTTCGACTTGAGACAAATACAAGGCGCGGGTTGGAAGACCAGGGAAGGTTACATACCATGAGGATCAGAGAGGACACTAGTGACGGCGAAACCTGACTTTTTGTCGACGATGCTAATTATTTTTCGACCGTTTTTCCAACCGGTGTATGTGTCCTAGAATCGGCGATGGAAGAGGGATCCAACACTGACGCTGAGGAGGAATGGCAGTCGGAAGCTTGGGTGGACAGGTTGAGGTTGGGCCGCCAATCAGAGGCCGGTAAACCGGTAACGGAGGCCTGGTGACGGCACTAAACCTAAACAACACCGGTGACCCCCCGGGCGATTACACAGCCACCAATGGGCGCTTGAGGATGTGCCGTAGAGTACGGCGCTGATGTAAATTATTGGCCGCCTGCCTTGGTCAATTCCTTCCAAGTTTGAGACCCATTGGAGAGTTCCCGCCACAGCCCATGGGGTTTAATCGTTTAGCGCCGTTTCCGCTGACCATCAAGACATGCACCAGCCTTGGTAGTTGGTACCTCTAAAGTACAGGACAGGCTAAGTCCTAAGTACATCCCTGAATGTACCTATGAAGTACCCATAACTAGTCTTGGGCTAGGGTGGATCAATAGATATTAACTTTGCTAACTCTAGAAAGCATGGCTGCCTGCACCCAATGCTTCTGACACGGGAGATCGAACAGCTACGGAGAGTGCATTTTCCTGAGCCAGTGATAATGGCTGTTTCGCCATCAATCCCCTGGTCGTCTCTTAGCCCAATCGATCGCTGCTAGAGCAGCCGTGTTCTGCAGAAGTCTACTTGAACTTCACGTACGGGTACTCGGAAGGTCGAATAGGATAGTATACCAGCCGCGGAGCTAAAAGTTTGATGAGAGACACATTACGTAGATGGCCGCCTGTCATTAATTCGATGGGAATATTATCCGACGTAGTCAAATCTTTCTTGATTGAGAAAGAGCAGAATTGGGATCGAAAAAAAGGGGAAAGAAGCCGTGAGCGTACAACAGGTACATGAACATGAACATGCGCACTTGCTTTGGCTTTTCCCTTGGACACGCTCAGCCTGTCTGATGGCGAAGAAGGACACAGAAACGAAAATCAACGTCGAAAAGAGGAGGCAGGCAATAGCTCTATCTTCATAACCGAAGACATTTACTAGTTCCCTCATGCTGCGTTACTTCTTGTCAGCGGATATATTTCCCCGCGGTTCAACGGAAAGAATACTTCGTCATATCAGTCAGACAACCAGGGGGAATAACCGAAGGCAATCCAAGGATGAAGGATTCTAATCCCGTCCGTAGTCTATGTTTGAAGCACCGAACCAGAAACGCAGAACCAAAATAATCGTCGCGATGCGGCCAACGCCGGGCACTTACAAGCCATGAAAGCTCCTTGCAGTCAAACCGTGGATATCGGCAATGCACTCCGAACCTTGACGGGACGGGACGGACACGGGAGCCAAAAATCGCCTTCAATTCGCGACAAAACTCCGCATTGAGGAACACTATTCCATTGTTGACTGCAGGTAGGATCATAGTTCTTGGAGTTGTCGGTATGTGTCGTACTTGGCTTTCCCCATACCGCATTTTCATTAGCTAGCTACCATCGTTGTCGACATCCATGATGCGATAAACATAGTGGACTAGCTATGTACCCAAATGTATGTACTGTACCAGACACAGTACAAGAAAGGGCATCGCTCTAACATACCAGACCTACTGCAAAGTAATGCTTACCCCCCTCCAAATCTATCTATTTTGGTGCGGTTGGACTGGAGCCAGATAGTTTGTCCGCGGAGAGGGTGATAACCGAATTGGAATGAGGGAGTTCATTGGTCTGCTATTTTGACAGCATTCCATCTCAAGAATAAAGGCTTGATTGAGTCTCGTCAATGGGCTGAAGGTGGGCTAACCGACGCCACCCCCCACATTCTTTGCTCCGTAGTATTCCAAATCATGGACAGCTGAAAGGGTTAAAGAATGATTAATACAACGAATGTGCTTGAAATCGACCGTCTGAACAGCTGCGAATATGTGCCTCCTAGAAAGCCCTTGACCGAAGGGAAACACCTGTTGCAAGGGCATAGCCTCAGACCCTGATAGGCCGGAATAGGCAACAGGTAATAACGGGCATTGATTAGCTCGATGAAGAATCACAACGGATGCCATGATCCTCCCCCCCATACTACGTAAGGGAACGGCTTCGAACCTCTCCACCTATCACAGACCCCCGCATTCACGTACGACGCACTCCTTCTCGGGAGGCGACAGGATCTCCAGTCTGCATGGTGTCACGGACCGCCTTCTGAGCGTCAGCACCGAACAAACGCTCGGACGGCTGTGGAGGTCCGGAGGATTGGTTGGATTCATCAGCAGTGTCATCATCTATGGAACATTCTGATATTGCTACTAAGAATAAGTATAACCCAGATATGAATCATCGTTATAATAATAGTAGCCACCAAACACCGTTCCCGCCGTCATTAAAAAACATTACGACTCAAGAATCCAACAATACGATATTGGTACACACCCTCTCCTCAGGCTACTAACTTCGCTAACTAGCACTACTAGGTATCGACCGGGTCAATACTAATCGGATGTTGATTCCAGCATGTCGATCCTCTTAGTGTGCCCCTCTCCAGACTATATCCCTCGATAACCAGGTATGGGGGACTCCCGTAACCTTCATCTCCCAATCTGAATCCTCCAAGGAGATCTTTTCCCCCATACATCCCTTCCACATGGTGTCCCACGATCATACATACATTCCAGCGATACCCGGCATCAGGGTCGTATTGTCGGCTAGGTAGACATTATGAGCTACCCAAGAAGGCAAATATTTTTTTTTATGGCATCTCCCCAAACTAGGTAGCTTTTTATTGCTCCCCCCCTGCAATGATGTCATTCCCTCGCCTTCTCTTCTATTTTATCTGACTTTGGCTTTCAGGATGATCTATTATTGGTAGGTGGAGTGTTCTCATGCGAGAATGATGAATCTACGATCCTCACGCTCTCGGGTCATCCCCGCCCCAGCCGAATACTAATGATAAATGAACAATGATCTTGGTATGTTTGGAGTTTGCCCAAAGGAGGCATCTGATACATTCTACACTTCGGTTCGCCAGCCCGAGCGAGGATCAAGCCATCCCCCAACCAGAAATCCCCCTAATCTTCCCATAATCCTCCATAATCCAAAAATAATAATAATAAATAAATAAATAATAAGCAGAAAATAGAAAATAAGTCCAGAACACCCTAGTCTGACCGCAAGTGAGTCATGACCGCCCTGGGAGAAACAGGTGACAAAGCTCGTAGTACCTGGCTGCTCATGGGATTGCAGTGGATGGTTATTCTCCTCCATCCGGACTGTACGACCCTCCTTGACGAACAAGAAGACTACCGGATCTTCGTCAACACCATTTTGGTCCACCCCTCCCCCCTTTCTTCGTTGAATCTGGACGTAGCTAGAGATTGACACCCTCCATCTTCCCAGAGCTTTCTTTCTTGAGAGTTTCATCGCCACTGGGCCGTTGCCCCCCTTCATGCACTCAGCACACCTTCCTTGGCCAATCATTTATTTTATTTTATTTTTCAAATGTATAAGTAAATATCAATAATTTTTTTTTTTAGATTTTTATTTATTTATTTAAAATTTTAATTAATTTACGCTTTCCTACTTCTCGGCTGAAGATGAACGAGCGACGCACGTAATTCCCGTAGTCTATCAAGCCTCGTCGATTTGAGGATCGACACCCTGCATGACCATCGCTGTGATATATCAAATGAGAGACTGCGAAGAACGCCTCGGGAGCCCTTTAAAGCGTTGATTCCCTCGCCCGTTCGATCTTCAAATGTTTCTCTGAGATTTCATTTGGTTTCACTTCTCTGTCAATCTCGAACTCTTTCACCATCGTCAGAGAGTCATTTCTACATCGGTAATCGACCAGCTTCACCAGACCATCTTACTTGTCTGCCTGCGCTCTACTCCTTCCTCGCTCATGAAGAGGTACCGGGAGTAAACTGATTCCTCTGCACCTCTTGAGCTCGAGCCCCTTGTCAATGCGACTGGCCCCCGTATCCAGCAAGGTGCATGTGAGTTTACCTTCGGGCCCTTCTTTTGCCTTTTCTTTCCCCCCTTCCCTCCTTCCCAGCTTCCGATATCTCCGTGGTACATTGATCATGACCTTCCTCACTGCGGCGCGACGAGGCTCCGTATGAACTGAAGGTTACCCTCAGGTTGTTTGCTTATCCCACTGTCCCTGTCGCCTTTGATTGGTTTCTGAGAAGCGCATGCTCTTGTTGCCACGTGTAGTGAGCATCGTATTTCTAGGACCACCTCTCTCCTCTGGAGGGTTTCTCATATATATCTTTCTAGACCCCGCTGTGATACCCCAGAGGCTTACTTACTTCTCTTCATCCAGGAACGCGAATCAACCCACGACGAATCTGACCGTCTACATATCTCGTAAGTAAATCTTTTTCTTTTTGCTTTTTTCTTTTTTTAAAATCACCCCCGGTCATGTATGATCGTATATGATTCAAGTTTTCCGTTTAATTCTTCACCCCGTTCTCCCACTACACCAACCCCCATCACCACGAGGCTGGCGGGTCCAAGGAGACAGACACCACGACAAAAGACTGAGAACAATCGGAACCAAAAGGCATTTAAAAAGGGAAAATACCCCTCTTCTCTCCTCTGAACCTCACTGGAAATCAATTTGGCGCAGTTGGCGATTGTTGACCCCACTGCTGCACTCACGCCCGAACCCTGCAGGCTTTACTCGGCGGGGTGTTGAGATGGGGGAGTAATCTAACCGGGGGGAAAGGGTTGCTTATTCGATGGTCCAAGTTACCTAGAAAATAGCAAAAAAGCTAATCACCGTGGGGCAACCTTGGGCTCGAAAGTCCGTCAGTCTCACAGACCTTCCCCCCGGGAGGAGAGGAGAGCTGCCTTTCTGGTTGGACCGAAGCGGAGCGCTGGCATCCGGGAGAGGCGAAGGAAATCGAGACAGTCAGGGAAGCAACGAAAGGGGAAGAAAACATACAATCCAATGGAAAGGGCCAGCAGACAAAAAGCAATATGCAGTTCCCGCGACGGTCGGACAAACCCACTCGACAGGCACCAGCAATGGTGATGATGATCTAAGATAATCATAATTAATTAATGCCTGTGCCCACCGCCCGCCTTGCCTCACCGCCTCTGTCCTCTTGGACTCTTTCACCTCATTCTTCCCCACTGCACCTGGTTGCTGCAGTGATTAATCAATCAATCAATCAATCAATCAATCGATCAATCGATCAATCGATTAGTTCGGTCTTCCTCTTCGTTCTCGTCATACTAAGACATCTCCTCTCCTGGTGCATACAAACCGTGTCAAACTCTCCACCTCGGCCTTTTGTCCGTCTCCGACCGGTCCTGAACTGCTGTCCAGTTCCCCATCTGGCCTCTATTTCTTATCTTTCGCATTGTTCCAGCCCCGTCGTCTCCGCAGACCCATCGTGTGGCCTCGAACTTTTGGTTGGTCTCGCTTATGGCCACAACTCCCTATTTCTTTCTGAACACTGTCTTGTGTTGTTCTTGATCATTCTCGTTCCTGTCTTCGTGGTTGCTCACGGTACAAAGTTTCCTGACTCGATCGCTTTTCTTTTTCGGGACAAACGCCACCCGCTGGAGCCGCCTATTGGGCTTCGAGTTCCGCCCACGATAGTGGCATTTTGCCGATTTGCCCGTTTTCGACTCATACTTTTACCACGCCTTCGTCTTTCTACCCCTGTCAGTCTTATTTGGCAACATACAGCCCCTCACATTACCCTCGAGTCATCTCGTTCGTACCCCCAGTTGCATCTCACCACTATTAAGGCGTTTTCACTTTCACTACCCGGCTTTCCGTCTCGCCCCTGGTGAGTGTCATCCTCGCCCCTCCTCACTGCTTCTGGTATCGTCGATAGACATCGTTGTCTTGACTTGGTTGGGTAGATTTGTTGATCACATTTCGTTTTCTAGGTTATTTATGATCTATTTTCACTTGCTTTTGATGTCTCCGCTTTCACTCCTCGATCTCTTCTGACACCGTTCCCTGAGACGCCGAACGAACCTCGTCAATATCGCCATCGAAACCGAATTTTATCCCAAAGTCTTTTTTGCGACACTGATTTGAGTAGTGTCATACATTTGGACGCAGTTTGCTATTAGGTCGAATTTGTACTGAACCCAAATTTTTTTTTTTCCCCCTCTTCTTTTGGTGGATCTCGGACTGTAAGGGTTCCCTGTGGAGTGGTTCCTGGCTTTCTTGCTCGGAACTTGTATATGCTCGCACACTATGACTGAAACGAGCATTTTCATCAAGAGTGACCCTGACGACCACCACAGTGACCCAAACCTTTTCATGATGTCGCATGCCGGCTATTCCATGCCCAACCAATTCGGGAACGCCGACGGCGTCGATCCCTCGGACCTAACCATGCAGAATGGTGGATTCATGTCTTATCCGTTTGGCTCGCAGCAGAATATGTCCTCCAGTTTCAATTTCGGCAATTCCGGGATCGATACGGACGAGTTGTTAGATTTGGAGATCAATGGACACAACGGCATCCAGCGCGCGGACAGTATGAACTTCCTCCAGGACCAAACCCATTCAAGTGCCGGGATTTCTATGAGCCACCCCGGCCAGATGTCACAGATGTATTCGAATACCCCGGATGGGGCTCCCATGCATAGCCCCTTTATGAATAACAGCTTTAACTATGACCAATTTCGGGCGATGAACCAACAAGGACAGCCCGGTTCCCATATGCAGAGTGCTGGGTCCCACTTTGAGCAAAACTATATGAATGGCAAAGTACGACCTGGTCTCCAGACCGTGGATCGTTCTGCCGATGGCCGCAGCCCGATGACCCCAAAGACCCCTGCCCTAGGCGGTCTTACCCTAGGTACTCCCGAATCAGGCAGCTTCCCTACGCAGCCCATCCGCACAGGCCTCCAGCACCGTCACCAGAAGACCTTGTCGAACCAATGGGATGGTACACCTGGAAGTGTGCATTCCTTTGCGGAGTCCCCGATCTCATCCCCTGGCCATCCTCACACTGCTGGAATCTCCGAGATTCTCAAGTCGGGCAAGCACGCCTCCTTGCCGACCAAGGTTGATGCGCACATGCCCGGTTCTGCACAGGACCTGGAATCGCAAGAAGCCAAGCGTCGACGCCGGAGAGCCTCCCACAACCTGGTTGAGCGTCGCCGGCGCGACAACATCAACGAGCGTATCCAGGATCTCTCCCACCTGGTTCCCCAACACCGGCTGGAAGATGACAAGGTCCGGAAACAGCTGGTCAATAACACCTCCATGTCCGCCACGGGAGCCAACCCGAATGCTGCCACATCTCTCTTGGCGGGTGGCAATGGCCGTCGCGCCACAGGGGGTAACATCACCATGGGACTGCCCATTGAGGAAAAGGAGAAAGGCCCTAATAAAGGTGACATCCTGAACGGTGCCGTAGGCTGGATGAGGGATTTGATGTGGGCCCTGCACGTCAAGCACCAGCAGGAGGCAGAGCTAGCAGAGCTGATCAGTAGCCTCGGCGGAACGTGGCCGTTCGAGCAAACGGAGGAAGAGAAGCGGATGCGGACGGAGATCCTAGATGCGCTGGAGAAGAACGATCCCAGCTCCTTCAGTTACAGCCGAGCGCCGGGAACCGGCCTACGAGTCCCGAAGCACACGAACATGGCCGGGGAACCCGTCTCTGGCATCGGCGCCTTGAGCCCCCAGAGCCTCAGTCCGTCCTTTAATAGTGGGGCGAGCAGTGCGAACAGTGCTGGTGCAGGTCAGGCGCAGTACTGGAGTAGCTCAGGCCATGCCGGAATGAGCTTCAAGGAGGAAGATGAATACGCCATGGAGATGAACTAAGTGGGAGATGTCGCCCTTCCCCTTGAAGTCCAATCCTCTCTTTCTACGACACATGTCATGACCTGTTGCATACGAAGGCGTCTTACGGAGATATGGAGCAGTGGACCGGCGTACGCAGAAGTCCTGACATTTAATTATCCGGCTAATGACTTTGACTGCGCTTTCCGTTGGGTTTGTTTTGATTTCTAGGTGTTTTATTTTTATATTTTTATGGATTGATGCGCTTCTCTTAATGTTATTAACAAGCCCTATTTTTTATTTTCCTCTTTATTTGGGTTTGGGTTCACTATCATCATTGCACTCTTTTTTTTATTTTTATATTTCCTTTTTCTCGTTATTTTCCTGTACACACCATGGGTGGCCTAGAGTCAATTCTCCCATTCCTTGGAACACACCGACGCGTTCGTTTCTTGCGATCAATCAGTTGGGTGCAACTGGTATTGTTCGCCGGCTGGCCAGTGGTTTACACCTTGCAGTTCTCATTTCTGTCGATACCCTTTTCCTTATTACTTAATCATACGTGCTGTTTACCATCTCGGATGTTATTGTTAATGGGCGATGTGTTCTGCTGTTCATAGTTATGACATGATTCTTGCTATCATTATATTATTGCATGGTTTTATATGTAGTACCGATATTATTAGGAATGATGGCATGTTTTTTTATTTTTGTTTTTACTCTTTTCTAATTCACATTCACATTTCTTGAACTATCCAGTATCCATGGGTATGCATAATCGTCTAGATCTGAGCCTTATAGCTGGGTATATTGGGATCCCTGTTCACATATGCCATCCATGTGCATCTATCGTCGTAGAATGAAAACAGAACGGGTATTGTGTATTGGGGTCTGGGATTTCAGTTTCAACGCAGACACAGTTGGGCACGAGAATCCTTGTATCGCACAGTCTATGCAGGAGTCGATCTATTTGCAGAGAAATAGAGGAAATATAGAAAGAGAGAGAAAGGAGAGAGAGAGAATCCAACCTAGTGTTTACTCGCCACGAATCTTACGGAAAAAGTCCATAACGCCGGTGAAGACAACCAGGAGGATACCACCACCGGGACCCAAACGAAGAACTTTTGGAACGAAACCCTTGTAGAGGGCGGCGAAACCCTCCTCCTTCATGACGGTACCGACGGCAGGCCAAGCCCAGTTATACTTGGGGGTCTGACCGGGGACCTTGGGGCTATTCTGAATCCGCGACTTGACGACATCCATAGGGGTGTTCAGGATAGTACCGGCGGTACCACCGATTGAACCGGCGATGAGATCGTTGCGAGTCTGCTGGGCCTTGTTACCCGCTTCGGCGGGGGGCATCTGTGCCCGCACCTGGAAGATACATCCGAAGTAGCCACTGTTCCAGAGGATGTGACGCCAAAGGGTTGATTCCAGACCGTTGTACATGGCCAGGGGACCCTCGGTCTGAACGATCTTCTTCACCACGTCCAACATGCCATTGTATTTTCCGGCCGATGCCTTGTCCTGTAGACGAATCTTCACCAGTTCGAATGGCACTACGACGAATGATTCCGTAGCACCGGCCGTCGCGCCCGTCAACACAGCCAGACTCTGCGTCTGCTTCTCCACGCCGAAAAGCCCCCGGTAGAATGTTCCCCAGCTGTCATTGGCTGCGAATTTGGTCGCTCGCTTGGGCGCTTCCATCAGGATCGGGGCGCTGATTCCACGATATAGACGGGAGAAACTGTTCGTGATCAGGTTAGGGATAGGCGGTCAGGTATGGAGCCAAGGGAATCAGACGTACCCTTCATGCTTGACGATCTTGCGCAGACAGTCGAACATGCCAGTGTATGCTTCCTCACCGACTGCCGCACCCGATTGCAATTGACTGTGGGAATCCGTTAGATATGTTTCTGCGGCGGTGGCAAGAGATTGCGAGTGCGTAGGTTTCTTACACTCGGGTTTTGACCACGTCCAATGGGTACCTGGAGGATTTTACATTGTCAATCGCGACAGCGCAGAGAGGGAATCGTCACTGAAAGGACTGCCTACATCACGAGAATCTATCCAGACGCAGACAAGTTAGTCATAGGCCTGGGTCGGTTTGCCTCGGGTGAGAGAACCTACCTCCGAGACACCAGCCACCGCACCGGCGACGAACTGGTAGGCGAAGGGGAGAGGCTTCTGAGGAGTATCCGACATGATGGGGGAGAGGAGGTGGACAAGGGACTAGATGGGAGGAGGGGAGAGAAGAGGCGAGGAATGAATTGGGAGGAAGAGCAGCGGAAAGAACAGGAAGAGAAAGAGAGGCGGCCGGAGTCGCTCACCGGGGAGAATCTCCCAAACGGGAAAAATCAATCGCCCCACATGCCTCGAGCCACGCGGGGAAATCATACAATTTATTGTCTTCATTGTCTTCCACTTCAAATCATTTAGGTCATCTATTCGTGGTCTCATATTTACTACATTTATCGCATCATCCACAGTACCCCCATCACGCTGATTCCCACCCGGATCACCTCCAACCCCCTTCGACTCGCCGCACCCGTGGGCTGCTCTTTGGCCACTGTGCCCGTCGCCGTCGCCGTCGCCGTCGCGAGGGCCGTGCAGCTCGAACCACACGCAAAGCCCGTCGGACAACAGCCTCCGCCTGCGGTGTCTGCACAGCTAAACCAGCCATCTGCGCACCGTCCCGTAGCATCCCCGGATGCCGTCGTCTCCATCGGGACCACGATGGTCCGGTCGTTGGTGGTGATGGTGGTTGAGGGAGTGGACGGACATGAGGTAGTGTCGCAGTCGCGTCCAGTGCGACAACATCCTCCGCGGTAGACCGCGGAACACGCGTAGAATCCCAACGGACAGACGTCACCCGTTTCCTGGGACTGAGAGGTCGTGGCGGTGGAGAGACTGGTGGGTCGTGCAGGAGGAGAAAAATCCCCGGTGGATTTGGTTTCTTTGCTGGTGACGGTGGTGGTCGTGCTGTGACTACTGACGGTGCTCGTTGGCGGGATAGACTGGGTGGAAGTGGATGTCATCACCGTCGAAGAGAGCGTCACGGTGATCGTGTAGACCCTCGCACCTGAAGTCTACAGTCAGTGGGGAAGAACATAACAGAGAGGCAAGAGGAAGATGCTTACAGCCATCACTCACACAATCATAGCCCGGAATACAACACCCGCCTCCCAACGAGGCCGCACAGGTCGAGTACCCCGATTTGCACTTCCCAACGGACCCCGAGCAATTCTGACCTTGAGGACAACAGCCTACATCGCCGGACCCGGCATCTTTGACTAGTTCGCAGGTTTCCCCGGTACTGCAGCAACTGTTTGGCCGATCGATGGACGCACAGGAGAATGTCCCCGACGGACATTTATAATCCCGGCGAAAGAGATGGCCCATCTGCGGGAACGACGGGGGATGATGAGGATGAGATCGGGGCTGGAGGTCGATTCTTTCCTGTAGATCGTGTAGCTGGGTGGAATTCCCCATCTTGATGGCATCATCGAAGTACCAGTAATCCAGAAAGAACTTCTCGCCCTCGTCGGGGTTCATCTTCCTCACCCCACGGACGGGAATCTGAGCGAGATGGGCCTGAATGAGGGCATTGTGCTGGAGGATGTCCTCTGAGAGGATGCTTTCGGGGAGATGCGACAGGTTGGCATGCGCAGAGGCATGAGCCAGTCCCAACAAGAACAGAGGGACAAGCAACATGAGGAGCATGGGAATGCAAGTCCAGTTGCTTTGAAGATAATCTGAACCTGCAGATTCCTACGATCGAGAGAAGTATATGGAGTATTAAAGTGGCTGGGGAATGGTATTGGTATTACCAGGTACGGTCTCACCGCCTTGAGATACATCCATAGCAATTCAACATCATAGACAGATTCAGATTCAGTGTGCTTGCTCATCCTGACAGCTTGTATCCTTCTTATCTAGACTCTACAAAGACCATCCACCAAGCAACTCAACAGCTGCACTCCGAACAAGCGACAGGCCCTCCCTATTCCAACAGTCCATCCCCGCTGCAGCTCTCCAATGCGAGCCTGTCTCCTACCCCGCGGGACGATAGTCAACTCCTTCACTGGGAGAAGACTCACTTCGACCAGGACTAGGACTATCCACGACGGGAGATAGAGACCGAGACGGACGAGAGCAGACAGCACCAGCGGTTCGACATGGGAGATCTCTCTGGCGATGGCATGCATGAGAGATGGGATGATTAGACATGCCCATTTCTCTTCTATGTCGATATCTGCATCTGGGTCCGCTTTTATACGATGACATTGATGACACCGATAACACTGAGACACATGAGAAACGCAGATACTCTGCCGAATCCAGAGAAAATGCAGACGTGTCAACAGAACCGAGGCGACGACGCGAGCGACGGGAGCCAGTCGTATATGTAGAACCATACACAGGAGGGATTCTATACTTCTGGAGAGAACCAGACTGACGACGTCGTAGATGATGCCGAGCTTGATTCCTTGGAAGAGACCGCTGCGGTAGAGCGAGATACACGACTGGACGATGCGGGGGTCATCTTCGAGAATGAGGAGGATGGGAAGGAGGTGGCTGAGGATGTAATCGATCTAGAGATAGAGAGGCAGAGATAGATATAGTCAGTTAGTTTGATATGGATGGAAGGGGATACTAACTATGTAGTAGAGAGGGTATACAATCACAGGAAGGATGACGTTGTCGCCGTAGAGAAGGATGTTGAGGCGGTGCAGAAGAAAAGCACCGATGTAGTCGAGCGAGTGCATCCCGATCATCTATCTCGAAATGATCATCGAAGTGATGATTGTCGATCGGGATATTCATACACCTGGATAGAAGAATATGCCATAGTGTAACGTGGGACAGTCAGCATAAACCAGCAGCTCATCGTCCATCTCCAAGGCCTCTCCTCTCAGTCCATTGGGATTCTATCTATCTGTCATCATTGCCATCATATATGATACTATCTACTGTGCAATTCGGACTAACCTAGATCTCCTGTTGTTCATTCTTTACCAGTGAGTACACCTGCAAGGAGAAGTATGATATAGAAGACTTATAAGATGCCACGATGCTACGATCAGATCAATACACCATGGAATTCTCTCTGACTCCCTTGGACAGCCTCAGCCTGCCCATCCATGTGCCGCCGGCCTTCGCATTTACAACCAACCATCTTACCAATGCCATCACCATGCTGCAACATGGTATCACACAGCTGGTTTCCTGACTGGCCATTATTACCTACAACCTACATCCAGCGACTCTGCAAGACCTGCATGACTCTCCCATGATAAGTGTACAGTATCATCCCCAGAGCATCATCGTCCTACATTGGGCCAACTTCCGTGGACTGGCGCGCGAGACCTTCCTGCGGTGCCCTTGACGACGAACGTATCGTCAACTAGCCCCGTCTTGCGCTTCAGCTTCAATGTCTTATGCGACTGTCTCGTGCTTGTCGTCTGCTTCCACCATGCTGAAATGGATGGCATCGGCGAGATGAACGTCCTGTACGCCCCTAACACATGCTGTGTCGCAGCGCAGATCCGGTCCCCCGGGGGCCGTCGTCTGCCATCGAGGCCGCCACGCACGAGAGACTTTCGTGTGTCGCGCCCCGACGTCCCTTCATGGACTTGCGCAGCTACGGTCTCCAGTACTGGGCGACGCCATCGTATCTGACCATTGTCAAATTCCTCTTCCCGCATAGTCGCATCCGTCTGTCATCTCGCTCACCTCTGCAATGTCCGCCGATTCCAGGAGGACGAACTCTCGACTAGGGACATCGCGTCCGCCTTGCTGTGGCTCTGCGGGTCGCGCGCTCGCTCCTCATTGTCATCACCGTCATCGTCAGTCACCATGCATGTCGTCCTCTCCGTCAAATTCCGAACGGTCCTGCAAACCCCCCCAACGGGTCTCCCACTGCTACGTCAGGAATTGCATGGCCATCGCGTCGCCGACTCATTCTCGCGGGGATATAAACATCGCACATGTTTCAACAACCATAACCACGACCATCGATACGGCAGATCTACATCCCCTCGTCGACCTGGCGGCTGAAATCCATCACAACATCCAGACTATCGATCACCAGTCAGTCTGCGATGAGTTATAACGTATATCCACCAGCGACGAGAATAGTCCGTTGACCGCATTCTACCTCCCGGACTTCATCGTTACCAATCTACGATTGGCCCCTCCCCCTCTGCGAAAGTGGGACTGGGGGAAGTCCCTCAGCAGCATCGTGGATTTCCACCACCTGGAGAGACGAGAATCAGTGGACTCTGTTCCATCTTACAGGTGTGTGAGTGAGAGTCAGAGAGACGGGACACCACTATGGCGCGTTCGTGTGAACCTGGATCCGGTCGCCATGGAACGACTGCAGCAGGATAGACTCTTGGGGGGGTTGGAGAAGTGGCCAACGTAGTAGATTAAGATTCAGTTCGTGGTCCGTGGTTCCCCACTCCTTCCTAAACCTGCAGGACTTAGATTTTGTACATGTCACTACCCTTCAGCCAGACAGTACTACGCTGTTTCCGTTCAAGAATGGAGTATACTTTGTAACTGTAGATTCTTTGTAGATTCCTCGTCCTCAGTTAGGGCTGTACCATCACGTGGATTTTGCCCCACGGTAATCTCCACGTGACCGCCCCACAGGAAAACCTCGAATTAAAATTATCGTCAAGACTCAATCAATTGGCAACCACGATCATCATCATATCAGATCAGATCCATATACTACAATGCCTGCACCAACGGCGCTACGGCGCAATGACGAGCCGATGGTGGATTTCAACACGGGGACCGTTGTGCAGGGTATATCATCCATACCTCTATCTCTACCCTTATCCACGCCTATATTCATGCTAATTGCATCCAGAGCCGGAAGACGAATGCATTCTTGACCTCGATGCGACTCCCGCCCCCATCCAACTGACCGCGGACTCGCAACCACAGAACCTAGTCCACATTCAAACCCGCAAAATCCCGATCCCACCGCACCGATTCTCGCCCATCAAGGCAGAATGGCCAAAGATCTACCCTCCGCTGTGTGAACACCTGAAACTGCAAGTACGCATGAACATCAAGAACAAATCAGTGGAGCTGCGCAGCTCGCGATTCACGACAGATACCGGGGCGTTGCAGAAGGGCGAGGATTTCGTACGGGCACTGGCCTACGGATTCGACGTAGAAGACGCCATCGCACTACTCCGACTCGATGACCTGTTCATCGAGTCCTTCGAGATCAAGGACGTCAAGGCCAGTCTTCAGGGGGGATCACCTGGCGCGCGCGATTGGACGTATTGCCGGTAAGGATGGAAAGATGCGATATTCGATTGAGAACGCCTCGCGGACCCGGATCGTCCTCGCAGGTCAGAAGGTGCATATCCTCGGTGGGTTTCAGAATATTCGTATGGCCAGAGAGGCGGTCGTCAGTTTGGTGTTGGGATCGCCGCCAGGGAAGGTGTATGGCAATCTGCGGACGATAGCATCGCGGAGGAAGATGATGATGTGATGATTTTTTTTATTTTTCATTTGTTTATTTCCCCTCTTTTACACCTCTGTTTTCTGTCTTCTTTGGTGTTTTTACATGATTTATGAAGGAGTTGGGGTTAGGATCATGCATAGCAATGCTACTTTGCCAAACACTCCGTCGTTCCATAGGAGATAGGCGGGGTTCGGCTCGGCTAACTATAAAAATAACCAAGAATCAATATCCAATAAATACGGTTGAGAATAATAAATAGACAGAACAGAAATAGCCTGAAGAAAAGAATAATCTAATACAAAGTATTATTGAATGAAGGCCTTTCTTGCTCTCCCAGGCTCAGCCTCGGCCTTGTCTCGGCCATACACCTCGGAGGGTATCATCCTTTATATAGCCGGTTCCTACTATACAGAACCAAGAATACATAGGGTAAGTCTGATCGGCCTCGCTGCCGACGAGAGCATGCTCGGCACCGCGCATACGGAATTCAACTCGCTCTCGTGTGGCCAGAAACAGACCAGTTATCCGTACCTGAATCCACCGGAGCTGTTTCTACACCTGACGCGATCCTGGATTCAATCTGATTCGACTCCCCATGGCATAGGTACATACCCAGGAAGGATTGAATGGGAAGTTGAACGAGACTACCCTCAAGGGATTGGATGGGCTGGTCGATGTGATTACCAAGAATGGGAGTACTGTGATTTTGGATCTTGTATGCTCTCCTTCTTCCTTATTTTCTTCCTCTTCCTTCATCTGTAAGAGGAATATGTTAATGAATACTATGGAGCACAATTATGCACGATACTGCTGTGTCGTCATTGGACAACCGTCGCTGAATCTCCCCGGGGCACCACGAAAAGTCACCGATGAACATTTTGTCGATCTGTGGACGAAACTGGCGGATCATTATAAAGATAATCCGAATTTGATTTTTGAACTGATGAACGAGCGTAAGACTTTACCCGACAATCGTTAATCATGGTAGTAATGATAATGATAATGATATATAGCATGCGGTCTCAGCGCCACCATCTGGGCCGAAACCATGACAAAAGCCATCAGAGGGATTCAATCCAAAGCTCCCTCCCATCGTATCCTCATTGCCGGACCTCTCGCTGCTACTGTTGTGACTTTTGAGCTGCGATCCACACCCGCCCTTCTCCCACTGCTGGATCTAGCGACGTACCCCGGTCAGATCATCTTCGGTATGCATCAGTACTTCGATATCCTGAACGGGGGAACCAAGGACTGTCTCACCTGGATCCTGTTTGAGCCTTTCTTCAAGACGGCGACGGACAATCTGCGCAAACATAAGGCTACCGCTATGTTGACGGAGTTTGGTGGAGGGCCGAACGATGCTTGCGCCAAGATCATCGATAAGATGTTGACGTTTTTCGACGCGAACAGTGATGTCTGGGTTGGTTGGACGGCCTGGAGTAATATGTATGGTGATCAGGTTATTAGTCGGAATAGTAGTAGTGAGTATTATGCTTTGACTAAGGTGATGGATAAGTATGCACCGTTGAAATAGTCTATCTTTATTGTCGATATTTTTATATCTCTATTATATTATATATCTATTTAATAGTATTCTTCTTTGTATGCATAAAAACTTGTAGTAGATGGTCATTATTACTCTTAGGTTGAGTGTTTGCACTTAGATATTGGAAATCTCTATGAAATAATCCTCCTGTTCCGCAGGGATATAGATGTTGACTGTCTATGTATTACTTGAACGGTGCTAAAGGAATGTTTAACAGAAAGAATACAGGATGCGCCAACTGATCAACTTGATGTTTAGCCAATTCATGTGGACATCCCGAACTTATTGGGAAGTTCCACTATTCGTGTCCATCCTGCGTCTCGTATCTTTGTCGATGACCTCGCGTATTGCCCAGAAAAGAGGGTCTGAATTCGTATATTTATCACCGTAGGTCAGATTGAATTTGTAGTCAAAATCCGGCGGATTCTGGCCCTGCGTGTGTTGGAGGATTGTCTCCAATTTATCCATCGCCTTCACGGCCTTAGCCTCCGGAGTGGACCCGGCTTCATATTCCTCCCAGAGAGACATGATAGATTCCTTAAGCGGTGCGTCAAGTCCTTCTGTCAGCTGCAGCATATCGGTCCGTTCTTGTTCACTCTTGTTTGGGAATTGTTGCAGACTGACGGCAGGGACATCCCCACTGATGGCTTCGCCGAGATCATGAACCACACACAGTTTGAGAACCTTCAACATATCAAGTTTGGTAAATTCGTCTTCAAATGTCATCGCCATCAGACAAAGCCTCCATGTGTGTTCTGCTGTACTCTCGTTGCGACCTTGGGAGGTGTGACCACTTCGAAGGACGTTTTTGAGTTGTTCTGCCTCCCGTAGGAAAGCTAGTCGATTTTCGATGTTGGAGGTCATTTTGAAAGTTTCTCTTCTATTCAGGTTCTTTTGTCAAGTACCAAGAAGAAGAAAAGAAGAAAGAAAAGAAAGAAAAGAAAGAAAAGAAAGAAAAGAAAAGAAACCGGGGGTAAAGCTTGGCGCTTGTGGAGTAAATCACATGAGGATGACTCCGATGATGCCCGACATAGCAAGGCGATTGTGGACGACACAACCTTCCAAGTAGGCTGTCAAACTTCTGAAGCTTTAGATCTGCACAAGCGAGCCCGTATGGACAAGACAGGTGATGTTGGCCAGCTGGCCCAGGCTCATTTGCTTCTGAAGAAAAAATTCCTGGATTCAGAGAAGAAACTTAGACATGGTAGGTTCACGAAACCGTGCGTCTACCAAAGAAACATATTAATTCCCAATCTTACAGACTACCACTTTCGACAAGGGCTATCTGAGCTCGAGCGGAGAGCATGCTCCATCGTGGAGCGGATTCGATGCAATGAACTGGCCACCATCTGGAGATCTGAATTGAAAGGCAATTCAGAGCATCTGTTCCAGGGCATTGCATTCGATCTTGCGAAGGACACAATTCAAAAAACGCAACTGTGGCGAATTGTCAAGCGTCTGCCTAAGGGTGCATTACTCCATGCCCATATCGACGGCATGGTTGATAGTATGTAAAAAAAGTCGTTGTACCAGAGCAATCTAATATATTCAGTGGGTTGGCTCATCGAAACGGGACTGAATACTCCCGGCATTCATATCAAATCTGATACACCCCTTACGTCCCCCGACAGGTTCCGAGAGGCACTCATTGAATTTACATATCTCCCCGAGCCGTCGCAAGCCGCTATGATCGATATCTTTTCTCCGTCGTATACTCCAGGCGAAACGATGCCACTGACGCGCGCGGCGGAAATATGTCCATATGGAGGTCAGGATGGACTAGTATCCCTACTTGTATCGCGGGTTACCTTTTCTATGGATGACTGTCTCCGCCATCATGAAGGAATTGACAAGATCTGGTCCCGCTTCGAATCCATTTTCCAGATATTAGGTGGTCTTACTTTCTACGAACCGATCTTTCGCCAATTCGTACATCGCATGTGCGCCGAAGCCCTCGCCGACAACATTCGCTGGATCGACCTTCGAGTGGTCTTCCTTGCACCATTCCAGCTCGCCAATGGAACAGCAGGCGGATTTCTGGATCTACTCCGCGTATTCGAAGAAGAGCTGACCAGATTCCAGTGTTCGGAATCAGGAGCATCATTCTGGGGAGTTCGGATCATCTGGACGTGTCATCGTCGTCAGGATGACGAGTTCATTCGGCGCGATATGGAGAATTGCCTTGCAGCCAAGGCCCAGTTTCCGCATCTGATTGCAGGCTACGATCTTGTCGGCCAAGAAGGGCTGGGTCGCACCCTGGAGGAACATCTATCATCTCTTCTGTGGTTCCGACAGGAATGTAAAAACAGAGGGCTGGAACTTCCTTTCTTCTTCCACGCGGGCGAGGTGCGAGGGGATGGAGACTGTCATGATCTAAATCTTCTGGATGCTGTACTGTTGGGTACAAAGCGGATCGGACATGGATATTCACTGTTCCAACATCCGTTAATAATCAACGAGGTTAGGTCTCGGGATATCTGCGTTGAAGTGTGTCCCATAAGCAATGAACTCCTCCGACTGAATGGCAGTGCCTCTAGCCACCCAGTGCCGGCACTGTTGGCAAACGGGGTGGCTGTGGCTTTGTCGAGTGATACTCCGGGAGTCTTTGGGCATATTGGGACCCGCGTCAGCTGTGATTTCTGGCAGATATTGAATAGCTTTGATGCGGTGGGGTTGGAGGGCCTCGGTGACATAGCAGAGACAAGCATCCTGTATGCTGCGTTTGCGGATAGTCGTGGATGCTGTGAGGAGATGGGCCGGCAGGCAGGAGCTGTTCGCAAGACGCGGGTTGCTGAATGGCGGGGCGAATGGCTCGACTTTTGCAAGTGGATTATTGCAGAGTATGATGAGCAGTTTCCGTAGAATTATAAAGCATAGTATTGAAGGATGTGGGTGCCCAGAGTTCATTGTCTTCCAGTCCAGTAAAATATATTATTTCTGAGTGACACTAGAAACTCGGTATATTAACCCCCATAGAGGCAGTTTCTGCAATCCTTATTCCCTCCTTCCCCTCCAGTATATGTTCCCTCCTCCCTCTTTCTCTTTTTATCATCTCCTGTCATAATTCTTTTGTGCTGTCAGTTGTCATTTTCTTATTACATCTAATACTCTCTGTCCACTCCCGGACTACTGCTTTGTCATATTTCAGAGATTTACCTGGCTATTTAGCGACCTTGATCACTTTTAGTCCGATGGACAAGAGCTCGATGATGCTTAGAGAAGCCTTTTCAATTTTTCATACCTTAGTATACCCATGATATTAAAAGAAAGTATGGAAAAGCTGTACATCGCCCAAACGAGGATAAAATATCCATCTTCGTGAGTGAATATCCGAACTGCATGCCTGGAGGTGGGCTGACAAAAACACATATAAGCCCAAATTTCGAGCTCCAATCCTGCCACATATAAAGGAGCCGTAACCCGTTTATCGAATACTTCCCTAGTTACTCAATGCAAGCGGCAGTGGCTAGAGGCAAGGACCTCAGTTTGGAACAAAGGGAGTGATCAGCTTCGTACATAACTCGCAAACGCTGCCCAACCTCGCCAGTATCGAGACTATAGCCTCTATGGCATGATTACCATTGGTAGGCTCGTTCGGTATACAGATACAATAATAGGAACATACGACAAATGGCTAGTGATGACCCTGTGTACCATACTGTCAACCACAACGAACGGTGGCTACAAAAATTCAATTCATTAAAAATCATCCTTCGTCAGAATGGACGCCGGTTTTCGCATAACGATTTGTGCACTATCCTCGATTTCGGCCTAGGACAAGCGTCGTCCGAGTCAACGGCAATTGGAAGATATATGCATTCCAGCCAGACATTCCGCATCAGTATAGAAATATACCTACAGGAGCTACTAGATACTCCTAGATAAGATGTGGAATACAGTAGCTCCCTGTACTTAATCTGTATAAGGAAATAAGAAGCAACATATATATATGAATAGGCATAGATGGATGCAATTTAATAAGGAAGACCAGAAGGTCAAGACAAGCAGCACAAGCCAACATAAAGGACAAGAGACTCAACCTAACCATTCATAGATTACCCCTGGAAAGAAGGCCCGGTAGGACGATACGGATTCAGTCTTCCATCTTTAGCAATTCCAGACTTCTGTGCCTGCCATCCCGTGAATGTTGCTGAAGTATCGGTTAATGCCTGCCTGGTTCACCCTCTACCGCACGAGTCCGTCATCATAGTTCTTCCGAAGCCACATTAAAATCTCGACGCAGATATAGCACAACTAAACTCGCACTATCTTCACTACTATATGCCCTGGGAAAGCGACCAAGGCCTTGTTGGACATCCGATCCAGGAAGAGCTCAGAAAGAGCCTGGCATGTCCGATAGTCCTCGACCCGTATGAGACCTCTAAACCAGAACTCAAACACGAACTTGTTGGCTCTCCGGTTCATTCCCGTTGCTGGGACTTACTTACTCAGCTTAAAGTAGGGAAGTATTGGAAAGGGCGCCTGGGTCCCATCCCTTGCGCTCTCCGTCAAAGATGTCAGGAGGAACCCGATATATGGGCAGCCATGTGGGAGAGGCCTGACCATAACACCATACAACAGGAAGTTAATGTGGAGTCCGCGCAAACCTACTTTGTGCTGGTAGCATTGATTGCTAAACATACGACGTCTGGACCACCTGACCTGGTGAGAATGGGCCCAGTTTAAACCCTGGTATTGGATATGAAAGAACGGGGAGAGCGGGTTGAAGCGAAACTCTCCCAGAATCCTCAAAGTTACCGTTTCCCTTCTTCCTGTGGAGTTAAGGTACCTGGTATTAGACTACCTCGAATATAAGGATGTGGTTGGGATGCGAATGGCCATGGCTGGTAGGTGGAGGAACGCTACTGGCGCTTGAGAATGCGCACATTTTTTGTTCATGAGATCGAAGATATCCCTGTCAAAGATTTGGATCGGCAGTTCTTGTGTCCGAAACTGGAAGAATTGGCTAAGGCCTCGAAAGGTTGATTTTACGTCGGCATATCCTGCAATGTCTGGATGAATTGGAGGGCACGGTCCGTCGAAATTGGAGGACGAGGCTTAAGCCATGTACGGCTGGGATTCCGCAACTATTTCTAACTGCTTTGCATGGTTAAGCAGACAAGTTCAATTATTAGTACTACTATATCTATCAATAGGATTAGGTTCGTGACAGCGCCGATCTGTTGATCTTGACCTAAAGGTTAGAAACTACATAGCATACGGTATTCCCTCTTGCAATCCATTCTAGCTCCATCTCATCCTCAGTTTCCGCTAAAACCAGGAAGAAGTAGTCAGCAGATGGCTCGCCCACGTGGCAACGACTATACTCGCCCTCTCCCTAGGAGATGGCCAATCACTGCTACAAGCAACTAACCTGTGCGCCTCAGAGCTGGGCAGAACACCACACCACCAGATGTCTCGTATTGTGCAGCACATGTCGGAGAGAACGACGCGGACTGGTTCAGCAGTGCTCCCTTTGGACCCGCCAAGACGCATGCCCTATCCTGGGCGGAACCCCGCGAGCTTGAATCGAGTCCACGTTCTGCTATTAACGATGCTGATTGGCGGTATAGGAGAACATCGAGGCGGAGGCTTGGCACTGGAGGCCAAGACCTGTATAGATCAATTCCCTGTTCGAGCGGAGCCATAGAAACTAGATGATATAAGAATAGCATTCTACCTCGATTTCTTATACTCTCACCTCCTTATCCTTTAAGTCATACCAAGATGATCCTCCATCAGTTTGACTATCTCTTTGCCATCGGCACCATCTTTGCCTTTCTGGATGCTTGGAACATCGGTGCCAATGATGTCGCCAACTCCTTTGCTACCTCCGTGTCCTCGCGGTCCTTGACCCTGTGGCAGGCCATGATGATTGCTACGGTCATGGAATTTGCTGGGAGGTACGGATTCTCAGTCATTGATGTAATGGAATTGAATCGAATCTAATCTAATCTAATAGTGTCGGAGTGGGCGCCCGCGTCGCTGACACTATCCGCACCAAGATCGTCGACGTCGACCTCTTCGAGAGGGATCCCTCCATGCTGATGTTGGGAATGGTGTGTGCTGTCATTGCCTCCTCCATCTACCTGACCATCGCGACGCGACTCGGCATGCCCGTCTCCACCACCCACTCCATCCTGGGCGGCGTCCTGGGCATGGGCATCGCCGCGGTAGGCTCCGACGGCGTCAAGTGGTGGGGAGGCAATATCAACTCAGGTGTTGTTCAGGTCTTCCTGGCCTGGATCATTGCACCGATTCTCTCCGGGGCTTTTGGTGCCATTATCTTCCTCTTCACTAAGTATGGCGTCATGCTGCGGAGTAGCCCCGTGATGAAGGCTTTTGTCTCCGTTCCGGTCTATTTTGGTATCACCTCGGCTTTGTTGACCAGTATGTTATCTATAGTTCTTTCCGTGCCATACCGGTGAATGAGTGCTAACCTTTGTAGTGTTAATTGTCTGGAAAGGCGGATCCAGTCGAATCACACTCAACACCCCCCAGACCGTGGGAGTCATCATCGGCGTCGGAGCCGCCGTCGCCCTATTGGTCTGCATCTTCTTCCTGCCCTGGCTGTACCAGCGTCTCATCAAAGAAGACTGGCAATTGAAATGGTACCATCTCTTCCTGGGTCCTCTGGTGCTCCGTCGCAACGACATCCCCCGAGCTCGCGAGGGCCACTCCATTGTGCAGAACTACTACCGCGGCCACAAGACCATGGACGAGCTGCAGGCGGAGCGGGCTGGTCGTCCCTCCTCTGATCCTGAACAGGGCGTGAGGACCTCCGACCTGGCCAAGGAAAAGGAAAAGGAAAGCCACGCCACTTCCACCGCCGCGGAGAAATCCGAGCCTTCTACCAGTGCGCCCGCCTCGACCGTCGGCGAGAAAGAAGTCCCATTCAGCTTCATCGGTCCTCGACCCCAGGATAAGGGCTTCTTCCATCCCGTCATGCTCTTCTGGCAGTTCCGTCGGTTCTTCTTCCGTGGCGTCGAACAGGACGTTGTCGGTCTGCAGAAGAAACGGAATATCCTGACGGGGGATATCGAACTTGTTCATGCCCACGCTACTCACTATGATAATAAAGCAGAACATATGTATTCGTTTCTTCAGGTTATGACCGCTGCTACGTCGTCGTTTACCCATGGTGCTAATGATGTTTCCAAGTCCGTCCTCCCGTTTCCTCCCAGCTTTCATGACAATGACAATTAATTGATTGATATAGTGCCGTCGGCCCCTACGCAACAATCTACTACATCTGGTCCACTGGCGAACTCCACTCCAAGAGTCCCGTTCCCTACTGGATTCTGTACGTCCCCTCCCCTGCATATAATATATCATAGCAAAATATCTAATAAAATAGTGTCTTCGGCGGCGCCGCTCTGGTCATCGGTCTATGGACCTACGGATACAATATCATGCGCAACCTCGGAAACCGAATCACGCTGCATTCTCCGTCTCGGGGATTCTCGATGGAATTGGGCTCCGTGGTGACGATTATCATGGCGACGAGATTGAGTACATCCCCCTCCCTTATACATCTATATATCCATATAATATGGATGAGTTTGTGTGGGGACCGATGGAAGCTAATGAAATGGAATGATAGAACTCCCTGTCTCAACTACGCAATGTATCTCCGGCGCTACTGTCGGTGTTGGTCTGTGTAATGGGACCTGGAGAACGATCAATTGGCGCATGATTGCTTGGATTTATTTCGGCTGGGTTATTACTTTGCCTGTTGCCGGGATAATCTCAGGTTGTTTGATGGGGATTGTTATTAATGCGCCGAGGTGGGGGTTGGGGGTTTAATCTCTCTTTTTTTCTACTTTCTTAGTCGGGGATGGGGTTATCTGGATTTTTGACGAGTATATTTATTAATGGCTGGGTGAGAGGGTTGCAGGAATGTATCTATTTATGTCTTATACCCGAGTAGAGTATCTACGATCCACAAAAGTTTCCAGTTGTAACCATAGTATCATAAGGGTATCGCATGATATACTTCCAGTATACCATTGGAATCAAAACTTATCTACCTCTCACATTCTTCATTTCCCCAATCATACCCCGTCTGTCTCCATCTCTTCATCCTTGGCCACCTTCTGCTCGTCCACTGTCTCTCCATCTACTGCATCCACTCCATCTGCTCCGTCCACGCCATCCACTCCATCCGCTGCCGTAGATGCCTCTGGATTATCCACCTTCTCTATCTCCACCGCGCGCGCTTGCTGCCTCTCCCATACTTCCTTTCGGATTCGATCGTCCTTGGCCCGTCGTAGTCGCTCCGTTTCCTCCACCCCCCCGCTCTTCTTCAGCTTGCCTTCTTCCACGAATGTCCCTAGCTCCTTCTGGAAGAGACCGACCCGTCGACTCTCGAGCTCCTTCTGTCGCGCTTTCTCTGCCCGCTCGATGGCCTCTAACCGCGATTCGTGGTTCGGCTGCAGCGCACGCACCTCCCCCAGCACGTTGTCCTTCGCCTTCATCGGGTCCATCGCCGGGTCGATCACCACGTTCCGTGATGCACTGCGCAATACTCCTCCACCACTACCACCACCTCCTCCTCCCGTGGCGTTCTGCATCGCCTGCTGTTTCGTGGCCTGCTCCACCAGGCCAAACGTCTGCGCTGCTTTCTCCAGGTCGTCCTGAAGGTCTGCCGCAAGATCCTCCTGCATAGTGAGCTGATCCCGCTCCTCACACACCTGCTGCAACTCCTTCTCCCAGATCTTGGTCCAGATGGGCTTCTCCCGCCTGAGGAACTCCTGCATCTTCTTGATCTCCTTGGTAACTGCACTGATATCTTTGCTGACGCCCTCCAACTGTCGCGGCAAAGGTCGCACTCCGCGAGTCACCACATCTTTCCGCAGATCCTCCACCAGATCTTGGAGGTCGTCAACCCGTGCCACCAGTCGCTCCGACTCTTCCGCCAGTTCTTTCTTTCCGGAGTTGACCCGTGCACGACCCGCGTCCCCTTCAAAGGACGGCACTGAAACATCCGCTGCCACGCTCTTGACATTGCCAGCCTTGGCGCGGATGGCACTCATCGAGCTGGCGATGTCGGAGGAGAAGTTCGAGTACGTCTGGCGCAGCACGGCCAGATCACGCCTCAAACTCTGGAGCTCCGCCACTTGGCTGTCACTGCCCGTGATCGGACCCTTGCGGGTGGCCCCAGCCGGAGCGGTACTAGAGACCGGGGGTGCGACAGCAAGACGAGCTATCTCCTTCGCCGCGTCGAGCTGGCGTTCCGACACACGCTGCATCATGCTCTCCTGCCCTTCCAGAGCGCCCCGGACTCCCTCGATCAAGCGGCGGACTCCACCGAACTCGTCATCGAAATGCTTCTTCACCTCATCAAGGATATCCACATTCAGCACGAGGACCGAGCGGTCCTTCACGTCCCCAAGGTCCTCCAGCTCGTGACGCACGCCGGAAACTGTATCTTGAATATAAATCTCCGGTAGATCCACGCCGTTGTTGTGCGTATTCCAGGCAAACTTTTCGATGAAGGCCAACTGGAGCCGTCCAATGGTCAGGCCAGCATATCCTTCGGGAAGCACATACTTCTTGATTTTGCTCTTGTATTGTAGGAATAGGGTAAGCTCCTTCGCCGGGGATGGTTGCTCTGCGGCTAGTTGCGAGGATTGAGGTGATGTAGAGATGGATGTAGGGGTCGGTCGTTGTTCGGATTTGGGTGTGGTGGGAGCAGCCACAGCATCCGTGGTGTCGCTAACTGACTCAAACTCCTCGGCGAGTGATGGCTCTTCTGGCGGTCGAGGCAATTCAGGTAGTGGCCCGGTTGGGGCATTTCCCGGGGTTCCCTTACCGGGGCGAAGATGGGATCTATCCTCCGTGTCCACTCCGTCGGCTGATAGTTCTGCCAGAGATGCGCCCCGGGATGATGTGCGTTCTTCTTCGATCTTGGGTACACTTGACACAGCCGGAGGCTGCGCACTTTTGGCGCTCGCAGCGTCATTCGCTCGATTTGTCGACCGCTGTCTACCATGGGAGTACGACCCACGCAGACGCACCGCATTTAGGGATTCACGAACATCACGGCCTCGGTTTGGGATGGGAGAATTCTGAGTGGGCAGGACAGGGACCCCGTTGGATGATGCACCCAGGTGTTTTTGTATCTGATAGGCGGAGAACCTTCGGGAAGCACGGCGTTCAAGTTCGCCACTTCTCTGCAACGCACCGATGGCATCGTCTTGTTTCGGAGGAGGGGGTGGCGGAGTGGGATAGCTAGGGGCGTTGGTCGATGTCGACTCAGGACCCTTGGGGAGTATCGTCGTCTCCGGATGCGAAGGCTGTGACAGGGTCATCTGTGCTTCGCGTCGTGACGCTTCCCGCTCGGAGAAGCTCGCGCCGCGCATGTCACTAGAGGTTGATGGAGTTGGGGAAGCTCGAGCCATGGCATTTGGCGGCTCATCAATCGAACCATTGCTCCCGTAACGATGACCTGGCCGCTTTGGCGAGGAAACTGTAGAAGCTGTTTCCTCGTATGCCTGATTCACCGCGGCCTGTCCACTGCTGGCGCTTCCCGCGCTCGCCTGTCGACCCGGTCCGGCTCGAGCCTCCTCTCTCTGCTGCCGTGACCGTAAACGCGCTTGCTTCTTCTTGAGGCCATGCAAGAGACTGATGATGATGTCACGAATGCGTGGAAGGTAACGGTCGAGGCTCTGTGGGGACGCATCCTGGCTAAGGGTATCTTCGAGGATAGTGCGGAGAAGATCCGGAACGGGGCCTAGGTCTGAGGTATCAACCCCGATCGCGTTGAAAGCACGGCAGGCCAGGTTGAATTCATAGCCTAGCCGCACATAGACGTCGGAAACCTCGTTTTCCGATGCTTGTGTGCGGGACCATTGTGTTAACGTTTCCAACAACTGTTTCGTAGCAACCAGGAGATGTGTGACGCTCTTTTCGATTTGGGAGATCTGCTTATCGGGCTGTCACGGGACGCAAGTACCAAAAAGAATTAGCTGGGGCTTCCTGCAAGGCTCGAGGTGACCGACCGAGCCATCGGAGGAGCTTTGTCGGTGAAGGACAACGTGGTTATAGTACCACCACCACGGGAAATAAAGAGGATGGACTTACCACCGCACTTCTAGATTGTGACCTTCCGGAGCTGGATGAACTGCGTGGTGCAGAAGATTGCGAAGTCATGGCAGAGTCGATGCTACTTCCAGAGCCCGACGGAAAATGCTGGGCTGAAGGGCTCCGCTGGGAGCGAGAAGGAATATTGGAGGCCGGCTGCATATGGGAACGGAGATCGGGGTTTTTTCTTTGCTTTAAAAGGGAACAGACAGAGGGCGGGAAGGATGTGGCTAATATGCACGGAGCAAGAAAGAGAGCGACCAGGAAAGGGGCCGGATTATACGGAGGCAGGAGGATGTGTGTAAGGGGAGAAAGACAAGAAACAATCACGACGATTGCAACGATGAGGAGGAAAGCCAAGGAGTCAGTCGAACGACAGACCAGCCTCTCTCTTTCATGCCGTGGAATCTAAACGGAAGTTGTTCAGTTGCTCGTTTGGGCCCAACCGCTGGCCTGAGGCACATTGCCGTCACATGGCCCACCACCCACTCAGTCAGACTGGACGAAACATCCGGCTATTATTAGTATACTGAGGTTGAAACAGTCAGACATCTGATAATTACTCCGTAGCGGAGTAGGTTCAATCGTCAATTCTAGAACTATATACAATCCGTTGGCATCCTGAAGACCGTTCATTGCCTACGTCTGGCCTCTCAACAGTGATATTGACCTTGATCTTATTATTAGTCTTTATGCAATGCTTCAAAAGGAAAAACACAAGAAAAAAGGAAGACGACGAAGATGAAGAAGGAGTTTAAAATAAATCATCAAATCGATTCAAGTAAAATAAACTAAACAATTTTCAACACGGAAAAGACAACAGAAATCCAATGCCATTCCGGTGCACTATCGATACATAAATGCCTAGGATATACGAGATCAACAAGAACCGTCGCATCCAAGTACCAGCAACGAAGTACCTATTGGTCTCCATATGGAAGGCGACGATGTTTCAACATTGACCTGATGTGTTGGCACTTGGAGACCCTTGCTGGTCCAGTGGGACTTCCTACTGGATCGGAATACTGGAGTCGATGCAAGTGGGAGACGCAGTAAGACTGTGGACCCATCAGTGTTCGTCAGGATGATTTGAGATTTGCTGATAGCGAGGGAGACCATCCTGTAAGGAAGGGTCCACGGCTAGGAGCCTCACTGCTCTTGTAAATCATAATGGAAGTTGACCATCATGGTCCTGCGATGGGCTTCGACCTCTTCCAGGGATGCTTCAGGGGAGGCAGAGGTACTCACTCTACATCTACAGCCTATATAAGCAATGGTAAAGTGAAGCATACTGTCTTTCCGTAGACACACTATCTCCATATCCATTGTACAATTAATGAGAATCGAAACATCGACAAATAGGACTGGGCGGGTCCCCGCCCGCCCAACCGTCCAATGGAACCATGGAAGGCGCCTGCTGCGTTCTCTCCTCCACTCTTCACCTCACCTTCACCTTACCTCACGATACTAATCCAAACACAACATCCTTCTCCTCGTCCTCCCTCCCCCCCCCTCTCCCTACCCCCCACCGTTATTGCTTATCTTTGACGGTGTGAACTTCCCCCTTATTCTTAATTAGAATCGAGCCATTCAACTCGGTCGTATCTGGAACCTGCCATTCTCGACTCTCCTCCTCGTTCCCTCCTTCCCCCTCTTCTCATCCTCTTTTTCTGTGCCTCCCTGCTGAGATTCTCTTTCAAGGTCCCGTGACTTCTCCAGGACGGGTTTCTGCACTGGTGACCTATTTCTTGACTGGTCGGACCTTCTGGTCTTCTTTTCCCCTTCAGCTTTCTTTCTGACGAGCTTTTTTTTTGTCTTTTTTCTTCCCCCTCCCCCCTTGTTACCTTCTGTCTTTCATCCTCTCCTATCTATCTCGTCTTCCGTCACATCGCCTTGTTCCCCTTCTTACTTCGCCCCTGTTCAATTAACTTGTCATTCTGTGTGCACAACTGGTGAACAGTGGCTTCGTGCTTGCCGTCCGTCCCGGTTGGTCCGCAGCTTGGTGTCGTGTGAGATTCGACTACCTGAGCGAGTGTCCGGTTGGACAATCCAACCCAGATGACTTCTACCGTCAACTCCGTGTCAGCGGCCAACAGTGCGTCTGGCAATGCATCCTCCCAGAATCCGACCCCGAGACCCTCGCTGAGGCCCAGTGCCAGTGCCGGTGCCAGTGCCAAGGCATCCGACGGCGGTCGACACCAATCTGGCAGTCCTCTTGACGGGGGACAGAGGTACGTTTTGCTGTTCTTTCATTACCCCCCTTTCCCACTGCTCTGTTGATTGGTACCTGCTTGTTCTGTTTTTGTTTTCTTTTTTTAACGTTTCACCGCTTCTTACCGGATGATGGCTTTGCTGAACATTCCCCTTACGTTTTTTTTATTTTTACTTTTTTTACCCTGAGGCTTGTGAGGGTCAAATCTACTCCTCCAATTGGTTCCGTGCTTCTCTTCTATGTGGCTTTATGGTTTCTTTTTCCTTTCATTCCTTATTTTTAACCCACCCATCAAATGATTGATAGCCTTTCAAACTGAGTCACGGCATTACACCGTCAAATACATTGGACTAATTCTTGCTACTTCCCATGCAGGCGCAGCAATTCTCAGAGGGCTTGGACCCAAGGCACAAACCCGATTACCCAGAGATCTTCATACTCGCAGCAGAACGGCAATATGTCTCAGAAGCAATCTCCCTCCCCCCCAGACCGACTGCGAAAGAATCGAACACACCGGACAACCATGCCCATGACCGCCTTGTCTTCTTGTTTACTAGCTTTATTGTAAGCGTGGCTCAGCCTAACCTGCTTTGCTTGCAGTAGAATACTCATCATTGCTAGGGCCTTGCCACTTCGATCACCACGAAGAACGGCGATAAATTCACAGGCATATTTTCTTCCTCGTCCCTCGAACCCACCGATTCCTCCTTTGTCCTTAAGATGGTACAGCGACAACATAAAGACGAACAGTCTCGGGCGAACGGTGTGAGTGAAACCGCTAGCCCATACATGGGCCCGGCGCCCGATCATACTGTGTCTTTTGACGTCAGGGATGTCGTGGATATCTCGGTGCCCAACGTATCCACCTCGGAAGTCATTGCGAAGGCGTCGAATGGTAGGTCTATTTGTTCTCCCCCCCCTTTTATTTGGGGGGATATAATGAATGTATATTGACAACGCTCCTAGGTCATTCGAGTGGATTCAAAACGGATACTGACATTTCCGGAAACTATGCCATCCGTGAGCGGACTTTAAAACGCTGGGAACCAACCGCGGATGCGGACATCGGTTTGTCGCTGGAAGGCCCAACGTCGTCGGGGACCTGGGACCAGTTCGAAGCCAACGCTCGACTCTTTGGTGCTACGAGTAACTATGATGAGAATATCTATACCACCCGTATTGACCGTTCCGATCCAGCCTACAAACAGAAGGAAGCAGCGGCCGCTCGAATCGCTCGTGAAATCGAGAGCACCGAAACGGATAATGTCCACATGAGGGAAGAACGAGGGTTAACGGTCCCTGATACCGGGGACGAGGAAGAAAAGTACAGCGGTGTCCGTCGTGACGAGAAGAGTTTCCCCCCTCTGGTTTCCGGGCAGCCAAACAAATACACCCCGCCTGCCCGCCGGCAACCTGCCCCACAAACTGCATCAGCCAGCGCTGCTGGCGGGCCCCCGACCTCTATGCCGTCGAAGGAGAATCTTGCACCGCAGGCGCAACCGACTGCCGCAGCTGCTCCGAGTGTCAGTACCGATACGGAACAGAAATCGATTCCAGGAAAGACGCCGTCGACTGTCAATGCCGTCCCAAAACGGGCTGTCGCGGAGAACGCGTCCACTAATGTGGAAACAGAAGTGCTGGATCATTTCCGACAGTTTGCCAACAACGAGAAAATCAAAGTGCAGGAGCGACGTCGTAACCAAGCTTCCCATGATCGCACCATCAAGCTGAATGAGTTGATGAAGTTCTCGAAAAATTTCAAGCTTGCTACACCGGTCCCGAAGGACCTGGTACCGATCCTCGCCAAAGACCCTCACAAACAGGAAGAAATCATCCAGCGAGCCCAACAGCATTCCACTGACAAACCCACATCCAAATCCCCTCCCGCGGCAACTGCTGAGCAGCAAAAACCCACGGCTCGCGCTCCGGTTTCCGCAATACCCGCCTTGACGTCCGATCGCCCAACCTACCCTCGTGGCCGTCAGGTGTACCCTCCCGCTGGCCCTGGCGGACGACCTCCCCACCAGGCCATGCAACCCGGCCGTCAAACTACCGGTATGCTTGGTCACCGTCTTGCAGATAATCTCCAACAGCGAAAAGGGGCAGCAACGGGGCCGGTTCCAGCACCTCTGCCCATTGCCGATACGCGCCTGCCTCCTACTGGCCCGGCTGCCGACCAACCTGGAGTGTCCAGCCCGAACAAGGCTCAAGCGCCAACCTCTGCCACCTCGACCAAGTTCAACGTCCGAGCATTGGAGTTCAAGCCTAACCCTGCGGCCAATACCTTCACACCCGGAGCATCGTCGAACTCGTCCCCGTATGTTCGAGGCCGCTCAGTGTCCCGTGCTACCAGTCCGTCGGCCTTCTTCGGTGGGAAGAAGCCGCGGCCCATCGCTGAGCGCCCGTCTCTCAACGACCACTTTAATCCCATCAAGCGAATGAAGAAAGAAAGCGCCGAGCAAGCGGACAAAGATTACACCTTCAACGGAGGTATCCCACCCGCCTACAAAACTCTGCCTACCTGGGAGGTTGCACCCGGTAACGAGGAAAAGACGTACGATCAAATGTTCAAGCCACCTGCCGTCTCCCCTCAGAATCGTTCAGCTTCGAACTCGCAAGCGCCACCGCAGCCACAAATGCCGTTCCAGTTCCCGCAATCCACGCCTGGCATCCCCCCCACATCGGGGCCACCTCACGGACCTCACCTACATCCGCAGCAGCATCATGGATCCGGCCCACCTCATTTTGATGACCCTCACCGGATGCAAATGTCGGCCTCCACGTCGCAGGTCTTCCCGTCTCCTCGGCTTCAGCCCGGATACCCATCTCCTATGGCGCCGCATGCCCAGCTTGCATTTGGACAACATATGCCGCAATTCTACCAGAATCCTCCGCAGCCTGGCCCCGTCAGACATTACCCGGGCAATACGCAATTCATGAGCCCACAGGCCACCATGGGCGCTCCTGTGATGGTCCAGCAGCCCTCCAATGGACCCTACATCGGTGTCCCTCAGGGCATGGCCCCATATAACCCCCAAATGCAAATGTATTCTCCTAATCCGGGCCATTCCTACCCTCAGCATGCCCCACCTCAGCCGCACAGTGGCTATCCGAGCCCTAGTCGCGGTGCCCCTATGATGATGCACCAGAATTCCCAGCCAGGCCAGCCTCCCCAGCCGGTCATGTTTATGTCCCCTGGACAACATGGGCAGCCTGTTTACCCCGGTCAGCAGCCAGGGCACAGTACGTTTCACTGAACCACATACACCGCGCCTTTTATGTTGCTAATCATCACTAGTTCCTCCGGTTCGGGGCAATTACCCTCAACAACAGCCGCATTTTCAGTCCAGCCCTCATCAGGGACATCATTTCCCTCCCCACCAGCACCGTACACCAAGTAATGGCTACAATCAGATGCCCCAGATTCCGCCTCAACTCCCCTCTCAACCCCCGCCGTCCGGTGCATCTGGCCCTGCTCAGGCCCCGGAAGCTGCTGACGAGGCGAAATGAACGTTTCCAGAGTCAACGGTCCGCGAGATGCTATAATTGATTGGCCTTGCAATCGATGAGCACATATATTGTGACCGAAATAGTAATGCACCAGCGGTGCTGACGTACGTGTTAATAATCGATCTCTTCCTTGTCGGCAAATTCAGTCGCTCGTCGACCTCTCAATGTATTCTTGGAAGATATTTGTCTTGAACGTCTTCTCCCGCACTGGGTTCTAGGGCAAGGGCATACTGATTTTGGCGAGCGGGCACTGACATTCCTGCTTGTGAGTGTCTCAATCTTCTACAAGACTCCAATTTGATCTAGTAAATAACGGATCTAGACTGCCTACTTTCCATTTGTCCTGTCTTGCCGCGAATGTTCCAACCACATCAGGAGTGTATAGGATTCGGGATGATTTCCTCAAAATGTGTCACGGACTAGACTAGTTGTGTGGCCTGCGCGTCGGCAACTTTACAGGTCACTGCACGGGCTTAGAACCATATTGACCTTGTGATCACCTATACTATACGCAAGTGCAGAGGCTTATAAGATGGATTCGGCCAGTGTTACATCCCCATGTTTCAGAGATCCACCCATGTCCGTGAAATGGTATATGCCAACATGTTCGGGGAAATTCTTCGATACTTTTGTTCTATTTATGTTGTCTTTTATTTTTCTTCCTTTGACCTTTGTACCTAGGGGAGATACTGGGCATGAAGTAGGTTGGATCTGTTGGCAGCAACGAGCGACTGTGACCATTCCATTCCCGCGGATTGGAGATTACATGTGCTTTAGTGAATCAGATCCATACGCTTTTATCGGAGATATTGTAAGAGCGTTCAGCGTAGTGTTATACCGTTTTCACATAGTTAGGGGGCGATTGTAATGGATAGTGAAGATAATGATAGTACTCTAAAACGTTCATATGCAATGAATGGAAGCTCAAGTGGATACGGTTGTTTCCATTTCTACCTAGTCAAACTGCCAGAAAAAACCCGGGTGGGGAGGGGATTGTCTGCATCTAAGAATTAGCCACCAAATCTCAATGTATAATTCTGTATGATTTGCGAGGGGGTGTTGGGACGAGGAAAAGGACAGCATCTCCTCAGTTCTTTTCAGTTTATTTTCAGTCATCATCCAACCGGGGCAGAACATCGCAGTGCGCGGTGCTATATAGAGTCCTCATCCGAAGAACGAACCGTCGAGAGATCCAGACCCGACCAGGATTGCAAATTCCACAGGCGTCCGACCGAATCCAAGACCGCACTTGACACTCGTTTCCGATTCCAGCTCCGTCCTCGCTCCTTTTCCATCTGCAGTGAGATCCAAAGCCGCAACCCTCGACCAACCAATGTTCGCCACAGCCATTAGTTTCTGAAATTCCTCATAGAGACAAAGCGGACCAGAAACCCCAAATTGTGGCCCTAGTGTACTGTACACATGTCTTCCCAAGGTCTGCCACGTCAGGAGTCTTACGACGAAGCCCTCGTGCCTTTTACTAAGCCATGTGCCTGCATTTCGATGGAGGAGAAAAAAGGAGAGGAACTGGAGTGTCGAATCTTCCGCGAGGGTGGATGCGCGCGACTCAGACCAATTGGTGCGGACCAGGGATTCTGTCAACTCTAGGTCGGAAGGCTCTGTTCGATTGATTGGGATGAGGAGACTCTAGTACCTTCGGGCTTTGATGTCCTGGATAACGCGATCTGACCTTTTACCAGGATTCACATCACTGGAGATGCGTGGAGGGGGTGTGGTTTGACAGGGGAAATGAGAATGAAAAGCTCACCTGTTACGCGTGGTAGCTGAGCGGGAAGACCATCCTCCTTCCTCTTACTCCTCCTCCAGTGAGGAGACATGAAGGCGACAGAAAGACGACGCGGTGCGGAGAGGATGAGGAAGAGGAGAAGAGAGGGAAAGAAAGGGAAAATAAATTGGAGAAACCGGCCCTAAACCGGATTTGGGCGGGGTACCACGGTCAGCGCCAAGGGGCGAGAGAGAGAGAGAGAGACAGAGAGAGAGGAAGAAACATCCCTGGACAGGTTCTCGTGCTTTAGCTGGAGTCGTGATTCTCCGTCAACCTCCGATTGATTTTTGAATCACTCCGCGACTGTCATGGACTTCCTCAAGTCCGCTGTTGCCTCTGCCATCGCCAAAGGCAGCTCCTTTCCATACTCACTCGGAGACCGAGTCGACATTTCGGATTCCATATGGACACTTCACAATGCCACGAAACGCGTATGGAAATCCCAACCCCGTCCATGATACCCATGTCGGACATGAAACGAAGCTAATGCGATGATCCATCTGGTCTCCGCGACATGTAGGACGACGGCTCGGCATGCAGCATTTTCACCTTTGATATTACCCCGTCCAACAAATCCCGTCTGCCTCTGGCGAAGAACGCGGTGCGAAAGTCCCGAACACTGAGACACCCAGGCGTGATCAAAGTGCTAGATACGATTGAGGTATGGGATTGGAGCTGGGGACGACTACTAGTATCACTGCGACCAAGTCCCGCATCTGTTACTTACACGATCTAGACAGAGTCGAACATTTACATTGTAACGGAACGAGTGGCCCCCCTGTCCTGGCATGTGAAGCGAAGGAGTCTGGGTGAGGAAATTTGCAAATGGGGTTTACATACAGTGGCGGTAGGTGTTTTGGGCTACGGACGACCGACAATGCGATCGAAATTCGGAGCTGACTAGATTGGGGGAATGTCCCTGCACAGTCCACGCTCAAGTTTATCAACGAAGATGCTTCATCCGTCCATGGCGCTGTGAGAGCGTCGTCCGTATACTCCAGCGAAAGCGGCGAGTGGAAGCTAGGGGGTTTTGATGTCCTGAGCTCCATGAACGATGAAGATGCAGTTATATATGTCAGTCCTCTATATCCGGGGTCCTTTGGATAGAAGAAATTTGCTAACCCTGAATCAGACATATGGCAGTCTTGTGCCGGATGCCGCTCGATACACTCCCCCGGAGGTTGTCAAGAGTGGATGGGATACCATCAAACGCCATCCGCTCGCGGCCATCGACGCTTACGGGCTCGGCATTCTAATCTATGAGGTTTTCAATGGCGCTTTTTCAGGTGGGGATCAAGTGGGCAGAACGACGAATATCCCACCCACCATGCATCAAAGCTACAAGCGACTCTGTACGGCCAATCCCAAACTACGGCTGAGCCCGGCGCATTTCGTCGAGCAAGGAAAGAAACATGGCGGCTTTTTCCAGACCCCTTTGATCCGGTTGACGGACGGCATAGAGAGCTTGGGGTTGAAGAGCGACACAGAACGGGATGAATTCATCAAGTACGTAGTCTCGTCCCTGAGTCCGTGTATAGGTGGTGGTATGGATGCTGACTGAAAGCCAGTGAACTGGATGAGGTCGCTGAAGACTTTCCCGAGGACTTTTTCAAGATGAAGGTCCTTCCAGAGCTATTGAAATCGGTCGAATTTGGCGGGGGTGGCCCGAAAGTCCTGAGTGCTTTGCTGAAGATCGGTGGGAAGCTGTCACCAGACGAGTATAATGCCAAATTAACGCCGGTCGTTGTTCGGTTGTTTGGGAACCCCGATCGAGCACTACGGGTGTGTCTACTGGACAATCTACCATTAATGATCGATAACCTCCCCCAAAAGGTCGTCAACGACAAGATCTTTCCGCAGATGGTGCGTGCTATCCTACGACCCCCCTCCGCGTTGGAATGCTAGCTAGCTAATTTGATTCGTGTCTGTAGACATCTGGATTCACCGACGTGGCCCCGGTGGTCCGAGAACAGACTGTCAAAGCCGTGCTGGTATTGATAGTTAAACTGAGTGACCGGACTATTAATGGCGAGCTGCTGAAATTCCTGGCACGGACTGCCAACGACGAACAGCCGGGCATTCGAACGAACACTACCATCTGCTTGGGCAAAATTGCGAAGAACCTGGGGCAAGGCGTAGGTAGTCACTCGAAGAAGGGTACAGACAACATGGCACTGACGAAGTAATCCAGTCAAGAAGTAAGGTCCTCATTGCCGCTTTCACACGAGCTCTTCGGGATCCATTCGTGCATGCTCGAAATGCAGGGCTGCTTGCCTTGGGTGCCACGATGGAATTTTTCTCCGACGAAGACTGTGCAGGCAAAGTCCTCCCCGCTATCTGTCCTTCCCTTTTGGATAAAGAGAAGTGAGTTTTCTCCTCCCCTCTCTCCTTTTACCGATCGTTTTGCCGGTCCAAGTCTCACACCACCAAACCATAGACTCATTCGAGATCAAGCGAACAAGACGCTGGATTTGTACCTGCAGCGTGTACGCAAATTTAGTAGCACGATGGCCGACACGATGTTGCCGCCCTCATCCAGTCCTGACACTACCAAAGATGCTGCTCGTATGGAGACGCCAAATGATAAGTCCTGGGCGGGATGGGCGATTTCTTCGTTCACTAATAAGATCACGGCGGCCAACGGCGAGATTCAACCCACAGCCAACGGGGGCAAACCCCCCGTGGAGACTGAACCTGCTCGGTCCTCGTCTGTGCCTCGTGCGACCAAACCCTCCCCCTTGACGAAGGAGGCCCTACGACCTACGGCGCAGCCTCTCGGCCGGTCGCTATCGGAACAGCCCGTCCGCGTCACTAAAGAGGAACAAGATACGGACGACGTCTACGACGCATGGGGTGCCATGGATGACGATGACGATGGCCAGGACCAGTGGAAAGACGAAGATCCATTTAGCCCTGCCTCAACCACGAACTCGTCCACCGGCCTCTCTGCAGCACCCAAGGCAGCCCCCGTACCCTACGATGATGGTGGAGAACCGGATTTTGCGGGCTGGCTGGCGGCACAATCCAAGTCCAAGAAACCATTACCCAAGGGATTGAGTAAAACCACCACGACAACCACGTCAGTTCCCCGAACGGCCAGTCGGAATAATGCGAGTAAGCCCAAGACAGCGACGGCTCATGCAAAGAAGATTGACACGAAACCGAAGGATGATGAGGTGGATGATGGCTGGGGAGATGCATGGGATTAATCTCTTTTTTTTTTCTTTTCCTTTTTTTTCTTTTATTTATGATCTACTGCATAGCAAGCGTATCTACTGCACTAATTCTTTGTATTGATGCCCTGTAAATCAGTCATCCATCGCGTTTCCCCACAGCCAATCAGCAGCCGCAGGCCTCGTGATCACCGCCACGTCGTTTGTTCTACCTAACTAAGCCAGAGACAGTCAGCCTTGCTTTCTCCTCTTCCTCTTCGTCCTGCCACGCTGCCATCGCCAGTATCTATGTCATCCCGGCTGTCGTTTGTGCCTGTTTCCTGATCGAGATCAGGGTAGAGTTCCTCTTGGCTGTGCTACCCACTTACCAAGGCCTTGATAGGCTGTAATCTTGCTGCCTTCTTCTGCATCAGCCCGCTGTGTCCCCCGGTGTTGGGGCGGCTGCATACGGCCTATTCCTCGATGCGCGATGGATGACCGTTGACAAACCCTAGGGTCGCTGTCACTCATCGCATCGACTGAAACATTCCCTTTCCGTCGTGGGAATTCGAGATAATCACTCCATCCTTCCTTCTCAGTCTGCTGACTGTCCACCATGGATCACGAGGAGGAGGCTCCTCCGCCGCCCTACTCCGCCGTCGACCCGTTGCTCTCGGCCAACAACAATAATAATACTAATAGTAACAATAGCAACAACCACAACCAAAATGCGGCTGCTTCGTCAGAGGTGAATCGCGTACTCCTCCGTCTTCGCGCGCAGAGCTCCCCCCTCTCTGATTCTGCGTTGAGTGCTGGTTCCAGTTCCTCCCTGGTCACTACTACATCCCCGCTACTACCCGTCAATTTCACCTCCGCCGCCGCTTACTTCGTCGAGAGACCACCCCCTGCCTCGGACGACGGAAGACCGGTCCAGGAGCATCAGCTAACGATATACCCGCGAAGCCAGTCGAGGGATTTCCCCCGTCGCCCTCGTTGCTGGGGCTCCCGACAGGAGGACATCACCCAGCAGGACTGGGACACGTTTCTTCGATATTTGTTTCCCCCCCATTTGGGACTGGCCTCCTCGTCTGGCCAGCTCCCCCGCCAAGTCAGAGCTGAAATCCAGCGAGACCGCAAGGATCGACCTCAGGAGACGGATGGGCAGCGTAAGATGCGGATTTCGGCCGTGATCACGGAATGGAACCAATACTTTTTTGAGCTGCGTGCCACGCGCATCGTATTTGCCTACGTGACCGACCCGCAGAACGCTCCGCCTTCGCCTCTCTGTCCTCGATGTTATCCCGCTGCGACGAGGGTGTCGTCGGAGAATCGGTTGGGTCCATCTCCCGAGGCTGGCCGTGGCCGCCTGATCGTGCGACCCGACGCGGCGCCAGCTGCCGCTCGACCGCAAATTGCATCGCAGACCAATTATACGTACCCACAAGCATCTTATAGTTATCCAAGTCCGCCCGTGAACCCAAACCCGTACGGCCCATATGGTGCACCGTCGTACTTCCACCCTCTCACTCAAGCCTCTCGTGCATATCCTTATGCTCCGCAGCCACCGCTCCCTTATCAACAGCAGTACTCATGGGGTTACTACAGTGGACCGTATCCTACACCGAGTGCCCCCGGCTCAAAGGGTGGACCATTCGGATGGATCGCTTCGCTCGCGTCTCAGGCGCAGAAGTACGGAGAACGCATTACCGAGCAGGCCCAGCAATATGGGGACCAGATCAGTGCTCAGGCGCAGCATTATGGCAGGCAGGTCGAAGAGCAGGCCATGGCACATGGCCGTTGGATCGAAGAAAAGGCGGGTCTGCGAGATGCAAAGATGGACAGTGCATATGGTGGCATGGTTCATGCACCTCGCGGCGACTGGCCATCCGCAGACCCCCGCCCTCAACCAAATTACTACCCGGCCACCTACCACTATCCCTACACCGGCACCGGCACCACCACAGGGAGAAATTCGGTGGAGTCCGCGGCTGCGCCGGCACTCCCTCAACGCCCTCGCAGGGCATCCACCTGCTCCAACGCGTCTGAGTCGTCATTAACGTCCATTGACTCTTTGTCGACGACGTCGGAGCTGAGTTCGTCCGACCTTGCAACCGTCCGGGCTCAGCTTCTTTCTCTTGAAGATCATCATGACCGCGATCTACACGAGGCGGTTGTGGGTCTTCGGCGTCAGCTGACCCTTTTACAAGAGTCGCGCCGCCAGATGCGCGTGGATGGACGAGGACATTGGCGCAATGGCTGGGGCCAGTACCCGCAGCAGGGTCAGGGACGTGGCAGCCTGGGCCGTTGGGAATCGCCACAGCAGCGGCAACGCAGCAAGATGGAAAAACGAGCCTTGAAGGATGAGACGCGGGCCACGCGAAAGGCGTTTCGAGATGTACTGCGTCGCGCCAGGGATGAACATCGAGAACAGCGACGGCTCAAGCGCAACCAGCGGCGGCAGGAACAGCGAAGCCGCCAGATCGAAGCCGCTCCATCGGAGCCACCGTTGGAGCAGCGACTGCAGAATCTGGAGCTGGACCAAACCAACTGTGAGAGCCGTTCAACGGTCCAATCGTTCTGCCCGTCGCCTACAAGGTCGCTCGTGTCCGAGGTTAGTGAGATCAGCTCCATTAGCACGCCGAGCTCGGTGTCGTCCCGTCCGAGTAACCACCCGACGAATACCAGAAAATTGGACTCGAAAGAGGGTAAGAAAGACATGGAGAAGAGAGAGGCCGATAAGGAGACGAAGAAAAAGGATGAAACGGAAAAGTCTTCCGATACGACGAAACCCAGTTCATGACGTCTCGGGTTTGATGTGCGGCCGTCGATCTAAACTTCTAGGACATATAGGCTCTACTAATTCTGATGGATATTATGATAACGATACAGCGGTGTTTATAGCGGGTCAGGAGGGAGTTGTGGAGGTTTATTATTTTCCCTGTATTATGTGCTTGGATTGGCTTGTCATCGGGCGGCGTGTGTCCTAGGGGATGGAGCATTCTTTCTGGTCATTGAAATATCTAAAATCTCGCATGAGGATACCGGCGATCGATAGTTAACGAGATATGACCTTTTGCCTTTTCTTCTTCTCTGTTTTTCCTTCCTTTTTCCCCTCCTATGTCCTCTATCGTGGTTAGATGTTTATACAGAATCCATTTTTATTCCTTCGAAGAATCAATTTAAGAACTCGTGGCCGAAGTCTGCGACTCGTTCTTCTCGACCAAATCGCCCACACCCAAGCCGCGGCCTACCTTCACCTTAACCATTTTCTCCTTGTCCTTGTCGGATTCCTTCTTACCCAGCTCGCCGACCTCGTCGCCCTCGTCGGCATCCTTTTCATCGCTCTGCTGGCGTAGACGATCCTTGCGCTCGATCTCGCTCCAATCCATCCACATATTCGTTAGGTCCATGCGCATAGCGTAGGCATCCTCCCCGTCGGCGTAGTACTTGCTCTCGACATTATCGACCTGAAACCCGAGCGTATCACGATACAAGCGTAAAGCAGCGGTATTGGAGACACGAACATGAAGCGAGACATAGTGAGCACGATGCGACTCGGCCATTGCACGTTCTACATTAGTTTTCATTAGTTTTTCATTCTCTTCATTTTCTTTATTCACTGAATTAAGAGGGGGAAGACATACGACTCATACGCATCAGCCTCTCCGCAATTCCCAATCGACGGTGAGTCCTCATAACACTCAAACTCGTAATATGACCATGTTGCATCCCATCCGCCGGCTCCTCTTCCATCTTCGCCAACACGTACCCGACCACCTTGGGATACTGCTCGGAGACATTACCGCTGCCTTTTTGCCCTGCACCAACACCGGTGCCGGCAGTGGTGTACTTGGTATAGCCTGATTTGGGCCGCACGACAGCGACGAAGCTCAATTGCGGCCAGGTCAGCGCATGGTAGAGGTAGTATTTTAGGAAATAGTTTTCGGGCAGGTTGGTGATGTTGCAGGTTTGGATCGAGGGGAGGAGGTCGATGTATGACGGGTAGGAGGAGAGGGGGACAATGTCGACCATTTTTCTTTCTCTCTATTTCTTTCTTTCGGTTCTGGTCTGTTCTAGTCTCAGTTTATGGTAATGAGGGTGGGTAGTAGGTTTTGGAGGGCCACGGTGATGTGGATTGATTGGGTTATGATATCGGTCAGGTGCGCGCTAGCCGGATTGGGTGTGCCCTACTTTCTACCTATCTTTCCTCTCGGCGTATATCTTGGATCTTTCGCTGGATCTATTCGATATATATGCACAGGTGTTGTAATTGAATGTAGTCTGTATGTCTTTATATAAAGGCTGGGTTTGCTGATGAATCTCAAAATCCTTCTGCAGTCCAGGTAGCAGTCATGCTCTTAGGAGTGATGACTACAACAATAACTACAATAGTAGTGGATCAGATTGTATCAACAAAAATATCAGCATGAAAGTCTAGTTAGCTCATCAAATATATGTAAAATCATCGCGATAACTGTCAGCATCATATCTCATCAATCATCTACTAAAATATAGACACCAGATACTGTACCCCCGCAATCAGCACCATGGACACAGTCATACTCTGCGGCGTAACACTCCATCCGCCCGACGTCGTGCCACAGCACTTGCCATTATAGGTGACGTTGTTCATGTCGGCCGCCACCTGGAACACCGATCCGTTCACCTTGCCGTAGTTATAGTAATCGACCAAAAGGAAGTTGGGCGGACGGTCATGGTCCCCTACGAGTTCGTTAGTTCCTATCACTCCTCCAACACAGGGTCATCCACTTACGGGTGCAATTGGTAGCCATCCATCCCAGACTACCAAACCCATCCGCCGCATTCGTCTGATTCAGCAGCGCCATGTTTGGAATCAGCAGGTTCAGATTCGCAACGTTCAGCTCCAAATTAAGGTTATGGTTGGCCATGTACAGCCGGTTGCTGGCACCCGGCGGTTGCAGACCGGGCGGCCGCTGCACGGTGCAGGGGAAATTACGATCCGTCGGTGAAAAGGGCGTTTCCCACATCTGCGAGAACTCATCCATGAGCCACGGATATGCGGTCTGGTTGGCCTGGTAGTCCATGAACACGACCGCGCGTCTCCCTGACAGGATCATGGTCGACAGCGTGGGCCAGTCATGCAGACCCATGGGGATCTTGGGAGGTGTGTACACCATATCCATTAGTCCGGAGTTCTTGATGGGTTCCGTGAAGTTGCCCGGGTCAACATAATCGTAGTTGCCGATTAAGATCGTGACAACGTCATACGGATGGTCCTTCATCCACCGTGCGACGGTGGTGAGGTACGATTCCAGGGTTCCCACGTCTAGCAGATCGCAACTGGTGTGGCAGAGTTTCACAGTGCCGTTGATCAAATGGGTTTGGAATTGTACTGTGAAATATTTCAGCGAACGGTCAGCTTACGATGTAGGAGTCCAATTAAGGTCACAGGATACCTACACATGCGAATCCCATCATTCAACTGCGTTTCAACATGCAGTGCCTGATTCGCAGCGATATTCCCCAGTTTCACAAACGGACTATTATGGGCTGCCACCATGGTGATGTTGGAGTAGTTCCGTGCGCAAAGTTCGGCGTATCCATTGCACGGCTGGGTGTTGACGACGGGCGGCGAAGACGAGGCCGTGTTCGTCGCTGTGCGAGTGGCATTGACCGTGTTGTTGCCCACCAGCCGGGTCATCGAATCCGTGCTCGTTGTGTGCGTGGAATTTCCCGTGGAGGCCGAGCCTGTGTCGGACGTCAAGTTTGCCATACCGCCATGGTTTGTGGACAAGGTCTTGGTGCTTGTGTAGGTGATGTAATGGCCAGTGCGTGTGGCCGGTTCACTGACGGTGCCTGTGACGGTGCCATCTAGTGTGAGAAAGCTCTTGGTGTCGGAGATCGTTGTTTTGGACTGGTAGGAGGAAGAAGCGGAGGAAGTAGTATCATCTGCGGCCAGCACAAGAGCTGCAAGCAGCGGGAGGAGAGGAGCTAATCGCATAGTAGGATTAAGGCATGCGATATACTGGATAAAAAAAATATACAGAGAATATACACAAAGGAATATATAGAGAGAAATATGAAGAACGCAGAAATGTAAGTGAGCCAAAAAGATGGAGAATTGCTCAAATCGATGCGTATTTTTAGGTAAATAAGGCCGGTTATGGTACGTATCAAACGGATTTGTGTACCGTACTGGGTTAGTCAGCTGACTTCTGTCTCCACCCGATCGGCGCACCATATGGAGTGGCGCTGTGGCGTGGCCGTGAACCAATCAGCAGTGGCAGATGAGCAGGCAACGAGCAAAACAGACCCACTGATGGACGGCATGACGTTGTCGGCGATGAATTGGGGCCAATGGTGGCAGGGATTCGCCCACTTGGCGTTGCAATAGCATACTTGCCGATACGAACAACCAATCCAGGTAGATGAATTGCTAGGAATAGAATAGGTGACAAGAATCCGGTGGTGATCATTTCCATAGTCCACGTCAGGGATCACGACGACTACGCCTGTCTCCAGCCCTACTTAATAGTACTTATCCAAGGTTTGCTGGTCTAGGTGCCGATCGACCCGAAGAGGATGCATTTAGATAAAATAGAATCAGAAACTGCTTCACACTAGCCAATTCTTAGCTCCGACGGTGGCTTTTCTTCTTCCTCCAACCTTCTGCTCCATCGCTCTGTCAATCCTACTATCCTTTGAAATTTTATTTTTATCTTTTCCCTCTCTATTTTCTCTTCCATGGAGAACTCGATCCACGTCATCTATCTGACTCCCTAAACAGCTACCTTCCTTCATCTTTCCCGCATTCCCCCGTCTATTTTCTTTCTCCCAGCTCCATCGTCTTGACGTGCTGGTGATACCCAACTTCCCTTTGTAGTAGTCCATGGCCAAACTGCCTTTATTCCAAAAGTCTCCTCCACGGCTTCCTTCTGCCGGAAGGACTCAGTTCACTGTTTCTTGGCATCGTATCCTCCGCTCTCTGTTCTATCTCCTGGCCTGGATCTTCTTATTGCTGGTCATCATCGGCAATGTCTCCAACAAACCGGTCCTACGGGACACCTACTTTCTCAAGATCGACCTCTCCAATATCATCCCCCTCTCCATCCCCAATGCTGTCCTGATCAACAGTATTGCTCGCTCCATCGGTCTGCATGACTTCTACCAGGTCGGTCTGTGGAATTTCTGTGAAGGCTACAACGACGTCGGTATCACCTACTGTTCCAAACCGAAGACCCTATATTGGTTCGATCCCGTCAGTATCTTACTCAGTGAACTGCTCTCCGGCGCCACTAGTACGTATCCCCTCATAATCATTATCTTGGTTCTGGAACTGATCGACAACAGTTGCCCTCCCCGCCGAAATCACCGATGCACTACAAATCGCCCGGAAAGCATCCTACTGGATGTTCGGTCTCTTCCTCACCGCCATCGTACTCACCTTCGTCATGATCTTTCTCTCGCCCTTCGCTGTCTCGTCTCGTCCCCCACAGACCATCTCCGCCGATCCCGCCATCAACGTCGCTCACCCCGTCCACCGCCGTCGCACCTTCGTACTTTTCCGCTCCATTCCCTTCCTTATCCTCTCGTTCCTGACCGCTCTGTTCACTATAGTCGCCTCCGTTGTCGCAACCGTCATGTTCTACATCTTCAGAAATGTCTTCACAAATTCTGCCCAGGACTTGAATATCGATGCCTGGGTCGGTACGAGGATGATGGCGTTCATGTGGATCGCATCCGGATTCAATCTGATTCCCTTCCTGTGGCAATTGGGGTCCAGCTGTGTCGCTTGCTGTGGTGGGCGAAAGGCGAGGAAACTCTTGAAACAAGGAGGGAGTCCTGTGGGCACCTCCGAGTCTAATGGCGAGGTTGGGCACCAAATGCGTCAGAGGCAGAGGTCTCATTCCCCTATCCCCGCTGCGTCTGCGGTAAACTAAAGGTGCCGTGCTATTGGATTCTCATTTTTGGCATGGTTAAGTATCTTGATTTTCCCCTTCCCCGGTCTCGATATTATATATATATTTCAACGTGTACACACTTTTAGACGCGGACTGGTTAGATTTCCTACGGTATGTTTCTTTTTGGATATCAAAGTCATAGTGGACTGGGCTGGAGCATACATATACATCGGCGGTGCATTTAGAACGCGAGATTGAGTAGCTTGCTTAGAAGATGCCTGGGGCATTTCATTACCTGACGATTGTTATGACCGATTTTGGATTACGACCTATTTTTTGCATCTACTTGCTTTTATCCAACGGACCCTGAGTTACAATGTAGTCCAATCCATTTCACTTCAGTATTAGCACTGACGTTCGTAATGAGTATGGCATTAAGCTACAAAAATTCCATCGAGCTATGCAGATACATGAAAAAATTAAACTCCCGAAAGTAACAATGCAAGGGGGTATCATCAGTCTTGACTCCGTTCTAGTTCCGCTTCCATCGCACGCGCCAAATCATCATCGCTGAAGTCACCGTCATTCTCATCCACGGATGTACGGTGTGGGTGGTCATGGTCCCGTCGGGCCATGGGTGCTGCTCCATCCTGAAGTTGTGGGCGCCAGTGCACGTTCGATCCAGTATCATTGAGCCAATTGTATTTTTTGTTTCGCAGTGATTGGAGCATCTCCATTTGTTGTTGCGTCTGTTCCGACGAAGCTTCTGTGGGGACAGGCGGTGTCTCAGTGGTGTCCACCGTGAGATCGATCGTAACTGGTTCAGACTGGGTCACCATAGGTGTTGAACGCGTGGTCAATGGGGTTGTAGTACGAGGCTGTCGGTTCTCGTGAGCAGCTTGGGCGTCAGCCGCCGGAGAATCCTGAGCTGGCATGGAACGACTGCTTGATCCGACAGCCTGGTCGTGTGCGGGTGTCGAAGAGGCAAGTGGCGTAAGAGGCGGTGGCACGGGTGTCGACCATGTAGTACCGGCCGGCCCTTGTACGAAGGATTGTGGCTTGTATCCAGGAGGAATGGGGCTAACGGCGGGCATCTTTCGTTGGACGTGGATTTCGTACAAGAGATTGTTGTAGACCGTCCCCAGCTCGCTAAGCCTATTTTTCCACTGCTCAATCTCTTGCTTATATTGCTCGACCCGATTCTGGTGATGGGAAGAAACTCGCCGGAGCGTAACGTTCTCCTCGCGCAACAGCTGTTCTTTCGTCTTTCCGGTCGCTGGATCGACCGTCGCCCACTGAACCCATTCATTTCGGTATTTGTTCCTTTCCCGTGTGAGCTGCTGAACCCTGTCCCTTAAACTGGAGAGACGATAGTTCATCCGATTTTCCGCAACCTCTATGTATCGGACATGGACGCCTGGAGCTGACGGAAGGTATCCCAGTCGACCTCCATACGCTGGATAAGGAGATGTATATTCCGGTTCCTGGTATACTCGCCGAAAAACTTCTCGACTTGTATTGGCAATTATATCCTGAGAATCGAGTGAGAATCGTCGCTTAGTCATCTCGCTGAGCGAAGGTTGTGATGGGCTAAGGTCTCCTTCATTGACCACTGGTTCTGGGGCTTGTTCGCAGTGTCCGGGGCTACCAGCTTGATTCATGCTCAAATTATCTTCGTTGGTGGGCTCAGCAACAGGCGACACAGCGCCCAAATCAAAAGGGAAACTGTCTGCTGGCATCTCCAACGGAATGCCAAAAGTTGAGTCCTCGAACAGTGTATCCAATGAGGTAAAAAAAGGGTCGAGAGACTTCGCTCTGTCGGTCTCTGCCGGGGTATGAGGAGCACTGTCTCCTTGGCCAAGTCGAACAACCGAGTCCGCAGAAGACAAAGAAGGCGTTTCATTTGGGGTGGTACATTGTTCTTGTGTTGCTTCAGCATGTTGCTTCTTTGCCGATCCTGAAAAATAAAAACCTTCTGGAAATGCTTCACTACTTGTCCGTTTCTGGGACTTAAAAGCAACATCAATTTCTCGAAGAACAGAATCAGAATCGAAAAGAGGATCGTAAAAGAATGCTTTGGTCACATCATTCGAGCTGTCATCAGGCTCGACATTCAGGCCTTGCTCCGTCGAGCTATCCCTACCATCTGTCGATAACTTTTTGTCATTTGTAGTCGGCAACCTTTCGACAAACGGACTGGTACGACTAGAGCCAGTGGTATCGGTGGTTTCTAAGAAATATCCTTCCTGTTGGAGGTGCTTCTTGGTCTGGATATCGGTATCAAGGCCCTTCGACTGGTTTAATCCATCCTGCCTTCCGGGGCAATCAGGTCTCGCTGGGGCCCTAGCAGAAGGGTCGTGGTTTTCATCCGGTGAAGATATCCGAATAGCATCGGTAGATTGCTGCATTTGAGACCCAGGGGGAGGTGTAAGCCCCAGATCGTTTACATGCAGATAAGATATTGATGGAGAAGTCGGGAGATCTCCCAAAGCCAATGATGCTTCGGGATCAGGAGGGCAGGTCTGGAGAGCGGTATAAATACCTTCAGCCACACTTTCATCCATATCGGTCAAATATTCCAGCATATTCTACCTCAGAAAGCGAGGGAGCTAAAGAATGTCGTGTCCGCGAAGCAGGGTTGATCGGATACAACACCGAGTGTAGTTGACGTTGATGGTATTGTCGAATGGCGGATTTCATCAACAAGATCAGCAGCGGAACGCAATATAATGTGTCATCTGGACTATTTGCAGGCTATACAAGCAAGTGAGAACGAGACCTGACTAATCTTGCCACAGTGCTGTCGTACCTCTTGAGCCAGCGCAACTCTTTAACTAGAAACTTGACCCTTGATAACGCTGTCCATACAAGTTCAGATGAGCTTTGAAGGTAATGGAAAGGGTAGCTTTGTGAGCAGTCCGCTATCGGTCAACGGAGAAACGGTAAGATGCAAGTTGAAAATGTATGAACCAAAGGCTGAGGCAAAAAACAGGAGTTAAAAAAAAACAACAGCAGATCACCTGCTCCGCACTCCGCCTCCCATACCGCTTGGGAGACCGCTCACGTGCCCTAGTAGCCCAAGAACCCGTCACTGCGAAAAGTCCGGCATTTCACCAAACTGACAACTTTCCAAAGTTCTCTTATCTTCACTCTCTACTCACTTCAGCCATCTTTGGTTGTCTGCACCTCCAGCATGAGCGTTATTCTCTGTACTGGTAAGCTTCTGTACCATGCCCTTTGGATGTCACAGTTTTATTTATACTAGAACTCGAGCTGAAATTGGTGAACTGCCAACCTTTCCAGCTGGATATGACCACACTATTCGGTAGGTGTTTAGTTGCGTGGATCTGCCTTCATATTAGCATGTAGTGCTAACATGCCTTAACAGTTTCTGGGAAGCTTTATCTGGAATCTGTTCACGTACCATCCAACATCCTGACTCACAAGTGAACCGGCTATGTATCACCCCGGATAAACGCTATCTGGCGGCTGCAGGCCACAGCAATGTTAAACTATATGATATCAAGTCCACCAACCCCAACCCAGTGATGACCTTTGATGGCCATACGAACAATATTACAGGGGTTGCCTTCCACTGTGAGGGGAAATGGATGGTCACCAGCTCAGAAGATGGCACGGTGAAAGTGTGGGACACCCGCACTGGAAGTTTGCAACGCAACTATGCCCATAAGGCTCCAGTGAATGATGTTGTTATTCACCCCAATCAAGGTGAACTGATTAGTGGTGACCGTGCAGGCATTGTCCGTGTCTGGGATTTGGGCGAGAGTGTCTGCACCCACCAACTAATTCCTGAAGATGATGTTGCTGTACAGAGCGTCAGTGTGGCCAGTGATGGGTCCCTACTTTGTGCAGGAAATAAGAAAGTAAGAAGGGCAATCCAACACTATATTGCAATTTGTCTCTAATCTCGGCACAGGGCAATGTGTATATCTGGCGAATGATTCAAGATGCGGAACTTACCCGTATTGTACCGATCTGTACATTCCAGGCACACAAAGATTACCTCACCCGTATTCTCCTCTCACCGGATGTGAAACACCTCGCAACATGCTCTGCTGACCATACTGCCAAAGTATGGAACCTGGATCTGGACTATCCGCCGGCAAAGGCCGCAGTCAAAGACAAGATGAAAAGCACCACACCCGACACAACTGAGACCACTTCTTCTCAAGCAACTCCCGAGGGCCATAATGGAACTCCAGACAGCAGCAAAGGAAAGGCCGACTTCAACCCGTTCAGTCTTATCGAAGGGGTCACGCCTCCTCCTCCCAACAACGAGCCGCAGCAGTCCTTCCCCGTCCAACCAGATGGACCTCCAATCGATCCAAACACTTCGACACTCTACCTGGAGACCACATTGGCCAACCACCAACGATGGGTATGGGACTGTGCCTTTTCCGCCGACTCGGCCTACCTTGTCACGGTCTCGAGTGATCATTACGCCCGTCTGTGGGAGCTGGCTTCAGGTCAGGTAATTCGTCAGTATAGTGGACATCACCGCGGGGCGGTATGCGTTGCTCTCAACGACTACTCTGAACCTCGTTAAGAGACTCGAGACTCGAGTGCTAAGTTGAGCGGGATGGATACCTACCGCGTGCAGCATTGGATTGATACAGTTATTCTTTTTAACATGGGTAGCATGGCGCCAAGGATTTGGGACAGTAAGGAACGTCCCCTGTCTATTGAACTGGAGTTCCGGGTTCTTTTTTTTTCTTTTCTTTCTATTTGGCATTCTTTTGGATGTTTCATGTATCTCACTTAAAGTTCTAAGGGCCTGTGTGACGAATGCTGTAGTATTTCGCGGGTCCAATGTGACTGTAAGGTTGGTACTACCAAGAGAATAGAAGGTGGGGGTTATTTAAGCACCGCAAATTGAAACGCAAGTCCCAGATCAAAAGCCAGCATCTTATGAACACCCTGCTCCCCAAAAAGTAAAGGCCAATAATGGTAATGAAGGAATCGTCAGGCAACACGCATCGGTCTCAACATAGAAGAGCAAAACTCCAGCCCAGGCAGCTAATAACTTATATAGCACGAGTCAAATTATTTTTTTTAAAAAAAAAAAAAAAAAAATTTTATCTTTTTCTCTTAAACAGATTCCTAGTCCACCGCAAACCATGTCACGCTCACAACGACATCCAGACCCCGTTCATCAGCCCCGGGGTACTTGAATGTCCACATGCCATCGCGCTTGACATCCCAGAAAGCGCCCGAGGCAGAGTGCATGCCGCGCTTGCCAGCATTGCTAGCTGCGCCGCCTGCTGCAACCGACTTATCGATCAGGCCTTGTTGCACGATCGTGCTGTTCACAGTGAAGCGGTAGGGAGGGGATGTCGAGGATGAGGACGGAGAAGTAGCGGCAATGAGGGCTTTAAGAATGCCGTTCTATACGAGGAAGCACGTCGTCAGATGTTGCCCCAACGGCGGAATGCCGCTTAGACAAGGGAAGATGAAAATCGAAGCTTACAATGATCTGAGAATTCCAGTCTCCGACCTTCAAATGATCGTATCCCTCGACATCTTTAAGTGCGGAGTCGCAGACCTGGTGGAGAGATGTCAGTCCCAAATGACACGGTGACAAGAGTTTCATCCAATTGGCGACCCAAGTTGTATTAAATAGCGATGAGGTCAAGAGAGTGACGTGCCTCTGTAGAAATCTTTGTGAGCTCCGGGATGGGAACAGGCTGCGTCACGAGAGACAAGGCCGGTCAGCAAACTATAGGAAACACTCGGCACAATGGCGAGCCACAGTGCGCGCAGTGAACTTTCGGTGGGAGAGGCCGACTACTCACCGACGTAGGAGTATATTCTACAGCCATTGTAGACAACTTATTCACGTATAGAACAGGTAGGTGGCTTTTGTAGATGGCTTTCCAAGCTTGAGGAGCATTAGTTAGCATGGCCGGTGTACATTGCCGTCATGAAAACAAAAGGCCGAACGCGGTTTGTAGATGCGACTGTGGGGGGCAACTCCAGTACCGACGTGGGTGATACCGATTGATAGATGAGATTGTGGGGAGAAAGATACCTACTTTAGGTAGCTGAAGCAGATATGCAGGGACGGAGAAGGGCTAGAATCTAGCAGCACATCCGAAGACTGGAGCGGACAAGCAGCGGAGCGGAACAAGCGTGTTGTTTGGGGATGTTTTAGAGGCAGTTCAGCTGTGGTATCATGGGTGTGGCTCAGCAACAGATGGTTGGCTCCTGACAAGCACTCGCTATACTCGATAAGGATAGGATTATATTCTCTCCCGTCATAGCGCGTTTCTTAGGCCCGCACTGCCATATCGCAACGGATAAACAATTGTCCAGGCGAGTCTAGGAGCAAATCAACGGAGCACGTGCAAGTCTTCTAGCGGTGGGAACTGGCAGAATCCAGGGTACGTGCCAGACGCTAGCCCCGAGGCAGTATATGTCCGCCATCACCTGCAATCTGGGCGGGGCAGTATTAAATCCCATGGCACGCCATGCATTGCGTCGATTTCAGCTTTGAGCTCACCACTCCGTGCGATAGCCGCCTCCGATCAAGTTGAGATTGCTGCACATAATTCCCTTGCAGAATTTACGTGATTATTTTTTCCTATCTCCCTTTCAAGAGACCCGACTCGATTGATTCGATTCGTCTTATCTTTATCATCGACCATCACGGTGAAGCGCCCTTGTCTCCCCCCTTTTCTCGCTCGTCTGAAATACCCATCCATACAACAAAATGTCGAGTCAACCTCTCCTTCAAACAGCTCCAGGTCAGTATCTAATGTGCACAAGGAGAGCACAATTGCGCAGAATTCTCCCATCCTTACCACCTCTCTATCCTCTCAGAATCTATGTCGTCATCAACGTCAACTAACCAACCTGGGCCCTCAGGCAAGCGCATCGCGCTCCCAACCCGCGTAGAACCCAAAGTCTTTTTCGCCAATGAGCGAACATTTCTCTCATGGCTTAATTTCACCGTTATCCTGGGAGGGCTGGCGGTGGGTCTGCTGAATTTCGGGGACCGCGTTGGTCGCATTTCCGCAGGGCTATTCACCATCATTGCTATGGCGTCTATGATCTACGCTCTTGTCACGTTCCACTGGCGTGCTCAAAGTATTCGAAAGCGAGGACAGACGGGGATCGATGATCGGTTTGGTCCGAGTGTGTTGACCGTGTCTCTGTTAGCGGCCGTGGTGGTGAATTTTATCCTACGGGTGAAAGAGTTCTAAAGTACGAGAGGTTAAAAAGTTAAACAAGGCAGGAGTGATAAGAGGAAGAAGATTTCATGCTGTCATGCCACAATTTGTACCATTGCTTACATGTACACGCTTCACGGAGGATGCATTGGATATCTCTAATTACGGGGCTTCATCTTTAGCCTTGGTTTCAATATTACGCGGCCACTAGTCGAAATGACTCAATGCTTTCTTGGGGTTCATAGTCCTCGAAACCACTATTTATATCGCTCTTCGATATGTCATAGCGAACAAGAACGTGCTTAAGTTTCCTTGTTTAATTACTCTTGGAGAGAGATTATTCTCATGAATACTAAAAGTTTTGGAAATATATACTGCCTATTTCTCTTTCTCGGTGATTATATATATCAGGAAGTGGATTAGATCTGATTATTTCATTCGTTCCCAGATTAACAGATAAGACGTGATCAATGAAGAACTCGAGGCTCCAATAGTCTCCCTTTACTCCTTGTCAGTGCACGGTCCCATTATTCAAGAATCTTCCAATAACTGCTGTCCTGGGCATGTCTAGCAAAGGTGGCTAGTCCGGCGTTGAAGTTCCTGTGTTTCAAGTCGCTTGGATGGACTGCTCGCCCACGAACACTGGGATTTCCGATTGTCTGGTTTCAAGTAGGTAGATATATTATTGGATGTGGTATTTTGAGTTTAAAATAGCAATTGTGCTCTTTAGAGATTAAACAGAAGCCAGCCCGACCACTTTTGGACCAACTTGAAACTTCCTTCGAACATGCTAGTGATGGTGGCATTGGTCAAGGACACTGGGTTAATCACGGCTTGGTCAAGTTTCAGCACCCAGGTAGCGCCACGATGCGCGAGCTGCCGGGGTTCTGAGCTTTGACATATGCATTGGACTCATTTAGTGACGAATAGCGAACTAGTACGAGGGACTGACGTTCTCACAGCAATGTGCATGTTATAAGTTTAAGTGCGTCCTCGGTTATCTCCCTTAAGTAGGCGCACCGATATCCAGAATACAACTACGAAACATGTACATTCACCCGGACTGCATAGGAGGTTGAGACCCATAAACAATTGACACCAGCATGTGAGAGCTTGCCGATATATCTCCTTGTGTGACATACGTGGCGTATCGAGACCTCAGTTGCTCACATCATCATCATTAGATCCACCTGGGTATTGTGCCCAGAATAGGATCAAGACCTTGCCAGTAGCAGCAACCTTCATCATGGAGAGCTCTGTCAAGCCCATCTGTTTCCGAAGGCGATCTATAGTATCTATTAATCAGTGAGGAGATTGCCTTTAGGCCTTTGTAGATAATAAACATAGGACTAAGGCTTATCTTATTTGATAAATCAGCATCCCTCGCAGAGGTTCTGCTATTGGTCTTTAGAGTAGAGACCCTGTTGTGCGGCTTCGTTTGGATATACTCCTGAAGTCAGTAGAGAATATTGCCTAACTTGGCATGGACTGTTCCTTCGATAGGTGGTAGGTTCCTGTCATGTGACCCTAACAATGGGTACCTATGGAGAATGGGGGTTATCAGTCCTGATAAGTGCTCCGAAGTCCGCACCGCATTTTAGCCCCAGTCATTTCGGTTCGCTGAAGTCAGTAGATAGGCTGCGTACTCCACATAGATAGATATTGTAATCCTAGGTAACTATTTTACGAAAAGTACGACAACGGATGTTTCTCGATACCTAGGAAGACGGTATCAGACCAAATGGCACCACCCATGGACCAGTCCAGGCCCAGGATCACATCTTGGGCCCACCTACCCAAAGTGGATGAGAACGCGTTCTGATTTGACGTGTCATTCTCTGGCGGAAAACAAGAATCAGAGTTGGACGGTGGAAGTGAAAATGAAATACCGCCCAGATTTAATCAATACCTTAGTAGTACCTAATAAGTTACTGTAGTCATCATCACCACCATTAATTGTCAACAACAAAAGTCCCAATGGCACTGAAGAATAGTAAGACATTGGGTATTTGACTGACTAACCTTTGTTCCGTTTCCCCTCTTTGCCTCCCTATCTCACCCTGGCCCATTTACTCTTCTCTCCTCTTTCTTTTCTTACTACCTTCTCTCCATCTTGCTCTGCTGTCTTCCTAAATACCTCCCACTGAATCCAGATTCTTCCCTCTTCGGTTAACTTCTCCCCCTGTCTACCCAACTGATCATACTCTTCTATCGTCTTCGACTTCCCTGTGTCCCTGGACGGACAGCTGTGTGATTTATTATTGATCTTTTAGTATTCTTATTATTGTGTTTTTCTATTTTCTATTTTTTTTTTTTACTTGTCGTTATCATTGTTGTTATTTATTATTGTTGTTACCCCGACTATTATTGATTACTTACACTTAACTCCATGCTATATGATTTCTCGGTGCCCAAATAACATCTTCCAGTGTTGATCTATTTTCCCCCGTATTTCCCTCCTCCTATATCAGAGTACTGATTTGACCTATCTGGATTTATCGCTGCGTGTTTCCCTCTCCTTACTCTCCGGTCGTCGTCATTTTGCTGCCTGTTCCTGGTGCTGTTTTGTTACGGGGGCGAGTATTACCTTCTTATTAATAGATTACGCCACCCACCGACGCTTTGCCTCCCCCAGTTTTGCCAGTGGATCGTGCGTTCTTCCTCCTTCCACGCATTGATTGACTGAGTGCTGCCGTCAATCAATACACTTTGTCACTGACAGAATCATACATACCATACACTTGGTATACCAATCTTTTTTGTTTTTCTCGGTGGTTGTGTTTGTTATTGCTGTCATCATCATCGTCAGTAAATCACCCTCCAGCTCACTCCCCAACCAATCGGGAGAGAACGTCGATTCCTTCGATAGATTCTCTCAAACTTCTTTGTTGCCGTTCGGAGCCTATTGCGCCCGGTCCACGGTGTCTCTTTCCCCTTCCCCTTTTACCCTCGGCGATTCCCCTACGGTCGCAAATCACCTCTCCGCCGATCGGCGTTGGTTGTCCACTCCTTCACCAGACTCTACGCCTCACTCCACCTCTCCCATTCCCATCTCTCTTTTCCCCCAAGATCTAGATCGCGTTCGCATGCACTGGTGCATGGTTTCGGCACTTTGCAGTTGACTGTCGACGGGTGAATTTATTTTCTCTTTTTCTTCCCCAGACGTGTCGCATTCCTTGTCACTTAGATCAGTCGCATCCGTTTCTCTTTTTTCGCATGGCATGTTTCGGCTGCTTCCCTGGTCCTCTGCAATCGGGGGAAACAAGGCGATAGCTAAGGAGCTCAAAATGATCGCTGCCTCGCCACACTGCGCCGCGCCGGGCGTCAACAGCCTGGCGTTACCCAAGTTGAAGCGCAAGCGCTCCGATTCCAGTGACCCATCACCTGGTGAAGATGCTCCGGTCGCAACCAAGTTGCGTGCAGACAATGTGCCAAGTTACTCAGTCGCTACGAAACTGAATACATCATCGACCGGCCACAGTGCGACACAGGGTCCGGAGTCCTTAAACGGTCATTCGTCCGATTCGGCGTCCCGATCTCCTACCTCGTCACCTTGCCTAAACCCCGGTCCCAACGACTCTCCCACCGATGAGGATGCTACTTTGCGCAAAGTGGACGTTGACAAGTTGCGTGAGACGCTTGAAGCGCAGCTGAGCCTGGAAGTCTTGTTGAAGCACAACGAACTACGCTTGATTGACCAGGAGATAGCGAAGTGTCAGGTGGCGTTGGAGCAGCTGCGGCGATGCGCTGAAATCCCGTATCCGGGGACCCAGGTTACAGGGCCCTCGCAATCCATCAATAGTGGTACAGGGAAGGCGGTGCTTGCTCCTGGAAATGGGCCTGCACCACTCTCACCTGCACCGTGGGGTGTCACCGACGGGCCATACACCCGACACTATGCGAGATGGTTGCTCCCTGATCCCCGCTTTGACGGTGGCGAGGTTGACATAGGAACCCCCTTGGTTCCTGGTACCGTAGGGACCCCTACGATGGAAGGGCGATCGACGCGTGGGAATTCCGGTGATGGTGGCTTCTTGGCCGGGAAATCTAGGCCTCAACGTGGATCTGGAGGTGTGCGATTACAATCCTTGCCTAACGGCTACCCAGCCCCGAAAGAAAAGGCTGGTCCGATGATCATCCGGCGAAAGTCAGATGGCGTCATGGTCAAACTCATCTGCTTGGACTGTCGTCGAGACAACTTTTCTAGTACGCAAGGGTTCATCAACCACTGCCGCATTGCCCATAACCGAAACTTTGCCAGTCATGACGCTGCTGCAGTGGCATCGGGGGAACCTGTGGAAGTAGATGAGGCAGGTGCCGTGGTTGGGGGCAAAAGCGACACTCCTAGCACAGCCACAGCCGGCTACGTCCATCCGCTAATACGATCGGCTCATGTCATCGAGCCATCATCCAAGACTCCATCATCGGGTTCAGAGGACCATGCAACACCTCGGAAGCAATCTACCTCCAGGCGACAGGCGTCGTCCACGGTGGAAACACCCCGTGCGCCTGTTCAAACGTTGCTGGGAAAGCAGAGCACACCTGCAACGGTGACACCTTCGAGTACCGACAATTTTCTGGCCTCCGCCGACGCACCACATCTATCATCTCTTATGCAGCTTAGAGGGGTTGGGCTTGACCTGGGTCGATTGGTCGGAGAAGCGAAAACCACAGTTGATCTGGGTGCATATTCTTCCGACGAGGGTGACTCAGATACCGAACAGAAACAGCGGTCGGAAGTGAGCCAGGATCAGAAGCCGCTTGGACGTCGTGTAGGCCGACAACCAATGCAGACTACCGTTTCGCAAACAGCGTCGCGACGGCCTAGTAGCCGCAAGGGTGTGGACAAGACGAATCACAGACCATATCCCATAGAAACATTAACCCCTACACGGCCTGCACCGTACCGGTCGCCTTACGGTCCGACAATGTCCTCTCAAGCGGATGAACTTCGCGATGGTGACGGGATGGATCGCTCCTCGAACTTGAGTCCGAATACTGTGGAGTCGAACCAGGCTCCGAGCCTGGTGAGCGACGACGACGACTACGAGGAGGCATCAGACTCAGAGAGCCCAGGCCCCAGCTCTTCTGAAGCAGGGGACCATGAAGAGGACTTCAGCCATATCGATGTAGAAGGTGATGAAGACACCACGGCTTCGTCGCCAGCTACCGACCCTAAAGCGGACTCCAGTATGGCTGGGACGACGGCCCATCCATCAGCATCATTGTCAAAATCCCTTCGCCGTGGCAACACCAGAAAGAAGGAGAGACTACTTCCATCTTCGGTTGTGCCTCTGAGCAAGAGTGAGAGACGGGTGAGCTTTGCCAGTCCTGAAACGAATCCAGGTAGAGGCAAGAAGGACCACAAGCATAAGCCTAATGGGGGTTCATAAAGATAGATTTTTTTACTCGTCATCTTTTCAGCTTGAGAATTGGAGGGGCGAGGACCCTCGATGTTGTAATCCTGTTATCTCTCTTCTCCTGTGTATGTGACTTTCGCTTTTTTCAACCTACCGGCGGGGGTCTTTACAAGATGAAGTTCATGTTTCGGACTTTTTGTTTTTCTTAATTTCCTAATGCATCTATCTTATTTTCAACCTGTCTGTGCTTTGCCCTGTATGGGTACGGGTGCGATGAATTTGTGTGATGAGGAATGTCGAGCGTTTCCGTTGTTATGTTACAGTACAGCACTGGCCTGTGTTGTTACTGATTTGCCTGTATTTGATAGGATTAATACAAGATCTGGAATAAATATACTATTTCCCACCTCTGTCCCCATTCCCGTCTCTAAGACCCTTTCAGATTATAGCATGTTGTATAGGAGTCTTGAGCGGATTAAAATTCCCCCAGATCACATGCGGTCACGCCAACCGGATGGTATTCCACGAAGATTCACTCTCCATTCTACGGGGCCCAAACCCAGGAATAATGGCCAAAAAGACTCATTTGCTGGAGGGCAATATCCCAGATTTTCACCCGCACCACATAAGGGGGCCTACATTTCGTAACTTGCTAAACAGCTACCGAGCGACTGTCGAGGCCGCTGCCAGACGCAAAGCTACAGAGCGCATCGCCCGCTCCTCATCAGCTACATCGAGGAAGACAGAAAAGCCAAAACTAACCCCTCCATCTCAAAATAAACGAGATTGCGATGCGGAGCAGAAGGTGGAAAGCGAAGTCAAGGAGTTTTTACATCTAGATGAATTGCGGTATAGCTCTCTTCCGGACTTGGTGAAGGAGAGAACCGCTTCTGGAGGAGCTGGATGTGGGTTTTTAGAGAAGGAGGAATTGATTAGGTTAATGGAGTGGAAATTGTAGGTCTTTTTTTCTTTCTTTCTATTCCCGTCTTTGATCCATTCTTAGTTATCTACCGATGCTGATAGATTGAAATCTATCGCCAGAAAACATGGAGTCTTTCGTCCCATGTTATTAGGAATGGTAAAATCCAACCCGGAAAAAGTAGTCCGTCAGACTACGTCTGAGGCGTTTTCTGCCGTATCTGGATCTAGAGCTACAGTCGCACGCGATGACGAAGCTGACGAGTTTCCGAAATCCACTCTGGAGAAACTTTCACGTCCTCTTCGTGGAGTCGGACCTGCTACTGCTTCTCTTCTACTATCTGTTGGGACAGGATCTCAAGATCCCAAACAGGAGGTGCCCTTCTACAGCGATGATACCTTTCTTTGGTTGTGTATGGAGGTGTATCCGCGTCCAAGGGATCTCATGGGCCAAGAAACAGGGGGCAAAGATACGATTAAGAAAAATCGTCATTCGGATATCTTCAAACCAAATGGTGAGATTAATGTCAAGTATAATATGCAGGAGTATCGGATGTTATGGAATGCTGTGAAGGAATTGCAAACCAGACTGAACAGTGCTGAGTTGTCTGATAAGGCTGTGTCTTGTGCGGATATTGAAAAGGTGGCATTTGTGCTGAGACATATTGATCTTTCGGGCTATAATGAGCAGGGAGAATCAAACGGCAGTTCAAGCAGAAAACGGAAGCGCAAGGATATAATTTAATCTATGGAGGACTTTGGTTTCCGCATGCATATGTACTAATACATACCCTTTTTGCTTCACTTTTTGCTCCCTGAAAAGACATTGATTACTGGTGACCTTACTCTGAACTGTCCTGAATTCTAGTGCAATCTCTCTCTCCCTCTCTCTACATTATATTGGAAATTCCTGTTACCCGAAGTATCATCCTACACTGCTAAAAGTGTCTAAAGGTACCAGGCAAGAATTATTTATTATGCAGTAATAGACTAATACTAATATATAGTCCATATTAACCAACAACTTCACAAACAGTCCCTCTCAGTCCCTCCCATCAGATAGAGACAGACTCCCTTAAAAAAATACCGAATAGGCGATGTATATATCACAGCAGACCCCCAAGAACTCCCATCAAAACACCCACCCCCATCCCCATCCTCATACCTCCGACAACACCAGCCGCAGCCTCAGACGCACTCGTCGTTGCCCTGGTATCGGTTTCCCTGGTCGTAGAAGACGAGGACTCCTTGGTCTTGGTCGGAGTGGCAGTGGCCGAGGTGGAAACGGTCATGGAATTGGCCTTTGCTGCTCTACAGTAGCTGTCTGTTTGTTGTTCGATCCCGAATCGGTCGGAGTGGTTGGGGCAGTTGTTGTAGCAGCTATTTTTTTTTTTTTTAGCATATTTATAAAATATATGTGTATGTGAAAGAGACGAAGACATAGGAATAACTAAAACTTACGTCAAAAGATTATTACTTCTCTCGCACAGACAATCCCATTTATTCGGCTCGCATTTCTCAAGCTGAGGTTTCAAAGATTTAATACAGGCGCTGAGAATACTATCGTGATTAGATCATATTAGTTTCTCTTCATAGTCAAGGTCAAAGAAGAGGGAGGTATACTTTTCTGCCTCGCAGGTTGACGTGGACGAAGACGACGAAGTCTTTGTGGTAACAGCAGTGTTGGCGGTAGGAGTGGTGTCTGCTGCTGTGACTGCTAGTATGCAGGAGGTAAGGACGGTGAGGAGGCTGAGTTTCATCCTGTCTTATCCTCTTCTTCTCGTTCTGTCGTGTCGTGTTGTGTTCTTGAGAGGAGAGAATATAGAAGATGGTATAGATGGATGCACACAAGTTCGAGTACTCAGTATATTGGTTATAGGAAGAAAATAAGAAAATCAAGAACAAAAAGAGGATAGACTACTCTTTTATGTATCCATGCACAGGTCAGCTGAGAATGGTTGACAAAACTGACCATCGATGCAGCATTGGACACTATTGGAATCCCAAGTGAGACATCAGATACCACCCTCGATTATTGAACCTACTCCAGTTCCGGATGAATAATTCCATTGGATATGTCATAGCAACTAGCCTACTCTCGATTATTTGGAAAAAGTACGAAGTACATAGCACGATACAGAATAACACTCAAATCAGATGGTTATGGTCCATCGGAAGATAATACACAGTATATACAGAGCTCACCACAATCGACCAAGGACATCAGAAAAGAAAGTAAAGATAAATAAAGGTCATCAACCCGCGTATAATGTGTTTGCTCCAAGAACCCTCGCATGCAACAAAAAGCATCATCACGAACGAAAGGGGAATAATCAACGAGAGTCAAACAGTGTATTCACATCTCGGTAAAGACAATGCGCTCTCCAATTCAAACATCTTCGTCGGCCAGTAATTACTACGCTGGAACACGTCTGCTAAGTATATGTGAGTGCAGTCTATCATTCCAGCCTCTACTCCTGGCCGAATCCTAAGGTTTCCTCCACTGCGATAGACAACTTGTGCTCCAACGCGTCATGCGTCTTGTACGGTGGAAGATCCAGACGATTGAAACTGTCCCAAATTAGCCTCATTCCCTCCAGACTGAAAAATGACCCTTACCATGTGTGCGACTTCGGCAGCGCCACCGGATCACCCGATTTCTCAATTGTGAACCGTCTCGGTCCGTCAGACCCCTGCAGATCCTTGAAGCCGTTGACCGGAATCCGTGAAGTACCCGTGGTGAACTGCAGCAGCCGAGACTTCTGTTCCGCATCCCAGGAACGCACGATCTTCCAGAAGTTCTGGATCACCTCATCCTGCTCCTGGTAGCCGCGATAGTCGGTGTGCTTCTTCCAATCGTCCACATCAATATCTGCAATACCTCCGATCAACAGCTCGAGCTCGCGTTCATCAAACACGTTAACCAGATCCGCCGGGATCAGCTCGTTGAAGCCCGACATAAAGGCATTGAATTGCTCCTCAACCCGCTTTACAATCTTCCATTCCGTCACCAACCTGCAGAAACCATTAGCCAATACAGTCCATATAGCCAGGCAAGACAGATCACTTACTCGACGTATTCGTGCTTGTTCTCGTTCGTAACGGGTATATCACGACCGCCCGGCTTCAGGTCAATAGTGCGACGCTCTCCGAATTTCTCGTCATCCACAGAGAAGGTCAGTTCGATGATTCCCTCGATATCGTTATCTCTGTCCATCCGTCAGCACCAGCGTCATCCGTCTCCAAAGGTCAGGTCACATACAACGTCCATGCCAAATTCCGGTGCACATCCTCGTCGACACCTTCCATGTCCTGCAGCGAGACCTTCTTGCGTAGCATCATCTTGTAGAAAGCTCCAATGAAGAAAGAATCGAGGAAACGACGATGGAAGATGGCCAATCCAACGACGCGTCCGATGAACCTGAAGTAGTTCAAATGTTCCGGGTTAACACCCGAATGGGGATTAATTTGCAGGGTATAGTTATCATGTGCTGAATACTCGAAAAGACAATAGAACGGGTTGAACATTTCATGAGAAAGGAGGAAGAAGAATTCACTATTCCGTCAGTCAGTACAAACCCCCTCTGAGGTTATTCTTCTACGGATAGGCAGGGAAAGCTTACCGAGAAAGACCGCCATAGTCCAGGCCGTCCTCGCCATCGAACTTGATCATTAAACGCTTCTTCAAATCCGAAGCGCTCTGTCGCATGATCTCCGCATAGGAGTCTTCGAAGATGTTGTTGCGGCGCACCTTAACATGACACTGGCCGGACATGATTCGCAAGGCGGGTTGCGACCGGAAGTAGATCAACTTGCGCCTAAAGTCACGCTTGTACTGGGGGACACCCTGGTCCAGCGACGACGGAAGACGGGGATCATCCCAAGTAGTCGTCTTGGTGTTGTGGTCAACGAAGTAGACACGGGCCGTGTTCGTTAAGCGCATTTCCCAGCCACTAGGTAGCGGTCCCAGTTGAGAAACCGGTTGCTGCTGGATGGTTGTGTTGTTGCCGTTGGCATTCTGGCCGTACATCCGAATGTACTGCTGTCGGCGGGGGTCCACCCACGTCGTGGTTCGGGTATTATGGTCGACAAAGTATGGCCGCCCCTCGGGGGTATTCCGCTGCTCCCATCCTGGCGGAAGCTCGCCAGTGCCTGCAGTGGTAGCTCCCGTGGCCATCATGGACACAGCGTTCACGCCGCCACCACCGCCAGTTGGCGGGGTGGAAGCCTGTGGCGGCTGAGGTTGCGCCTGGTTATCTTGCAAATTTGGAGAGCTGGCCCCAGTTCGGTCCTCTGGCAGCATTCGGCTCTGATGAGCCCTTCGTTCCAGCTGCATATTAGCCTCACGCTGAGTGCGCTGTGTATGCTCGTTGTAATTTGCCGAGGGCCGAGTCCAGGTGGTGGTTCTCGTGTTGTGATCGACATAGTAGGTTCTCCCCAGGTTATCCTCCCGCCGCTCCCAGCCGGCCGGCAGTCGTCCTTGGCTATCTTCGAAAGAACTCAGGTTTGTGCGAGAGCCGTGTTGACCGTTGGGAAGTGTTGCAGCTCCGTTGGCAGGAATCACCGTGCTGGAAGGTCGGGCGGTCGACGGGACGCGTTGAGGGTTGAGAGATGGATTCGACACAGCGGATGGAGAATCGACCTGGCTTGGAGCGGAGGAAGTCGAGGGTGCAACCTGTGGAACAAGGCCACTAGACGTCGACGACTGAAGATGTGATCGATGCATACCATTGGCTTGATTGGTGTTGGGCGTGCTGAGATTGGTGGACAGGTTGATGATTAGTTTTCCGTGAACGACAAGATTATCATTGGACTTTTTCAAATCTCTCGTGAGCATTTCTATCGAGGGAAAGCACGAAAAGCAGCGAGGTCAGCTCCAGTTCACTCAATCATGCCAATAGGGGATGGGGATGTAGATATATTCCAAGACACCCCAAAAGGTTATGAGAGATGGAACTCACCATCACCACCCATTTGTAAATCTATCACATCTCCGATACGGACATTAATGACGCCGAGGAATCCTTGGTCCTTTTTTTTAAACTTCTTCTGGTCGAATATCTGGATCGCAAGAATGCTGTCTTCGTTGACTCGTCTACAGATTGCAACGGACCCGGATCAGACAAGGAAACCCCACCTAGGGAGCCTAGAATGCCACTTACAGGTCAAACATCTCATTCCAATACGGGTTCAACGTCTTCTTGATCACCGACGTCGTGTGAGTCTGCTCACCGCCGACAGTGGCCACAGCGAAAGGATCAGGGAAACCTGGAGGGTTGGGAAAGAATCATCAGTCCCCGACTGTACCAAAATTAATCGAGGGGAGATCACATATGCTGGACATACGGAAAACATCGCGTTTATATAGCCCATCTGCCGCGATAACTATAATAAGAAGGGAAAAAAAAGTATTCAGTCAGTTTCCATTCGTAGACAAGCTCCGTGACATGTTTTTCTTTTCTTTTTTTTTTCCTCTCCCACTGAATATCGGGACAAAAGGGTGGGACAGATTCTCACTTGTGACCCTGAGGTTTGGCTGGCTGTAATTCAATCGACAGGTTAGCACCACAAATTCACCACGCAGGAAATCCAACGTATTCGAGTCCCGAGAGCGACAGACGACAGGGGATGGTCACTCACGCTGGTAAATTGGAACCCATCCTATATAGGGGAAGGGGACGCTGGCCGTCTAAGCCTCCAGGAGGAACAGGCCGAGCAGGACGAGCCTAACTAGTAAATTGCGGCGTGCGCATCCACCGCCGTCCACAGACAGGGACACCGAGAGTAGTCCAGAACTCCCGGACACGACAGTTGGATAGCAAAATGGAACGAGCGGGCGGTGACGATGGGAGGGAAAAGGAGAAGGGGGGGTGGTGTCAAAGGGAATGACTTGGGGTGGATGGGGTGGATGGAGCGGGATGGAGAGACGAAAACTAAGGTAAGGTCGAGGTTGGCGATAACAAACGGAGACTAAAGAGTTGATGACTTAGTAACTCACGCAAACTCTCTCGCAAGTAGACTGACTCTCACTCTCACTCACTGGACTGTCACTAAGGCTGAGGCGCGGGCAACTTCCATGGGGCTGAGCAGCCAGTCTTGACGTTTGTTCTCTTGGGGCCCAATCACGGGCGACCGAGGGGTTTGCGGGTCACAACAGCGGGAGTGGGCGGATTTGTGGCGAACGACGGTAATCGACGAGTAATCGTCGACTCAAGGATAAATCTTTCTACTCTTTACTACATAAGTAGGGGGGAGGGGAGAGAGAAAGATGTCTGAATTCCAGAACTGATATAGATATGGTTTCTAGTAGAGCCCCTCTCTTGTCCTCCGTATTGGGTTTCCCTCGTATTGTTGTCTTGTATCGTCTTCCTCCCGACGGAGTAACGGAGTACTGTACCTCCGCAGTACTTCTTTGAGTACTTAATCTCCACCGTTATTTCACTTCCCCTAATACCTCAAAGGAAGACTGAACCCCCGCGTGGTTTTTCCCTAAGTTTCCCAAGTTTCAAGGCCAGAAACTCCCACCCGTCAGCCGGGCCGAGAACAGCCTAGCTCCGATGCATGGCCCAAACAAGGCAGCAGAATTTGAATCTCCAGATCTTAAAATATCATGCTTTCAATTTACCACGGTGACTAGGGTCTATCTATCCAACGGGAGCGTGAGATGGATTTTAATACCTAGAAATCCTGGTTATTACTTGATGGTAATAGTTACGTATGTACTAGTACAAGGTACGGAGTATGTTGAAGTTACGGAGTACATATAGCAGGGCTCTGTGGTCTTTACCTACCGAGGCAGCCCGATTCCACTGTACCAACTAAGGCGCTACATGGAACTCTTTAAGGGTGGGGCACATGGGGATAAGCATATAGATCTTAAAATGTCTGTATATATCTTTTGACTTTTCTCATCTTCTTGCAGGGCTAGATCAAAATACTCAAGGCCGAGACGGGGCACATAATCCTACCTTTAGATCCTTTGAAACGGATAACCCTATCGTATGATACCCATACGTCATCTCACCTGACCTACATCTCCCTCATCTATTTGAAGCCTTTGGAAGAAAGAAAAATATATAGAACAAGCGCGTGCGCGAGAGAGAGAGAGAGAGAGAACCAGAATGGTGGATAATACTAATAAGACCCAGAGTAGAATACGATATTGATATCACAGAATAAGCGATTTCGGTTATCCATCCATCTTGCCCAGTCCGAGGTTGCCAGATGGTTATCATACAGTAGTACATCCCAGTCCCCAACTCCAAATATCTCTTCCATGAAATAAGAGAGATTCCTATTTATCTTCGGGCGTCTTTCACCGTGACGCGTCGTAGCTCCCACAGTCCCTCTATTGTCTTTGCATGCCGTTCATCCGTCCGTCCGTCCGTGCCTAGTTTTGCATGCTCTTAGTAGGGGGCGTAGCCCCTACCCCGGCCACGGTAGCCGCCGCGGTAGCCTCCACGAGGGGGGTATCCTCCACGGAAGTGTCCTCGTCCCCGGAAGCCGCCCCGGCCGCGGCCGCGACTCATGCCAGGAACATTCGTCCGTTTGGGGACAACCTGCATGACCATATTAGTGGATCTGACTTGGCCGGCAGAAACAATTTTGGAGTGGCTTACCTTCAGGTTCCGGCCGCGGAACACACTTTCGTTCAGAACAAGGGCCTGGGCCACCAAGCTTGGCTCTGCGAACTCTACATAAGCGTACCTGTAGATCCGACGGTCAGCAGCTATGACAAACATACATCAACTATGACAGAGACCCACCCCTTAGGCTGACCCGTGAATTTATCCAGCAGGATAGTGACACGGTTTATCGAGCCGCAGCTCTGGAAGTGCGCTTGGATTTCCTCGGGAGAAGCTCCGTAGTCCACATTTCCTACGAAGATACTCCGAGCATCGATCTCTTCTTTATCCTCTCGTAGATTCTCGGACTGTTGATCAAGGGTGGCTTGCATTTCGCGTAGTTTCGCAGCTTCGGATTCCATTTCCGCGACCCGTTTCTTCATCGCCGCAATTTCTTCCTGAACCGGGAACAGCATGGGTTAGCGGAAAGGATAAAAGATATCATGGCCTCCATCTAACAGAGGCAATGCATTGTATCGAAAACGAGGGAGGAGCTTCTGGGGTGCGAATCAAAGCTTCAAGCAGCTTCGGCAGGATTCTTACCTCATCGTCACCGCCCTCTTCCTGGGTCCCCAAGCGCTCATCTTTAATCTCAGTTTCTTCTGTGGCCATTATGACAGATGGTAGGATCGGGAATTATAGGTTCCCTTTTTCTAATTCGAGTTGAGAGTTCACAAAGGGAAAAACTCGGTAGCAAGACTGCCCGCCCTTTCTACCAGGCGGGGAACAAGAGTCCTGAAAAAAAACTATTGGATTTCTCTTCTGTCTTAAAGAAGAGAAATGCCAACAACGACAACAACGCAGAGTCAATCTTGACCCTGTGTGTTACAAAGAATGAATGGAGGAGAGGTGCGCTGAGGGATTGGAATGAAAGTAGGTCATCGAACTTGATACCCGCGTTGGATCGGCGCCGAAGTCACTGCTACTCTTTCCGGCCTAGCGACTTTTGTCATCTGAGTTCTCGCTGCGACCAACGCAGATGCAAAACCACGAACTGAGGTGTTGCCAGACAGACTGGTCGGAGATTTAATATTTCTTTGTTCTTTATTCTGCGTGCCCTCTCCTGCTTTCTGCAGACTTGCTAAGATTCTCCATCCGTCCTTTATGTAAACTTTTCCGCATATAAAGCTACTCCTTCACTTTATCATAGTAGTAGCTACTTTCCTATCATTGCCCGAACAGCAACTGAAAAATAAGACATAATACACATAAGTTATCTAATGACGTAAAGTAGCATATTCCTACCATACGTGCGACAGTTTACCAAAATTACATGCACCGTCTAAGTCTATCATGACCTCCCTTCATTCGAGGCTCTATGCTCGCAGTTTCGTAGCGGACGAACCTTTGCTATAGAGTTCGAGCTATCACTAGTAAAGTCACGGCAGGCAACATTTCAGGAAGAAGTCAAGTAGAATTAGCGTCGTAATCGTATCTGTTTCTATGGCGTATATACAAGCGAAGAAATTGAAAAGAACATCAACTCATGAAGATGGGACATTGTTCTTGCGATATGAAACTTTCTCGACGGCGACGGTCTCGGCTCCGTTGGCATCCGTCTTGAGCTGGTAAACATACAGCACGAGCACATCACCTTGGATCTACGTAGAGGTTAGTGTGGGGACCACAAAGCGATCCCTACGGGGCCATGCAAGACTCACATCCATCAAGCAAAAACTAGGCGTCGGTTCTTCTCCATCCGCCCAGTATCCCGTGCTCAAAGCTCCTGTTGCGCTTCCGGGGTTCACGAAGAACCTGCCCTCCATTTCAAAGGCCTCGAAACGATGAGTACCTCCCCAGAGCAATATATCCACGTCCATCTGGCGCGCCGCAATCAGCAAGGCGTCGGCATCGCCCGGCGGAATGATGGTGTGGCCATGGGTAAATCCGATGCGGAGACTGCCGTGCGTCACCACTTTCGAGAGCGGAAGATTGGGAGAATCGACATCAAAGTCGCCCTTGACCAATTGCAAGTCCGGAGCAACCTGCCGAAGAAACTCGAAGGTATTGCGATCGGTAAGGTTCCCGAGACACAAGATCTGGCCGATCTTGCCAGGCGTTAAGAGCTTCCGGAACTACGGTCGGTGTCAATTGAGAAGGAGGGATTGGGAAGATAGTCTATCTAGACCGTCGCGTGCCGAAGAGAGGAGCAACGACGGTGCGTACCTTGGCTGGGAGATCCTAGCGAGCGCCAGTTAGTTAGCCAGCGATCATGTGGCATCCAAGGACCGGGAGAGATCACGTACGGGAGCCCGATCAGGGATAAAGAGGTCACCGATGACCAGGACTAGACGCGAGGTCATCCTGAAAAGAAAGCTTGGTAACTTAACGGAGCATTCCAGAGAGGGGAGGCGGCTTCCTAGAAGGCCCAGTAACTAGCCAGCTAAATGTCCACGGGTAGCGAAGAAAGCTGATGGATCACACTGGATGTAGGCGGCAGCGAGTTCTGGTTACGTATGACTATTTGTTGCGCTCCGGGACGTCGATGGGAGCTTCGCGGGGAAAGCTGACGGGCGGCAAACCCTAAACCCTACAGCAGTATCCAGTTTGGTTAGTAGTAGACTGAGAGTACATATCAGTATGGAAGAACCTACATTCATCCAGTGAATACTACGTATTAGATAGAAAAACAGATAATAGCTATACGATGTACGGATGCTAGAGTTTGCAATTCAAGGTTATAAACAACTCTCAGCGGACCTTAACTTGTAGCTGGCTGTACACTATGTACTAGATAGACTATGAAGAAGGCTTCTGCAGTACGCTGTGATCCTAAACCCAGCTTTTTCTGAGCTTCTCTTGGACTGAATACTGAGTCACCCTTTTCAGTTTATGATGTCTCGCTCAATACATTCAAAGAACTGTATGCTAAGTCTCTGTTCCTGTTTCTCAATGATATATGTAAGGCAAGTATAGACGAAATAGTAACGATTCTCTGCAATATACATCTCCCACTGGAGAGAGAACGATACCATGGGATATATTATGTAGGACAATATGTACCTAGGTACCTACAGTACATACATATAACTCCAGTTTGAATGGAATTGTATCCCTAGTTGGTTCTGACATACCCACAGTCCCATAGACATCTAACCTGACCGTCATCCCCAACGGTTGAGGGAATTATGCCGGATATTCTCTTCCTCTGAACCCCTCTCAATTCTCCAGCAGACTCAACCAATTCAACTCTTCCATAGGGAATTGTCCCGGACAACGGAGGTAGTCGCAATTGCAGTACGGATGGCTCCGCCCGTACAAGTACCTAAGTAATAGTAATACTGAGTGACGGAGGACGGTTAATAATCGGAGAAAACCAAAAAAAAAAAAAAAAAAAAAGATAACCTAGGTCATATTATATCAATTGGCGATTCCTCTCCCTTCTGATCCCTTTCAACAAACACCACACATTCCTTTCTTCGCGCCTTTTCTGGAGTCTTTCTTCATAGATATAAATCCATCCCAAGGAATTGCCTAGGCACATCTGATCGGCCCGATCTTTTTCTGGGGGCACTCTTCCGGCGTTCCCCGACCGGTTCCTTACGCTTTCCCATTTCCCCCGCGGGCTCTCCCGTCGAGAGCTGACGTCGTCGGAAACTCTGGCGACCAAGCAGGCGACGCAGCGGTTGAGCCTGATTTCCAGGCACCTGGATCAGCGCCTACCGCTGCCGGAGTTGAACACGCCTTTCTCGACCGAGAGGAATTCTCTCGCTCCCGACGATCTCGAATATAAACCCCTCGATCGCTCCACCCTACCCTCCATTCCTCCCACGATCTCTCCCCAACAACCTTCATCCCCAGTTGCCGTCATGTCGTCCCAAGCCCCTCACCCCACCCTGTTGATCCCAGGGCCCATTGAATTCGACGATGCTGTGCTACAGTCCATGTCCCACTATGCGTGAGTTCCCTTCCCCCTCCCCTCACTCCCCTCACTCCCCCATCTCGCTTCCCCTCGCCTCTCGTCTCAACTCCCCTCCCCGCACTGCTTGACTAACACTGCTTCGATTTCCCCCCCTCTTAGTGAGAGTCATGTCGGCCCTGGGTTCGTCAAGACCTTTGGAGAAACGTTGACCTTGGTTCGGAAACTCTTTCAGTCCACCAGCCCGACGGCGCAACCATTCGTCATCTCGGGCAGTGGCACCCTCGGCTGGGATATTGTGGCTTCCAGTTTGATCGAGAAGGGCGAGAATGCCCTTGTCCTGCACACCGGCTACTTCGCCGACTCCTTCGCAGCCTGTCTGGAGGCCTACGGAGTCAACGCGACACAGCTCAAGGCCCCTGTCGGGGAGCGCCCGTCTTTCGAGCAGATCGAGCAAGCCTTGAAGGAAAAGCCCTACAAGATCATCACCATCACGCATGTGGACACCTCCACTGGCGTGTTGAGTGACATCAAGCGTGTGGGGGAGATCGTCCGTCGGGTCAGCCCCGAGACTTTGGTGGTGGTCGACGGAGTGTGCAGTGTCGGCTGCGAGGAGATCGCCTTTGATGCCTGGGATATCGACGTGGTCCTCACCGCCAGCCAGAAGGCCATCGGATGCCCTCCAGGTCTCAGTATCCTGATGGTTTCCGGCCGGGCCCTGGAGCGCTTCAAGTCCCGCCAGACGCCTCCCGCATCGTACTATGCCTCGCTCGGCAACTGGCTCCCGATCATGCAGAACTATGAGAACTTCAAGCCCTCCTACTTCGCGACTCCGCCTACTCAGCTGGTGCATGCCCTACACACCACGCTGTCCCAGATCACCGCCGGCTCCATTGCCGAGCGGTTTGCAGTCCACGTACAGGCGTCGGACCGTGTCAAGGCTGCCGTCGCCGAGCTCGGCCTGTGCCAGTTGGCCAGCAAGCCGGAGAACCAGGCCCATGCCATGACGGCGATCTGGCTGCCCGAAGGTCTGACCCCGCCAGACGTCCTCCCGGGTCTGTTGAAGCGCGGAGTCATCTTTGCAGCCGGTCTGCACAAGGAAGTCGCCACTAGATACATCCGATTCGGCCACATGGGTGTCAGCGTCACCTCGGGACGCCCGGACATTGACAATGCAATTGCCGCCTTGAAAGAAGCGATCACGGAGGCTAAGCAGGCTAAGGGACTGTAGCTGATAAGTTATCTATATACGTACCTGTCTTCCCCTCGAGTAAATAGTCAATAGAGAACCAGAATGAACTTATGAACTATACATCCTCAAAATAGAGAGTAGGCTTATGTAGCATACTATGCCTATTAATGGACATTCGGTTATATATTGTTCCATCAAGTCCATGGGGTTGACCTGATGTGATTATAATGATTTCGTCGCATAGTTATACTGCACTTGTGTATTCAATTATTTACACTACCTGCATTTAAAATTACTGAATATTAGTAACTATCCAGGAGTAAACAATACAAAATACTTTTAGCAAGAAGAAAGAAAGGATACTACAGTTGAGATAAATTCCATGTCCGCTGGTTTGGATATTGTATATCATGGAAATTTAAAACTCTCGAGACTCTATCTTCCATAATAGTATCATAATTACCGATCTCAGATTCGTACATAAACTATAAAGACACTTAAAGTATTGAGTACAACAGAAAATAAGGAAAATAAATATGCATCAAATAAAAATTAATAGTAGGTAATCCTGCTCATAATGTCCTTCCAATCAATCAATCAATCAATCAATCCCTTCAACAGAAAAATAAAAATATAAAAATTACAAGGAGAAAGGAAGTCGCATAAAAAAAAGAAATAAGAAAAAAGAGAAAACACCAGATGGCCAAATAAAATAGGGGGTATGAAGTGATGCTAGGCACTTGTCATGCTTTCAATCAGCTTTCTTTACAGGAAACGTGAATGGAACTATGGATGCAATAAGAACTCATGTTAATCCCCAGCCTGTATTTTTGTTCTCTTTTCTTTTTTTTAGTGTCCATGGTCATGAGTACTTGCTTCGGCCTCTTATCGTCTCTCCATATCAAGGCTAAGCGTCTAATTCTCCCCTACGTAATGCTAGGGGTGCCCGGACATCGGTTACATACTGCAAAGCTTCTAGCATAGGAATTAGATGGAGGAGACCGTTATCCGTCGGGTCGTTTATCCAGCCCTCGATGGGAATGGCATTATCTAAAGAATCATCAACATCCGAATCGGCGGGTCGCGCAGGGTGGGAAACAAAACGGAGCTGGGGCGACCAAGACGTACCTTCGTGAAATATATAGCTCATAGGGCTATTATCCAAGATCATCACTTTGCTCAAATCAGGCTCCACGGAACTGAGGTCCTTGATATAGGCGCCATTACGGAAAGTACAGTGCTGGCGGTAATACCGAGCGTGGAAGAATTTCCGCTCCTGTTCCAGCCAGTCGATCACGGGGTCGGCGTACTCTTGCACACTGGCCGTGAAAATGACCAGCTTGTACCATTTGCAGATCTTCCGCAGGAACTCATCACAGTGTGGCCGCTTGTGAACGTAGTACAGGATGGGATGCTGTGGTCCCAGCGTTGTGGGCGGCGCTCCCGGCGTGAGAGCCGTCATCATCGGCGTAGCTAGCTTGACCTCAACCATATGGCCGCTGGACATGCGGCCGCCCTTGGCCAGCGAATGGATAAGTGTCTCGTCCAGATCGAGCACCAGCGTCTTCTGAGGGACCCGGAACCCACGCGACGTGGCTGTGTACGATGGAGCCCGAGGTGGGATGAGCGGTCGTGGAGGCACGGGCGAGTGGGGATACCTTGTCACCCTATGGACCGAAGGAGAAGTCGGGGATTTCAGACTATCGAAGTTGAGAGTTCCTTGGGGACTGCTATGCGAAGAGGATGATCCTAAATCGGCACTCTGCGCCCGACGGTGCCGTTGCCGTTGTAGAGCTTCCTCGTTGTGAAGTTTGATCCGAATCGAGCGACGAGGAGTGTTGTCGTCTGACAGCTGCTCCAATCCTGTAGACTTTGCTTTGGACGACCGATTGCCACCTGCCTTGACAGCTCGACGATCTCCTTCAGATTCGGAAGTGCTTGAGGCGACGGAATCCCGGGATACGTGGCCTCGAAGCTTCCGTGTCAAACTAGCCCGCCGTTTGCCGTTCGCAGGCCGGGCTTCTTTGGCCGTGCTTCTCCTTCTACTTGTCGGCCTAGACCCAAATACCGACTGACGTAGCTTCTGAACCGGCGCCATGGGAGTGTATTGGCCATTATCATCCCGAAAGCACTGAACTGCGTATATCCCCGGAGCGGCCAATGTAGATAGGATGAACTTGATTGTTTCGGTGATCGCATCAAAAAACCGCTGTGCAACCAGGCCTAGAGCAGTACTTTTGGTAGCAAAGACACCATCCTTCTGAATGCCCCGTATCAACGGCGACTTCTCATCCAGCGTATGTCCAAATCGATCGTCTTCTTCCGTTGACTCGAGCGCATTGTCACCGAACTTCTCAGGGACAGTGGTTGAATGGAAGTCGTTGCTACTGTAGGACCTGAATTTCGCGAGGTCGCCCGGCGAACTCGGTGGGGACAGGTCACCCTGGGAGCGAGACCGCTGACGGCTGCGGCTGGAATTGGAGGACTGGCCAATAACTCGGGACGACAGGATATTCAGCGAGTTCATCTTCCTACGCGGCCCACGGAAGTCCGGGCTGGCGCAGGTATCTATACAGACAAGGCGACAAGCGCACGAGTCAGCCAGCCATTCATACGATGTATACGAGTCAGCCAGACGAGAGTCCACAACAAGAAGTAAGAAGAGCAATGGGAATGAGGTGAGGGCTCCAGCAGTTATCTGGTTAATGCTCACCTCAATGCGCCAGTCGGCCGTGTATCGGAAATACCCGATCTCCAAGAGGCTGCTCAAATGGGGGTTGAGAAGCGGTCGAGAAATAACCGAAATAACCAGCGAGTGTCAATCTTAAAGGGTGACCTTTACGTGAAAGAAGAGGCGAGAAAGGGGAGGAAGACGGAGGATGGGCGAGGGGGAAGAGGGAGAGAGAGATGGGGAGGTGTTGGGAGGAAGATGACGGCGAGGTGTGGGGAGAGCGAGAGCCGTTAGTCTTTCTTGGGTCGACCGATGTCTGATTTCTCTATCCCACCATCTCCCCTCCTTGGTCCATCCCTCTGCTCTTCGACACCACTTCCCCTTTATTTTGGACGAGCTACTGTCCTCCATTGGTCTACCCTCTGCTGTCTCCTGCAGGAATTCTCCCTGAAAGTGCAATTTCGTGAGGGCTCTGGTATGCTGTGCAAAATATGTCCGTGACTCAATTGTGCTAACTGATCGGCGTAGCTCATACTGTTGCCAAATTGTGGAACATTTTTATTTATTTTATTTTATTTTATTTTTACTTCACATTCACTCTGGTCCTACCTTCAAAAAAAAAGAGGATCTTAGAAACTAGGATATCGCAATGCCGTCCACACCCGCGGCCTTGACGCCGGGTTTATCGTCTTTCCTGAAGTCGCTGAAGACGAACCCGATCGACACATCCATTGACAATCTAATCTCGTGTGTTATTAGGGATATAATACTTACTGCGATCACGCTAATGGAGGTGCAGGCTGCTTAAACGAAGACAGATTCGACACTCCAGATCATGCGCTACGGCGACTGCCTACCTTCTGCTCCGGGTCGTCTCGGCCTGTAGGACATCAGATGCAGCGAAGCTGATCGAGCGGGTTCAGAGTGTGGGAAGGCGATTGTTGGCTGCACAACCAAGAGAGATGGTAGTAGGGAATATCGTGAGACGTGTGCTTGGTTTGATCCGAGACGAGGCCGAGGACGACAGAGAAGCCGACTTTACACTGAGTGAGACCGAAAGCCAGCCTCAAACTCCCCGTGCCATGGATGGTGAGTTTTGATTACCTCCGGTCATTGAGGTGCGGAGGACTGAAATTAGTCTAGACCCGTCGGAAGCCATGTTGAGCCGTCACGACGGCTCCGATCGATCGTCTTCCCGACCTACGGCATCCTTATCTGCGCCGATTTCCATGTTCAGCCTTCTTTCACATCCGGAACCCGAGCCATCACTGCCTGGTACGCCGGCATCGGCGTCCCCCTCGGGCAAGCTCCTGGGCAATCCCCCCAACAAAGACGTTCGTGCCGAGGTTCTCGAAGGGATCAACGAGATTATCGATGAACTGGGCCAGGTGGATGACCAGATTGCCGCCTACGCCCTCGACCATATCCACTCCAATGAGATCATCCTCACCCATACCTCGTCGACCACCGTCCAGAAATTCCTGCTGAAAGCGGCTGCGAAGCGCAAGTTTACGGTCATCCATGCCGAATCTTACCCCAACAACCATGAAGCGACCCATGCTACGGTCAGCGGCACCGCTCCCAATGACGAAGAAATCCTGAGCTCCGAATCATTTCAAAAGCCCCTGATCGCATTGGGCATCACGGTCATTTTGATTCCCGATTCCGCTGTCTTCGCTCTGATGTCCCGGGTGAACAAGGTGATTCTGGGAACTCACTCGGTTCTTGCCAACGGTGGTCTGGTCGCCGCCGCGGGCACTCGGGTGATTGCGCGCGCAGCCAAGGTGCATCAAACTCCCGTCGTGGTGGTCAGCGGGGTATACAAGCTCAGCCCCGTGTATCCATTCGACTTCGAATCGTTGATCGAGTACGGCGACTCCAGTAAGGTCCTCGGGTATGAAGATGGGGATTTGGTCGATCAGATCGATGTCCAAAACCCCCTATACGATTATGTCCCGGCGGAGCTAGTAGATCTCTACATTACCAACCTGTGGGTTTTCCTTGACTTGTATTCTTTTGACCTTTGGATGAGCAAATAGCTAACGTGGAATTACAGAGGAGGACATGCACCATCCTATCTGTATCGTATTGTGTCAGATCACTACCGCAAGGAGGATATCAGCTTTTAGCTGCGTGACAGGAGTCAAAAAGAGGCGAAAATTTTAAAAAAGGAACAGAAAATAAAAAAAAATTGACAGAACAATAAACAGAAGTATAAAATGTCTACTCATAGCTGGGCGAGGTATGTGGAACCCCAGAAGGCATAAGGATGATAATGGGGAAAATGTGAGGCATGATACCCACGATATACTGCTTCCAACTTGGTATACAAAGGATACTTAGGAATCTAATACTTGAAGGCCGCCTGAGTGTACAGATTCATCCCGACTGTAGACGTCTCGGAGATGGAACCTACGAAACTACGTCGTAAGTCAGGTCACTTATTTTTGAAAGTTTGATATTTTCGGGCCCGTCCCAAAGAAAATCAATCATGGCGCCATCTTTTTATGAGTATATCAATCGTAGTAGCTGCAATGTATTTTTGCAGGGTCATCCGTCCTGAACCATAATATCCAGACCATATAGACCGAAGACAGAATCCCATTGGTATCTTCCCATCTTCCATGGAATGGGCCCCTCTCCATAATTTGCATCGCACCCCGTTTGTGCACTGCTCTACGAGCGGGGCTTCTCCTTCTTCTCCTTCCACAGAGCCATCAGACCGACACCGGAGACCTTGACGACCTTGAAACGGACACCGGGAATATCACCCTTGGCCTTACCCTTACGACCGAAACCGGCGAGGAGGACCTCGTCGTTCTCATCGATGTAGTTCAGGCAACCGTCATTGGGGACTGTGAATTCATTCCGTCAGCACTGGGGTTCACCAAAAAAAAAAAAAAAAAAAACTCCGTCGTTCTTGCTCATCCCATTCATGTTTGTCCATTCTAATTAGCCCCGAATCCCCCTCCCCGTATCATAACCATCTCTTTTCGATCTAAACAACACATGGAATCCCCCACAGGCTTAAAAAAGGTAAAAGAAAGGATTTCACCCACCGAAAGCGGCGACCTTCTTGCCGTTCTTGATCAACTGGACCTTGACACACTTGCGAATGGCAGAGTTGGGCTGTTTGGCCTCAACACCAACCTTCTCGAGGACGATACCCTTGGCGTGCGAAGCACCACCGAAGGGAGAAGACTTGTAGGCAGTACCGAGGAGACGCTTCTTGTAGTGCAGATCGGCCCAGCGATTGTCACGACGAGTAGTCGCGAGCTTGCGCGCGGCGTTGAGACCACGGGGCTTTCCCTTACCCATCTTGGCGTATTATGTTCGAAGGATGGTCTTAGAAACAAGAAAAAATCAGCGTTGGATTCTTATGCTGCTATCTGGACTGGTGGGTTGATTTGATTTTTGACTGATCCGAGAGGGAAGGAGGGAGGTTGAGATCGTGGAAAATCCGGTGATGGATGGACAAATCCCTCGAATCGAAGTCATACACCAGGGGGAAAACGTACCGACTGATAAAATTTCGCCAAAAGGCCTGATGGGGATGGTTGTCGAAAGTCGAAGGTCGAAAGGTTCCTTGAGGCGGTCTCGCTAAGTCAAAATGAATCTTCGGCTGTGCGCCCGTTGGCCGCTAAGCGAGCCATCCGGAGAAACGTCGGCCCTTGATAAGATAATCCTATACTATGGATGGTTACAATTAATTACTTTACTACGTTGTAGTTACGGTAGTTAGATAATTCGCCATGGATGCCGCCCCTCGTATGGAACATCTGAGGAGGGTTAGTACCCAGCGTCTCCCTCCTCCGGCTCTCTTCCAAGGCCCCTCTTTTCACGATGCTTCCCCCCTCTCCTCTCCTGGAACAAGCCAGCGGCCTCCCCTGCAGCGTCATCGCTCGTCGCGCCAGTCTGGGGTCCTGGAGACCCCCGGGTCCACGTCACCATTCCTATCTCGTAAGCAGTCTGCAGGCGAAGCCGACCGATCAGACGCCATTTGGCAGGAAATGCAAAATGCCTTATCGGAAGTCGAGCTGAGTGCCGTTACGAGCGAACACGTTTTCGGCGAGAAACATTCTAAGGCGCTGGAGGATCTCCGCACCAAGCAGCTGAAGCTTGCGCAGGCATGGGCGCGCAGTGAAGCGGATGACGACGGATCAGATGGCAAAGGGACTCTGGGGAAACCCTCGTCGGTGCGAAAGGGCTCCCGCAATACCGTCACGACCTCGGGTGATCCGGCCCCTGCGGACGATTCGTCCCCTAGGAACTTGGACGAGGAAACCGAAAAAGATCTTGCCTTGGCGCGTGAGAGGCGAGAGGCGAATGATCGTTATTTTGATCGAGTCAATGGCGGCGTGTTGGATGTGGTGGCTAAACTCGAGGAAGTGGCTGAGGCTATGGAGGTGGTCGAGAGGGAGAGCAGAGATATATGGAGCGACACGGATGCAAACAGCGTAGCTGAATCGACACAGCCAACCCACACCGGATGAGACTCTGGGGGCGGTGTTTTGATTCTCCAGCGATTCCTATTGGTGCATGTATAGTGCACTGTTACTTGTCTGATGGCTGACTCGCCATGTTATTCTGGCCTCATGTCTTGCACATGAAACTGACATGTTGCTCTACTGTTATACGCGCAGTAGAGCGTTGATATCTCCGCGTCGCCTCTAGGGTAACGAAATTCTACCCCGTCCCCAGGTCAATGTTCGGGGGTTCCGCATAAGCGTGGACGTATGAAGTTCGCGCAACCATGAGATAAGGCTCCATCGCCCGTTATGTGAACATAGTAGTAGTATAGCATCCAAATTTTAGTCATGACAATGGCAGGGTATCTAATTTTGAACTATTCATCCAATGTCAAACAACACCAAATGAGTATGTAAGTAACCATCCAAGCACTCCATCATTCCTTTTTTACAAGCCGAATCAAACTTTTCCATCCTTCCACCGCCGTATCCCGCGCATCCACCCATCGACTTTCGTACGCCTTCCTGGCTAACATTTCTACCTCCTTGTTCCATCTATGCTTCAGTAGATCTTTCAATTCCGGTCTGGAGGGCCGGGTAGCCTCCCTGTCCGGTTGGGGAAGATTTCGCGGGACAAGGCGACGGTCATAAGCGCCCACGGGGGAAGCCAACCGATTCAGAATCCGAGTCTGTTCACGGATGAGGTCGCGCTGATCAAGACGGTGGGACCGATGGACCTGGATTGAGATGTACAGTACAGAGGTGGTTAATGCGAACCCGCTGAACTGTAGGCCGCGTTAGCATCCGTGGATCCGTGACGTTTCGTTTGCACCGAAGCGAGGGTGCGTCAAGAACTCACAAAACCAGTGAAGAACCCCATCTTGATCGTGATATTCGTTGGTTAATTTAATTTATATCTGGGGTCGGATAGGCGGAGGAGAAGAGCCACGGCTCTCGGCGCAGCGAGGGAGAAGACAAGGACAAAAGAGCGGAATATCTAGACGAAGGGGGAAGATCGACTTCGAGAGATACAGACTCGATCCCAAAGAATTGGCACCGTAGTCCACCAGACAGGCCCAAAAAAAGAAGGGAAGAAGGAGTCATTCCATAAGTTCCGTCTTTTGCGTTGTCTGCTCGGCATTGCCGTTTCCAGCACTCCGATTGGCTGCGGCGGAAAGTCGAATCTTCAATTTCAGAGAGAGAGTGAGAGAGAGAGAACATTCAACCATCTTCATCTTAACGAACATCTCCTTTTCTTTCTCTCGCATATAATATACTTTCCTCCAGGGATTTTGATCGGCCACGTCGATCGGCTATATTCCTCTCTCTATCTGAATCTGATACAATCCCACCTACGAAAAGAACCTCCGTCGAATCGCTCTACTTCCCACCTTCACCATGGCCGGTGGTGCTGCTAAATACCGTCATCTCAGCCGCAAGTCGTCGCATCGACAGGCTTTGCTCCGAAATCTGGTTACGTCTCTGTTTAAACACGAGTCGATCACGACGACATGGCCCAAGGCCAAGGAGGCCCAACGACTGGCCGAGAAATTGATCACCTTGGGCAAGAAGAACACAGAGGCGAGCAGGAAAAGAGCATTGTCGATTTTCTATGTAAGTGAGGACTGTTCAAGTCCTTTGTGGTCTCCTTTTTTTCCCGTCTGGAGATTTAGCAGAAGACACTGGCAAAATGTCCCCCTTCACCCACATGTCTCCTGCGAGCTGTTTATTACCCCCAGCTAACCAGTTAGACTCCTCATGATTTGCTCCCGAAGCTTTTCGGTCCCCTTCGCGAACGCTACGCCGAACGTCCCGGCGGTTATACCCGGGTATTGCGAGTCGAGCCCAAGAAAGATGACCAGGCACCCAGTGCGATCCTGGAACTTGTCGACGGACCGAAGGATATGCGCTTTGCTCTGACAGCACGGACGATCGCCCGACAAAGGTCACAGGGTCTGGAAACCCTCAATGAGCTGACTGCTATGAATGTGCGCAAGGTGACGAGGTTCCGAAAGGACGGCGTGGAGGGCCTGGAAAGAGCGATTGATCGGTTGGCACTGGACGGGAAGGAGACCAAAAGCTCCAGGGATGTGGACGAGAAGCAATGAACGTGCAATACTTGTATACAATCATCATGTGGCATTTCTGACGTCAAATCAAGACGATTCCCTTACGGATTGGGGATCACTTGGTTGTTAAGCAACCCGATGCGACGGTTTGAGACCACCTTCTCCTCCTAGTGGTCTACTGGTGCATATCTGTATCTATCATGTTCTCTCTTTTTTGTCTTGTTTACTTCCTACGTACCTATCATGATCGTGTAATTCTAGCTGTCTTGGTGTGCAGATTGCCGGCCATTTCTCGGAAGGATGTCCCTGAGTTTACACTTCTTTCCTTTCCCCTGTCTAGCATATCTACTGTATGTATCTTATTTGATTCTAACTTCTTTTATTGGTTCTCACCCAAGTGGATAGCGTTTTTACCGGATACGTCCATACTTTGGGTCCGTGTTTGTACGATATCGTGATCGAGAAATCTAGGGCCATGTGTTAAAGATTCAAATGTTTCTTGATTTAAGTTCATAAGTCTTATGTAGCTTAGCATCCATCTTCCGCCTTCAGGGCCAGCAAAATCTAGATAATAAGCACGATAGCAACATGTCGTACTTGGAATTAAGACTGCTTTTAACAAAACGGCATCCATGGTGTCTACACAAAGCCAGCTTCCCACACATTTTTACCGTAGACAAGACGGAAGAAATCCATTTTCCACAGATAGCCGCCGAAAACTTCATGAGGCTTCAGTACTCTATCTGCCGGAGATAGGAGCCGCCATCTCGAACAACCTTTCCCTTATCACGCATACAAAGAGCAGGTGTGTTTCGGTCTGTAAGGATTCTATGCTTAGCCACTGGCTAAATGAAATAGTCGGACTGGCCTCTAATTCGACCGTGGGAGGCTGGTTCCTCCAGAAACAACTAGTGGGCCGTTTTTCGAACTTTGCAAACCATTGTTAGGGTAGGGAAGAGTCGTACCACTGCTAGCCCGATGCTTTAGGTCAAAATCAGACGGGACTTCAGACGGTGGTGGTTTCGGGGGAAGATGAGATGGGGTTCCCCATTTCGCGATAGAATCCCTACCCCCCAAGGCTGCTCCCTGAGGCTGTACACCAGCTTGCATGGCCGGGTACGAGACCATGCCATGCTGGTTGCTTTTGCTAGGATGTCGAGCCAGAGGAGCACCGGCCGGAACAAAGGAACGAGTTTGGGGATTGAATGCGGGTCTTGTAAAACTTCCTGGCAGCGGATGCGCACTCGAATGACTCTGCACTCCTGGATTCATTGGCTGACCCGGGTATTGGGTATAAGGATACGATGTCGGATTGAATGTCTGCGACTGATAGTTCGGCCAGGGCATTGGCGGTTGGTTCCGATGTGTGGGTTGTTGATAGCCTCCATGATAAGGCGGGGAAGACCAACCGGGAGGTGTATGCTGGAACTGCATAGAATTGGGAATGGGGTAACTGTTCATTGCTGGCGACGGTTTGGCTGCAGTCACTGCAGGTGATTGGTTGAAGGTGGCATATCCGGAATAGGGGGATTGTTGAGGCATAGCACCGTTCTGCCACGGGCCGCTTGTAGCCATCTGGGGGGATACAGGCATGGGATATTGAGGCGTGGAGTTCATGGGAGTAGAGAACATGCCACCATTCTGACCGCTATGAACGTAACTCGTGCCCGGAGGAGACACTCCAGGCCCTACCATACAAGGCTGGCCGTGAAATGAGGGATCGTTCATGGTCATATTATACGGAAGTGATCCTTGAGTATAATGCATCCCAGGGTAGTAGGCGTTGAACTGGGAGCGGACTTCGAAGCTGTCATCATGGGGAGTCTTCTGTCTCTGCGTCTTCTTACGTCCACTTGTTGAACTCGAACGCGACATATTAGTACCTAGATCACCACTCGCATTCTCTGAAGATTTGGACTCTGGGAAATCTCGGAATATCCGCTCTCTGACTTCATGGTACTTCGCTTCTCGTTCCTCCCGGGTCAATGCCATTCTGTCTTTGGCTGGTGTAGCACCGGCCGAAGAGCTGCCACGGTCCCCATCATTTCCACTGTCACCAGCTTCTGACCCTGTTTTAGATGGGATGCCGGAGCTGGCCGCTATGCTTCCTTCAGTGTAAGGCCGCTCTCCATCTGTGCGGCGCATAATCTTCATCGCAGGCATAGCAGGGGGTGGCGTGCTGTTTGTGGAAGCATGCAAGACAGAAAGAGGAGTAGGCCTGCAATAAAGTTAACACTATATGTCAGTCTTTTTTCCCTTTGGTTGACGTGTTTCCGGCTCAATCATTCATGGTATGTACCAAGAAGAGAAGAAAAACTTACAGCCGACAGAAAGGTGTCCTATGAAGTCGGACGGATGTAACATTGTTATCCACAAAATGGGTCAAATGGTAATAATCACCCAGTTTATGGGCTAGGAGTCGACCAAAGGCATTGGATGGTGGTAGTTCCAAAGATTGCTCTCTGCAACGAAACGTTAGGTAAGACAGTTACGAAAAGTTCCAAGCGTGTCACAGGTAGACTTACTTAGAACTTTGAATAAAGTGTCGGACTTTTTCTTCTAGTTGCAAAATTAAGAGACGATCCTTTGGAGATTTCATCGCCTCCAGGAGTTTCTCATCCGGCTCCAGGGGAAATGGATGCATTGGTATCGGCTGGCTCCCTGGAAAACCGTCCGGGGTTGGGACAACAAAATTATTAGAGACAGATTCTGGCATGACGGCGCCATTGGCTCTCTGATTTCCGTCGAAGATAGGTCCCATGTTGTGTAAGGTTGCTCGAGCTCTCTGTATATCTCTGAAACCACGAGCACCGGACTCAGAGCCCGTCAACGAATTGGGTGCGCCAGAAGCTGCGCCAGAAGCTGCGCCAGAAAGACTCTCTTCTTCATCAACGGCTTGGACACTGGCACTATCATCGGGTCGTAGGGAGTCCTTCTCGTCCATTGCGAAAGTAGTAACCGACGCCATGCTCTTCGAGTCAAAACTCGTGGGCTTCGTTGAGGAGTTCGACAGGTGTGTGCGATCATCTTCGAAAGAAGCCTCTCGTTTTAGAGACCCGGTGTCTCGACCTTCAGAAAAGCCGGGGCTCTCTTGGCCCTTTTTTTCCAAGTGTACGTCGTCCATCGCTCCCGATAGACTATCGACATTTCGATTGACGGGACTGGTCTCACAGAAGACCTTGTCCGAGCTTTCCTGGCTCGTGGGGACATCTTTGGGGCCTTGTGATTCGGTACATGTTGGTTCCTCGGCTGACTGTAAACCATTCTTTTCATCAGATGCGACAAGATCTTCCGAGTTCGGTGGGCGCATAGCAGCAATCTTATGCGCAAGTCAGAAGGATGGAGCCATCATTTACATTGCGATAGTCTATTCGTACAAATGAACATACCTTTGCAAAAGAGAGACGATGTTCGCCTCCTGTAGATCCTTTCGATGCCATGACTTCGCCAAACCCCCAGGAATAATTCGAAATTCGCTTGTTGACTTCTCTTCTTTTGGCGTGACAAACGAGCAGGTAAGGATGAATTCGAAGAATGAGACAAAACCTGAGAGGAGAAATTGCAGTCTGAACTGGACAGAATACAAGTTTTCACAAGGACGAATCCGAGATTCGAAGCTATAAAAAGCCACTCAAAAATCCCACTTCACACAAGCCCAAAAAGAACGACCGCATATCTTTGAAAAACGTAATTCGCCATAGGGAAAAAACCGCTTGGAGTCAGGACCAGTGAGTACACGATGAGCCGTGTGTTGCAAGCAATCAGGATAGGGCGAAGGCCAGTAGCGGATCGAATGGTAAAAAGATCGGAGGCACTAGGGACGTAGATAGATGCGAAGTGGAGAGACAGGCCTAACAAAGTCGGATCATGGCTTTTCTTTCGAATCGTGAACTTCTCGTGAAAGGAAGCAATAAAGCTCCTCCCAATCTGAAAGAAAACGAGCGAGTCCCTGCCGAGATGGAGGGAATCGAGCCGGCCAGACAGCTCTGCTTTCGTTGATGTGGTCGGTGGTCTAGTGGATCAATGGTGGTGGCTTTTTTTTTTTGGGTCTTTTTCGTTTGGGCTGAGAAGGAGCGAACCGTGAAGGGCGCTTGCCGGCGGTGAGCCGCGCGCTTAGACTAGCCCACTCGTTTGCCTGAACAGCCGCGGAGGGGATTTGATATATAGGCGGATCGCACAGGATTTAGAGAAGCTTGCAGCGATTCATGGTCATCTAGACCTTAAATGAGCCCTTAGGCCACATACGTCTATATTTTACTGCCCTAGATGAACCGCTATCGCAACGCCCCGGGCGTACGGGGTCCTTCAAAGGCAACCGCTACCACCTTGTGTCAAAAATGCCTGAAACGAGATATGTCCCCTGTATTCTGGCCATCTGAATGTCCCTAGCTAACTTGTTAGCACGGCACTATAGCTATGAGTGTACAGTGTCTGCCCAGGAGCGGCCCTATGCATCCCGCCCCTCTCGTACACAGCAACTGCTAAATCCGAATTTGAGGCCACAGCTTTCAACAGAGGTCCCGAATGACCTCCTGCGCACGTAAGTTTATTCATGTTATATATGTATAGTATTTAGTAAAGTGTTTAATATGTCTATAGAAAAGGCTTGGCTGATGAGCTGTTGACTAAACGGGAGGAAGAGCGTGGTCGTAAGAGAGACTTGGATGAATTCGATCCCCTCGAGACCGAAGGACAAACGTCAAAAGAGCTCGATCAGTATCGTCACATTCTACAAACTCTGTATCTACAATATCCACAAGTCGCTCACGTTCCGAGTCCCCGCCTCGTCATTCAGGCTACACTGCACCAAGTGGCCGTGAGCGGACTTCGTCAACGCCCTCTCGTCCCTCAAGGTCAAGAAAGAGGAGATACAGTGACTCGTCATCCGGCTACACAGGCTCTTCTCAGTCGTCAGAAAAAGGGACTCGTTCACAGTCGCGCGACTGGCCGGATGATAGGAATACTAGACGAAGGCACCGAGTATCCAGTCCAGGGCAACGTGGCCGCGCGACGAACGTATCCCGGGACGGAGGTCGCAGAGGACGAAGTCGGAGTTGGAGTGTAGACCAAAGTCGCATTGCAAGAGACAGGCACTCCGCCACGACAGCTACTGTGAGTGACGACCACAAGTATTCAAAAGACTCAACAAGAGGTCATGTGAACCTGTGGGATAATTCACGCCATCATCAAAACCAAGCACATGGTAGAGGGGGTGGACGCGAGCAAAATGGTGCTCCATCTCAGCCTCGAAGAGATCGAAGCCTTAGTCCTTACAGCAAGCGTCTTGCTCTGACTCAAGCTATGAATTTGGGTCAATGATTGTTAGATATTTATTCGAAATCTGGGGAAGGGACAAAGGTAAAATATATCAAAGGGCGGGGTGATCAGGAAAGCGAGATTTTGGTGGGGGGGGTAAGGGGTTCAAGTATTTTCCTTCAAGTTTTGCCTGCGAGTGTACTCCGTACAGCACAAGAGGACGGCTGGAAGTAATATTATAGACATGATGCTGTATTATATTAGTTTAATTTGTTTTAGTGTATCAAAGTTGATGTCCATGATTTAACTGCAATGTATGTATCCTTAACGCCTTTTTGATGTACACCCGGATCCCGATTCTGAGCGCCTTAAAAACAAAACAAGCAACATAGATAAGGATAAGACCAAATCATAACAGCGCCCATACCTCCCCTAGGGTATCAAAATCATGACATTTAATTCTCGCTATCCTTCTCATCTTCTTCCTCCCTCTCGCGGACATGGATTCCCTCCACTAACATTTCACCTTCGATGCCCACTTCCTCTCCCTGCCCATCTCCCCTGGAATTCGTGCTTTTGGCCTTGGCTGCACGTTGCACATTTTCCATCCGTTGACGAACAAGTCTTGCAATTGCATTTTGTGTCCTCACGTTGAGGGTATTAATTTTCTCATTAAGATCCCGTTTGAGATCCCAGTTGGGCTTCTTGGGCTGTAGCTTGAATAGATCGATCGGCTGGTCCCCCCTCGTCATCCTTTTTCGCCTGCTCTGCCGTTGCTTTCGCTATTTCGGCGGCTTGTGCTTCCAACGTAGCCTGTCCGTCGAGTGGGGATTGATCGAAACCCAACTTTGGGCCACGGGTCTCCGCGTCATAATTCCTTCCCGAGAGATATTTTGTTGCGACCTCATCGAAGGTATCCTCCTTCATCTCATCTTGAGCTTGAGCTTCTGCCTGGGGCTCTGATTCTGGCTTCTTCCGTTTCAACGATGCAAGCTTCGCAAGACGAGCTTTGCGCTCTGCCGCTGCCGCATCGAGCGAGGCATGGGTGGAGGCCATAATTGTGAGTAGGTAAAATGGGAGGCCGTCAAGAGTAATACAAGAGTACTAGATAATAGGCAATATTTGAACCCCAGAATGGGAGTGCTTGCGACACGAAACAAAATCCGGATGTAGTGATGCTCTGCGGAATTAATTTCTCTTGCTGGTATCGGAAGTGGTGCGCCACAGTCCGGCCGGGGGCACCAGCCACAGCCATGCCGGAAGAAAATGGGCTTTTTGGATCGATAAGCTGCTACAGTGAAAAGTTACTTAGCCCATCACCCTTCGCCATCCCATTACTGCGCTGTCCTCGTCCTTACCCTATTATATCCTGTTCTAATGTACGACATCAAGAAATCCTGAATGTCAGCTTGTCCGCATCATCTCCTGCGTTCTCGCTTCAACGCTGGTCTGCCATCCTGTTTTCCGCGGCATAGTCTGCGTCTAGGGCGTCAGGATTGCAGGAAGACGAAAACTTCAACTGCGCGGAATATTGCCAATTATGCGCAAAATTCTAGCACAACGCCTTTGGGCGATACTCGCTTAGCCGAAAATAGTTGGACACCTTGCGCCGCATCACGCCCCCCTGGTGTAAAGAGTAAGGTTCAACATGAGGATGTGTCTAATCCTGAAGCCTTCTCTGACGGATACGCGTGGGACAATTCAATGTATTCCGGGTCGTCAGATTCTCAAAGCACAGTTTCGTCGACCAACGAAAAACACGAAGCCCGTGCCGAGGAAGATACACCGTCCTTTCGCCAACGAGATGACCAAGCTCCGTTTTTCAAAACATACAGTCTCCTCGAAAGTGGTGCGACCTCTCTCGTTCGCTATAATGACCTCGTCTTTCATAACGGGGAAGTTAAACAGAGACGGAAAGTGGTAAGCCGGGAGTCTGTTGAATGGGAGGGGAGGATAAGGTCGAATTGTCTGTTGCTGGATGGACAAGAGCTCCTTAAATGGAAACTCTGCTGCTCCGAATTATACAAGGCGAATTTCTATAAAAGGAACATTAAAAGTGATATTTTACCGCACCTGGATCTGCGTGACGATGACTTGGATCTTCTCGAGAAAATCTCAACAGACTGTCAAGGCAGTTTTCGTGAAGCCTGGGAAGAGCTAGGGAAAATTGAGAAAGCGGACCACTGGAAGAGATTGTCCCTATGGTTGCTACACAACTCCCCTGAATTAGCTTGGGAGTTTCTCCTCGTTACGTGCCAGAGTGCGCACAAGCCAGTGTTCTTGATGGTGGCTAATTCCGTGATCTTCTTGGATGCTTTCTATTCCGATAAGCTAAAGCGTCGGGAAATACCAGGTCATACATACCGATCAGTCATTGAAACGTGCTTAGATCCAACACTGTGGCCCGTTGTTTTCTTGCCTCAGAAAGGTGTGCGGCTCTATATCCAGAGAGCCGACCGGCACAAAGTATATCAGGCTTATAACATTGTGCACGAACGCGGTTCGGACATCAAAGCTGAGACCTGGCTCTGTTTTATGCACCGGTTTACAGAACTGGGTGATGTTGACAAGGCATTGGAGGCACTTGCACAGGTTCAGCAGTTGAAACGACGCGATTTTACACTGGATTCTGTAGCAGTCATGCGTCACTGCTGCAAATTACTGCTGCTAGACTCTGTTCGGGATGATTCCAAAGGACGCAACTTTCGCATTCTCCCGAAGCTCCTCGAAATGGGAGTGCGGCCAGACCGGGACATGATGAATATTGTTCTCGCTAATGCTTTCAAGACCGGAGACCCGCAATTGGGATATGACATGTTGACTTACATGAAAAACCAAGGCATAGAACCGGATTCGTACACTTATCTCACCCTTCTCAATGATGCTGTTGTTCGTGGCGATCGGGAGCGTGTGGATTTATTGACGCAGGAGATTCGGCCCGTGGAAGAGTTCCAGAAAAACCCATGGATAGCGAGCAAGCTGCTCCATGCGCATTTTACCTTCACGGCGAAACATATTGACGCAGACGTCGACCCCAACACGATATTCTACTCCATGCTGGACATGTATAACCAATTATACGACCTAACTCCTCTAAAAGAGCTCACCATCATTCCCCCACAGTATGCTCCTCTGATACGAGGCGACAATTCTCCCCCATCCGTTGTGGCTCTGTACATTATTATCGCGACCTACCTCCGATGCCAGAACAATGTGTCCAACGCGCAGCGCGTCTATACCAAGTTTAAGTCGCTCGTGGCGCAGGGACATAAAACCATAGCCCCTCTCCAAGTTACGGACCATGTCTATAATGAGTTCCTAGTGGCTTTCCGGGACGATCCCCGCGGGCTGCGACCGGCTGTACGACTGGTGGAGGATATGCTGCAAGCTTCTAATGACCTACTCGACAGTGGCCGGGACAGTCTGGTTATTGTTCCTGCAAAGCCAACCGTCCGAACGTGGACCCTTTTACTTGCCACGTTCATCTACAGCCGACAACCGCTTGCGGCAGAAAAAGTGAAAGATATGATGGCCAAGCACCAGGTCGAGTATAACGTCATTACCTGGAACGTTATAATCAGTGGCTACGCCAATGCACAGAACATCCCTGAGGTTGCCAAAACTATAAAAGCCATGGAAAAGCAAGGGTTTGCTATCGACGAGTGGACTATGAAGAGCCTCCGCTACCTCCGGGATCCGGAACGCCTGTGGGTGGCACTCGAAGAGCTGGACAAAGGGCCCGAACCTCGAATTGACCTCCCAGAGCCGGAAACAGCATCCCCTCTTGTACTGGATGAGAACGAGGCGATGGAAAACGAACGACAGCTCGATCAAGGTCTGCAGCGTCTCAGCCGTCGTACCTAACTTAAGCTATGACCCAACTATGAGATACCCTTTCCCAGTTTTCCCCTCCTTTCTCCCCCTCTTATTTGGAGCATGGATTTAGAATACCTTGGGGTTTCAATAGAGTATGGATGTACTGATAGATACCACACCATGGGCGCAATGTAAGATATCACTTGACGTATGTACAAAGCATATATAACTCATACCAAAAATTTGAGACGACAAAAAGAGGAAAGACAACCCTATGCCATAGGTGATGCCCAAATCAACATGAAGTCTGCAGTAACGCCCATTGCCTGGTAAAACCATGAAGTCATGAAAGAAAGGGTGAGAAGCAAGTCAAAGGGTATAAATCAGCCACCGAAGAAGATCGAGACCTGCGAGAGTATCACTGTTAGTCAACCCATTCTTGATGGACCATCGGAACGTTGATTCTACTCACGGCCATCAACACGCAGCAGATACTGATGTATGGGCTGAGTCGTTCCCCGATTCGAGCACATTTCCAAAATATCCCGAAGAAGCTGAGAATAACAGATTAGCAACCAGCTGATCTCACACCTGAGATATAGTAAACAAGGGAGACAAAACCTACCCATGTCGATTGCGGTCCATAAACCCGGGCAACATAGAATGAACATAGGTGCTCGTGCAGATGATGAGCAAGATAACTAAGAGGAGGGATTGAAAATTGAACAAAGCTGACTGCAGTATATTTATTGGTCAGAATTCAATTTCATTCTTTCATAACAACCATATCATTGGAAGCATGGGGACTGCTAGCAGGTGATTCCTAGACTCTTCACTCACCATCTTGGTTGTTTACCATGCCAAGCCTTACAGACTGAGTTGATTCCTCTACTCCTTCACTTGTACTCTTTGAGACTATACCCCAAAACACCCACTTGTGCTATTTGCAGGATAAGCAACAAATCGATATTTAGCTGAATATGGCCAGCTTTCCATCCCACCGAATCTCGACTCTCATTCTGCCGCCATGCTTCCTCTCACCGCCCACGGGAGCTCTACGGCACCGCCTTTCACCCAACAATGCTAGAGCTTCGTCTCCAACGACTGGATCATCGTCACTGCTGCCCGGTCACACTCCTGGACCATCGGTCTCCAGGAATCCATACTGACTAACCAGATAACCCAGTTCTGGCCATGTGTCGAGGCATCTTGCTCCTCCGTGACCGTTCAACCCCCAAGAAACTGTCTTGATCCGCACCGGCTATCATCGCGCCTTTAAACCCAAGACCGCCGCGACTGAAGAAGAACATTCTCGCTCGGACGCAGCCTCGAGCAAGAAAAAGAAGAATCCCTCCACCATGGCTGAACCCAGGGCTCGAGTTGCCCGTCACAAGGGCCAGATGAACTTTCCCTCTGAACGTGAGTGATTCCGACTACGGAATACGAATCGATTCGCTAACCAGGTCAACTTCTATAGTTCGTCTTCTACTTCTTGCCTACGGCGATCCGAGTCCTCATCCGTCTTTTCCTGCGGAGCCTCTCCCCGAAACGGTCCGCGTACTCGATGAGATCGTGACCGATTTTGTTCTTGAGATGTGCCATGGCGCAGCCCAGTATGCCAGCTACTCGCGCCGTCAGAAGATCAAGGTCGATGATTTTCGGTTTGCACTGCGTCGTGATCCCAACAAACTGGGTCGTGTTCAGGAACTGTTGCGGATGGAACGTGAACTCAAGGAGGCGCGGAAGGCCTTCGATCAGAATGATGATCAGGTGGGCAATCTGAAAGATGCTGGGAAAAAGGGTCTCGAGGAAACCGTGGACAGTGCGGATGGTAAGAAGGGCAAGGGTAAGGGTAAGAGAGGTCCTAGACGCGATTCGGATGCTACGGAGGATGCTATTTCGAAGAAAAGAAAGGTCACTGTTTGATCAGACTGTTTCCCCCTCTTCTTTTCATCCTTCCTTTTTCCTTTTCTGTCCTACTACATACGGCGTTTCTGGATGACCGAACATAATGGCTTTCATACATAGACATTCCACTATCTGCATGGGGGCGTTGATCAAGGATGATGCACCAATACGGTATAATTTTATGAAATCAGTGGCTAATTTGAATTCTCTGAAACATAAATTCCACTGCGACTGTAAACATTTTTAGCATATGTATGTCCATTCATCATGACTTGCACGCCACTGTCGAAGATGCGACTTCGTAATCATCGAATCTACACATCAGAAAGCAACGACCTTCTCACATCAAAACCCCATTATCAGCTTATCCCGAGGACCACTCCATTCATCTCTCTCCTTTTGTTTTTTCCCAACCATTCTGAACAAAGCCAGATTGACTTGACTCCCATACGCCGTACTCTTGTTTTGTTTTTGTTTTTGGTTCCGTCCTTTAGATTGAAATGCTCCAGTAACCAAAAATAGAGGGAAAACACAGAGAAAAGCCGTGGGAGTGTAAAGTAAATAGGAGCAGAAATTGACAGAATGCTTTTTTCGGTTCTTCTTCCATATAATGAGATAACCCCTGGATAAAATAGGACCCCAGACATGTATCAAAAAGATAATGGGTAGAGGAAACAACAGCGAGGAGCGAGAAAAGACACAAAAACGAACAATGCGAAAAGCGAAAAACGGATAGGACTATCAAGATGTGCATCGAGATGTGCAAAAAGAAGAGAACATATCTAAACTATTTCTCTTTCCCATTCTTCTTACGCACGAGCCTCTTCAACACCACGTTCTTGGTTCCGCTGTTGTCCTCCACGGCCTCCTTTGCCGCCTCGTTGGCCGCGCTGACCAGATTCGGCATTGGCAGATTCTCCACCCAGAGTAAGCTGGGCGGTTGCTAGCCGGTTGGATAGCTCCATCTGTGTACGGATGGTGTTGGCTAGGTAGGACACAACCAGGACATCCTGGATGTGGTTGTTGCTGGAGAATCGAGTTAGTAAAAGAAACGGAGTTATACCATAATTAACAGGATGGGGAAAAGAAGGGAAAACATACAAGTCACGCTCGATATCCACCGCATCGACCTTGGGAGCCAAAGCGAGAGTGTTGAGAAGGAACTGGCCCAGAGCCGTGGAAGCAGGAGCCTCCTCATCAATAACCGACTCGACGTACCGGGAGACCCGGTCAATCATGCTCAAAACCTCCTCAATTGCGCGCTCAAGAGCCTCGATGTCAGTGAAGATGTTGGTCGTGCGCTCCTCCGTATCGCGGGCAGCGGACACCGCCTCCAGACCACTCCTTTCCGCCTCACCGTACCGGATCTCGTAAGGAACGGGGATGAAAGCAGCACTGTCGGCAGCTCTCTCAGCGGTGACACCCACGGGCGCGGAGATGTAGGCCCGGGTTTCGATATCCTTTCCAGCCTCGGTGGACACTGTCAGGTGGACAGCGGGGTGAGGCCATGTGCCATCACCCTGGCCGCTGTAGAAGTTCTGGATCAAAGCGGAGAAGGTGTTCAACTCAGACGAAGTGGCGTACCACCCGACGAGAACTTCCTTGGGGTTGGCCTTGAGATGTAACGCCAGCATCTGCTTCTGGTATTCCATATCGACCTCGACCTGATCCGTCGTCTCGGTATGTCCGACCGCAAAGGTGCTGCGAATTTCCACCTCAGTACCATCCTCCGACCTGGTTCCTAGAAGGGTTCCGATGACACGTTCCTGATCGGCATTGCGACGAAGAGAATGATCGAGGATCGAGAACAGGGCCTACCGCCACCCGTTAGTTACCCTAATTGTCTAAACCCCTTTCCTCCATCGGAGTCGCCCTCCTCTCGCACACATACCTGAGGTTGAATGACTACATTCAGAGGGGCGGTCGTCGGTGCAGACCCCACTGCCACGGGGCCCAAAGGACGAGCCAGATGAACGAAAGAATCGGATTCAGTCATGATGAGGGGACGGTGAGAAGGAGAATCTGGTAGATAGGTTCGGGGAGTCTTTCGCGCTGGTGGGGACTCCTTGTCGTGGTGGAGAGTGCGCAGGATGAATCGTCACTCGTTTTCTTTTCTTTCTGTTTCTATTTTTCGTCTTCAATTCTTTCTGCCACCAACTTCTCGGTGGCGGAGGTTCGGCGAGGCTCAAATTGTGTGTGCGCAACGGGAATTTCGCGCTAAGATAAGATAAGCTGCCCAGCAGAAAAAAATCAAGAAATAATTCCCAAAATCCCTCGACCACCACGTATATCTACGCATCCGAATTAGATTTCTTACTCATGGCCCCTCCTCGAAACAGAGGCTTCAAAGGTCGGGGCAAGGTCCCTGTGACCAATGCAAGAAGACGAGATGGCTTCTCGTCCTCCCGACTAGACGAGATACAGTGAGCATTATTGACCTTTATCTCTCACGGGTCAGTCCGACTAACCGGTTGGTCACTTAGGTCGGAAGAATGCTCTTCGGGGAGAGAAGAATCTACTATAGAAGAGATAGATGATGGAATGGACTACGAGGAACTTGTCGATGGAGGGTCATCAGACAGCGAAGAAGATGACCACGAGGATCAGGAATCCGGGCGTCCCTATACGGAATTGCTCCAACTACTCAATACTAGCTCGGACAGCAAAGGGCCAGCCCGGAAAAAGAGAAAGGTCGAGGAAAAAGCCAATGAAGCGGAACGCGACGCTGAGATGTTCCCCCGTGGCGGAGGGGATGACGAGTCGCTTGCAGACGTGGATCTAGAGCAGCGAGAATCCGAGGATGAGGAGGATGAGGAGGATGAGGGCTTGGAAGAAGTGGACATCGATGAACCCGAAGGAGGCGATGAGGACGATGGTAGTAAAAATTCCTACATTGATCCTGGTGCTCCGGCTCGTACTGACATCGCATAGACAATGATCCGTTCGAAACGCATTTTACAACTCCACCGGAAGATGAATTATCTAAGAAGATCCAGGCTGCGAAGGAAAACCAGTGGCGGACCGTCAAAAAAGAACTTCCAGAAGGGTTGAAATTGGTGCAAGCGGTGCCGGACATCGGAAATGACGTCCCTTTGCACCTGGCCATGAAGAACGTTGGCAATGTGAAGGTAAGCACCCTTTCTAATGGTCCTCTAGACGAATGAGAACAGCACTTCTCACACATTCATACGTACAAAAACAGCTCAAGAAGAAGCTCAGTGGACCCGCTACGGAGCACATCCGGGAAATCAGCGGACATGCTCAGCATCTTGCTCCGTATATCTTCAATTACCAGGATGTCTTGTATGGTGCCAGAACCACGTCTAACACAGTTGCTATGCGGGATCTTTTGGCCGTCCATGCGGCCAATCATGTGTTGAAGACGCGGGATCGCGTGCTCAAAAACAATGCTCGCATTGCGAAAGAACCGGATGCCGACCTCGATGTACGGGATCAAGGCTTCACCAGGCCCAAGGTGCTCTACCTGCTGCCGACCCGACAAGCATGCGTGCGTGCGGTGGAGGCGATCGCCCGATTCTACCAACCCGAGCAGCAAGAAAATAAGAAACGGTTCCTCGATACCTTTTCTGCAGACGATGACGAGGGCTGGGAGAACAAACCGGACGATTTTCGAGAGCTCTTTGGAGGGAACGATGACGATATGTTCCGACTGGGTCTGAAGTTCACTCGCAAGACCATCAAATTCTTTGCGCAGTTCTACACCTCCGATCTCATCCTGGCTAGTCCCCTGGGTCTGCGCACCATCATGGATCAAGCTGAGTAGGTCCCCCACAAAAAAAGTTAAACAAGGGTGTTTCGGGGAAGAACGCTGACACTCTTCCAGCGCCAAAAAACGAGATCACGACTTCTTGTCGTCCATCGAGGTCGTGATCGTCGACCACACCGATGCCCTGTTGATGCAGAACTGGGGCCATGTCGATTACATCTTCCAACACCTGAACCTGCAGCCCAAGGAGGCGCACGGATGTGACTTCAGCCGGGTTCGCACATGGTACCTGGACAACAACGCACGCTACCTGCGACAGCTGATCATGTTAACGTCCTTCGTGACGCCGGAGATCAACTCGGTCTTCTCGTCGCAGATGCGCAATGTAGCCGGCAAGATCAAATTGACGCCCGTGTACGCGGGAGCAATCTCAGAAGCAACCATGATGCCCATGGCAGTCAAGCAGACCTTCTCGCGGCTCGACTGTCTCTCGCCGGCTAAAGACCCGGATGCGCGATTCAAGCACTTCACGACGACGGTGCTGTCGTCACTCGTGCGCAACATCACCTCGAGTCGTGGCAAAAACGGCGGCGGCACCCTGATCTTCATCCCGTCGTACCTGGATTTCGTACGCATCCGGAACCACTTCGCCACGTCGACGCAGACCAGTAATATCTCGTTTGGGGCCATCTCCGAATATACGGATGCTCGCGACGTCAGCAGAGCGCGCACGCATTTTATGACCGGGCGACACTCCGTACTCCTCTACACGGAGCGATTCCATCATTTCCGTCGGTACCAGATCCGTGGTGTCAAGCGGGTGATCATGTACGGGCTGCCAGAGAACCCGACGTTCTGGGGCGAAATGGTCGCGATGCTGGGACTGGGTCCGGCCGGGGTGGTCGAGGCCACCGGCGAAGGAGGCGTGCGGGCACTGTTCTCCAAATGGGATGCGTTGAAGCTGGAGCGGATTGTAGGTACGAAGAGAGTTGGTAACATGTTGCGAGAGAGGGGGGGGGATACCTTTACCTTTGTGTAATTGGATGTTATATCCATTTCTCTATACCCGTACATGTCATATTATATCATATCATATCACTATCAATTTCACTAATAATATCAATCAATATCCAAGACTGTACCCGCAGATCATCCGACGGCGCTCAGCGCCACAAGCGCAGGAAGTCTTCACATTCATTGCATTTCTTTATTTTTCTTTTTTACTTCTATCTGAATTCTCTGTATTTTTTCTTTCTTTCTTTCTTTCTTTCTTTGCTTTTTCTTTTTTCAATTTTTTGCCCCCTCAGCTGAGTGTCTATAGTTAAGGGATCCCTTGGCTTAGATTAGTCATGGTGCTCGGAGAAAAATCCGTAATTAGATTAAACTAAATAACTTGGTGTAGGTGAAGTTTCTTCACATTATGATGCTTTCCTAAATAGACAGTCCTCTACATGTGATATATATATATATATATGTGTGTGTGTATGTTGATAGAGAGGGGGATCTACATATAAGAAAGAAAGTGTGTATATTGTTGTGTCTACCATGTCTTCTCCCTCCAAGGATGTCCATCCCCATCAGCAGTCAGCTTCGGATGTCACTTACGATACGAATCCCCCCTCCTTATTTTCAAGATTTGGCTGGATGACATCTCGACGGACGGATCCCGATGACGTGCGAAGACCTTTTCTGGGGTCGACAGCACCCTCCTCGCCGTGGTGGCAACGCACGCAAAAATCCGCCCGCGAGGCCTGGGCTCGGGGCAAAGGAATGATTCTGGTGCTGCTGTCGCAGTTCTTTGGATCGTCCATGAATGTGATGACGAAAACGCTGGAGATGGAGGGAAATAATGGACGGGGTTTCACTCCGTTTCAGGTACGTATTTTATGGACTGGCAGGTTCTACAGGTGGATCAACAGACGTACTTACAGGGATCAGATCCTCTTCGCTCGCATGTCCATCACAGTGGTGGCGAGCTATCTCTACATGTGGTACGCCCAGGTACCGCATCCCTTCGGTACCCGATCTGAGCTCGGATTGCTGCTGCTGCGCGCTACAGGGGGGTTTTTCGGGGTTTACGGACTGTACTACTCGGTGCAGTACTTACCGCTGTCGGAAGCCACAGTACTGACGTTCCTGGCGCCCATCCTGAGTTGCTACGCCTGTTCGTTCTTCATCCCGCATGAAAGCTTCACGATTAAGCAGCAGCTGGCTGCGTTGATGTCGCTGGCGGGCGTGGTCTTGATCGCGCGGCCGTTCTCCCACTCTGACGAGGAGTCGGCCGACACAACCCACCGGACGCTGGCAATCATCATGGCTTTGGTCGGGGTGCTTGGCGCGTCGTGCGCATACTCCGCCATCCGGATGATTGGTCCACGATGCCATCCCCTGGTATCGGTGACGTATTTCTCGCTCGTCACGACGGTGGTGTCGCTCGTAGCCATGCTGGTGATCCCCTCGGTGCCGCTGGAGTTGCCAGGCACTGCGTTGGAATGGACCTTGCTGACCGGATTGGGTGTGTGTGGCTTTCTGCTCCAGTTTCTGCTTACGGCCGGGTTATCGTACGTGCCGCCACCACCGCGCCGGAAGGAGAAACAGGTCAACAGTCTGTATGGGAGTGACGATAATGGTCAATCGGATGACGAGAGTGCACCGCGGCCATCGTCGTCGGGATCCCGGGCCACATTCATGCTGTATACGCAGATGCTATTTGCGGTTTTCTACGACCGAGTGGTCTGGGGGAGCTCGTTGTCGGCGGTGAGCTGGGTGGGATCGGGACTCATCCTAGTCAGCGCCATGTACGTAGCGATGGCGCGGGAGAGCCGACCCGACCGAGAGTCTTGCGCCGGAGAGGCAGACGAGCCGATCGAGGGGAGTCAGGATGCAGACAGCGATGCAGAGCGACGTCATGGAGGAGGAATGCTGGGGAGAAAGGCGGGGAAAACAACGCATGAAGCGGCGGACGCGGCAGGCGGTCGGACGATCTGAGGGAATTACCAGGATTTGGCTGCAGCCTGGTGCAGAAGTAAGGTTGCCAGACTCAGAGCTAGGAGGATTGTGCTCCGGATGTCATCATAGACGGGGATTGTACTTAATGATAATGAAGAAACGAGTATGGGTGAGATGATCTGGGTGAGAATACTCCGTAGATGGACGAGAGATACTACAAGATAGATACTGTAGATACTAAATAAGACGGAGCAATTATCCCGTGACAAGTACCAGATGCCTGAAGAATGCGACATCCTGAATGGACCCCAAAGCGGTATAGAGCACCCCACTGCCGACGGGTGATTGGCAACAGTGACGTCACAGGGTTGCAGTTTCCGCCGAAAAGACCCGAAAAAGGCAGAGGCGGATGCTCCCGAGAATGGCCGGCCACCAATGGGAGGGGCGGCAGTGGAGCTTCCCCGGAAGACAGTCGCCCATCCGTCAGTGGCGAGGTCTTAATTGTGAATAGCCTCAGCCATCAATCGCTCAGACTATGGGAGGGTCGCAGTATAAGAAGGTCCACCTTCTCCGGATCTTCGTCTCCCCACTGGGTCCAAAAGATTAAAAAACTAAAAAAGAGACTATACAAAATATAAAAATACAAATAAAAACGAAATGCGTCACTTCGATGCCTGGTTGCTCCGCGATCCCTACTCCATCTTCCACTACTATCCCACCGGTCGACGATGGCAAGAGACCGTCCGTGATCTGATTCAGGAACGCAAAATCTGTTCTCCCTGTCTGGACCCGCCGTATTCCTCCACTACCACCCCCATCGAGCCGTGTGCGCTTCCCATGGCCTCGCAGTCCGACTGCGGCCTCCTCAGCCGACTGCCCCCTGAGATCCGTCTGATGATCTACGGCTACGTCTTCGGTGACGAGGCCGTCCATCTGGTGCAGGTCAAGAACAAGATCCGTCACGTCCGCTGTCGTCATCCCGTCTCCTCGGTTGACCAGAACCGTCGCTGTTGCCCTTCCACTCCGGCCCACTGGCGTCAGGAGAGTAATAAGAATCATAATAATAATCAACAACTTCATCATCACAGCGCCATGCTGTACCCGCACACCCACGCCGACCTGCCCTCTGCACTGAGTAACTCGTCGCTGGCGCTGCTGCGCTGCTGTCGTGCCATCTACGCCGAGGCCGCCGACATCCTGTACGCCAACGTCGTCTTCGACGTTGACGACCTGCACACCTTCATTGCCTTCTCGCGGACCGTGGGGACAGACCGGCTGCGCTCCATCCGTCGTCTCACCGTGCAATGGTCTCCCGTTTGGCAGCCCATGGCCGGCCACGAGCAGCCCTCGTCCATCTTCGCCCACACCCATAACGACCGACTCTGGTCGCTCTTCTGGTCGCGCGTGGCCGCTCTGCGCGGTCTTGAGGAACTCCATCTCAGTGTCGATCTGGGTCGGTTCTCTGGCACCCCCGCCGGTGGCCTTATCGCCGGGAAACAGCGACTACGTCTGGCCATCGACGAGCCCTGGGTAGCCCCCATGTTGTGCGTCCGTGGTCTGCAGTCCTTCGAGTTGGGTATCACCGCCCGCTGTGACACTTACGCCAAGCGTGTGCTGGAGGGCGATTTGGTTCGCGACGCTGTCACTCTGCGCGATCATCTCCGTGCCATCCTCTGCTCGCCCCCGGGGTCAGTCCCATCCATCCCCGGTGTTCAGCTGCAATTGAAGCGTCCCTGTGGAATCGACGAGTTGAATGAGACCGTCAGGCCAACGGTGCGTCCTCGTCTGGCTATCACTGCTGCTTAATCATTCTTGTTCCTCTTCCGACCTTCTTTCTCTCATGATTTCTTGCTCCGATTACCTTAAAAAAAAGCGATTTTCTGTGCTAGAGATACCCCCTTTGTGCTTTCATTTGATTTCGTTTCGTCTCTTCTCTTCGAATGCCCAGTTGGACTTTTTGAATGCCCTGGTTGATCTCGACATGTTGCGTTGCATGAAGTGCATGCTGTTTAGACTAGAGGTGCTACCATAGACTTGATGAATGTCCATCCCATAAACGCCAGTCCATTATGTCGAGTCCCTTCTACCTATTCAACCCGGTTAGACAATCTATGAACATCTAATCAACAGTGGGGAGGGCCCAAATTTGCCTCCAATTTCGCCCCTTCCTCCGATCCCAGGCAAAACCAATAGCGACGGCCATAGTTGGAAAACATGAACTGAAAGATCCAAACCCAATCACATGCACATCCCTCTCCCTGTGGTTCAAGTAGGCCAAATAATTATGTCGAGAAGATCCAATAATAATACCAATAAGAAAGGAAGTATGAGCTCGCGGGGAGAGGGGGGAGATGTTTAAAAAATTAACAAAAGAAAAGCACGTTTCCACCCAATACATCTCATGAATCTATCGGATGCATACCAAAATTTTTTTTTTTTTTTCTCTTCAATTTTTTTTTTCCCGGTCTGCTCAAATCTACTCCTCTTCCCAGTAGACCATGTGCTGACATGCCAGGACGATCGTTGTGCTCCTCTTGTCCTAACTTACATCAAGTCAGCAAGTCCAGAGACATCTGTCCTGTGATTTATCCCACTATGAGGTGAAACTCGATCCGATAGATATATGAGAGGCTCGTATAGGTGCAAACGAAAAAAGTAGGAATTAAGGAAAAGAAAGGAAAGGGGGGAGGGGACAAAGAGAAAACCAAAATTACGCAGAATGAATTCTCGCATTAGCAGGTGTAGAGCTGCCAGCAAAATGACCATTACTCCGCTCTTGTTCAGATTCCTGATCCTCCTCGCTGACTGGAGAGTGAGCCCGACTTTCTACGAGGGACCGACGACTGCGCATCTATATCACCGTCAGCTTTGTGAACCTTTCCTTCTCCTTGGGACCCAGGGACACTCACCCATGCTCTTACTCCCCCAATCAATCCCAAGCTGTAGCCGGTGGCAAAGTCTTCATTGCGTCCGCCTCCTACAGGACTATCAGGACGGCCCAACGTCTCCACCCGAGAGAGATGAGTCTTGGTGCCCCCAGTTGGACTGACCAGACCACTTCGAGATCCGCCAAAGTCCACACTGTTCCTCGCGCTGGGCGCCGGGCTGCTGGGCCGACTGTTCTGCCAGAGCTGCCGTAATTCTCGCCCTAATTCTTGGCCGGTGGTCGACCAGTTCGTGCGAATACTGTCCCGAATCTCGGCGACGTGGCGCTTGATTTCGAGCTCATTCTTTTTAAGCCATGACACGTTAAGCTCCTGTCGAGAAGCGCCCCGCTTGAACTGACGCGAAATGTATTGGTCATAGTCGCGAACCACCCTGCAATTAGTCAGTTCTCAGCCGCTCTTTGCAATGATGAAATCAATTGGTGCTGACCTTGTGATGATGCCGGTAGTGCTGACACCTTCGGTTCGCTGGGTAACCAGGAACTTTCCTTGGGACTTGATCGGAGCATAGATATCATCGCCCTCGGCAGCGCCGTACGGCAGGTCATCATGTGCGACATAGTCAATCTGGTGCTGCTCGATAAATTCCGGAGTCACAATCCAGGGACAGTTGGGGATCACTTCATCCACCCATTTGCAGTGTCGGACACTCTCCGCGCGCTCCGTGCCGCTCAACACCGTCAGACCCTTCCGCTGATGAGTCTCCTCGTCGCCAGTAACCCCAACCATCAGATGCACGTCTGGGAAAGCCTTCTTTGCCTGCTCGAGCTGACGCATGTGACTAATGGGGGAGATGTGTTAGCAGAGATCAAAGCTGATCTATGGCAACCGGCGACAAAGCTTACCCCATATGGAACAGATCAAAAACGCCATCGGCATAGACCCGAACCGGGCGTCCCGTGGGAGGGGGGTTCGTCTTGTATCCCACTGGATCCTGCAACCCAGCCTTTTCAGGCGGCCCCAAGTTCTGCCGGGTCTTTATCTGCAACCCGGGCCGGCCCTTGCTTCGACTCTCAATGTCACTACTAGCGACAGTGGTCTCGGACGGCTCGCCCGGATCCTCCTTGCCGATTTCTGACAGCTCCTCGGCTGCAGAACCATTGATCGGACCGTGGTCAATTGAGCTCTTTCGGGCCCGTTTGGACGGCGGAACGGTCGCAGACGTTACGTCAATGGGAGCGGATATCTTGTGCTTGCTTGGAGATGAAGTGAGAGGACCGGTCGACTCATCACCCTCTTCCCCAGATGCATCGCGAGATGAAGGTTGTAGGAATTCAGCGGGAGTTGGTTTGGTGGCATTGGCCGGTAGATGTTGGGAAGCACTGCGCTTGCGTTTGCCCGCAGACGACGGAGAGGACATGGTGGCTGACCGAGGGAGCACAGCTCGACTTCTGTCGGGAATGGGGAGAAAAAATAGGAGATGGAGGGCGGACGAAAGGCCAGATGGCGAAAGACGCGTTGATGGATCGAAAGGGCAGAGTAAGGGGAAATGAGATACGGCGGGAGGGTCCAGTCGAGGAAGCAGCAGGTTGGACAGACTGAAAACACGCGACCGACGATGATCTCGAGTTCCGAGGCCACTAACCAAGTACTGTACAAGATGGAAAGGGGACCACCGTTCAAATTAGAGGACACTAAGGCGAAAAGAGGCGAAACTCGCGTTGGTTCACCAAGGAAGAGGATGCTACGGAGTAGATTTTCCACGTCGCGTCAAAGCCCCCAAAAAAGGAGACGCAATCACAAAAAAAAAAAAAAAAAGTTGTAGTTACGGTGTATTCCTGAGGCCGTGAAACATGGCGTATGGAAATGTCATAGCCTGTTCTGGTGGGCCCATGAACCGTACCATCTGACGTTCCGTACGGTATTGGCGAACCCACGAGGAAGGTCACTTAGTAGGTTTCACTGCTCCGCACATCCTCCATTGACAGAGCTCAGCGGTCCCTTTACCACCCTACTATCCCCTTGGCTGGCGATACGTGCCTTTTTTAGCGCCAGTTTTCTGCCGCTTCGCATTGACCACCTATACTAATACCACGCACAATGAACCTATGCACACCATTAATTCTTGTTGACTATCTCTTTATGATGATGGAAATCTAACTAACATGACCGTATATCCTTCCTACATAAAGGCACACCACAGATTTTACAGCTAAATGTAGTCTTCTGCTTGCACCAGTAGCATCTCTTTTGAGATGGAATTCGAATAGCCTCATGTGCTTCACCTGTCTCCAGTTCACTTATCCTCTCTAACTCTCTAGTTCTTTTCCCAGTAACCGCTTCCTGGAGGCCTAATTGGAATAGTTCTTTGTAAAGATCCTTCCGAAACTCCAGATGAGTAACTGTCTTTATTCCCCGGGATTGGCGAATGATATTGCCTATAAGATAAGCATTAATAATCGCCACATCTAGTAACCAAAAAAATATAGGCCACCATGAGCGAAGCATTTTTTGATAAGTCTCATAGCTTTCCCGGAGTTGGTTTGCACGATCAACACCTCCTATATGGAAGTTATAATTATTAAACACACGGGGAATAGGTAGTTCCTTGACTGGCTCTCCATTAAATGGCTCTCGGGCAATCTTTGCACTAGTAGATGTCTTTGCTGGTCGTTTGCGAAGGCGAGGGATCCAATCAGATGGCCTGTGTACAGTATGTGTAGTTGTCATGCCAGTAACTATATTATTGTCTTGCCATGCAAGACAAAGAATATTCTGGACCCCAGGTTCAATACCTGCAGGCACGGCATATAATGTATTCCATGGCTGAGATTTCTTGGACTCTTTGAATAGTCGAAGGACCTTTGGGAATAGTTGTTTAGAAGCCTTTGGACGTGTTGTTCCACATGCACCAATGCCAAGTTCTCGGAGGCGATGAAAAAGCGGTATTGAAGTAAAGTAATTGTCCATATAAACTGTATATTTATGCTTTTTCTTTGGTAACCCTTCCTGGACCAGTTGAAGCACCATTGAACCAGTCATAGTAAGATCTTCCTGCTTTTTAACCTCTACCATTGATTTATGCCGGCTTGCCCAAATCCAGTGTAGGATATAACCTTGGTCTGCAATTGCAAAAAGCTTAAACCCCTGCTTAATTGGCTTATCAGGCATTTTAAATGTGTGTGTAGAGCGCCCAAAGCCACGGATCATAACTTCATCCACAGAGACTGCATGTGATGGTTCCCAGTATTGTAGGCAGGCAGAACGTATACTAGAAGCAAATGGTTCTAGCTTATACCACCACATTTGATGAGGCTTTAAACCAAGCCTTATAGCCTCCTGCACAGCTGCATCAGGATTGGGATCAGCAACATGAAAAAAGCGCTTGATTTGTTGAAAGCGCTTTAATGACATAAATCGCCGTGGCATATGAATAGGCTCCTCTGAAGTCTGCCAGTAATCCTCATCTCTAGGAGATACATGAACCCCCATATAAACAAGAATGCCAAGAAAAATCATAATATCTGCAGGAGTAGTATCATGCCATGTACGCCCGGTTTCTCCTGCTTCCTTTATCCGCGCATATATATTTGTATTGGTTGATAATACCGCCAGTGACTCTTTTGAGGTAAAGAGGGAGAATAAGCTGTATGCACTTGAGATATTAATATCTGGTGGAATATGTGCAGAAGCATAAAAAGGCTTTTCTATATTAAGCGGTTCAAATTCAACATCAGTATAAGGAGGGATTTCATGAAGCATCTGAGCAAGATTTAGCTTCACATCTTCCCTTTTAGGCAAAGGAGTAGGGGAAGGGGAACGAGAAGGTGATGCAGATGATGGAACAATAAAAGAACTATGCAATAAGGGTTCCTCTGCCTCCTCTTTCATTGGATAACCCCATTGGTCCATAGTAGGGAGGAATGTAAGGAATCCAGAGGATGAAGCAGACCATGTAGGGGGCTACGCGTGAAATGCTTTGTGACGCGCTGAGGGACGTGCGTACTCATAACTAAGAATCTTCTTATGTCATCAGGCGGTGATAATATAAACCAATAAGAATGCTTCAATAATTTACCGCTAAAAAAGGCACGTATCGCCAGCCAAGGGGATACCATTGCCCACTCGCAGTCCCTGACACTTACTGGATTCGGCAAAGCGTTCCCCAACAGGATAGGATTACCTAATCACACTGTTCTCGGTCTCTCTATCCATACCTACTCCTTACAGCGGACCTTATTACTCCTGGACAAAGCCACATGATCATGATGAGCCCATTATCTATATCTGTACGTGATGGGAATAGGGACAAGATCCACTGGAAGCTCGTGTGCATAGATCACAATCCCAGAAACTCCGCTGCTCAGCTAACACGGTTCTTCATGCCATGGACGAAATACTTTCCGGATACGCCGTCATGCGTGCATTTATAGGTAGATTCGTCACTCCTCACCCCTACTCCTTACCCGGCTGTCTTACTCATGCCATCGAAGCGTCACCCCCATTAGTGAGCCGTCTCGTTGATCATATCATGGGATACCCGTAAGTAGAAAGCAGGAGCACCCAGGAGGAAGAAGACAGGCGCGAACGTGGAACGGAGAAGGGGAAAAAATGGAAAGAGAATCATAGAGATATCAAAGTTCATCAATAGCGGTAGGTTTGTGCGGTATCTTGTGGGAAGACATGAAACAAGGCGTACTCTCGTGAGGTCTGCCGCTCGCGGCTTCGAAGACAAAACTAAAAGAAAAGATAAGACAACCCCTCCTATCTTTAAGGCGAAAGATCCCCAGTCAATCCATCCGGTTCGATATGGAACAAAGATCACTTGGCCAGCTGAGTCCGGTTGCCGCTGCTTAGCTCCGCCTTATTCACTACCATCGGAAGTTGATCAGAGAAGAAATAAGAAACATGGGAAGGGGGGCGTTAGATAGAAAAAGAAAAGAAATAAGGTAGAATACGGAGACAGAGCGCTTAGGGGAGAAAGGGCTGGGAGAAGAAAAGAAAAGAGGTCGCAGGGACGGCAACGGTCATCAAATCACAAGAATCGTTTTCAAAAGCCAAAAAAAAAAAAAAAAAAAAAAAAAAAAAAAAAAAAAAAAAAAAAAAAAAAAAACAATTGCTAAAATCCCATCATAACTACGAAGTCGTAGATTGTTCCGTGCTTTCCGAGCTGCCACCGGAAGCGCTCTTCGCGGCGGTTGAGGGGGTCTCAGATATACTGGCAGATGCCTCATCAGACTTGGGGGCGTCGGCCCTAGACTGCGGCCCCGGGGTTCCTTCACGTTCCTTTCTAGCCGAATCGGGAGATTCATGCTGTGCCTGACGGGGCAAATCCCGGTCTTCCTCAGTCTGGTCAAAGAGCTCCTCGTCGTTCTGTTCAGGGATTAATTCTGTGCCGTCGCCTAAGAGAATTATGCGACCAGAACGCACGCTAAAGCCACGGGCACGATCATTATCCACCTCATAGTCATCCGGGTTCTCTTCGAACTGATTACGGATACCGGGGCCACGGAATTCAGCTGCGTCCCCGTTAAGTCAGTAGGGGTTGGAGGCCGCGGATTCCTCAAGAGACTTGCCGTATTCGGGCGGAGCACAAGGGCCGTCACCATTGGCCACCCTCTCAGCGATCTGATTGTACCACTCCTCCTTGGTTCTACCGTTCAGGAGTCCAATGATGGTCATGGTCATGTTGTCGCAACCCACACCGCCGGTTTCGCTGTTCGAAGCCAAGCAGTTGTCCATCATGTTTTCACAGATCCGGTAAAGGTCTTGTTTCGCTGCAATACCACGGCGAACGAATTCGACCACAGCCTGAGAGGTCTGGCAGTCCCAGATGCCTACCAACGTGGGGTTAGCGCGGGAATAGCTGTGACGGCGAACATTTCACGTACCGTCACAAGCAATGACTAGGAATTCATCATCGTCACTAAGTTCGTGGACCGTCACATCTGGGTATGCGGTTACAATCTGCTGTTCAGGCGACAGCTCGGGGCTCTTCTTAAATTCGAAATCACCAATGGCTCGCGAAAGGGCTAGGTTGCCATTCACACGGCCAAAATCGACAAAGCCACCTGCAGCGCTGATACGGGCCTTCTCGCCTACAATCAGGTTCATCAGTATCACCAGGTCATTAAGATGACGACAACAGGACCGAGTCACCAACCTTCATTCTGCGGCTTGTGATCAAACGAAAGGGGTTTCGCGCGACCCTTGACACCTAGGACCGATCGTGAATCACCAGCATTGGCCTTGTATCCAGTTAGACATGGCGAGACTGCGGTCCAGTTCGTGTTCAATTCCTCGGACTGGCCCAGTGGAGAGGGAGACATACAACCCAGATTTTGTGCTTTGAGATTATACTAACCGCCGCCGTACAGCCGGAAACCTCCTCCTCATATTTCGGATCTGGCCACGTCAGCGAGAGGGAAAACGACAAGAGGGGAGAAGATAAAATCTCCCATGTCATTTACGAACCTTCCAAGATAGCCCGGTCGGTAGCCAAGAAGCCGTCCTTTAAGGCTTGTTCGATATCGCCCTTTGCGAACGAATCCTGCTTCGCGACAATCTTGTGCAGGTTCTCCCCCGCAAACAAAGCCACTTTGTCCCCACCATGCCCATCATATACACCAAAGAAAGCGAGACGTTTATCGGGTTCGGAGGGTGTGTCCTTAGGAGTTGTATATTTCGCATAGAGGTCTAGGACGGCAGCATGGGCATCCTCCATGCTGATCCGCCAGCCTTGCATGGCGGAGACCCCATACACACAGCATTCATCTTCGCCTTCAGAGGAAGTCTAGAAATTTGACCTGAGTTAGCGATCGTGTGAATGCCAATGGTGACTAGTCATCCGTCATGGGGGCGGCTGCGGGAAATTTTCTTCCACTTATGAAGGACCCCGCAGGAGAAAACCACCACGTTGTGACGCCGCTCAATACCGCAAGGAAGGGATATAACATGGCCTGGGGTGGGCTACAGATGGGGATGACAAAACATTGAAGCAGAATACAGAACAAAAAATCTCAAGAAAGATAGGGTGTCGCTGAGAAACATGGTAGAGGCGTTCGGCAGGCTGCACAGGGAAGGAATGGAATTGCGTAAGGACAGTGTGGGGAGAGAGGGGAGGTGAAAGACAAGTCAATCAATCTCAATTTTTTGAACTGTAATTTTCACTCACCTTCTCGACGACTGGCTCTGACAAAGTTTGACCCATTATTGCAAGTAATCACAAGGAACTGTCAGGGGGGGACTGTGGCCAAAAAAAAAAACACGCAAGCACACAGACACAAAGGATCTAGGAGGGAAGGTTAAGGCGGTCTCTTTTGGGGGAAAAAGGGAAAGGGAAGTGGGAGAGAAAGACAAATGGAGGAGAGAATCAGGTGAGCGAGGGTAAGGGCAGAATCACTGGGCGGCGTGCGGGAAAGGGAAAGCACTTTTTTTCTGGTAAGGCAGGCAGAAAGGCAGAAGAGGAGGAAAAAAAAAAAAAAAAAAAAGAACTACTCTAGAAGCTAAAGATGTTCAAAAGTTTTAGAAGATCTAATTATTTAGATTTATATGATACTTACTGATACTTCCTGTGATAGTGATTTTATGTTTCTTCTAGCTCTTAAAGAAGTGGGGAAGCCGAATCAGGTAATCTAAGTCGGAGGAAAGATATGGGTGCGTAGAGAATCAACATTGCAAAAGGGGTTCAAATGTTTATAATATTCTAGAGACTAGGCAGAACATCTCAAAAATCCATCATATTAGGCTACTACAAGGGAGAGTCTAAAAAAATTTAGTTGTGTCACGGGCTTGTACAGGAACAGAAAAGGTTCATCCATTCGTCCAATTCCATCATCATCTCTTAAGATTCACCTGAAGAATTTCCCGAATTTCCCTGTCGCGTGTCCAGTAAGGTGGCAATTACTAGATACTACCAGGTACTACCTAATAGCTCCTAGGCAATTCGCGCTATACATGGTCTGAGATCAGCCCGCTGCTGACTAGCACGGGATTTCTGGAGCCCCAACCTTGACAGATCAATCCTTCCTTCTGTGATAGTACCCAGCAGACACTTAGGATTCCTGATCAGCAGCTACCTAAAAGGTCATTGCAGACTCTGTAGATACCGACCGACCTCCAGCTGTACTGCCTCGTTGTACGCCTTACAGACTACCTACAGAGTATTGTTAGTATCTAGCTATCCTAATCAGGATAGTTCCATCAGCTCTATTGGTGCCTTGCTTTTCAGGTCCGAGACAGGTCAGGCGCCGTCCTGCTGTCTTGAGCTCAATCAACCAAGCAAGGCGTTTTCATATCAATCTCAATAGATACTACTCCGTATTTCTCCTTGGATGCACCTCACCTCGCAGAAATGGCTGGTCTTGAAATACTCAAGATTGGATACCTGGACTGTGGAAGCTGCGGGCATTCTGTTCACACCGCATCGAGGTAATTCCAGGCATATCGAGCATAGGAGCAGCATCTACTTAAGCATCTATCCAAGATCTACATTACACCGAAAATCCCAATAAAGCTTGTCTGCATCCAAAATTATGGTCAAAAAAAGGTCAAATACAGCCGACATACTGGATCAATTCACACAACCAGTGTGTTGTTCAGCTAACCATCAGCTACCACACTGAATCTCAGCGTCCGTCATCTCAGTTCATCAAGAATAGACAAGGCAATAAAATATTAGAACACACTCGATAAGATATCATCTCGATTGTGAACCACAGGGTTCTCGTTCAACACGCAAGGGGCAATCATACTTACGCTAACCTCCAATGCGTTGTTTCTACCTGTCTTGGCTCTTTAGTATAATATCTTACTCCGCTGTTGCAATCTTCCATAATCTTACTTCCACAGTTTTATAATTCTCGATCTACTGCAAGGGCTCCTTTATTGTTCTGTTGTCGGTTCCAGTTTTATTTTGGGAACTTCCAGCTTTCTTGTCCTTCTTTGCCTTAAGTAGCGCCCTACATGCATCTATAAAGGCTGTCCAGGCTATAGTAAATTTGGTAGGTATTTTTTATGACCTCATGAACCAGCTTAAATGCTTCTAAATATTGATCCTTCCAGGTGTATTACTTTCGGGTACTGAGAGGGTGCGATGATAGTGACGATATCATATTGCCAGCATTATCAATAACTTTACATGGACTACAAGAGAACTCAAAGTCAGGCAGATGCCCCAACCAAGTCCCCAGATTACAGAGGATATGCCCTGATTACCAAGCCTTAGAATGCCACAATGGGAACTCAACATCGGGTAGACTTTACAGGAATGAAGAAGAAATTCTACGCTAGCATCTCTCAGCTAGACTTTATGTCCTACCCCGATCCCAGCATCCTCCATTAAATTACCGATAGCTGCAAAAAGACGTCAGAAGCACCTTACATTAGCAGCGTATAATCGCCGCAGGGTAATTCAACATTTCCATTGCCGCAGTTACTACCTGTTCTGTAGTTTCTGTCGCCGAGACAATGTGTTTCTGAGAGAGTACTCATGGGCTATTTCGATAAGCCGGCTTCTCTATCTTTTTGGAGTCTCCAGGGGATCTTAAATTAACTGGAATATTTATAGCTCAGGATAGCTCTGCCAGGTACATCTTTATAAGGCTAGATAAATGTAGTTTTAGAGTTGCATTAGCTGCGAATCCACCCGACCCGCCTCTTGCCCCACCAAGTCATACATAGTGTGTCAGTCAGTGGAGATACAGCGTGTATAGTTGTATCCAGAGTCGTCATTTAGTAACGGTAAGTGGTAAATCAAGTGTCTATACTCCCTACAATTAGACACAATAGACTAGTTGTTATGTTTCTATATCTGAAACTACTGTTGTCCGGCCATGGATTGGAAAAAGGTCCTCCAAAAAGCCAAGAAAAAGCATTCCAAAACAATGCGTTTCTGTGAAAGGTCTAGCTAGACACGCCATCCAGGTTCCATCATATTCGGACCACATCAGGCAGATCTTGGGATTCTCGAGCCTGGTGCATCAACGAATGCCTTCGATTGACAAGTCTATTCGAGAGCATCCAGAATGACGACTGTCTAATAAGAGGAAACAAAAGTTCATAAATAAATTAAAGGTTATCAGAGAGATCACACAACAGACTATGGATATCATGATGCAAATGCTGGTCAACCACAAAAAAAGAAAAAAAGAAAAAGAAAAAAAAAAGAATGAATCAATAAACAAAGGCCTAAGGCAAGCAGTAATAGAACTTCATGCCATCCCGTGCTTATACAAATGCTATATCACTCTTTATGCTGCTGTTCAAGTCCCTGGAGAGTCCTCGGCGGCCGTTCACGTCTCTCTCCGCTAATCGAATCAAGCTCACCCGACGGATCTTACCATCGAATGCAGCGGTTGAAAAAGAAGAACTCTTTCGCACTGGGGCTGGGATTGGCGTACCGCCATCCATGCCATCCTGCAGATACGAGTTGGATTGCAATGAGTCGCGACGGCCAGCCTGGATACCTTGCTCCTCCGTGAGAGCCTGAAAATTACCCGATCCGCTCTCGGGAAGGCTGGCCTCCGCCCGACGTCTACTACTCAAGCTTAATTCACTGTAGAAGCGAGGAAGTGTCTCCGAGTATTTCTGCGCCAGGCTTGATTGGCTTGGCCCTTTTCCAATCGGAGCCACTGGCTGCATATTCAAGGATTCCTCGGACAAAGATTCTAGGTAAGCGGATCGTCGATTGTCATCAGTATAGATGGATGCCGACATGGCCGTAGACCAGGGACGATCGCGGATGGACTCCCTATTGTCCTCAACGTACTTGGAGCTGTTGATGGTATCGGTCCGACTAGCGTTACTTCGAGCCCTCTCCAAAGCGCGCAGGCCAGTGGATGTGCGACGGCTGAGCTGACCTGCAAACAGAGGGTTGGAAGAGTTACGATGTTTCGCCCGACTGTGAACAAACACATCCAGCGAATCAGATTCACTGATCGTCAAGTTATCCGGCTCCACGGTTCGCAAGCTCATACGCTTCGGATACTCCGGGCTATCTCGGTCCCGAGGAGGCCGAGGAAACAAGGGCGCCAGGTTTCCAACACCGCTCTCATCACTCTGGAAGGACGTACGCGTATTTTGCCACGACACCCGGACAACCCCATGACCTGGAGGCCCAAACCCACCTGCCCCATGTCCAGCGCCGCTGAGCCTTACGGGTAAGCCCGATGCAATGGAGGAGATCCCACTCGAGCGCTTAGAAAGCCTCTTGGACCTGGATGATTGCATCGACTGTCTTTTCAGTGACCTTCTTGGCTGTATCGACTTGAGTGGTTCTCGCCGGCGGGAGCTATTAGTTCGCCTACGTGTAGGTGGGCTGCTTTGGAACGATAGGCGTTTGGGCTGCGTGTGTGCATCTTCAACTTGCGTTTCCTCGTGTGCTTTAGCGTTTTTTGGGTGGTGCGAAATCCCATCCAGTCGTGGAGTTTGTAGCAGCATCTTCCCTGGTTGACGCATGTGTTTGCTCGTCGTCGTGGAAAGGACTGGTTATTCCACAACGGTATCAATTCCAACCTTGGGGGTTTCGATATCGGCGAGGGACTCCTGACAATTTGCGGTGGACTCCCTTGGGCCATGTCTTCGAAGGGTTCGCAGTGCGGTAGCTTTGATGTCTTTAACCCTAGAGGCGGGATTTTCTCCGAAGGCGCGAAACTATCGTCCCGTAGCGCTATCCTGCGTTTACGGCACCAACAGTAGAAGAGGAAGAGGAAGCTCATGACAAACACAACAGGTACAACAACGGCGGCTGCAATGATTCCAGCTTTCCTTCCATGGATATCGCCACCACCGGAATCAAATGTATGTGGACTTGTGCCCTCCACAGCATTAATTGTAAAGTTTCGGGTGTCCTGAGCCGTTCCGTTGCGAGCAGTAAGTTTGATAGATGATTCGCCCGGGCTGATATCAGATGGGACTTGTCCGTAAAGTGTCTTATTGTCAGAGTTGTAGTGCAACCAAGGGAGATTGTTTCTAAGATCCACTTCAAGCTGAAACGAGTCATTTGCCAAGACAGTGTTGTCAAAAACAAACGTAAAATATTCACCGATGACTGCATTGCACCCCTTCACGCCACGAAAAAAATGTGAGTACTGCAAAGTGATGAGTAGTTTCGCTTCATTCTGATATCTGTCTCTGACGGAAATTGTTACATTCTCGTCTTTCCCACCGACTGGAGGATTACCACTAAGAGAAATCGACTCCTTGTCCAATTTAAGCCAGTCGGGAGACTCAATTTTAATACCAATCAAGTCAGCCGGCACTGGCTTGCGGCCATCCAAAGCCAGGGCATCATCAAATCGGGGGCTATTGAATTCTTTCCCTCCGCTGACAAAGAACGTTCGTACACTCTCATTAAACGACAATATGTGTGGACTGATTGTTATATCGAAACTAGCGGAGGCTGCACCGAAGCCTGCCACGTCCGAAGCCACTAGGTTAAAACTGAAGGTTTGTGGTCCAATATTAGGAGCCGTACCCGAAAATTGGAGATTCGACTGGTCAAATCCAATCCAGGACGGTAAAGGGGCATTGTTCGGAGATGTCCCATAATATACAGTAGAAGGTCGCGTGTTGGTAAAAGTGTCGGGGTCGAAAGCTATGGAAAACGAATCGCCTGAGTGAATGAGAATTGTGGAGGGGGCCGATGTTGCCCCAGTATGTTCAAGCTGAGGAAGAAGTGGTTTTCCTAATTTTGGACCATCGTCCTTCGTTACGATGAAGGTAACCACCATGCCAGCGGACTCGGGTCCATTTGATGCTACTAGCACGAATTCGGCCGTACCCTCATCGTCCTTCTTAGGAGTACCTGAAAAGGTACGCCTCCCACTATCCACACGCAACCATGATGGAGCGTTTGAGAGCGAGTATACAGTGTTCGCATCGACACCACCGAACGTGTTTTCGGAGAAGGTATACTCGAATGGTTGTGACACTCTAGCCACGGGAGGCAGCTGCGAATTCACGGGATAATCGGTGACCAACTTTGCATCCACAGCTAACAAGGCGCTGAGGACAATCAGTCCCCAAAGTGCCATATCTCGAAGGCACAGAACACAGTCCTCGAAGATATCTAATTAAGGGCGCACGATGCACGTCCGGATTGTCGCTCTAGCAGATCATTTGATTTGACAACTGTTGATGTGATTCAAAGAGCAAAAGTAGCTGGAAGTAGTTGAGCAACAAGTAGGGAAATGAGATTGGAGGAATGGGACTGCCCTTAGGGGAACACTATTGTCCTAGGACATAGGGTTATCGCGCTCAAGGACCGTTCAACACAGGAGAAGCGCGAATCGCACAATCCCTTTAACCGAGCCATACCTCGATATGCTTGACGTCACATAAAATATGGAAGGTGTCAGGGACGATGAATGCCGGCGCGATAAAGGTTCACGTTGTGAAATGCAACGCCCCTGCAAGGGATGCCTCGCGCTGTCGCTCAGGAGCCAAGAAACGCGAACCAAACCACCATCCCAAGGTCTCCTCCTGCCCTTTCAGCAATCTAGGAACACGTACAGACTTGCAAAAATTTCCCTGCCCTTGTTAAAAGCAAGCCCAAAGTCAAAGGGCTGAAGGAGATGTACTGGTGCAAGAGTAGCTCAAACACCATATTCCAGATCGAGGATCATCCTAATCCCCGTACGTCCCGGCGCGTAGTAATCAGGAATCTCTTCACGTTCTTCGAAGCCACTGCGAAGATACAGAGACCGGGCTGGACTCCTGGCCTTATCCACCCATAGTTGGATATATTGGCAGCCCTCCCTTTGCAGCCGGCATCGGATATAGTTCATCATTTGCAGCCCGACGCCCTGTCGGCGATGAGACTCAATAACACAAACCTTGTGTAGCAAGGCTACCCCTTTCTGCCGAACATAGACCGCATACGCAACCAAAGGTTGAGTTGCACCAGGCGTTAGACTAGTGGCATACAAGACTCTGGTGTTGGGCTTTTTCCTCCACAAATCCTCGACGAAGCTAAAAGCCTCATTGGCCGGGAAGGACTTTTTCTCGACGCGTGAAATATGGGCGAGAATCTCAAATGCCTGATCCCTACCCAAGGAATGAATGTCAGATATTTTAACCTCAGCCCGCATTCTTGCAAGTTGCAACCCCTCCAAAGTCTACATTCAAGGCAGTTCGAGAACTGAGAGGTGTGGCAAAGGAAGTTCTCCAGAGACGCCCTTGAGTGGGTTGATAATTGTGATTCCCAAGATTTATGATAGAGCATCAGTAAATATAACTATTAGGTAAAAATAGATGAATTGATGAATAGAAAGAAAAAAGATCCCTCTCGAGGACCAATCATGTGCTTTTGGCAACAACAGTAATACTACCGTAATTTACACTCTGACGGCCCTGTGGAATACCGTATCGTCCCATCCCAATCATCATTATTTCCTATGGTTCTAGATGCCTCTGCTCACTTCTCTTCTCTGTTAGGCCCGTTAGATGCCATCGGAGGTACTCGGTCAACATTCCTCATAGCCCTTTAGGACAAGCCTTATTGATCTGGACTTTTGTCATGCCGTCGCAATCTGATGACAAGCGTCAGGCTGCTCGTGAAGTCGTTGACATTCTTCACGAGATCTCAACGCTGCTTGTACGTGATTCTTCCATTTTTGATTCCGGCACTGTGGTACCCCATGAACCAGAACGTACTTTAGACAACTGTTGTTAATCGATTGGACGCGTATAGAATACGCATTTGGACCGAACAGAGCTTTCTCTCTGTGTCTCGCTAATCGAGAATGGAGTAAATCCTGACGCACTGGCTGTAGGTCTTGCTGTACTGATATCTCTGTTGGAGTCATAACAAGACTAATAGGATCATCGCTGTTGTACAGGCTGTAATCAAGGATCTAAGGAGAGAAACTGCAGCGTCTTCCCAGGGTCATCCCAATGATCATGGCTTAGCCGAGTAAAAACTCGCCTGGTCCCGATTTCTTTTGCCCCTTTGGTGCTTTCTCCCATTTCATTTGCATTATCCAAAAGATACCCGCTCTTCTTCAAGTTTCAACAAACAGGCTACAGGCTACAGGCTACAGGTTACTTAGCAAGTAGAAATAGTTATTAAGAATGTATCAAATACAAGCTAACTAGCAACTAGCTTTCAACCGTTTCATGCCTCAAATGGCAGTCTCTGGTATCATCAACGTCGTCTGAAGGTACAAATGACAAATATAAACGTAGAAATCGGGAAACAGACGGAGTAGTACAGAACGGGAGAGAGGGAAAGCACGCTAAGCTGGCACGCTTTCTCACGCTTTCCCTGCGTCCTCTGTCTTGTTGCTATCCTTTGACGAAGAACCAAACCCGGTCGTAGCTTTCCTAGCCTCATCTGCAGTCTGCTGATCTTTGGCCTTGGTGTCTCTCTCATCCTCACTGTCGCCCAAGCTGAATGGATCATTGTCCGCGACAGGAGATGGCTCAACTGTTGAGAGGGGTTGCCATTTGCTTGTCTTGCCTCCCACGGAAGGAGTTCGTTTCGCTGGCTCAGATGCGTCGTACAGATTTCCAATTTCAGTCGGCAGACCGTCTTGGAAAGACACCTTGCGTCTATCCGGTGAAGGCGACGAGGACTTGTAAAGGTTAGAGTTCGCGAGCTGTCTGGGGGGCTGCGCGGGAGGAGCTATGGTCCAACATTAGCGAGCTTTCACAGCATCCCATGGGAAGGACAGACCTTCTGTATCCCTTAGCTCAAGCGCAGAGAAGTCATCACTCAAGACTTGGGGATCTGCGTCATAACGTTCGCGGTCGCCGCTGCGGTGCCCGAGATCCCCACTTCGCCTCGGTCGACTGTAGCCTTCGTCCCGGTAGCCCTGGCTAGATGGACCACCGTCTTCCTCTTCACCATCGAGTCGTTTCTTCACGTTTTGAAACCACGAGCTAACTTTAGTTTGGGTGTCCAGGAAACCTTTGCGGATATTTTCACGTATCACAGGGAGGTCATCTATGCACAGGAAGTTCATTTAGCATCTGGAAGTGACAGCTGTGTAAATATACAAGCTAGGTAGCATACCATCAAAAAAACTGTATTCTCTTTCATCCGACTGCTCACTATCCCTCCTCGAGCGCTCGTATGGAGGGCCACCCTCCCAGCGAGATTGCGGTGGTGAACGACGATTGTAGTGTTCAGCAAGCTGACGGGCATAGAGTTCATCTGCTTCCAGCTGTCTCTGGGCTGCAGTTGGGCGAGGGGGCTTCGGAGGAGCTGCCGCTTCTTCAGCATTAGGGTCGGTCATGCCTATAGGTGTTCTGTTAGCATTATGCAGCTTCAATACTGTAAGACACTCGCGAACCCAGAAGAGCATGGAACGCCCGTTCAACATCCCAGTTACTTGCCACCAACACGGCTTTAACCACAGACACTTCAACCGTTGGAAACGCCTCTTTAAGCGTATTTTCTGCTTGCTGCTGAGGGCTCAATGGACGCGGCGGCTTTGGCGGCGCAGTTTCCGTCGCATCTGGTTGTGCTGTTGCGGAGGGAGGGGCTGAGGCAACACCAGTCTCTTGTGGTTCATCATCAAAGTCGAGGGGGCGTGCTGTAGTAGGGGACTCTGGTTTTATGCTGGTTGGCCCTGCAGGAGGTTTGATGGTAGCCTGGAGTCAAATAAGTAGGTGTTTGAAGACACGATTTAGACATCGGGGGAGCGAACGGTCTTGTCTTCTTCAGACATTGTCAGCGTTTTGGGGTTTTGGGATGACAGCTTAAAGGGTAAATATAGGCCAGATACGTTGATTTCTCGGAACACGGGGAAAGTAGGTACAAAACAGAAGAATAAAGCGCCCACAAGGCAGAAGATTAAGGAAGACTGCTATTGGAAGCTCCGAGCAACTTCCGATGTACAGTGACGTTAGGCACGTGACTGGTCATCGGGCTGAGTAATCATTCTTACCTTGCATGTGAGGATCAACTCTGGCATAGGCACAGGCACAGGCACAGACACAACTGTTAGCTTGCAGAGTTTTTGTAACTGCTTTCTCAGTACGGTTATCATCTTGGGGCTCACTATGTCTCAGCTCTGTCAATTAGTAAATACTGTATCATTTTTTGGTTGAGACAGGGCCGATTGCATTAGCTACTACTGCAAATGGCTTCGGATTTCGAACTCACATCGTCTTTCATTCCAGCGCTGTACAAGCCTGCTGCACTTTTACCAATTGCGAGGCACAAGCAGAGTTTACTCTACCTTGTGGAGACCTACCCTGTTACTATAGTTGTTGGGCAAACTGGCAGTGGGAAAACAACGCAATTACCCCAATACCTTGAACAGGCAGGATGGTGCGCCGATGGGAAAGCAATAGCAGTGACACAGGTAAGTTGCATACCACCCTTGTGGATCTCATCACAAGATTTGCTTGATTAAGAAGAGCTAAGTAATTGCAGCCGCGACGGGTAGCTGCCACCACTGTGGCAACTCGAGTAGCTGAAGAGCTGCGCTGCAAAGTGGGCGAGGATGTAGGTTACTCAATCCGTTTTGAGGACCTGACTTCTGCTGCTACAAAAATCAAGTTCCTAACAGATGGGATGTTACTAAGAGAGGCCCTTGTAGATCCTCTTCTGTCACGATATTCTGTAATTATGGTGGATGAAGCACATGAAAGGTCGCTCAGCACAGATATTCTCCTGGGCATTCTTAAAAAAATCATGAAGCGCCGCCCTGAACTCAGGATTGTGGTCAGTAGTGCGACATTACAAGCTGAAGACTTTCTGCGTTTCTTCACCGGTGATGATATCCATGATAATACAGGCTCGGGTCAAATTGGGGGAAGTGTTGGAAGAATCATCAGCCTGGAAGGAAGGATGTATCCCGTGGACATACTCTTTCTCGAGTCGCCTGCGGAAGAGTACGTTGAGAGGGCTGTTAAAACGGTTTTTGACATACATCTGCAAGAGGGAGATGGTGACATTCTAGTGTTTTTGACAGGCCGCGAGGAAATTGACACAACGGTACAGTTGATTTCTGAACGCGCCGCGGACTTGCATCCAAAGGCACAGGGCTTGCTTCCACTTCCCTTGTACTCTGGCCTCACAACAGATCAACAAATGTACGTTTTCGAGCCAGCGCCCGAGAACACACGCAAGGTCATCGTATCGACGAACATTGCGGAAGCGTCAGTCACCATTGACGGCATTGTATACGTTGTGGACTGCGGGTTCGCCAAGTTAAGAGCATACAATCCAAATACCGGGATAGAAACATTAACTGCAGTTCCGATATCGAAAGCAGCAGCAGTTCAGCGTGCAGGTCGCGCGGGGCGAACAAAACCTGGCAAATGTTTCCGTCTCTGTACCCAGCAGACGTACGAAACCCTTCCAGAAGCCACAGTCCCTGAAATCCAACGATCAAACCTAGCACCTGTGATAATGCAACTCAAGGCCCTCGGTATAGACAACATTGTACGATTCGATTTTTTTGACGCCGCCTCCTGCGGAGCTTGTGACCCGTGCATTCGAGCTTTTATATTCACTTGGGGCTGTTGATGACTATGCCAAACTCACTAAACCCTTAGGCATGCGTATGGCTGAACTTGCCGTCGATCCAATGATGGCAAAGGTTCTCCTTTCCGCTCAGTCATTCAACTGTTTAAACGAGGTTCTGTCGATTGCCGCCATGGTCAGCCTCCAGGGGTCCGTATGGGTGCAACATGAGGGGGATAAAAAATCAGCTGAGAGCAACCGCAGAAAGTTCGCAGTTGAAGAAGGAGATCACTTGACGTATCTCAATGTTTACCAGGCATTTGTCACCGTCGGGAAGAAGGATCCCAAGTGGTGTCGGGACAACCTCTTAAACTACCGGTCTTTACAACGAGCTGTAAGCATCAGAGCCCAGCTGAAGCGGTATCTTGAACGCTTTGGCATTCAAGTTGATGAGACGCTTTCACGTTCTAAACCAGCCCCGGGCAACCTGGGAAACATCTCTGAGCACATCTGCAGATGTCTCACGACCGGGGGGGTATTTCGCACATGCTGCCAAAATGCAGCCTGATGGAACTTTTAAGACAGTTAGTGGTGGTATTACACTCCATGCACACCCTAGCTCGCTAATGTTTGTATGTATCCTTCTGATCCGTCTCCCTATGGTTTTCAGTTGGCGGTGTTAACTTGTGCCTCTAGAATCGAAAAGCAGACTGGGTGATTTTCCATGAGATATTGCAGACAGGAGAAAGGACATATATCAGGGACATTACTAAGATTGAAAAGGGATATCTGATCGAATATGCACCTAATTATTACAGGGTTAAATGATGCCACTTTACAGGAACATAGGATAATCCCACCACATATGCCGCATGCGTTGCTAACAAGAGAAAAAAACTCATAATTATATGTACTATAGTCAATGGAAATAAGATTCTTAACCCAGCGTTGAAGCAAAAAAGACTATGTAAACATAAGCGACCTCTGACGTCATGCAGGCTTTGTTTTCGTTTCGGAGCGGAAGAAAATCCGCCTGCTGTCACATATCGAGTCGATTCACGGATCCAAAAATCGCAATCTGTCTGTCTAGAAAGGACGCAAATCAACGCTGGTTTCCTATCCCATTTCATACTGCCATGTCTGGGCATAATCATCATCACCGTCACGACCACGGCGGACATTGTCATGGGGAAGACGGACACGATCATTCCAATGATATCACCCCCGCCATCCAGTCCCTCCTCTACTCGCAGATCCAGTTTGATTCGATCACAACACTAAATGGTATGAGATATATGATCTTTCATGTTCTCCCTGTCTTATACTCATGGTTCAAGGTGAATTCTGACTTGAATTATAGAAGCCGCTCCCAAATCCGGGGCTGCCATAGTTCAAAAGGCATGGACTGAAAGACTGAATGATCAACCCGAGCTTGAGAGCGATGCAGATGAGCAACTGCTAATGTATATTCCGTACGTTATACCTGGTTTTGTCCCATTTGGTTTATTGGCTACTGTTTGGCTTCTTGTTCTTTTCTCTTTGTTTTTTTAACCACACCATATGTCCACTCATTCTCCCACGTATGATTGCCCCCGCCAGACAGTCGGGAATACTTGTAACTTACTTGAGGGCTCATTCTTATTGATACCAATCGCTTCTAGCTTCACCGGGCAAGTCAAGGTTCACTCCCTCCTCATTTACACTGCACCAACAGCATCTGCTCCCAAAGCCCTGAAACTCTTCAAGAACCGCGATGATTTAGATTTCGCAACAGCCTCGGAACTCGCCCCAATTCAAACCATAGAAGTACCTCAGCCAGTCCCTGGCGCGGATGTCTTTGAGTTGCCATTAAATCGTGCTCACTGGAACGCCACCACGTCCATCACCTTGTTCTTTGAAGACAACTGGAGTGATGGCGAGGAGGATGTGACCAAAGTCGGCTATGTTGGGTTCAAGGGTCAATTTATGGCCTTGAATCGGGAACCAGTCAACTTCCTTTACGAAGCAGCAGCTAACCCTGGTGACCATGTTGCAATCCAGGGCGTCAGCGGCGTAGGCGGCAGGATTATGCCAGGCCAGTGAACGCGTAGGAAATCATAACATGGTTTATTTCTGGAATTCGATGGTGGACATCCACATACAAGACTTCAGGAACAATGCTCAAGTGACTCATGAAAGTAATATGGGCTTGTGCATCCCTATAAACATGCAAGGCTCAAACAATGAGGGACGCAAATGATAAAGCACCTTTACTAAAAGCTGAGCCAGAGTCTATTTGAAAGTTAAGATATCGAAAGCGGCGACGCTAAGCTGTCTAGATGCGAATGTATCAGGATGATGGGAGAAAAGTGAAAGGGAGAAGAAAGAAAAGAAAGACCCGTCATGCATGTATCCGTTAAATCCAACAACGCCAGCGATGCTTTAATCTTCACATGTAGAATATTCAGACTTTCGCTCTTCTGCAGAAGAGAAGGGCGTAGGAATCAAATATCACGTAGCTGGAATTGCAGCTCGTTCTTCACCCTTAGTTCGTTCCTTGATCTGTGTTGTTTCTTCCTCGACTACCTCTGGAGGCGCAAGTTTAGGAGGAGTCGGTAGGTCGATTGGCCTTTGTGTCTCACGCTGTAAAGCGGCCAATTCATCCTCAACTTCATCTTCGTCTTGATTTGATAAATGGCCAGCGAGCATTTGGCTGATCTCCTACATCACAGACATATCAACATGCGAAAAATGGTCACATTTGTCTGACCAAGAATCCTCACCTCTTGATAGGCCCTCGCGTCTTCTGTCTCACCCATCAACTTTTCCACGGCTTCAATGCCGCCCATCTCCTTATGGATCGTCTGAAGCACCTGTGTACCTTGCTGCAAACCAAACAAGACATCCTTCTGGACAAGAGAGAATTCAACCTGGCTAGTCAGTTGTTCCAGTTGCGCTAGCTGGTCGTCTGTCTTAGAGAGGAGCGACACTTGATATTTCTTGCGGCGCAAAGCAAGAAGGGCACGATAGCGGTCATTCCTGGCAAGACACTCCTTCGCGATTTCGGTTTCGCGATCGGTGAGAACAGTGATGCGCCGTTGATATCGACGGAGATTATCCCGCTGGTTTTTTAGATCCAGTATCGCTCTAAGAAGAGAATCTTGGAGTCAGTATGGCTTCTGCTGAAGACGGAGATGTACGATGAGGGGAGTGTCACGAGGGCAACTGTCTTCGGGGGGGAGCTCCTGGGCAAAAACCAGAATAAGAAGGGGGATAAAAAAGCAGAAGCAGAACCATAGTCCGAACCGAGTCTAGCTTACCTATCCTCAGCCGAGATTTTGTGGGAGCTGTTGGAATTGCCCATGGTCGTCGCATTTGGTCGTGGCTCTCAGCCGATGCGATAAGAGAAGGATGAGTGAGTTGATAGGAGGTACGGTACGGTATCAACGTAATAATACCCTCGAAATGACGTGGTGTCCATATTACCGTACCAGATCCCGGCTGACAAGCCGATGGCCCAATCAGACACCATTACCGTGTAATTTCCACACTCACCGGCCTATCAATTCTCCGGCCGCATCAAAAATTATACAAAATCGACGACGATGATCGGCCATTTCTGAGACGCCATTTCCAGGGATAAACCGGCTGCCGGACTTGGGAAATATGCGTCGCGGGGGTAGACCAACCCTACGGCAGGGCCTAGATCGGGAGGTGAGAGATCCCAATTGCTCTGGTTTACGATTACAGGCCAGCCGCTTACTGTTGATTTAATATATATGTAGGTCTACCAGATCGTACGCAAGATTATTGATAGTCAGGCGGAGAACGAACACAAACGCCTCTCGGTACAGATTATCTATGACACCATCAAACGCTCAAATTCGAGCCTAAATAGAAAACCTAAACGGATTCTGGAAGACAGCATCGAACGGGTTGTGGAAGTGCTTGGAGAGGAGGAGGATGACGAGTCTGTAGAAGGCGACTTTGGCGGACTGGAGGAAACCCCACCGGTTCCGGTATGAAATAATATTTGCCCCATTTGGTGGTCCGAGTCTGACTGTGGACTGTGAGTCTAAAATGACACTGACCATACTTAGGAATCCAACAGCCTCAACAAGAGCATAGTGGGTATGTGGAGTACGACGTCGAAACTGCAGAAGTCCAACGAGCCCAACGGTACCACCGACTCTACTCCTGCGCCAGCGACGAGTAAAAGGCGACAGCATGGAGGCGAGTCTCACTCGTCCAAAAGGCGCAAGGCCGAGAGTGCCATCGATCGGTCTCCCCCAACTCATGTGAGCCTCTCGGATTTGGGTGGATTGGACGATATTATCCAGGATCTTGGAGACCTCGTCATTCTTCCTATGACTCGCCCACAAGTCTATCTGTCGTCGAATGTACAACCGCCGCGGGGCGTCCTCTTGCACGGACCCCCAGGATGCGGAAAAACGATGATTGCGAATGCCTTTGCAGCAGAGCTTGGGGTTCCCTTTATTTCCATTTCCGCGCCATCCATTGTCTCGGGCATGTCGGGGGAATCGGAAAAGGCACTGCGAGAGCATTTTGAGGAAGCAAAAAGGATAGCCCCTTGTCTAATTTTTATTGATGAGATCGACGCCATTACGCCGAAGCGAGAAAGCGCACAGAGAGAAATGGAGAAGAGAATCGTCGCTCAGCTTTTGACATGCATGGATGACCTGGCTTTGGAAAAGACAGATGGAAAACCGGTGATTGTTCTTGCGGCTACAAATCGGCCAGATAGCCTGGATGCGGCTCTGCGACGAGGAGGCCGCTTTGACAAGGAGATCAATATGACTGTGCCTTCGGAACCTGTGAGAGAGCAGATCCTTCGAGCACTCACGCGCAAGATGCGTCTTGCCGACGATCTGGATTTCCAGACTCTAGCGAAGAGAACCCCAGGCTTTGTGGGTGCCGATCTCAACGACCTAGTTTCCACAGCTGGTTCTGCGGCTATTAAGAGATACCTAGACTTGTTGAAGTCCCATAGCGGCGAAGAGATGGAAATCGAGGAAGTAGATGACACCAGTCCCATGGTCAAGGAGCTACGCCGTCTCATCAGCCACGCCAAAGAGACGCCTATAGGAGAGGAAGCGCAGGTTGTTCTAGTCTCAAATGCGGATTTCTTTACTGCACTCCCCAAAATCCAACCGTCGTCGAAGCGGGAAGGCTTTGCTACCATCCCAGACACTACCTGGGCAGATATTGGCGCCCTCGGAGGCGTCCGCGACGAGCTTTCGACTGCGATTGTCGAGCCGATCAAAAATCCCGATATATACGTCAATGTTGGCATCACAGCGCCCACCGGTGTCCTCCTCTGGGGTCCTCCTGGATGCGGCAAGACACTACTGGCGAAGGCTGTGGCGAACGAGTCGCGCGCCAACTTTATCAGTGTCAAGGGTCCCGAATTACTCAACAAATATGTTGGTGAATCTGAGCGCGCTGTGCGACAGGTGTTTGTCCGCGCACGATCATCCATTCCCTGCGTCATTTTCTTCGATGAGCTTGACGCCTTGGTGCCGAGACGAGATGACACACTTTCTGAAGCGTCTGCACGCGTCGTCAACACTCTGCTCACGGAACTTGATGGTCTAGGCAGCAATCGTCAAGGGATCTACGTGATAGCAGCCACAAATCGACCAGATATCATTGATCCCGCCATGCTGCGCCCAGGACGCCTGGAAACGCTTCTCTTTGTAAACCTGCCTAGCCCCTTGGAACGGGTCGATATATTACAGACTTTGGTCCGCAACCTGCCCATCGAGTTCAATGAAGATCTGAGAAAATTGGCAGAGGAATGTGAAGGGTTTAGCGGCGCAGATTTGGGAAGCTTACTTCGCCGTGCTGGATACTCAGCCATCAAGAGGCGCGATACGATTAAACTCGAGGACTTTGCGGCAGCGAAGGCGTGTATTCGACCCAGTGTGACGGATTTGAAGAAATATGAAAGACTACGGAGGGACTGGGGTGGAGGGGTGATGTAAATATAATACCTATAGATTCCATTTACTGTTGCTTGTTATCTACCTACCTTTTTTTTTTTTTTTTTTTTTTTCTTTCTTACCGGGCTGAGTGAATGTGTCTACAGGCTCTAGGTCGTTACAGTGGTGTCACTTCCCAAATCTAAGAATCCAAAACTTTTTTGATGGATATCTAAGAGAGTAATTTATGCACACCAAACGCCTCCTATAGAAATGATAAAGTATAATGACAGGACTATGTAATTACATCCACAAACGGCAAGTTCCATCTGCTCCGGCACTGACACACCATGCTTCCCGAGGATGCCAATCAATATCCAACACACCCAATTCTCCGGTAATCTTGTGACCCTTGAGCACCTTCAGGGGAACGATACTGGCGTTGCTGAGCATATCACCGGTGACGCTGCCGTGGAAGATTTGCAGAGAGCCATCGTCGCTGGCATCAGCGAAGAGAGGATAGCGGCCGCTTGGGTGGAACCGCACGGAGCGAATCGCCTTCCGGTGATACCGCAATGTCTTGTACGGACGCTGCGAAAGCTCGAGGTCATGCCACAGAAGGCGTCGATCGTAAGATCCAACAACGAGATTGTCTCCACCGGCGGCAGTGGCAGACGTCGGGTGGATGTCGAAGGACGAGATCCAGCGAGCACCGGGTTGTATGATCTTGACGAGAAGCTGACGGGAGAGGTCGTACGCGCGGATGGTTCGCTGGTTGGCAACAAAGAGAATCGGCTTTGAAGGATGGAAGTGCGCCGTCTGGGGAGGACCACCTCCCTTGATGCGCCGGCGGAATGGGAATTGGGTCAGATGTTTGGAGAGAGTATGTATAGAGATGGCTACAGAAGCCGGAGTCGAGGACCCGGGGCACACCGTGACAAAGTAATCACCGCGGCGATGCCAGGAAATAGTCTTGACCACATAACGAAGAGGGATGACAGCGCAAATACCAGAGTCAGCAAGAGACGAGGACGGGCGAATCCACTGAGGGGGAGTGTTCTTCTTGTTTTCCTCTGCTGCGGTCGGGGGAGGTCTCGATGCTGCATATCCCCAGCCTGCGTCGAGGATATCAAAGCTAGCTTGTTCGATTTCCGGATCAGCAATTGGAGGCACTGCAAGGAATATACTGTCGCCTGCTGCGGCGGCGAGTATGACGGCATCCTTGCCAGGCCTCCAACGAACGGCATTCACCGACTCCTCGTCACCCAATTTTACGCTCCACAGTTGACGGCCTGTGAGGAGCTCCCAAACACGGACGGTTCCATCGTCACCGCCGGTAGCAAGCCAAACACCGGAGGGGTCGACCGCAAGAGAACGAACACGACCCTTGTGGCCCCTAAATACAGTGGCGCAGGTAGTAGGGAATGGCTTCAACTCTTCGGGGCTAGGAAGTTTAGGGAGGAGGCTTTCGGGGTCGATATTCAATTTGCTCCTACGAACTCTAGGAGCCAGGTAAAGATCCAGACAGCGCTCAAACTTTTCCTTAACGAAAGACTCGAATCCAGGAACTTTACGAAGAGAGCCGAAATCTTGCGGAAGAAAGTCACGCTCTCGGTCTTCAGGGTCAGTCTCCTCCCAGGTCTTCCGTTCCGTTTTGTCAGGGAGATATTCAAGAGGAGGATGGTAACTCTCCTCATAGCCCGGCGGTGGAAGCTTGGGAGCAGGAACATTCATGGGGTGATCTGGCCGCTCTGCCTCGTCCGCCCACAGGTCGTAGTTGATCACATCCTCATCAACCTCGTCCTCGGTTGGAGGCTTGTAAGGCAGGATCCGACCTTCTTTGATCGCCTTCACGATCTTCATGACACGCTTGGCTTCGTGTTTCGACGGGACGAATCGACGCTTCGGCTCCGGAGCAGCACTCAATGGCATAATCTCCTTCTTACTGGAGAACCACTCCACCAGGGGTTCGTAGGGGTTATAATCTTCGTCCGGGATTTCGTTCATTTGCACCTTGCGCAACAACTCCAACTCATCCTGGCTTAACTCCAATGGCTTGCCGGTTGAAGGATCTGTAAGACCAGTCCAACCCTTGGGGATTTCAATACTATCAAGCAGTGCATCAAGAGCCTCTCCCTTGGCAGGACGCATGATTTTCTTTCCGTTGATATCGTAGCCGATATGAGGATACTGATCGTAGAACGACAAGGGAATATTGCCGATAGTGTTGGCATTCTCTTCGACATCGGAGTACTCTGAATCGTCATCAGGGTTAATCTCATCATAGAGAAAGCGGTCGTTCCCATTGGCATCCTTGACAATGCGATAATTCGGTTCCTCTCGTTCTGGGATTTCATCGCTGTCTAATTCATCCTCTTCCTCATCTTCTTCATCACTGAAGTCATCCACCAGTTCGACTTCCGAATCACTGGCATCTTCGTCGCTTGATAAATCATTTGCATTATCTGAAAGTGCACCTTCCAGATCACCAGTGTTCAATTCATCCCCCGAAAACACACCCGGTTCCTCCTCCACATCCCGAGTAACGGCCTTGCGTTTCTTCGAAGCCTTGAGGGCACTCATTGTCATGAAGAACCGCTGATGCCTCGTTGTCGTGACTTTGGATGGCTTTCCTGAACCTTTTTTTTTTTCCCTCCCCTTTTCCGAGATCTTCATGTTGACCGCCCACGTGACACACCGCCTACGTTGTTAGCTTATCGTGACCATTTCTTCGCCCCTATTTAGACTTGGTATTTGACTTCCACATGCATACGATGCAGTGGGTGACTCCCTGCTACTGAATAGCATTCCTCCGCCATGCAATCTGATGCTACTGAGTGGTCCCAGCCACTCCCTATACCGGTGGGTGGACCTTGTCCTCGGAATGTGGCCGCATCCCCTGCTTCGGCGCCAAAAAGACATGCGGCATGTGACGAGTGCAGTAGGTTTTCTTGCAACATGGAACTAAATACTAGGCTCAGAGTACTCACTATGTGTTTGTGGAACAGGGAATCGAAAGTTAAAATGCTCAGGCGAGGCGTCGGGCTGCAGTCGTTGCATAAAGCAGTCTCTCGTCTGCCATTATTCGGTACAGAAACAAATGGGCCGCCCACCAAAGAAGCGGGCACGAGAAGATGAGAACCTTTCCCACCTGGGTCTGTCAGGTAGTGAAGTATGGGCAGATTCGGATAGCTCTCAGTTCACATCTCTGGGGGTAGACATACCCGTCGTACCAGAATCTCTTCCCTTCTGTGCTCCGGTCTACTCCTCCCCGTTTAGTACGCCTCAGGCGTACCCTCACTTGGTATCTACAAGTAATATAGACCACAACCATTCATGGCAACTCGATCATGGAAAGTTCCTGGACCCAGTTCCGGCAACCACTGGGCCATGGCCCGATTTTTCCAGCGTATCGGCTGCAGCATCTAATTCGTTCTCATTGCCGCCAGGCTTACCACAATTGCAGTCTCCTCCCACCTCTCCATCCGACCCGGACTCTTCCGAAGCCCAATGTACATGCCTGTCGTATTTGTATTTATGTCTCAGTCATCTTTCTTCTCTTGCACCCTTCCCTGTCTCCCAGCACACATTGTGTTCACTATTCATCGCAGCCAAGACAGCTCGCGCAGTGATTCGGTGCCAGGCATGCCCGAAGAAGTTTGCCACGGGCCTACAAAATGTCATGTTCACAGGAACTCTGTTGACTGTCATGGGGGATGCCTGGCTGCGCGTGTCCAAAGCTGATGCGGCGGAGCTCGGGAAGCAGGCCGCGCCATCCAGTTATGTATATACAATCAACCAGAATTCCTCGAACCCCGCGGAAAGCTGGAAAGAATGGCTGCGCCAGACTGTTCGAAGTGGGGTTGCTGGCGTGCCAAGCGATCCCGCTGGCGCTGTCCAATGCTCTGGTGCTCCCAGCTTGCTCTCTCTCATCGAAGAAATGGAGGCTCGACAACGACGGTGGCATCAGTCACATCCGCTCCCCCAATCGGAACGTTTAAATGTCTCGCCCGAAGTTCTTGCCAAGCCCTATGATCCACAGAAAGAGCAGGACCTGCTGTGCTTGCGCGTGGTCAAGAGTGCCAGAGAAGTGATTGCAAAATTTGAATTTGAACCTCATGAGTTTCCGGATGGAGTGGGCATATAAGAGTAATCTGCGGGTTCTCTGCTTGAAAATGATCTCTTTCAGAGTTTGATTGGCGTCAAGGTTTAACTAGGATATGTTGGTCCACTGGAAAGTCTGCTTGGGCGTTAGAATGATGATGAGTGATGAGCCTTTTTTAGTCAAATATATATACATAAATATACATACTATAATATTTGCATATATTTTAAAAGATCGATGTCTTCGCGTAGGTCCAGGATATATGTCAGCTAGTTAGATGACTAATATGAGAATCTCATATCTTGAGAGCGATCACCATTTGGGGCCATGCTTGTCGTCTTGTGTTGTGATGAGGGATGGAATACACGTAAGCATGCTTCCAGATGAGTTGATCCATTCCTATTATTCTCAAGACCAAATAAAAGCACCAGGACTAAGAAACCACTGAATCGCCAAGTACAGAATCATCCACGGAAAGACTGATATAGTTACAAGATACCATTATCAAGGAAAGCAGTATTCATAGAGAACATAGCCGAAGCGAGATGAAGGAAAAAGTATTGTGTCGCAAAGGAATTTACTCGTCGTCATCATCATCCACAACGAAGCGGTTCTTCTTCCGGACAGGAGGAGTTCCAGATGCTTCTTCAGGAGACGTTCGCCGCTCTTTCGGTTTTGTGGCCACAGGCTCCTCCTCACCCTCCGCATCCATGTCTTCATCATCCAGGATATCCTCGTCATCATCACCATCCGCAACCTCCAGCTCCTCGTCACTCCCAACGAGGAAGCCATCATCCTCATCGTATTCATCCTCTCTCGTGCGGCCGCGGCGGTCGTAATCTTCCTCGTCATCGGTGTAGATTTCGCCACGACGATTGGCCCTGCGAGGTTTTTTGGCTCGGGGTCTCGTAGTGAGTAGTCCATCGTCATCCTCCAACCCACCAACGGTGAGACCAGCGCCTCCGGTGCGAGAAAAGCCGATGCGCCGGCCACGATCAAGCTCCCGGTCGGCAAGCTGCTGGCGTCGGCGAGCAGCCTTCAATTTCTCCCGTTCCGCAAGCTCCGCCTGTCGTTTGGCGAGTTCGGGGTCCTCCTTTACTTCGATTACGGGCGCCGACCCATCCACCGTCTTCTTGCCACCTCGAGCCGCTGCGGCCAATGACTCCTGGAGACGCTGCACAGCGTCATCGGTCTCCACAGTTGTCGGATAGATAGTGAGCCCGTGGGTCACATGGGAGGTCAACCTGAACACAGAAGATGTTTCTGCAGCCGCTCCTAGATACACGTGAGAGTCCAGTTTTGTCTCATAGTCACCCGCTTTGTTCAGAGGCGCCAACGGCTTCGTTGAAATTCGGTACTGCTCCTTTGGGGTCGATGCCAATTGAAGCGTCATAGAGCCATCTTCCCAACGAATGATTCGAGCGTTCGACTGCAGGAGTGCATCGTTATCCGGGTCGTAGCGCCAGCAGAGAGATGTGGCTGCCGTAGAATATGGAGGTGCGACGTAGTTTTCAGGATTGAATTCTTCCGTTTCCACAGACAAAAAGTGAGGAAACGGCACGGTATAGATCTAGGACCGTCAGTGCAAGTCAACGACGGATTATGCGTCCCGAGTTACAGTCTCCCACATACCTCGCCGTTCGAAGATACCGGCTCAGGCGCTCGACCCAAGCTCAGATCCATAATGTTCACCGTCTCCTGGTACTCGTCCTGGGCCCCATCCTCATAGTCCATCGGCTCCCCTGCCCGATCATATCTGTCCTCATCATCCCCTGAATCAAGATCCTCGTCATCAAGTGTCCGTTTTGGTCGGCTATCGGCAAAGTCAGTGTGCGGTTCCTTTGATTTACAAATCAAACAGAAAGGAAAGACCGAATAACGAGGAAACCATACTCATTATCATCCCCGAGCCCTCCGTCTGATGCGTCTGATCCAAAGAGGTCGGCGTCATCATCCCCATTCACATTGCCCGCGTACGAGCCGGCTGGACTGCTATGCCCTGCGACAAGGGAATTATCATGTTCGCTTCCAGACGGACTCTTAGGTTGACCAGCACCCGTGCTACGTCCTGGACGACGGACCACATCCTCATCGGATGAAGACATAGCAGGCGATCTGTGAACGTGGGCTGCAGGGACAATGTAGATCTGGATATCTAGATAGAGAGATCTGAAATGCGGTCCGCGGAGCTTTGAGGCGGGACTATAGATGATCCATTCCGGACCCAACAGGGCTTAGCGCCGGCAACAGCTGTACGGGGCGAGACCGATACGGAAAGGCAGAATCATGATCCTCCTCTTCATTCATTCATTCATTCTCATTCATTCATTTGCTGTGTCGTATTGATCCTCTCCATTCCATCTCCCTTCTCGCTCACTTCTCCCCCAAATTGCTCTGGTCGGTTGGGACGGGAAGTCATCACCATGGCTACGTTCTTTCAGAGTGTGTAAGTCATCCTGTCACCCATTTCTTTTCCCTCGATCCATGGATTCCTTCACTCCTTGATCCCCCACCTCTTCCTCTCTTGCACTCTGAGACTACAGCATGCGTCTGGAAAAGTAGAAGTCCCAAAAATTTGTCCATTCTGCTTTGTCAATGTTTCTTATTTTCTTATTGATTATCTTTTAATATATAATTACATTTCATCCTGATTCTACCCGCCCCCCCTTTTCTTTCTCTTACTCTCACCCTTAAGTACCTACTGACTCGCCAACTCTAGCCGCCAAGGGTTTGGCCGAGGGGGTAATAACAAGAATAACAACAATGTCCCTAAAATGAATAATGGAAGTCCAGCTCAGCCACCGGCTCCTCAGCACCCTCAGGCGGGATCTGTGCCCAACTCCCCATCTTTCCCTCCCAATCCGTCCGGAGATGGTTCCGCACCTTACGATCCTGATGCCCCCAAATACTTTTTTCAGGAGAAATATGCACCGTTAAATGTGAAGGGTAACTTTTTGACGCTATGCGCTTGTCCTAAGAATGTGGAATTGGGGGAATGGTTGGCCCATCAGAGTGAGCGGCTCTCATAACCTCATTTCTCGTGACTCTTGAATCGCTAACCGGCAATGTTCAATAGTCGTTGAGCAGTATCGATTGCTTCACGGCATGCTCCAAGTCATCCAGGATATCAATACCGTTACTGGCCTTCCCATCTGCAACGAGGCCACGTGCCCCACTATGTCGGCTGGCCGGTAGGTCCAATCACTACGTATGAGCGTTCAGGGGGCTGGTTCCTTGCTAATGTTCTCGAGCTTTCTAGCTTGACATACACCTGGCTTGTAGATGGCCGCGCCGCGAAAATCTCGGCTCCCAAGTTCATTAACCGCGTGGAGAAATGGATTGTTAGCAAGATCCATGACCCCGTCATGTTCCCCACGGACAAAGTCACCGGCATGCCCGAGACCTTTGCAATCCACGAGGCTGGTGGCACAAACCCGTCCAGCCCGGGTATGAATGCCCCTGGAGAGGAGTGGATTGGCAAGTCTAGTGGTTTCCCCCAAACTTTTTACAAGGACTGTCAAGGCATCATGAAACAAATGTTCCGTTGTTACGCTCATCTGTACCATGCGCATTGGCTGAACCCTTTCTGGCACATTAATAAGCATGACATCCTCAACATGTGCTTGTCCACTTCGTTACTGTCGCAAAGTACTACAAGCTTGTTTCGGATAAGGAGATGGAGCCCATGCAGCCACTCATCGACTTGTTTATCAAGCAGCAGCGAATCCCTTCGGAGGCACTGGCAGGTGGCCACTGGGGTCAGCCAAGTTCTAGCTGAGCTAGAGGGCCTATGTTTCTCTCCCTACATTCACCGGCAATGAATTGTCTTCTAACCTGGCGTTGGAAACCTCTTTTTGGTGTCTTACCCCGCGAATGCATGGGAATCGGCGGATGGCATGACCCCGGTTGAGAACTTGAGCATTTAGCATGTAGTGTGAATATTCTTTTCTAGTTACCCCTTGCATATTCCCTTTGTGTCGAGATTTAGTCCAGCGCCTTTTTTTTTTTTTTTTTTGGGCCTAGATAATAAACGCAGTGCATCAACCACTTTCTTCATGGTGAGACTTCATGGTTGGATGGGACCTTTTGATTCTTCCTGGAACTAGCGTGACGTGGAAATGAACCATCGTGGATAACCCCTAACTGAGAATATGAACAATGATTAATCAACACATCTATCCTAGCTGGCAGCACCTCCACCCGTAACTCGAACCTCACGGTGTGCAAGTAGTCTCCCCAAGATAGACCATATCAGGTCAAGGGTTATGAATGAACCCTATCACTATAACTGAGCGTAATCATAGGTCGTAGATTTCCGGTGATCCGATAACAGAAATCGTTAGTTCTAGGCGGTCATATCTGATCTCTGCCAACCTGCATAGTTCTGTTAAAAGGTAGATGGACGGACGGCTTTGTACATTGCCATAGGAATGGGACATATCAAGAATCCTGGACATCCTGTTTAGTCAAGAGGCAAATGAAACCAGAATCGACCAGCTCAAAGGTAGACGCCATCCTGTTCCTGATCATCGTGTGTATTCTGTCGTCGATCCCCTGTTGCAGAGGGGTCCTGTGGCGTAGTCACAGTGCGTTCCTCCTCATTTGTGCCGTTCGCACCGGACGGCGCAGGTTGCGAGCTGCTGTCTTCCTTCGCATCTGTCCTATTCTCTTCCACTTCAATCCACTGCTGGCCCCGGCCTACAATCTCCGCCTTCAGCAGCACGATCCTCTCCGTCATGGACTGCATCACATCCTCATTTTCGACGATGTAACTTTGTAGTTCTCGTTTCTCGTCCTCCGAGTCGCAGGATTCCAAGACAAATCTGTTTAGCTCGTCGTTCGAACGGCGGAGGTGGGAGATGGAGTTTCGGAGTTCTAAGACTTTGGCATAGAGGGCCGAGAGGGGCAACTCCTGGATTGCTTCTGCGAATGCAGACGGCTGGATAGGGATGGATTCTGCCGACATAGTGATGCTTTCTTCTCTCTCTGAGAGGATGAATTGGTAGCCTTGCGCTGCCTTATCGTGACTATCGACACGTGACCCGCCGACACGTGCCTGGCCCAGCGACTCCATTTGGACGATCAGTAGGGATGAAGTCGGAGATGCACGCTGCTGAAATGCAGAAGCAGCAGCTTCGGAGGCAGCCAAGGGCCGTTTGGTCCGGTTGAAAAGGTCTATCTGTGGGAATGGATGAATCGGGATATGCACCATCTTCGGAACAATTGGTCGGCCGGCCGGGACAATCCCGCCTGATTTTCAACGACCGGATTCCGCTGTTCGACATCATCTTCTGATTAAACCTTCCGCCGGTGCTAGACCCCTTGACGAGCTCGTTGTAGCCGGGACTCATCCCGCAGTCGCAGGATATGAGCAATGTGTTCGCCATATCGTGGCGTGTCCCGTGCTCGGGCTTTCGTCCTTCGAGCCTGCTCCAGTCGAGCCCATCGCCGCCGCCGCTCCGCCCCCTCTGTCGCATTTCCTGTCCACCATGGCTTCCAGACAGTGTGTCCAGACGGTCCATCGGCCCAATAAGGCCGTTGTCCTTTGTTTCCTCTCCATCGCCCCCAGCCCGGCGGTTTCTGATTCCCGACATTCGATCGTTTACGAACTCGGGCTATCGACCCGCTCAGTCAGTCCAGCCGATAGAACATGGCGTCAAACCTCGTCCGGATCCCTTTTCCCCAGCTGAGGTGAGTGCGATCTTTGGACGCCGTGCGAAAATAACCCCTCAGATGGGGAACCGCGTCCTCGCGGTGCTACACGGTAGACGCGTTGATGGTACTCTCGACCTAGACCTTCCCAATGACATAGTTTCGGCGGTCCGCCCGTCCAGCCTCCATACTGCCCTGCAGTGGCTCCGCAAGAACTACCCGCTCGACGAGGATGCTGCGATCCTTGCACGCATTGAACGAGAAGAGCAGGAGGAAGAACGGAAGCTTATCCAACGCGCCGAAGACCTTGGCCTGTACAAACCTCAAAGCGGTTCTTACGGAGCCGAGCTGGGAGAATCGAATAACCCCTATGGCCGGAGTATCCTAGAGGAGACCAGGCAGCAGAATGAGGCCCAGATCCTCGCCGAGGAAGAAAAGCGGCGTCAAGAATGGCTTGAAGGTGAGCAACGGGATCGCGAGAAGCTCCAACGCATGGTAGAAAAGAATACAGCGCTACAAAAGTATGAAGAGACGGCCGCCTTGGAAGGTCAGGATCCCATGAGACTATTTATCGGAGTAGCTGAGGTACTGACGGTTTCTAATAGTTCGGGAGCGCGCTGATCCTGCTCAACGTCCTTTCCTCGCCTGGATACAGAAACACCACCTGCGAGCAACAGAGATGGATCTAGACGTTTCTCAGATCTCGACCGTAAGTTTTATTATCATCATTATTTGCTAGTTTTCTATCCCATCCACGTGGATGCTAACGTTCATGTCCTGCCGTTTGACAGAGAAGGCGGTTACTTCCGTCTCTTGCTACCACCATTGTTGTCCTTGGCCTCTGCTATGTCTTTGCAGAGAACTACGAACCCCCAGCTAAATCAGACCGGATGTGGCCCACGGTGCCTCCGGCAGCTGCTACCGTTCTAGCTATTATGGGTGCTAACGTCGGCGTATTTGCTATGTGGCGCTTCTGGCCTCCGGCCTGGAGGATGCTCAATCGCTATTTCATTACCGTTTTCGGCGCCCCCCGTGTGTCTAGCTTGCTTGGAAATATTTTCAGCCATCAGACGTTCCCCCATCTTGGATTCAACATGCTGAGCTTGTGGGTTGTGGGAACTCGACGTGAGCACCTGGAATCCCCCCGGCCCCCGAACTCTCAGTGCCAACTGACATGAAACCTTTTTTTCTATCAAGTCCATGATGATATTGGCCGAGGAAATTTCCTGGCCTTCTATATGGCATCAGGTGTTTTCGCTTCTTTTTGCTCGTTGACGGTCAATGTCCTCAAAGGAAAACTAATGCTCAGTGCTCTTGGAGCTAGCGGAGCAATCGCAGGCATCGTAGGTGCTTTTTGCAACCTTCATTCCGAGTACGTATTTGACCAAGACTCAAACCCGCAGCTTCTAACCTTATCGATGGAACTGTTCTGACTGTTGCCCTCAACCAACAGCGACAAACTCACCATCCCTTTCCTTCCCGCAGAATGGAGAGATGTCATATGCGTTAGTGGATCCACGGTTCTTGCTATCATTGTTATTATGGAGCTCGCCGACTTAGCATTTCCAACATTTGGGAAGCGAGTGGACCACTGGGCTCATCTGAGCGGATATCTTTTTGGAACACTATGGGCTACGGTATACAAAAGGCAGGAAAAGGAGCGACGTACGAAAAAGTCCTGGTTTGAGCGGACATTTCAGAATGGTTGAGATCAGGATTTCATGCCGGACGCTGGCACCTTTGCTTGGGCTCGGATTTCTGGGATGAAGTTCCTCAGATCGACAATGTCTTACTCTGGCCCTTATATTCTTTCTGTGTCTTACTATACACCATTGGCATGTTATGTGCCGTTCTTTGTATTACAAATGAAAATAATACCCACCTTTTCCTATCACCAGTTGGTCATTCTGAGGAAGTCTGGTTCACACCCAAAGATGACTAGTAACCAGTGGTAGAAATTAATCATGTATGGGACTGCCCAATTGGGGCATAGGAAAGATCCTACATCCACTATGTCTCACATTACCTTTCAAGCCAGTGCTGCATGCGATACTGCGGACTCTCTAATATCTTGTTATCCGTGGCAAAACGTGTCTCACATCAACACGTTGGTAGCTTGGAGTACAGTCCAATGTTAAACTGACAATGCTATGTTGAAACCTGGGAAACAAACTTAGATTATCTGAAGTGGTGGACTAGTTCTAGAAGCCCTTTAATGTGAGACTTTTCCCCTTTCTCAAGGTCTATGTCCATTATGCGCCGTCTAAGGGCACTAAGAGCCTGAGGCATCTATTGTGACAGCTAGCGCTTCCCAACTGGGACAGTGAATTGAAGTGACGAAGAACTTCGCCTTGTGTCAAACCTGTCATGCTCGGCCGCATGGTCTCAAATCTGGTTGCGCAAGATTCTGTGACACAAGGCATCTCAGCGATACATAGGTCTTCATACAAACGTGGATGTCCACATCTTATTGTTAGTAGGACTCTTTGAAGAGTCTGCTTTGTAGAGATAGAGAGCCTCTTTATTCGCTTGCAAGATGCCATTGTCCACGAATGCTGTATTGATGGAGTTCAAAGGCAAACAAAGAAACCTTGCTTCTGCGATTGTAAAGCTCAGAAGAGTCTGCCCTCGCTTCTCAGAATCCCCTTTCTTCTTCCTCCCCTCCTCCTTCTACCATCCACCTCATTTTCCGTCTCTTCTGTCTATCCCATTATCTCTTCAGCTTCTAAAGGCCTTCTCCTCCTAAGCTACATTAACCTTATCATCTTATCCAAGCACTCAGTGAGTCTTGAGAGCTGAGGGCTCATCTCACCCTGTTTTCCCTTGCAAGTCAAACTTTTCAATTCAAACTTTGGAGGCTTCCACTGTTCGCCCTTCAATCCATTTCCCTAGACGTTGCAGTCATGCCTTTCAAGATTGACTGTAATACGGCGAAAGAAATGCCAGTCCCTCCCGTCTTCAAGCTCAAGAGAAGCTGCAAAGAGATCAAAATCGTGCAGAAAGCCATGGAAAGCAACACCATCTCCATTACTGACATTGACCAGGCTCTCTCGGACGATGAGACCTTGCATCAATCCCAAGTTAAGGTTCAGACAGATGCGATTGATAACCTAGACGGTTATGGTAGCGATTTTTCTGAAACTACATCAGTAGCATCGGATGACTCAACCGAGCCAGAAGCTAAAGGTGATGAATCCCAGCAGCCCATTCACGATGTTTGTCACCCCTGGGATGTTGTGGATTATCATCTGTATCTTTGTGGGCTTGAGAAGGGTATGGACACACACACGAGGCGCAATGGCATGTACGTGTATGACGGACTCGACTGCCGTCCAGTATGCTACCGTGAGCTCTGCGACAAGGAATCGTTCGATCCCTCCAATATCGGAGACGATCCCAAATTCTTATCTTGGATCTTGCCTATTAGCGACGGGGGCCCTTCTTTCAATGGAAGAAGCTATGTTCTCGGCTTCGATTACAACAGCGGTACTCTTTTCGCCCGTCACTTTGACTGGATGCCCAGTAGGACTGATGACATCTGGTGCGTGTGGGACGATGGATGTACCACATACCGTCTCAGCGTTCCCGACCTATTCAATGTACTGGAGTCAGTTCTCTCTAGCATGGTGCACGTTGGTGGAGGCATTCTCAGCTCTAGCCCTTATTGCTTGGCTGCCACGAGGAGCGATGACCCTGGCTTCGAGATCGTGATTACCATCCTGTTTTGCCAGTGGGTAATAGACTTTGCGGAAATCTTTTTCGACCAGGACGAAGCGAAACGCGACATATTCACGATGCAGCTCACCAACTATATGGAAGAGTGTCGTCTTATCCTGCAGCGGGCCTCATATAGGGCGTGGTTTGCTTCGCGCGACGGTTACACGAAGAATGAATACTCCCGCAAAGCAGCCATCGACAAATATACCAACGACCTTTACACTTTCAGCAAATCCGCCGAGAACGGGAGTTTGAAGGGCAAGTCATGGCGTGCACCAGGCCTGGACACATGTAACCTTCTCCGTCAGAAGGATAGAGTGCGGAGAAGAGAACGGGCCGAGCGACGATTGACCGATCTGTTTACAATTTCCGAGCCTGATTCCCATGCTGAATCTTCTGAAAAGGTGCTGGAGAAAATGTTGGCAAAGGCTGAAGAGAACTTTCAATCAGCTATTGGGTTAGAGACCCCCAGGACACCTTCGCCACGCCTCCTTCATACCAACTCCTTTGCGGGCGATGTCTCAAGCCCTAGATCGCCTGAGATTATCATCGCAGCAAAGGAGCCATCCTTTAATTTTGAGGCCACAGATTACCATAAGATACCACTCCCTCTTCTTCTGGAGCGTACCTTGGAGCTTTTCGAATCTCAGCCGGGTTTGGACACGCCAGAGAACCGTTACCAGTTTGGTGCTTTGTTGACCGGGTTTGGTATTGCTGTCCAACGTAAGCTCATGGAGCACTCCTCATCGGTCTCGAAGTTAGGATATGAGAATAACAGTTGGAAATTGGTTTTACGCTCTTTGGCTGACTCAAAGAGACCAATCGCCCGTCATCGCCTTCTTCCTAGCCCTATTCTGGACTAATAGCCATTGGAATCTGGATTTGCCATTTCGCAAGAAAACGATGCTTAATACCAGCAATGCACTAACCCCAATATTTCCTTTTGCTTTTGTGTTTGTTTGATCCCCAATCCCCCTTTTGTATTATTTAAGATGTTCACCCATAGCCCTGCGAAGTATTTCGATTTCGATTTATTCCTTTTAGGATGTATGAGTATGATACCCTTTTCATATTGACCTCCACTCTTTCTTGTTTCTCCTGCTCCCCCTTTTCTGTTTTTCGTTTTAACTTAACCTGTCTTTCTAGGAAATCTGTCTACTTCTGGTCTGATTTCATCCTGAATATGAATGCCGGCATCCTTGGTCGATGCAATAGGCTTGATCACGGACATATTGTCAACACATCTGTCGTATATTATTGACATTCAGGTCTGGGACATTTTGCGCGGAGATTGATACTGTTGAGACTTGGGTCAAGTCATTCGTCTGTGAGAGCTCGGCACTTGAGTTTTTCTTATACCCACATGCCCATTATCACTTGGTCGAGTATGAGTGTATTGATTGATGTTTTGAGTTAGCATTTGAGAGATTTATCAATGAGGGAGAGGAGAAGGGAGACAATAGGAGGCAATCAAGAACAAAAACAGGGGGAAGGTGATAAAGAAGAGGCCGAAAAACTCCAGGGGCTGGTCCTGGGAGATAGTGCATCAGAGAACTGTACGAGAAGATGGATGTCAGAGAGAGAAGACACGTGCTAGTCATGAGTCACATGAAATGGATAGACAAAATGCATTTTACTTTATGATATCTTCCGCAGTCCTGTAGGATGTACGGACCATGTATGCATTGCATTCTTAGAATAAGGTAAGCTTCAGAGGTATGAGCCGGGCAATATGAATCACATCCAATATGACTCACGCCCCCTTCCCTGATGGCTAAATACCCTTTCTTGTCTTGTGCTCTTAGTACTTATCGATTAAAAAGAAAGAAAATATACCCTGGGAAGAATAACCAAGAATGACGACGGAGACTACAACGCGCTCCGGGACCCGTTTAATCGGGGATTTCGCTCGTGAGGCGTCGCTTGTTTTATACTGAAGCCTTTGAGATTTATCGCACTTCTGGAGCTCTCAATAGTGACAGCAGAAGGTTATTTGACTACAGATCCCTTGGATGTTCATTGCAGTCTAACATACATTGTTGACGTATGGCGGCGACATTTTGTCCTCAATGAGGATATGCTCTAGTTGCATTGCACCATCATGACCTCCGAGGCCGTTTTCATAACAAGTGGACATGTGGATAAGTTTGAAGATTAAATGTGCAAGGACTCCAGGACGGGTGAATTTCTCCGCGCTGATCATCTGATTGAAAATATTTTGGAAGCCAGACTCAAGGGAAACAAGTCTGCGCGAGATATTGATATGAGCTCCAAATGTGGCGGCCAACTGGTTGACTCCAAAAGAATATGAAAGACATTCAAGCCGTAAGACTATCAGATCAAGTGGTCAAGGAATATGAGGGGATTTTGGCAAAGGCATGCTAAGCATTTTTTAGACCATCCCATGGAGATATCGAGATCTGTATGAATAATGACTCTTATTCTTCTTTTATGGCAGTCTGATAACTACGACCGTACAGAACTTGGTGAACTGATCGCCAGGTTTGATATCCGAAATCCAGATGGAAACAATCGGGGCACTCCCACCAACTCCGTTCAACCTAATATTTAAAAAACCACGGGGTCATACTAGCACATCGCCAGGCTATCTACGCCCAGCGATGGCCCAGTGACAATTCTTAAATTTCAGAAAGCTCCGTGGGTGTAACCAGAATGCCATGCCATTTGCTTCAGAACTATTGGCAAATCCTTTCGCAATGAGATTTCTCCCCGCCCCGGTCTACTCCGTGTGAGGGAGTTTCTTCTGGCAGAAATCCAGCATTTTGTGGACCCTGAAGTGGTAAGAAGCATCCAAAGTTTTATGAAATCCAAGAAACCTCCTTGAGTTTCCTAGACCGTTAAACACAGCTTGCAGGAAATACTCGCCTTCAAACTATGACGATTGGAGAAGCTGTCGCAAAGGGAATAGTTGACAATGAAGCATTAGGATACTTTCTTGCCAGAATCTATCTCTTCCTGCTTTGGATTGGCGCTGATAAGACCAAGCTACGTTTCCGCCAACATATGACCAATGAAATGGCTCATTACGCCACTGTTAAGATGCAGAGCTATTAACCTCGTATAGAAGGATAGAGTGTGTTAGGTGTGCGGATCGAAGCGCCTATGATTGAAGAGAACGGGAGAATCACTGGTTGTTCGAGAGCCTTGAGTAGAGCCGCTGAAGGCTGAGGAGTGGCAGGTCGATATCAACAAGGCAAAACTCGGTCCAACTTTCAGGGAAATGCCAAGTTAGCTCGAGGCAGCATTCAAACCCTTGGTCAATCCGAACGCGAAACGCTTTCTGGTGCCCTAAGAGAGCATGGCTATATTACAGTCAAGTTCCCGGCTTACCTGAGAGCATAGTGACGGTGTCTCAGGACCTCATCGATTTTGAAAAACGAACCAGGGTGGAGAATATGCGCGAATGCACACCATATATAATCGAGCCATCCTTTAGAATTGGGCGGATTCTCCATAGCCTTCTGGAACATGTTTATTGGCATCGGCTAGATGATGTTGCTCGTGCTGTAAGCGAACTCGAGAACTTTTGCGATGGATTTCTATGCTAATGTATCGTCTAGGTACTGTCGCTTCGTCTTTCGGTTGCAGCTATAAAGGTGTTGATTGTCCCTCTAGCAAACCAGCCCAGTTTCCTTCCAATTATCCGAAATGTGTCGCAGCGTCTCCGGCAGCTCGGACTATCCTGCCCTTGATAGTAGTGCGAGCATTGGCAAGCGTTACCTCGGAACGATGAACTGGGCGTACCACTCGGTATCACGATTAACTTCGATACACCCAAAGATGGCACCGTCACATTGCGGGAGAGGGACAGCACTCAGCAAGTCTGAGCCTCACAAGCGGACATTCTCGGAGCCATCAGGAATCTCGTTGACAATGCAGAAACTTGGGACGGCGTGTTCACGAGGCTCCTCGAGTTCCTCGGTTAGACTGGAGACAACTAAGTTAGGATTGTTCAATGGAAAGGCAGACTACCTCCAGCGTATACTAGATGGCACACGAGCTGGATCAGTGGCGGTGGAAGTGGACTCGATGACCTTTCCAGCGAGTCATTATTGGCCAATAGATGTGGATCAGATCTGGGCAGAGTCATTTCTTCCATGAATCGGCAGGAGGATGCTCGTCATGTCCTTGAAGCTGGGAAGAATACAGAGGATGATGGTGGTGGTGGATCGAAGTACTGGGTACCTAAAGGGTGACCTGGTCAGCAGAGAGGAACTGCCCCTCGTCGTCGGTCCACCTCGTGTCACTGGTACATCGACCAGGGGGAGTTGTGTATGTTTATTATGAATTCTGATCTGATTTGATCTGAATTTCTGCCTTGCTCTTTATTACAATTTTATTTTTACTTTTATTTATTCTTCTAAACCTCAATTTTTCTCCCTCATTCTTCCCATTTCGTCTGTCTCTCTCTCTCTTTCCTTGACAGTCCTTTCCTCTCATTCCTTTCCTTGAATTTCTCTCTTTTCTTTCCCCCTCTCCCTTTCCTTCTCTCTTCTAACCCCTTCCCTACATCTTCGTTCGTTATCCTCGTGGCCTTCTGAACAATGGCCGAACAGCTCGATTCGGGTAAGCACTCTCATTTGCTCTCTTTGTTTCGTTCTGAGTCTTGTCGTCGGTTGCTGACATCGTCGTTGCTGGTGCATTATTAAAGGCGCTGCCCTCAAGCAAACTTCCGACTCACGCGCCCAGGTTGACGTAATCTGCGGCCCTCTGATCAACTTCAAGAATATGGATATCACGCCTACTTCCTCGCTTTGGCGTGGCAGCGTGTTGATTGTCACGAAGCCTCATCAGACTGCGCCGCAGCTGCTCTTGCGCCAGGCCGGCCCTGTCGGAGACAACGTGACGGCCCTTGCGACCGCATCTCCGCGCCAGGAGGTTGCCATTGACGCTCTCCGTCTCTACGAGGACCCCGGAAAAGCTTTCTGGCGCTTCTCGATCGCCATCGCCGTCGAGGCCTACGAGTCGCGCTGGGAGTACAGAATACCTGGCTTCCGGTATGCGGACGGCCCCGACGTTGCGGTCCCCTGGGATTTTGTTGTCCCCTCCGTGACCCAGTCCATGCGCCTGATGTTTCACTCCTGCAACGGCTTCTCGGTGGGAACGGATATGGATGCGTGGCTTGGTCCAAGTCTGTGGAACGATGTGTTACGGGTACATGCGCAGAAACCCTTCCACGCCATGATCGGTGGAGGCGACCAGCTCTACAATGATGGCATCCGAGTGACTGGCCCCCTGAAGCCGTGGACCGCCATTAGCAACCCGCACAAGAGACGCACGCACAGCTTCGACAACGCCATGCGTGCTGCATGCGACGATTATTACTATGCAAACTACATCCGGTGGTACTCGACCGAGCCGTTCAAGGCGGCCAACGGACGCATCCCCCAGATTAATATCTGGGACGACCACGACATTATCGATGGCTTCGGCTCCTACACCGACCACTTCATGCGTTGCTCCGTCTTCCGCGGCATTGGAGGGGTCGCTTTCAAATACTACTGCTTGTTCCAACATCACATCTCGCCCCCCAAGTCCACCTACACCACCGACGCCCCGCAGACCATGAAGGCCGTCAATGGCACAGCCGGGGCCGATCCCCGACAGCTCGAGAATACCTTTGTGCTGGAGGGCCAGCCCGAGGATGACAGTTGGATCATTGGTCGACACCCGGGACCCTACGTGGAGGAACGAAGCCGGAATCTCTACATGCGCCTAGGCAAACGGATTGCCTTCATTGGCGTGGATGCTCGCACCGAACGAACACGCCACCAGGTGAACTACCCGGAAACGTACGACGACATCTTCGCGCGGCTGGAACGGGAGGTGTCCGCCGCCAACGGGGACATCAAACATTTGGTGGTGCTTTTGGGGGTGCCCATCGCTTATCCCCGTCTGGCTTGGTTGGAGAATATTCTCAGCTCACCCCTGATTGCCCCCGTTCGCTTGCTCAACAAGCGGTTCGGGTTTGCTGGGGGCTTCTTCAACCAGTTCGATGGCCAAGTGGATCTCCTGGACGACCTGGACGACCACTACACCGCGCGCCAGCACAAGAAAGAGCGCCGGATTTTCGTTCAGCGCCTCCAGGATTTCTCCAAGGCGCATTCGGTTCGTGTGACGATTCTGGGCGGTGATGTGCATCTGGCCGCCATCGGACGCTTCTATTCGAATCCCAAACTGGGCCTCCAGAGTGAGAATGACGCGCGATACATGGTCAATATCGTGAGCAGTGCCATCACCAACAAGCCACCCCCCAAGGCCGTCGCCAACCTTCTGGCCCGGAGGAACAAGATCCATCACCTTGATTCAGACACCGACGAAACCCTCATGGATTTCTTTGACCGACAGCCCGGAGGCCAGGAAAAGGGAGCCTCGTGGAATAAAGTGACCATGCCGTCGCGAAACTATGCGTGCATCACCGAGGTCGACCCGGCGACCCCCGATAGCAATGGTTCTGAGCCACAGAACAGCAGTGCGGTTGACCCCTTGCCAAAGGACGGTCACTCACCACTACACAAAGCCGAAGCCGAAGCCGGGGCATCTTACTCGTCCGCGGATGGATTCAGCAACAACAGCGGCTGGTATGGCGGCTTGGATGTGGCTATCCGTGTGGAAATCGACCCGCAGAACCGTGAAGGGGTAACGGAGGGTTATGGATTTAGCAGTATGTTCCCCCCTTAGACCATCGCGACAAGGCTAATATTGAATGTAGTTCCCGCATTGAAATATATCGCGGTGCAGGACAGCACGCGCCGGGGTTCACGCGTGCGTTCGTTGCGTCCGCGTTCGTCGCAGTCGCAGGCGCAGTCGAAGGCGACTCGTCCTCAGACCGCTACTTAGCCATTGGGCCTATCCGTGTATTGTTGTGTGTGTTTTCCGTCAGTCTTCCAGAGGACTTGTTATACTATATCATATATCCCCCAGTTGTATATTCACCATATTTGTAATGAAATAATTGACTATGGCTGGCTGTATCCGTAGCTCTGCTTCTCTCTACATGCCTAATAGAGAATCCCAGTCGCACGAGGGATTTAATGTAGTTTTCCTTCCCTTACATTCGAGGCGATCGGGAAAAAGGCTACTGACACCCAGCGTTGTACGTGATATCTTTTGGCATCTCTCTTCCACTGCTCGCAAAGACCACCTATCTCTCTATATCCCGGTCGTGATGGAGGTTCTCATGGACAAAAACACTGAACATTCTCCCCCTCGATATGCAGAGATCTTTGAACGATTAAGTACCCAAGAAGGGGAGGGGCTGAGTCGACTGGGCTACAAACAAGAGTTTCATCGGAACCGCTCCATGGTCACCCTGCTATTCCGGGTCCTATCCATCGCAGCCATTCCATACGGTGAAGGAGGTCCTCTGATGACAGCCATCTACGACGGTGGTCCACTGTCCATCTTTTTCGGCTGGATCGTCGTCTGTATTCTGGACGAAAGCATAGCCCTGTCCCTGGCCGAATTGGCAATCGCGATATCCCACGTCGGCCGGACCCTATCACTGGACCTTTAAGGCTCCTCCAAGTCGGTCCTCTCGTATATCAATGGCTGGGTCTCGCTCGTGGGAAAGTGTACCATCACCTTGCCGTCAATTTGGGCTTGACCTCGCTGGTGACGGCTCGGTCGCTCTGTATCACCCAAGCTGGAACGCCACCAGCCACCAGTCGCTATTGATCGTCTATGCCATCTGTCTATTAACCTTCTTCGTCTGTACCTTCGCCAATCGGTTCCTGCCCCGCGTCGACATCCTCTGTGCCACCTAGACGGTGCTCGTCATCCCCGTCATCCTCGTCGCTCTCTCCATCACCGCCGACGCGGGCAGACACAATGCCTCCTACGCCCTGGGCCATTTCGACCCGACCCTCTCCGGATGGCAGGACTTTTCCTTCTTCATCGACCTTCTTCCCCCGGCGTATACCTTCTCCGCCATCGGGATGGTCACCTCCATGGCCGAGGAGTGCGCCCAGTGCCCCTGGGCACGGATCTGGTCGCGCATCGATCCTCATCTCAGCGTCCCAGTCTCATCATTTGCCCTCGTGACTCTCGTCCAGATGCTCCTCGGTCTAACCAATCTCGGCAGTTCCAGCGCCTTCACAGCGTTCGTCTCCGTCGGAGTCATCAGTCTGGCCGTCGCTTACGCCATCACCATCGCGTTGAGTCTGCTCGACCGTCGGAGGGAAGTGTTACGCGCGCGTTGGACCTGTGGTCCTGTCATAAGTCCCCTCGTTAACTTCGTTGCACTCGGCTGGATCCTCTTCAACCTCGCCCGTCCTGTTCAGTATGCCCACCGTTCTGCCGGTTATGACCGTCTCGATGAATTATGCGGCGGTGGTTTTTGCCGGGATGATGGCGATTTCGGTAGTGTGGTATGTCGTGTTTGCAGGGAAATGTAAGTATCCCCGTCCTCTATACTTCTTATCAGCCTTTGGATGTCTGCTGACTCTTCTCTGTCGGGATAAAAGCATACAAGGTTCCGCCTGTGTCAGATAGTTTTTGGTATTGTCTTTGCTAATATATATCGGTTACGTAGAGGAAGGGGAAGGGAATGGGAATGAGTCAAGTCATAATGCATATGAATTTGTTCACTTCTGACTTGGGCCGATTATTGTAGTCTACATTCTTTAGTGATAGGCAGGAGAATTCATGTGAAATTCAGAGCAAGTAGACTGTAGTATTAGAGCGGAACAAACAGTATACCTATCTTCTATGTCAGATAAATTTGACATTCAATTCAGTTCAACACCAACCCTATAATATACTACAACGGATTCGAATCATCATCCTGATACTCCATTCCTCCCAGCAGTCCCTTGGACCGCCGCTTCCGGGGAACTCCTTCATTCGGCATGCGTCGCTGTCCCGACATAACGTAGTTAACAGACGCAGACATATCCGACGGTCGTCGTCGTCGCACCACCTGGTAACCCTTATCCAGTTCGATCTCCACCACACATCGCACCTTCAGTGCACTGACGGCCGGCCACACCCCCCGCTCGCCTTTCAGGATCCAATGGTCCAAGCTCTCCTTGGTCGGGTTCTGGAATAGCTTGGTGAAGTCGCCCAGTGACAGGTCGGGAACAAGAGTCAGATTGGGTCCCGGGATCGTCTCCTCGATGAGGAGCCGCGCGAGCATCTGAGGAAGAAGACCGACGTAGTTCAACTGTTTCAGGCGGTGTCTGATTTCGAGCAGCACCAGGCGCATCAAGGTCCGTGTAATGTTCCACTGGCCCATGGGACGTCGGTCGAGAAGGTCCAGATCCGACCGAAGAAACGGAACGAGGTATGGCCGCGCCTGCGACACAATGAAGTTATTGACGTTGAATAACTCGGCAATCCGGGTGAGGGGTGATTCTCTCTCGTCATATTGGGCATGCCGCCATGGATGAAATGTAACATCCTGCGCATACGTCCAGGGGACAATCGAGCCGGTTTCATCTTTACAATAGATCGTGACTGGCTGGTAAAGAGAGTTGGTCGATACATTCGAGGCCACTGCAGCGGACCAAATCAACTAAAGCTCTTTATTAGCACACCTCTTCAGTAGAAAGGGCAAGGGGATAGACATACTACGTTCGGTGCAGTTAGGTAATTCAATAAATTCGGAGCTCCCGTCTTACTCGACGTGACCACTGTAATGTTAAGGATGCGCTTAGACCGAGCATATGCCTCTTCGAAAGTCAGATCACCGAGGTTGGCTCGAACGCATTCTTCAAGAACCTCTGTATCAAAAAAGTACCCTTTTTGCGCATACCGCTTGATCCGTCGAAGGAGAGTCCACAACCAGTTGTCTCGCAGCAATCGCCCGCTGCTTCCGCCGGAGGCTCCCCTCCATCGTCGACGGTCAAAGGCGGTTAAATCAATGCCATCTCCATTGAGGAAGGTCAATAATTCATCCTCGGTATGGACCCCAACAAGAGCAGCAATAAGGGCCCCTGTGGCTGTTCCCGTAATGATCCTGGGCAAAAGGCCCTGCAGGTGCAAAGCCTTCACCACGCCCAAATGACACAACCCAAAAATCGATCCGCCTTGAAGGAGCAATGTCGTCCGCCCGAACGCCTGACGTGTATCGTGCAACAGCTCGAGCTTTGCTTGGGAAGTAAAGCCGCTTTCGTGAACTGGGGCCGTCTCTAGGCTCGTTACATACTCGATGGCAAGAGCAACTTCGGTGATGTAGTCGCTGATCAAGCTTTTGGTGCCGATATAGGAATGGAGGAAAAGCTTCCGCGACGTGATATTGCCCAGATGCGCACTAGTCCGGACCGAAGGAGGTTGGCCAAAGTCAGGATGTCATCATTCCGTCTGGCAGTCATAAGAGCATCCAGTCTTCCCATGATGAGCCGATAATCATAGTGGCGACTTGCTGCATTCTGGCGCCTATGTCCACGATCTAATATTAGTGCTACCGACATTCAAGCTTGTCTGTAGTGAATCTGACCATATGTCCATGCTGAGGAGCTCATCCAGCTCATACGCGGCCTGTTCCCAGTCTTCATACCTCTCTGCTGAGGCCAAGGTACGTCGCAGCTTTTTCTTAGAGTTTGATCCCCACCATGAGAGTAGCCTCTGTCCGAAGCCCAACACGTATTGATATACAATGTTAGCCCAACCGCATTGCCAATACGCATAGAAATATATGACGTATTTACGTACAGCCTTCCAGAACTGCGCGACATCCAGAATCATGTTAAAAATAGCAGCAAATACACCGCCCATCGCCTTCCAGGACTCCATCTTGATCGTGAGCGCTGATGAGAGCTTAGGGGAATAACGACGCAGGAAGGCACACGTGGGAGTGGGGCATTCTTCACATGCTCAAGCGGAGTGTGATCGATAGCGTCGGATTTGGGATGGACATGAGTGAAGTAAATACTGGCTGAAGCAAGCCACTGGCAGAAAGATGGAAAGTGGTAGCTAAAGGGCGGTCGGTAGATGGGAACAAGTGGAACCACTGTGTTGTATCCAGTACCTGTCTCCAGAGTTACTATGATACCGATATGGAGGTACTAGGTACCAATAACCAGTATGATCCCTATTCACTTTCTACAAGCTTCTCACTGAGGGAAGGTGGAATGTTCTTGCAATAGAACCATGTCCAAAACTCCAAAAACAAAAAAGAAATTGGATTGCTCATAGAAAGCTGAATATTTTTTTTCTACACACCACTTCCCAAGGTGAGGAGAGCCATATCCGTGGACACGTTAAGGGGCATTTGAATTCCATGGTCCTTGTTTTGCTTTAATTCGCGTTGCTTCCCTATGCAAGTGGGCGAAAATTAAATCTCTCCAGACATCCTATCTACCCTCCAAGCCGGACAAACCTCGTCACCATTTACTCTTCAACAATGTTACCCTTCTCCGACACGTACAGACCGTCAAGGAACTGGCAGGAATCAGACAGTTAGCGATGGAAGTTCTCGAACGCCTCTCTTCCACTTAAAACAAGGACATATATATGCTCACCTTTCGGATATCCTTGTTGCGGACTCTGCAGATCTGCTGGATGTCGGCGGCGCTCTGGGAAACACCCTCCAAGGAGTTACCAGACAGCTGGAGCTCATCCTTAACGTTGGGAGAGACGATAACCTCAACACCGGGCTGGGCAATCACACGACGGACGTACTTCTCACCCAGGAAGTTTCTGTCAAAAAAAAAGGCAGCCCATCAGTATACAATTCTCATCTCATAGCGAATCGACTCATGCGGCTGAACGGGGGGTTGTTGCAACTACCCCCCGTCCCCTTGCTAGAATTCAAATTCCAGATCCGTGTGTAAACGTTCATGTGGTCGGCATACCTGATTTCAACTTCGAACTGGCCGGTCTCAGAGTTCTTCTCAATGTTGACGTTGATGGGAAAATGGGCGTAGACGTAGCGCATCTTGTACTTGAAGCCCTTGGTGACACCGATGATCAAGTTGTTGATGAGAGTACGGACGGTACGGAGAGTAGCGACGCCCTTGCGAACACCGTGGTGCATCTCAATCGAGATAACATCCTTCTCGGGGCGTCCGAAAGTGACGGCAATGTGGGAGAGGTCCTTGACAAGCTTGCCTGAAAGGTTAAGGGAAACGCCAGTCAGAAATCCGTGTCGCAACATTTGCAAAGATATAAAATCTTGCAAGGAAAAGAGAATTCAGGAGGATTGCATTGCATACCTCGGGGACCCTCAACGGTGACAATCCGCGAGCGAATGTGAACCTTCACTATATGATGATATTCGAATCAGTTTTCCAGATCCTTTTTCAAGACGAATAAACGTAACCGATTCGACATCCACCTCTTCCTCCAGTAGACTCGAGCATCCGACATCTCTCCAATCTAGCCGCTACTTTGAAGCCGAGGCGACACTTTCCTCAATCTTCCTCCTTCGCGATGCTCATCCTCATATCTTCTTCCTTCTTCCTCCCCCCGCAACAGCGAAACAGAGGGTAAATCAGGGACGCTCAAATGCTCACCATTGTCGGGGATGGGCAGCCGTTCCTCGGAGTGAATGTACCGCATCTTGACTGCGTGGGCTGTGGAATGTCCGAGGGGAGAATTGTCGATGTCGTCGTGCGGTCGGTCGTTCGAAAGGATCGAAATTCGTCGAGACAAACCTCTGGCTTTCTTCGGTGGAGCGAAATCCGCGGGTTGTGCGTCGCTTAGGGCCCGTTTGGGTTTAATGCGTTCCATCTAGGGCTCTGTAATGTAATATTTCGCAGAGGTACGATATACGTAACTTCGGTATTTTTTACTAAGCACAACACCCCATGCAGCTATCATGCTGGTCGATATTCCTCAATGGTATGTGGAAATCTCAATGGTTATGATTCTTATAGTCTATCATGTATAGATTTGTGCCTTTGTACCTTTACCCCATTACCCTTTGTCCCATTGCCTGTATTCTTTCTCATCTACAAGGGCCTTAGAAGCGCTGGAATAATGCAAGAGTAAGCTACTCTTTAAGTGCCAATATCAAACAACCCTAAATGAGTACACATTACCAGACTATATTATTATATACATATGTACTGCGGCACAGATAGCCATCCAAGGACCCAATAAACCCCCATTAAAATGTATAAAACAAGAATAGCACCATTCTTCTGTCATGCTGGGTCCCAGCGGCACACATGGTATAACATCCGCTCAAAGACGGAGTAGGGACAGAGTTAATGGCTGGTCTCCTTGTGGCTCACCTCTTGGAGCCACTTGCCGCCCATCCCTTTCAAGATCGATGCCAATTCGTCCTTCTCATCAAGCGCTGCTACTTCGTCGCCCCCGCCGATACTTTTCCCACTCACCAATACATTGGGGACGGTGCGACGGCCTGTATTCTCGGCCAGCACTGTCTGTACATCTTTCCCCAGCGGGTGTTGATCCAGCTCCACCACGTAAGGTGCCGGGACAATCGAATATTTGCCTAAAAGAATAGATTTGGCTCTTGCACTGTGAGGACAGTAGGACTTGGAGAAAATAATAACTAGGTGGAATCACCAGAGTCAGCATCAACGCAACCGGATTGATCAATTAAACACAGATACATGCAAGAATGACACTGACTGGGTGACCGTTTCAATATACTATTAAGCTCAGCCTTCGCCTCCGCATGTTCGTCAACCACTGGTACTTGTTCCTGTTTTTCTGCGTCATTCCGGTTCCTGGTGACGGTCATCTTCGTCCTACCCGCTATGGGTATCTCTTCAGTCACTTCGTTGCTATCCTTGGGAATGGCGGGTTTCATCTCATCGGTGACGGGCTTCATTGAATCTCCATTGCCCGGTTTCGGGCCGAGAGGCTCTTTCCGCAACGAACCTTCTGCGGTTGTTCCAAAATTCTTCGCACCTCTATGAGCCTCTATCGCGGCCACAGTAGATTGGTAGAATTTCTGGTTCTGGACCCCTCGTGCGTCACCCTAGATAATAGTCGCGATCGCACATTGTGTAAATAATTTGCCAGCAGAAAGTGATCAGGGGGAGATGATCTACCGAGTAATATAAAGCCATGATGACGAATGTCAGCACGGCAATGGCCAGAAGCCTGATCCGGCGCTGGGAAAACATTATAGAATAGGGATAGGATACCCGAAGGAGAGTATTCATATATATAAAGAGGTAGAAGCTAGTCAGATCCTCGTTCTAAGCGCGGTTGCACAACAGGCAATGGGCTTTATATAACTTTCCGGAATTCCCAGGTCAAACAACTGTTTGGCGCATCGAGATCGGGAGTTGAACTAGGGGGTCGACAGGTCATAGGCGCAGCTCTTACACCTATACTGACGGAACATTTGGCGCCTGGGGGAGAAAAGGGCCCTCTAATACAAGCAAAGGCTATTCTTGGATATCCTAGACCTATATTCTCCCCAGGGGTCGAAATGACAGTCACAGTGTCGAAGATCGAATGATGTTGCCCGTGGGAGTAGAGAGAGGGTGGCGGCCAAGGTACACTACAGCGGCCCACAGGCCTAGTACTGTAAGTTCTTACGTCACGAGGTCTGATCCACTCCTATTTATCCACTCTCTTCCATTGTTTAGCTTTGGCCTGGATCTTTGGAGCTGATTCCTTGAGTATTTCGCTCGAATCACCTATGAGCGAGATGGATCATGTCAATTAAAGATTACATTATCAAGTATCCACGCTATCATCGGGTATTAGGCTAAGAAGCTAACAACAAATGGAAGAATTAACGGTATCATGATCAAAAAAGGGCGTCTTGAGATGGCACACAAACAAGCATGCCTACCCACGCATCCCTCGCTACTTGGAGTCAGCACTTGAGGGGGCGCAACCATGCCCAGCGAAGAGCAGAAAAACGAGTGACCGCAGGGCCTGCAATGGTAGGGCTCGGGGCTTGGCAGCACCTCTCAAAACACCAGCGGAATCGATCGAACAACTAAGATTCCTGTCCGTTTGCGACAACGGCGACTGTAGCTCCTGTCTACTATGCTTGAACGGCGATCCCTGGCCGTGTGCCCATGGTCCCTCGGCGCTTGCCCTGGACCACGATCATCCAGTCCTCCCACTCTTTGGCAATTTCCATGAGGACATTGCCCATCACCGCCGCCGAGGCCATCAATCCATGGCCTTCGCCTTCAAGGACCCGAACCTCACATCGCCGCATGGTTTGACCCAACCATCTCACGTTGTCAACAGGAACACGCGTATCCCTGCTACCATGGTGGATAACCACGTTTCGAGTAATATCGACATATCGAAACCCAATCGGTTGGCGGCGTTCCAAGCACACCAGCAGGTCAACTGCCGGATTGGCGTTTGTAGTGGCCAGTTCCCAAATTTTGTGGGTCAGTCGAGTATCATAATCGGTCTGGCGTTCCCGGTCTTCGGGCACGGCGACCGCAGCTTGGCTTGTCACAACATCGCGCTTCTTATCTGCCAACCCATTTGGTATTTGCGGCGCCTTAATACTCTGGAGCTTCCGAAAATCCTCCCCCTGTTGCTGAATCTTGCTTTGAAATCGTTCCGCATCATTAGACTCGAGAGCAGCTGCGTTGGATGAATCTTTGACTGTAGCTCTTCGCCTAGCACGTCGTGGAGATTTTGGTAGGCTGGAGGTGATACTAGCACTTGTTGCACTCATAAAGCTGGAATTTGCGACCTTCAGAATGGAGGTCGGGAGGGCACGAAGAATCCTCTGAGAATAAGGAACGGCGTTCGTGGGGACAGGTGCTTTCGGCGAGCTTATGCTGGACAGTTGGGATGGCGGTATCCAGGGGGCCAAAAGGTGTATGCGCCCCCGGATGTGCTGGGGGATCCTCAAGGCCGTTGCCAATGCGTAAATGGCGCCCGCAGAGTGGGCAAGAATGGAGAACTTGTTTACTTTGAGATAATTGCATACAATGGCAACATCGTCTACCGAGTATCAGTACTCTATGCCTCTGCATATATGGATTGACAGTCATGGAATTGTGCTTACCAGGCCAGCTGAGAGGAGTACCCGACTCACCCACATAAGGCCCACTCTCACCAACTCCCGGACGATCCAGTGTTATAAGTCGGAGATGGAGAGACCGGGCTAACTCGTCATAGAATGCCATCAAGTACCGGGTTAGGCCCATCCCAAGACAGCAAAGCACTACGTAACCCTTCGGGTCTCCTACTTCGGAAAACGCTATTGCACGGCCAGTGGTAGGATGAGAAATTCTTTGCGTCAGTTTTGGAGACAATATGTAGTCGAATACGGCAAGATCAACAGAATCGGCACTCGATGGTCGTTCATCGCCAATCGACTCATGACTCGCGGAAGCCTGGCCGGAAGGAGAATGTTTATCATGTAGAGGCGGAGTTGAAGATTCTATCGACTGCCTATATCGGGTCTTCTCGATCTGAACGGACTTGTCAAATGACTGTCTTGCCGCAAAGGACTTGAGTGGCGAATTGGACGGTGTAGAAGCGAGCGACGTGCTGTTGCGTTGGGTCGATCGGCTCTTCCCCGTCATAACCGCCGGCGCTGGAGCGCTCTCATCAAACTTCGCATCACTTGTATGCACACTTTCCCTCTGAATATTTCCCTCAGGACTGTCGTCTGGTGCGCGGGACAGCCGGGTTTGCTTGTAAGGTGGCTCCCTTGAAGGTCTATCAGGGGTGTCAGGACTGTCGTCAATCTCCAATTCGGTCTTGATTTTCTGTTGCTGGTCCTTCAGTTCTTGGATTCTCTTAGCTACCTGTTCGGCCTCGTTACTCGTACCGACGACCTTGGCGTCCGCTTTGGTCTCTCTACTCCCTGTTGAGGAATATCGAGCATGACGTATGGACCTGCGCCGCTTAGGACTGGATGAGAAGCTGTGCCGAAGAGACGATTCACGGGCCGGAATGACCCTGCCGCTTCCGATTCCACCGGGAGTACTGGGTGCACTTTCACGAGTGTACTGCGACGAATGGCGTTCCTTGCTGGAGCTTCTGCTCATGGTATTTGCTCTTGCTGATTCCACGTCGGATGGGTTCGGCCGCCCCTCTTCGGCAACGTCGGCCATAGAATACAACGATCGTAGGCTGGCTCTGCTACGGGGAAGATTGTGCCTCAAACTATCGTTGTAGCTACTTGTCTTCCGCAATCTCTCCGCGCGCTGATCTTTGTCTTTGTCGCTGGCGAATTCTCGAGAGCTCTTCTTCAGGAGACCCAATTGATTCTTGAGGCTTTTTCTGGAGCCTGACGAGGCAATGCTCGGTGTGGCCGCAACCCGGGGACCAGGCTCCGTGGTGATCATGCCAAATGCGTAGTCTTCGTACGCCGCCTTCGTCGACGTGTACGAGCCTCGGGAGGTGGGTCGACCTGGCGAGGGTGGAGGGTCGAAGGTTGTTTTAGACTTTGGAGATGGAGGAGCTCGGGCCATACGAATGACGGGCGCAGCAGCTGCATCATCTGGATGCAGAAAGGGACTATTTGTTGCCCCGTCGGAAGCCGTGGTTGTCCCGTAGCTCACACCCAGGCCATGTTCGTTGAGGGAGCGCTGGTCAGAAACCGAATGTTGCTCGGAGGGTGAAAAGATCGGCGACGAGGGGCCAGTATCCGAATCAATGCACGGCACGTTGTCGAAATGAGATTGAAGGGGTACGGAAATCGTTGAAAGGGATGAGATTAATGAAGATATTACTTCCGGGGATGCCGGGTCAACGGTCGAAGAGTTGGCGGAATGTGAGGGCGAAGGCACGGCTCCGCGATGTCTTGCAAGTCCTAGCGACGTTGAAGACTGGAAAGGGGTTTGAAGCATCGACAATGCATCTTTGGCGTGGACCATGGCGAACCCTCCTGCAGTTTGGTCCCCTTCCAGTCTGAATTAAGAGACAATCAAGGACGATGTATGCAGAAGGCCTTGGTACGCTCCTGCATGATCTGGTAGGAGCAGGAGGGATTGGCGTCTGCAGGCCAACCTATCGGTGTCAATCTATAACTTTAGATTGCAGGGAGTTTACGCATGTGCCAGTTAGAAATAAAAAATAAAAAAATAAAAAATAAAAAACAGGTAGGCAGTAATGATGGAAAATCCAAGTCCAATATGACCCTTTTTAGCCCCTTGCGGCATGCAAAGTAGCCCCTTGCAGAACGTTATTTATCTGAAGATACAAGGAAGGGCTAAGAAAAAAAAATGTGACGGCTCGGATTGGAACCGAAGAAGGAAATTAAAGGGCCGGAGAAGTAAGGAAATCAAATATAGAGAGGGAGGGAAAGCAGTCGGGCAATTAATTAGAGGATGTTCAGTGTAGATTAGATCAGATCAAGGTTTAGAAACTAGTGTCGAAGGGAAAAGAAGGGAAAGGGGGAGGATTTACGTAGAGAGGAAAAATGAGAGAAAGGCTCCAGAAAGGAAAAAAAAAAAAAAAATTTGACAAAAAAAAGATTAAAAAGGGGAGGAAAAGATCATCAGAACAGAAGACTAACGAGAAACCAATAAACTCCAATCAAGATACAGGGAGGAGGGGCAGACGATAAGGAAGGAAGAAATAAGAAAGAAGTAAGTAATCCTACAATCCCCCAAAGCTTCAATGCATACACAGTTACTAGAAGAACCCTTTTAGTCCAATATGCCGTGGGTAGGTCCTATGTACTCGAACGATACCTAAGGATATTGTTTATTATGTATTACTACTTTTACTGACTTAGCATCAATCACCATGAGCGAGTTAGTTCTGGATATAAATTAATCCATGTTCACACACACCCCTAATTTGTCCTAGTTGTGGTCCTCTGTTTGTCTATTACATCCACTTATTGGACTCCCTCAATCTGAACTTGAGAAAACTTCTCCGCACAGTTCGCAGATCAAAATTTCACTGGTGATAGCGAGAGATGACTGGCTGATGAGGGATCCGGACCGGAAATCTTAATCCCAGCAAGGACGGTCCGGTTCCGATCCATAGCGATTACACCATGGCCATTAATAACTCCAGGGTCATCAGGGTTCTTACTTCTCAGGGCTCAGCTCAGCTCAGCTCCCACCCTTACATGCCCGTACAGAAGGAGTCTGAGCTTCCCGACCCGGTCGAGCCTCCACCACCTGGACCTGGTGAATGTATTATGCAAGAAGTGAGGATTTATCAGTGATATAACATCCTACATGTATGTAGTATTTGGTGTAAACCCACATTGAACATAAATACATGGCTGTGATAATTCTTGGTTAAAGAAATAACTATTTTACCTGGTAAGGATCACCGGCTTTAGTGGGTAAGCCTTGGACTTATTAACCAACACTTGCATATATATAATTACAGAGTATCACTTACTCTTTCTCGACCTATACCCTGTGCATTGCATAGGTGAAAAGTACTTTGCCACGTATTAGCCCAACATGCTTTAGTTTCTGGAGAAATTCAGTAAAGAGTTATCTTAGGCTCTCCATGGGATAAAATCAAGGTACATATTAAGTTTGCCTTCCTCAGGCAGAAATGTGCACCTTCTATCAACATACGCTTGAAAGGGGTCGACCTATGTAGTATCGAATATCTACATACCAATCTAAAATTCTCCAATGTCTCCTGTCTACCAAGACGGAAATGATACAATCTCATGCTTTTCTAAAAGAAAAAGAAGAGAAAAAAAAAATACACCCAAGCAATTCTTTCCCGGGTAAGATATAATTGACAGGGCTATCCAGTTGAATTACATCTCAGCCAGCATTTCTATCTGAATTGTAAAATCATTCAGCCCTATATAACAAACTCATTCAGCTATTGTTAGCATTGCAGGAATTAATGAGAATTACCTTAGAGATATAAGATAGACCGACCATGCTGCCCACCAGGTGGCTCTATCAACGGCGGGCTTGGCGGTGATGGCATGGGAATCGTCTAGATAAGGCTATCAAGTTAAGCACCCACAACGGAAACACCGCCAACCACCCACAAAGACCGCATTTATCTTATTTCAACCCTCTTTCTATTCGACATCATCTAAACGTGTTCTGAGGCCAATCACCTACGGTGGTTTTGAAACCGTTCCATCGAAATTCAGATATGCGGTGACCTAGTCGTATACCAAACGACATCTGTCCGCAATGGACGCCTATCCCGAAGACTATGTGGTCAACAACCTCCCATTCATCTTGCTATCTGGCTTAGAGGCAAGCTCCGAGGATGACCTGCAACCAAGGGGGGTCGACTATCCTCTGCTCCATGAAAAGGGTGCGAGAATATACTCTGATTTCCCGCCCTTGAACGGACCGATCGCAAAGGAATTGCGGGAAATGCTGCTGGAGGAAGATGCTTCGGAGATCCCCTGGAAACCCCGGGATAGTGCCCATACTGGGTTGCCCCGAATCAAATACAAGATCAAAAGTGTTGGCCGGGTATGTCTGTCCTTTATCGCCCTCAGGAATTGAATTGCCTACGCCGAATAGTGGAACACTACAGCCCGTTCAAACAGGATCTAATCGCCGAGGAATTTTGCTATATACTGATCGCTACTCTTATATAGCGGCCTTTAGACAAGCATTGCAGGAAATCATTTACTGACCGCCAGATAGACGTACAGGCTCCCTCCACGCAAGGCTAACCCCCCACCTGTGTCTCCTCCCACAAGTCCAACGGCCGGACAAGGCGATGATATCCCACACGCGTCGTCTCTCATTCTTCATTCTCCAATATCCCCGTTGACACCAAGCTCGCCGACTTTCCCAGATGGCTTGCTTACACCTCTATGGGTGACGAAACACCAGAACTTGATCCCCGCCGCCGTGATCAATTTCTTCCCTTTCTGTTTGGACCATAACATGAGCTCCCTACGCGATAATCAAATGAAGATAGAAATAAATGGCTTGAAGAATGAATGGTCGGCTTCGGGCTATAAAACGCGGTTTATAGTGGTCCTTCTGTCGGAAGACTTCCCCGGTGGCTACATCGGGGATGCCGATGACCGCCTAGCAAGCATCCGGAGGGCAACCAACCTGGATCAGAAATCAATTTTCCTCCTTCCAGCAGACGCAACTTCGATGGAGTTGAAAGAGTTTACTACATCTTTATTGTCCTTGCTCCAGCCGTCGATAATGGAATATTACCGGGATCTATCCAAGCATGCAAGGCGAAAGCGAAATAGAAGCACCATCCCACCCCCGACGGCGCCGCCGACAAGTGGAACGTCGCAGACTCTTTCTCTTCAGGGGTGGAATGTGCGATATGAGTTCAAAATGGGAATCTTCGCGGAGTTCCGGCATGAAGTAGATGCAGCGTTAAGGAACTACGAAAATGCCTACGACACATTGTTTGGGCAGGAGGTCTTTGAAAATATTGCTGGATGGAACCCTAGATTTAATGACGCACGCCTTCTGGGGGATACCATTGCAATACGTATCATTCGCTGCTTACTTTGTTCCGGACAGACTACTGCCGCAGTACGGTCATGGGTCGGCCACAGAACTCACGTGCAGGATATTGTCAACCGCCGGGGTAAAGGAACAAGAAATTATGGTTGGGAAGCCTGGGAGGCTAGATGGTCCATGGTTATGGCACAGCTTATACGGCAGGCTGGTCTTCCTCATTTCTCTTCTGTCGGCGTCCCTCAGGACCAGTTTAATGAGCAGTATTCCATTTTCATTGCCCAAGAAAGGGCAGCCACCTTGGCAGATGCAGTTACTCCATGGGAACATCTTCATCACGAGGGTTACTGGCTGTATCGATCAGCGAAACATTCTATGTACCGACGGACCTTAGCAGAGCAGATCCCGGATGAGGACCGGATCCCACCAGGGCAATCTCCTGCTTCCCAAATTGCTAGCAAATCCTATCTGTACGATACATATTTGGCCCCAGAAAGCCATGTAGAGGCCCCTCAACCAGGCTCAATCGGCTTTGATCATTCGGCCCTGATATTGGACGCCTTGAAAGCCGCTCTAGCGGAGTTTTCGAAGCGAAACCAGACTAGAAAGACGGAAAGCCTTAGCCTGGAGATAGCTGAGGAATACATGCGCATTGGCTCATGGACCGAGGCTTATGATATACTTAAGCCTCTGTGGCCAGTCCTCACTTGGCGACGGTCAAACTGGTGGCAACTCATGTCAAAGTTTGGCTGGGCTCTGCGAGAGTCTGCTTTACGGATGCATGACAGTGAAATGGTTTTACGAGTAGACTGGGAGTTACTCAATTCTGGTAAGACTCCCGAATTTTGCGGCTGCGTTTCTTTTGATTAGATTAAAATATGAGTCCCCATGGTAAGATTGACACTCGACGGCTTCTAGTGTTCCAACCAAAATCCGACTGGCAGTATGACATTCATCAAAGTCTTAGTGACTTCCCGCTGGAGAAGCCCAAACCATCTGTTGTCCTCAAAGCCGAGGATGTTCTGTCTAGTGGTAGGTTTGGCCCGCCTTTCCCATAATCAGCACTAAAGCATCACTTTCTACCCTAGTCACTGCCTCGTTTGTCTTCGAAAAATTTGAGGGGAATGTGGGCGAGCCGTTGCAGGGTCAAATTACGATCACATCATGCGCCCAAAAATTATCCAAGCCCATCAGACTTTCCGGGATTAAGGTTGTATTTGAAGGCTGTCTTCGTCCAGTGAAACTTGAATTTGATGAAAGCGTGGATACTAATACCGCTGATTCCTGCGTAATATCATCACTTACACTACATGAGCCGAACTTACCAGGCGATGAAACATCACTCCATTCTCCAACGAGTGGCTTAACGGCCCTCGTCGGTGCTGCGGACTTGTCTCTTGGGCCTTCCCAAATCAAGGTGTTTGACTTGACGTGTATCCCCCGAGAAGCAGGAGATTGTCGGGTTGCATCCATTACTCTGTTGATCGAGGAAGAAAAGTTTGATCTCGCGTGCGCCGTAACGGATATGGCCCAGAGCGAGTCTTTCTGGTGGCGACAAACCAAGAAAGGGCCGTCTCCAAGGAGAGTGGGCAAAGATAGAGACACTATAAGGTGCAAGATTATGCCGAAACCACCTAAGATTCGGATTACAACACCAAACCTCAAGGACAGTTATTACACAAACGAGAGGGCTGTCCTTAGGATTGGCATACACAACGAAGAAGACGAGGCTGCTGATGTTTTTACTGAGATTCGGCTTTTTGGTCGGCCAGAATCCGCAGCTAAAATCATATGGCTCGATGAGGAAGACTCACCGTCACCCCAGAGCTCTGAGAGAAGCTCTCCGATCGAGGGCGTTTCCCATTTCATAAAACGTTCAATTGGTGTAATGGAGAGCTCTTCCCAACGAGAACTAGCTATAGTGCTCACAGGCACGCATGACACATCTGAGTATGAGCTTGAGATATCTTGTGTATACCACCTGGCGTCTGATATCCAAACTCCTATAATCGCGACTATGAGAGTCGTTCTATCAATCACTCGGCCATTTGAGGCCAACTACGAATTCCTCCCTCGTCTTCATCCCCTACCGTGGCCAGATTTCTTCTCGGTGAAGGAGGACGTGCTTGGAGATGAGGTGACGGCCAAGCCTAGAGGTTTACAGCAACGATGGAGCCTGAATTCCAAGGTTGTCTCTTTCGCATTGGAGCCTCTCGTGATTGAAAGTGTATCTCTAGTGCTGCTAGGAGCTAGTGGAGGAGCTACCTCCCACATAGGTTCGGAGGTGGCGGTTAGCCCAGAAGCATCGGAAATACACCCGGAGGAGCTTCGCGAATCAAACTTCACGTTGGACATTCAAAAAATGATCTTGGGCGACCGACGACCGACGGCACTGAATCTGGCACTGCAAATCAAATGGCGCCGAAGTAGTGCAGCTGAAGATGAATCTGCGCGGGACAGAGTCACCACCACGACACTTTCGATCCCTCGCTTTGTGGCCCCAGCTGGTGAGCCTCGAGTGCTTGCCTCGGTGCTGCCATCAGAGACCCTTTCTGGCCTGATTCACTTGGATTACACCCTGGAGAACCCCTCGATGCACTTCCTCACGTTTAATTTAACCATGGAAGCTAGTGAACATTTCGCCTTCAGCGGCCCGAAGACTATGGTTGTTCAGTTGGTGCCGCTGAGCCGGCACACGGTCCGATATAACTTGTTGGCATCACAACGGGGACTGTGGATTCAACCTCAGCTTCTTGTGGTGGACAACTACTTCAACAAAACGCTGCGCGTCCTTCCTACGGAGGAGATGGGATCTGATAAGAAAGGAATCCTGGTCTGGGTCAATGCGGATGATTAAGCTGTTAGGATAACTAGTGGTTTGGGGGGAGCAGGGAAAGTAGAAATCCGTCCTCTTCAGACACCTGTACCGGCTTTTGCTTGGAGTGGAACATGATGGTAGCGTAGCAGAACAATCTTTCTCGCAGTGTATATAGACCTCGGCACGTGATGTGCTCTTATTACGGCCCAAAGGGGACTAGCGGATATCAGATTAGTGGCTGGAAGCTCCCCCATTGACATTCTGTCCAGCGGAGAGAGTATCATTTCATCATTCCGTTTCCGATGGGCCGTTGCTTACTGCAACTGAAGATCTTTCATGAATTAAACAACAGTTAAAGAGATAGATCACTGACCCTGATCCTCACCCGGTCTTTTCTTCGTCTCATCTTCTCTCTTGCTCTCTTACGGTGCGACAACTGCATTATCCGTCCCGATCCTTCGCTTCATCGGGAATCATGGCTGCGCAGGCGGCTTTAATCGCTGACACTATCGTTGGCATGAAAAGAGCCCTACACAAGGAAACTAATTGTACGTCAAACATTAAGCTCGCTCATCTCTATTCTTGGCGATTTTCTGACCGGTCTCTCTCTTCACAGACTCAGCACCCGACGATCTCATCACTCAGCCAACGAATCGAGGCAACAAACTACGAGCTAATGCACAGTATGTGCGTGAAGGCGCATTGGGGTATATTCATTCAGAAGAACTCTATAAACAGGTGGGCCTTGACTCCCAGCGCTGATGCGCTTATGCGCTTCCTGTCTCTCGAAACCGCTGACCTGCGTTTCCTTGACATTGTCAGAAAATTGACCATGCTGGATACACTCGCTATATCCTCCAACCCAATCCTGTACGTTACGATTCCGAAGGGGATGAACTAGATGAGGAGGATGAAGATTCCGAGGCGGATGCTATTGCGGCCGAAGAGAATCCATTTTCTGAAATTGCGCTCGAAAGTCAGTTTCTCCCCTCCTTTGCCGTTTATGCAATGCAGTGAGCTTTATCAAGCCCCATAAAGCTTATTCTAATTCTTCTATCCTTTAGATTTTCTGTGCCCTCTAAAACACCCATCGGAGCTACCTACTCATCCTTCTTTGTCACACGCCTATACTTCCAAAGCTCTCTTCAACATGACACAAGCCATTGATGCCAAACTGCGACAAGAACGAGCTTTGTTATGGCGTGCAAGAAATCTCCACCGACAATTCCTAGGCGATGGATCATGGGTACCGTGTGGATCAGTTGAAACATCCGAAGACAGATTGATTTTTGCGCCTCGGATGCCCAGTACTGGACACAGCTCGCCCGTCGGCCAAGACGGACAGAATGGGACGTCTACACCATCCGTGACGGGGGGATCTCATACTCAGCGAAATGGACTACATAGATCACGCTCAACCGTGAATTCCCCAAGAGAATCTCAGATGGACCGGAATGAGGCACCGGGGGCAGATAAGGATGTGGAGATGACAGATGCCCAAAACCAGGCGACGGGATATGATCATACCGAGCAAGCAAAAACTCCAAAGGCGGAAGAAGTTGATACTTCTGTCAGTGACCTTCCACCACATCCTGAAACTACCGCCTCGGAAGCAAAAGTAAACGGTAGTAGCACAGGTGCGTGGCAGTCCGAACAGAGTCGAGTCTCAAACTCCGAAGGCGCAGTCGATAAAGATGGAAAGGAAGATACAAGAGACGGTGCATCTGCCGGTGTCGAGAGTACGCCGGCCGATCATGAGAACTGGGAGAATGAACTAGATAAAGATGAGGAAATGCAGGATGAGACTGATCTTGCTCTGCCTCGGCGGATGACGACTCGAGCCCTAGCAAATGCAGTCAACCCACAGCAGGAGCAGGAGATACGCAATTTCTCACCTTCACTTTCCTCCGATACTCTCAGCACACTACCAACCCCTCATCCTCTTTTCCTCCCCCCCAACTCTGTCCGACCAGACCCCAACTTCGGCCTACCACCCAATGAGGCTGAAGATACGAGACGATTGCTCTGGTCATATGTCCAGAAACAGGAAGAAACAGTTCGCGGATTCGAACACATGCTAGAGAGTCTCCTTCGAGCCTGTCGGATGAAGGATGATGTGCTGGAGTGGTGCAAAGCAGAGGGCCATGTGGGTGAGATGAGTGATGGGGAGGATTGGTATGACCGGGAAAAATGGGGACTCGCCGAGGGCGAAGATCTCAAGAAAGGAGCGGATGAGGATGAAATTGAGACTGTGGAGGAGAGTCGGACAGCGAACAAAAGGGGCCGAGGTCGACGAGCATAGATCAGATTATGATGGATTTTTTTTCTCTGTGCTCTCTCTTTGTGCCCTCCCTCCCTCCCCCTCTCCCCCGTCTCTTCTCTCCATATTCCAAGATGTTTTTCCATCATCACCCCTACACAAATCCATCGATCATCCTCATACATAGAAACATAGCATGGAGTTGGCTGTGATTATGTTCAGGACGAAAAACTAACAGCCCTGGGTTCCTCTTTTCTACTCGTGTATGATCTAGGCATGTCTTGTTATGATAAGCATTTACGAAATACCAAAACTGATTGATTACTATTTTTCAAAATTGATATACCGCTTCCCCCACCGTCAACTGGGAGAAAGTCAGAACACGAAGTAAAAACAGGTGATCGACCTCTCCTCTGTCTATGAAGACTTCTCGTTGGAACTCGCCCTTGTGTATTCATCACACCTCCAGACCTCTCTTACTTGTTGAATTTGCTCTACCCTTTTAGCACTTTTTTATTGACCATCGGGCCTGAATGAGAACTATCACCTCGGGACCCACACCGATTGGGTGGATGTTGAAAGCCCAAAGCCCCGATATTTTCAAGGCACTGCGTATTTGAATCATAGCCTAGTTCTGCAGCCGCCTAGGCGTTTGCTTTTACAGGTTCTTGCCGCCTTGTTTCGACTTTGCGCGCTCGCGCTCCCGCTTGGCGTAAATCTCAGCGGTGAAAGGACTACCCAGTCGTGGTCAGCGGGTCATGACACGCTTTTGCTTGCCCCCAGATGCTCTACAGGAGTAGACGAGGGAGAATAGTTGCATGGGGGTTGAAGACTGGGACAAGTAAAGAAGAGATGACAAGGTCAAGAACTTACTCCTCCCAACGGAGCGCGAACCAGTACAGAATGAAAACTTCAGCGGTCAAAAGGAGTCCCGCCACCTTTCCCTTGTACAGGGCAACACCCAGGAAGTTCAGGGTGCTCCCCCAATACATCGGGGAGCCCGTCACGTTGAAGGGGAAGCCGGTGACGGGGGCATCCATGAGAATGCCAAAGTAGTCACCAAGATAGGTACCAGTCACTCCCAGAGCGTACATACTGGACAAGACAAGGACGGACCCGATGGCAAAGAGGGCACCACCCAGGATCGGTTGGTGCACTGGGGCATAAAACGGTTGGTCGTCCAGGGCTAATTGATACACATGGTCGCGAGCGATGCCCAGAGTGAAGATGGTGAATGCGAGGAAATAGCACCCGTAGTAGGGGTTACCGAATATACGAGTCAGGTATTGTTTCCGATATTCTACAGAATAGTGCCCAATATTTGTGACATAAGCCATCTATACGAGAGATGATTTTCGAGTAGAAGTGGCCAGGGGGTTTAGGAAGGGGAAACCAACCGCCACGGGCAACGATACTGGAGGCAAGAGTCTCTCAGTCAGTTGACTGACGGCATTCAATGAGCACCAGGCATCTATATCTCACAGAGGGAGGAGGGGAGACAAATGAGCAACTCACTTCCAGAAAATGGGGTTGAATGCAATAAACCACGCAGCCCCTAAATAAAGAGCGCCAATGAGAATCACATGCCGGGAGAGGGAGAGGTGGAAAGTAGTGTTACCAAGGACTTACAGTGAAGGGTCACTTGAGACAAGTCGATGAAGTCCGAGAAACTGGCCATGGCGGAGTGAGCGAAGTACGTAACGAAGCAGGTGGGTGAGGAGAGGAGTGAAGAAAAGAAGAAAAGAGGAGAGAGAAGAAGAGAAGAGGAGAAGAGGGACAAAAACACATGACGTCGCTTTCATCGGAGGTATTATGCTTACCTAACAGGACCACATGTCTCTGGATTTCCGTTCCTGAATACCTGGACAAACACTTCGACCCAGTCAGAGAGTAATAATTCATTCACTTTACTCTTAAGTGATCAAACATATATAGTCTCCAAATACTCAATTAAAGGAACCCACTGTGTATTGACTGATAAGTACCAGGTACCTGTATAGTCAGTAGGTAAGGTATAATTAGTTTCCATACGGTACGGTACGTCCCTGGCAGATAAATGGCCTCACCGCCCGTCACTACTTCTGCCGCCATCGTCGTCCATTGAAGTTGTTGACAAGCGTTCCTCGAGATCTCTGTTCGGTTTAGTTTCATATCTTCTCTTCCCCTGATGTCCTCCCTCGGCGCTTTCTTCTCCTGAACGTCATGGGACAGCTTCTTCCAGCAGTGCAACTGACCCGGGGAGAATGGCCCTTCAGCGTCGTGATCTGGTACTGCTGGGCATCGGTGGTTTTATTGCCTGGGGTCTAGCTGTTCGTTGGATTCCAGTCCTGCGATACTTAGGCTATGCCGTCAGTCTAGGGATTCTTCTGGCATCATCAGCCTTGTTGGGCCTCGTCCTCTTTACTATAAGGAACCCTCCTCATTTGGCAAATCCCACCTGTCACAGGAACATCTCCATTGCAGCCGTTGCCCCCGACCACTGGCATCAGGAGTTACAGGAGCTTGAAAGACGCTCTACCTACCAGCCAACACCCCTCTATTCGTCATCCTTCGTTGTGTCGGAAGGCATTGATGAGCTTCTAGCGCTACTCACCCGAGACTTTATCGCATCCTGGTACAAGAGTATCAGCCCAAACCCGGTCTTCATGAACGAAGTCGATCGAGTGATTAGAATAGGGATTGGGAATCTGCGCGATAGGATATTGGAGGAAGACATTGTTTCTCTCATTGTGTCCCGCGTCTTTCCCATCTTGACCTCACATCTCAAAGAATTTGACGTCGCAGAGCGGTCAGTACGCGGACGGAATCTGACTCGAAATGTCACCGAATCGGAAGAGCTGGATCTCGCAATTGCGAACAAGTATCGCGACGGCCACCTCCACCCAGCTGCAGCTCTGTCGTTGGCGGATCAAAAACTAGTGGAGCAAGGGTACCTTCGGAAAATCGCCGTTGGGCTGCTCCCACAGCTAGTCCCCGAACATGTCCTCAAAAGTCGTATCGTCTCGGTATTGGTTAAAGAAATACTCGCCTGCGCAGTCCTCTCTCCCTTCGTGTCGACATTGTCGGACCCAGACACTTGGAACCAGTTGATGGAAGCTTATGGAAGAACCGCTCTCCAGGACCGTAAAACGGTACGAAAGCTTCGGGCTGCTTTGGATGAGCATGCTTCGCCCGTAGCGAAGTCTAAACATGCGCAACAATTCCCCCGGCTCAATCCACACGATTCCGAACGTGCTTTCGAGCGGTTTGTCCGGGCCATCCGCCGCTGCAACAATCTATCGGATGCCAGGCGGTTCAGAGCACTTGTCACGAGTCAGTTGAAACGGGAGACAATGGTTGAGGGACAGGACCAGATTTATCTCCGCCGTTTAGAGACTGGAAAGAGAGTTTTGGACCAAAAGGTATCCAAACTTTCAACAAGTGCTGGCGGCCCCATCTCGTATGCCTCCGCAGTGACGTCGCACTTTCACCGCAAGAACTCCGTGCCTCATGAGGCTTCGTTGGTCGACGTGATGCACGATGCCTCGGGACTCTCGTACTTTATGGAATTTATGGATCGCCAGCAGCTTATGTCCCTTGTACAATTCTGGATCGTGGTTGATGGTTTTCGCAACCCACTGGAAGATGATTTTGGGGATGAAAATTCCCCAAGTTCCACATCCTGGACAGCGACGGATCGAAATGATATGGCTCTGATAAGTGAAACATATCTGTCAAAGCCCGAACTCAACGTGACAGCAGAGTCACGTCAAGCAGTGAAATCGTTCTTGAGTGCGGGCAAGCGGGCTACCCCTGAACAGTACCGCAAAGCTCGGACGGTAGTTCTAACAACGCAGTCTGCGGTTCTAGAAGAGCTTCAGAACGTCTACTACCCCAAGTTTAAGCAGTCGGATTTGTATTACAAATATCTCGCTTCGGACGAAGTGTCACATCCTAGGTCTCATACCTCACCGGAGCCTCAAGGGAGCTCCACAGTCAGTACGGAAGCATCTGAGAGACGACCCCTGCCCCCCTTGATGGGACGCACGGCATCACATCCAGGCACTAAGTCAAAAGACCTTCGGAGAGCCGCTGTGTCTTCAAGTGATGTTCGGAGCATGGGCAAATTATTTGACGACGACGAGCCCGTGCGGCGCTCCTTCGATTCAGAACGGTCAGCTCCTCTATTTGACGATGATTACGATACCGACCCTCTTGCAACGTCAACTCATAGCCTGAGCCGGGATTCCCAATCTGGCGAGAATGAGGCGAATCAAAACAAAGTGATAGAAACAATGGAGGCCGCGCTGAATGATATCATTACTAACGAACCAAAAGCCAGCAGACTAGAAGATCTCAAAGGCACTGGTATATCTTCATCTGGGTTGTTGAGCATTGAGGAGAACCCAAAATCTCCCGGCAGCTCGATGGAAACATCACGAACAGACAATCGGACAGATGACAGGGCCAAGCCTAGTATTGCCTCACTAGGACTTATAGACCAATCCTCGCGTCTCGGGGTTTTTGTTGATGATCTTTTCCCTGACCAGCAGAGGTTTATTGAAGATGAATATGAAGAACCGGGCACAGATGACAAAGATCCCGCCGATGAGGTTCACAAGGCTGCTCCTGGAGACCTTGGGCTGACAGAAGCAGTTGAGGCACTCACTGCTGATATCGAAAAACTTGGATCTCAAGAATCAGTGGTAGACGCTCTAACCCGAAAGGCAGAGCTCACGAACAACACGGCAGAGCTCCGAATCCTACGGAAGTCCAAAGCTAGCATCCGACGTGAAATCCAACGGAAAGAGATGCAGCGACAACAGTACATCATTCAGGAAAGTGACAACAGCTTGTACGGCCGGTCGGCCGTGCGAATCAAGTCCATCGTTGTGGGCAAAGAGGAGGACGGACGAGAATTTGCCATGTGTATGTATAGCGCCGCCCCTTCCCTTTTCTGGGGCACTTCAAGTGGCTAATTATTTGCTTTAGACGTGGTCGAAGTCCAACGAAACGCTGGGGAGCAGATGCCCGCGGCGTCTTGGGCCGTTGCTCGCCGATATAGCGAATTCCATGACCTTCATCACAAACTTCGCATGAGATACCCATCAGTTCGCAACCTGGAGTTCCCTCGGCGCCGTGTGGTTATGAAACTACAGAAAGAATTTTTGCAGAAGCGACGCTTAGCGCTAGAGGCATATCTACAGAAATTGTTGCTGTTACCTGAGGTGTGTCGCAGCCGTGACCTACGCGCCTTTCTGTCCCAAAGGGCCATCATCCCACGCGACGAGACGCCTCCTGAGGGAGAGGCCAAAGATTTAGTGAGTCGAATTTACAACTCGGTAGCAGATGGGATGGATGACTTTCTGGGTAATTTTGGAGTGCTAGATCAACTGTCGACAGCCGGCCAGAGCCTTATTTCAGCAGCTACCAGCCAACAGAATACCGTTTCTCCTGGCTCGGGACTGGCCACCGAAGATGCCGTAACTTCAGCGGAGGCGGAGGCAGAGCTGAATGCATTCGAGGATCGTGAGCTGGAACCATTCATCAAGCCGATCTGTGATCTGTTTCTGGAGGCATTTGAGCTGAACCGGGGGAACAACTGGCTGCGGGGGCGCGCTGTAGTCGTCGTCCTGCACCAACTCTTGGGAGGTACGATCGAACGCAAGGTGCGTGAAGGGGCTCGGTCGTTGATGCAAGACGAGCCCCTGCTACGGTATCTTGCTCTAGCCAAGGAGAGCCTGTGGCCAGGAGGCTCGCTGCGTCAGAGTAAAGTTCGCACGGCATCGGAACGGCTGAGAAGTCGCACCGAAGCCAGCCTGGTCCTCGCAACGTTGATCCCAGATCTGGCCGGCAATGTTGTAGGGCGAGCCAATGCACAGGGAGCAGCACGACGGATCTTTGCAACCTGGAACAACCAACGTTTAAATGCCCATCTGGTGTTCACCATCCTGGATGAGATCATCTCTGTCCTGTTCGGCGGGGGAGAAGCGGCCCGAGGGCGATGAAAACGAGCCCAACTTGCATTTGGAAAATAATTTTTTTTTTTTTTTGTTGTTGTTTGTTTTTATATTTGTTTTTAGGCACCTCTCAACATTAGCGGGAGTTGTCTGGATGTATGTATTTATTAGGTTTGTCTACTTCGGGAATACTGCTATTAATTCTTTAGTGCGCGTACAACGTACATACTGCCGGTCCAGTTCTATACGTAGTGGCTACGAAGTGCCTAATAGCGTAATCTTGGCGCCAACATAGGCACTGAGTATAGATAACAATTGATAAGAGGCCGTTCATATTGTGCAGACACGGACTGGTAAAGAGAGCGGCAGTGCTTCTGGAAAGCATAATTCAATAGAACAGTAGGCCATGGAAATCTTCAAGCGAACCGAAAAAACAGCAGCCACGAAGTCCAGAGTGAAGAGTAGGACAAGACTGATTACAGGTACTATTAACGCCCTCTAAGCTCAAGCTTCTACACCCCTAAGAGCCTTGAAAGACAATTCAGGAGAAGTAAGGTGAGGCAGACAAGAAACTGTTGGCGTGACCATGGAGAAAATGGGGGAACGAACGATGAGAAAAGAAAAGCGAGTCCATCGCCTTGGCGTGAATGTTCATGTTTATGCATCGTCCTTCTTCTTCTTGGATTTCTTCGAGGATTGTTGGGGTGGGCCCTGTTTAGTCTGATGAACAATCAGGCGTGTCCAACACTCATCTTTGTCCCACTCAAAGCCAGCAAGGTAGGGCTGATCAAGCTCATCATCGGCCTACGGGTCATGACTTGTTAGTTTACTTTCACCGGAGATTGATCTTCCCACATGAAACACAGTGGATTACTTGTTTGGAGCAAACCATACCTTCTTCTTGAATTGTTTGTGGATTGCGTCCAGCGCATCCTTGATTGTGACTCCCTTGAGATTACGGGCGGTTACTTCCAACCCCAGGGGGAAATGTAGGTCGATTTTCTTGACTGGTGGGTTTACAAGTTTTAGCTTGAGAATGTCCTTGTCCTCAATTGTAGACGGAGAGGTGTTGAGCTTCCTGTGAACGAGAGATTAGACGCCTGGCAAGCGAGAGCGGATCTAGAACAAAGATATCAAACCTACCACCCTGTTTTCTGTGTCTCAATTGGCAATGTGATGTCAATCTTTTGCGCCTCTGAGAGAAGAGACAATTAGCATACAGCCCCGGTGAGAAGCTAAAATTGGCTTACATAGCTGAGCAGCGACAATGGGGACTTACCTAGGTCTTTGATATTCCAGACCTCTTCCGTCGAGGATGAGGTCCGACGGTCCGACGAGGTGCGTCGATGACCCTTCTTCGCTTCTTTGTCGGGAGCCTTCTCGTCCTTGGCCGATATCGAGAGGCCAGCGATGGCAGAGTCAACCTTTGTGAGTTCGGCGGACATGACTGAAAGTAAGAAGACGTATAGAGAGGGAGAAATAGAGCTGATTTCACTACGAATATAACCTCCCAGGTGGGAGAATTGAGTTAGTGCCGCGTGTCCCGGCCGAATGAGTGACTGGAAGGAGTATTGAAGAATGTACGTGTAGAAGAGAGGGGCGAGGAGTCAAGGTAACTAGGAAGAATAGAGGGGTACAATGGGAGTGAGGCTGCAGGAACGAACGGAACCTACCAAGCTGTGGAAGAGTATCAAGCAATGAATTCCGGGATGAAGAGTAGATGAAAGAGGAGAAAAAGGAAAAAGGGGAAGAAGAGAGAGGGAAGAAGGGGAGAGAAGAAGAGGGGAAGGGTAGGCAGGTGACCTGACCTGACCTGACCTGGACCATCATACAATCTGCTCCTAGGAAAGTACCGCTACCTCCTTCCAAGCTTACCGATGGGTGGGTGATCCAGTACCTGCTACATAGGTCCTTTACGCCTAGACTACCTTGCCTACCAGGGTCCATACTGGACCATGCGGGGTTCGACAAGCCACCCTCCTTGCTCTATGTCCAGGGGCATCGTATATTCCTCAGACTGGTGGGCATACATCAGTTTATGTAGTAGTGTCAACCCTATGTCTTCTGCATTTCCCCTCTCTCATCCCAAAAGAGGGATGGCACCCTAGTCACCACCTGCAGCCTGCGGACTAGAATAGTGGTACAAGGTAGGTACCAGTTCGTACCTACTTTCCTTTCCATACCTGGATCTCTCCAAGAAGGAAAATGGAAAGTTTCTCCCCTTACGTTTGAGAAATCTCTCCAATATTCAGCCGACTTAACCGGATCACGCGAGAGCCTACGTCGAGAGCTCTGAAAGCGGTCCACTAAGGCTGCACCCCGCATTCCGTTCGCTCCACTTTGCCCCATCGCCCTTAGACTGGGACTTAATACAGAGTCGAGAGAGTTCGTTGTCTGGTCCATCCTCGTTCTCATTTTTCCATTATCTCTCGTTGTTGCGTATGGGACGCATGTGGGTTCTCCATCCTGATGATCGGCTATACCTATAGTATGGGATAGCACGGAGTACTATGGACAGAAAAAGCCCCCAAGGTCAGTAGAAGAGATGTCCAGGAAGACCTCACAATACCGCCGACAATAAGAACATCACCACGCCTATCCCCTGGTACTTTTACCCCTTTATTCATTCATCCCACACTGGCAGTCGGAGCGTTTCCTTCCATCCGTGGAGCGGCGTCGCAAAACTGTAAGGAAGCGTTCCAAGGCAGCTGCACGTGACCCTCCGAGGATCGTGACACGTCATGGCTGGAGAGTCCCATTTTGAGAGTCTTTGCGGAGTTCCATCCAGAATTGTCAGTCATGGTATCATCGTTGAACCTTGTTCATCCCAACCTTTCCTTCTCATTGGCCGACTCGCATCAGACACACAAAACATGATCGTTGTATGCTATTGTGTAGATGGCCAGATACTAGGTACTAGGTACAGAGTGGTGTGATGCATGAAACCCAACACTCTGTAGTGGTGCTGTTCAACCCATACTAATAATACATCAAAGGATGAGGAGATGTGAGGTGATCATATGGTTGGCGGGTGGGGTTTCCGAAGCACCACTGCTAAATGTACGTACTAGTAACTTAGTAAGTAGTTACTACTACAAAGTTATTCTGTGTGTCGGGATGTGGGGTTTGGTCGCATTTGATTGATTGAACACATCCGACATGCTGCCTTTAGTAAGTACTCGTGGTGAGTAAGCAGCAGATCCATAAGTTAGTTACCTTACGACTCGATTGTGGTTGGGAACCGCCATTTTAGTGGTCGGTATATATCGGATAGCTGTTTCTCAGCCTGTACTCACTAAATGAAACTGGTTCATTTGTATAATAGACTCTTCATCTCTACCTGTACGGCACATTATTATGTTCAATTCCCTATGGTCACAGTTAAGAGCATATGTAGGGAATATACCCACTAACTGCTAGATCCCAGTAATAGAGAAGGTAAAGTTAACAGGAACATAAACTCTGACTTTAGAGAGCAGGATCTATTCGCGGCTCAATGTGATTAAGGATAGGCTCATTGTGTTATAGGGACTTGGCAGAGTCATTACCGTGGAGTAGCCAATATGCAAATATATACTACCACCACTAGTTTTATTTACCACATATAGTTGTTAACAGTCCTCTATATGAGGGTCTTACAGGAGTCTATTTAGAATTCAGGGCTCTCCTGGTTTTAGGACTGGAGGCTACTACAATTTTTATATCGACTTATAATGAATGCGACCGTGGAGTGTAGCGGCAGACTATAGAAGAAGCCGTTCATTAATAACCATCTATCTAATCCTGATATACTCCGTACACTGAGCTCACTCGAATTATGCTAAGGCTAGCCGTGCAATAAAGTAGCTTCAAAGAGACACACGCGTTGACAGTCGCGCGGGTGGACAGTCGTCCCCTGACGGATATGTTATAGTTGTAAACTAATTATGAAGTGGTTGGGTTCTGTAATACTATGGCTTTGTATAGGCTAGCTGCCACGTAATTAAAACTTTGTAGTGTAGTTGTGGGAAGCAGTAAATTGGTCATGTGATTGACTAGCGCGGGCGTCTCACCTGTACGACGATGCCACCAGACCTGTAACCTGCTCAAAAGGCGGTGTGGACGTGCCTGAGAATACTGCCGTAGCCTCTAGTCAAGCCTGTGTAATTGCTTTGCAGTGCATACTTTTTGCTCAACACTCATTTCGAACTCACCTTCTCACTCATTGACCACACCGGTAGAGATCTACCTCCTACTTGGTATTCAGCCGTATTCTCTCTTTGTGTTTGCGATTCCCGTGTTGATTTCCCTCGCATCTCTAGTCTAGTGGGTGAAAGACAAGTCCTCGTTCGAATGTCACTCTTCGGTTCTGTCGGCGCTACGTCGACGACGGCAGGTCAAACAAACACGACTGGCGATATATCTAAAGATGTAGCCCTCAATTCTCCCCCAGAGGACAGCATTTCCGACCTTCGGTTCTCCCCAGCGAGTGAGCATCTCGCAGTAGCCTCGTGGGACAAAAAAGTCCGTATCTATGAGATCAACGAACAAGGTCAGAGTGAAGGGAAAGCTCTATTTGAACATGAAGCTCCTGTGTTGAATTGCTGTTGGTCACCGGTAAGCTTAAATAGCCCCTGGCGATGTCAATCGTGCGGCTAACTCTTCCCCTTTTTTTCTCCCGTGGCTAACTGCTTTGCTCGCTTATTAGGATGGAACGAAAGTGGTGGGAGCGGGTGCTGATAAAGCTGCCCGCATGCTCGACCTTGCTGCAAATGCTACAACGCCTGTTCAGGTAGCTGCGCATGATGCTCCGATAAAATGCTGCCATATGATCCCCAACCCGGCCGGAAACAGTCCTCTTCTCGTGACTGGCTCATGGGATAAAACGGTCAAATACTGGGATCTACGACAAGCGACCCCTATTGCCGCGGTGGAATGTCAAGAGCGTGTTTATACGATGGATGTCAAAAACAAACTCCTTGTGGTCGGAACGGCGGACCGTTACATCAACATAATCAACCTCGACAACCCAACCAAATTCTACAAAACCATGCAGTCGCCTCTCAAATGGCAGACGCGGGTAGTCAGCTGCTTTACCGATGCCACGGGTTTCGCTGTTGGCAGTATCGAGGGCCGCTGTGCCATTCAATATGTCGAGGAGAAAGACTCCAGTTCAAACTTCAGTTTCAAGTGCCACCGTGAAACCCCTCCCAACCAACGGGACATCAACAACATCTATTCTGTCAATGATATTTCCTTCCACCCGGTTCACGGTACTTTCAGCACGGCGGGTAGTGATGGTACATTCCACTTTTGGGACAAAGACGCCAAGCATCGCCTTAAAGGTTATCCTTCCGTAGGGGGGACCATTTCAAGTACGGCCTTCAATCGTACCGGCAGTATATTTGCATACGCAGTGAGCTATGACTGGAGCAAAGGCTACTCCGTCAACACCCAACAGCTTCCGAACAAGGTGATGCTTCATCCGGTTGGCCAGGAGGAAGTGAAACCTCGACCTGGAACCAGGAAAAGGTAGTGGAGGGAGATGAAGCATAATGAATGGGGCGTAGTTTGGGATTCGGTGAGGTAAGGGTCTGCCTGGATTGAATTAATTTCAAATATCCAAAAAATTCAATGATATAGTGTGGTGGTGATTGATAAATCTCCCCTGTTGCCCTGGCTACTTTGGATTGGTTTCTCTACCTGCAAATGTTTTTTCTCTGCTTCTTTCTGTTTTCTTTTTTCTACTCGTCTTTCACCCATGCGTTATGTATTTTTTTTACATCCGGGAATGCATAGGAGCGAATTGTTTTACATTGGTTTCTTGTGTTGTCTCTTGTTTTGTATCCCTGCAAAACCACCCGTCAAGTCCTCATATTGGTAGTCAATTACGATGTTGTATGGATGATGATACGATAGTAGGCTCAATTACAAAATTCCATCGAATTTGGTCGCTGGATATGCTTGGTATTCAGCGTTTTCTCTATTTGTTCCGGTTCCGTTGGTTACTGGATGGCGGTGCAAGAAATTAATCTAAAAAAAAAAAAAACCGCCAAAAATCGCTGCCATTATCTAGAGCTTTCACTACTAACCATCACCTATATATCCACCTAATACAAGCCTTCTTTCGTTCGGCTCAATTTCCAAATACTTCGGCGTTTGTCCTTTCTCGTCTTCTAAGAATCGAAATCGCCATTGTTTTTCGTTCTGCCCCGCTGCCCGCCTCAACCTCGCCTCCAGGATTTGATTGATCCCATGGAGAGAAATTTACTGGAAAGTATCCTCGATCTAGAGGAAGACTTCTACCAAGAAGGATACAACCTCGGCGCATCGGATGGGGCAAAAACTGGTTATATCGAAGGCAGTGTGTTTGCTGTCGAGAAAGGGTTTGAGAAATTCCTTGAGCTTGGCAGACTCTATGGAAAAGCTCTCGTCTGGGCTCAGCGGTTGGCAGATTTGAACTTGGAAGACAAGGACGGCGATTCTTCCATTACCCCTCAACTAGTCAGTGGGGGGGAGCAAATCTCTTTAAAGCCATCTATTTGTAACGAGATGTCAAGATTTCCACCCAGTTTAAGACTAGCCAAGAATATCGACACGCTTCTCGAGCTAGTCGACCCCGCGTCTCTACCAATGCATAACACGGAGGAGGCTGTTACTGATGTGGATGAACGCCTGAAAGGTGCCATGATCAAGGCAAAACTCATCCAGCGTGCCTTGGGCGAACGTGAGGATACCTCGGATATTCATCCCGACGCGAAAGATCCTCAGATTTCGGGCGATGGGACGGGCAACATTGAAGATATCAGTTCACTGACCACTCGCCACTGATTTCTGGAATACATATCATCTCTGCAAGGATAAGGATGCATCAGTCCTCTATCCTGCATGTTCCTCAGCAACAACAATCCATGATCACCCCTCCGGGCTATCTCCGACCGCAAGGCTCGGCCTAATGAAGCCTATCTTGCCGTTTCCGAAGGTAGTAAGGGTGATCCGGGTGATCTACGGCAACGGTGAGATTTGCACACGAACGATACTATTACCCCATTTATGGACTTACCCCTCTTGTTGTTTCACAATCATCATCTAAGAGCCTTGTGACCCCTTAGTTGCAAGTCACCGCTTATGCAGATGCCAATGTTCTGGTGGGCCGTAAATCCCAGGGGTCGCTTTTATTCCTCTCCCGGGTATATATATATAACCAAATACATACCACATAGGGAGGATAAGAGGCCCGATGATCTTCCCATCAGACTGTTACCGCTCTCTATACGTGTAAATGTACTCTCACGTCTGTGTTTACAACTATGCGACCGTATCTCCTATTATTTCACTTACTATTGGTTGGGGTCTCTTGGGTGAAGCCGGGAGTAACGAATCCAATTTCAGAGATCTGTGGTCCGTCAGTGGTATGCATCAATCGTTACGCGAATATTCTACCGTAAGTTGATCTTAGAGGCACTTGGAATGGAAGATACACTGCGTTAAAACCAATTCAGGTATCATTTCTATCGAAATGTATCGACCGAGACTATGCCCACGACTTTTGGCGATACCTTGGTTGCAAATGGCTCTACACTGACAGATGTGAAGTCTGCCGATTTTGTTGTATTTGACAAAGAGAGGGGGCTGGAGATACTGGGTTCTGAGCCGAGCTACGAGTATATGTTCGCTGTATCCTACGCTATCCACGAGGCACCTGTTTACGTTGAATCGCAAAACAAATTGTATTTGTCACAGTTGGCTCCTCCAGCGGGATACCTTCCCCAGCTCGTGGTCGATCTAAATCAAGTCCCTCCTACCTTGTCAGAATTTCTCTCCGATCCCCCTGTCTATGCTCCCAATGGTGGCACATTCCACAATGGCAAGATCATCTGGGGGGCTTCCGGCGGCAATCAAACCATTGAGGGCGGCGAACAGCGCGTATCTCTGAGGACATTAGACCCGGAGACCAACAAGACAACTACTTTGGTCAACAATTATTTTGGATACTACTTCAACACCATCGACGACCTTGCCGTCCATCCGAAAACCGGGGATATCTGGTTCACAGACCCTCGTATGTTAGATCCGTGGTTTCCTCCCATTGCTATCGCACATGTCGAGGCACAGTGGGCTGACGCAGGAGCAGACTATTCCTGGTTTAATGGTCTTACGGATACACCTCCGCAGCTTCCAGCCGCTAGCTACAGGTACAATATGTCTTCTGGTGCCGTAACTGTTGTGGACGACAGCCTTGGTCAGCCCAATGGTGTAGCTTTTAATCCGGAAGGCACAATTGTGTATATTAGTGATAGTGTTGGGGCAAGCGGACCAGTTGACCCCAAATATGGACACGGAGGAACCCCGTTCAATACTACCCATCACAGGTATGCATGCATCTCACCCTGGACAAACGAGTGAGGTGTAGCTAACCAACCTCCCCAACCGATAAAAAGGACCATTTACGCATTTGACGTAAGCGAAGATGGTACCCAAGCTTTCAACAAACGCCCCATCTACTTGGCGGCCGGATTTATCCCTGATGGACTCAAGGTGGCTGCAAATGGATGCATATTGTCGGCAGTCGGGCGAGGTATTGATGTACTTGACCCTCTAGGCCAGCTGCTCTTAACGATTCAAACAAACTACACGGTACAAAACTTTGCTTGGACTGGTCCCGAGCTTAAGACTTTATGGCTGATGGGAAGTGGAGGAATCAGTAAAGTTGAGTGGGAGCTTGCAGGCCAGCGTTTGAAATAATCCCATGAGCCTAAGTGATATATGATGCAGTGAGTATAATGGAGTATGCACATGGGGGTAAATAATAATAACAACAACAATAATAAAGAGTATCAATGCAGACATTCAATTAGAATAGATAGGCATAACGTGCGCCATAAATCGTTATTCAAATCGTTCTAACTTTTTGTTTTCGGGAGATATTATCCACATTATTCATCCAATCCTCGAACAGCCATGGCGAGAGCACCATCTTTTGTTTGATGGCCACCGATGAAACCGCTAGCATGGACAAAGACGGCGCCGTCGGGGATCTTGGGCTTGCCCAACTTCTCTGCTTCCGCAGCCATGACGCCATCCAAGTCGGCATCGCGAACTCCACGCCACGACTCTGGTAGCGGCTTGCGAGATTGGAAGCTCCCCTCATTCACCGAAACACATTGCACACGCCATTTGGAACCTTCATTGGCACTTTCCGGGTAGAGAACGTAGTAGACCTGCTCGGCCGGGTTCGTCTCGCCGGAGCTCGATGCTTCCCGCTCGAAATTGTACAGATGCTCCTTCCAAGGGACGCCCCCCTGCGGCAGGACGATGATACGGCCGGAAGGGTGAACATCACGGCGGGAATGGTAAGCCGCACCGACGACAGACCGAGCAGGAAGCCAGGAAGAGGTTGCGTGGTGCAACTTGCGAGTGAAGACATGTCCAATGAAGGTGCTAGCTCGAGAAAAGAGACTATCCTCGTCCTGGGGCTCCCCGGGTGGACAAGTGGGGTCAGGGTTGTTCATGTCGCCCACCACGGAGGCAATCGTAATGCCACCGTCCCTGAAGCGTTTCTCGACGTTGGACGCGGCCAGGGCCGCAGGATCGTACACCGAGACGCCATTGTCGTTGGCGTCAACAGCTTCGATGAAATCCGTGTAGAGCTTCTCATACAGCAGAGTGACGTCGTCGTGATCCAGGGGCAGCGAGGTGTGTTGTGCAATGATGGCCCGACCAAAGTGCATGTACACTAACCCTGCGGAAGACAGCTTGGTGTTATGGTTAGGGAAGGTTGTCGAGAAAGTACGCTGATGATGGTCATAGCGGTTACTGGCGGGGTCATATTCGCCACCAACATCGACGACGGTATGACAGGTTGCTAGCTGAGCGGGATCCCGGGTACGGATCAGAGGAGAGGAGGAGTAGGTCGGGAGCTGTCGGAGGAGATAGACAGCGAGGGCTTCATCTGCGTGGAAGTGGCCGCTACAATTTATAGGATCAGTAATGAGAAAACAATCATTGGAGGATATAGGAGGGGCAAAAGAGGACAGACTTATGAGTCCCGATTAAGGGAGATGATGTCTTAAGCTTCTTTGTGAGAGTCTCGTCGGCCATTTTAAATAATTGTTGGAAGCGCCGCATGCAGCATCAATAAGAAGTCGGACTGTACTATGTAGGGCCAGTTCCTTTCGTCTTGTAACAGCTAGTCTCTAGGGCTGGGAATCCCAGGGTACGTATCCGACACGTGAGAGATTCTTATCATGTCCCAAAGCAGTATATTTGTATTCCATGTATTGGTACAGTTCCATACAGGTCACGACGTAGAATATTACAGTACTAGAGATGATGATAAATAATGGTAATGATGCTATCACCCTTATAAACAACTATGATCTAATCTACACTAACTGCAAATCCAACAGAGGGGATTCATTATTCTAAAATCCAGCAGCTAGCATGAACATCCAGCCTCCCCTGTTTCAAATTGACCGCTCCTCGCATCAACCAAAGTGGATTTAGCTTAGCAGAGAAATGGAATACTAGGTATGGCATGGTTCTGTGCCTCTCTACAAGAAGGGCCTATCTTATAACCACAATACTAAAGAGCGGTCGCAATGGAATCCCACTAACTTTGTCTAGATTCTCGCACTTTATATTTCTTTATCTTTGTTATTTTATCCCTTCCACTGTTTTCCTTCCTTCTTTGTTAAACATTCATTTAACCAAACAAGAGGGATCTCACGATCTCTCATCGCCGTCCCTCTCGTTGTTTCCAGTGCCACGTGAAAGTCCGCTTCTCCGTCCCACCTTAAAAAAAAAAAGAGCAGATCAGTCAAGCTTTCCAACAATAGAAAAAGAGAGCTCAAGACACAAGTGTCACACAGCACACATCCATCTCTATTCGCTTTCACTTGTCTACATTAGTTAATTACCCACCTTCCTCCGTCCTGACTAAGGATTTCGTCACCCGCTGTTTCTGCCTTTCGGAACCGTTATCTCGGTTCCCTAAGGACTTCACGAAGGTTTCTCTTGCTCCATACCCTTCTCCCCCTGTTGTGAGCGTGCCGTTCTTCTGTTGTCCGATGTGGCTCTTTCGGGTTCTCTCTTCGGCCTTCTTCCTGACCGTAACTGTTTCCTCCATTCCCCTGGCCTTCGATGTGGGTGGAAAGACATGCGGCTTGGCCTTCTCTCTATCCCTAGCGACCTTCTACTTCCTATTTTCGCTCCTGCGACTGACCACTCCTGATCGCTCGTGGCTCCGTTCGTCTCTGATTGTCCTCATTCAATCGACACAATGGATTATTATTCCGATTCTGCTTATTTGGTCGCTTAACCGCTTTTCGACCGACACCGAGAACAGCACCGGTTGGGTGGAGCGGACGTTCAGCGGGAAGCGGGCTCAGGATGCCTCGATCCAGGAGTGGTTGTTTGGCCCGGACGGTCTGCTAGAGGTTCTGACAATTGGAAACTGGGACAAACTTTTGAGATGGTCGACTCCGGTATTTCAGCTGGTAGAGGGATTTTGTAGTCTTCTGGTCATTCAGGCTGCAGGTCAGATCACCCGCTGGCTGGTCAACCGTGGTGGACGAAGTGATAGCTGGATGGTAAGCGCAAGCTATTCTTTCCAAATAGGCTGCATGGGTTGAGGGCTAACCTAGTCGCTTCTGGAAGATCGGCCTCCTGGTACTTTCCGCCTCTGTCATATCAAGTGCTGTATACTTTCTTTGGCGGGTCCTTCAGTTCCCTGGAATTTCCAATGTCGATGCGGCCCTGATTGGCGTGTCGATCACTTGCGCGGTGATCTTGTGCGCATGGGGGATTGGAAGTGGCCGTGGAAATGCCGTGGAGAGTTCCCTTCTGTTCGCGTACATCGTGCTGTGCATCTACCAGATCTTCACGGACTACCGACCATCATTTCCTGTGGAATCGGTTCCGTCCCCTGCACAAGCCGGTGACTTCCCACCGCTGCCGCCCATCATCATGGCCTCTTACACCACCCTGCTGCACGTCCTGTCCCTCCTCCCATCCATTATCCATGCGGCCTTCAACGTGTTCACGGCGGTCTTTAGCGCGGTGACGCCTTCTGTACTGATCTCATTGACCTACCGTATCGCGGTCCTGTATGCGTCCACCCGGATCATACCCGCTGTTCGCGAATCGGGTGCGCGCGCGCTCTCGCAAGAAGCCTCGTTGGATGATTCAGATGCCGCTGGCCAATTGCTGGGTCTCCTGGGTTATTTTTCTCCCTCCATTCTCATTGCTGTTTACACGAGTCTGTTAATGCAACACTTCTCTGCCACCTCTCAGGCCATGGGTGGTAGCGGCGAATGGTGGAGCAGCCAAGGAGGAGGCGGTGGGAACCTCTGGCGATGGATCAACTTAGCCTGCACAATGGCCCTGTATGCTGTTGAATTATGGCTCGGTGAAAATGACGACTTGGATACGGGGCTGACGGGCCATTGGAAGTCCGACTGAAACGAATAATCTGCCCTGTACACCCGGAGGCGTGTTGTCCTTTCCCAGTGCAAGATATACGACCTTGTACGGTTACACAGCGAGCACCATTCGCTCGCTTCCATTTTTTTTTTTTTTTTTTTTTTTTTGAGCCATAATGTCCTTAATCCCTTTGTTTGTAGGCGTCGATCCTGCATTGATTGCCCTTTGGACCAGACAGTTGGATGAAAATGTTGCCTTTGTGGTGCTAATCTACTATACTCGCGCTGAAGACACGGGAGATACTTTCTGGCCCAGTCCAGAAAATGTGGCTTCAGACGCGGGGCGATCTACCCTTGAACCTTCCAACTCCTTGTATACAAGCATACATGATCATCTCCGTTCCTCATTTCCACGTGTTGGCTGAGCATGATGATTGGAGATACATGGACTGACATGCCGACTTCTCTTCTTTATAGCGGCTAGGTCATGAGGGTTGGAAGGAGCTATAACCCAGCCTTGTGACATGATCCTTTGCCGCTGGAGAAATCTTACTCTTAGCGTACATCCGGGATTTAGCATCCAAGAATCTAGCGAAGAAGCTCATGAATATTATCAGATCAGATCAGAGCATTCCTATCTTACACCTACTTTTGCATCTCTGTTGCTCTACTTGTTGACCCTGAACTGGCTCCTGTTCCTCTCTTCTATTTGTGGAATCTGCTTGAGCTTTTGATGTGACTGTCCTTGCTTTTCGAGCTCCTTTTATTATACCCCACAGATCCTTTTGTCTTTTGTCTTTTCAGGTTTTCATTTCATTATTTTTCACCATTCCTTTTTCTCCCTCTTCCCCTTATTTCATCTTCCTGGAAGTTGTGTTTTGCTACACCCTGCATGTACGAGTAGCTCGCTGGTACTCTGGACACTGTATAGTACATGGATTAGCATTACCCAACCATGGGACGGCTTCCCACGCGTGCTGCTCTCTGAATTTATGTGTAAGACCTTTATTGAAACTCGAACCTCTAGCTGCAAGCAACCACTAGTTTACTCTGCCTTTTCGCTGGCCCAATGAATTCAGGCTACAGGTCGACAGCAATAGATTCTCCTAAGCTCTTACCAAACAATTGACAGAAGAGCTCCCAGCAAATTGAAAAGGAACTGGGATGGATGTGAACGAGTAAGACAAATCTCATTTTTTTGTGCAATTTCTAGAAAATCATACATAACTAGATACGCGCCTCAAAAAACTCTTTAATGAGATTGGGTTGTGAGGCGGCAGCATGTATGAACAAGTGATATGGAACAAGGCAGTTTGGAGGGTCATCACACGTGAAAGCAAGATTAAGGAACGGATTCGAATGTCTCAAAACAAAAGCAACTAAATCATAAAATATGCAGATGTATCTGGATAGAATTGAAAAAAAAGGGGAAAGGAAGGAAAAGAAATGGCGAGCGAAAAAATATATGATCTGCATATGAACAGAGAAGTGAAATAAGGATAAGGATAGGATGCAGGTGATGGTTAAAAATTGTGGCCAAGAAAACTTGGCATCACCTTCAGCCATCTTGATTTGCTCACTGCTTGCTCACAAGTGATTAAAAGGACGACCAGGTCAATTTTCGTCAACACATCAAAAGAACTAGAATCCTCCATAGCGCCAGGCTCATTTGAAATCACACAATCACCAAACGGGGTGATGTGCATAGTAAAAAAAAAAAAAAAAAAAAAAAAAAACAGAAGTGGCATGTGAAAGTAAACAAGCTGCAAAGCAACTATTGCCGAATGGGGACGCCACCTTGAGTGGGAGGAGGGCTGACGCTAAGGTCTTTTTTATCCTTGTCCTTGTCATCGATAGACTCATCTGCACTCGTTTCCCGTTGCAGATAGCTCCCCTCCTTTACAGGACTCCGGCTTTGGAATCCGATCGAGCCGTGATGGCCGCTAATGCTGCCAGGGATCTGCTGTCCTTGCGAGTTGGTGCTGGTACCATTGTTGGCGGCGCCGGGGTTATTGGCTCCGGAGGACGTGGCAGTCAGATGAGGGATGTTCTCGGGGACAGGGTGTTGCGAGCCGATGTTGGTCACTCCCACATCTGAAGCTTTACCCGCTTTGCTCAGGGCATAATCGCCCGAGTCGAAGTACTTGCGCTCCTAGATTGTTGCGTGGAACAAGTTGGGAACTGAAGATCGGGTAGCGGAAAGGACCTTGGCCAACGTACCTTCAGTTTATTCTGCAGGAGGTCTTTTTTGTTGGGCATTTTGCCATACAAACGCAAAAGCCGCTGCTCATCGGGGCTCAACGACTAAGAGGCGTGGTGAATAGCTAGATCACCATTCCATGGGGACGAGAGAAACTCACGCTGATATCGACCTTATTCTGCTGGTGAGGATTCATTGCGGAAGAGAAGAGTCCAACAGAATGAGCAGTGTAGAGATGGTGTTTGTCTGTCTGTCTGGGTGGATATGCCCGAGGGGCGATGAGAGAGGTATGATGGTGGGGAGAGAAGGTGGACGAAAGAATCACTGAACGGGTGTCGTCAGAGAATCCCCACCAACCCGAATTGTTCAACACTCGACCGGATTCTCCAAAATGTTCCACCCAGGGAATTCGATGGGGGCTCAAATGGATCTGGTATGATGGAGAATCGAAAATATTGCACGGTGGAGGAGAGAGCGAAAAGAGAAGAGCAGCCCAATATGTAGCTCTATGTAACTTAACTACGGTACCTTTAGATTACATAATGCTAGTATACATAGTAAAGTACAGGTCATTACAAGTCAGTACAATACCAATAGATAGACGGTCTTAGTCAGACTGGCTATTCGCACGGTGCCGCTTTAGGGCCAGGGAAGTAGAGGCGTTATTAAGTCAGGTTCCGATTTTGTCAGTCAGGCCTATTGTATTCTAAAGATTGATACTCGATTGGCAGATAACTCGCAGGATTGGACCTTCATCAGTCTTCCCATTCGTACCGTGAAGGTAGATCAAATGCCTTCCGCTAACCCGGTGACCATAGTGGTCGAGCATTTGGACCCTGAACTGGGTGACTGGTCTGCTTTGGAATATAGCTGCATCGCTCGTGAATCACACACGGCAGGCAGCCGATTTCTCCTCAGCTCAGTGCCCACGTCTCTGCAGATGCCAGAGGACCTGGCTACTACGAAAGGGTTCGAGGTTGAGCACCGGAGTATCGAGGAGATCTTCGCGGACCGGAAATCAAGGGTCTGTCTGTTGGACCCGTCTGCCCAGGTTGAGCTGAGTCCCGCAGATGGGGAGATTTTTGATGTGTTTCTTTTCGGAGGCATTCTTGGTGCGAGCTCCTCTCCTTCCTAGCCGCGAGCCAGCTGTCACCCCGCTAACTACGAAGTCTCAATCTACCTGCAGGCGATGACCCTCCTCGTGGTAAATTCTACGCTGAAATTAATGGCCCTACTCTCGCTAACCTCATGGATGCAGATCGGACATCGGAACTGAGGAAGAAAGGCTATGCTGGAAGGCGATTGGGCCCTAAGCAGATGACCACTGATACGGCAGTGCGAGTAACACGCATGGTGGTTCACGAAAAAGGTAGGGTTTAGGTAGAGGAAGAGAGAGAGAGCTAATCTCTTTTACAGTACCGCTGGAGCAAATCCAATATGTCGACTACCCGGAGATTCTTATCAACGAACATGAACGGACAGAGATGCCATTTCGATATGTTAAAGGAGATCATGGACAGCCTATTATGCCCCAGGTTCGTGTTCCCTCGGCTGTACGGCATTATTTTCTATCACTAACCTGCGGATAGGGAATGATTGATCTTATAAAGAAGGATGCTGACCAAGGCATTGATGATCTCGTTTGATCATCTGATGAGGCTAGGATAGTACAAATAGAATGTATATACAAAGCACAAAAGAAAAGAATGACGACGGCTTGACATTTGTTCTATTCATGCCTGCATTCATCCATCTATAGAGACCCACCAACGGCGGTTCAGCTGCTTAGTCATGATACGGTAGGTATCGAGGCCACGCCATCGTTTCATCGCCTCTTCGACTCTCCGTCATATCGCAAGGGGTTCCTTTTCTTGGATCAACGTTGACATCGTTCATGCGCACCTCCTATCAGGAATTTAATTATATAACCTTTTGTATTCTCCCTGGTTCTCTTTCCCCCGCCTCCTTCCTGTTTGTCTAAATTCCTCGACCTTCTCGATCGACGTCTCTTCCGTCTCTCCGCCTCCGGCTTCGATCGACATCATCGTCATCAGCATAGCATATCCATGTGTTCTTGAGTGACGTTTTCGTCCTCTCAGGACCAGTCTCTCTCCTGGCTATTAGAAACCTCTTTCTGTCTCCCTTTCAGACCACTCTCTACCCCTTTCTAAATTTGGGGAACTATTCAGGATGATTTCCTCCCTATTGCGGGGGCAGCCCACCCGGCGGGGAAACACTACTGTCTCATTTCTTGCCATGTCATGGGTGTTATCACTGCTTTTTGCTATCAATCCGACGCTCGTTTCGGCCGCTACTGCTGCGGACTACTATGTTCACTCGTTACCAGGGGCTCCCGAAGGGCCTTTGCTGAAAATGCACGCTGGGTGAGTTTCTACCTCTGTCTGATTGGATCGGGGGAACTGTCGTATTTCCCCCCCGGATTTTATCCTGTCTTCATCTGCAGAATGACTGATACCAGAGACTCCAAAGACATATCGAAGTCGATGAGAAGAGCAACGCGAATCTTTTCTTTTGGCATTTTCATAACCGTCACATTGCCAATCGTCAGCGAACTGTTATCTGGCTGAACGGAGGCCCCGGATGTAGCTCAATGGATGGCGCATTGATGGAAATTGGTCCCTACCGATTAAAGGACAAGAATACGCTGGAATACAATGACGGCTCCTGGGATGAATTCGCAAATCTCCTTTTCGTTGATCAGCCTGCCGGAACGGGCTTCAGCTATGTCAACACCGATAGCTATCTCCATGAGATGGATGAGATGGCTGCGCAGTTCGTTACATTTCTAGAACAGTGGTTCGAGCTGTTTCCAGACTATGCGCCAGATGATGTATGAATGATATCCTTCCCGCTTTCCGCCCATCCACTTGTTTCTGACCCCCCCGGTGATAGATTTATATCGCAGGCGAGTCTTATGCCGGTCAACATATCCCTTACATTGCCAAGGCCATTCAAGAGCGGAATGAGAGAGTTCGCGCTGGCAATAAGGCTCCCTGGAAACTTCGGGGACTCCTGATCGGTAATGGGTGGATCTCTCCCGTAGACCAGTATCTATCATACTTGAAATTTGCATACAAGGAAGGCCTTATCGAAGAAAAGTCCCGGATCGCCAACGAACTGCAAGTGTTAGAGTCGGTCTGCGAATCAAAGTTGCAGGGTGGGAATACTAAAATCAGCCTGAGCGATTGCGAAGATGTGCTGGTGAAGCTCCTGGAAAAAACGATTGACTCTAAGAAAACCTGCTTCAATATGTACGATGTTCGCCTCCGTGACGAAGCTCCGCAATGCGGCATGAACTGGCCGCCAGATCTAGAGCATATGAAGCCATATTTGCGGCGGGACGATGTTGTGAAAGCCTTAAACATAAACCCGGAGAAGAAAACGGGATGGGAAGAGTGTTCGAATGCTGTTTCTAGCACATTCTACCCAAAGAACTCCAAGCCCTCCGTCGAGCTGCTCCCCGGACTCATTGAAAGTGGAGTTGAAGTCCTTCTATTCAGCGGTGACAAAGACCTCATATGCAACCATATTGGAACCGAACAGTTAATCAACAACATGAAATGGAATGGCGCCACTGGCTTTGAGACGTCCCCGGGAGTCTGGGCTCCTCGACACGACTGGACCTTTGAAAGTGAGCCAGCCGGAATCTATCAGTACGCTCGAAACCTGACGTACGTTCTCTTCTATAATGCCAGCCACATGGTTCCTTTCGATCTGCCTCGCCAGAGTCGAGACATGCTGGATCGATTTATGAAGGTTGATATTACGAGCATTGGTGGAAGCCCGACAGACTCGCGCATCGATGGCGAGAAACTGCCCCAGACGTCCGTGGGGGGACATCCGAACAGCACCGCGGCCGAAGAGCAGGAAAAGGTGAAGATGAAGGAGGCGGAGTGGAAGGCCTACGCGAAGTCCGGAGAGGCCGTTCTCGTGGTCGTGATCGTGGGCGTGTGCATCTGGGGTTTCTTCATCTGGCGCAGCCGACGACGTCGGTATGGATACCAAGGCGTCTTCCACAAGGAAATGAGCGGGAGTTCTATTTTGGAACGGTTTCAGAATAAACGGACGGGGAGTGACGTGGAAGCGGGGGATTTTGATGAGTCTGAGCTGGACAATCTCCATTCGCCGGGAATGGACCGGGAGCACTATGCCGTGGGAGAAGACAGTGATGAGGATGACATTGCCAACCGGCATTCTCGACAATCTTCGTCGCGGGTTGGAGGAGACCGTTCGTGATAATACTGAGTGTATATATATATATTTTGTCGGTGTTGATATTGTTCCCTTTTCCTGTTTTTCCCCCTCCCTGGTACTGTCTTTCCGCGCCTTCTCCGTCGTACCTCCATAGTTGACATTTGTTAGGATCATATTGAGCATACATAGACATGAAGACTTATAATGACAAAACTTTCGGTTTGATTTGACTTTGTAGACCCTGCGCCTGATGATCCTGCATACCTGTGACTTTCCCCATTTGCTTCTCCTGTAGAAATCAGGCATATGCATAGACCCAGGCCTCTTTACTACTCGAATGGATGAAGCGGTACCGGTACCATGACAGATTCAATTTTTCTCTATTCAGTCATTAAAATATTACGCCCATGCACCGTCTAGGTAACGAACTATGTAGAACAACGCCTATAATATTCACCGGACATTTGCTCCCAAGATGCCTAAATCTCATCTCCCAACCGTCCAAACCTTGATGCTTCCATCATCCGCGGTGGTAACCAGGACCTCCTCTTCTGGTCCTGCCTCCCGACCTCGGTCTGCGCGTCTCGCCCAGGCCACATGGTTGATCTCGTAGATACCATGCGCACCGTCCACAACCGCAATAACTTTCCACTCGGTCTTGGGGACAGATGCACCGGTTTCACCGGCCGGAAGATCAGCGTCCGTGACTTGCGTCGACTCAGCAGCCACAAATCGCTCTTCATACAGAACTATCCGTCCATCCGCGCTTACGGACGCTAGGAGTCCCGTCCGCTTGCTCCATGCCACCGCGTACACTGAGAGCTCGTGTCGCGAGGGCAGGATGGTTTCTTCTTCCCACGTTTCGTCAATGCCTGTTGGTCGGATAATGCTGGGAACACCGGTGCCCCCGAACGGAGGTTGTGCTCGTTGCTCTTTAGGTTGTCGTCGCCAGATACGGACGGTTCGATCGTCGGAGCACGAGACGAGGCGAGGTCCTGACAGAGCACGATGATCTTTCCACTGAGTGGTCAGGGGGAGGGTTGCATCGTTGGTCGACAACGGTACATTGTCGGCTCCTTCCCAATCCAGATACCATACGGTACCCGCATGGCCCTTGATGCAGGCGACCTGGCCCCAATCGTCCAGATCCTCCCGCCACACTCGAATAGTATCGTCGTAGCTTGCGCTGGCCAGACACTCCTCGACTGGATGCCAGGAGACACATTTCACGTCGCCCTCGTGCTCCTGCATGACGGCCACCGTCTCGAAGTTGTTATCGCCGTCATCGAGGTCCTCCCAGATCCAGATTGATTTGTCCCGTGAGCACGTCGCCAGCAACATGCCCGACGGGGACCAGGACACCGACTTGACCTCGCTATCATGCCCATCGAGAAGTACCGCAAATCGCCACTCTTCGTCATCATCGCTGTCGTTGTCGTTGGGCCCGGTGCCATTGGCGACATCGGACTGAAGTCCGTCATCGCGGCCGTAAGTGTCCCAACGGCGCCAGATCCCCACGGTGGCATCGAAGCTGCCTGTGGCAAGAACGCTTTCGCCTTGCACATGCGGCTTCCAGGCCGCGGTACGCACGCTGCGTTTATGACCGCCGGTAATGGTCGACAGGAGTCGGAAATTGGTCAGCGAGTAAACCCGCACCGTCTTGTCGGAGCTGCAGGTGGCGACGATCGGGAGGGTGGGATGAGGCGCGGTCAACCAGGTGCGCTCGAGGGATGGAGGGCTTAGATCAGACAGGAGGGTGAGATCTGCTGCCATGATGAGAGTGAATTTGTGTCTCTGGCCTGGGGGAGATTCTCGTCCGGCGGAAATGGAAAAGGTGGGGGATGGAGGAGAGGCGGTAGATTTCTCCGCTCCGAAGAATGGAAGTAATTGAATGCACTCTTATTGAATATCCAAAAAAAATAGATCGTACGGAGAGATTGATATATAGTTATATCGTGTGCTCATGAGTTGATGTCATCATGGAAGATACACCACCAAAAAATAAGAATAAAAATAAAAAAAATAAAATATAAAAAAATTCCACCGCAGCAATTTCTACACCAAACAAAGCCTATATCAGAACCAATCCCTCCCAAAAAACGCCAATATTCATACTCTGGATTCGGGGGAAATGATTTCCCCAAGGATCTGCTCGTAGACCGTCCCATGGCATATCCAATCTACTTCACGGACCTTCTCCAATTCTTCCGTTAACTGTCCGACTTCGTTGACAAACTCGGGCATTCCTGCCCCCGCCAGGTTCTGGCTCGCCGTGGTTGTAGCCCGCACTCTTTCGCTAGCACTCGAAGCACTCAGCCGAGAGACAACGTGGGCTCGCAGACGTGACAGAATGAGCCGCGCAACGGGATCCGTAAAACTCGTCGCTACGGCTCCATTATTTGCGCTATGCCCTGGAAAATTGGCTGGATCAGACGAGGGGGATTCATGCTGAGACAAATCCGTCTCAATCGTGACCGGGGACTGTGTTCCTCCAAATGGCGAGACTGCGGCACAAGCAGTGGCAACCGGTCCCAAAACCCGCCGGATGGTTGCTGCCAGTTGAGCGCGGGTGCTGGCAGGCATCGGGTGTGTTGATTCCAAGATTGATTGAACTCGGTCAGGCTGGATGTCGCTAAAATCTAGGGAAAGGATTCGATCGGCCTCGGCTTTCCATTGGGACCGCACGTCGCGCTTAAGTAGGTTCTTCGCCGTCAGCAGGATCGATGCCGTGGCTACAATCTTGAACGCCTGCGCATGCAGTTTTCTCAGTCGTTGCCGGTCTAATTCAAGCGTCTCCGGAATCAGATCGTCGGACACGGAGGCATTGCTTAGCGCAAGATCCACGAGACCTTGCGCATAGATCTTGGACGCCGGTGGCCGCGGCTCTCCATTGACATTTTCCGGGTCACGCTTCCGCATCTCGTCCACGATGACGTTGTGATGGGTTCGCCAAAATCGTCGGCTTTTGACCAGGCCTATGGATCCATCCTGCAGTCCCCTTTCAAAGGTCCTCTGTTCATACCCCGGCGCTTCCTGGATGAGCTGAGGAGCTGCAACCTGGATCATGAAATTCGTGTGATCGAGAGACAGAAGATCGATGATCGCCATCAGTCTCGCCAAGCGGTCGATTGCATCCCCTGATGTGTCCTCTGCAAAGGCCTGGACTGCAGGGTCCCGATAAGGAGCACAGAGCTTGGGCAAGATGGTGTTCATAAAGTTGAAGAAGCTATCATAAGAGAAGGCACCGGCTTTGCTTTGAACCTCGATGAGTTTCGGATCGAGTACTTCACTAATCAGCACATGAAGTGAATTCCCCGGCCGTAGTGAGCGTAGTAAGCGATCCTGGATGACAGTGGCCATGGCCACGGTCCAATCCGTTCCCAGCCCGGCATCTACGTCTTTTCGCATCATCTCACACATATGCGCCATTACTTTCCTGCGCGGCTCCGTGTACTGAGTCTCCTCAATCTTAAATTCCTTATTGATGAGCAGCTCATGGACCAATGTACGATTTTCTGGAAGCGCCGTGAGGATTCGGGTGAATTGTTCATGGGGAGACATGCGCTGCCTTTCCAGTTCTCGAAGGAGCGTACTATCCGCATTGTTAAAACTCTCACTGATCGGTGACGCGACGCTTTCCGTGAGAGCTTCGGTAGACGAGGGTGCAACCTCGGCAGATCGTGGAATGGCCTGCTTGGACGTGGTTCTTTTCTTCTCGCGCTTGGCCTTCTTCAGGGCATCTCGGACCATCTGCATCGCATTTTCCGAACCGGCAAGACGCTTTAATCTCGCGAGGAGCAAGATCTGGTTCTGCCTGATTCCTTGGCGATAGTCGTCCGCTACACCTCCGGCTCGATCGTCTTTGACAGTCTGCCAAATCAGTTCTAGCTCAATGAACTGCGCCAGCATTATTTCGATTAGAACGCTCGAGTCATGTGATTTCCACGCATGGAAAGCAGAGAAAAACACGTTGTACGCCTCGCAAAGGGTCTGGAGCTCGGTGGAGATGACCGCAGGGGAGCAACAGCCAGCGGAGAGCAACGGCGTCACCTGTTCAAATGCCGCCAGGAGCTCGCGAGCTTTGGCAATTAGATCCTGTTCCTGCTCGCCATTGCTACTCAATACCTCCGCAGGGTGAGATACAATGAGGTAGCTGCTTAGAAAGGTCCGCACAGCACCCCGTCCGCCCATTGTCCCACTCTCCATATCCTCCAGACCGCAGAGCTGAAGGACGCGGGCCGTGGCGGATAGGACTATATCCTTCGAGAGGAGAGCACCGACATCCTCGAAGACCATGTCCCTAATACCATCCGTCGTCAGTTTTAAACGATGGAATTCCTGCATGACCCTCTTCGCACGGTAGGTCCGCCACACCCGTTGGATGGTCCTCGCGGCCGCGTCCCGAGTGAGCGATCTGGTGACCACCTTGGCCATCTTCTTTTCCTCTGCGGCGGGCAGGCTGCTCGTGCGATGACGTCGCTGACTTTGCTGGTAGAGAACACGCCTCTTTTCCGCCTCCGCGAATTTCTCTGCCATTTCTAACCGAAGACGGGCGTGTTCTGCGGCCTTCTTCTCTCGATTGTCCTCCGCCTTCTTCTTGGCCCGACGAACTTCCTCCTCGCACTTGGCAGTGATCTCAGCCAATAGTCGCTCCCGCGTCTGTTGGGCAGCCAGGGCTCTTTCCTCCCTTTGCAAGTTTCTGGTAGCAGCCTTCGTAAGGGCAGCGCGCAGTCTCACTTTCTCTGCATGCAACGCACGATCCGCGAGTCTCGCTTTCCGGGTTTCGAGGATAGAGGTACGTCGAAGGTGTTGCGCGATGTTGTCTGTAGAGGACGCGCCATGGGAAGAAGGATTCGAATGGTGCGAATGCAATGAGGAGGTCGAACTCCGGCGCGACGAAGCTGCAGAAGAACGGCGGACCAAACTAGGCTTCCGCGAGAAACGAGCAGCAAGATGTGAGGGCAGACTCAGCGGTAGAGGCTGCTCGTCCGACAGCATCTCCACATCTGGCTCGTTCAATGAATCGGGCGAAACAGTTGTCGGGCCCGCATCGGGCAGTTGAATCTCAACATCCGAGTTACGGCGTAGCATGGTCTCGAGGGCGAGAAGTCACCGTGGTTGATGTGTGCAGCCAAGGACGGAGGGGGATTATCAAATCGCGGGGGCTAAAACTGACGGAATTCGAGACGAGGATATTTTCTGGCTCGTCTTCTCTCACATATGCGGAATCTGATCTTTCTCTCTCTCTCACCCTCGCTCCAGCTGACATGCAGTCACAACGGTTCGAAGAGAGACAGAACCAAAAAGAGAGTACTTCTTGAGTTCAAGGACGATGCGGAACATGCCCTAGTCTGCGGAGAGATAAGCAGCTAAGAAGAGAAATGATGGAAGGGGAAATGGTAAGTAAGCAAGGAAAGAAGGAAAGAAGGAAGGGATAGATGGATAAATCGATCGAATGACACAAGTTCATTCGCCCATGACTAACTCGTGGACGCATGCAGCCATGGCCGTTGTCGCTGAGGGAGGGAGGCTCGAAGAACGCGACCGAAGACGCAACCAGGGAAGCTTAGCTAAGCGGCCCGGTTAGTTAACTATTGTGATGCAGAAGATTCGATCAAAGAAGATGCAGTCGAATATGCAGTCAGCGATCGTCCATGGCGATTACTGGTCTTGGATGCATGCATCAGTATGTCGATGCTGGATAGAGCTCTGGATGCATGTCCGATCGATCCACTATTCCTCTTCCATCTATCCATTGCATTGACGCTTACAATAGCGGAGCTGCATTCTAACCTATGGCGCTGATAAGAGGTATTATGCTTTGTAAATATCAGATTCTACGCAGATACATCGTGGCCCTCATGGGTTCAAATGAGTAATCTTAGATTGATATATGCGTAGCCTCGCCAAAAATGGTCCAACGTACATTGTATACAGCATAGAAAAAGCTAGGGAGGCAAGGGAGACATGGAGTGCTAATCGGACCAAAAAAAAAAAAAATTCTGTTCAGCGATGACCAAATATATCGAATCTCTCGTCGTCATCATCGTATTCTTCGTCCTCATCCTCGACCTCATTCTCTGAGTTACTATCTCCGGACGCATCTTCATCCTCTCTACCGCCTGATTCTGTTTCCCCACCAAGGAAACGATATCCATATTTAAACTTCGTGCCCCAGATGCGAAATTCTCCGCTATTGTCATTTTCATCGTCTCTAGATGCCCGCCTCCCAAATAATGAAGTCGAATAAGATCTCTCCGGTCCACGATACGGGGGAATCCCAAAGTAATTACTAATCACAGGGGACACCGCACGGCCACGTGAGAGACTGTATGAAGAGAATCGTCCACTCTGCTCAGCGGAGGAAGGTGCGCTTAATTGCGAGTTCAGACTTGTCTCCGGCGCGGTACCAGTGTCAACTCGCAGCGATTCTAGAGTTGATAGCATAGACACGTCAGCGCTCTGTGAGGACGATCGGAATCGAAGCGTATTGATACCCCTGCCTTCACTATCCTGCTCTATTGAGTCGAGTGCATCACCCTGTACAAGCCGTACTTGGGCAGTGTTATATGATTCACACCTGATATATATTAGCCCACCAGGAAGTGCCAATAAAGTACCATGCTCACATATCGCATCTCAGGCCCAGCCAATGATACCCCACGACTGACTTCACGCTGCAATCATTGCAATAAATAAGAGCCTTCGTATCTTTGAACTCAGTTGGCATCGGTTGACTTTGGATTGTGCGGTCGAGATTTCGAAACGTGGATTCCATATTGGTGATGGTTTTACTGCATATGGGACAGCGGTATGAGGACTTTGAATACTCAGACAGGCATTTTTGATGAATGCTGTGACCACATCGCATGAAAACCACAGTCTCTGGAGAAGTAAACATGTAATCCCCGCAGATTGGACAGTCGCATTGAGTTGACCGCTCGATGCATCGATGGGTGGTTTCTATCGAAATAGGCAGACATACACAACATGTCTGGATATGTTCGTTAGAACCGGCATATCCTACGCTGTCTCTTTCCTCTTGGAGTTTCTGCGCCTTACCTTACAGTGGAAGAAGTCTTTCCCTAATCCTTGACCGATTCGGCAAATCCCGCAATCATTGCAATGGTATATGCTTTTACTGCTGTCATTGTCCCACAGCTTGCAGGTATTGCAATAGTACTGTGCAGTCAGCTCGCCGCACTTTCGACAAAATTGTGCAGCAGATTGTGCATGGCCACACAACATGCACAGCATGTTTTCTGTTTGTGGCCGATTGAGCTGGTGGTCCTCAACCTCATCATGGCAGAATCGACATGTATACCACTTCTTGCAATGGAAACATTGCAATTTAACGTTCCTTTTATAGTGCGAGCAGCCCAGGCAAGGCTCCTCAGGCTCCTCGACGTCCACATCCTCGACATTACTTAGAGGAGAATCAAGTTCTGCCCCTGGATAAAACGTTGGCTTCATATCATCTTCTGTCACATTGTATCGAATGGTTTGAGAAACCACCGAGATGGGGGACGCTGAGGTGACGGACAATTGATCCAACGATTGCCGACTCCGACGTGACGTTGGAGTCCCGGCCCTTTCTGGGCTACGGGAACTGGATGGTGACGGCGCCGCCTTGAATGAGTGGCTATCATTGCCCCCTTGTAAAGCATTGTAGTTCGCTGTCATTAACTCATGAACCATGCGCGCTTTCTCTGCACTGCTGGACTTCAGGTCTCGAATCGCGTGGATCTTTTGCCGTAGTATACCCATTCCGTCATCCTCGGGGAGTAAGGGTTGTGTCCCAATATCATCCATATCGAGGCGATTATCTGGAATCCTAGTGATCTCTGTATTCGGATTTTCCTGCCGATTGACATATGGTGAAGATACGGTATGTCGACCTGACCCGATGGAACCATTTCTGGGTGTGACCCCCGACTGGATGTTTAAACTCCGCGGGGATGTACGGTCGGACACCTGTCTATTTTGCTCCAGTGAAAAAGAATGGCCTTCATCATTTTGGCTACTCCCGTCAAGCAGCGTCGATGTGGGGGTTGCTGGTCCATCGTTGGACCCCGCAAGGCTACCATGCGACCGTATCCTAGAATGCCTTTCGTAGTTTGAGTCCGACATTATGACACGCCCATCGCCATTTCTGCTGCTGGTGCTGCTGGTGCTGCTTGCTGAGGATGTCCTGTTCCGAACGTTTGAGGAGGATTCTACTTGGTTATGGTCGCAAGACGGCTGGGAGTCAATCGGTTGAGAAAAGCGGCGGCGGGCTTGCCGAACAATGGGGCCGATCAGCAAGGAGGATAATAGCCCGCTCATGGAGAATCGGAGGCAACATTTGATTCGGGAGAAAGCATGGGGTATGCCGACAGACGTCAATTTGATCGGAAATCGAGGGCCGAATGGAAGCTCTGCTACAATCCTACTCCGTACTAAGAGAACAAATCACCCACTAATGGGCTCGGACAGGAATACTGCCACCATGTGACATTATCTCGCCCGGACCGACTGCTGATTCGCTGCCCGAGAGTATGGAGGAGCACCGAAGGCACCCCTAAGTAGTTACCGTGTACTCCATATATTGGCTTATTCTTAGGCAACCTTCTCGGTGCCTACAAGCTATCTAGCAACTACCTTAAGGTACACTGGTCTACGGGAAGCTTCTTCTACTTTGACAAATGGAAGATGTTGTCTGTAGGTAGTAAGTAATCGTTTTACTCGTGAAATAGTCAGCAAGTAGAGACTGGTGTCACTGCCACCGGCCATAACCTCGAACAACTACTCATATCACCTTGTTCGGTTGATAACGCTTTCGGGTTTATGCTACCAAGCATTGCCTCTTCTGCTCCCTTGTCTGAGTGACCAATCTCCTAGCTTATTTCAACAGCCCGGGTTCATCTGAGCCACGTGGAGAGAATACATCGTGCCATCTATGCTTCATTTAGGCAGGAAGAGGCGATGGCGTGATGCCATGATGTGGCTAAGAGGGGGCTGATAGAAAGCCGCAGGTATTGTTGATGTTCTTGTGTTTGCGATAGTCGGGGGATCGACCGATTCTTCCATCATCTCAGGCAAGTCCCCAAAGACTCATTGAGGAGCATTAATGTCAGATTGAATTGCTCGTTAGCACTCTCCCGTAAACTGGCCTCTTTTTGATTAATTCCTAGTCCATACAAACTTGAGCAGAGTTAGCGCCAGCGCTTCTGTCACCTGTGCAGAGATCCAAGCAGACCAACGGGCGGATATGGTCCCATGCACAGCGGAATCATAGGAAGTAGAAGAATAAAACATACATCCGAAACTCTTTATTCAATATAGGCTGTTCCCAGTATCGCGCAATCAGTATATTTTTCACGATTTTATGCTCCATTCCTGCAACGTCACGTGCTCGCTGGAGAAAGCGCAAGGTGTTTGCGATTTTTTGAGGATCGAAATCCTGAGGGGAGCCAGATCGGAAGGATGAACGGAGAGTATGGAGAAGGACATGTCGAGACGGTGTAGAGTAGTTGACCACCTTCAACCCTTGTCGATACAGATGACGGTAGGCATGGAGAATCGCCTGATGATCCGCCAGGGGTGTTCGAATAGGAGCCATGACATTCATTTCCTGGTGGACTGGCGATGTGCAACGAAGATGGACCTGTTCTTTTCATGTCCGATGATCCTGGTGGACTAGCCCCGATCGGGCAAGCGCCGCGTTAGGCCGCAAAAGGCCCCATTCTGTGATTCTCCCACCTTTTGCAACCTCTCTTTCCGTATACTTCACTTCCAGAGGTCTTCTCTTTATCGTCGACCTCACCCATACGCCTTACTCTTTCGTGTGCTACCGTGGTTTCAAAAGAATCTCGGGCACTGGAATAACTGACGGAGGTGTTGCAACGACCTATCTTGTCCAGTTAACCCTTGACTCGGGCGCTGGGATTGATTGAACTTCCCGCACATGCGTTCCCCTGTATAGTAGAGATGATTGCTAACTGGGAGCACCCAGTCGTGGATGCTACTACTGGCTTCTAATGCTACTACTAGCTTCTACTAATACTGACGCCGTGCGGCCTTTTTGGAGAGGCGCCGCGATAATGAAGGCTTGTCTTGTAGTCACCTGAGAAGACCTGATATTGACAATATGGCCCGAGTGACTCGCAGGCTAGCCTCGGTCCTTGCCAGGCGCGCTCCGAGTAGAACTGCTCGGAGAAATGCTCGAAGGCATAAGGTGATCATGGAGTCCGTTACACAGGCGAAGAAGAAGCTTCGGAGTGTTGTATGTTACTGCGTGTCGTCGGTCGCAACCCGGACTATCTTGACAGTGGAAACAGATATCGTTCGAAGCGAAAGCACCACCTGGTTACACGTTCATCCCGGCCGGAAATCCCCAGCTTACGACTGCTTGCAAAGAGCTATGCCGGAAAGATGGTCTCAAAGTTTTTGCCGTCACGGTAGGCCAATGGTCATGTTTTGTCATTCCTTTCCGGTTGCCCATTTTTGGTCCTTCTTCTCCCGCTCTAATTCTCCTTGTTCCTACTAGACAACCCCCCATATGCATACTCATAATCTTTCTCAACATGTGCACCGCATAGGGTACCATTTCCCAAGTGCTGCTGTTGCTGCGGTGTGTATGGATTTAGGCCTATATCTCACTGCAACAGGGAAGGCGATGCCATTCTATGGTGCGACCTGTGCAGGGAACAACCGTAAACGCAGTAACTCAGAAGTCTCGCAAATAACAATCAACACTGAGGCAAGAGATGTTTTAAAGGATCTTTTCCCCAATATACCTGACAATGACCTAAATCAGATAATCAAAACGGCATTTCAGAAGGTATGTGAGCATAAAATTTTTTTTTTTTTGGATGGCTGAGCGATGAATACTAAGTTACTGCTGAAAACTATTAGGGTCAACGGAAAGTTGGCACAGCAGTCGAACTGCCTTTAGCCCGCCGAGCGCAATTGGCCGTCGTGGCACATATCCGGCATATTTATACCGATTATGATCGTCTTCTGAAGACAACTTCATTTCATGAGGCCAGAAGTACTGTCGAAGAGCCTACTTTAGCCAAATTAGTGGAATGGCGAGGAGACGATGAAAACGGAAAAACAGTCCTCGAGGACGTGTTTCGGGAAGTAATTGTCATCTCTGATGATGACGACAGCGATGTGGAAGGAGACGCACCCGAGTCTGTAGATCGAGACTACAGTGTGGAGATCGTTTCTAGCAAGCCGTGTGTCGAGGAACTGCAGACAAAGCCGGTGAATTACGCCAATCCTAGTGTTCGGGGCTCCCAAATAGATATATCAGAGGATGAGGCGCCACCGGGATTCCGTTACGTTCGGGAAGTCCCCAGAAAGAGGAGAGTTGATCGTCGCGGCTTCAGTAGATATCAGGCCTGGGACCGTGCCATCAACCGATATAGGAATATGGCACATGAAGCCGGCGGAACTAACTCTAGTAGATTACATGATGGTGCAGCTGACAATTCAAGATCTCTTTACTCTGTACGGCAGCCCTTGGAGCCGGCTCCCTACCGAGCCCTTGGCCCTCGTAATGGACAAGGCGCGAAGCCTACCACACCTAACCCGGCATCTGGGAACGATGGGATGAATAGATCGATGCTCGGCCCTTCCATAGAACGTCGTGTAAGTGCAACCTCATTTGATGACAGACGCTGGAAATGGTATCCTGCTGACTTCCAACGAGCCATATGAGCTATATTCCATGGTTGAGAGGCCTCACCAAGGTCTGATGGCTTCTTTGTCTGACAGGGTACCGTTGGAACGAGGACCAGCACTCCAACAGGAAAAGTATCCATTTCAGCAAGCTAACTCGCCAAATGCCCCTGTGTTTGTTGGTGGCCCTAGAGAAGTCCATGAGGAGCCCAGGAGTCGTTTTAGGTCCTATAAAGTATCAGGCCCTTACCCAAGCAGAACGGTTGCGAGCCCCCAGGAGCGCGTATTACCCTCTATTGAGGCTCCACCTGCAGATATCAGACGCCCGGATAGTGGACCTTTGGATCATTTGGCCCAGAGGTTATCTGGGGGGTTTTCGATTCGTTCATTGACGCCGCATCGTCCACCCCACAAGGACATCCCGTTGCAAATTATTGAGGACAGGGTGCAAGAACAAGCCCCCAAGAGAAGGCGGGTGGCCTACTACGAGCCTACAAAACCCTACAGTTCCCACCCGGGCATAACCTCATCTACAGTGGCAGAACCCCATACAGGAGAGCAGTATATTCGCCCTGCGTATTTTCCAGCCAAACAAATTCCCCCCCAGGATGAACCCCACTTGAGTAGGAGATATGCTGCCCCAGTTAATCCCCTCAGTGCTGCACAATCACGACCAGAGGACTTACAGGATACTTTCCTGGACACCATCCAGGCTAATACGGACTCGGGAATCATTATGCACCACAGGCGCCTAGAAGACCTTGAACGTCAACCGGTCCCACATGGCCGCCTGGCTCCAGTTCACGAAATCCCAGGACAGTCTTACGATTTGCCAGCAACCGGATTTGCTGTCCTTGCAGAGAAAGGCCACAAGAGGATGAGCCACATGCGACCATCTGACCAAGGAGACCAGCGCATCTATAGCACAGGCCATCCATACAATGCTGAGGGTGTGAAACCTTCTCAGTTGCCAAGGTCACATGAACCTAGTCTTCGGATAGGAACTTACGACCGTATCTCTGCGTCACATGAACTCCCCCAAAGAAGACACTATGCCGATGACTTTGTTCGTGCTATTGATTTGCGTGAGCCTATCCAACTAGACAGTCCTTTGCAACGCCGTCTTCAAACCAACAACTCGCCAGAATCCCAGTCTAATATTATCCAGTCTGACGATAATCCGTACAGGCCTAATCCACCAGGTAGTATAGCCGTGAGACCAAGTGGTCGAACCAATCCGGATTCTCCAATCAGACCGGGTACCCATATTTATGCTGTGGTGGATGATAGGGTTCCAAAACATCACAACAGCAGGCTACTTCAGTCTCAATCTGCGGCCCCTCGTTATGAAAGAGCATACGAGGGCCCTCTGGATTACTGGTATGATTTTTTCTAGGAGGTTAGCCTTGATAGCCAAAGGCCTAACTCCACATGGCTTTTCTTGTCCATCACTCCTTCCTTTGTGAAATTTTTGTCAATGTCAATGACTGATTCTATTGCACAGGCAAACCTACGAACAATTTGTGCCAGAGGAACAATCTCGTCCCACCTATGTGGGGAGAGTTGAGCCGCCTCAGCCTCAGTATCCGGTACCTGGACGCAGGGCTGTTATTGTGGATTAAGTAATGGTTTCTTACAGTTGACTGGGTTGCTCTGATTGTCTCCATGTTCCGGGATTTTCACTGTTATTTAAATTGTAAATGCCTGCATGAGCACTGTACATATAACAGGCTAGAAGTGGATGATACCCACAATCGTTGTTAACAGGGAAATATACTTCTCTAGAACATGAAAATATATTCATGATATCTCTGCTCTGTAGCTATGAAGGAGATCAGAAGACATAGGGCAGACTTTTTTATTTATGTCCCGGCCACCCAAAGCTGCGGATATCAGAATGTACAGTAACCAGAAAATATTGAATACACTATCTATATATATAGGAAATAGAAATAAAGAAATCTCGAGGCTCATTTGGTGCGTGGTATCAAGGATATCGTGCAAACTAGACGATGTTTCATTCAAGCTGAGGAATTTCACGCTACCCCACTATAAGAGAATCCCCAGGAGCTCATACTGAATGTGAACGCCACGGAGGACGGACGGACGTGACGACACAGCTCTCACCAGACCAACTCAAACACTCATCGTTTCGCCATCCGCTTCTCCACCTGTGACGGCCTTTCCAGTCTTCTTGATGGTGGCCAGCACTGTCTCGTATGCCAACGAGGTTTCCGTGGTGACGGTAGCGGTTTGTGACTCTAAGCTGACGTCGTACGATTTAACGCCTAAGAGTAAGACAAATTGTAAGCACGAGCAAAAAATAATTTAAAATAAGAACATAAAACATGTAGACGTTATATAATAACTGGAGTAAAATAAACAAAAGGAGACGATAGCAAGCGCAAGACAGACCATCTAGTTTCTTTAGGACTCGCTCCACTGCACCTGAGCAACCACTGCAGCTCATGGTGACGTTAAACTTGTATTGATGGTCAGACATAATGATATAAAGCCAGTTGAGGAGCGCACTTGAGAAGAAAGGAGAGTAAGCGTGGTGTGTGGACAGCTTTGAGTCCCTGTCTTATATTGTTGTAGTAATCGAGAGTGGGGAGGAGCTAGGGGTATGTGGGGGCGTAATGAAACGCTCAAAAATGAGCGAGGTGAGATAGCTTATGTACTTACACATCATGATTCTATTATTACTAATGCTATGCCCTACATAAGATTGCGCCACACCTTCATCACAATCACATCACGGAGAAAGAGCTAAGAAAAATCATGTTTAAAAAAGGGCACCAAGAGCCAGATATATAATAACTAAAACCCAGCTGCCCTCTTCTTCTTCCTGGTCCTCATCGCTGTATTCTGGCTGGCTTCTCGCCCCCCAAATATCCCTCGCTCTATTTGGGTCATGGGAAGGTCTTCTTCCACAGGCTGACTGCTTTGTATTCTCACCGCGGACGGCTCGCTATTTTCCGGCTGACTGCCCCATTCCCGAATAACGGGAACCGCGGAAGACGCCGGGGTAGTAGGCGTGGAAGGATGACGACTCCTGCTGTGAGAACGCTGGGACATCTTCTTCCGCGACTTGCGTTTCGGGGTTGCAGGATTGATCAGTCGCCGTGACTCTTCGTTTTCCAGTGCTTGTACGGTCCTTTGCCAGTCATATGTGGTTGGGTCAGTTCCCGGCTGCCAGTGGTGTAGCACGCCAGACAGGTTTCTTGACAGTGATCGCGTGCCATTGAACGTAGTAAAGGAAGAAAGGGTAGCGTATATGGTTCCAATGCCACTTTTCAACTCGTAGTTCCCATCCTCTCCGCCAATTGTGAGACTGCTTCGAGCTGCGGCACTACTAGGGGTTTCCAATCCGTGGTCATAGAAAACAGTCGATGACGAAGGTAATTTGTCTTGACCAAAGAATGAAGGCACACTGTCATACGCTTTTGAACTAAATGACAGCGCATAGTTCTCTGCCCTTCCTTGTTTATTGGAGATCAGTTCATCCAGTTCATAAGGCAGCCTACGCGCCGTAGTAATTTGAGCCAAAGCGAGATCAGCTGCAATGTAGCGGATCGCCTTCTCTTTCATGATACGTGTGCGTCCTGGTATATCATGTGGCAGAACAGCCAACCAATCATTGACCAGTCGGTCATACATATCAATCAAAGTCCCAGTTGACGAAGAAGACCTTGCCAAGTCGGTAGGCTTGAACGATGGCAAGCCAAAAAGATCAGGCGGTTGGAGTGCAAATATGTGTCGATTCTGGTTCTCTCGTACTGAGTTGTTACCCACGTTGTCCACAATAGCTGAAAGAAAACTACCCAAATCTTGAGCATTTTGGTCGATATCATCCAATAAGGGGCTGCTTCCGAGAGTTTCGAGTCTACAAAAGTTAGAGCCTTAAGTTCTGAACGTAGACACTGCTACAAACCTACATGGTTTGGCTGGTAGGCTGGTTGCTCAGGGTTATGCCATATAGTTTGCCTTCTAATTCTTGGATGGATTCCCTGAACCCTTTCCCTGTGATATGAAGCCCTTCCCCTTTTCTCGACACCATCAATCTTCCACTAGCGACTGCGTAAATCTGTGCGTAATCAACGGTCCATCGTGGGAGCGCTAATGGCGTAAAACAACATCCTGTGTCTGGTACCGTGAGCGTACTACCGCTAAAAACGGATTCGTCCCAGTCATCGACTATAAAATCATCCAAGGACCGTATTGACGATGCTCTCTGAATTCTCGGATAGCGTTTCCTCAGTCGCAAGACATCTTTCCTGAGTGAATGCTCATCTGTAGCTTCGTCACTAATAGGCCCAGTATACATTATTTCGCGGACAGATAGGCGGGAGTCCAGTATAAAAAGTTTTACAAGGCTGGAACTAGGACCATGACGATTTTTGTCCACCGATGACTGTGAGTTCATGATTTCTTTGAAACATAGCGAAGAGAAGTGTACCCCCCCTAGAGAGGTTTGAGGCTCAGAAGCATCTGATATCGATGGAATTTCCAAAACGAATGGATCAGGAACGGGTACTGTATCCGTAATATTGTCCTCTGTAGTAGTAGTAGGATAGCAGAAGGCCAACGCAAGGTCATTTAGCCGTGAATAAAGCACAAGGTAAAAATCTTGTACATCCGTCAGTACTACGAGGGCTTCAGGTAAATTCTTGAAGATGTAAGCATACCTTCACGAACGAACAAAGGGGCTAGTTGCAAGGTCGTGTCCTCAGGGTCCCGAAAATGACGCCAGGATAGGAGGGGGTATAACGGTGGTCTCGTATTTTTCTCAGTGGTTGCAGCAAGATCGAATGGGATATCAATCCAGAAAACTCGAGAAGTCGTGAGAATGAAAACGTGGGAAAAGTTGCAGTCACTTCTCTTGACATCTAGAACCCACTCTGATCGGCGCTTCAAATCAAGCTCAATTGAAAAGGAATATATTTGATCGTTTTGCAAGCGATAGAGCATCGGGCAACGCCGATCAGATACAATGAAGGTATTGACATCACTGGTCCATTCTATGGCTGCCCATCCATCATGTCGAGGACGGTCATCTGTATCCTGACTGTCGTCAAGGTCAAGCCATGGAAGTGAGCCAGACTTGACACATGCAGCGGTCCAATTGCCCTTGCTTCGCCTATGGCGACCTGAGATTTCCCAGATACTCCAGTTTCCCTTTACGTCAACAATTCCAAGTTGCTTCTGGTACCATGGATTGAAGGTCACGTCCGCGTGCATAAAACCTCCGGTCTTAACAATAGGTATATCCACCAAAGGGTTCGCATCAAGGCGCGAAGTGCGAGAATTAATCGGTGTCATGCGCTCATCACAATGATATATATGCACAGGAACTACCTTTCGATGGTACTCTGGCCTGCATATTATGGTAGAGCGAGGAAACCGAACGGCCATCCATGTCGCCTTTTCTTCAACAGTCCGTCCGAAACATATTTGACGGGCAGGGGCGCTACCTACAGACCACTCGATACTCTCTAATTTTCCGATTGAAGGAACTCGTATCGGAGTCGTCGCATCGCCTCTCAATTCGACAATATCCTCCTCCAGTTTGTATAGGGAGATGGCGTTGCCACATTCTCCAGAAGCTACCACCGCAATTGGAATGGCACGGTTTCCTGAACTGTCATTCTCGATATCCACCGCATATCCTAAGTCAAAAAGTGAGGAGACGAGAGGGTCACAAGCTTCACTCATGGTTGTGATAGCGTGGGATAGAGACTCATTGCTACCTGGTGGCCAATAGGCTGCAAGCTCAGGATAAACCTTTGGTAGAAAGTCTTTATTCTCGCTTTCATTCTCAATCAATGATGACTGAGAGGGTGCTGTAAGGGGTGATGGTATGGATACCCTTGTCACTCCAGCATAGGATATGTTTGATGCTTAACAATGACTTAGTAAATGCCGCCTTTTCTCCCTTGCTTGTAAAAGCTTACCCGGTGCCAAAGTCCGTGAGAACACCCAAGTCTGTGCTTCCGAATCATATATCGCTCTTCCGACGTGCCCATATTGCAGAGCACTTAACCCATTCATCAGGCCTCTCTTTGCTGCTAGAGATTTGGGCAAGCCCTTGTTTTGTGAGCATATCGGGAGCCAATCTACGGATATCAACGATGCTCCTTAACTGGTTCAATCGCGGGACGATGCTCTTGACAGCTAGCAACCAACAATCTGTAGGTATGGATAGTACATATCGAAAAGATCTGTTCCAGCAGACTAGAGATTCTGCCTGCTTACGCCGCCTTAAGCACGTGGTTCCCCTGAGGATGAGCTCTTAATCCAACATCAATCTGCGCTGTGATATGGATTGATGTGTTCTACTTTATTTATGTTAAACTATGCTGTCCTTTATATTTCCATTTTGACTATGTGAACTGATTATAATCTTGTAACTAACTCTGTTGAGCTTTGGCCGGGTCTTCCACTCAGGTGCCAAGCTTGGTTTAGTCCCGACGGTTGGCGGCGCAACGCAATCAGTTGAATGACAACAGTCAATCAGAACACCAGCTGAATAGGACGACAAGCGTACCTGAGCAGTATACAAGCCCAAAAAATACCAGGCAGTGCACTCATCATGTCCTCATCATTTGAGCCATCACTATCAATCAGCGGCATGCGCCCGCCTCTTACGTCGGCAGACGCGCCGTCAATGGCCGACTCTTTGCCCAGTATCAACTTTGGTTTCGAGGACTTGCGTAATCGCATGGCTCAGTTTACAGCTCGTTTTGATGCATTTATTGATCGAGGCAGGAAGCAGGTTCTGGAGGAGAGAAATCAGTTTAAGATTGGATTGGCGGAGCTTCAAGGTGTGTAATTCTAGAGGAGCGGGGAGGCAAATCGAGTGCGCTGTTACTAACAAATTGTCCCAGAGGATGAGCGAATGAAACAGAGGGATATTGAGATATTGAATCTCAAATATCAAACTCACAAGCAGACACTTCAAAAAGAATCAGCCGAGGCTGCCGATATGCATACTGCGATCTCATCGGTGACATTGGAACGCGATTCCCGCCTTGCCAAACGCGATCGCCTCAAACAACAAATTGACGAGACCCAAAAGGCCACCGCCCAGAAACTAGAAGCCCAGAAGGCCCATGCCAGACACTTAGATGCGCAATCCCGTCTGAATGTCCCCGAGCTGGAGTTTTGGCAAGAGTACCTATGTCTCAGGATTGAGGGAGCTGGAAGAGAGGATCGCCTCAAGTTTATTTATAGCCATTTGTTGGAGAAAGATTGGGAGGCAGAAGCTTGGTTTGAGCTGAGCACCACTAGTCGCGATTACGAGGTCTTCCACACACGGCCTAAATTGGATAAGGAAGCCCTTGGACGAGAGCTGGATATCGTCAATGAGGATCGTGACTTTGGCGCATTTCTAAAAAGAATGCGTAAACTTTTTATCGAAACAATGAAGTAATAATATGGATACTGTACATGAGAAGGGGGCACGTATACTTCATTTGTTTACAACAGCATTATGAAACTTGTAATGATTATGGAGTCTAGTCGGCGACTAAGGGGAGTCATAACTTAGCGTTTGTTGAATTTGATAAGAAAGAATCTTCATCTAAATACTCATGGTAGTGCTACAAATGTTTCGAATTTATTTTATGATATCAACCCCCAGTAGCCTCCCGGTAAAATGATATGCTTCGGTTCGCGCCAGCTGTGGCAAAGCCTTCTGATCTTCCAATCTTTGGCAACCACTTGACACTCCATAAAGCCTTATCGGTCTCGGAGTGGGTCGCAACACAAGTTCTTGCATCAATGGACCAGACTTTAACCTTCCCGTCAAACGATCTTGTAGATAGTCAGCCTCAAACCAGTGATAGCAGTTGACAGAGGGGATTTAAATGAGCTTACCCACTCAAAAGATACTCCCCTGTGTAGCTCCAAGAAAGCGATAAAACCCATGCCGAATGTCCTGAGAGGCTCGCCACCTGTTCGCCAGATGACGTATCATAGAGCACAATGACTTTGGAATCTCCAGCCGCAGCAAGGAACTTTCCACCAGGAGAGAATGCCACTGCCCGTACAGGTTTCACCAACCCTTGAAGAATTCAGATACAAGGTCTTAAGTTTACCCAGTAGAAGAGGATCAATGCAATATACTGACCTGAGAGGCTGAACGGCATACGATCCGTTTCTGTGCTGAATATATAGACACTACCATTCTCGTGACCGCTGGCTATAAAGCGACCATCTGCCGACTGTATATCTGTCAGCATAGCCAAACATACAGAATGAAGTTTATAGCCTACCATATCAATACAGGTGCCAAAACTCCCTTTTGTTTCATAGTCACGAATCTGGTTGCCGTTCGACTTCAAATCCCAGACCTTGATGTGTCCGTCTTGGCTCACGCCAGCAAGATACTGGCCATTCTGCGATAAGGTAACAGCCCAAACATCGGCAGATCCTGCATCATTGGCTGTCGTAGGTTAGTTCAAGGATGGTTATCCTATGGGTGCAAGCCAAATAGACAGGTAAGCAATTCAGTACCTGAGACTGTCTCATCTTGCGACCAAGTTCCACCGTCACAATGCCAAATCTTGATCTCGCCTCCAAACCCGACACTGACTGCCCTCGACCCATTTCCATCCGCTGCAATATGATGGCATCCAGCCTTATGGGCACCATCAATTGACTGGATGAGGGGAAATTCGGGGTCTGTAGTCGAATAGACCTTGATCGCAGAGGCCCCCGATGCCGACAAGACTTGACTGTTGGTCACTGCCAACGAGAATATGTCGATTGGGTGGGCTGTGTTTGGGTTGTCAATCAAAAAGAACAAAATTAAGGGCTAAAGTGTAGGGGAAATCTTAATACCATTGTCGGCGGAACCACAAGAGAGGTATTGCTTCGACTAAAGGATTAATGGGGTCGCCGTGTTAGAGCTTCGTGTGAACAAAAACTATTGGATATAGCTCTTCAGATCTTACCATTGCTAGAAAAACATGGGTACCGAAGAGACGGGGTATTTAAATCCGGGAAGATAGTAAATTTGTTGAGTTGGAGTTCGATGCGATATGATGACCGACAAATAGTGGGACACAATCTGTTGTCGGATGAGATCATGTGTTGTTTCTTCGCACGTCCATGACACAACTGTGGGCCACACTACGAGATTTAAGAGTGCTGGAGTTCCCAGACGCAGGAAGATATAAGCATAGATATATGCAATCGATCATTAGATTGATATTCAACATTTATACAGGAAAACAAGCTAAAAGATATGTATACATTCCGTGTTATATACCTAGACGCCAAGTGCCATACAGTAAGCATTTATCCTACACTTCATGTACATCAAATAAACCCAAGAAAAAACAGTATAAAAGTACAACCCTGGAATGTGCACCATAAACATTCTTTATCTCTTCATCTTTTTCTCTTTCTCATTTTGTAAAGTAAAACGCTTTTCCACTATGCTCTTTGACCCCTCACTGATCCATTATGCTGTTTACGTTTGCTTCCATTGCTTTTTGATATCTACAGGAACAGATTCACAGTCAGATATGCTGCAATCACAAGGGTGACAGAGAGTCGAAGACCTACTTTCAACACAATGTGGGCACAAAAAGTGAGCGCGCTTCATTTGGCCGCATCCAGGGCAGGTGTTCAGACTCTTCAAGTCCTTCAGACCCTTGCCAGCCATTTGCCTATGACGCTTCTTCATATGTGAGGTCTTCTTCTTGGGCACAGCCCGGAGAACGGAATCCCAAATTCCAGACAGCAAGCCCGGGATATTCAACGGAAATGCGGCAGGTACCAGTCGGGCGGGGGAGTTCAGGACATATCGAGGCCATCGCCCGGCAGCAAATGGCAGAGGGCGGGAGATCATCTGCGAAAATATGGCGGAGGGAAGCGATCGCAGCGCCATTTCGTCGCAGGGCACACAAGGAGAGTGAGAATTACCGGTCTTGAGACTTGAAGCTTTTCTTTCGGGATTACTGAATTTGGACCTGGAGACAAACTAGTCCAGATTCGGACTAGCGGCCCCCTGAGAGACGACAGTTTAAGGGGTCCAGAGGAAGATGACATTGCATCCCTCTTCCTCCAGACCGACTGGTATCGTATCCTGGGGGTAGACGACAGCAGCAGATCTCTTGTGCTCTAGACCTTGTTGGTCTTCCTACCTCTCTTTCATCATCACCAATTGAACCCCCATCCGCCGGATTCATCATCGATTTTCCTTAAGACTACAGCATTCACCTGTTTACTACCCCCGTCCTCTCTCGCTCGCTACTTCTTCCCCCAACTTGACTTTCTTTTGAACATGGCGGCTACATCTAGCACGGCCTCGACCTCTCCGGCTACGGTCTTTCCTCGCAGCCATGTTGGTTTTGACAGTATCACCTCCCAGATTGAGCGGAAGCTGCTCAAGCGTGGCTTTCAATTTAACGTTATGTGTGTTGGTATGTTCTGCCTCGATATGAGATGATCTTGCACCACCTACCTAGTATGCTAACTCCATGGGCAGGACAAACCGGTCTAGGAAAATCCACCTTGATTAACACCATCTTTGCTTCTCACTTGATTGACTCGAAGGGGCGCCTGACCCCCAATGAACCCGTGCGTTCCACCACAGAGATTCAGGCCGCTTCCCATAGTACGTTACACCTATCGATATATGCAAGAGGGCATTACTAACCGGTTATGACTAAGTCATTGAGGAGAACGGCGTGCGTCTCCGGTTGAACATTGTTGATACCCCTGGATATGGTGACCAAGTTAACAACGACAGATGGTATTGACTCAACAATTGTCTTGTGATGTTCAGGCTAACCCTTTTGACAGCTGGGATCCGATTGTGAAATACATCAAGGATCAGCATTCGGCATACCTCCGAAAGGAGTTGACCGCTCAGCGTGACCGCTATATACAGGATACCCGTATCCACTGTTGCTTGTTCTTTATCCAACCCTCCGGCCATGCGTGAGCTCCATCCAATCGCCTGTTGGAATGTAAATAAGACTAACCGCCAGATTCCTTCAGTCTTAAACCAATTGATATCGTGGTCCTGAAGAAGTTGTCGGACGTTGTCAATGTGGTCCCCGTCATTGCGAAAGCCGATTCCCTTACCCTCGAGGAACGTCAGGCGTTTAAGGAGAGAATAAAGGAGGAATTCGCCTTCCACAACCTGAAAATGTACCCTTACGATAATGATGAGTTCGACGACGAAGAACGAGCTGTCAATGCCCAGATCAAGGTATGAACTTTCGCGTGTCGGCCCTGTTCGTTCGCTCTCTAACTTCTACTCAGGATATTATCCCTTTCGCGGTTGTCGGAAGCGAGAGGACGATTGTTGTCAATGGTCAGCAAGTTCGTGGCCGGCAGAACCGCTGGGGCGTCATCAATGTGGAGGACGAGAACCACTGCGAGTTTGTCTATCTGAGGAACTTCCTTACCCGCACTCACCTCCAGGATCTTATTGAAACAACAAGCCAGATCCACTATGAGACCTTCCGTGCGAAGCAACTTCTTGCACTCAAGGAGAGCAGCGCAGCGGGAGGCCATACCGGTGGTAGCCGACCCATTAGCCCCTCTGCCGATAGGGAACTGAGCCGGAACTCGCAACGGGTGGCAATGAACGGCTATTGATCGTGCTCTGAGAGACCCGCTGGGAATGAATTTCAATGAATTGTGGAGCATACATTCTAAGCCGCCTGCTTCCCTACTCGACAGTATACAGCTTCAGTCGGCAGCTCTTCTCAAGTGCTATCTACTCTTTTCTCGCTCTCTCCATCTCTCAGTCTAGCAGCAGGCACTTATAGGTATTTTTTTTTATTATTTGAAGCTTCCGTACTAGTCCTATCTTCTACCTATACGAGAGAAAGTGACTTACCAAGCCCACCAATTTTCTTATGATTTCGTTCTTGCCGATCGGAAGGTGAATCTAGCATCGGGAACGCTAGAGCCGTCTCCTAATATTTGATGTACTTAATTTTTATCCGCTGGGGAAACTTCTCCAAACTGCATGTTGCGTTCTAAAGCCATAATCATAACCTCTTTCTGGGATTGCTTTAACCGAACTCTTAACTCCATATATATATGTTCTCTACCGCCGGTACGTGATCATTGCTGCGCTCCAAATCGACCCCCATCAACAACCCAATCCCTCAGTTCCTCGTAAGCCTTTTCGAGGTCGTCGTTCACAATAATTTTGTCGTGGGCTCCGGGTTGTTTAGAAAATTCAAGTTCGTTTTTCGCTTGTGCAAGGCGCTTGCTTCGTATTCCACGTAAAATTAGCATTGTACACGTTCGCATTAAGCAATCGTCGGAATACACCCCAGGCACTGCCGGGAATATTCAACATACCTCAGACTATCCTCAGTCTCCGTGCCTCGCCCACGTAGCCTCTTTTCCAATTCTTCAATTGACGGTGGTGCCAGGAACAAGAAGCGAGCATCGAGATCGGTACGCTTGACCTGCTTCACACCCTAGATCGTTCGGTACCGTCAGTCGTTTGTTCTAAACTGCTTTCGCATGCTTTTTTTCTCCTTTTTCTTTAGGACCCCTTCTGCCCGGCTCCTATACCATGCATCCAAAGAGATTTTTATTACCTCCATTTCTATGTCAAGAATACATATCCTGCCCTTCTGTGCAATATCCTTGACCGCTTGGACGCTGGTGCCGTAATGATTGCCGCCAAACTGCGCATGTTCGATGAAGCCATTTTGGCTAACGAGGTCCAAGAAATCCTCCTTTGTTGTAAAGTTATACTCACGTCCATGCTCTTCGCCGAGTCGAGGGGCTCGAGTGGTATCTGGATTGATTGAACAGATATGGTTCAGCTCAAATTGCAGTATGATGCGGGGTTATCCGAGGTACAGACGGGAAACCGAGAATCCAAAAGTATCGGGATACTCAGCGAATAGTCTCTTGAGCAGAGTCGACTTTCCCGTGCCAGAGGGACCTGATACGACCACCGGACGGAACTTGTGAACTGCAATTGTTGTTAAGGTTGGCCAGCAAGGAGGGGTTGCGGAAGGTAATTTCGTGGGCCATACCAGCGCTCGAATCCATTGTGACAGTCCGGTAGCGGGATACAACTGAGAAGAGATTATTGGGTGAGAATATAGTTGCTCTGGGCTTTAGAAAGCAATGCATGAAATTATAGAGCGCTCAGACGAAAAGGTGAATTGGTCATTTTACTCATCGAGCCGATCAGGCTGCGGCAAAACCAGAGGCGGTGAGACGACCTGATTAGAGACAGAACAGTGAATGATTACATTTCTAAGTATATTATACCCTATCACAGCATAACAGGAGGATAATTGACAGACACTTGTGTTGGTCTTCAGTGAAACTGATTAAATCCTTCTCAGGGCTTTGACTGAACGGTATTCTCTTGTGAATTCTGCGACTCCTGTTCGAGGAAATTGGACCAGAGTTCTGCCAGTGACTCCTTGCTAGTGTTGCCATTGTCCAGGAATTCGGTGGCTAAACTTGGTGTGCTAGGTGTACGGTGAATAGGTGTACCAGGGACTCGAAGATTCCCTGTGTTGGAGGCTCCAGGGCGTGCCAGGCCGGCCTGTTCACGTTGTTCTATTTTGGACAGTCAGTCCCACTCCCTTAGTTAGGGATGCTTTGAGCCTACCATCTGACCAGCCTAACAGCGCTGCAATAAGTTGCAGAATCTGAAATTTCTTTGGGTCTGACCGGTCAAGGGCCAGAAAATGTAATAGGTGATTTGTAACAATATGCCTATAGAACAGGAAACATTGATCAGTTTGATTGGATTTCAACATGCACCCACGTTTCGCAAGACGTACCTATCCACGTTGTCTTCCGGTTTTCCTTTCTTGAGAAAACGTAAAGCCTTCGTCAGGTGATCGTTCAACGTCACTGCTTCGTGCCGAAGTTTTCCGATCAAGAGATTTTTCTCCCTTACTTCTTTCTCAAACGGTCTCACTCGCTCAAGCTCATTCTGGGCCTCTTGAAGCGCTTGTTCTGCTTCCGAGGCTTTCTTCCCCGCGCCGTGAAGTGTTTGTTTAAGCTCCTCAAGTTGAGCGTCGGAACTCTCCACAAGCTCACGAAGCTCCTGTTTTCGAGCTGAGGCTGGTCAGCATTCGCCTTATAAATTGTACCTCTGGAGTCGACCTACCTGTTTGTATCTCCTGTAAAGCCCGCTGCAATCCATCTACAGTCGCTAGTTGGGAATCGCTCTCAGCAGAAGCCCTTTCGTAGGCATCTCTGAGGTTGGCCACTTGCTCCTCCAGGTCTATAACTTTCTCACCAAGGTTCTCCCGGATAGATCGCTCTTCCATAGCAAGGACCTCCCAATTGTGCATGGCCTCCTTAGCCTGTTCAAATTCCGATTGGAGATATGATTCCTGTTCAAGGAGTTCTTCTTTCTCCTTCAACCAGTTCTGTTGCGATAGGTTTGTTCTGTCTCGCAAAATCGAAATCTCCTTCATCCTCTCCTCATTTCCTCGGAGGAGTTCATCAATTTTCGAATTTTTTGATTGAACTTCTTCTTTCAGATTTGTATTTTGTTCTTCCAGCTCCTGGATCTTCGCTCTTGCTTGGCCCAGTTCCTCCTGTTGCAGAATTAGTTAGGAGACAAACAGTTTAGCAAGACAGGATCAACGTACAGCATCTTCCTTTAGTCTCTCACCCAGCTGAGATTTTATTGTATTCACTCTTTCCAAAAGCTTTTGAAACTGTGTTTCCGCAAGCTCTTTTTTGCTCTCAGCATTCTCCAATCTATGTTGCAGAGCTTCCATGTCTGCACGATGCTTGGATTGTATCTCTTCTAAAGACTTCCGCATGTCTGTCACCTCGGCACGTAGCGAGTCCCTGTCACGTATAAGGGTATCGAATCTCTCATTCGACTGAAGCGCATCAGGGTATGACGTGGTTTCGTTGTCTGCATGTTCGGTTTTATCGCCAGGGGCCGGTGCCCCCTTGTCTTCCGCAGGTTTACCTGTTGAATCGCGTAGACAGTTTGTTGCGGTTTTGCCCGCTTCGCTATCCTGACTCTTCTTCACATGCCCCTCAACTGCGCCGGACTGTTCGCCCTGTTGTTTGTTATTAGCACGAGTGGACTACTTGCCATTCTGAAATCACATACACTTGATTCCAAAGATACAGCAGCATTATCCACTGATCCCTCGTTCTCAGAAAGTCTCGTGGTAACCTCTTCCGTGGCTTTGGCTTTACCCTTTTTCTTGGCCTTCGATTTTCCGCCTTGTCGATCGATAACAGTCAGCATCATGGAGCGCACAGGTAAGATTGGAATTACATGGGCATAGATACCTTCAGGCATTTCCGTTGGGTTCCCCGGAGGGAGTAACGCGTCCGTTCTAGGGCACTTGATAAAAGGTCTTGTTTTGATGGTGTTGGACTTGCCGCGATCAAATCCAACCATAGTTGTCAACATCACTAGCGCTCCCGACACCTGTCTCGCTTAGGTATGCAAGCAAACAATCTACCTTTCAGACACTTAGGACCAACTGACTTGCGAGGTTTTATAATTGAAAATATTTTTATTATGAAAGTAATAATTAAATAAAGGCGTCGATTTGTTTAGCATAAACTTGTCATCCTAGGGTCAAAAGCCATTAAGTTGATACAGCTCTCTTAAATATCTTTAAAAGTCATGCATACAACTGCACAGAACAGTATCTGGGCAGCATAAAGGTAATAAAGTGCATCGGTTTATGATTACCCAATAGGAATCGAAGGTGCCCTGTATAGGACAGATTACCATTGAATGCGTCCTGGCTCTCGCTGCACTCTGACACAATCACCATTATCGGGAGCAGGGTGAATCAGGAGAAATAGGAGAGAATCCGCCGTAGTTTGGTTGCATAGAAAGAGTGATTTTCTTTCTTGCTTCCTTTTCTTTATATCACTGTCCGGCAGTGTCTGAGTTGCGACAAACATATACAAGATAGAAATTACACCAGAGCTTTGTTGTACCCTATAGAAAATGATATGATACATGCATTCCCCTCTATTGGACTCATCTCATTCGAGTACACTGATAATTACAGAGGCTGCGTGGATGTATAGATCTCCGAAGAAAAAAAAAAAATAAAATAAAATAAGATCAGCCGTATATACTCCAAAATCAAAATCGACAAATCCACCGGGGTATCCTGTGAAGCCCAATGCACCGGTTGTATGCGCTGCCTCCATTTCTCGACCCTGAAATCCATTCATGTTACATGCGCTGTCCCCGATAATAGTTGACATCATCGGCAATGGGCCCCGCGGAATCCATCGTTAGCGGTTCTTCGTGAGTAACTTCGACCTCAGGCTCATTCATTGCCATAGTGACCCGCTTCTCACCTTGGGGAACGCGACGACGGGTTCGCACTGACGGCAACAAATCTATGGCGAAGGAAAGAACATAGAAAGTAAATATAAGAGCGATCACTACAGAGCCATAGTTAGTCGGAAACGCAACACAAGGAACATGACTATATTCTTTACCCCATTCTATGACTGCCGCCGCATTTCTGTGGCCTCTGCTTGGAAGAACACCAAAGGCAATGGCCAGAGCGATTTCAACTACCACGAAGCATGCCTTGATGACGAAACTGGCTAACAAGACCCGATGTTGTGAGCGGTAGAAAATCCCGAGACGTAGATATTCGGCACAGATAAGGATGGCACTGATCAGATAGCCGACCCTACATCAATCAATGATAATCAGTGCCCTGGCGTTCTTTGCTCCGCTACAGCACGGATGAGGTCTCACAGGAACATAACTAGGAATCCGGAATGTAGATTGGAATGGCGAAGTGTGTCAAAGATAGAGAGCAAAATGAGTCCCAGGGCCCCGGCCACCGCGAAGAAAATCGACCCAATTGCGCAAGCCTTGTCGAAAATACCCTTGTTCGGCACTAATTGGCCTGCATGGCGTAACCATCGCTCGGCGATGAACGAGAGATCCAAAAACACCACCGTGACCACGCTGCCGGCAATAAAAAGTGGCTTCAAACTTTGCGCTCCAACATCGGAAATATATCTGGCATGATTCATGGTCAACCACGGCGTGAAGAGTCCACAGTGGAATAAGACCTACGCGATTGTCTGTCCCTTCTCCATGCTGGCGTAAATGGGAGAACCGACTACAACCCAGTGACCGAGCATTGCAAGTAGCATTGCTGGAAGGCCATGTTAGTATCTCACGTCTCCAGGATGCATTGGAAGAGCCATACCAATCCACATGCATGCCGATATGATTGGAAAGATCCAAAATGAGATCACCCACATTTTAGAGACTTGTGCTTTACTGGAGCTAGAATGATTGTATATCCAGATAAGTGAAATAAATGGAGAGAAAGTATATCAATCAAAGACGAGAGAAGGTAAATTTAAAGGAAAAAAAAAAAAAAAAAAGGGAGAGAGAGAGAAAGGAAGTGTGAGAGACACCAAAAAAAAAAGGGAAAAAAAATATTGATGACTTATTGCATCCAACTTTAGTCTGGTCGAGCAAAGAATAAGCAATTGGTTCGAAGTATAAGGAAGTGGCCGGAATCTGCGGGTGGCTTAGATGGCCGCAACTCCTATCGGCGTCGATCTTTTCTAGATCCCACGTTACCGGGAGAATAAGCAAAAGCAGAGAATGATAGGATATCTCACCCTGAGGTCTCTGCCAGGACTCGTCAATCAATGGTCTAAGCATACGTGACGGTCGGGCGAGGAGGGAGTTGACTGAGAGGATTCAATTAGGGTCGATGGAGAAAACTAATTCAGTCGAGTCGATGGTAGTAAGCTTCCACTCTGAATCCGCGGAAACCGGCCTGCAACGGTTCGTCGTGAGAGGTGGAAAAGAAAAGAGACTCGCTAACACGAGGCTATCGACGTCATCTCCAACGTCGGTGAATTAGACTCGGGCGCTTACGACGATCGACTATATACGTAGTTATTGCTCATCACCGCGACGAGGTTGCACCAGCACCTACTGGGTTTGGGTACATACACTTCGATCTATTTGATCTCGTATTACCTGACAATGCAGTTTAACTCATATCAATGTGAACATAACCCACAAACCCCGATCTATTAGAACTCCAATACGTTTTTGATTGTCGCAGAAGCCACACCTGGACTTTAATAATTTATTAAGGCACGCACAGAAAGGCCAAACCAAAAAAACACGACGACGCTCTCATTAGGCAGGAGGGAGAAAAGGAAAAGAAGGAAAGAATATATGGATAAAGAAGGGACACAATGCGGGGAGATTCAGGGACGACGGCGGCGCCGACGGTTTCCTTTGCCGGTTGCCACACGCGCTGAAGGACTGGCCGGGATCTTTCGCTCCACCACATCCACCATCTGCAACTCGTCACTGCTTCCGTCGGAGCTACTCTCTTTATCATCCTCGTCGTCCTGTTCATCAAGGGGATCCTCGTTTGCAGATCCGGCTGCGGTGAGCCATGAGGCAAAAGAGCCTCGCCCACTGCCCGGATGGCGTTCTCCGTAATTTGACATGTATTGCGCTGCTCCTAGCCGGCTCGAAGTACCTCGGGGATCCACGGGACTGCGTAGGGAATACGGAGGTGGATCTCTGGGATACGGTAATTGATAAGTAGGTACCCAATGCGGATCATCGGGAAGAGGACGTTGAAATGCGGTACTTTTCAAGGGAGAGGACGCCTGCGAACGAAAATAAGGGATCGTAGAGTGACGGTCGGCTTTGTGAGGCGACTGGGTCGGAGATGTGTTGGACTGCGGAGATCGCGAGGACTGAGTACGCTGCGAACTTGGAGAACCTGAAGCTCTGGCCCACGTATCATATCCATCACTGCCATCAGCAATGTTATACGGAGCCATTTGCCTACCCTGCCCCGCACTGGATACGCTTCGACGCGTTCCTGTTCTCGCAACCCCACCAGTCGGGGAACCATCTCCCGCCTTTAAACGACCATTTTCGCTCGCCTTTGAAGCAGGACTTTTGCGTTCGAGACTTCCCCCATCTGCGTGCATCCGTTTGCGTTCAAGAGCTTCCAGCTCGGGTTTGGATAGTCGCACGTTCTTCTGTCCCATCACTTGCGCGCGTCGGATTCTTTCCAGTGCTTTGTCCACCAGCCAATCCTCTTTATGCTTCATGGCCAATTGAACTGCATACGCCACTGTACTGTCTGCATCATCGTATATGTCATAATCCATTCCGTCAGCAGATTCCGGTTCATCGCCATAGTCGCTATATCCCACCATTCGTCTCCGCAACTGTGAACCCCCATCCATGTCCATACCAGCGAACAGCCTCGTGTACAAAGCTCGATCATTGCGCAGGATATATTCGTCCTCACTGTCTATCTCCTCGATTCGTGCGTCGTCATCTACCCAAGGAGCCGCCCGTCTCCTGGTTTGTCTCCCCAGTTGTGCCCCTGGTGGTCTTCCCCATCGGGGCATACCGTACGGAGCTCGCGGCCGACCACCTAGACCGCCTCCTCGGAAAAAGCATTCTCGATTGGTTTATCCATGAAAGCCGCATGGCCGAAGACAGTCACTCCCGTCGCACCGATCAGCCAGAGCACAGTCGTAATTGGAGAGGCCCAAAATCCCAGGGGAACGGCCACAATCAACAGTCCGGTGTAAAGCTGCGAGGTGTTGAAGCGAGCAACTCCTAGTTCCAGGTCGCGACCTTCCAGCTTCCCGATACCGTATAAGCCACCGGTAACTAGGATGATAACAAAGAGTAAAACGGGGTTTGTCAGTAAGCTGTAGATGCTGAGCATCACAAAGACCACTGCATAGTTGCTGGAAAAGTAAGACAGATTGTAGTTCACGCGGCTTTGCACCTCGCCAAAATTGGCCGGTTTGGAGATTCGCTTGAGATCAAGAAATTCGGAAACCGGTCGGAGGTTCGCAAAGCGCGTACCAATCGACTGAGCACGCATGCTGCTAAAACGATCACCAAATCGCGAGGTGATGGCGTCGATGGGAATCTTAATGGAGCTCATTGTGACAGAGGGTTGAGGTAGATAGTTAGAGATAAACAAAGATAAATTTTGTGCTACTTCCAATGGATGATGGAGGTCGAGAAATAACAATAGTAAAAAAAAAAAAAAGTACTGGGTAAGTGAAAAAAAGGGGGGAACTTGGAAGCGGCTTAGTTGGTCGAAAGAAATGGTTCACAGCAGACAGACAGACGAGGACTTTAGCCGTTTTTGTCTGGCCCGGTCGTACTTTAACTATAAGAAAATAAGCAATGAATTTATAAACAGCAGCCACAATAATGACAGCCAGGCAGCCACCAACAAACTAACTTGACTGCCTGCTGCTTGGTCGGTACTCAGTGAGGTACTTGACTCTTTTTAGGAGGGAAATACAGGAGAGAAAAAAAAAAAAAAAAAAAAAAAAAAAAAAAAAAAAAAAAAAAAAAAAAAAAAAAAAATCTCAATCCATAATCAAACAATGACAAAACAGGCTTCCGAAATCACTGGGGCGGTGCTAAGAATAGAAAAAAGTGGCCGTCGTTCGCGGGCTTGGCTGAGAGCGGAAGAATCAGTCGACTATGAATTAATTGCCTGAAAGGATGAAAACGAGCCGCATCTCGTCGGCCCCATTCTTCAGCATGGATGAGGTACCAGTACCTGCCTTGCACCGCGTAGTGAAGGGTGGTCAAGTAGGTACTCGGACACCCAGGGCATGTGCTTGGGACTGAAATCAAAGAGGCAAAGAGGAGCATAATAGACGAGGGGGACATTCATGGAATTTAAACCTACTTCCCCTCTTAACTTCCCCCAAATTACTATATTCTATTAGTTCATCACATTGGGTATTAATCTGTGGCCTACTAATTGATAGTACTGACTGAAGTGCCTGCCAACTTAGTCCTCTCTCCTCACCTCTTCAATCGTCTGAATAACTGGCTATCCCAATGATTGGTCCACGTTGTTCACCTGCAGAGTGGATCACACCCGTACGGTACGGTACTGTCTGGTAATTTAATACTGATTGCCTTTATGCCTGATGACAAATAATTTTTGCCTGAGAATGAAGGCATTCAATAGTTCATCAGGACAATTATGTAATTTCGCCCCAATCTCCAGGAAGACTCTCCCCTCAGACAACCACCCTTGTTCGTACTCTACAACTCCTTCGGTGGTAGACAGCCTGGGTGGTAATCCTTGCAGCCTCATCTTACATTTGTTCGTGGGCTCGGCGGTTTTGTCCGCTTCCCCTTGAAGCCCTTCGTCAACCATGAAGTCGGTAGCACTCCGCCTGTTACTGTTTGCTGTCCTATTTGTACTGGCCGCGGCTTGGACTAAAGAAGGTCGGCTCTCTACACCCCTTTTCGTTTCTTGACTTCTTTTTGCATGCTATTTTTACTCCCACCTTTGTGGCTTGTTGCCCAAATATGCTAACCTCCATGTGTCTCTAGATTATGAGATCTTCCGCCTTCGTGACGAAGTTGCTTCTGCGGAGGGCGCTAATGTGACTTTCTACGGTACAGTTGTCTTTCTCCCTATAGAAAACACTCTTTCGTCCATGGTGTGTCTGATTTGCCCGGTCGGTAGACTTCCTTGAAGTGCAGCCCAATGCCAACCAGGATGAGTTGAACAAAGCCTATCGCAAAAAATCAAGACTTCTTCACCCCGATAAAGTGAGACGATCTTTTGTTGCCAATAGCTCTAAAGACAAGACCAGGTCGAGATCGAACAAGCCTGGTGTTCATGTCAACAAAGGTCCCTCGGAACGAGAGATTGCTACGGCTGTCAAGGAGGCTCATGAGCGAGCCTCACGCCTCAATACCGTTGCGAACATCCTTCGTGGTCCAGGACGCGAGCGGTATGATTATTTTCTGAAGAATGGGTTCCCCAGGTGGAAAGGTACCGGCTACTATTACTCGAGATTCCGTCCTGGCCTGGGTTCCGTGCTGGCTGGGCTGTTTTTGGCCTTTGGGGGTGGCGCTCACTACGGGGCCTTGATCCTGGGCTGGAAGCGCCAGCGGGAGTTCGTTGATCGGTATATTCGTCAAGCGAGGAGAGCTGCTTGGGGTGATGAGTTGGGCGTTCGGGGCATCCCCGGATTTGATTCAGTGAATGCCACTGCGTCGTCGTCCACACCGGAACCAAGCGAAGCGACTGCCATACCAATGAACCGTCGCCAGAAGCGAATGATGGATAAAGAAAATCGCAAGGAGTCGAAGAAAGGGTCCCGAGCTACCTCCCGTGCTTCCGGCACGTCCACACCCACCACAGAGTCTGTAGAGCCCACCGGTGAAAGGAAACGTGTTGTCGCAGAGAACGGGAAAGTGCTCATAGTCGACTCGATTGGTAATGTGTTTCTGGAGGAGGAAAATGAAGATGGTGAACGACAGGAATTCTTGCTTGATGTTGATGAAATCCAACGCCCGAGGGTGCAGGATACAATGCTCTTCCGGATCCCAGTCTGGTTCTACCACAAGAGTTTAGGAAAGTTGGTGGGGTCATTTAACCCAGAGGAGAAACATACTAACGGCGAGGAATCCACCGAATTTGTGGAACAGACAGCAGCCGGTCCTGCGGTTGTCTCGAACGGGAGAACTAGGAAGAGAGGGAAAGGTTCACAAAAGTCTTGAGTTTGTAGAGCAAAGGCTACCATGATAGTTATCGTCATTATCTTGAAACAGGACAATTTTGTCTACTTCTTCCACTGAGAAAAAAGAATAAAGAAAAGGAAAAGGAAAAGACTAGGGCCAATGCTGGGCTGTACAGATAGATGTATTGTTAGAACTTAGAAATAGAGAGAATGCTGCTCCGAGTCCTTACAAGCCCTTTGTTAGATAGATCCGAAGACTATATGTCATTGCTTCTCTGTCCCTCTTTAAAAAAAAAAAAAAAAAAAAAAAAAAAAAAAAGGGCGAGAGCTGGACTGATATAAACGACCATTAAGGCTGGATACGTGGATTTCGACAGAATACCTTTGGAGGGAAAGCCCTGTTATGTCATTGATGCATAGCAACATAATCTTCGATTTTTGACATGATACAAAACCGAAAAGCGTTCAAATAAAAAGCATATCGTTATCATAATTGTCATGATCTTCTATGACTATCTTTGGTATCATCGACATAGGCATGGAACCCATCTTCCAATACATAGAAGCAATGGTTTAAAGGTTCACATGAACATTTTTGCAACATTCATCAGCCCAGTGATATTCTCTGCCATACCACTTCCTCCTCCTCCTCCACCACCACCTTGTGAGGATTGTCCACCTAGGCTTCCCAAAAGGTTCCGAGGCAGACGAATTCCAATCATAGCAAACAATTTCTGCAACACACCGCTGGTAAGAAGCGGTACAACAACCAGGAGAAGAACTTTAAATGGGTGACGGCGAGCATAGCTGGAAATGTCCCGGAATAAACGTTTGATGAAATGGACTACACGCTGAATAAAGCCCGATCGAGGCCGGGCCCGGCGCGAGGATGAAGAGAAGACTGATGGGCTTGATCGACCGGAGCGACTGCCACCACCGAAACTGAAGATTGAAGGTGCCGAATAACGGGAATGATGAGTTGAATATGTAGATCGACGAGAAGGAGAACGTCGTCGGCGGACAGACGAGGTTGTCAGTCCCTCGAACCAACCCATAGCGGCTAGTTGTCTCCGCAAAAGAGCAGGTGGACGACGGCGGACTACGCCTTCTCTGAATAGACAGCGTTGTCAGGGACTGAAATAATCAGTCTGAAGTGTGTGCTGCGCTCGGGAATTTGCTGTGTGGACGGAAATAACCCAAGCAATCAAAAACAGTTATGGACCCAGCTGCTGCAGATGCAGACAATTCCAGAGATCTACTTTAGACCCTTTGCTGCATTGATGGTCGCCACTAAATTTCAGCGCGGTACACAACGATTATACAAGATAAGTATAATCAAAGTGTGATCAAGTATCAAGCTTGTTTACTTGACAATTTCCAGCTGATACTGGTATTGGTATACTCTTCAATGAAATGACATGGAATTTTGAAATGGCAATTGGCAACCCACAAGGTAGTAAGAGGGAAAAGGGGAAAATTGACAGACCCCATCCATGCACGAAAGCTTCAACATATGGGGTCGTAATAATCGGTGGCTGGTGACAGCTGGTGGCCCTCATTGGCCGTGTTCTTCAGGGGCTCCTCCCGTCCCGTCCGAGTGAAAGCAACTATGGTGCCTATGAGAATATGTATGTAAAAATGTAGGGACTTTAGCCCATCCTCCTGTGTGTCGTAGTAGCACTTCCCTTTCTATGGAGTTCAATGTTCGTATATGGTGGGTATCATGGCAAGGTTGGACACCTGAGGCATTCACAGACGACGTCATCCTCAGGCCACCATATGGAGCTCCACGTTTACCCGTATCATGCCCCGCCCCTCAGTTTAAAAGCCTCGAAAAGGAAGTGTCAATATAATATATGTGTGTATGTGTGCCAAAATAGGTCTCACTTAGAGCCCGTAGTGCTTTCTATCCCGGACAGTAGTTTTTTTCATATTGGCAGGGAAAAATCTTTAGACGTCCTTCGATCAAATGAAATAATTCCTTCAACACATCTCAGTGCTCAAGTACCACCGATAGAATGCCTAGTGAGTTCAGGCGAACAGGATCTATCTGAACAGTGACCCGCTGATGCCTTCATTAAATAGGGCAACCCGACTACTGTAACTATCTCACTGACACAGGAGGCACTTGAAACTTTTCTTACCCAAATGCAGACAGAGTCCTAGGTGTATCCCCTTCCGCAACGCAAAGGGAGATTCGCACCGCCTACAAAAGGTGTGCGCGCGAAATTTCCGCAGTTGAAGCGTTGAATCTAAGCTGGACAGGGAATCACTAAAATCACATCCCGATCGAGTACCTGCCGACTCTCCTGAACGCCCTGCACGAACGCGCAGATTCCAGGAAATCAGCGATGCCTACTATACACTTTCAGATGAATCTCGTCGACGACAATACGATGCCACGCGAAGAGCCGAAGCAGAGGTAGAAGAGGACGAAATGCCTATTGGTGGGGAAGGAGGATTCTCATGGTCGACTTTTGGGTTTGGCGCCGAAGACCGTGAACAACGAGCCTCAGAGCAATTTGGATCGGTGTTTGAGGAGATGTTACGCGAAGAAGGGCTTTCTAGCGAAGATGGTGAGGATGGAAGACACACATACACCAGGCCTACCTCCCGATTTTGGTCAATTCTGGGTGGGATAAGTGGCGGGGCACTTGGATTCATTGTAGCCAATGCTCCAGGCGCATTCGCCGGTGCTGTTACAGGACATCGGCTCGGTGCTGTCAGAGATGCTAAAGGTAAAAGTGTCTACGAGGTTTTTCTAGATCTTTCGCAGAATGACCGTGCCCGATTGTTAAGCGAGCTGGCGGCCAAGGTCTTAGAGACTACTATGGGGCGTTAAGAGATCACTAAATGTACCCCTTGTCTCCTAGTATTGATGGACAAAGTCATGTCCAAACACTATTACAAGAATAATACTGTTTGGCCACAGAAAGTACGATTGTTTCTGTGAGCTCTAGCTTGGTATTAACATGTAGTTATTCCGACAGAACTCAATTTCGGACACTTGATATGGCAGCCCGTGGATACAATGTTTCAAGCCACCAGAAGAATGTCTACATTCTCACAGGCGTAGGTTACAAAGACCTATGTACCAGTGTTATCCATAAGCATGAAATTGACCAGCCTTCCTTTTAGCATTATCTATACAACCCAAAACAGGTAAGCTGCATTTGATATACTGTATCTATGTATGTACATCCCGCCTCTCACCGTATGCAGATAGGATACGTTCTTCCTGAATTTATAGAACTTGCTCCTTGATGTTGGCCATTTTTAGTTCCTTTTTCCAGTTAGACAAAATAATTTTTGCTTTCCCTTCTCTTATACCGTAGTTGTTCTCCATTGGCACTTCCTGAGGACATTTAGCACCATGGTCACAGAGGCCCCAGTGTATATCAAGCTCTGGAGGATCGTCCTATAAAGGACACAATTTGTCTCTTTGATGTTGATGGCACATTAACACCTGCAAGAGGGTAGGCAGTGATTGTGACCTCCCTACAGTATCATCCTATACTACGCTCTTCACAACTAGGAATGAGAGCTAACAGTCCCCTAATACTAAGTCTGTATCCCCTGACATGCTCCAACTCCTCTCCCAATTACGCCATAATTGTGCCGTAGGATATGTCAGCCTTTCTCCTGCATCCTTGAAGAAGCTCTGAGTCTTACATTATCCAGGTTGGCGGCTCTGATCTGTCAAGCAACAAGAGCAGCTGGGCACCACAACGAAAAGTTACCTCACTCTTCGATTTCTGCTTCTCCGAGAATGGACTGTCTGCCTTCTGTTTGGGCAAAAGCCCTGATAGTACCAGCTTTATCCAATGGATCGGAGAGGAGAAATACCAAAAATTCGCCAACTTCTGCCTCAAGTACATTGCTAATCTGGACCTGCTGAAGAAACGCGGTACCTTCATTGAATTCCGTAACGGAATGATCAATGTCAGTCCCACTGGGAGAAACGCAAGCATCGAGGAGAGAAATGAGTTTGAAGCGTATGTGCTCATCCTCACACTTGATTGGGCTTCGCGCGAATATTGGATCTTGAGAACCACCAGCTAAGAGATATTGATAGATATGACCAACAACATAATACATGAGGTGCTTTGTAGACGCTCTTAAGAAAGATTTTCTTGATTATAGCCTCACGTAAGTTAGGAAAAAGGTCCCTCAGCAGTCGAGTTGTGGAGAGTATGACATTGACAGTCTTTCGTTGGGATTGGTGGCCAAACTTCGTTCGATGTCTTCTGGGATAAAATATATTGATGGAAACATCTTGAAGCTGAGAAAGCTATCTTGGGCAATGAGTATATGACCATCCTTTTTTTTTTTGACAAGCCTTTCCCCGGAGGTAACGATTATGAAATCTACATCGATCCTAGAACGATTGGACATGCTGTTAATGCGCCTGAAGATACCTCGAAGCAAGTGAAGGAATTATTCCAACTGTAATTATTTGTTTATTCTTCTTAAATAAAATTAATGCCAGCTCTATCTTCCCCAGGGGTGATATATATCTTGACATCAAATAAATCTGGATATTAGCAAGATGTGATGGCCACATTATGTATAGTTAACTCTTAGGCAACTTGTGAGCGTGCGCTTTAACAGTTGTACGCCGGAGTTTATGATATTGCTATCTTTAGTCATTGCCGATTTTAACCGGCGAGGCTCTTTTCGTGTGGCTGAATTTGGTTGCCAAACTGGAACAAAAGGTTAATAGTTAATAAAATAAAGTTAGTCATCTAAACTCCCACCTGAACAAACATTTTGAGCTACAAGTTCCATGCGAGGGTGTCTCTATCCCTCTTCTTACTTTTCTCCCGATACATTATCCTTTCAACTTGCTTTAAGAATGGCGCACCAGAAATCTATCTCGGAGGTACCACGTTCCATCCTCCCTCGTTTGACATGGAATAGTTCCTCTGCGCGTACCTCAGTCCACCCCCCTCAGACCAGTGCTCTTTCTGCAAGGCGTCAGCAAAAGCAGCAGCGCATGTATTCTTGGGTCTCAGGTGGGCGACAACTACATAACTCGACACTTTTATCCGGCTCTTCCATCTTCCTCTCCGCCACAATCCAAGAAACAGTGTCACCAAGTGTTCGGCGAGCAATATCAACAAGCAGTGCCTCAAATCACCCAACTTCGGAACCAGCTAGCAACCCTGTTAGATATAATGGTGTCTACGTCGCTACTTTCAAACCCGCCCGGCGCGCTTTCCATGCCTCGGCTTCCCGGCAAAGGGATCACCATTTTGATACCTTAAAGTTTGTGCAACGGCTTAAGGATGAAGGATTTAGTGAAGAACAGGCTGCTGCCATGATGAGGGTTCTTAATGATGTTATTCAAGAATCAATCCAAAATTTGACCCGCACAATGGTTTTGAGAGAAGGTGAGCGTCATCTTCTACCATCGATTCTTAAGCTAGCATCCGCCTGTCACGCGGCACATCTGGACGGATTCACTTTTTCATCACACTATTCCCAAGGCTCGACTTATTTGCTAACTCTTTGCAGATACTGAAAGATCGACGTATACACAGAAAGTCGATTTCGCTAAGCTTCGCTCCGAACTTCTCAACGCAGACTCCACCGAAGCCCAGTTGACTCGATCATCACACGAGAAGATCGCTGCCGATCTTGCTAAGCTCAACTCACGACTACGAGACGAGATTGGGCGTACACAAGCCTCAGTCCGTTTGGACCTAAACCTCGAGAAGGGCCGCATCCGGGAAGAAGCGAACAGCCAGGAGATGCGAATAAAGGAGACAGAAACAAGAATAGAGCAAGAAGTTGCGGGGCTGAGAGAACGAGTGGAGGCTGTGAAGTTTTCCACGCTACAGTGGCTCATGTATGATCCATATACACACCCCGTAAAATCGGTCTTAACATTGCTGACATTTATGCTTCAAGGGGTGTTTGCACCGGTACTGCTGCCCTCATTTTGGGTGCTTGGCGCCTTCTGATGTGAACTGCTATCTCCGCACCTCTTTCTATCTCATAGATTTCTCAACCGGTTATTCCCACTTTGACGCGGCCTTCTCCTACTGTACTATAATTATTACCCTTATCCTTTGATTTTGATCAATGAGGACAGATCATGAAAAGTGAAATCTTCTTTCCATGTCATTCACTTTTGGTGTTGTCTGCACTGCTATTTTCATTATTAGCAATCTTGTTGTTATTAGTATGGTCAATCCAGGCTGGGACTGGAGTTTTGTTGATTCATGACCTAGCCTGGTGCAAAAATGGGCTAGCTGTTTCTCTCATGTCTTTTACACTTATGTCTATAATTTATCCCTCCTACAAAAACCCTGGAACTGTTCTAAGCCGATTATCGAACCAGGCAATTCAATGGAGTCTTCGGGGTGGGTTACATGCGCTACCATCGGCCGCGCAAAAAGTGAGGGGAAATGGAGTCTAGTCTACTAGTGAGCTCGGAGTCCGGCGCTGGACTTTGCTGGTAGGTACGACCAGCGTCACTGAAGAGTCCATATCCTGTTGTTAATATCCTATCAGAAGACAGACTAGGCAGTCAACATGTGGGTTTTCCTGCACGTTGATTTGAGGTCTCTATCCTATGTCTTGGTTTTAATGGAGCAGAGAGATAAGCCCAATTTGTAAAGAGATCTGATCCACCACTATAAATGGATCTTTTCCATTGAAGCCACTAGTATGAGAGTGATTCCGGACTATTAGTATTCTTGTTTTCCGGCCTCCTGAATCCTGAATACTGATCCTATTCTCATGTCCGATTCTTTGCCTCTGTTGTAAATTTGCACTGCACATTTTAACCTTGCTGCTAAAAAAAAAAACAAAAAAAAAAAAAAAAAGGAAAAAGAGAGAAAGGGCTCCTAGCGTCCTGATCACAGAAGTTGGAAGTTCCGGACTGCGCCAACTTGAATATCATACTATTGTCCTATAACGCAATACTAAGACGATAGGGTTGGAGGAGCCAGAGAGGTCTTTACTATAGATATGCTACTCTGCCTTTGCACGTTTTTTTGGATTGGCACTATTTTTGTCTCCTCGTGTAGTGCTACTTTAGAGGTCTTGCAGGAGTATCAGCCTGTACCAATCCCACATAATGGCAACTTGAGCTGTCACCACGAAGTTTTGCTAATGCAGCATGTGTTCGGCTCGAGTTACGGCCACCCATTCATCGGTGAGCGTCTAGTCCCCAACTACTACTGCTGCAGTCGATTGAAAATTCCCACCAGGTCATTATGAGCCACCTCAGTGCGACTTTAACTTTGTTCGAATAAACCTCACGGTTACGTCCAGAGGCCGGCAGTTCGACCGACTGGCACTCATGTACCTGGGAGATAGTGAAGTATTTCGTACTTCAACAGCAGAGCCTACTACTGACGGAATTGTTTGGACCTACATTAAGGACATGTCACATTACCGATCATTATGGAAGGAGCAACAAAAGCTGGTTTTTGACCTTGGGAACTTAATTAATGATGTCTACACGGCTTCCTTCACCGTGACCCTGACTGCGCTCTTTTCGCATGGTGATCAAGTCAAAACTGCGGACAGGATCCTTCCAATATCGGCTATGAGGTCATCTCGCAATTCCTCGAGCGCTTTTACTGTTCCTACAGAGAAAGCAAAAATACAACATAAGATTCCTCCTACAGCGTCGCGCGCTGTTGTGTCTATCTCAGCATGCGGTCAATCAACGGAGGAGTTTTGGTGGTCCAATGTGCTTTCTTCAGATATAGGAACATTCAATAGCACAGTGGGGGAGCTATACGGCTATTCCCCCTTTCGTGAGATACAGCTTTATATCGATGGCGTCCTTGCTGGCGTTGTCTGGCCATTTCCTGTCATTTTTACAGGTGGCGTGGTGCCCGGATTCTGGCGCCCAATTGTCGGAATCGACACCTTCGATCTTCGTGAACCTGAAATTGACATCTCTCCGTTCCTTCCTCAGCTCACAGATGGCCAACTCCATTCGTTTGAAATAAAAGTCGTAGGCCTCGATGTCTTCGATGAGTTGGCTTCATTTTCTGATACAGTTGGCTCATACTGGGTAGTCACCGGTAATATCTTTCTCTACTTGGACGCCTCTGGGAAATCACCGCGCTCCAGCCGTTTTAACCGACGAGGGCTTTCTATTATTGCGCCCACACCCCACTTCACGGTCACACGAGACCTTATAAAGAACCAAAATGGGGGGAATGAAACCCTCTTGTACTCGGTCACTGCTGAAAGGACCCTCCTTATCACGTCACATGAATTTTCATGGAATCAAACTTTATCATACTCTAATTTCGGCGTGTTCCAGGATAGGGGTATAACTCAGGCAAATAGGCAGCAAACCTCGGGGAGTACTTCTATCACACTTCTTGGACTCAATAAAACACCAGACCAGATAACCTTCGGATATCCCTTATATGTCAATTCTACCACCAGAGTCACGGGGGAAGGGCAGACAATTGACGCCCGAATGCGTAGGGGTCTCTACATCGAAGCGACAGACGTCACTGGAATCTCCACTTACACTCTCACTTCGGGGCCTTCACGCTTGCACACCGAGCAATGGGGGAGTGCATTTTACCAATCCAAGAACGACAGCTCAGTTTCTTTTGGTGATACTACTGATGTTTTCGAGAGCACTAATATTAGGGGGTCATACCGAAGGACTGTTCACGCAGTAAATGGAAGTATTGTATCAGATACAGATGCTAGAGGTGGAAGGGACTTAGGTAGCTTTTCGTAGCTGCTCCAAATGACCCAGCCAGGATCTTCACTTTACCCATGCTGATTCTGATATCCCTCGAACATGCCTTCAACTAGCTTTGATATGTAATTCATTATACGTCCATGTTGTTCTCAATGTATATGAGTAGGCATTTGTAGTTGGTCAACTTGGGAATGATTGGACCGGGCGAATTGGGTTCTATATGACCCAACCAGAGTTAACGACTTATCTTCACGTGATTGCGCGATAAGATATCAGCTGCCCCAGGCTTCCATTGACTTGACTTCCCCTAGAGCATAGAGGCACTTCCAGAGGCAGTGTGCTGACACAGCAGGGTACGGAATGACTGTGGTACAGGCCGAAATATCCTATCCAAGTAAATTATTTTTCCTTTGCTGTTGTTTTGCAAACCCATCGCTGATTTCACGTACTCCCCAGATCCTGTGCCTTATAATTTGGCCGCTGCGTTTGCGCCAAGTGGTGCGCTCGAGACCGAAGGCCCTCCGGGCAAACGTCGTAAATTGACCTCTGGCTTCCAGAGTCTTCGTACCCTGAACGGCGTGGGGGAGACACAGATTCCGTTGGGTTATATTCCTCTGGCCCGCTTGAATTTGTACCTGGTATGCAAATCCAGGTGCACCCACTAGTTTAGCAAGATTGTCTTGCTCACCTGGCTGACTCCTCCAAATAGAATTTCGCAAAGGAAAAATGGAAGCCAAATGGATCCAGTAGCCTTTTTAGCACTGCATCTTCTTTGCCTGTCCTAATACAGACGGCTACAAACATTGACGCCCCGACTCACTGTGTGACCGGCCTGGGGAATGATTGCTTCAAACTCGAGCTAGTCACCACATCGGGCCGGAATTTTATCTTCGAGGAAGGGTTTACTAGTCCTCATTTATTTGACCTGGGTAAACATTTGTCTCTTACCCAGGGTCTCGTTTGCGCCGACAGGTACTCCAGGAAGATCCCCTCCGTCTGTTACCAGTCTACTCTTTATCGCTCAGATGATACAAGCAGATTTCATCTTGAAACGGTTATCTTATGGAAGGACTCGTTAGTCATAGTAGATCCCAGCCAATTAGCGGGTGGGCCGTTGAAAGTATTCTCCAGGTACGTTCTTCAGGAGCGAGACGATGCCTCAGAGTATACGGGCCAGCGATGGAAGAGTCAGCGAGGGGGCCATGAACTCGGTTGGTCCCCCCGTGATTTCTATGACAACGTCTACGTCCCCCCAGATACTCCAACTTCATCAGCAGCAATAAAGTGCGACTTACTCGAGTGTCAACTCTTTCCGTTTCAGAGGAGGGCAGTTAGATGGCTTTTGCAGAAAGAGGGCATGGAGCTTCAGCAAGACGGGCAAGTGGTTCCTATTACAAGCCAGCCGCAGGATCAGCTACCAGTGTCTTTCCAGAAAATTATTGATGCAGATGGACAGCCCTGCTTTGCCAGTAACCTCTTTATGATAGTCACGAAGGACATGTCAAAATGGTTTGATGCAGGCGTCCAACTTAAAGGAGGGATTCTCGCCGAGGAAATGGGACTGGGAAAGACCGTTGAAATGATCGGGTTGATGTGTCTTAATCGCCGCTTGTTCTCACCTGAGGAAACATTCCCAGTCAGTGGCAATGGTGGATTGAGACCATCGGGTGCAACATTGATCATAACTCCGCCTGCGATCCTAGAGCAATGGGAACAGGAGATCGGGGCGCATGCACCCGGCCTTAGTGTCTTTAACTATACCGGCATCCAACGTCATTCAACACTTTCTGACCAGGAACTCGTAGAGATGATCGCAGATTATGATGTGGTTCTTACTACCTACAACGTGCTTGCTCGAGAGGTACACTATTCCGGCGATGCTCCGAAGAGGAATCTGCGACACGAGAAAAGGTTCGAACCGAGGAAGACTCCACTAGTCCAGATCTCATGGTGGAGGGTATGTCTTGATGAAGCCCAGATGATTGAAAGCGGTGTTAGCAACTCAGCAAAAGTTGCTCGGCTGATTCCTCGTCGAAATGCCTGGGCCGTGACCGGGACACCGCTTCGCAAAGATATCAAGGATCTCCTCGGCCTCCTTCTTTTTCTACATTATGAGCCGTTTTCCGGATTTGTTTGGAATAGACTGTGTAGCAGCTTTAGGCCTGTGCTGGCACGCATTGTTAACGCTATTTCTCTACGACACAGCAAAGACCGCATTCGTAATGAACTTCATCTACCGCCCCAAAAACGAGTTGTCATTACGATTCCTTTTACTGCAGTCGAAGAGCAGCGCTATGGACAACTTTTTGAAAAAATGTGCGAGGACTGCGGCCTTGATTTGTCTGGGGCACCACTCAATGATGATTGGAACCCTGAGAGTCTTGCTGTCATCGAAAAGATGCGGAGCTGGTTAGTCAGGCTTCGTCAGACTTGCCTTCATCCTGCTGAAAACACTCGTCGGGCATTTGGCATTTCTAACGGACCCCTACGGTCTGTGGCTGAAGTACTTGAAGTAATGATTGATCAAAACGACGTCCTTATTCATGCAGATGAGCGGTCGCTTCTTTTGTCTCAGCTTCGACGTGGACAACTTCTAGAGAATGCCATGCACCGGCAACAAGCACTCGATCTTTGGAAAGTTTCATTGGAGCATGCAAGTGAAATTGTCAAGGAATGTCGAGACCGATTACACGCAGAAAGGTTGAAGAACTGGGGCAGTTCCGGCGACATGGTTCAGGGTGCAATGGCAGCAGATCCGGAAAGCGACGATGAAGGTGAAGAAACAGACAAGAATACTCGAGTGGGCGCCTACCGTCAGAGGTTAAGGTCCGCTCTTGAGATTCAACACATCTGCGTGTTTTTTACCGGAAATGCGTATTATCAAATAAAAACAGACCCCAAACTTACCACCCCCGATAGTGAGGAATTCAAATCTTTAGAAAAGCGTGAAGAAGAAGCGTATGAAGCAGCCAAGTTGATACGAAAGGAGATGCTGAACGATATTTCCGAAAAGGTTGGCCGCTATATGAAAATTATCAAGGGGAAGTCCCTAAATGGGCAACTTGTGGATATTCCAAAAATGAGACCCGAGCTCTATGCCCGAGGGCTGGAAGCTCGTCGTGTTTTTGACAAGCTCGAGGATTTTTGTGAATCTATGAACCAACATGCTGAACAATATGAAGCATGGCGCCAAATCATGGTCAAATTACTTTTGCAGCCACTGATTGACCAGGAAGACGAGAATGAGCTTGAAGGCGACGAATATGAAAAATCCACAAAGCATCAAGATGAAATGTATGTCTATATGGAAGCGCTGCGCGCAATGTTCGCTGATCGCCATGACGCCCTGACGGGGCAAAAAAATGTCCTCATCGCACACGAGGTCAAGAGTGGATTAATACAAGCCCAGAAAGGGGAAGGCCCTTCCCCAAAGCTGTTCCTCGAGATTATGGACACTCGTAGTAATACTAAACCCGATCCTCAACTGGGCTCACTTCGTGGCATTATCAGTGAGCTCCGCAGCCTCACAACTTCTCTGGAGTGGCAGGCCGGCGGAGGAAGCTCGCGAGCCCAGTCCGAACTTGAAATTGCTGAGCTGGTTCTCCAGAACGCCAGCCGCATGGCTTCTGAGCAAGGGAAAGTCGCATTGAATTTAGAGAGGGAGGTGGAAATGTTCCGGGACACCATGAATAATCGCCTTGAATATTACCGCCAGTTGCAACAGATCTCTGATACCGTGGCTCCCTATGATGAAGAGAGCGCTGGCAAACCTTTAGATGAGACGCTGTTTGCTGAAAAGCTTAAGCAGGAGGACGCCATAGACGAGAAAATCTCCTCCTTGAAGGCAAAGCGTCGTTATCTCATCCATCTACGTGATGAATCTGGTTCCGATGACTTCTCAAAAATATGTGTTATATGTCAATCAGGCTTCGACGTAGGTACGTGCTATATAAATCCATACCCTTACCCTACATGACCATGCTGGTGGGTGCTAATGCCTTGTAGGCGTCCTAACCGTTTGCGGTCACAAATACTGCAAGGATTGTTTGCGCTTGTGGTGGCATCAACATCGAACTTGCCCCACATGCAAAAAACGATTGAAAGCGAATGATTTCTATCAGATCACCTACAAACCGCAGGAGTTCGTTGTACAGGAGGAGAAAACACCTACTAAAAGCGAAAATCGCCCGTCAAAGAATTTCATTTATACCGATATAGGTTCCGGAACCCTTAGAGAGATTAGGAATATTGACTTGGATTGTTCTTTTGGGACCAAAATTGATACTCTATCACGTCACATTATGTGGCTACGGGAGCATGATCCTGGCGCGAAGTCGGTTGTTTTCTCTCAGTACAAGTACTTTCTAGAGATCCTGAGTACTGCCTTTTCTCGATTCAAAATCGGCTATAGCAGTGTCGACAGTAAGGATGGCATACATATCTTCAAAAGTGACCCGTCGGTAGGTTTTCCCACCCTCTCTCTTCTATTCAATAGTCCGCAACGCATAACCCGCTCCCCCTCTGGGATCAAGGCTGACAGCTTCTCCAGGTCGAGTGCTTTCTCCTACATGCTAAGGCGCACTCTTCAGGTCTCAATTTAGTCAATGCAACTCATGTCTTTCTCTGTGAGCCTCTTATTAACACCGCAATCGAGCTCCAAGCCATTGCTCGAGTACATCGAATCGGGCAACACCTCCCAACAACAGTGTGGATGTATCTCGTCAACGACACTGTAGAGGAATCAATCTATGATCTCTCTGTGTCACGCCGTTTGAACCACATTGTCCAGAAAGAAAAGGAGTCTGCCAAAATCTCTGATGACGAAGCCGTAGTCAATAAACTGACCGAAACAGCCATTGACTCAGCAAATTCGTTGGAAGTGCAAGACGCAGCACTAGCCAAGCTAATGACGAGCGGTGCTTCGGGCGGTGAGCTCGTTAAAAAGGATGATCTATGGCAGTGTCTTTTTGGCAACCCGAGCCAAGAAAAGGTATATGGCCATTCTGCGGATGCCGGGCAAGAGGTGGCAAGATTCTTGAGGGGGGAAGCAGCAGAACAGAGAAGAACGGACACTGGGGAGTTGCAATACTGAGTGTGATTCACAATCTATTTATTATGTATTTTACATTTACATCTGGAATTGAATATTGGAAGTGCAAGTTTTGCGTCATTTGTCTGCATTACTATACTATTTATGTAGACTGCGTCTCTGAACTCTTTCTGCATTATATCAATTTTGAGTAGCCATTGTCAATTTTTTTGGCACCACCTTGCCTTGTGCCACAATATGTTTATTCTGCTCTAGCCTATTAAACATGTCGCTATTTTCAAGGACTTTCCCAGCACGTACTAAGACCACTGTCCTTGTGGTCACTTTGCTTCATTTGGTTAGTGGTCGGGTGATAGGGGTGGGGCCTGAAATTGAAAATCGCTTGAAATGTAATTTGAAATGGCCATTGAAATTTGAAATCACTGGTAAAATATAAAGGATAGTGTAATTATGGACGGATCCTAATTTTTGCAGAGATTGTGAAGGCTCTTTTAGCCTATCTAGCCTCGCCACTTTTTAAAAGGTGTCAATATATATATTTATAGGTGTTGCTAGGGATTCCAGTACAATTTCTCGGGAATGGCAGAATGGGGATTCTAAGGCCCTAGCTTAAAACTCTGATGACTAACCACAGCTGGACCCATTGAAATGAAATTGAAATCAAAAAAAAGTTGAAATTTCAATATTTCGTAATGGGTTTGCCGATTTCGTTATTACACCAGCTCTATCGGGTGAGGTATGGAGAGCTGACTAAGCCAGCAGGTGTTCCCGATCGGGATAGCAGCCTGTCGGCCTCAGGACTGCAACTGACGTGTGTCTCTCTCTGCCTGGAGAAAGGCAGTGGGGTCCAGTGAGTTCTTGCGCCCATCATCCCTTCAACGCTCACTTGTGGCCTTGTCTACTGTATTGCTGCGTCCATGTGTAAGGAATTCGTTCTCTACTGATTATTGTTTATCATGGCTTCCGAAACCACGCCAGCGAACCCGGAGGCTCGTGAGCTGAGTCTAATATCCAAGGTTGAGCTGCGGATTGCTCTGGCGGACTCCGATGAGAAACTTAGTACTCTGCTTAATACATACTTGGCCCCCTTGTTATTGAAGCTGGGGTCTGGAAGTCTTGCAGTCCGCAACAAAGTAATTGCTGTGTGTCAACATATCAATACTAGAGCACAAGCCCCGTCTATCCAGCTTCCCGTACCCGCTTTGCTGAAGCAGTTCAAAGAGCAAAAGTCTGCCCTTATAAGACATTTTGACTTGATCTATATTCAGCAAGGTCTAGATCGCTTGGATTCCAATGCCAGAGTTGAAATATTGGTTCCATTGCTCCAGGGAGTCTCCGAGATCGGGACTCCCACTGATGACCAGGGGGCCGTCTTGTTCAACCTCATCCTACGACTATTACCCCTACTGAAGTTGCCACCGAGGGATAGTAACGATGATACACAGCTGAAGTCTAATCTCGGTCTCTCGGACCGAGATACCAACTTCTTAGCCTACTGGTTTGAAAAATTACTCCTTCTTTCTCCCGCAGAAAAGGGTGAGCATGCATGCCCAGGGCTTTCTTCCTTGCAGTACAAGTACTTAAACAAGGGGGCCTCAATATCTGAAACATGGAATCCATCCTCGAACAATGGTTTAAACCTGACTGAGACCAAAGCAAGCGCGTTGAGGTTTCTTTCCAGCGGAGTTTTCACGCCAGCGGAACGCTTCATTCCTGCCTTAATTGCGTGTGCGGATGCAAACTCTCGCCTTTCAGACCTCGGCGAGGAAATGACGAAGCGGTTTGTTCCGAATCTTGAAGATCCAGATGTTGTGCAGCAGTTGTATGACCTATACTTTGGAGCGGATACACCTGACAATCCTCTCGCAGCCAGGCCCGCTTTGAAGATAAAAATACTAAATCATCTGGGCAGATCCATTCGAGCTACAATGGATATAGACAAAGTAGTTCAGTTGATTGAGGAAGGTCTCCTTTACAACGCGGCAGGGTGTACCCAAGGGTTACAAGCCTCAAAACTGCGGACTCAGATCTTCACTTTTACCACTTGGGTAGTCCGAATGGGATCTTCTTCCGACCTCAAACGAATGGCACCAAAGATAATAGCAGGTCTTAGGGACTATATTCAGTCTCAGGGTTGGCCAAGTCCCCAGGATAGCGGGAAAAGGCTGCCTTCGAGTGACTTGGGTTTACGAGGCCTTGCCTATGAAAGCATCGGAGCCCTAGTCCCTAAAGTGGATTTCCATGTTCAAGATGAACATGAGACGATATCAGGTTTTGAGCTCATCAAATGGCTCTTCATATCACTGAGTTCTGATGATTCGTTTCCTCAGATTTTTGTGAGCATTGAGCAGGCTTTAGGAAGCATTCTCAATTCTTCCGTTGATAGCTGGGATAAGGAATTCCAGGACCATCTGCGTCCCTTTTTGGTTCACCAAATGCAAAATAGCACTGGGGCAACCGACTCACTTACGGGGTTTAGGATAGCTCGGGGGCCTCAGTACGCTGCCGTGCGTTTTTCCAACAGGTTCCTGCCTTATAGCGACATTGTGGCTCGCTGGATCGACCTTATTGCTGTCGCACGTGGATCTGAGAGGCACGAAGAGGTCATGGAAGAAGGTAAAAAGGGCCTGCATCCTTATTGGTACAGACTTCTGAATCCCAGCAAGGATAAGAAATGGGTTACGTCTATGACAGATGAATCGCGTGCTGCGTGGTTTAGATTTCCAAGCTTCTCCGAGACGACACGCTTTATTCTTGGCTCGACGGGCTCGGCAGTAGTACCAGGCCTTTCCGCAGCAGAGATACTCTCTGGACCATACAAAAACGCATTTTCCCCGGCTATCGATTTCATTCGTAATATCTTGCTCTGGGAGTCCTTTTCAAAATTTGGCGTCACCGCAGAGATCCAGCAAGATTGGGACGTCAAACTTGATGTGTTGCTTTCGACCGATGAGGAAGCCCGTTCGGCCCTTAGGAAGCACATGCAATCCTGCGATAAAGAGGATCTGCTGCTGTTTCTGACAAGCACTTTGGCCGGATTTACTGGCCAGAGCCGAGACGGTCGGCAGAAATGTGGTGAGCTGTTTGTCAGTATTTGCTCGTTGGCCTTGAATGACATAGTTGGAGCGATAGCACCACACGCGCTGTCATTAAAACCTGGTCTGTATAGCAACGATCAAGATAGACAAGATATAGCTGCACATGCGTTTGGAATATTAGCCTCGCATCCTACGGTTACTGAAAACGATCTGGGAAGTCTAGTTGTGGAGTTATCAAATTTCATTACAACGTGGAAGGAAGCAATTGGTGAGGCTGCCCTTAGATCTCGAGGTGCAATCCTTGGATCATCATACCTATTCAGCAGGCTTGCGTTTCGTGGTACGAGATACAAAACATCTGATGCACACGTGAGCCAATTCGCAAATGCAGTTTTTGATATCATTGAAACTGCCCGTGACTCTCTTCTCCGACGCTCTGCGCAGATAGCCATTGGACAGCTTAGTCTTTCTGGGATTTTATTGCCAACAATGCTTTCGGACGATAGGTGGAAGACGGTCAAGGGCAAAATAATGCTAGACGCAAAGGCTGAGAACGAAGCGGCTATTACGGCCATGGGACTACTCTCTCTGACATTTTCTGCGAACGATGCTTGCAGCTCACGGCTCAAGGACTGCCTGGATGCACTCTATGCCTTACATGAAATTCGCAGTCCGGAGGTCCACTTTACCATCGGGGAGGCGCTGAGTAGTGCTGCCGTGGGATGGGGATCTAAATCACTAGCCACTGAATTTGATGTCGATGCACAGGTCCCTGTGTCTTCAATCTCCTCGTCGCTGCTTGCTGAAATATGCAACAAGCTCATAGCTGACAGCGGTGCGTCGAAACCGTCTCTCAGGAAAGCATCGGCCATATGGTTATTGTGCTTGGTGAAGAACTGTGGCCACATAGAAGAAGTGCAAAATCGATTACGCAAATGCCAGAGAACATTCTCAAGTCTACTTGGAGATCGAGATGAGGTGGTACAGGAAACTGGGGCCCAGGGCCTAAGCCTTGTATATGAAATTGGAGACCAGGCATTGAAAGATGATTTAGTACGTGACTTGGTCGACTCATTCACGGCGAACAACTCCAATCTTAGAGGTGGAAGGGTCAGTGACGATACCGAGCTCTTCGAGCCAGGAGCTCTACCCACCGGAGGTGGCTCTTCAGTCAATACTTACAAAGATATCATGAATCTTGCTTCCGAAGCCGGCGATCCCTCACTTGTATATCGTTTTATGTCATTGGCCTCGAACAATGCACTTTGGACCAATCGTGCAGCTTTCAGCAAACTAGGAATCGCTAGTATTTTTTCTGACTCAAGTGCAAGGGGGTATTTGGCCAAAAACTCCAAGATATATCCAAAATTGTTTCGTTATCGATTTGATCCCAATCCGAATGTGCAGCGATCCATGAATACGCTATGGCAAGCGCTAGTCAAGGAACCTACGGAGCTGATCGACACCCATTTCGAAGAAATCATGGGCGATTTACTCCACAGCATGATATCAGGTCGAGAATGGCGGGTGCGACAGGCAAGCTGTGCTGCCATCGCAGATTTGCTCCAGGGGCGGCAAATAGATAGCTACGCGAAATACACGGATGAGATAATCAACAAGGCTTTCAAACTTGTTGATGATATTAAGGAATCGGTTCGAGCATCAGCTTTGAAGCTTTGCCAAACGATTGCGAATGCGGTGATCCGCACTTTGGAATCAAGCAATCCAAACACCAAAAGAACCAATGATCTGTTAGCAGGCGTCATTCCCTTTTTACTGAGCGACAAGGGAATGGAATCTGGCGTTCAAGAGGTCCAAGGTTTCGCTATTGGTGCCTTAGTGCAGGTGATAAAAAAGAGTCCCGGGGGCCCTTTGCGCCCATTTGTTCCCCAGATAATGGAACAATTCTTGAGCTCTCTGAGTTCACTAGAGCCACAAGCAGTCAATTATGTCCACCTCAATGCAGAGAAGTATGGGCTGAGTGGTCAAGATATTGACAAAATGCGACTATCTAGTATCCGCACGTCTCCTATGATGGGAGTGATTGAGCGGTACCTCGTAGATACGTTGGATGATGATAGTATGAAAGAGTTTGCGGTAAAGCTCGAAGGCGTACTTCGATCTGCGGTCGGACTTCCAACCAAGGTTGGCTGTAGCCGTGTTTTGGTCCTCCTTAGCATGAAGACCATTCTCTTTCGTCCCTATGCGGATCGTTTTATCCAACTTCTTACCAAATACGTCGTGGATCGTAATGACACCGTTAGTGCGTCATACTGCACATCCATCGGCTATATTCTGCGACTGGCGTCTGACGATCGGATCTTAAAGACGATTGAGTATTCCAAGCACCTGTACCTGACCGCTGAAGACACCAATCAGCGAGCCATCTCAGCGGAGATCTTACACTCAGCGTCGAAGCTGTCCAATGACAGATTTATGGCATTTGCTGCGTCTGCCTTGCCTTTCATTTTCGTTTCGAAGCATGACAATGACGACCATGTGCGAGAAATTTTTGAGAAGACATGGCAGGAGAATGTGGGCGGCGATCGCGCAGTATCACTGTACATCAAGGAGATTACTGCTCTTGTCTTGGAGAATTTAGGGTCACCCCGTTGGGCCATCAAGCACACAATGGCATTGGGATTAGCAAATGCTATTATGGCGTTGGATCCTGAGATTGATACTGCTACAAGCGAACGTCTATGGTTTGTCCTGGAGAAAGCGATGGCTGGTAAAACATGGGAGGGGAAAGAGACCGTACTGAAGGCATTTGTGAAGTTTGCGAGTCAGGCAAGGTCCCTTTGGCTGGAGAAACCTCAGCTTGGTGATGCAATGAAAGTGAGCCGTGTCCTTTTTTTAATGTTTTTTAATTCGTCAAGATCCAAGACATGTACTAACGGCTTTTTCTAGGCGATCGCAATTCGGGAGGCGAAGCGAAAGAACCCTCTCTATCGCCCGCATGCGCTTGTCGCATTGGGTGGAGTTTCACAGGCACGCAAGGATCTTAACCTCATGCCGGATACTGTGGGCATCATATCTCAAGTGATGGATGAGCTGGAGGATGAAGAGGACTCGATGGATATCGACTCGGGTAGCGGCCAACTTTCCAAGTATGTCCTTACAGGCCTTTGGCCATCTACGCCCACGTCCCTTCCCTTGCAACGCCGAGTACTATTTTTACTGATGTGTATTCAAGAAACAACCTCGAGGATACATTTGCGGCTTGCATTAAATGTATTCTGCAATGCTTCAATCCAGCATTAGATGGACGTGCAAACGGTAAGCTGTCGGTCAGTCAGATATAGTTAACTAGGGCTATTTGCTGACCAAGACGCAAGGGATCACCCGGTATTTAATAGACAACAATACCCTGCTTGAGAAAGTGTTGCGCCATGGGGGTAGGAGAGTGCAGATCACATTGTATGATCAGCTTCGTATGCTCTTCAATCGACTGGAAACGTGGGCTTCTGAGAATACGGGGGAACAGTTCGATTCCGACGCATTACAAGAGCCGTTGGCAGCGTTAGCGGGGGATATGTTCTCCCGTGAGATAGATGTATCAGTCGAAGCCATTCGGATGGGGCGGGCGCAGGCAGTAGCGTCGTATATTACCATCTGTCACAAAACGGGGCTCCAGACCAGCCCAGCAGTCCCCGAGCTGATTAAGTCCTGGAGGAGAGAGGAACGGTCTGGACCGGTGCAGCAAATCCTGGACCAGGCATTGCAGAGACTCGTGCCACGGTGAGCTTGAGTAATGCGCGCATTGCAGCAAAAAGCGTATCATGTCTTAGTCAGGGTCTTCTCTAAAGGAACAGGTTTCCAGCCTATAATTCACAACATGGAAATTGGCAGGAACATTGATTACAAGATAGAGAGAGAGTGTGTGTGTGGTGATGCGAGATGTATCCAATATCGACAGTATCGCCTGGACCCTTCTTTCTTTTTTTTTTTTTGCTTTTTTATCCCTTCCCTGACCTAGATCGCGGCGACGATCGTGCAAGATAGAGTAAAAGGCCAGACCGTTCCAGGCCAGTCTTATACATAGCGTGATTCACACAGCTACTAATTTAGTGCTTAACGTTGGCGGGGAATTGGTCCTTTGTCTCTCCCTCTCCCCTACACACACTCTCTCTCTCTCTTAGTCTCTTCCCCCCCCTTCGGCCCAGCATCAGAAGAAAGTGATCTAATGCAGATAGGCTCACTGGTCAGGCTGATTGATCCATTCAGTCATCATGAACTGCATCCAAAGTAGAACCTACCCAGTGACAGTCCTGCACCCTCTCCACTCACTCTGCAGTCATCCAGCTATTTTCCGGATGGGGTGAGCACTAATCAATAGTACCGCAACTGGCTCTTCAATTCCCATCTTTTCTTTTCCCTGAACTTATGAGGATGGGCTGGGCGTTTCTCTCATTTCAGCCTTTTATTGCTGTACTGGTGTCCTATTTGGTGATTTCATCCTACATGGTTGATACCTGCAGTGAACTAAGCTCCCGAGTAAGTGCTATTAATTCATTCCGATCAGAACTTCGAACTTGCCCGGTCGTCAGCTAACCCCAATGCCCTCATGTGGACAGCCTAAATGGAAGTTGCAAAAATCTTCCCGATTCGCCTGCGTTGGTTTCGATCACCTTGGAATGCCCTAGGGTACCTGACGACCGCCACCGGCGACCAGAGGAGTTGGATGGACGGCTTTAGTGGAAACGCCCGCTCTCCTCAAAAATCTGGCCCATCCTTATAATTTATGTACGCGTTTCTCCATACTGAGAGGCGCCTTTTTTTTTTTTTTTTTCCCTTAAGATGCGCCCACGCCACCTTCAGCTGCGAAAACATGTATGAACTGGATTTTTGGTTCTTCTTGGCTTGACGAGGTCATTCCTCCCTTCATCCTTTCTAGTATACCTCGGTCTCGCTTTAATGATCCTTTAGGGTCTTCTACGCTTGGCATTTGTCAACATTGAACCATATAAAGTGTCTTTGCAGGAACAAAGGGTCCTGCTTCTTTTCTCCTACTGCAATAAAATACTCGGGTTTGAGAGGCAAAGTAATGGGTGACTGCATTCTTTGTTTGTCTGTGAGCACACAAACTGAATAGAGACTACATAGGGGCCCTTAGTTTCACTCCATGACGATTGTTAGTTTGGTGAAGCCAACGCGACGGGGCAGCTCATTGAGGAAGCGTTCCCTCTGGCTCCCCATAATCGCCCCTAAAGAGGATGCTACGAATTCTGGTCTCAACCTTCCGGTGGCCACCAGAACTAAAACTACACGGTCCCGTGTGCGGTTTCCGCCACGGTCTCGAACCGGCTGCTGGTATGTCTTCCTGCCTCAAGATGCTGCAATCGTCGGGAAAAATTAAAGATAGTTTTCTCTAATTCTGGTTTTGCTCCCTTAGGACATGTAGAGTGAGCCAACTATCCATTGATATCTGGGAAGTACTACGTTGGGCGACCCGCAGCATGCTAACCTGTTCTTATACAATGTAACAGAGCCGCAAAGGTGGGTTAGTCCTGCACTGCACTTTGAAATCGAAGCCTTTTTTGTTCTTTTTGAAGTATTGTTTTAATCAGTCAACAGTGAAGTGCGACGAAAGTCATCCTCAGTGTAATGTATTACACACAGAGTCGCCGTTGGCTGGTTTGGGGAACTGCTCACTAACTGAGATTCCAGCAATGTACCCGCTTGGGCCACACCTGTGACTATCGACCCCGTTTGTGCTTTCGCGATGATACCCGTCGAATCATGGAACGAATGTCCGATGTCATTATAACGGGGAACATGATATGGGATCGTGGGTGGTCCTGTTGGTCTTGCCTTGTTTGTACTGAGACTGACGTTCTAGTTCCAGCTGACGTATCGAAGACACCCAAAAGCCCCATCACAAACTTGTGTCATAATCTGCCCTCCTTTGTGATGCTCACGTCGGATGAAGATCGGGAAAAGAAAGCAGAAGCCTCTATCCCTGGCACCTATCATGTTATTGTCATCCCGGAGAGCTTCGCTCACCTTCCAGAGTACACCGAGTGCACTCCAGAGAAGGATGGGAGAGATCTTGTGGCCAGTCCGCTCTTGATCACCAGCGGAGGAGATCAAGACAGAGACGGTCTCCTCGAGGACGATCCGAACGTAGTGATCCTAAAGGGGTTTGGGGACTCGCGAAGATATTCTATCAACCGTAAGAGTACCGGGCCGTCACTGAAAGCTGATTTGCAGAGTCCTTCCATTGATGTACCTTCAGCCCCACCCACCATTGCGCACGGAAATAGTAGAGAGCACATGCCTGAGCTAGTGGGACATGATAATATATTGCTCGAGCATTTCCGCGACGTGGTAGTAGTACAACTGATTCCCGAGATGAGCATGGGTGGCTGCCCAAATGGCAGTTCTATGTTAAGCAGTGAGATCTTTGAACAGAAGGCAGCTAGGCTTCCTCGCGTAAGTCTTCTTCCGAAAGCACCTTTACATTGCCTGATGGTCTAATGCCTGTTTGTGCAGCTATATCATGCGATACTGGCTTTATCCGCCCTCAGTTTGTCTCGGCAAGGCAGTGGTCTCAATATGGATGCGTTGCAGTACTATCACCGTGCCTTGGCTTCCTTGGAGGAGGAGGTTCCTGGGGATGAAGATCTCCTGTCAGACGGAGTTTTGCTAACACACTTTTTGCTACTTGTATATGAGGTCTGATTCGTCGAGGAACTGTGTGGCATGCGAAAGCGAAACTGACTTTCTGGCGCTTAGATTTCAGCAGCACAACTTGACGATTCAAACCTACGACCGTACCACACCTCCCAATTGCTTCACATCGCGCACCGAAGGCAATCTGCCTATGGAGCGGAAAGATACCCTTTCCTCCTGTGGTGGGTTTGCTACATTGATTTGTACGCCCTTCTGAGGGGGGTGGGAACCGGGGAATTTGTCAAGGCAGCCATAGAAAGCCGTTGGCTCCCCTCCGTGGAATCCCTGCTTGCCCCTGATGGACTCGAAACCTCGAGTCCGGTTCATCCTGAGGAGCGTAGCAATCTACTTTTGCTTTTGGAGCGCTTACACCATGACACTTTAGCACTAGCCCTCCGAATTGGCCTCCTGGTGTTGGAAGCGAGAAAAAGTCTGTTGTCGTATCCCGGCACCCAAGTTGGTATGTGGCAAAACGCTGAGGAGTTGCGCGAAGAACTCCAAAGGCTCTGGGGTTCCCCGGAGGCACACTTCTTAATACAGAACCAGTCCGTTCTTCCGAAACGGCCACGAAATCTACTGCAACAGGTAAGCTCCTGCATTTCAGGAGGGTGGAGGCGGCAAAATTCGGACGTGGGTAAGGCTAACAAGCAGCCCTAGAGCCAGGTACTCTTTCATACGACACTCCTCCTGTCCTACATCAGCCTCTGGCCTGGGCAACGCACGGGACGGGAAACCTCATCCACGGACGGGGACGGGGAGGCTCAGTACCAAGCCAGCGTCATACTTCACCTGGCTGAGGACATGATCCTGCCAGCCCACGAAAGTGGCCGGCATGTTATCATCTTCCCCATCTTCCTGGCTGGGACGGTCGCGAGATCTAGTGGGCTCAAAATCCGGGCATGGGAGCTGCTCTCGAGCCTGGAAGAAGAAGAAATGGGGTATCATGCGTCGTCGACCTGCCACCAGTTGCAGCTGGTGTATGAGCAGCAGATGCAGCAGACCTGGGACGGCAGCGAAACTCCATGGATTGACTGTGTTGAATTGCTGGGGGAACGAGGAAGCCACTGCTCTCTGGCCTGAGGGATTTCTCTAGTGTTTGCTAGTATGGTACCTGCAATACAGATAACGGGATGTTATAAGATCCATGTAGTTTATTCGTAGTAGGTCCTGACGAGATCCATGCATGGATGAGTTGGTTCTGGTTTTCGGCTTCGGGCCGATCCTGACCTGATCCACTCTTCGTCGTCGCCGACGTCTTCCTCTACTTCCTCTCCTCTTCGCCAGGATGATCATGCTCCAGGCAGACGATTTCCCTCATTCGTCACAGAGCCCTAAACGGAGCCAACAGTAGCGCCAAGTCGGTTGGATTCTAGTGAGCCAATGATGGCCAGTGAGCGTCTAGTACAGGAACCCCTCAGCGGCTAATCGGAGGAGGGACAGGATGAAGATGGAGATACTTCTTTCTCTCTCCCTCTCTTTCACTTTCTCCTCATCTTTTCTTCTGCTTTTTTGATACCCATCACCTATCCCATCTCCTCTGCAACAACGTTGAGAGCTTGACCGTCTCTGGATTTAAATACCTCCGACTGATAGATTCATCGAGACTTACCCCTCCTGGGCCTGGTCATTCTCTCCTCCTCTCTCACAGACCAGGGTCAAGGATCACACAGAATGAATCCCAACAGCAGCCATCAAGGTACCCGTTCAGAGGAGGAACTATTTCTAAATAGCTCGTCGCAGCCACCGGTCGAATCGCCCGTGGTGGGGCCGCTGCGCATCAACAAAAGAGAGACCCCATCGCCTGCACCGCAAAGTGTGCCTCTCCCATACCCCGACGAACGGCTGAGGCCTCAGCTGCTGCACAATCCAAGCCCGACAGTCGATGGTGGACGAAGGTCAGGCGACTCCCCCACCATCTCACATCATCCGCCGGCTAGGACCGACTATCCACCCGCATTGCGACCAAGAGATGGCCGCGAGCCTAAACCAGCAACCCTAGCAGAACGACGGGGCAATGTGCCTAAACCACTCCCTGAGTCCCCAGCTGGAGACTCCCCCGATAGGGAAGGACTGTTTGCCAGAAAGGACCACCGCCAGGATTATTGGCCGCCGCCCCCGCGCGCGACCTCGTCGGGGACCGCAATGAGACCACAGCCGGTGCAGAGCTTGCAACCACCGAGCAACGCGATCAATCGAATAAGTTCGACGGCGTCGACCTCCACTACACGCGCCCAAAGGGGCTCTCCTCCTCCCCCAGAAACCCCCATTGTTGAGCCCGGTCAACAGCCAGGATCCGACATCGAAGCTCGCTATGCGGCGTCTGGGATCGCCGGCTCGTCAACACTATCGGGCTTGCAAGTCCAGAGCACTGCTGCCCAGAGGAGAGCCGAACAGTACGCAGGCCATCAGACTACGAACCACCCGCCCGTTCAGCGGCCATGGACTCCAACAGAACAGCCAGGGACCCAACCGCATGGACCACCTACGGTGTATCAGGGCGCTGGGGTGATCTCCTCAGAGAATCCCCCTGCAATTTTACACTCTCCACAGCCCGTTGCAACTCCATCGCATGTCCCTTCGGCAAATCAACCTCCAAGAGTCCTCCCGAATGCTCTGGAGCAGGATTTAGAACGAATTCGAATTAGCTCCTCTCCTCCCCCAGCGTACTCAAGTGTATCCGGATCTGCCGCCTCCCAGGGATATCCGAATGAAAAGCCGCCTGTGCCCCCATCGACAGGACAGCCAGCGCCCTCTGCACTGCATCCTGCGACGATGACGCCTGTAAACGGAGCCGTACCTGCTGCGACACTGGCGTCTTCGGCTCAGAACCATCCTGCTTTTGCCAATGATCCACAAGCGCAGCAGCAGTCGCAGCCGCAGCAGCAACAACAGCCACAGCCGCAACCACAGCTGTCGGGGCCATCTCCATCGAACGTTATCCAGTATGCAACTCAGAATGGAACGCTGCAAACGATCCAACAGACCCAAGCCAGCGCCTTGCCAACCCCATCGGGAATCCCACCAGCTTCACCTCCCCCTCTCCCAGAAGGGTGGATCGCACACCTGGACCCGAACTCGGGCCAGTACTATTACATTCACCTTCCCACCCAGTCAACGCAGTGGGAGTTCCCGAAGGGTCCAACGCCACTGAACCTCAATGAAACCCCTTTGTCCCCAGTGGGAAGCGTGTACAGCACTCACCCTCTATCGTCCCCGGGGCTGTCGGCCTTCAGCAAGCCACTAACCTCACCAGGCCTCCCTTTAACTCCGGGGTATGAGAGCTTGCAATCCCCGGTGGTGGCCGGCTTTACTGGGGCCCCGCCAAGCAGCGGCGTTGATGTGTATAAAGTTGTTCCAACGAATGGCGTCTACTTTGGCCCATACCTTCGCTACACGAATATGGACGTGGAGCGTGGCATTTGGCTAGGCTCTATTCTCCTCGTCACCGACGCTGCACAACCGCCAACGATCCACATCCATCAGAGTCTTGACCTTTCCCCTAATCCCCGACAGCTGAAGCCGATGTCCATTGCCGCTCATCAGCGATGGGCCTTCTACAAGTATGATATTGACTGCCAGATGGATGACTCCGGCCCTGCAAAATGGACATACGCCATCACTTCCCACCTCGGGTGCACTCGCTACGAATTTCTGGTGGCAGGACGCCATGAGAGCAACTGGCGCTTGGTCACGACATCGGGCAACGATTTCTCACTAAACGTGAACGCAAATGAACGTTCCCGTCTCGGAGGGGCGGGATTGATGTGGAAGGACATCATGCAGAAGCACAATGAAATCGGAGGATTCCATGCACAACTGTCTCTCGGGGGTCAGATCTACGCGGATCGAATGTGGAAGGAGGTCCCATCCCTCAGGCAGTGGCTTACTATTAAGGGGAAAGAAGCCAGGAAGAATGTGCCCTGGACTGCTACCCACGAGGAGGACGTATCTCATGCCTACTTCCATTACTATACCAGCCACTTTGACCAGCCATATCTTCGGGAATCGTTTGCACAAATTCCCTACGTTTGTCAAATCGATGATCATGACATGTGAGCCCTCTTTGGATACCCCCTCCCCTCTTTCTAAAACCCTGACATTCGTGTGACTTCATTACTGAGATCAAACCAGATTCGACGGATTCGGATCATATCCCGAACATATGCAATTCTCGAATATGTTCAAGAACATAGGGAGGGTTGGCATAGAAATGTACTTACTATTTCAGCACCATACTACGCTGGAAATGCTCCGCAACGTCAGCACGGACACAGACTTATTCACAATCACCGGAACCGGTTGGCATTTTGTCAAGTATCTCGGACCGGCGGTGGTCGTGATCGGCCTCGATTGTCGATCAGAAAGGAATCCTCACCAAGTAGTGGCAGGACCGACGTACCAAGGTATATTCCCCAAGGTTGCAATGCTGCCATCATCTGTGCAGCATTGCCTATGGATGATATCTTTGCCTATCATCTATCCACGTCTGGAAACAGCCGAGCACATTGCGCACACGGTTGCTACGGGGAAAAGAGCCGTCACGGGGGCGTATAATGTTCTTGGGAAGGTGACCAGCTCCGTGGCCGGCGTCGTCGGCGCGAAAGAGGTGGTTGGCTCCGGGTTCGATTCAGTTAAACGTGCTGTAGGAAAATCCGGCCTAATGGGCGGGATTTTGAGCCCGTTTGGAGAATTTGACGTGCTTGACGAGCTCCGGGATCAATGGACCCATGAATCCAAGGTCCGTGAGCCTACTCCCTAGGAGGCTTTTATTTATTTGATTTTTTTGTTTTGTTTTGTTTTTTTGGTTCTGATTGCATGTGCAGGAACTCGAGCGGACCTATTTCATTCGCACCCTACAAGGCATTGCACACCAGAAGTCCTTACGCATGACATTCCTTTCCGGTGCAGTCAACGTCTGCGGTGCAGGCTTGGTGCATGACCCTGCCCATCCTTCGGACCATAAAACCATGTATCAAATCATTTCTTCGGCGGTGGTGAACAGTCCTCCCCCTTCGTATATCATCAAACTTCTCCACAACAGCAACAAACCACTCTACGTCCCTGCCAACGGTCATCGCTCCACTCCGTCGCAACCCACAGATACGAAAGAAGATATGATGGAGATTTTCCAATCCGATGTTACGGGCCAGCCGCGGGAGCACCGAAAGTTGATGGGTCGCCGGAACTATGCTGCCATTGTGGCTTATGACCCAGACGCTGTCAACGCAATGTACAGTCAGACAGGGATCGGCTACGCAGGGAACAAGTTAAATCTTGCCGTAGATTTCATGGTCCAGGGCGAAGGAACCTATGGCACTGTGGTCAAGTATGGTCCGGTCATTGTTCCAAGCCTAGAGCGTGGAAATTGATTCCCTTCTTATTATTATTAAATTATACACCTTCTTTCTGTCTGTATGTCCTCCTGGTGGACAGTTGTCGAGTTAACTTCCATGTTATCCATTATTAGCGTCTAGTTCGGATTACTATTCTCAATTTTCTATCGGTTACTTTGCACGACGCTATGAATACATTATTTACTTAGATACATTGCATTGCATCCTAGGGGCACGTCCCCTCCCTTAAGTTCTAACTAGAAGTGGATGAAGCAGTCAATCCATCCCTATCGAGATGTTTTTCTTGAGTATTGATGCGTCATCAGGCTTAAGTTTCGAGAATTAAAGACCGTTCGCTGATTGTCATGATACCCGCGATATCTGGAGCACGGACAGATAGTAGAAAATCGCCCTTGCGTTTCTACTAAGTTTCATCTATCTACCGTCCGTCTGCTACACACTTGCATATATAGGAGGTGCCTTGCATGGATAACCCTTTATGTAATGCGGCGCGTTTTAATCGAAATAGCACTGGCACGTCTATACTGGTTTAAGCTATGCATGTACTCTCGGATGTAGGTAAACGAGGTAGAATATAGTGATTTGCGTCTTGCTGATACCATCCTACATCATATCATATCATCTACGAGCCATGGTTTATCGCGCTATTTTACCCCTTGCCAGTCGGGTCTCCACCAGGTACACAGAGACCCAATCGCCAGAAATAGTCCCGGTGAGTAAAGAAGAGTTCCCACAGTCGGTACCAAGCTGGAATGCGATTCCAAGGCAAACCAAGCCATGATTGTTGCAGATCACTGATGCCCTGGGCCAGCAGCGCTGAATCAAACGAATCCCGGTGCATCAAAATGGCCTGCTCTTCCAGATAAGCCCAGTTGGGACTACATTTTCCTTCAGTAAGAGTAGAGCCAATCTCGCGTATTGCTAACTCCTGCGCATCCAGTGTCGATGAAATACATCGACTATCGTTGTTTCCCTCACAAAGGTTCACGTCCAAGATTGACGGTGCAAGATGCACCTTCGAGATGAACATCTCCCCGGCATGCATTTCATACCCCCATTTATCCAAAGGCAGGAGAGGGACAGGATCATGAATGTGGGTCACTCGGCGAAACCTCCACTGTCGATCGTCAGATAGTCTTTCGGCATCATTGAGGCCAAACATTGCATTCAGGAAGCGGACAAAGTTGCCATTTCCGATTTTCGGCTCCCCAAAAGTGGTCACCTGCGGAGCCCAACCGCGCAACTGCATCTCCAGTCCGGCCAGCGCAGCTACAGCTCCACCAAGTGAGTGTCCCACCAGGATCAATTCATAGTCGGGATATCGCTCCCTTGCAACAGAAACATGGTGGAGAACGGTGTCGCGAGTGTTTCGCCACGAGGTCATGAACCCTGCATGGACTGTACAATTCGGACACTGCGGGGGTTCCTCCCCTTTGTGCCCGTCGTCCACATTATAGGGAGTATAGGGCTGTGGGTAGGCCGACAAGTCGACGATTGTATTTGTGATCGAATAGGTGCCGCGAAACGCTACAATGATGCGTTTGGGAGACGGGGGGTGGCTGAACGCTATGTAGCCACATGAATCGGAGAGTAATGGACCCGTGTGCCACGTCTTGCCAGTTTAGTATCCATAACTAACGAGCTCTAACGTCTAAGGGGGATGGTTAGGGACCATCCAAAGGCTTACAGTGATCAGCTCAAAACTCGGGAGTTCAGCACAATGATTCAAGCACGCAAAGGGCTTCCAGATCCCAGTGTTCCCAACACAGTACGACACATCGACGACACGTGAAAGTTCTTCCAGAGATGCAAAAACCAATGGGGATAGCGTGCGGTTGGACTTATGTCTTTGATCAGGAGTCTCATCGCTCGACCAAAGTGTATTTGAGGCCGAGAAGCAGGGCAGGAATATTAGAGCAAGAAAAAGGGCCAAATAGCGGTCAGATGTCATTGTTGGAGCATGAATCAGCCCTGGCCATTATCACGGCGGTCCATGGTTATACACTGAGTTGCAGCAAGGGCAGTACAATTTGAATATGTACCTGTGGAATCGCCCAAAATTACCGGAGGGCGTTTCAACGTCATTTTCCACATTTCGCCACTCTAGAAGCTTACATGTGACTTGATTACCTGGCTGAGTAGTAAGGAGTATATGAGCGACTAACTACTATTCTTTTTCTTTTTCTTGTATTTTTTACTGCTTCTTAATTAGTATAGCTTTCTGGGCCTTTAAGAGCCACGTACGGTCATTCTCTAGGAAGTCGTTTATGACTACTCGTACGAACATATGTACTTTTTGTTTTGTGTATTTAAATTACCAGCTGTATGACAATTCCCCAAAGAGGCAAGACTACCCTGGAAAGTCACCCGTCATTTGGGATTGGAAAGTGTCTGGTGATCTGACTTAAGGGAAGGTAAAAGATTACAGCTTAGGTAATAGTATGACAAGGATGTGCATTGGACTATACTGACATTGTGTGTTGTACTGGTCACCCTGGTCGGTGATCTACCTTATTATAGATAAGTTACTAAACCCCTAGATCACCCAAACAACTACACGCCCATCAACTCCGCTAGCTACAAGAAGGAAAAAGACAAGTTAGCAGATTCATCCAAAACTATCAAGGGAAGCGGAAGGGTCGGTAGCTTACTACTGAACCGGCGAACGGCCCCGTTGGCCTCTTCGTATACTCGAACAGTGCTAATAGTATTCTGGTGGACCGACTTGAGCTGCGTATCAGCCTGGGTTTGTCCTTTGAGATCCATCTGACGGAACATATTCAGAGCCGACTCCTCGCGGACGCTACCCGCGCCAGGGCCTGTCTTGTTTTCAATCGATCCCACAAGTTGCCACCCATTCTCATTGCCGCGGAGACGGTATGGTTCGCAGTCCTGCGGTAGGGGGTATTAGCATGATCCAGACTTCCTAGGTAAATCGGCCTTACATGACCAGCTACAATGATCTCGTCTTCCCCATTCCAAATCAAGCTGTTAAAAGGCAGAAGACGAGTAGTGACATTTAACATTGCACGGGGAGGTTGCTCTGGCGCACTTGGATAGACAACTGTGACACTGCTATCATGCCCAGTAAAAGCAAGCGCATTCCCACTTGGAGAAAAGCAAACCCCCTGAATCCACCCCGCCGAGTTATTCAGGAATTCTCCGCATATTGTGTTAAAGGGAAGACGCTCTCCCCAGGCACTGGCCTCCGGGCGTGTATCAACACCCTTTATATAGCTGGAAAGAACTCTTGCATGAGAGTCCGTCGAGCCAGCAGCCAGCAAGACCGAATTAGGATGCCAGGCAAGCGTAGTTATAGTGCTTCGGATAGGTTTCTTCAGGTGCTTTGAAATCCACCAGTCATTTTCTTCCTCAAAGTAACACACTGCTATCACGCGAGCTCCTGAGCCGACAGCAAACTTCTGTTCGGATGGAGACCAACGGACAAATGTGGCAGCTCTGTTAATTCGAAGAAGGACCAGTGTCGGTTTCCAACCAGAGTCGGTTCGCTCCCATACATAAGCGTTGCGATCTAGATTGGGAGTTAAGTTGGGCAGGGTACACTCGGACGATGTGAAACTTACCCTGCGAGCAGGTAACAATGCGGCCACTGCTAGGAGCAATGTCAACGCCCGTCACAGTCTTCTCATGACCTCTAAGCTCATCAGTCAAGGAAAACTTGCTTCCCCCTCTCTGGTAGAGCTCCACATTGTTATCCCGCGCAACTGCAAGGGTGTTCTTATCAGGTGAGAAGGAATGGTCTGCGATTGGGTTGTGAAACAGATGATGAACTTCTGGTGCAGACATTATTATTCGAGCGGCAGGAGGAGCTCTCTACTGCCGTGCAAAAAGAGAGAGAGAAGGAGAAAGAACAATAGTTTAGAGTAAGTGTCGTTTACATATAAGGCGGTAGTGGTGGAATGTAACCGATGACGCGGATAGTTAATGATTATGTAATTCCTCACGTGATATACTAGTTCTGCCGTCTTTTGCATCCACACACTAGCTGCGAGTAGTTGGGAACTCATGCGTCTTGGAAGCTCCCTTCCCTCGGAGAAAACATTTTGTCTCTCTTTTCATCTGAACCCCTACGTCTTCATCCATTGAAGCAATGACTACAAGTGCAACTCTTACGCGCAGCGGTACCCAGAGTAAATCTGCTCCTACTGGTCTTCCAAACCAAACGTCAGTCGTCAACCCTTTCGGTGAATAGGGAGAGAGAGAATAACAAAGTACGCGGTGCGGGAAATTCTGACCATTTTATAGGCTATACTGTACCAATCTTCCAGATAAGCTTCACAAGTATGACCTACGAATTTCGCTTTATACTCTTTTTTCCACGTATGGCACAGTTCTGGATGTCGTGGCTATGAAAACCAAAAAAATGCGTGGCCAGGCCCATGTTGTGTTCAAAGATGTCCAATCCAGTACGCAAGCAATGCGTGCCCTTCAGGGGTTTGAATTTTTTGGCAAGCCGATGGTATGGACATAGCCTTACGCACCATCTCACTTCAAAGTAAACACGTTCGCTGATGTCTGGTCACAGAAAATTGTTTATGCCAAGGGTTCCTCCGACATCATTTCTAGACTCCGTGGGACCTACAGTTTGGTACCAACAGGTGCAACACAAACTGTAGTTGCCTCTACAGATCTTCAAAAGACTATCTTCAGTGGACCTCCAGGGTCGGCAGTATTACCGCCCAGACCCGCTGGTGAGACCAACGGTGAACCTCAAGCTACCCACGGGGTCAAGCGGGCTCGAGATGAGGAAAGCGAAGAAGGGGAGGCGCCGATGGATGAGGATAGTGACGTTCCAATGGAGGCTTCATCGGATGAGGATTAAGATGTCTCACTCGATTTGAGGAACACTATCTCCTAGAAGTCGAAGTGGGTACGAGAAGAAGGGGTTAGAGAGAGGGGGAGAGGACAGTTTCCAGCTGGTCTGGTCCAATCACTCCATTCTATGTCTTGGGATTTCCTTGCTCCTTGCTCTCCAATTTAAGGAGCTCCTTGGGTAAATGGAGACCGAGATGATTTCCTATCAAACCGAGCCAGGCAATGAGGTACTTCTCGGGTGTGATATTCTGCTGCCCCACGATCTGCCTCATAGCATCTGCAGTGTTGCATGGATGAACGAAAAATGTCGGGGTTTCGGAGAGTGGGTGGTACTAGAAACATCAGCTCCGGCACACCGGATGATCTCAGAAACAGCCATTTGCACGTACACCGAAACTAATACCGCCCATGACACCGACACTTTGAAGTTCTTTCTTGTGCTGGTCTGCTACCAGGTAGTGGTAGACGGCGTCCACTCCCAGCGGACCGAGATTGCTACCCCGGAGCATGAAGTACAGGACGGGAACTTGATATGTCGGGGAGAGGAGAATTTCGTATTCTACTAGTAGACAAGTACTGGGGCGGGACGTACGAACGAGGGCCTCCTATTTTGATTAGTTGTCAGAAGATAGCCAAAGTATCCAATAGGACAGATTTCACAGACTGGGTCATCTTCACTAGCCTCCAATCGTGGTTCTGTAGTATCTACGGCTGGGGTTGCGTTGTATTGGTGAATATCAACATTGTCGATGCTGCGTGAGAGCTTCAGAATTGGGCCAGTTGCCTAACAGACCAGTTAAAACGTGGAGTAAGAAAAAGACAGCCCCACGACCAATTAAGGGGGACATGTCTAGCAGTAAACAAACAGGGATTTCCATCTGGCCGACTGCTGCAGGAAACACATAGATAGATAGAAGGGAGACAACTACCTGGTGCACCAGCTGGATCGAGGACCACCCCACAGCTGAAAGACCGAGCAAATGGACGCGATCCAAAAAAGCGCGACAGGCGCATTCGAACTCCTCCCGCGTGAGAAAGGGACAGACTGATAAAGAGGAGGCGGAGGCGAAGGCGGAGGTGGAGGTGTCTAACAAGAACGGAAGAGCCATGCGACTGGTAAAGACGCGGTGTAATACCTGCTTCGCTGACCGACATAGAACGGACTGCTCCTAGAAGATTTTTTTTTTTTTTTTTTTTTGCGTTGTAAAGCTAACTCCTCAATGCACACCGATCTCGTTCGTTCAGTCTAGGCAGCGTCACCTAAGCCGTTCTCGGGCTGCAAAAGTACTAAGTATTGTTTGCAGCGACTGTACTCTTAAGTACATCCAGATCGGGGATCAACCGGAACGGGTTGTATCTAGGTAGAAACGGAAAAGTAAGTTCCACAGAGCAATAAGTGTTTTATTTACTAGTGATGAATAAACATGAGCTACTTTTTTCAATTATTTTTTGTGATCTTCCTTGTCTGGAGACCTCACAATCCCCCTTAATGAATGAGAAGAATCCAGAAGAAAGAGAATTCTACCCAACATCTAGGCTTTTTACATAAGTTGCAGCATGCAAACGCCATCATTATCGTCATCGTTGCTGATTCATCATTCACATGCATGGTCATGGGTTGGTTGCAGCACTGCCAAGCCCGTGGTCGACCAATCAGCGCCCCGCCGCTGTCCAGCTCCCCGATGGAATCGGATTAAGCAAAAGGATATACCCTAGTACCTACCTACCTAGAACACTGCTAGGTAGTTACCAGGAAGTATACTCCGTAGAGAGGTACCTACTACCTAGGTAGTATGTTCAGCCTTCCCGGTCATACGGAGTGCTATACATACCTTGACAGGCCCCTGGGTAGAGGCAGCAGGTACCGACAGCTAAGAGAATGGATGTACCTGTCGAGTATCTACACGAGTCACGTCGCTTCGTAGCCAAATGGGACCGTTCTTCCTCCAACCCAACTCATGGAACCCAATTTCCCTACCCTAATCTGACCTTAATCCACCTCCTGCATGAGGAGGCCCTGCAACAACCAACCTGTCCGCATTCGGCCATAGCTCTCCACCTCTGCTTGATTGTTTTGCATGGCACACCTCCCACGACCACCACAATGGCCTTGTCAACCTTGGTTTCCATCTTAACTTTCCTCGCCCTCCGGCCGCAGTCGGATCGTCTCTCCCCCCAGATTCCCACGGTGCATGGGAGTTCCATAACGCATTCGTCATTTGTTGTGTCCCTCTCATCTCCTCCGCCATGTTCGCTTCTCTTATGTATCTGACTCTCTTTCCTTACTTGCCCCCAGGTTGAGCTTGACCTTGTTTCACGTCTTGAGCAGGATTTTTTTTTTTTTTTATTCTTTTGGATTGCTACTTTTACCCTTTTCTTTATTTTCGATTTTTTTTATTTTTTCGCCTTCGAAAGAAAATAAACTATCCGTAGTCATTATCACCTGTTGATCCTTTTGCCTGTTCTTTATTTGTCTTCCATTTTACATTCTTGGTTATATCTTTATTGAGTTCCGCGTCAGTCGTCTTTGTTCCCGGAAAGACGAAGACAAAAGAGAGCAGTCCAGAGTTGTTTGTTGTTTCGTCCAATTTTGTGGGCTGTGTACGGAGCATATCCCGGAGTCTTCCTTCCTCGCTCTGACCCAGGAGAGCGCTATTTCCCCTTATACATCTAGCTTTATATTTGTTCTCGCTTCTCCTTCCTTTACTGCCATCTGTTCGGCAGGCCCAGCCTCTGTCTACAGTCTCTCTCTCCAGTGCAATTGCGAGGAAGCAAGAACTTTGGGATTAGACCGAAGATCAAAAATAAAAAAAAAAAAAAGGTCCCGGATGCTTCCAGGACTCTCGCCAGGTAACCTACTTTCCCAGTCCTGCGTTGTTCTTGAGTCTGGATCAACGCGTCGATATCAAGCTCCGGTCAAGGTTTCAGGGCTCAAGGCTCTTTTATACACCCACTCACAAAATCGGCACTCGATACCAAACCCGTTGGCAAGCACCATTAGGTAAATGCCCACGAGGTGCTTGTGTTGGTTCTAATCCCCAGAACCTGGACTTCCTTCTGCACTGGGGAATTAGCATTTTTATATAGCCATGGGAAGCTTTTTCTCTGTTCAAAGTAGAAGCAAGCGCCGCCGCTCAAACCGGCTATCAAAGCCGCCCTCAAATATATCTACTCCGGTGTCAGTCAATTCATCCCTCCACACACCTAATCCCAGCTCTCCCATATCACCTATATCTACTACACCTACAGCTGCTACCTGGCAAAGTCCGTGGACAGGCACTTCCATTCCCATTGCCTCGCCTAGGCCGGAACTAAACGGTCGAAGATCGCAGTCGTCTCGTTGTGTGTCATTGAAAACTGAAACAGGATGGGTCGCTGCAAGCGAAACAAACAGAGCCAACTCCGTCACCAAAGAGCCAGATGAATTTCGTATCCATTCGTCAGCTTCTAGCTCAAACACCTCTGGGACTCTGTCTAGGCAGGCATCTTTCCAGCCCTCTCGCCAAACGGCATTCCAGCCCATGACTTTACGGAGCGAGGCCCAGTCCCCTTTATCTCGATCAGGGCAACCAAGGAGATCATACTCGGTTCACTCCCCACCCCACAGAGCGAAGAGCACCATGTACGCGACTAGCATCGACGAGGCTGCTTCTTCCAACACTCATTTTTTGGTTGACTGTCAGGGGTTTCCGTTGATTCGTCAACGCTCTCTCCTTACCCAACCTGGGGTTGCTACGAGACGATCAACAAAAAATGCTAATCAACGATATCCCTCCCCGGTATCTCAAGAAGCTCATTTCATATCTGATGACTTAAAAGCCCCCCAGCCTACGCAGTGGCCCCCATCAACCTCGCAGGTTATTGAATCCAGGCATCCTCTTTCACTTGCACAATTCCGCCCACCAACGCCAAATAACTTTGAGTATACACATTTGGGTGCACTCAAGTTAGGATCGTTACGAGTCGTAAATGGTTCTACGTCTCCATGTCCTAGTGATCGAACCCAGTTTAATCAGTGTCGAAGTCCGATAACAGAGCCTTCACCGGGCAGTACGTATCCGATAGGATCAGAACGCACCGCGGGAAGGCACGAAGCTCTATCGAATGCTATATCTGTTCCAGCTCCAACCGATAACACGGAATGCAGATATGGTGGGCCCTCACTCATGTTTGGGAGTCTGTCAAATCGGATCAGAGACGGCATGTCAGCTCCTATATTACAGACTCAGCATCTGCCTGAGGTCCGAAGATATGATGATTCCACAGCAAGTCCATTTTCATTCGACCAGTCTTTAAAGGCTACAAACCCTCATACCCTCTGCGAAAACGAAACTGGAGATGAAGGGATCTTTATACCCGATGATGATAAAAGCATAGCCTTCCGTCTCGGTAAAACATCCTCAGGGAATCATTGGCAAAGAAGACAGTCACGATCACATAAAAAAGATGACAGCGGTTATAGCTCTGCAGCTTCAATTCGTTCTCTCCAGGGCAGCCGTAATAGGACGTCGTTGGACTCCCATATGTCCACAAGACGTCCGTCCCTCAAATACCGCCGGTTTAGCCTAGAAGGCAACGCTAAGGACATTGACAGGCATGGTGCAATGGGTCCTTTATGTTTCAGCAACCATCTCCCTCTGTCCCTGACTCGCCGAGGTTCAAAAGTGGATCATAGACCCGAAACGAGCAACTGGGTGACAAATATGTCGACAATGTGCCATGAACCCCCTCAGAGACAAGGAAATGGACGGACAAGGAGCTTGTCAAATACAACCCGGCGAGCTTCTATCTTTCGGACTCTATCTCTTCCCCGATATTGTGCCCATCTACGCAGTCAGGATTCTGCTGCCACCGAAATGTCGATTTCCTCGCTGCGTTTCACAAACACGATTGAAATGGGAAACCGCGGTCAAGAAGCACTATGCCGACAACCCTGCTGTGGTCTGTCTAAGCTCAATATGAACTGCGGCTGTGAAAAAAAGGACCCCACAAGAATAGATGCTTCGAACCAAAACACACTGAACTGCAGCGGTGTCTTCGACAATGCATTTCCCCGCGCCACTGAGATCCATAGGACATACCTGAGTAAAGGTTTAGGACAAGCATATTACACAAATCCAGATTCAGAATGCAACAGCCGAGCAATCAAGCTTTGGTGCTCAAGACCGGGCGTTGACGACAGTGCGATTCAGATAAAGCCTGCTCCGGAAATAGTCGAGGGCATGACCTACGAGGATATTCCCAACCTTAATCTTGAAATCCCACGAGGTAGGCCGAGGAGTCGGAGTGACGAGTATCAACGTCACCAATTGTCAAAGCAACAACAGCGACGAAGCATCTACACAGCTAAGTCCCCATTGGTTGTCAGTCGATAACCTTAATAATATACCGCGTTTGTCTTTATCTTTTTGCGTTCGTTGAAAACGCTTGGCGTTAAGATAACAAGAGAGTTACCTATCCGGGTAGGATCTTTTGTGATTTTAATATACCCCTTTCGGTCACTAGGTGGCTTCCACTTTTTATTGTTCATCTTTCTTTTGCTTTTGTCTGTCATTATATTTTTTCTGAGATCAACCTGTTTTGGACGTTCCTGTAAGGAATACAGTTTTAGATACATGGAATGGTTGAACGGCAGATGCGCGGTCTTGAGTATCCTTGTTTCTGTGGGCTGGGAAATCTACATCAAAGAAAGGTTTAGCAGTGATCTAAGGTACATAAGTATCTTTTACACTGTCCTATAAGATTTGGGTTCCATAATAAATTCAGAGACTAACATTTCTTCTTTGGCTTACTGGCTTACTGTACATTCCGTTGGAAGAAGTGTCCACTGATCAGCTACGCATATATATATAGACCTAGGATATTGGAAGTTACACTGAGAGCAGCCCGTGGAATCCACACCCTTCGGAGTAAGTTCTACTGCCCTACATGTCTCAAGTAGAAAAGCCCTAAATAACTTATTGGTCTGGAATATCGTCAATAGTTAAAAGCACCCTTGTAGTTCGAGAAGATAGACAAAAATATATTAACATTTCTGAACTTTATCCATCATCGCATGCCATGATAAGTTTATATGATACATTTCATTGTGGAACGTTATATAAGTTCCCCATGAGAAACCCTGAACGGTGCTGCCAGATCAAACCAAGAAAAATATTGAGGGATTGAATCAAGAAAGTTAAATGCATTAGCAGTCGCGAATGGATTCCTCCTTCGATTTCAACGTTGTTAATGAAGTAAGTCAATTTACTCAATCCGAACCTTTTTCATTTTTTGTACCGGCTCCTTGGGCACAATCACTGAGAGGATTCCGTCTCTCAAGCTCGCCCGGACTGCTTCTTGGTCCACTCTTGTTGGGAATGTGAACACTCTGTGGAATTGACCAATTGACCGCTCCGATGCCCAATACTTGTAGGCAGGGCCACTGGATGATTGCTCTTGATGCACTGTTGCTTTATTTGGGGGGGCGGTGCTGATGTGTGTTGGTGAACCAGCAGATACCGTGGCATTGGGTGGTTCTTCATCTTCTTCATCTTCGACTGTGGGTTGGAGAGACCTTATGGATGAGGCATCATCGGTAATTTCATTGTCATCGGGCATTGTATTGCTGTAGTTGCGTTGGACATGGCCCTTAATGACTAACGTGTGAGGATCGGTAAACTCGATGTCAATGTTGTTCTGGTCAACACCGGGTAGCTCGCCGTCAAGATGATAGCAATCATTCCTTTCATAGACATCAAAGCGAGGGGTGAACGAGCGGACCGGTACAGCCTTGTTCTTTTGGCAGCTGGAACGATGCACATCATAGTCATTGAGCAGCCGGAACAAAGGCGCGAAGTCGTTGGCGACGCGGGGGAAGAAAGCCATGTTCAGTGCAGATCTTGGAAGACAGATGTTTGAAGTACTTGAGGTGCTTGAGGTGCTTATGTTTATAGATGCGATTGACTGTATTCGACTATGGCAAAACAGAGTCTGGGTGGGAGTCGATCATTCTTTTATATTACATGCGACCTATTCTAAAAGAGACTGGTACCTCAGATATTACATACAGTAAGCAGGTCGAATATGCCAGCAGATACTCGCAATGCGTGCGATCTTGATCTCGATACTCCAAGATGGCTCTGGGGCCTTCGAGAGTGCTTAGATAATCACGGGCTAAATCCGACGTAGTGGCGGGAAGCCGCGCGAAGCTTCCACGATCTCGGCTAGAATGCGACGAGAAGACTATCGTCGTCCACCTTACCGGATGTTCCGAATCCCAGGAGAAGAATACATTTCAAGCTGCCGGTTGCCTTTGCGCAGTAAATACTCTATTGCGCTGAAATCTTTTTTGCTAACCGAGAGATATTTGCGGAACTCCGCCCTATCGATACCGTTAGCAACCAGTAGCTTCGGGATTAGCTCAGTCGAGGTTCCTGCAAATTGGAAATATACCTCACATATGATCTAAAATTGTCCCTTGTCTCCTGGGAAGAGGGAGGACGACTCATTAGCCGAGGTCCTTCTGGGTGGCGACTACCTAGTATGGGCACCACTCACTATAGGCTTCTTCCGTATTTCTCGTAGGCATTTTCGGTAGAGGGACAAGACCTCCCTTTGCAGGCCCGAAAGTCGAGCCATTAATCTGTTCTGGGTGTAAGGTTGCGGATGGGTGAGGTTGGGAGAAGACGGATCGGAGCGATGCTATCAGTATCATAATTTCATGCGTCTCCGGCCGTCGCCGATTTTGCGGGAAAGGAAAAAGCAGCTACTAGCGTCTTTCCCAGCCGAATGAGTCGAGCCTTGTCCAAGGAGTTAGTTGAGTAGGCTGTCAATCCATAGTAATAATCTAAGGGGGTGTCAATACTCCGTACAAAACTAAAATTTGGGAGTAGTGGTAACTTGGCTCAGTAGAGTAGGATTGTAGTAACTCTGCGCAGACATGCCCACATTCTCCTGACCTAACTACATACGTTCATGGGGATATATATTGGTCGATCGGTGATTGCCCTTGGTACTACGTGATACCCTGAAGCTCACGCCTATATTTCCCTTTCCGATCACCATAGCGTCTCATTCGCTTTTTGGCCAATGATGGCCGAGTATATTATGGTGGTGCTATCCCCTCCCCTCAACGACCTGGCGACAGTGGTGAGGGCCTGGGTGATACAAGGTGAAATCTTTCCGCCGGCATCACCTCACGGATCAAGTCACCGAAGTCAGAAACCTTCTTGCACCATTAACGAGAAAGGGCATCGAAACTGTACGTTGTTTGGGGCTGAACTACGAACAACATGCCAGAGAGGCCCGTCTTCCACGCCCAGTATCCAGTCCTCTTTTACAAGCCGGTAACATCCATCACTGGACCAACTGATGACATTCCGGTCCCTCTCATGGCACAAGAAGGTGAAGGCCTGGGCTACGAATGTGAGCTAGTTGTCGTGATCGGCAAGGAAGCCAAAGACGTGCCTGAAAACCAAGCTCTAGACTATTATGTTCTTGGCAATGCTGTTGGCAATGATGTTTCTCACAGACACTGGTAATATCAAATGTGGTGGGGGTCCATGGGCATTAGGAAAGGGCTTCGATGGCTGGGCACCTTTAGGCCCTACTACAGTATCCTCCAAAGTAATCTGTGACCCTAACGCATTGCATATCTCGACAAAATTCAAAGGCCATACGGCCCAGTCTTCGTCAACCAAGGTTATAATATTCAATGTGGCAGTCTCGTTCCTGTCCCAAGTTACCACCTTGTTACAAGTGACTTGATCTTCACTGGAACGTTAGTGAAACCCTTGTACCTGTTTCAAGCCCTTCAAGTTCCTGATAGGATCCCAGGCCATAAGGTTTTGGAATGGGTAGAAGGCCCGCACTTTGGCTAAAAGACGGAGACTGTGTCGAGGTCGCTCTCGAGGGTGTGGGATCATGCGTGAATCGGGTTGTCTTTGACAAGACTTCCCCGAAACTCTGAGCGACTAAGGAGACTCAACAACACTCGGGTGATGCTGCGTGATGCAAGCAAGCGCCTCATGAGGCGCGCCGAAAGGCCCCTCTGCAAAGCTGAAATAGAAATATGCATTTGTAGTCCATTCTCTGCTAAATAAGTCCTCGCATTTAGACACCAGAATTTAAAACAAAGAAAACTAGTTGACCTGGGCTCCATATCCCTTGATGCCTTCCGCAAATGCCCAACTCTGAGCCTCGATCTTCTGATCTTCCTGCATCTCAATCCCCCCTTCAGTAATCACTGCCAAGGAGTACTTGTCGATGCTTCGGGCATCTCGGTACCAGAGAACCTTAAGACACTCTCTCAGTGCCGCCACTGCTTCGTCCTTACTGACTTCTTCTGTCGGTTTCTCTTCTGGGAACAATCGACGAAGAATCGGGACGGCGAGGTGAGCACCGAATCCGGTAGCAAGGTGTGGCGCTGAGAATGTAGTTCCTAGAAGATCCGCAGAGCTAAGGAATGGCTTCTTGTCTCCATCGAATCCGGCAACGAGAATGTGGTTCCAGAGCGGATTGAACTCGGAGCGGCGCTTATAGAACACCTTAGATAGATACGTATGGAGGTTCTTTGCATTAAGCATGTTTCCGTGGGCGGAATAATTCTCCCTGATATCGAGTGATCCCAAGAGACGATCAATGTACTGCATGTCGGACACATCACCACTGAATCCAATCACAGCCGAATCACCAAACACGCGAAGGCGCTTCACATCAGAGAATCGGGCAAGAGAGCCGTACGAAGCTAATAGGGAGCAAGTCATGTCAAAATTGTACTGAATGAGCTCTAAGCATAGGACACATACCTAAGTTATCGGCGGCGATCGCAACACCCCTGTTGAATTTGACGGCTATTACTGACGTTCCCGTCACGGCAGGTGATTGGGTGTGGGTTTTGGGGCCTGTCATTTGAAGATACGACGGATTATAAGTCCCATAGACATCATCCCTGGGCTTCCAACAAAGTGTCAGTGAGACATAGCGCACTGCTGCGATGTGATGCCCTTACCCGACCCCAACCTTCAGGGTAGTGATTCATGATGGATGTTGTGATTTGGAAACGTAAAGTGGACTGATCTGCTGCTGAATATGAAAGAAAATGGTGGTCTAAGGGCAAATCAAACCACGGACGCTCAAAAGAGTTAGCAGATGATATATATGCAACGATGTGGACTCGTAAGTTATTATGTATTAGGCAGTCAGAGCTGACGGAGCTCTGGTTACGTTAGTAACCAGTATTATCGGCGGTCGGGCCAGATACCGCGCCTAATCACAGCTCCCGCGCACGCGCTTAGCGACTAGCTGCCTCCGGTCTACTCTGGTATGGCGCTCCATCACTTTTAAAGTCTAAGCCTGGTTTCGACCACGGAGGTCCAGCATAATACCCATACACTTATGGATATTGGGCTTCGGCAATGTGAAGGCACAGATACTTACGCCTTGTCAATTTAATTTTTTTTTTTTTGCCCCCTTGACTCAAAACTTAATGACGACAATGGTGCCAAAATTTTGCTATGCATATAATATACTGTATGCTTCACCGCTAAGAAAGTTACTGGCTTTGAATAAATTTATATAATATGTGCCAATTATTGTGTATGATTCCTATCCACCTTTTCCATACTAGAGATAGTCACCTTAATCTCTTCTTTGAGTTGAGGACAGTTCCCGTGTGACTCGTTTCACTAGTCGCATTCACAAAACCAATTGTATCCCTTTGGCTTGCAAGCCTCTGGTCTTCTATGCTATTACGAGTTTCCTTCTGTGTCTTCAGGAGTTCTTCCTTGAAACCCCAACTCGGTAGACACGATGTATCCCACAGATCAAGTGGTAAAGACGTATAGTATTGCACCTGACCATAAAGGCCCATGTGATCCATCAGCTTCACGAGCAAATCTTGGTTCTTCAATGATGTTGAACTGGCTAGCTTCTCGTTAAAGTGAACTTCTTGTTCCTTCAATGTCAAAAAATGGGCAAACTTTGCATTTGCTGTAGGATTAGGGGTTCCAGGGGGGGATGGTGGGATGTCTAGATTAGGCACCGGCGGAAGTGTTAAATCATGAACCAATGTGTGCGACGTTGAGTATGGTGAGGAATGTCCATCCAACGAGTGAATATCTGAAGAATGGGTTTCTTGATGCAATGGGCCGAGAACAGGTCCACTGGGGTCTGGATTTATAGTATTTTTTGGGGTCTTGGGCCCATCACCAAATTCTGTTCGCATCACAATTAACGGTTAGATATACATCGATGTATTCATATATTAGCATACCTTACCTTTATTTTCCTCTGTTTTAAAGGCTAACTCTGGCCGATCTTTTATTACTTGCTAGAATGGTTTAGCCACCCTCGGTATATAAGACCCTACAGGGACACATACTCTCTGCGAAGAAGCACACTTTTGGTCAACTTCATCCTCGCTGCTGCTTTCATATGCTCCAAGACCCAGCATAGCTGTCAATGCTAATGTGCATCTAGTGTACTCCCATAAATTAGGTGTCAGTCTTGAATTTCACACAGGTGCTTGTGAATTTAAGGACTGTGTAATTCAATAATAGTAAAGCAAGTAAATGTAGACCGTATCAGTTCCTCTCTCGCTTGGGAACATTTAAGGTTAAGCTCCGCAGGAAGGCGGAATATCCAAGATTACATAAGCGACAGGCAGCTAGAGGACGGCGTCAGGGCAGCCATAGCTGCTGCATTGAGGACAGAACAGCCGATTCCTATCATCCACCAAACATTGTTGACATAAAATTTGGGAGAACTGTACAGCTCACTGAAGTGTGGCTTCTATTGTTCGGGTTGACAAGAACTGTTATTTACTTTGGAACTGAGTGAGGATCCGGACAAAATATGATGCCTCTAATGCCTCTAATGGGTCACCAACCTCATAACGAGGCTGTCGGTTACTCTTTCTCGCAGTCTCAGACTGCTGCACCCAACAAAGAACATTCGTTTTATCCGTATGTATTGGTATTCCAGGCCTGTCTTCGATGAAATAGCTGACTTGTATTGTTAGGTATACCGACAACGGTGGCTCCACCCTAGGTATCACAGGTGCGGATTTTGCTATCCTTGCTGGTGATACTCGTTCAGTTGCAGGTTATAACATCAACTCTCGTTTTGTTCCCAAGGTCTTTAAGATTGGCGGTGATGATGAAACTGGCGATGGTGCTCATATTCTTCTATCGGTTGTGGGCTTCGCTGCAGACGGTCAAGCTCTCAAAGAACGGCTAGATGCAGTGGTGAAGATGTACAAGTACCAACACGGAAAAGCTATGTCTGTCGGAGCATGTGCTCAGCGATTGTCGACTATTCTTTATCAAAAACGATTCTTTCCCTACTATGTGCATGCTATCTTGGCAGGCCTGGATGATGAGGGTAAAGGGGCATTGTACAGCTACGATCCTGTCGGCTCATACGAGAGAGAGCAATGCCGAGCGGCTGGGTCTGCAGCCAGTTTGATTATGCCATTCTTGGATAATCAAGTCAACCTGAAGAACCAGTACATCCCTGGAAGCGGCGAAGGACATGCTCTTGAAGCGAGGAACCCGGAACCATTACCCAGGGAGACAGTGGAACAGCTGGTACGAGATGCATTTACTAGTGCAGTGGAGAGACACATCGAGGTTGGAGATGGCTTACAAACGATGATTATCACGAAGAATGGAATAGAAGAGATCTACACTCCGTTGAAAAAGGACTAGGGGGAGAAGCGGTGTACATTTCCTCGTGTCTATTCTATTTCATTCCGATCAATTGGCCTACACTCAGTAGCAATGACAGGAGAATCCAGTATGCGATGACATTACAAGACATGTAGATGCTATGTCTATGATCACATTAAACTGTTCACCCTAGTGAAAGCATATTGGCGTTCGTAGTATAGCAGGGAATAGGTAATTTTTTGTAGCGATCTTGGTTGTCCAAAAGTTGTGAACCAATACCCACAACTGTAGTTATTTATTTAAATAGATTTCCATTATTGTGGGAACTTTCACATATAATTAATGCTATTTCTAATAAAACAAAAATTCTGGGGTTCCTAGAAAGTTTGTAAATCATAGTAGGGTAGCCTATTGAACTAGTACAAACAGGACAAACGTGCTCTTTACAGGTGCTGGGCGGAATGATTTCATTAAATTTTATCCAAAAGCAACGTCCAAACACAGTTTGAGACGCTTTCTGAGATTTTGGCTCACATCTGTTATCAGGTGCTTTATTAGACATTATCTCTACAATGAACAGATTCTCTTAACTAAGAAGATATTTGTTTTATCCATCTTCCCTCCCCCTCTCCTCTTTGTTACCTGAATTATCCACTATGTGACGGCGATCATGTCTAGCAAATTCGGACGCAGGCTATACACCAACTTTTGGGAAACGGCAAGCCCTTTCTTTGGGCGCGGACCATGGACAAGTCGTACTATTTTCTTCTCTGACACGGGAAATATAAATAATTCCATATTTGGCTTCCTGGGCAAAAGAGAGATCAAAAAATTATCATCCTTCCCTCCACGGAAAACGACAAAAATTACCAGGCGATTTGCTTCCGGAAGCTTTCTTGTTCTTGGGTTTTCACCAAACTCGACTGCAGTCGAGACTGGAACAACTTGTGCCATAACCCCGGAGAAGATTATTTCGCATAGAAGCTACCAACTTGACCGAAGATTTTTCCCCAGCCTGGCGCGAAGTGCGTTGGCACGGGGTTTCCATACGAATAATGATGACCGACCAAAATCAAAGGCACGCCAGGATTCTGTAATTTGCGAAAATAGAGATACATCCTCCCCTAAACATCAAAGCACAAGAGATGATCTCCAATCACATGATTTGAAGTCAGGACAGGAGCCGCATGAGCAACGTCTAGGAGAGCCGTCAAATCGACATTTGATAGATCGATTACCGCATATGTCACAATTACATCGGCCTACAAAGGAAGAGCTCTTGGCTGCGGCGAACGGTTTCTGGTCCAGACTCAAGGTACGCTTTAAGTGGTTCTCGATACGGAGTGTTAGACCTTTCAATCTGGAAGAAATAACTGCTCTCTTTTCGTGGGTTTTGTTGGGCCATGTGGTATGGATTGTTCTAGGTACGACAACTTTTTTCTCGTTGTTGATTATTGCTATCAACACGGTCCTCGCTCAAGGTATGTCTTGTCTATACTCTATTTCAGTGTCCCTCACTTTACTCATGCGACATAGAAACCCTTGCTCGTTGGATAGGCAATTACCTTACTAGGTCTTCAGGTGTAAAAGTAGTGTTTGAGTCGGCAATCGTTCCCAGATGGCGTGATGGTGTCATTACTTTTAAGAATGTTTTTGTCTCCAGAAGACCAGGCCAAGGTGCTGGACATGTTAGTAAAGGTTCATCAAAGACGGCTGCTGCGGTCGCCGCTGCTGCCGCACTCAATGAACAAGCTACCTCCGATCCAAGTGACCCTTCGGATCAGTGCCTATTTCCTGAAAACGAGGACACGAACTACACACAATTTGATTTATCGATTGAAATGGTTAACGTCACATTGTCATTCACAAAATGGATCAACGGTAAAGGGCTCCTCCGTGATGTTGAAGTAAAGGGTATACGGGGAGTGTTTGACCGCAGGTATGTCCACTGGTCAAATGATGACTTGGACCCTAAATCCTACCGGCATGAGCATAGTCCTGGAGACTTCGAGATCGATTCATTCAAGATGAGTGATGTGCTTGTCTCGGTTTATCAACCAGACAATTTCAGGCCGTTCTCCGTTAGCATATTTTCCTGCGATCTTCCGCAATTGAGGAAACAGTGGCTTTTCTATGATTTTATGTCGGCTAATATGATGACCGGATCATTTGACAATTCTTTATTTACAATCCATCCTCGCCAAACCCACAGTTTTACCGGCCCCCATTTGGGAAATGAAGAGGATGATGGCAAACGAGACCCTTGGAAGAAACATAGCAGAATTCGCATCGATGGGCTGAATGTCGACCATCTAAACCGCGGGGTACAGGGTCCATTTTCTTGGATACACGAGGGAACAGTGGATATTGTTGCTGATATTATGTTCCCCGCTGAAAATGATGAAAGTTTAACAAAGGTGATGGTCGATTTGTATGATCGGTTGGAAGCTACAGTTACGTCCAATCAATACCTTGAGGAGGTATCACACTATTCGGATCAAGCTGGGGAGACGGGTGTGAGCGATGATAGACGGTTTTTAATCACAGACCTGCGACTTCACTTGAACAACGTTCGGGCTGTTGTGCCTCTGTTTACACGAGATCTTTCTTATATTAATAATGCCCTAATTCGTCCTATCGTCGCTTACATCAATTCACGGCGTACCTTTATTCCTGTCCATTGTCGACTCGTCAAGCGTGTGGGCGACTTTGATGGCAGTTGGACCATCTTTGATAGTGGATTGATGGATGACCTCTCGGCAGCGGTAAGCTATTTTTCTTTCTTTCTTTCTTTCTTTCTTTCCTTCTCTTTTTCCCTCCCGGTTTGGTGCTGATGTATTGAAGGTGTACGATGCATTTGCGCGAGACGTAGTCGACGAACAGGCACGCAAGCGACGTTTTAAGAAGGTTGGCTTTTGGTCCCTCCAATTAGCAGCCCAGGCCATCTTTATGGGAATGGCTGGAAATATAGCATAAGCATGTATATTAGGTTATCATATCTCCAGTAACTCATTTCTTTGTGCATGTCTCTCATCTCCAAGGGAGAGAAAGCCGTTTTGGCTTTAAAAAAAGAGCAACGGATAGAAGTGCATTTCTTTTATTTTCACTTTTATTGTTAGTGTATAGGTCTCACCTCTTCTGACTTTATCATTTGTGGTTTCTCTTACCGCCTTAGTGTACGTGAAGCCATGTCGCCTTTCTTTGAAGACTAAGATATCTCACATTATTGATAAATTCGGCTTCGATTCTTTGTTCAGATTACTTCTTGACTTGGTATATCGCACAATTTTTTTTCATTTTTGTTTTTTGCATTTAGCAGAGTAGTGAAGTGTGCCCTTATACTACTGACTCACAACGAACTTGTTGAAAAGAGAGCAATTAGGAGAAGAATTAGTATATATATATATATATATATATATTAGGTCAACCAATATTAATATACATACGCTTCTTCAGGTGAGTAGATTACCCCTAGCTGGAATACTCTGTCGTAAAGAAACCTTCATGATCCATGGGTACCCTCCAGGGAGTACTGTTACGGAAATTTCCGGTGCAGTAAAGTTACTTTCGCTGGCAAAAAAGGGATGAGGGGCCATTTCGGTTGACTATAACCCCACTTTTGCCTGGGATTTGCATCCCTAATGTACGAAGTAGGGAGACATGCCTACTCATAGACCGTAATACCTAAGTAGGTACCAGACAGTCTCCGTACCAGGTACCAGGTACTCTGTAACAATCAGTACCTACCCCCTTCCCCCAACTCCACTCCTATGGATAAATAGAAAATTGAACCAGGAACATTATTTTTAATCCAATAAAGAAATGATATCAAAAACAATTTCAAGAAAAAAATAAGAAAAAGGCCTGGGACACCCGCTGCCATTATCAGCATGCTCCTTGGCGGCGATATCTACCCCCAACGGCAGACCACCTTGAAATTCTCTGGGGCGGTTGGCGCTAGTCAAGCCTAGCGTCCATGGGACTAATCCTCCATACGGCCACCAACTATTATTATGGATGAGCTTTGATTACTCCTGATCAAACCATGTCGCATATTTATCAAGAATAACAGCACCAGCAGGCTTTTTAACACTACACCCGTCTCTTCACATGCAATTGGCCCCGCCTTCTCTTGTCATTGACCTGGCGGCCGCATCTCCCCTGATTATTATATTGTTCTATCATTATTATAATTTTACAACCGCAGTCTGACGGGCTGGCCCTCGGACTCGGGGGCTGTTTCACTTAATAACACGAACACGTTTGCGCCGCTCCTCTTCATACAAGTCCTCAGTCTCAGTTACGCTCCAAAGGCGACATAAGTCATAGAAACAACCATCACCGAGATCATTTCCTTGCACCTATCCATTCCGGCATCGATTCTATTGACCACATATCTCATGCCGCGTTCCCAGCTTCTTCATCAGGTATTCGCCAAATTTCATCCACTACATCAAAAAGGAGGTCATTAAATGCGTCATACTAGTATGATAGAGATATGAACGGGCAGACAGACGACAACAGAGCGCTCCCGGCCTCAAGCACTCCGGAGTCTACGCAGTCAATAATATCTTCCACAGTATCTTCCATTCATACTAAACGATCAATGCCAGGAGAACGGCCGGGGCAACGCATAATGCCCCGCACTTCTTCAATCGATTCTGCTATATCGTCTCTCTCGTCCGCTTCCCAACCCCATAAGTTGTCGTTCGATGCCAACGCCTTAAGCCAAGCAGACATTGGAAACCTCATTGCTACGGCAGGATCAGCAGAGGCGGTGATCGTACATCTTCTGAAGGAAAAGCATCATGCAGCATCTCAAAATTCACAGCTTTGGAGGCTGGTCGATAAGCAGCGTACCCTCATCCTTGGGCTAAATAAGGATCTGGATCGTGCCTTGAAGGATAAAGAACGGTACAAGAAGAAGGTGAAGGAGCTACAGAACTCCATACCGCCGGTGCCATTGGTGGGTGCTCAAGCAGTACATGATAGAGCCACTAGAAGTAGTGACGAAGTAGCTGTCGGCCAAGGCACGTCCGGAAAGACACAGACACGAGACCGAGATGTCTCTGCGGTCTCTGACTCGGATACCAAGGGCCATTTGTCTAACTTGTCACTTGCTGATAGAAACATGGAATCATTGGCCACCAACTACCTGGGAGAGCCTGACCAACAAAGAGAGTCGCAAACACACCAATCGCTAATGTCCCCACAGCAAGAGCTATCAATGGGGGGCTCGCGATTCGCAAGTGCTATTTCCACCACGAATGACCTAAATTCTGGTGGAACTAAGCGACAAAGCCTCCCTCATCCAGTCCGGAAACCTCCCCCTGCGCCGCTGAACCTTGGTCAGCCAGATCGCCCTCGTGTAGAATGTCCAGTTGATTTAGACTCTGAGTCTGAGTATGAGGATATACTGGCTGTGGATGGTTTATCAGAGGAACGTGGCCGAAGGAAAACGAGAGACGACGATGACCGAGAGCGCGAGACAGCATTACACAAAGAAATACCGACTTTTGAACTGCCTTTAAAGGAAACAAACGAATCAGCATCAACCTCCGGAAAGCCTCAGAAAAGCCCACACGGTACGACGGGCCTTGGCCCAGAAGTAGTGCCACTAATTGAACAATCCGAAGAGACTCCTCGCGCTGCTCATGCGCCCCCTTTAACTTCTCATCCAGGCATTATGGTTTCAAAAATCCCTGGCTTACCGTTAAGTCCAAGGCCAGAAGACCGTCCCCCCGGGTCACCGCTACCTAGGATGCCGAGGGAAATATCTAGTTCTTTGACTTCCTTGCCAATGTCATCAGGAGGCAACCTCTCCGGTCTAGCCCTGTCACCCGGAGTTGGCCAATATCCGAATCTTTTTCAACCTGGTGGTCCCACTTCTACCGCTTCCAGAACTGGAAACCGTACAGTGCCTTCAAGTGATGCCGCGCAAATTGATAGTCTCCAGTCACCAGCGTCAAGGACCTACAGGATCTACCAAGGTTTGGTATCAGAGGATTATCCAGGCCTGCTTTTGCCGCCAAACGCCATTCCTTTAATTCGGGTGAAAGTGTCATCATCTCGACTTCGGCCTTCTAGGACCAGCTACACTATGCCTAGACCATCAGAAGAGGAGCCTGTTTTTACACTGGGTGTCTTCTCGCGGTCAGACGGTGCAGAACTCTGGCGCATCGAAAAGGTTATTGCTGCCCTTCCACAACTCGATCAACAAGCAAGACAACTTTCGACCTTTGGTGTAAAGCTGCCTGATCGGTCCATCTTCAACGGCCATTCTCCTGCGAAAGTTGACTCCAGGCGTGCCGCTTTAAATTCTTATTTTGACGCACTCCTCGAAACACCCATGGATGAAAAGACAGCCCTAGTTATCTGCAAGTTCCTCTCGACCGATGCAATCGAGCCTCGAGACGATGAAACAAGCCTGCTTAAAGGTAACAACCAAGCTGGGTCGGAGACATGCAGCCCAGATGAGAGGCCTCGGAAAGAAGGATATTTAACCAAACGGGGGAAGAATTTTGGCGGCTGGAAGGCGCGGTATTTCATTCTGCATGGCCCTGAGCTTAAGTATTTTGAGTCGCCAGGTGGCCCTCATCTCGGAACCATCAAAATTTACAATGCTCAAATTGGCAAGCAATCTCAGAGCGCAAATGGGCAAAACGGCTCCCCTTTGAGGGCTGAAGATGATGTTGATAACCAATATCGCCATGCTTTTCTCGTTTTGGAACCAAAAAAGAAAGATTCTTCAGCACTCGTTCGACACGTGTTGTGTGCTGAGAGCGATGAAGAAAGGGATGCTTGGGTCGAGGCGCTCCTAGAGTATGTTGAGGGACAATCTGAGAATGAGGGCTCTAATAATGGATCTTCGAAAGGGCAAACTCAAGCCCTTGGCAAGCAGACAGTCAGCTCAGCCCTCAAGCCCAAGATATCTTCGAGCGGAAGTAAGAAAGGGGGTAAAGGGGTCGAGGATCCGGATATGGAAAGACCTGATACAGTTCAAGGGTTTAGTTATGATAGCGCTACCCCTGCTGAACCGCCTGTTTTTGGCCCTTCTTTTGAGCCGAGAAGCCCCATTTCTCCTTCACTTACCCCAGGGTTGTTAACGGATTCTGGAGATGCAAATCAGATGGCAGACCCATCTCCAGACTCAAGTCAGCCATCCTCTAGACTCATCTCTGGTCCCACCAACGGTGCAGTTATACAGGATGCCGGAGCTTGGGGCAACAAAGCAATTAGTATTGCCAAAGAAAAAAAACGAAGCATTTGGGGATTCCGCACTAGATCCTCGATCGATCTTGCCTCACAGCTCCAAGCCAGCCATGATATCCAATCAGCACAAACCCACAACAATGTCTTGGGGGATAGAAAAGAATTTGTGAGGCCAGTGTTTGGGATCCCATTGGCTGAAGCGGTCCAATTTTGTGCACCACAGGGTGTTGCCGTTGAGCTACCAGCTGTCGCTTATCGTTGCATAGAGTATCTCAAAGCCAAGGACGCGGCGTCAGAAGAAGGGATATTTCGACTAAGTGGCTCAAATGTCGTTGTCAAAGCTCTCAAGGAACGTTTCAATACTGAGGGTGATGTTGACTTCCTGGCTGGGGATCAGTACTATGACGTACATGCCGTCGCATCTCTTTTCAAGCAGTACCTGCGAGAGCTTCCAACAACTGTCCTCACTCGTGGACTCCATTTACAGTTCCTCCGTGTACTTGGTAAGACAATGTCTCTTTCTCTCTTTAACCCGTGTTGTATGTTAACTCTAACTGGCTTAGAGCTTGATGAACGACAGCAAAAGATTGTTGCATTCAACTCGCTTGTTCACATGCTCCCAAGGCCAAATCTGGCATTGCTAAGAGCACTGGTCAATTTCTAATGGATATTGTAAACAATTCGGATATCAATAAAATGACAATCAGAAATGTCGGCATTGTTTTCGCTCCCACGCTCAATATCCCGGCCCCCGTTTTTTCGATGTTTCTCACCGACTTTGATGGCATTTTCGAGAATGTGTTAAGCCCCAGTGCGAGTGCAGTGGAACTAACTGCCAGCCACTCGATGGCCACAGAAGATATCTGTTCGCCACGTCGCCAAATGTTCTCAGATATACCCACTCCTACTTACAATCAAACGGCTTTCCGCAGCCAAGGAGAGCCTCCAGACGAATTCAATGCGCAACATGACACCGGACTCACCTCCATCCAGCAAAGCTACGAACAATCCTTTAACAATGCTGAATATCCTAATAACGATGAAACGAACTCTCCTTCCATGAATCAAATGCTCACGCCCTCCACTGAATCTCCACGCTCTGTCAAGGCGAAAAGACGAGAAAGCTCGATGTTTCTCATGGAGCTAAACCAACAAGCTGCACACAATCGTGGTAAGTTACTGTCCCACTTTTTTTTGGCTGGTGACCATCTTCTAATTATGAAAAAGCATGAGCAGCTGGTGGAAATCCTATAGTTCGCCAACCATGTCAACAGAAAGCTCTATGAACATTTGTTGCAATCATCGCCGCCGCTGACCAAGGCTGATAATGATTTGAATGAAGATGAAGTGATGAATATCCCAAGTTGTGCTACGCTCGACCAAGAGTTACCGAGAAGTTATTTAATACTAGTCTGAAGCGGTTGAACATTCTGCCTTCCTTCCTGTGTTTCCTGACTTTTGTTTCAAAGTACTTCTCCTGATATCAATGCAAGCATAAGTCTATGTACACGTAATTACATAACTTCATGTACAAAGTTTTGTTCTAAATGCATATTCTTTTGTCAATTTTAGTTGTACACATGCAATGCATGAATCATAAACGAAACTCCATATCACCCGCATCCCTTTCCCTTCTGAAAAGTTATGTTAGTATAGTAGTCATTGGTCGGTTGCCTCTTGAATCTGTTCACGATAAGTTCCAATCGCAGATATAAAGCAACATGAGCGTCTACTGAATTCTATGACATCCAGCTTTCCGAACGCATAGCAAGAAGTAAAAGAATCATTCACTGATACAATTCTATGGACATCAACTTGTATTTAACGTTAAGGCTTAGAACCTTTTAGAGCGATCTTCCCTCCAAAATCCCATTAATTCACCATTCTCTTTGACCCAATCCCGGACCCCATCAACCAGAGCCTTCGCCATTCCTTTATTCTTGTTCCTCCCTTCTGGTAACAAAGCGGTACTGCTGACTCCTACAGTCGAGATGCGTTCACCTGTGACATACTCGGAGCCCATGCTAGGCAGCACATTCTCACCCGCACTAAGGCTGACAAAAAGTGCGAAAGGCACCAGCCAGACACAGAGCCCAAAGTAAGACGCAACTTCAGTGAAAGTCGGCATATCATCCACATTGGCTTGATACGGGTTACGCCAGCTGCTTGCAGTTCGTGATGAAGGCAGCGGTTTAGAAAAGTGGCGGAACCAGAGCCAGTGATTTAGACCAACTAGGATGCAAGACATAATGAAAAGGGGGTCCGAGAGTTTAACAATCGGAAAGCGACGCAAATTACTTGCATAAACCATATGCGAGCCGATGCTAAGGACCGACAACGAAAGCGGGAATCGATCAAATAGGAAGAGAAGGATCTGAATGAAGACAATGCTATATATCAACCTGGTCAATAGCCGACGGGCGAGGACAGTATGCTCCTCTACAAGCTCAGACAAGTAGTAGAGTCCCGAAGCTAGACAGGATTGTCAGAACATCGTTGATTTCACTCGGGTAGCATACACTTGTCTCAGTATGACAATTACGACTGTGGGCCTTACCTATGGCCAGAGTCAAGAATGAGAATCCTACAATAACTCCCAGATATCCGACTAACGGCAGGATCCACATATTGTAAAACATAAAGGCGACGAGCGAATCTATAATTTAATATCCTATGAAGAATGAGAGGGGGTTTCGGATAAGAAAGGAGGCGGAAAGTATTCGTATGCAGCGGCAAAAGAGATGGGACCATTCAAAACTCATAATAATAATAACCACAGTAGAATATTTGGAGTACGGTTTCCTGAAGCAAAGGACTCCAGTCCTTCGGCGATCAGCAGGTATTCTCGGATGCTACTCTGGCCCAAACAGCGGGCAAAGTTTTGGTGCCTCAGGTATCATATTCACCGCCTGAGATTTTTGGCCTCCACAGTCATAGTTCCCGGCCTACGGACAATAACAACCAATCGGGCGCTTCCTGGATTTTAATACGACTTCTACCAGTTGTTTCTGTGGTTTTTTTTTTTTTTTTTTTTTTTTTTTTTTTTTTTTTTTTTTTTCTCGTTCAGTCCCAAAGTAACCATGTCACGCCCCGAGGATATCTTGTAAGTTGTGATTTTAGCAATCCTATCTCGGCTGTTTCTGACTGCTTTTACTGAAGACCGCCGGATCTCTTCTACGATGACAATGAATCCCGAAAATATACCACCTCTTCGCGTATCCGTAACATTCAAGCTGATATGACGAATCGAGCGCTTGACCTTCTCGACCTTCGATCTCCATCGCTCATTCTGGATATTGGCTGCGGATCAGGGCTTTCTGGTGAGATTCTCTCACAAGTGCCCGCAGAACAGGGTGGACCACATACTTGGATTGGGATGGATATTTCGCCCAGCATGCTTGATGTCGCGCTCCAACGGGACGTAGATGGTGATTTGTTCCTGGCCGATATCGGCCAAGGAGTGCCGTTCCGACCTGGCTCGTTTGATGCAGCCATTAGTATCAGTGCCATACAATGGCTCTGTAATGCTGAAACAAGTGATGTTAGTCCAGAAGGGCGTTTACGCCGATTTTTCGAAGGTTTATATGCCAGTCTTCGACGTGGGGGCCGTGCCGTCTGTCAATTTTACCCAAAGAATGATGCGCAACGGAGCATGATCAGTGGCGCGGCCATAAGGGCTGGTTTCGGGGCTGGCATCCTGGAAGATGATCCCGGTACAAAGAATAGTAAACTGTATCTTGTTCTGACCGTTGGAGGGGGTGGTTTGCAAGGTGACATTACAGGTGTTGTACAAGATATGGATGACATCAATGTCTTGGACGTTAGGAGAAAGTCCACGGACACCAGCAAGATATCACCTTCCAGGAAAGGTGATAGGGCTTGGATACTGCGGAAAAAGGAGCAGATGACACGGAAAGGCAAGATCGTAAAAGCTAATTCCAAATATACTGGCAGGAAACGGCGCCCCGCTTTCTGATCTGACGGTTTTTGGTGGGTTGATTTCTTCGCGCATTAAATGCATATTTTCCTTTGTGACTTTCAAAGTAGGAAAAAGAAAAATTGTCGAAACTTCGGTATCAACAACTGAGGCCCCTGTGAATCGAATACACGCCCCTGTGCATACAATGGGGGACAAAAAAAACAAGAGGGATCAGTGACTCCGATGTCGAACTCTTTTTTTTCTTTGCCTTCAATTCATGAGTAGAGAGTTGGTCTCGGGAGGACAAGGGATGCTCTATCTGGTTGATGATAGACCCGGAACTGGAAACACCAGCAGATTGTATCGAGAATGGCCACTTGGGGAGGCATTCTAGCTGGAAGTTCAGCGGCGTGCCATTACGACTGAAGTGATGCAAATGGTCAATGATTAAATAGGACCTCTATTTTCCTCAATGAAAAATGAAAGGAAAAAATTCAAACAGTATATAATTTTACATCTGTGTCACCTCCCAAAGACTGTTTCACATAACATTGTGCAGAACTCCCCCGTCATTGTCAAGGTGAAAGGTAATACAGGATGACGTATTTAGAAAGTGAGCACCAAGCCTGGAGGCACATACTTTGGGCTCATACAAGCTCTCGTTATCATAAAAATGTAGAGTAGTGCCTTCCGAAAAGCAGAAGTTGCACAATTACAGTGCAGTCTCCATTTTATCCAGGACAGCTCTTGTAAACTCGTGCGTTGTCGCCTCTCCGCCCATGTCGCGGGTCCTCGTTTTCCTACCAAAAGCGCATGCGTCAATAGAAGCCCTGAACGTCGGCTGAGACTTATAGTCCACTCACCCTTCTCCAATCACATCATACACGGCCTTTGAGATTCTGTTTGCGTGGTCATCCAAGCCAAGGTGACGCAAGAGCATAGACCCAGAGAGAACCATGGCGCTAGGGTTGGCCTGGTCTTTGCCCTTTATATCAAGACCAACGTGGCGACAGCCGGGTTCAAAAACAGCAACATCGCGACCCATATTGCAACCAGGAACCACACCTGGTCCGCCCACAAGAGCTGCACCAACGTTGGAAAGGATACCTCCGTACAGGTTGGGCATAACCATCACGTCAAATTGCTGAGGCCGTGAGACGGCCTGCATGGATGCATTGTCGACAATCATGTCATTAACCTCTAGGGTCGGGTAATTCTCGGCAACCTTGTGAAATGTACTGCGGAACAAACCATCCGCAAGTTTCATGATGTTAGCTTTGTGGATGCATGTAACCTTCTTTCTATTGTTTGCAAGAGCAAAGCCAAAGGCGAACTTGGCAATACGCTCGGACTTAGCACGGGTGATAATCTTAAGAGATTCAACAACCCCCTGGACAGACTGATGTTCAAGTCCCGAATATTCACCCTCAGTGTTCTCACGAATGATACATAGATCAACATTCTCATGACGCGTTTTGTAGCCAGGAATGTTTTTAATGAGAACAATGGAGGCGAAAATATCAAGCTCCTGGCGAAGGGCAACATTGAATGACTGGTGGCCTGAGCGTTCAACAGGGGTGAAGAGGATACCCTTCAGGCCCAACTTGTTACGTCGGAGCGATGCAATCGATTCCTTGAAAAGCTCTTCCGAGTGTTTATTGCCTGTATTCACCCCACTGACATCTACTTGCTCCCACTCAATGGGCACATTGTCGGCCTTAAAAATGGTCTTGACAGACTCGGCAACTTCGGCACCAATTCCGTCACCTTCGGATGGCAAGAACGAGAAATTGAACATCAGTAAGACGGAGAGTAAAGAGCGGGTTGGGCTAGAAAGCTGTGGATACCTGGAATAAGAGTAACAGTGTATTTACCACCATACTTGGTAGGCTTAAAAATATCAGACTGAACGCTGGCAAATGCTAAAAAAAAATTAGCGTGTTAACAACGAACACCCTCAAATTACCATCTCACGAAGGGGGAGGTTTGCAACGCACATCGCACTGGGATAGAAGAGCGGGGATACAAAGACGTTCCAGCAGCACGACGAAGGAAAGACTAAGGTTGAGAGCCGTGTTAGCTGCAAATTGGACATGGACAGTAAAGGGTGGATAGCAGCGGTTGAAAGGGAGCCAGAAAAAAATGTTGACGAAAACAGATAATGAACGGCAGAAAGAACAGTCCCATCTCTCTCAGCTCCTTTTTTCAATATTTTTTTTTTTTTTTTTTTTTTTTTTTTTTTTTTTTTTTTTTTTTTGGTGTTGTCAGGTATTGTGGCCACGGCGGTATTATCAGGTGGATGGATGTCGTCCGCATAGCCCAGGGCAAAAAAAATGCAAACAGAAAAGCCATTCCCAAAGGGCAGGACAACAAAAGAATATTCAATTGGTTAATTGGCTTACCTGCGCGGGCTGCGCGGTCCTCAATGAAAACATTTTGACGAGCAAGGTAGGAGGGATAGTAGGGCAACTGTCCTGGGCGTGGGAAAAAAGAGGCGTAAGGAGAGGAAAGAAGCAGGAAAAGGGAGATGGGAGTGGATTGTCACATTGCACAAGGCGCCGGAAAAAGCGGCGGATCCTCTCGGGCAATTGTTCAATCACAATGGATGGACGGATGGATGATACGGCCGGATCTTATCTCTGGTGCCTGCTTAGGTCATCATTTTGACCTTCCCTCCTTTGGCATATAACTAATTAGTTTGCAGTAACTATCTACTTTGAAGCAGGCATTTCACTGGCTTTACGTTTCTAGATATGAATAAGTAGATATAATCTGGTTTTAATTAACAGGCTCACCAATCGCAACTACTATGTATAGCAACACCCTTCTCAACAAAAGCGATTTTGTTTTATGGACTCCAACTATCGTGCATCATTTCCTGACCTTTCCTAATCGGTATATCAATTGGGGCTTTCATTCAATGTGTTATATAGGTAGTAGGTACCTTTCCAGTCTCTTTGCCAGCTCTTTATTAATTACTTGTTCCAGTTGACAACCACTCAGCTATTAGAGATGCTAACGCATGCCTTTGGAGATATTGGTACTTATTCATCTACGGTTTAGGCAATTAATGCCATCAAAAAGTATCTTCGTTCGTCTCCCCTCTCCCGAGCGAGAAAGAGCAAAATTTATGCCCGTTGGATAATGGGGTGGGTTCTTTTGGGCCAGTACGTCCCCTTTTACCCCTCTGGTCAATTTCTACCTGTCGTTTACTTATATCCATGGATTATATCGGTCATCCAGAATGGTCATGTCGCACCTGGTTTCTGCTTGTTGTCAGTTATCAATTCATGAGGTGATGCACAACCTTGGCTGATACATTCACCTTACTGCTGTTGTGCACCAGATTAAGCCAGACTTAATGCAGCCAGCTTATTGGGGGATGGGGAATCACAATTTAATTCACGATGTGGATCCCTTTTCAGGTTCATGGTACCGAACTATTCCCCTTGAAATAATCAATAGGCCTCCTGCTCTGTTGACGAAATGTAATGTGCACTAGTTCTAGCTTTCGGTATATATATACACATATATATATTCGAGTATAAGCCCAGACTGTCCCTCACTACTGGAAATAAACAATACTTGGGTTGATAAAACGTGAGCAAGTACCTTACCAAAGACCTTTTCCACAGCATTGACTTGATTTCCGACCTGTAACTGTCCTCCCTGAAAATGAAGCTTGTTGTATTCGTTCTTGCTGCCCTTGCGGCTACAACTGTACAAGCTGCGACCATGCAGAGATGGTGCAGTCTTCCTGGCCAGCCTTGCTCTATGCTTAAGCGTGCGGCAGATGCCACCGGTGAAGTTAGGCGCTCGGCCGATGCCCTTGCGGATGCCCTCGCAGAAGCCATGGCGGCGCTTGATAAGGAATAAAGACGCCTGTATGTCTGTCTCCAGTGTGATATTGCTCTTCTGTATACTAGTGCTTACATGTCTTTGGCCAGATTAGTCAGCTGGAATAGTATGTCTATTGCGTCTCAAACTGCATGAGGCAAGGGAATGACTTAGGCAGGTATTGACCAAGTCACTCTTTCTTTTTATCAGGTTTCCTTAGGTCATTTGCTATGTTTCAGCAGTTATGTCATTTCCGGAAGTGTGTAGTTTGAATTTTCTTAACTGCAGCTTTAAATACCGGGGAAAGAGGAAGACAGAGAAATGAAATGATAAAGCGAGGAGCAAGGTCAGAAAGAAACAACGATCTTACGGAAGTCCTTTATATGCTGCAGGCCAGCGGAACTTGGAAAATGTTGCAGTAGTGTTAGTATATTTGGCAGCGTAATGCAAAGCTTAAATTTATACCTGCAGTATTTCTTCCTTTCACTGCCGCCGTTTTCCTTGTTTTGTACCTAGCCAAAATTCATAAGATCACTGTCATGACTGCCTTATGCCGAGAAGTATTCCCTTACCAAATGCAAACAATAGCAACTATAGAATGTAGTCTACGATATCTGATAGCTTTACTCCCATCGGTGCTTATTTTGCTCCATTCTTAGGAGAGGACAAGCGCTGCAATGGTTCCCCTGCTATCTAGAACAGCATTTTTTTGATGGCCTAGAATAGAAAACGTTTCATACCAAAAATACGAAGTTGATAAACTTCGGTCTAGGTCCTTCCATGTTCTTGCCAACCGGGTTCTCCTGAATCACCACTCGAAAATGCACAACGGTTTGCCTTCCCCAGAGTAGAATACTCATATTCGACTAGTTGATCTCACTGCCATTGACCCTGGGCCTTGTAAACAGGATCCTTAGCGAGGATGTATGGTGTCCCAGTTGTGGGTTCCTTCCTCAGAGGCATATCGTGAGCATGAAGATTGCATGTCTTCTGCGAGAGCGCCTCGTAGCCAGATATCATGTAAGACTCAGCATACTGGCTGTCGTCATTGTTTATTTCCCGATTTGGATCACACATCTCACGGTCACTCTCGATGCCGTCAATACATACTGCTCGGGATACTTGGCTCAAGGGATCCTTGATAGTATTGCTCGCGCTTGGGGTCTTTAGTTGTCGTTGGAGTGTGTTGGCATCGTAGATAAATCAAGGCCGGTATGTTCTAAACTTGGAATTTGGTTGTCTCCCACAGCTCGAGTATCATTTGGATAGACCGTTTCAGAGCATATTTGCCACATTAGGAGTAATCGAGACCGTTGTTCTGGCATTGCATACTCTAGTAGTCGGAGCTGTGTTGGTGAAAGGGATAAGCTACTAACATCGTCACTCCTTACTGTCTTGTTTAGTGAGACTGTATCTGTGGAAAGGCTTGCGAAACCCTCCGGCCCCTCTTCTGGAGAACCTGAGGTTGTTTGGCAAACTTCATGGGAAGAATGAGGTAGGTGTTGTGCAGTGCCATAGGTGATGGAAGGTGTAAAAACGAAAGGCATGTCAGATGACGCTGGGGATTCCATTTTCATCTGTCTGGCAAAAAGAGTGACAAGGTCTTCTTGCATTCCCAATTCATCCTCGAGTGTTGACATGTCGCACTGCGTATCTCTGTGGTCAGTTACTCATCAAGTATGGATGAGAAACACATGTACCTGACTGCACGTTGGAATACCAGCCCTATCAGCAGATTTAATAAAGATCATCATCGATCGCCCACAGATCTGGCATCTGGGTAGTGCATACAAAGTCATGTCCAAGGAATCAGGGTACATCACAATTAATAATCAGACAGCACTATCCGATCAGTGATACAAGTAAGGAACCCGGGAATGCAAAATACACTGTATCATAAATTATTAGTGCACAGAGAAAGGGGCTAATTAATAGCAGTACAGCTTAGGATAAGACTTAACAAAAGACTCAGAGCTATGAATTTATAAGGGGGGTTTGGAGGACGACAGCTAATCTAGTTAATAAACTAAAAGTAATGCCACACTAGAAGAATTATGGTCTTATTTATATATATGGGGAAATAAAGAATTAGTGCCCGAAGTAATGAACATTGGGCATTTGGAATACCTAGATCATACTTATATATTGGACTAGGGTACTCCACATCAATCGCCAATATACTATGGAGTATTAATACCTGTAATTATGTATTCTTTTAAAGCTCCAGTGAGATAGTACACATGGTCCTGGGTTGGGACTGGCTGTTGTGGGATATAACTAGTTAAGGGAGCCCTTGTGGAGTATATAATAAGTCATGTGATACTGATAGGCAGAAACCCCGTGACGTGAACCCAGCTCCAAGCGGCAGGTACAGTCAGTTTACCTTACCTGCGTGCCTACCTGTAGTGTATCTCTGTGATCCGTGGGAGCTTCTGTTTTTCAAAGGCCACTTTCCCACCAGAGTCACTAGTGATTCTGCTCATCCCACTTTCTACATATAATTAATTTACCTATCTTTCTTCTACCTTAGGACCCTATTAACCATGGTTTGTCTTCATCTACACTCCCTTGGCAACAGAGCTGACGTATAAATATTTTAGACGTCTATCGGCACTGGCTATGATCTTTCTAATTCAGTCTTCTCCCCAGATGGCCGCAACTTTCAAGTAGTTATCCCAACAACACTAGGGATGCTATATATCAAGCTAACAATTCTCTCCAGGTGGAATATGCAGTCAAGGCGGTCGAGAACGGCGGAACGGCCATTGGTATCCGATGCAAGGACGGCGTTGTATTAGCTGTAGAGAAAATCATCACCAGCAAGCTTCTAAAACCGGGCGCAAATAAGAGAATAGCAACAGTTGATCGCCATGTTGGTATTGTAAGTCCATACTTTGGGACTGGAGTTCAATGTTGCCTTTTGTACTTGCTAATGTGTGTGGTTGGTGTTGATACAGGTATCAGCAGGTCTCGTTCCCGATGGCCGACACTTCGTTTCCCGAGCTAGAGATGAGGCCTCTTCGTGGAGAAGTGTGTACAAAGGACCTATCCCGGTTTCTGCGCTATCAAACCGCCTAGGTAGCTACGTACAAGCTTACACTCTCTACTCAAGTGTGCGGCCTTTTGGTGTTACCGCTATCATCGGAGGTTGGGATTCCGAGGCTGAGCTTGCTGTCGACGGTCAAGTTGGAAGTGGGCCGAAATCAGGCTCTGGTGGTAAGCTCGAGGGAGCTCAAACAGGTGGCCCAGGCCTATATATGATTGAACCAAGTGGGCTTTATTGGGTAAATTTATGAGACCCATCAGTCGAAATTTAAATGCTGACTCTGCTGAAGGGGTACTATGGCGCTGCGACTGGAAAGGGGAGGCAGGCTGCCAAAGCTGAACTTGAAAAATTAGATCTGACTTCTGGCAATCTGAGCTTGCTTGAAGGCGTGAAGGAAGCAGCTCGCATCATATATGTCGCGCATGAAGACAGTAAGGACAAGGAATTCGAGTTGGAGATGTCCTGGATAAGTTCATTAGATGGACCTACTAAGGGCAGGCACGAAGAGGTTCCAAAGCAACTTCTCGAGGAAGCAGAGATAGCGGCAAGGAGAGCTTTAGAGGGTGATGAGGATGAGGATGAGGATGTAACAAAGGTCGAGAATGAGCGGATGGAGGAATAAGATGGAAAATGTGAACAAAGACATTATAGATCTTTGAATGAAAGCTATTTTCCTTTCCTGCTTATTTCTAGCATTTCTTGCTTAATTTCGGTTCCTTCACTTCTGTCAAATAGCACTAAATTTAAGGGCTACCTTGTTTCCCCCCTATATCATTTCTCGTCCTGCCCCCAGGATATTCCCTAGGCAACCCTACCTTCAGCCCAATCTCTCCTTTTGACTCCAAGTTCGACGGCAGCATTCCCCCAATCTTCTCCGTGGTTATGCATGCCCTTCTTGCCCAACCCTGCCCTTTCGAGACCTTGTTCCTCATTCAATACAGTAAGAACACCAAAGATAACGGGCACACCGGTTTCAAGTTGAACTCGCATAAGTCCGTGGGATACTGCATCCGCAATGTACTCGAAGTGCATTGTTTCGCCCTTGATTAACACGCCTATGGTTATAATCGCATCAAAAGGCCGCATCGTAGCTGGTGTTGGTGACTGTGGCGACACCTTACTAAGGTCGGTAGTAGAGGAGGACAACAGGTCCGTCGCACTAATACCTACGGCCGAAGAAGGCCCTTTGGCAGCCTGGAGCTGGGAAGCAGCGTAAATCCTGTAATGTTGTTAGATAAGCTGCTAAGGCTAATTTTTTTTTTTTTTTTTTCCTATGAGTAGAAGTCGGGCATATGGCGCTTACCTCTGAGCAGCAAATGGCAATTCATAACTGCCTGGGACACTGTGAGTGGTAATATTCTCCTCAGTCACACCAGCCGACAACAGGCTTTTCCTTGTCCCTTCTAGGAGAGGACCAATTATCCCCATGTTCCATCTTGCGTGGACGATAGCAATTCGCAGTCCAGATCCTACAAAATGATGAATTAGCAGCCTTGAAGAATAGCTTTCAATGATTCTCACCGTCATAGATTTGGGAAGCCCCAGGCCCTTTCAAAGATGCCATGATCAACTCCCTATGTGGAAAATAGGGATAGGTTCACTAGGATAAGAGAGACAGATGGCAATCAGTTCAAAGTTCACAGTGGGGAATATGCATACTCCGTTATGTCGTTAGTATGGAGTACGTAGTCAACTTGTAGTATTACCTAAGGTAACTTAACCCAAGTTAACTAGTTAACTAGTCAGGTACTTTAATGCATTAAGCAGTATTATATATATTATATACACAAATTTATACTAACTTACTGTTCCTTCTACTGTTCTATGTAGTATATATGTATTTATATTGATTTACCTACTTATTTGTTACAACTAATAAATATAAGTGGATAAGTAAACCCCTCCAATATTCCTACCGTAACCGGACACCTCCGAGAACTTCCTAATTAAGTATGGCTTGCGTATTTAAATTAGCGAAAGTCTACTCCGTAACTAGTAATATGTACGGAGTAATACTTGTAAGAAGAGTTCGCATGGCCAGTAGAAAATTGACAATATAGTCTGTAATCCGTGTATATTCTAATAGGATATGGCTATTCCAACACCACTTAATATTGCTATTCTGACACTTAGCCCATCCCTTTTAGAAAGGTGGAAACACTAAACTGACCGCCTCCCTGGCCGCTTACAGATAAAACCACGTAGGTTAGTCATATCTCCACTAAATATAAGAACTTTCAATGAAAATAGAATCATTCTACGCATATGACGAGCCACATGCTTTATCTCTTGAAAATTCCTTCTATGAATCCGATTATGATTCCGACCCCGACCCTGCCTCCAATTCCTCTGCGCCAACTGAGCTTGATCGCTCGGTGTCGTGGCAGGCGTGGCGGTCGTGTAGGCAGTCGATCTAATTGATTTAAACTAGCCTAGAATAGGAAATAGGTGTTTGTTAGATTTTATTGCATTTTAGGGTGATTCAGACCACCTTGCAGAAGTGGCAGGGTATTTCGCTTGTAGGAGACACCATTGGATTTTCAAAAACTCGGCAGAATTTTGGTGGTGTGGGTCATTTGGTTGCACTATCCGAAAGGGGGATGGGCTGGGTGTCATTATAGCAATACGGAGTGTCAGAATAGCCAAATCCTTCTAATATTTATATGGAGCATACCGTTTTCTTTTTAAAAAAAGATTTAAGCCTCACAGTTACAGATATAAATATAAATATAAATATTTTATATTATTTAAAGGCTTTTTTCTCTTTTTTTCCCGTTCTATCTATCTTAACAGACTGCTCATATTATTATTAGTAGTCTATTTATAACTTTACAGAAGTATTTTCTATTTACGGAGTTGCACACTAACTACTAATCTATCTTCGTAAGTATTTTTATGTGTTAAGGTATCTAGAGATCATCTTCTGCTTTCTTTGGGATAGATTTAGTATACTCTATCTCTATATCAGGCTCAATCTAGATTCTGACGGAAGTGTGGCCAGTTAAGGGAGAAAGGCTTTTGGAAGGCTTTGGGATTTTAGCATAATTTCTTGTCTAAATAATCGTGCATTATACCAATTAGAACGTTGAGGCCTTGGGGGTTTGTAAAAACATTATAGGGGTGTCGCTACATCATCTCCCCAACTACGTAGATTCTATTGCATACACCCCGTGGTCTATATACTTGGTATATGCATGCTAGAAAATGCTAGTCACCATGGATGAAATATGTTGATTTAGGTCTTAATGCTAAATACCAAGTAATACCTAATAATGACTACCATAGCCCTCCCTACTCCGTCTGTTATGCCCTCTCTCTACCAGTTTGGTTGTCTATGCGCTAACAAATCGGGCACCCGAGTGTCCGGGGACACCGAGCGTCCGATTTCTGGGTCTGCTTCCCCCTGAATGGGTTAAGGGCCAGGAGAATTCTCCCATCATAAGCATTATCCTCCATTTGATAATATAGATAGTATAGAGGAATTTGCAATTGTTGGTGATGCTGCGGCAAAAAACTTAGAACACTCGGTGCCCGATTACGTTAGTATAGACTAAACCATTCGAACGACTGATCTCTGTATGTACAAGTTTGCCAATCTCACTAATCGCTGGGTACATTACATTAGTAGGTAGTAAGTCCATACTATATCAAGGATGTAGTAGGTATTGTCTGTTTTAAGATTTTCCATTAGCCCTTCCAAACTTAACCAATCATCTTAACAAGAATCTCAGTGGACATATAGCTGCTACGTCTATCTATAAGTTAACTAATTAGTTAACTTACCCCGTAATCGGTAAGCGAGCGTGCGGCTCTGTATTCCATATAAAATGACACTTTTTGAGACTCTAATATCTCAACAATAAAGCACCTAGAGGGCATAAATTTTAATATGCAGTATAATATAATGCTATATATATATATATTAAGTAGAGAAATTTCAGGAATAGATATTTCTCTATTATCTTATCAAGATATTTTTATATCTACTGGTAGTTGAGATATTAAGGTCTTAAAAGAGTGCCATTTTATATGGAGTACAGAATTGCGGCTCTCGCCATTCTGCGCTCGCTTACCGATTATCTACTCGATTAAGTAGATTACTTAATATCTTAATAATAATAAAACAAGGTAACTATAACTAGATCTCCTGGGCCTATTTATTGCAGCACAAAAATCTACCTGGGCTATAGAACATGTGCAGTCTTGAATGATCTCCCAAGTTAAGCTAACACTAGGCAAAGGTTAGACAGGATATCTATTGGCAATAGCCCATTTCTGCTGGCTCAAGACATTAGGCGGTTTATAGCCGCGCATGCAAGTCAACACCAGATGCCATATTTAACTGCAAAGAATATACTGGGAAATACAAACTCGCTCATCTCATCTAAACTATATTTCCCCGAAGAAGGTTTGGCTCCTATAACATCTGCATTCTTCTGAACACTATTTTAACAAAGTAAACGATATAGGAATCAAACTAAATACCACGAAGTACTAGTCACCATTTAGCTAGCCGGCACTCTCTACAGCGTATCTGCAGTGTGTAAGGTCTACTCAACAGTGACAGACTTCGCAAGATTGCGAGGAAAGTCAACATTGAGACCCTCCCCAACAGCGAGCCAGTATGAAATCAGCTGAAGCGGGATGACATTGAGGAGGCCCTGGAGGCAGTCGACGGTCTTCGGTACTTCAATCTTCTCCGTCTGTGCAGTTGAAAACTCCGGGTCATCGTGGTTGCAAATTACAATAGGGCGCCCACCACGAGCGATGACTTTGGGAACATTAGCAAATACGCTACACTTGTGAGAACGAGGACCTTAAATTAAATTAGACTGACCTTGTTGGTACGCATTCAACGACTTAGAGAAAATGTTATCCCTTGTGAGGATCATGATGATAGGTAAATTTTCGTCGACAAGCGCAAGGACACCGTGCTTCAATTCGCCCGACATAACAGCCTCGCAGTGAAGGTACGATATTTCCTTGATTTTTAGAGCACCTGGACGACGACAAGTTAATACCGATCCATGTTTAATTGGCCTAACCTAGTCCTTACCTTCAAGAGCAGTGGGAAACTGACTGCCCCTACCAAGTAGAAGCAGACTCTTTTGGTTTTTGAAGAACTTCGCACACATCTGTTTGATAGGTTCGTTAAGTTTTAATATCTCCCTAAACTGTTCAGAGACCTTAGCGAGACCTTCTATGATCTCTTCCCGTCTCTTCTGCTTCGAGGCTCGATCCTCACTGAGAGAGAGAGCAAACATAACCATGGCGACGAACTGAGAAGTATATGCTTTCGTAGAGGCGACACCAATTTCAGGACCAGCATTGATATGCACACCACAGTGCGTTAAAAGGGAAATGGACGACCCTACAACGTTCACAATTCCAACAGTCAATGCACCTCGCTCAAGGCAATAACGGAGAGCCATAAGCGAATCAGCTGTTTCACCGGATTGAGAAACGAAGACACAAGTATCATCACGGAAAACAGGTGCCTGTCTGTCCAAAAAGTCGGAGGCAAGTTCCACAGAAATAGGGATCTCGGATAGTTCCTCGAAAACTCCACGAACAGCCATGCATGAATGGTAGCTAGTTCCGCAGGCAACGAAAATTATCCTCCTGCAACGGCGAATGGTAGATATGTACTGGCGAAGCCCACCAAGTGTAACTTGTTTGTTGGGAACATCCAATCGACCTCTCATGGTGTTTACAACAGACTCTGGCTGCTCGAAAATTTCCTTTTGCATGAAATGATCGAATTTGCCCTTCATGATTTCCTGGAGCTCAAGCTCAATGGTCTGGATAGCACGAACGTTGGAGGTGCCGTCATCTTTTGTTAGTCGATGAATGTGAAGCTGTCCTTCATGCACATGGGCAATATCGTCATCTTCGAGGTAAAGGACTTTCTTTGTGTGCTCGACAATAGCAGACGGGTCAGACGACAAGAAAAACTCTGCTGGTTGGGGAACACCATCGTCAGATAAGAAAGCGCGGGACTGCGACCGATGCAAAAGCGACTTATCAGGAGGAGCAAGAAGCCCAGTAGCCGACTTCTTGATGGCAACGTTCTGAGAAGCTTGTTCCGCCGAAAGTGGCCCATCCTCTGAGTATTCGACATCCACGAAATCTACCTTCATCTTCTTTGAAGTCCTCACGCCAATAACGAGTGGAGAGCCTTTTCGAGCGGCAATGACCTCGTGGGGATAATGCACGGACTTTATCAGAAGACCAAAGGCACCCTCGAGCTCTTTCACAACAGCCTTAGCTAGCACAGTAAAATCGATATCCGGTTGCTGATCGTACAAGTATTTTGTAAGCTTTGCAATGCATTCTGTGTCTGTCTCTGTCTCAAAGCGAAATCCTTTGGTCTCCAATAGAGCCTTGAGTTCCTTGTAGTTGGTAATGATTCCATTGTGGACAATGGAGAACTCCCAATTCAAATCAGACCTGCACAAATATCACAATTAGCTAGTTGATTCCCATCCAAGTCAAACCAACCCATGTGGCACAGTCAGCAATGTACGTGATTAACTTACCTATGCGGGTGGCAGTTTTGGCGAGAAGGTGTCCCATGAGTAGCCCAGCGAGTGTGAGAAATACCAGCATGAGACTCGAACGTTTTTGTTAGGTCAGGTTTAGAATCCTCAATAAGCTTCTTCAACTTTGCGACCTTGCCAACTTCCTTGAATGCACAGACTTCGTTCTTCTTGTCACCGTCGATGGCAAGCCCAGCAGAATCGTAGCCCCGATATTCAAGCCGCGAAAGACCTGGAACACGTCAGCAAATCATTTTTAGCAATCTGCAGAATTTTGAGGAAAACAAAGGAGCCAGCTAAGGACACTTACCATTGAGAAGAGTATCAATGATATATTTACGGTCCCTTTCGACCAAGTAGTTGATATAACCGAAGATGCCACTGCTATTTGTTAACCACTTGGGCCATTTTAAGAACAACAATTATCCAAAAACACACCACATTGTTGTTCTAGGGGGGAAATTGCGCGATAGAGACTGATACAAGTTTTAATTTGCGGTTTCCGAGTCAAGCGCAACACTATCCTCGGTATATAAAGTCAGCTAGACAATGATGTTTAACCCTGGAGAACAATTTATTAGCATTGTTAATGTTTTGATTCTGTTAATGCTTATAGATAAGAACATACACAATGCAGATGGCAGTTCAATTTTCAGGGTGAAGGGTTGTTGGGAAGAAAATGAAGTACGAGAGGGGAGAAGTATTGTTGAACAGGATCGACAATCAGTTGGAAGGAGGGGGGGGAGCTGTTATGTTTTATGTTGTGAGATCGGCCCACACACAGACCAAGGAAGCAGCTACTACTGTGTATGGACTACAACTACCTGGTACCTAGTAAGGAGTAGGTGCCGTCTACCTACCGACCAGACTACTCTGGTTAGTTAGGTAGTGGTACTGGTGTCAGGGCGTAATCGATTCATTCAACAAGGTAAATGGCCAATAATGAGCCCCTTCTGCGCCTCAAACAAGTCCATTGGCATGTCTCACTCGTAACCCGGCTCAAGACCCATTCACCCATGGGAAATAGGAGGCGGTCCTAACCATTAATAGGAATATTCCCCACTTAAGGATTCAAAAATAGCCCACCATCCTTTTTGCTATTTATTATCATTAGTCGAGTGTGTATCGAGCTACTGTTTATGATCTGAGAAAGAAATGAGCAGGCTATACGGAGTATAATTAGGTACATAGGGTTTGATGGGTAGAAGCTAGCATCTACCTTGGGGAGGGTAAATATCGAAGCAATATCGAAGCAATTATTGGTATCGTATGTATACATCATATTAGCCTCTTGCTCCTTTCCTTCAGGCTGATAACTCCACGACTGAATGTCGCCATTATGCTTATTTAGAACTTAACAGTAGTTAAGTAGTTAAATTACCGGTCACAAATAACGAGTTACTTCAAATCCAGGATAGAGCAGTTTGGACATGTAAATACTGGAGGCCTCCTAGGTACGGTATATACTAATGTGCTTAACTCTTAGAGAGTTCGGAGTACCTTAGAAATAATACCCTAGGCCTTTCTATGAATTAAATGACTTGCCCTAGGTACCACTAATCAAAGACAGTGTCCGATAATGTTACCAATTCAGGGGTTTTACCTTTTTTAGGGAGACACCTAGCTCCACTTATCCTCCTAACCTCTACGGAGTTCCAGTTACATTGTTATGGTGAAACAGAACAAAGATAAGTCCCCCAGATCCCATACGGAGAACAGAAAACTACTCTATTTTTATCTATTCTTCTCACTCTTGGGCCTACTATTTTTAGTCAGGTTCGCGAGCCTCCTCTTTTCTGTTTGGTATCTCTTCATCCATACAACATACTCGATCACCGAGCTGCGCGCCTGTATATAAAATAGCACTTTTTATGACCTTAATATTTTAACAACAACATAGAGTTATAATAAAACAGAGGTATTCATTGATATAAATAATTCAGAATGCTTATGTAATTTAATTGGAATTTTAAGGTTTTTATTAAATTATAATACAGGATTATTTCAAATACCACTGTATATAATTGTATATTTTGAAATATCATAAACTAGAAATCCTTAAAGGATCTAGGCTTAGTATCTATGCATGTGCTATTGTATTATTATATATTATAGATTTTAGGCCCTCTTGATATGTAGTTGTTTAGATACTAGGCTTATTAAAAAGTGCTATTTTATATGCAATACAGAGGTGCACAGCTCGGTGATCGAGTACGTTACTACTCTGGTATACAAGCATACTTAGTATAGAAGAGAACACCTAAATCCCTCCCAGTGCCTAAAATACAGATCAATGACATGTACCAAGTCGGAGTAACACTATCGTCATATTAGAAAAATATACCTTTGGATATCTAGATACAGAGAAGTACGGAGTGTACTATATTGATACTGCAGAACCACCTATGTACTGTGAAGTAGATCTTTTTTACTCCTCCCTCTGGTAAAGGGGTAGATGATTGGTAATTTTCTACCCTCCACTAAGCGGCAACCATCTTAATGGCCTACCAACTACTTTTTATGGCTATATAAATTGAAGGTTGGCAGGTATATACGGAGTGGATGGCCCGTGTTCGCTGCACAATCTACTACGATATAGTGTGAAGTCCTGTCAGAGAGAATAGTAATACTATGGCGAAGTATCTGCCCAACAGTTTCTAGCCAGAGTTTACTTGTAGTGTATACTGGTTATTACGATTGACTACTCGCACCACAGAGTACAGTAATTATATTTAGATTAGAGTTGGCTAGTAGTAATCGAAGAGAGATAGTCGTACAGATACCAGGATGGAGAGAGTAGATTAGGTAGTTGAGATAAATCCATCCTAGTCAAATGTAACAAATCAACCGGGAGCTTTAAACATGATATAGAAAACCAAACTGCTAGTATAGTTAACTAAAGAGAAAAGAGCCTACATCTGACGTCAGCAAATAATTTTTGATGTATAACTAGTTTGTCACGGCAATTAACTAGCAACTGGATATTTAAACCAAAGTTGACAAGAAGAAGGGTTGAGCCCCCCAAACAACGGCCAGATAGTATATACGATGCAATGCTATGATTGCTAGAAAAGAAAATACAGCATAGTGTTTTTATCCATTGGGAATTTAGAGAGATACTGTAGTTTTCCAGTTGGTTGACTTCTACTATTTCGGCGACTAGCAAGTACTCCGTACTGCGTAATTAGGAATAGCAGCCAGCGGGTGTTCTGGTATCCTTTCGGGACATACCTTAAAAGGGGGGGGAAATCTTTAATTAACCATAACATCAACTAGATCAGCGCAAGAAGAACACAGCAACTCCATATCATATTCCATATTGTCTGCCTTGGCGTCTTGACTTACAACTTGAACTCCATGTGTGGTAACTCAACACTTGCCACTCCAACTGTTGTGAATTACTCCATACCCTCTTTCGCACCTAGTTTATCCGTGTCAGAAAATCCTGCGTCTCAGGACAGCAAATTTTTTCCCTCATTTGCTCTCATCTAAATGAGGGCCTTCCTTTCGTCAACCTCCTAGCTATTGAACAAGTAGAAAGGGAAGGGCTGCTCAATTTGTCTATCGCTCTACCTTTCTCAGACTCCTCACTACTGCCTTCCCCCTGCCTCCGAAGCTAGCTCCTATATTGTCTACACCAGGAGTAATTATTCGCTCTTTACCCACACATTAGCCAGTGGGATACGGTTAAGGATGCTGTTTCCTAGCCGCAAAGGCTTTGATTTTGGCGTGTAGCCATCACCACCATGTCGCGTTCCTCGGCAGGCTTTGCGGATTTCTTCCCTACCGCTCCATCAGTCCTCCAACAAAAACGTTTCAAATTAACCCGAGAGCGGCCTCAACCCCAACCTCAGTCTGGTAACGAGAAGTGCGAAGAAGAGCTTGCTTGCAATGCGGCTCCAAGGGGGAACATTTGTTCCACAAAGGAGGAGATATCTTCTGATGCAATCCAAAAGCATTGCGCAAATAGCGGAAAGGCATCTTCTGAAACTACAAAAGAAAGAACTGCAAGGCCTGCGATCAACGGAGTCTCTTCTTGCAGTGCCTCTGCTCCTCGCGGAAGCGCAACATCTTCACATGAAGTACATCTTGACACTCTCACTCCGCTCACTAATGCAGAGTTGTCGTCACCCCACAAACCTAGCTCGCCTCAAATTAAGATACCAAATGGGACTGCCGAAGAGGACACCACATGTTTGAAGCTGGAAGAGCAAAAGTCCGAGATAGCCTCTCTCCGAACTCCTCCAACTCCGCAATCACTAACTCGTCGTATCGGTGGCATCAGAGGCTACAAGCTGATATATGACCCTGACTTTGAGAAACGACCGTCAAAGGAGAAGCGCAAGAAACCTCGCTATTTGGATATTGGTTTCGACGAACAAACTCATTGTCCATCTGACCCTCGACTGGGTATATCAAATTACACGAGAGGTGCTGGTTGTAAACAGAAGACGAAGTTTCGGCCAGCGCCCTATACATTGAAGCATTGGTCTTATGATGCCTCGACTAGCATAGGACCTGGACCCCCGGTGCAGATAGTGGTCACCGGTTTTGACCCGCTCACCCCCATTGCACCGATTAGTGCCTTATTCTCGAGTTTCGGGGAGATTTCTGAAATTAACAACCGCACTGACCCTATAACTGGTAGGTTTCTGGGGGTATGTTCAATCAAGTACAAAGATAGTGAGTCGTTTAGAGGGGGCGGTCCTGTTCTCGGGGCGAATGCAGCAAAGCGAGCCTATTACGAATGCAAGAAGGAACAGCGCATTGGAACCCGCAGAATCAGGGTCGAATTAGACCGGGATGGCATGGTTTCGGATAAAATCGTTTCGAGGGCTGTTGATTCCCAAAGAATTGGATATAAGGGTAGCTTACCTATCGCTGAAGACACAAAAGTTGAACCACATGGGAAAAATGAACCTCCTCCGATGGCGCCGAAAGGCCCCTCTGGGAAATTGTCTATTCGGCCGATGGCTACGATTCCGGAAGGGCCAAGGGTAAGCTTTTTGAAACCTGTGGTTCCGTCATTAGTCGAAGATATTCCAATTCTGAATCAGATCAAACGTGACCCATATATTTTCATTGCGCATTGCTACGTTCCCGTTCTCAGCACAACTGTGCCGCACCTGAAAAAGAGACTCAAATTATTTAACTGGAAAGATATTCGCTGCGACAGAACTGGATATTATATAATATTTGAAAACTCTCGGCGTGGTGAAGAAGAAACCGAGCGCTGTTACAAGATGTGCCATATGAAGCCGCTATTCACGTATATCATGAACATGGAAAGTCAGCCCTACGGAAACCCGGGCTACGAGCGCAGCCCAAGCCCCGAGAGGTTCCAAGCAGAGCAGCGCGAAAGAGCTGAGAAAGAGAGGCTAAGGAAAGAAGCTAGTTTGGACGATGAAGAGGAAAAGAAGCAGCGAGCTCTTGATCTGGATCCATGCAAGGAGGTGCTAGCCATAATAATTCGAGATTTGAAGGATAAGCTTCTTGAAGACGTGAAGTCGCGCATTGCTGCACCAGCATTGTATGACTATCTTGACCCAGATCGGCATGCACCAACAAGGAAGAAGCTGGGAATTGCGGACCCAGAAGGCACCAGAATGCCCTTGTTTCGGATCGACTTTGATAATCGGCTTGGAACACCTGATTCTCGTTCTGGATTATCCCAAGCCGGTCGTCCATTTAATACGTCTAGTCTTAACGTACTTGCGCTTCCACGGATTAGAAAAGCCCGCCGCCTTGATCACACAGACGCTGCTTTCTTAGATGAAAGGCGTAAACAGCCACTGCGAAGAAAAGAAGTTCGCCCCCTTTACCATCGCCTACAACAGTTACATGATGATGACGACTCAGACGATGAGCAAAGGACCCCATTTGCTAAAGACACTGATGAGCAAGATAGTCGGCCACCAAGTCGGATGAGTTCGAGAGCTTCAGACACAGATGATGGCGATGAATTTGTCTCTACGTCTCTGCAAAGTTCACTTGCTAATAATCTGACTCATAAAGTGAGAAGTTCAGAGTTGGAGGATAAAGACGATGTCTTACCGGATGGGCCGTTTAGTGGCTCTACTCAACATTGTATTCCTGAGCTTTCGCCTGCATCGCATAAAAGGAAACGGCTTGGCGAAGAGCTTAAGGCACGAAAGAGACAGAAAGAAGATGAAGAGCTTTTCGGCATTAGCCCTACCATAGAGATAGAAGATGAACGCATCAGAGAGCGCTCAACTTCTCGGGAGGCCACTGACAAGGACGTTGTGGCTGGAGATATCAGCTCACTTCAAAGCCTGTCAGCTCAGGACGGCAAGAATCAGCAAAAGAAAACATTTCAACAACGCTCAGGACTCGAGAATCTGCAAGGAATTGATACAGATTCCCCCGTCATTCGAGACGGTCATCACGTCATGTTGAATTCCCTCGAGGAAGTCGACAATACAGAGCTACGGGATATATCAAAGACCCAAGTCAAATGGAGAGTCTCTGATGATGAGCCTCGGCCAATCGTTGATGATGATGATGCCATTATTATGGATCTTGATGGTTGGCAGACCTTGATTAAGGATGAGGAAGACCTCCACTTCCTTCGTGAAATTTTGGTTGAGCAGCAAAAGACCATTGTTGGGAACCTGTCAGCGTGGGCATGGAGACAAAAAGAGATAAAGGCACTTAATCGCCCTGGCAATATAGGGCCTGTACATGAAGACATAGTTATTCATGGTTACTATGTTTCTAATGCAACTGGCGCAGCTCGAACGGAAGGTCGAAAAAAGATTTTGGAATCCGAAAAGTCGAAATATTTACCACATCGGATCAAAGTTCAAAAGGCTCGTGAGGAACGCGAGGCAAAGGCCAAAAACGATCCCCACACCGTCGCCGCTGAAGCTGCAAGAGTTGCAGCAGCAAAGACTATTTCTAAGTCAACCTCCAGGTCTACGAGGGTGAACAATCGCCGCCTAATAGCTGATATCAACGCGCAAAAGCAGGCTCTTCCTACTCAAAATGGTGATGGTGATGTTCTCCGGTTCAACCAATTAAAGAAAAGAAAGAAGCCGGTGCGCTTCGCTAGGTCAGCCATACATAACTGGGGTCTATACGCTGAGGAGAATATAACAGCGAATGACATGATCATTGAATATGTTGGGGAAAAAGTCCGGCAACAAGTGGCAGACATGAGAGAAAGACAATACCTTAAAAGTGGGATCGGCAGCAGTTATCTTTTTCGAATTGATGAAAATACAGTTATAGATGCCACAAAAAGAGGGGGCATCGCTAGGTTTATTAACCATAGCTGTACGCCTAACTGCACCGCCAAGATCATTAAAGTTGACGGTAGCAAACGAATTGTTATATATGCGTTGAGGGATATTGAAAGAGGTAAGTTCAATATGAGCATCAATATTGGTAGATACATTTGGCGAGTAAACTAATAAGTGCCCAGATGAGGAGCTGACGTATGACTACAAATTTGAGAGGGAGTGGGATAGTGATGATAGAATTCCATGCCTCTGTGGTTCAACTGGATGTAAAGGATTTCTTAATTAATATGAAATTCTGCGCATGTTTTTAAGTGAGCCTTATGACTATGGTGTAATTATTTTTGGACGTAGGAAATACAGGTTTTCGAGAGAAGAAACGGCACTTGTTTTCTAAGTCATTGCATATGTCGGTTCTAAGAGCTAGCTAGCCATCTATTTTACTATGCCTAGAATCCTAATACTTTATTAGAACTAGAAATCAGTAGCAATACATTAGAGCTCAAGACGGACACAAATAGTAGAGTTAAAATTTTCCAACTTATAAAGGGAAATCAATTTCTATCGAGTTGACCATTGAGATGAGGCAGAGATATCTGCCAGCTTTAGGTCCATTAAAAAGTCCGTGCAACAATATCTCCCTTAGTACCAAGCCCTAAATTCTGCTTCGACTATGTATCCACTCCTGCCATTCATCCCCACCATATATTTAGCGAACAGTGTTTAATCAGGCTGAAAGGCAGAGTTAATAGGTTTCGAAAAGATTTTTTGGCTATATTCAGTATAATATGTAAATTGTAGCCAGTGACGCAGATAAGATATTCGAAGAGCATATTGAACTGAGTCTCTTGCTCTTGACATCAACTTATAGCCTGTCTTTATAATAAGAGTTTAAACTAAAAAGAAAGGAAAGAGAAACAATCAGCAGCGATCACAGGCAGTTGGGAAGCGACGCAAACCTAAATGGCTAGGAAGAAGAAAATTTGCTATCCCGTCTTTAACCAAGTATTGATGTCCACAATTCCCGCAGACCAACTTGCCCTGAACAATTTGTGTTTCCAGTAACAATCGATGGAGCTCTTTTAACGTCTGCCCATCCTTAAGCACATCTCCTTCGGGCTTTTTCGTGGGGATATTTGGGAACCCAAGCTTGTTGGCAAGTAAGTGCCTGTTCCCACAAATCTAAAAACATAAACACATGCATATTCATACCTCATTTGCCATTATCTGTAGTCCACTCCAGTCAATTCGAGGAACAATGTTACAGATAAACTCTGGTTGGAAATCAAGCTCTTGTAGTTCAAGCTCAACATCCTGAAAATGAAGTGGGAAGGATGCAGGAGACGTCTTGCAATCCTTGACAGCACACGTTAGAAAATTAGCAGTTAATACTTTCATATCGTCAACAGGGTATAGTAGAGGCGTTCGCAATCTTTTCCATTTAATATTTTATTTTCGAGGGTGGTGGTAGTTTAGGAGCAAATTATGTGTTATGCTCATCAAAAAAAAGTTAGAGAGTTATGGTCTGCGACTAAATTATCTCTTTGGGTACTACAAGTAGGTAATGATGTACAGTACAGTACATCCGCGGGAAATACTAGTAGCCTTAGGCAGAAACTGCCTTGAATGGAAAGAACTAAATCAGGACGGAGCTTCCTGCCTTGTGGCATTCTACCACACGCCTTCATACAAAATTCCTGCTTCAAAATCTAATTGTTTTGTGGCCTTGTTAGTATATTTTTGTAATCCATTTGACAGATTGTCTAGTTCTTAATTGCATAATTAAGGAATTATGATCCATATACCCCGTAGGTATTTGACTTATATAGACTCTCCATACAAGTGTTTATTTGGCCACATAGATCCATCAAGTATTTAATTTATATATTTCGCCAATGTGCAGCATCCTTGCTAACCACTTATTCCTAACAAAAAATAGCAATTGTGGAAGTAGAAGTCTCTGGATTATTTAATTATGACATCCACAAGATCTTCGTGTGTAATATCATAGTCTGTGAGGCAAGAATTCGGATCTAGGCGATCACCATCAAATATGAGATATACATCTTGGCACTCATCCACCCTTTGTGCATCACGATAGATGGCGACTACCTGGGAGACTCCCATCTGTGCACTGACATTCATTGTATAAGTCTCACGGCCAGGGCATTTTAAAGCAATTTTGATTGGCAGACATCGAGGTTTATCATCTTCCAAATGCTCCTCTCCTTCTAGATGTGTGAACAATGCTTGTTGACTACCAGGGGTGAAGTCTTCCTCTATAACAGCCTCCATGTGAATACGTATGCTGTCCTTCTCTGTGCGATAATCATCTGTGATTACTCTTTGCATATCTCTCTTTGCATAAATCCCCAAGCTTCTGCAAGTTGTGACATCGAATAGTCTGCGCCCTTTCCAAGACAAGAATACAGAGGAGTGCATCCCCTGTGGTAGATTCTGGTGCTTACACCACGCTAGACGGACATCTTTTAATGACTGTGACAATTTTCGATGGATAACGATTGGCTGTGTATTTGCTAGTCTTGAAGAGATAAGGATCTGAACTGTCACATCCCCACACATATCATTGCCATGAATGTCTGCCTGGAAAGTAGCATCACCATCAAAACCCTGCTTAGATTCAATAGCAAATAATTTGTCGGTACTATCTGGCTCTGTTGTGTGGTATGAGAGATGGGGCGTTAGAGGTTTCCAAAAGCCTGCTCGGTCATGGGACGGTTCATGAGCAGTGGCAGATACATCATCCACCCCAACATCCAAATTGTACTGTCTTCGCGAGGAAGTGCTACCCTTTTTATCGTCTTCGCTTGGAACATGGTAGGGGTCAACTCTAGTGGTAGATAGAGGGCCCTGATCACTCATCACTCGACCACTGTCTGGTAGAACAGGGTTCATTTCAAACTCTGGAGAATGTTCCCTTGCAGTAGGCAGGCGCTTACATACCTCGACATCCTCAGTGGGGGTAGTAGGGGCGCAATTAGCAGTACGTTCCCGAGCTTCCTTATTTGCGGCAACAATATCTCCATATGTTTGTCCAGCTCGGCGGTAGAAATCAGAAGGGGGATCCTTCTCCCCTCTGTTCGCCCAGGGTGGTCTATTAAAGAATGTCCGCATGAGGAGGACTAGTTTGGCTCTGCCTTATACCATCTAATCTGTGAAAAAATAACAGATTCCGCGTGAAAGAAAGCATGAAGTGCTGGAGTTATAAAATTAATATTGTTTCAGCCTCACCAGTCTCGCAGGTAACATAGATGACTAATATCCTAACTAGCATTTATCAGTGTATGCACGTGATTATAACTTGGTGACTAATCTTCTCCCAACCTAACTATCAACTTTTCTGTGACGCAAATAACTTGCTACACTAATAGGAGTTAAGAAGCAATAAAAAGCCAGTACAATGGAAAGCAGCACACCATCAGAAGGTCGAGATCCATCAGCTTTCTTAAGTGAAATTATTAGTGCTCCAGTCACAGTGAAATTAAATTCAGGTGTTGTTTACAAAGGTTTGAAGCTTTCTAGTGAACTTTTTCTCTCTGTATACTAATGATAACTTAGGTGAACTTCAATCAGTAGATGGTTATATGAACATTGCTCTGGAGAAATCGGAGGAGTATGTTAATGGAAAGCTGAGGCGAGTGTACGGTGATGCTTTTGTTCGAGGAAATAATGGTATGTTATATTACTCCTTTATATTAATGGGTCTAATGCAGTACAGTGCTTTATATATCTGCACATTAGAGCGAAATTTATAAGCTAAAGCTACTTAACACCTTGAGCATATTTCACTATCCCATTTATGGCATTGTGTGGTGCAACAAGTTAGTTTTCATTGGTCATTCAATATTGCATTGTACTATGTAGAGCGCCATGGAACAGAGGGTTCTAGTCTTTGACTACGCTCCTTTATATGTCTGTAGAAATTACATCTTTTTCTCTCGTGGATTATTCTTTGTAGGATCAAGGAGCCACGGATATATCCCTCTTTCTTCTTTATTTTTTAAGCGAATGTGGACCAGCATATACCAGACTATATAGATATCAAGAGCAACCAATTTTGAGTATGCTACTAAGCGGAAATCCTCACAGAAACGGCTTGTAGCTTCGTGTGTTATCAAATATACCCAGTTTGACTTCTATGCACCCTTTCTCCTCTTCGCATATGTGTATAAATCGAACCCCTACGCCCAATGGAAAAGAACTGGGAGGATAATCGAGGAAAGAGGGCTGGGTTTTCTGGACTTTTTAAGTACGTTGATGTCTGGGCATGGGTCACGTACCCCACTCGAAAAATATATTTTTCCGGCATAAGACAATTCAGCATAACACCACCTGAAATTTACCTACTCACATTCATCTCCATAATCTGCTATTCCATATACCTTTCCTCTCCATACCACAGCTACCCACGTTGGAATATAGAATGAGCCTGCAGGCAATTAAGTACACCAATGGCAGTCTTGCCATACTTGACCAGCTGCAGCTCCCATACGTGGAGAGATATTTCACAATACAGACATGTGAAGAGGGCTGGCATGCAATCAAGGAGATGCGTGTGCGAGGGGCTCCTGCTATTGCTATCGTGGCGGCCCTCTCACTTGCATCTGAACTTAATAATCTGATAACAAACAATAAATTACCATCCCAAGCACCAGACACACGGGCACTCATCACTGAGAAATTACGATATCTTGTGGAAAGCAGGCCGACTGCAGTTAATCTGAGTGATGCTGCACGAAAACTTGAGGCCGTAGTGACGGAGCATGCCCAGGAAGTGGGATCAACAGGCCATAGTGTTGCATCCTCGTATATCAGGGCAGCAGAGCACATGCTAGCAAAAGATGTGGATGATAATATGAAAATTGGCCAACATGGCTCAGATTGGATTGCAGCTAATGCAATCGCTATTCCTGGAAGCAAGGCTACGGTTCTTACCCATTGCAACACGGGGTATGTCCCAAGAGATTCATGCTAGTACCTTATTGACACTAATAATATATGTACAGCTCTCTTGCAACATCGGGCTATGGGACAGCATTGGGTGTTATACGTGCACTAGCATCAGCTAATATGCTGCAACATGCATACTGCACCGAAACAAGGCCATACAACCAAGGCTCTCGTCTGACTGCATTTGAACTAGTCCATGACCATCTCCCTGCCACCCTAATTACAGACTCAATGGCAGGTGCATTACTTGCAAAGGTTGAAGCAAACTTGAATGCAGTTATTGTAGGGGCAGATAGGGTAGCAGCAAACGGTGACACAGCTAATAAAATAGGCACATATAGTCTCGCAGTCCTTGCGAGGTACCATGGAGTGAAATTTCTCGTCGCCGCGCCCCTTACGACCATTGACTTCAGTACCAAATCGGGCAATGACATTATCATTGAAGAACGGCCCGCTGTTGAGGTGTCTAGGGTTAGAGGTCTTAGTGAAGAAAGTGGGACTATGGAGGGGCAGAGGTTGAAGACAGTATGCGTAGCAGCAGAGGGAATTAACATTTGGAACCCAGCATTTGATATCACTCCTTGCAAGCTTATTGACGGTATCATAACCGAGAAAGGTGTCATAGAAAAGGGCAATGACGGTGAATTTCACATGGAAGATTTGTTCTAATCCTGATGAGTCGCGGAGTTTTTCATAACCTCCTGCTTATTATTGCCATCTGCTTGAGGCAGAAGCTTATCACACCTCTCAAGTGTGACAAGCAGTTCTTCGATTCTGTATTCTAAGGCCGTGAGTTCATCCTCGAGTGCCGAAGCTGTCGCCTCGCCACTTGAGCGACGTCAGATGTGCCATAGAATCAGGACGTATTTAATTGGTGATTATGTACTTAGCTATGTCATCCAGGGTCTGTTGTCTTATCTATTAGCAACTTCGGTGCAAGTTGTTAATTTGATTTATTTTATGCATTCCATGGCTTGCATTGGCAGAGTTGGTGGGCAACCATCTCCTCCTAGGGCTAGCAGAGGTGTGATCTTACTTGTAAAACATAACTCCCAGTCTGGCCTTGGTGACCAGTGGTTTCAGACATGATAACCTGAGGTATTAAACTGTGTTGGATAATGACTTTAAAGAGTCATCACACCTTATTGTGGAACAACGATGAGCAAGAGAGTCTCACGTGGCATTAGTTATGATTGCGGAGACTCCTGCATAAAAGTATATTTTGCAGATAGTGGACGTCACATGACTGCTCTGTCTACGGTAGCTGCACTTGGATCTAGCTATTATCATATCAATACTAGTCTATTTTATTTTGCATGGTGTCAGAATAGCCAGACTCTGTCTTTGTGGCTACTTGGCGCTCTGTGTGTCTTCTATATCGTGGGTGATCTTGATCACCTGACGCTTGATATTTGTTGGAAGCATGGAGTCTAGGATTCGGGGGTATGGACTCTACGGAGGCACCCGCAAACTAGGCCAATAACGTACTCGATCACCGAGCCCCGTATTGCATACAAAATAGCACCCCTTATGACCCCAATGTTTTAACAATAACATAGAGTTATAGTAATTACAGAAGTATTCCTTGATATAACGTATTCGGTAAGCGAGCCGGCCATGAAAGCGAGTCAGCCACCTCGTATTGCATATAATATAGGGCTTTTTAAGGACCTAATATCTCAACCACAACATATCGAGAGGGCCTTAAATATATGATATACACTATTATGGTACTAAATATACATATAGTGGACTGGAAAGCCTATATCTTTTCTGGTTCTTTATATTACAATACATTCAATTGTATTTATCATATTTCCGTATTATAGAATGGGAAAAAATAATAAAATTATAAATAAAATATATACAGGCTTGGCAACGATACCTTCCAGTATCGATGGAATCGGTAGTATCACTGATACTAGCAGAACTCTCACCGCTTAATTAGTATAATCTCCTGTTTTATTATGTATGTAGGATTGGGTACTAATACCCTGCCAATTAGGTACTAACATTAATACTCTGGTTATATTATGCGGGAATAGACTGTATCTACTTTTAATTCTTTTAGAATTAGTTTATATATTAGTCTAAGCTACTAATTTTCTATTTTATATAACTTAGCTCTTGTGTATTGCAGCTTTACATAATTTCTAATTCTACAATATTATTATACGAACCATGGATTCTAATATAGTCTATTAAATTTAATACCTTTACCTATGCTTGATTCGGTTAATAGTAAGTCCAAAAGGAGAAAAATACCAGCAGCTTAAATAACATGGGCCCATACTCGTGCAGCTTATAATAGAGAGGTGTAATTTTATAATAATCCTAGAATTTAGTACTATATTTATTATACAGAATTAGTATATAGCACCTCTGTTACAACTAATATATAGAAACATCTTAAATCAAAACATTAAATCTCTATTAATCCTGCTCCAAGCCTGTTACAACAAGTAATATTTGACCAACTATTCTAACTTTATTTTAAGGCAAAGTCCTTAGATTAAACACAAGAAATTTATACTTAGGTCTTTCGAAAAATCTTAATTCAAGATATTATTAATAAGGCATTGGTTTGATTAATTATTGTCGGAGGAAAGTGGACCACTAGACTAACCAGGATAGGAATAGCCCAAGGCTATTCCTATTTAGAATTAGCTTAGGGGAAATGGATTGTGAATACTATTCTATAATAGTATGGTAAAAGAATAATGGTATATAGGGATAAGATATATTAAACAAGGTAAGATATAGTGGGTATATAATATAATAATAAAGAATAGCTTATACTTTCCTATTTAGGAAGGTATAGTCTTGAAGAATATAAAAAATAATTGTTCATCATATTTCACGCAGGGGTTTGAGCTGCTTTTATACCTTTAACATCCTAGGGTCTCCTTCTAGATTAATCTCGGGATTAAAATCCGTGTTATATACTTTTGGAAGTTCGGAACGGGCCGCCGAGATTTTTGTTTCCTAATTAAGTAATTACTTAATTAAATAATTAGAATATCCTGATATTCTAACATAACCCCCAGCTTCTAATATATATATTAATTAATTAATATATATTTTTAAGCTAAGCTTTTATTATTTTCGTTAAAATATCATGCATATTCAGCATTTTTATAATTTTGGCTTGAAAACAGTTTTGTGAATCTATCGGCAGGTATAATATTGGTAGATATTTATTTAATATCTAATTTATTATTTTGAATTTCTTGCCTGAGTGTTGCACGCTCGTACGGGTTGGAACTGCGTAAGTGGTTCTCAGCAGTCACCCTATGTTGTTTATTTATACTTTAAGTGTTTAACCTTGTCTATTTTTTTATCTTTAACCTTACACTAATTAATAAAATTAACTATGTTCTTTCTTTAAGCTTGTATATTTTATAGTTGGTAGTATGTTCTTGTGTTTTGTTTATTCTTTGGATATTTAATTACTAAGCTATTTAAATAGTTTAATATATTATATTTATTTAGTTGCTTTCTGTAGTTACTTTATTTTATTATTTATAGCTATTTTTATATTATTTTTTATTACTATTTTATTTATTTTATTACTATTTTATCTACCTTATTTTCCTTGCTTTAAGTAAAAATCCTGTGATATCCTTATACCATCACAGCAAGAGCTGTAAATTGCAGAGCTTGGCTATTAAATTATTTATTTTATTAACTTTAATACCTTTTGCTTTAGTTAAAAGCTAAATCCTAATATTATTTACTAATCTTACTATATTACCTTTACTACTAAATTACTGCTATTAGCACGGATCTATTTACCTAACTAGGATATTAATTATTCTACTATTTATTAAATAGTTGTAGAGTCTATATAACTAACTAAGTATTTACTAAATTAATAAAAGTATACTAACTAGCTAATATACTAACCTATAATTAACTAAATACCTTTATATCCCCTAGGATAATAATCCTTTATTTTAGTAATTTTTAAACCTTAAATAATCTCTAAATCTTAGATACTACCTATTTTTTAAACAGCTAAATAGTTTACTATTTATTAAATAAAAACTAAAAATATTTTTTTAGCCACCTTAGCTATTTTTAAAAGGCTTTTCCCTTTTATTAAACTAAAAGATAAGGTTATTCCTGTCCCTAATTTTATAATAGTTAGGTTAATAAAGCAAATAAAAATACAAGCTAAAAGTATTTTTTTTAAATAATTTTTATAATCTAACACCTGTGTTAGCTTACCAGGAGATAGTTAAAATATTTTTTTTATTAAATCTTAGTTATTAACCTATTTTTAAACACCCTATCTCCGGTTGGTCAAGATATTCTTGCTTAAATATTAGCTACTATACAAGTAACTCAGGCATCTATCTAATAAATAAATAGTTAGTTAAAGCAACTTAAGACTTATAGGGAGTAATAGCTATCTCCTGGACCTCCTAGTGCTCCTGGTCCAGCCGGACTGCCTGGTTAAGGTAGAAATGGATTAAATAATAGCAGCCCCTGGAAGACAGAGAAAATAGGCTACTTCTAGCTGGATCTTAAAAAATATAGCTATTAAATAGATTAATAACTATATTTATTACAAGGATATTAATATATTTGTTAACTATATTAAAAATATTATTACTTTAAAAAAAAAAAAAAAAAAAAAAAAAAAATAGTTTAAATTAACTTATAAGCTTGCCTCTGCAGAGCAGCCCTTGCCTGGTTTATTTTTAAATTAATTAAACTAAAAAGGACGCTTTGCGTACTCTACCTTTTATTAATTAAAATAAAAATAATAGTGGTAACAGGCACAGATAGTTATATTATCTAGCTAAATAGTTTAAACCTAATTTACTAAAAGCTTTTATAAAAATACAGGCCCTTTAATATACCTATACTAATATTTTTACTAAAAAAACTTTACAAGTATTTACTAAAAAAATTATATACTTAGTTTAAGTAGCTAAAATTTACCAGCCTTTTTAATAAATTATTATAGTGTAAAATATATTTAATCCTATTTTTTTAATAGTATATTTTTTAATCTTAATTTAAAATAACTAAAACCAAGTTTTTATAAAAACTAAAATAATAGTAATTTTTTTAGTATAACTTTATTTTCTATAAAAAAAATAACCCCAAGGCCTAATTACATAGTAAAATTAATCCTAATTAGGCTTATTATAACTAGAGACCCTTTTAAAAAAATAGTTACCAAGGACTAGATACTAATACCTTATTTAGATTATTTATATTATAAGCTGGTTTTTTTTTTACTAGTTAGTAAAAAGCTGTACTCTCTTTACTTTTAAGCCTACTAAAAATTCCTGTCTGCTTAGCTATTATATAATTATAATAAATATAATTAAAAAATGTATTAGTATCCTAACTAGTTTAATTAAGTTTTTAAATAATAGCCCTATAACCAGCAGAACTAACTACCTATTTTAGGTTAGCAAAGACTGCAGCTGTAAATAGCTAATAAGCCAGCAAATCCTGCTAACTATAACTAGTTATAGAATAATAATTATAGTTTATATAATTATCTAAGTTTACTTGCTAATTAGCTTTATTAGCTATAAAACTAAAACTAATAGTAAAAACCTTTATATAGATATATCTATAGTGCTAATATATTTAAGAATCTAAAAAAGGAGATTCCTAAATAAAATAATAAGTAAATATTACTAATA